GGCCGCGAAGGCGCGCCCAAACGTGGAGAGAGGCAGGGCGACGACCTTGGCCAGCGCCGCAACCACCCCCTCGAAAGAGACAGGGGAGCGGTCCGCATTGTTGTGGAAGTGGATGCCCAAGGTCTTCGCCGACGCGACCACCCGCGGGATCGGGGCAGCGGGGCCATGGGGCCCAGGGGACAGGCCGGCGGGGGCGAGGAGGGGAGGAGGGGGAGGGCGCAAGAGTGCGGCAGCCACCGAGGCGGCAGCAGGGAGGGCGCCGAGGAGGAGGGAAGCGGCCAGGGAGGGGGGGGAGGCGCGGACAGCCGCGGCGAGCAGGGCGAGGGCGAGGGAGGGGTGGAGGGGGGGAGGAGGCGGGGGAGGAGGGGGCGGTGGAGGTGGAGGAGGAGGCGGAGGCGGGTGGGTACCAAGCAGCAAGAGCTCGGTCTTGTCCACATTGAGGCGCTGTCCAGAAGCGGCCCGAAAGACCTCCATGGCGGCGAGGAAGCGGGGAAGGTCGGCGAGGCTGGCCAGGAAGGGAGTACAGTCGTCGGCATACTGGGATGCGCGGACCTCGGGGCCGGGAGGTGCTGGCAGGCCGCTAGATGGGGTAGGGCCCGAGACCTGGAGGCCAATACCTTGCTGCGTAAGCCAGCAGAGCAGGGCCTGGCCCACGGCAAGGTAAAGGAGGGGAGCCAAAGGGCAGCCCTGGCGGACACCGGAGGTGATGGGGACCCTGCCAGAGCAGTGGCCGTTGACAAGGGCAACCGCTGCAGTGTCGGTATGGAGGCGCTGCACCCACTGGAGGAAGCCCGGCCCGACACCGAGGGCCTCGAGGCAGGCGAAGAGGAAGTCCCTGTCAACTGTGTCGTAGGCCTTGTAGAAGTCCAGGAAGACAGCAACACCAGGGCGGCGCTCCGTGCGGAGGAGCTCGGGCAGAAGTTGGAGCAGAAGGATATTGTCTGCAATGCGTCGGGACTGCAGGAACGCCGTCTGGGAGGGGTCAATGACGTCCCCAAAGACCGGCAGGAGGCGCTTCGCCAGGACGCGGGCAAGGGTGCGGTAGTCGGTGTCAAGGAGGGTGATGGGACGGTAGTTAGCAGGCAGCGTGGGGTCGCCAGCCTTGAAGAGGGAGGAGATGACACCGTCCAGGAGGCCACGGGGAGTCGTGCCAGTGGTCCCGATTGCAGAGAAGACGCGGGCCAGGAGGGGCGCAAAGGTGCTGGAGAACTCCTTGTACAGCTCCACAGGCAGGCCATCGGCTCCCGGGGCACGGCCGGAGGGGGAGGAGGAGAGAGCCGTCAGGACTTCGGCAGTGCTGACCTCAGCCGAGCCGAGGGCAGCAACCGTCCCCTCAGGACAGCGACGACTGTGCGAGCGAAGGGCCGCCAGGATACGCTCGCGGGCGGCCAGAGTGGAGGGGGAGGGGGCGGCGGGCGTGCAGATGTCCCGCCAGAAGGCAGCCATGACGCGGGGCATCTCCAGGGGGTCCGCTGTGGCAGCCCCGGTGGGGCCTTGCAGGGCGGGAATCGGCCGGCAGGCAGTGGGAGGGCGGAGGAGGGCGGTGAGGGTGGGGCAGGGACGTTCTCCAGTGCGCAGCCAAGCATGCCGGGACTGCCGGGCACCAGGGCCAGCCGCCTGGAGGGCAGCAGCCGTAGCGGTGGACCTGGCAGTGACGACCCGGGCTGCTGCCAAGGGAACACCCGCAGCTAGCTCAGCAAGAGCAGCCTCCTCAGCGGCCTGCGCGAGCGCCTCCGCACGATGGAGGGAAAGACGGTGAAGGCGGGCCACCGTGTTGAAGTCCCGAGCCGCCAGGCTAGTAGCCCGTTTCAGGGCAGGCCACCAGGCCAGGAGCTGGGCCGGGTCGTCAGGGGCTGAAGCAGCAGTTTCCTGGAGCCAGGCCTCAAACTGGGAGCGCAGGTCTGGGAAATCCAGGAATTGGAGCCGTGTCCGGGGCAGACCAGGGCCAGGGGGTTGGGCGGAGGGGGACGCGGCGAGGTGGAGGACCACGAGGCGGTGATCAGAAGGGGCGCCACAGTGGATCTCACAGGCCCGGGCATGGAGAGCCAGGCAAGGGGAGAGGAGAAAGCGGTCCAACCGGGAAGCACCCACGGGGTGGGTGTAGGTAAAGGTGCGGCGGGCCGGGTGGAGACGGCGGAAGGCGTCAACGAAGCCAGGGCAGGCTGCACCCAAAGCAGCAGCAGAGGCCCGATCTTGGCGACGGCCATCCACACCCGCCGTACTATCCAGAACGGAGTCGGGAACGAAGTTGAAGTCCGCAGCCCAGAGGTGCATGCCACCAGAGGCGGCGAGGGGCTGCAGGAGGTCCCGAATGAAGGCCTGTTGGCCGATGCTATCAGCGGAGGGAAGGTAGGCGCTGAGCAGGGTAAAGGTGTGGCCACCCCAGGTAACCGGGAGGTGAAGGAGGCGGCCATTGGAGTCCACGGAGGGGGAGGGGGAAGCGCCGGGGAAGGCAAGGGTACCGGAAGAAAGGAGGTGGGATCGTATCAGGATGGCGACGCCACCGCTAGGACGACCGGACTCCAGAGTACGGGCTGGCGACCACCAGGGCGTCCAGAGCGTGAAGTGCTGCTGCCGAGCCAGCTCCTGGAGTCGCGTAGTAGCTTTTGGAATATCGGCTGCACGAACATGTGTCTCCTGGAGGCAGACAACATCAAGGTTCTGCCGCTCCCAGCACCGCATCAGGGCCAAAAGGCGGGCATCCGGGGTCCCAGAAGGGGGCCCAAGAAGCCCACGCACATTGTGGCATCCAAGACGCAGCAGGCGGGAGGTGGGCCGGCGCCCAGCGGCACGCCGGGCCATTACTGAGCGGGGATGTCAGAGCTGTCCCCCGAGGGAGGCAGCCCAGCGAGGACGTCGGTCCAGAGCCGGTGAGTGCTAAGCGCGGGTGCTGGGTCCGGGCCAGGCAGCTGGGGAGAGCCGGCGCGGTTGGGGCTGTGGCCGCGGCTGGCCGGAGGAGGAAGGGCCGGGACGCCAGCAGCGGGCTGCAGAGAGTGCCCCAGCCCGGCAGCACGGCTGCGGCTGCAGCTGCGGCTGCGACTGCGGCTGCGGCTGCCACTGCGGTGGTGTGGGGGGTTGCGGGCTCGGCCGCGAGGCGGAGGCTGCTCATCCGCCGAGCGGATGGGGGAGGTGCGAAGGGGGGAGGAGCCGGAGGCCCCAACAGCCCCCGGGCCGCCAGGCAACGGCGCAACCGCAGGCGCACCCACCACAGCGGCAACAGCGGGCGCCGGCAGCAGCTGGAGCATGCTGGCAGTGGAGGGAAGGACGCCCCCAGGCCGGGGAGCCGCCGGCACGAAAGGGGGCGGCGGGCTGGCCGCGGGGTCCACACCCGGGGGGCCGGGGTCCTGCTCCCTGGCCAAAGCGGGAACGGTGCCGGCGGCCGGGGGCCCAGCCGGCAGGTCGCCGCGCGCTGCCAGGCGGGCCAGGACCTGTGCTGCGCGATCACCCGCCCGGGGGGTCGGCCCAGAAGTGGGCCCCGGGGCCACCTGGGTCAGGGGAGGGGGGCGGGGGTGGAGGGGAGCGCCCGGGCGGGCCACGGCGGCCTGCTGTGCCTTGTAGGCATCGTAGTCGAAGGCCTCCACGGCAATCGCCGCGCCATGGAAATCCGCCACCCGGAGATCGAAAGGCAGGGTGTGACCAAAGGAGGACCCCGGCGCCAAGTGGACAATGTGGCGGTCCAAGTGGGGGATGGTGAGGGCCGGGTCCGGGCTGCGCCAGGGCTCAACAGCAACCACGACCGCGTTGGGGAACCAGGCTGCGATCTGCACGCGGCAGTGGGCAGGGCTGAAGGACGCCGGCCAGTTGCGGGTGAGGATGCTGAGGGGGCGGGGGACGACACCGGTGCCATCGGCATAGCGCACAACCCAGGAGAGGCGGGGAATGCGGCGGTCGGTGGGGATGGTGGTGAGGACGCTGTGGCTGTCCAGGCGCGCCTTCAGGTCTGAAAGGAGGTCCTGGTGGAGAACCAGGCTGCAGGTAACCCGGGCGCCAGAGCCAGCGCGCGTGACCTCAACACCACCGACAAAGCCAAAGGCCAGGGAGCGCGAAGTGGACGCGGAGCGCAGGCTAGGAAGGCCCTCTGAGAGGCTTTTCAGGAGTGGTTTTTTCCAAGCGCGGACTTCCATGGCCGGGACACCGGCGATGTCCGCCACGAAGGACAAGCGGACGAGGCCGCTGGTCTGAGCCGACTCACGAAGAGCAGGTAGAAAACTATTAACCGAGATAACGGGCCGCGAGAGGCGGAGTGGCCCGCCGGGGCCCGGAACAGCTGCCGACATGTCGGTTACTTCATGGAACCGCGCCGACAGGGTAAGCTGCAGTCCTTAGGAAGGCCTAGTAAATACAAAGGTGAAAGCAAGCCCGATGGGCAGCCCCGGGAAGACCCAATGCCGGAAAAGGTAGCCCGACGTTATCCCTATGGTATCCCTAGGAACGTATGGTATCCGTGTTAGGTCATCTGGTGGAGCACGTGCGTGTTTGTGCCGGTGGAGAAGTTATTGCCCCTTCATTCATGATGGCTGCAGATGTAGCTTGTTTGTAATGCATGTAGATGGCCTTCCTTGTGATAAGCCGTGTTGGGGATATCCTTGCCAGCTCCGCTGAGTCATGCAGCGCTGGCTAACCGACTGAAGCAACAAGCCATACATGGCGCGCCTTAGTATCTACCATATACAATTGCGCGCGCTTCTGTTCGTTTGCGTTTGATAGCCCCTCACATACTGGTTGCTAGAGCGAACCTATAGTATCCAGCTCTCCACCATAACAACGCCGGTTACAGCATTACTCGGACCATCGCAGGCACAAGCACATTAGGACTGCGGGGTTATAAACCATTCGTCAAGGCTTACGCATTTGCCTATGCTGGATAAAGTTCCCTTTGGATCCTCCACTTTTGCCTTCGCCTGCTGGATCCAGATTGAGCGGTTAAGAAGACAATGGGAAGCTGGGACACCCTTATATAAGGATGCCGCGCCTTCACTTGTGGTTACAACTATTCGTCTAGTAAACTTAGTTAAGCTTCATAGCCCTATCTAGCGCAGCATGTCGCTCCCGACGCTCACCGTGGCTTTGCAGGATGTCGATCGTGCAGTTGCTGGAGCAGGGGTGTTTGTATTGCAGCTGCTTGACAAGCTCAAAATGGCGAAGGAGACTGCGCCTGCAGTTGCCATGCCAACCGAAATAGGCCAGTCGAGCTCCCCGGCTGGCGTTATAAGCTTTGTCGACTTGCCCATCGACCTGCTTCGCAAAATTTGGGAACACCTGGACGTTGACACCCTCGCCGGCGTGGTCCCGCTGGTATGCAAGGCATGGAGGGATGAAGTTGCGCGGCCCGCGCTTTGGCAAGACCGTCTCACGCCAAAGATGGTGGTAAGAGGTCATTTAACGCAAACGTTGCTGGCCGCTGCGAGTATCTGCCATCTTGCTCGACCCTCGTTGGCATGGGCATTTCACAGGAGCAACTCTCTCAGTTGGCAAGCGCGGGCGCTCCTGTCTCCGCTGCGCATCTCTATTTAGCCTTGTGTGGTCGCAACTTCGTACGAAACCCGGTAGGTGTCGTGGTGGGCTGTTAAGAAAAATGTTGCCTGGCGCCGAGCCGGTCCACCTCGTTCCTTCATACTCACACCCGACCCCTGCAGACTTTTCGCCGTGACTGCAACTCTCCTAGCCTACTAGAGTTTGGGCGCCTTTCCTGGAACAAATGGAAACGCGACGCGTGGGTGAGTCGCACTGAAAGGCTTCACCTCACCCTGGACTTTACCAACATGGCCACCAATCTTCGAATGGCACATCTCCAGAACCCAGCACTTCTTCTCGCATTCCATTGCTGATCATCCCCATGCCGTCCATGTATCACGGCGTCACGCAGGTCGTCGGCCACACCACAAAGGATGGCGTATGCTGGGAAGAGCAAGCCGATGGCATTGACGCTGCAGCGGGCCCGCCGCCAAACCCGCTGCCGTACGCCGGCAGCGGCAGCCGGGGCATCGGTGAGCGCGTGCAGCAGCAGCTCCGGGGGCTCCTGGGAGGCCTTGCTGCGCCCAAGGAAGACCCTCCGGAGATGAGCACGGGGCCCGCGGCACCCCCCGTGCCACCCTCATGCATTACTACGACTGCGGACTGGTGCGAAGTGATGCAGGTGCGGTAGCCGGTGGCTTGACGGCTGGTCGTTATAGGTGCTGCGGCTAATACCCGCATGTGTTTGCGACTCGCTATAGGTCTGGGAAACACAACGACATGGTATACTTGGAAGACAGCAGCGAAAGGCTGTTTCCGCATGAAGGCATGGCCAGGCGTGATTTGTATCGCCTTCCTTGCAACAGTCCTAGGTCTGGCGAGCCTGCCCGTCATCTTGCTTCCCCTCCCCTCCGCTCCCCTCCCCCCCGCCCCCCCCCTCCGCAGGTGATCGACCTGCAGGGTGAGCTGGTGTCCCGCGGTCTGAGCGGCGCGCAGGCGGCCCAGCTGCTGGATGCAGGGCTGGGGATGCGGCTGAGCGTGCACGTGGGGAGCAGGTGGGGGGGAGAGGACGGAAACAGCATGCCATGTCCGGCACTTTTGCGGGTTGGATGGGTCGGGTTACCGCGGCACACATCCTGACGCCTTCCTCTGCACCTACCGGTACAGGGTCGCACTGCCCCTGCACTGCACAGTTCCATCGCATGCGCCGAGCTCCACCACCACATACACACACGCGCACATACGCTCCGACTCGCGGCCGGTTTCTTAACACACACGCCCTGCACCACCGGATGCAACCCCGGTCCCTCGCCCTCCTCCGCACGGCGCCCGCAGGCGGGACTGCCTGGGCCAGTTCTGTGTGGGCCTCATGCTGGATGAGGGCAGCAGCACCGGGGAGCTGCCGCAGATGCAGTCCTTCGTGAGCCGCCCCAGCCGCCACGCCTTCTTCTCAGGCAGGCTACGCTGCGAGGCGCGGGGCGCCTGGCAGCGCTTCGAGTACCGGCTGGCCGCCTGTCCGCGCGGCTGCAGACGCGCGCTGGTGCTGCTGCGCGGGCGGCGGGCGGGCGGTGAGCCCGCGGCACCTGAGCCGGTGCCGGTGTTTTGTGGCGCCAAGTTTACGTGCGCTGAGCTGGTGTTTGAGGCAGAAAGATAGCGTGTCTTGGGGTCCTATGGGCTGGCTGCTGAATACTGGGTACGGGTTGCGGCGAGGGAAGTGAACGAATGAAGGACTGTTACACCACCGGTACTTCCCTGAAAGTGAACACGGGTGGTGTCTGCAAGCGACAGCTGGTACCTGCGATCGACTGGTTAGCTGCGATAGCTGACGGCTGGCGGCTGTACGACACTTTGCCGGCGCTGGTTCAGGGAAGTTCTCTCGACGGCTTAAGCATGTCTCCTTTATAGAGCCCTGGCCTGTGCCCATTCTCCTGGTCTGGCTCGCGGTCTGCTGCACGACCTGACTGGCTATACGCGGCTTCCAGTAAAGCTGTGGGACATCGTAGCCAGTAGGCGTTTACAACTGTATAAATCAACAACCGTCTCCCAAACTCGCCCCTCAACAGAAAACACTACTGGAGACCTTACCGCACTCACAACGACACCCATGGTCCCTCAGAAAGGGGGCGAGCAGACGCATGCGCAAGACTTGGCATCAAGGCCGAGTATAGAAAGGCACGACCCCACGCCTCATGTGGTAGATCACACAGCACAGCAGCGGACGGAAGGCGCCACAATTTGAAGATAGCAGGGTAGTGAAAGGCGCCTACGTGATACCGGTAGGATTGCAGCCCAGGCCCTGTCGTAGCGATGTCGCAGCCCTGACCGCTTCTGACGCAACAGTCGTGGAGGCTCTGTGAACACCATCGCACATCACCAGCCGACTCGCCGAGCATAAAACCCACCACCCTGATCACCACGCACACGGTCAACCGTTGCGCCGCCCTACAGATGGAGACGCTACATTACAAATATAAGCGATTCGACCAGTAATTTCCACATTTTCGTCCCCACGACAAGGACTTTCCCTCAAAATAACAGTACCGTACCCGCGATGCTACACAACCGGGTCACTGCTCGACAACGGACCAAGATTCTTCCAGTAAGCCCCATGACCTAATCACAGCAACCGGCTGCAGCATACAACAACCAGTTTACCCGTCCGTGGAGTGAGTGCATATTACTATTTCCTCTTTCACAAAACCCTCCACCTCAAGCCAAACAAAACGTCCATGGATAAACGTACCGCAGACTCGACTGTTACTCCTTCTCTTACGTCTTATCACCTCCTGACAGCACACGTTACTACCAAACCCCAATTACTCAAATTGTAGCCAATATTGGTGACGTCGCCCTTAGCTTAAAACAGCTCACGTTCAATCACGTTTCCAATCTTCAGCACACACCGTTTTACCCCACACGCAACCCCAACAACCCCAACACCCCTAGCCGTAATACTGTTCCAGCATGCGCGCACACGTGGCCTGCGTGGCACTGTTGATGTGCTGCAGTGACGTCAGCAGCGTCGACAGCGCCTGCCGCTGCACCGCCGTCTGCGCCCGTTGCTCCTCCGGCTGCTCGCCTTGAACCACAGCAGCAGCAGCAGCAGCGCCGACAGGCCGGCCCGCACCCTCGGCAGCGGACGGGCCGATCAATGTGGAGGACAGTCGCGGGGCAGCCAGCACCATCCTGCGGCCCTGCTCCACAGGCGCCAGGACGACCGCACCGTACCCAGGCATGGGGCCCACGAACGCAGGACTGCCGTACACCGCCCATGGAGATACGGGCTGAAGGCCGGCTGGCACCGCGACCCTCATTGCATGGGCGGGCATGGTCGGTAAAGGGTGTTGGTGGGGCGTTGGGCGAGGTACACGACTGCCCCGCGGAAGCGCCTGCTGCTGCTGCTGCTGCTGTTGTTGCTGACGAGCTGCTGCAGTGGCTGATGTGGGGTGCGTCTGTCCGGGGGCTGCGGCAGCGGGCACCTGCTGCGCGCCCGCGCCATCACCCAACACCCGCAGACTCACACCACCAATGGACACTTCGGGCCGGCCGGCCCTGTACTGCCGCCTCGGAGCATTTGCAGGCTGCGGCGGCGCCGCCGCTGCTGCATCTCCGGCCTCCGGGTTCGGCGGCATGTAGAGCGGCAGCACGTGCGCGCTCTCGCCGCTACTCGCTACAGCCACACCACCGGGAGCAGCGCCGGCGACAGCACCCGTCGTGCGGGCTGCAGTGGCAGCTGCTGGGTCCTCCTCCTCCCAGCCGGCATCCTCCGGGCCGCCCTCCGCCCCACCAGGGCTCACCTCGGGTGCGCCGCCGTCAGCAGCCCCGTACACCTGCTGCGGAACAGTCCAATCCGAGGACTCGGGGCTCTCCAAGGACGTGGCATAGCGTGAGGGGGCGGACATGGAGGCCGTGGCTCGAGACTGCCCTGCCAACCAGGCGGCCGCCGGTGCCGGGCGCTGCGGGGAGGCTCCTCGAGGGGACGCATGGTGGGAGCGAGAGGAGGACTGCGGGCTGGGGCCGCCTAGGGCGGGCTGCGCCATGTAGCCACCCGCCCAACCCGGAGATGCTCCTGCTTGCTGTCCGAACGCCAGGCCGTCCTCGCCGCTTAGCTGGTAAATGCTATCACCCGCGGACTGCTGTTGCTGCTGCTCCCCTGGCGACACGGCCGCTGCCTGGCCGCTGCCTGGGGTGTCCAGCCACTGCGCCAGACGCTCCTGCGAGGACTCGGTGCTCAGCAGCCCCGACAACACCCCGCCCGCTGCAGCAGCAGCCGCAGTGCCGGCCGCAAGCGGGGATTGCGGTGACTTGGAGGAGCGGTCAAACTCGGGGCCGACGTCACGATACGGCTCCAGCCCGGGCGGCCAGTCCCGACTACCCGCAAGCGGACGGCTACCGCCGGCACTGCCCTCACCCGCCCGTCCTGACAACGGCTTGCCTGCACCGCCTCCGGGCAGCAGCAGCTCCTGCCCTCCCTCCTCCACACCACCCAGCCGCGGTTGCCACCGGCCTGACGCCCGCTGACCGGCCGCCGCGCCGGGCGGTGAGTCCAGCCACTGCGCCAACCGCTCCTGCTCCATCGAGGGGTCCACACTCAGCGGCCCTAGCATGGCTGCCAGGTACCCCTCATCGACTTCCCCCGCCTGCGGCGACAGCGCCTCCAGACGGTCCAGCAGCCGCACCGGCCGACCCGCGGACTCATCCGGGGACTGCGACTGCTGCGCCGGGGCCTGGCCGCGACCTGACAGGCCGTACCCGCCAGCCGCAAGCAGCGCGGGTAAGCTCGCTTCGTTGCTGCCGTCAGGCGCCTCCATACCCTCCGACACGGTGGCCAGCCGGGGCCGCCCCGCCAGCTGCCGCGGGTCGTCCAGCCACTGCGCCAGCCGCTCCTGCTCCATGGAGGACGCCACACTCAGCGGCCCCACCACCGCCGCCAGGTAGGCCGCGTCCCGCTCCACCTCCGCCAGCGCCTCCGCAACCAAGTCCTCGGGCACAGGGCTCGCAACGGAGCCGGCGGCAGCGGTAGCGGAGCCGGCAGCCGGCGCCGCCGTAGCAGCAGCAGCAGCAGCAGCGCCGGACATGGGGCTGCGCGGTGATGTTGGGGTAGCAGCAGCAGCAGCGGCCTGGCGGGGCGATGATGTCACGCCGCCGGCGGGACGCAGGCCAGCGGGATCCAGCAGGCGTACGGCGCCGCGGGGTGAGGCAGCAGGCGATGCAGCGGGCGATGGCAGCGAGCCGGTTTTACTTTGCCTGGAGCGCTGGGAGGTGGCATCTAGGTCGATTTGCAGCTGCGGTGGGCGCTTGGGTGTGCCGGCACTGCGAGGTGACGTGTTGTTGCCCGCGTCGCGGCCGCTGGGGAGCGCAGCTGCGGCACCTGGTGGGCTGCGGGGCGACTCAGCGCCCGACGCCGGGCTCTTTTTGCCTGCTCCTGGGCGTTCAAAGCTCCTCAGGAACCTCTCCAGTGTGCCCTCGCCTCCCGAATCCGCAGGACTGGAGAACGACGGAGAACGCCGCGGGCTGCCCTGACCCGATGCCAGGCTCACCGTGGCCTCCTCTCCCTCCATGTCATCCGAGCATACACCACCCTCGTCTCCTGCAGCCGGGCCCTGCGATGCAGCCGCGCTCCGCGGCAGCGCGTTCTGGCCAGCCGTGCTCGTGCGTGTGCTGAGCGGCGTCGAGCCCGGGTCCTGCGAGGACGGCGTCCGCGACTGGACTCCAAAGGGGCTGCTGGGGCGGGGCGGGCTCCGTAGCGTCCCGTCCTCTGTAGGCGCGTAACGAGGGCTGCCCAGCCCCGCCGGCGGTACCTCCACCGACATCTGTCGCAGCGCCGCGGTGGCTGCCCGAACGGCGGGACTCATGCTGCGAGACGGAGAAGGGGGAAGGTCCGAGTGGGCGCGGCTGCGCAGGGGCTTGATGCTGAGGAGGGCCTCCAGTGCGGCTCGGCGCTCGGGGCTGGCGCCGAAGGACGCCGCGGAAGCCGGAGGGCTGCTGCCCAGAGCCTCGGAGAGCTTCCGGCTCCAATCGCTTCCCGTTGTGGTGCCCTGCCCTGCATGCTGCGAGCGCCGCCGCTGCGACCGTTCCTCCCGACCATACTCCTCGCTGCCGCTGTCGCCGCTGTCTACCCGCCTGTCCACTACATCCGCCACATCGTTCGGCCAGCTGCCAATGTCCTGCCTGCTAAAATCTACACTCCCGCCGCTCCTGCTGCCGAGCACATCGTCCTCTGGGTGCAGGCAGCTGCTGCGCAAGTTGGAGTTGGAGCGGGAGAAGCCGCCGCCGGCTGCGCTGGAGGCGACGGACGCGGCCCGCGCCCCGCGTCCTCCCAGCCCCTCCTCGCCTACCATGCCACCCGGTGCCGGAGCCTTCCGGTTGCCTGCCTACGCGGGATGCATGCAATTGGTCAGATCAGCAGATGAAGAGAGGATGCATGCAGATGAACTGGGCGGCATGCGGTGGGTTCACACGACACAGAGGTGAGAAGCTGAGGACTGCATGGGAACAGTGAAAGGTGCAAAGAGCAGTCAAGGGCGAGCAAGTCAGCAAGCCAGTGCCACTCCCCCAAGCCCCAATACGTGCCTGAGCCTCCTCCTGCGCTCCCGCGCTGTCGGTGGTGCGGCCCCGCTCCATGGTGCGGCCCCTGGGGGAGGCCGCGGGAGAGCCGCCTTGGCGCCGGAGCTGCTCCAGAGCCAGGGACTGACTGTCGCTGCTTGGGGCGCGATACCTGGGGAGGGGGGCAAACACGTGACACCGATAGTCCCACGGATGTGCCTGAGGTCAACTTTGCATTATGTCATAGTACCGGTTGCGAATTTTCGTGTAAAATTAAAATGGGGGCTGTAAATACGTGAGCTTCCGGTACTTGTGCGCAGTAGTCACCCATACCGTACACACACAGGAGCTTACCTGTGGACGGTGTGGTCTGCGGTGAAGGGCAGCAGGTCAGCCGGGTTCAGGGGCGCAATGCTCCGCCTGTCGCTGCCCTTGCCAACGGATGACGTGGACGCACCCGGCGCACCGCCGACAGACGTGTCAAGCTTACGCCGAGGCACAGGCGACTGCGGAGCGCCGCCAAACGACCACACGCTGCCCCGCAGTCGCGAGAGCGACTCGGCGTTGAGCTGGGCCCTCCGCGAGCCGGATGACTGGCCCCCGGGGCCGGAGGGAGACGAGGAGTCGCCGGCATTCGTTCCACGGGCGCCGTCAGCCGTGGCGCGCGCTGGTAGTAGGCGGTTCAGCGCCTGCTCTAGGCTCTTACTGATGCCACCGACCGGGATCGCGGGGTTGCTGTTCAGCGAAAGGGAGGCCAGGCTCTCCGGGTCACGCTGGCCACTGGACTGGGACTGCATGCGCCCAATCTGCGGCCTTTCGGCGGCAGCGGAAGGCGTGGAGGTCTGTCTGCCGCCTGCAGGTTGAGGCAAGCCAGGAGCAGCGTCCTCCGTACGACGCTGTGAGGTGCGGACCCCGGCAGACATGATGCGAGCCAAGTCAGCCTGGTGTGAGCCCTCCACGTCCAAATCGCGCATCGGCGGCGCGTAGCGTGAACCCCGGCTTCTGCCCGCGTTGCCACGTGAGTCTCCCAGGACAGAGCTGACCCATGGGTCGCCCCTTGCCTCTGCAGCGGCTTCTGCGGCAGGCCCACGCTGGCGTGAGGATGGAGACCTGCCCGCAGCCGCCGGGCGGGTTCGGTCCCCAGAGCCTTGCAGCGCGGCAGCCGCAGCCAGCGGCATGTCAGCCTGCAGGGTGCGGGTGGTAATGGGACTCGCAGCCCTAGCCCGTGACGCGGGCTCACGCTCACTGCCGCCAGCCGCCCCGTCCGTGCTGGGAGGCTCTGCCGAAATGGAGGTCTTCATGGTCTGTCCGAAGCCGTGCATTAAGTCGTCCAGCGCGCGCTGTTTTTGTGATGAGAACAGCGCCAAGGACGAGGAGGATAGCGGCACCGGCGGAGCGGGCTCGGGTCCGGGGTCCTCTTGGATGCGGACCCTGCCGTCCGGCATGGAGCCAAGCATGAGGGCCGTCATGCCCCCAGCCCCGCCGCGTTGGCCATCACGGGAAGCGGACTGCGCCTCAGCTGAGCCGCCAGCTTTCTTCTGGGTAGCAGCTGGCGCCGGTGTGCCAGCGGATGTCTTCTGCGCAGCGCCCGGAGTGGAGCGAAGCACCGTTGATGCCCGCAACGGAGAAATAAGCGGCGAGTTGGGCGAGGATCGACCATAGGGCCCTGCAGCAGCATCCCTTGACCGCCGAGAAGGAGACTGCTCCGCTGCCCTGGCTGCCTGCTGCTGTGCGGGCGACGCGGCGGAGGAGCGCAGGCCGACTGGGTCGACCGCCGCGACCAAACGCCGCCAGGCAGCGTCCGTATCGCGCCGCTGCTCCTCCTCCACCCGGTCAGGCTGGTAGCGACCCGCGCGTGGCGACGACGCGCGCGGACGCATGCGTGACGACTCCTCGCGGCCACCTTCGCCGCCGCTGCTGCTGTCACGACGGTTGCCGCGGTGGCCGCTGCTGGGGCCAGGACTAGGCTGGCTGAAGTGCGGAGATGCCGACCGGGAGCGGCGAGACAAGCCCGAGGCTGCGCTCTCCAGACCACCCGTCGCCGGGTCGCCCAGAGCTGACAGGTCATGCCTGATGGACCGTAACTCCGCCAGGATGCCATCGATGTGCTCCGGTTCCTGCACCAACCTGCGCTGCTGCTGCTGCTGCGGAGGCAACAGATCCGGCCCCAGCGCCCGGAGATCCGCAAACGGCGTGTGCATCTGCGCTGTTGCGGACTGCATCGGCGGCAGCGGTATGCCGCCCTGCGCAGGGCCCGACTGCCGCGGTGGGCTGGTGGGGGAGGCACTCGAGGCGATGTACCGCTGGCTGGGGCTGCGCCCCCGCCGCGGTGTCTTCCGTGACAGTGACAGCGAGGAGATGTCGGTGAAGGTGGGGCTGCCGGGGTTGCTCCAGGAGAGGCGTCTGGGGCTGGGCGGTCCCCCGGTCGCCAGCGTCAGCGCGGCCAGGCCGGCTCCGGGCGAGGAAGCCGTCAGGGCGGCCGTGCCGTCAGCGCCGCGTTCCTTGAGCACGTTGTCCCGCAGCTGATCCATGTCTCGCTTGATGGTGGCAAGCTGGCTGAGCACGCTCTGGATGCCCCCGCTGCCGGCATCAGGGCGGCGAGGCGAGCCCAGGGCGGAGCGGGAGGCCTGGAGACATAAAGGCAGTGCAAGGGCTCAGGTCAGAATAGGGTAAACGGTAAGTGGCAAGGAGAGCAAGCAGAACGTGCATGCCAGCCGACAGGGACTTGGGCTTCCTTGCCTGCAATCCCAAATCTCGCAATCCTTGATTCACAATAACCAAGGAGCGGAACAGGACAGTCACTCACCAGCGGCGAGGATGGTGTCCCGCCCGTGTCCCTCCCGCGCGGACTCGGAGACTGCGCGAGGCCGCCCGCGGGCCCCCGCAGCGGGCTCCCAGACCTGGACGGCCCGCCCCTGCCGCCACCCATGGCAGTGACGTTGCGCATCAGGTTGTCCAGCTCCTCGGTGATGCTGGAGATAGGCCGCACGCGGCTAAGCCCTCCAAAGCTGCCCGTGGGCGACGCCTCACGGTCCGATCTCTGAAGCCATGAAGCGGGGAGCACATGAGGAATTCAATATGCGGCGTTGCGGATAAACGACAAGCAGAAAGCCAGGAAAACGAAAGGCTCGCATGAAGAAAAGTGCAGGACGGCTCTTAGTACTACAGTGAACACACAGTGGCAGGGCCAGGCGGAACCGTCAGAAGTCGTGAAGGGCTAGCGACCATAATGAGGGCTAACCATACCGCCCACCTCAATCGGCACCCGGGAAGGGCTCTCGTGGCGGGCCGAACCGTAGTCGCCGGGCTGTCGAGGGCTGGTAGCAGCATCCCGCGCGTCCAGACGCGAGGCCTGACGACTCAGGCCGGCAGCCGGCTGCTGGTCTTGCACAGGAAAGGAGAAGGACGTCACTCCAGGCGTGTAAGCGTCCGTGGCCCCCAGCAGCCCCAGGCCTCCACGCCCTGGCGACGTGTAACGCCCGTCATCAAGTGCCGCCTTGGGCGACATGGGTGGGCTGCGGGTTGAGCGGACCGCCGAGGAGCCGGTGTACGTGTCGGGCAGGGGGTTGCCCACAACCAGACCGAGCAGGTTGCTGTTGCCGCTGCCGTACGCCTGCGGGAAAGCTGCCGCTGCCGCGCCCGGAGAGCGCCCCGCGGAGGCGTCCGGCACGCTTGCGGACAGCGCTTTCAACGTACCCAAACCGGTTCCATGTGTGCTGGAATACGGCTCGTCGTTGTAGAAGCCCGTGGCATTGCGGTCTGGGCGCATTGTACGCAGCGGTGAGGAAGGGCTTGCCCCCATGTACGCCTCGGGCGCGTCTGCGTAAGCACGAAGACGCGGTGCCGTGCTGGGTCGTGCGGATTGCGGAGACAGCTGGCTGCCTTGAGCGTTGCCGGTGGCCCGAGACCCGTAGGGGGAGCTGGGTTCCTGCTCCAACACACGGCTCCGCGCAGGGCTTGTGGGTGTGGACAGCGCCTGCTGAAGCGAAAGCGGCGCTGTGGCAGCCGGCGAGCGGGGAGCTGCGCCAAAGCGCTCCTCAGATGTGCCCAGATAAAAGCTTGCTGCTGTTGGGCTCGTGTGCCTGTCGCGCGCCCCACTTAGAGGCGCGTCTGTGTTCGTCGCCGACAGAGTCCCACGGCCAAGCCCAGGAGAGATGTTTAATGGCTTCTGTTCTGCAGTATTTATGGCTGGAGAAGCTTCGCGCTGGCGCCACGACAGGCCCTGTTGTAAGGCCGGCGCCACACCCGACCTGCGCTGCCTCAGAGCGTGCGCGAGAGCAGAAGCCCTTGATCGCAGACGCTCGTCATCATCATCGTCACTGCTACTGTTCCGCGCTGCATTCCTATCCCAAGCAGTTAACAATCCACTACCACGTGGTTTCGGCGAAGTTCGCTGCTCCGTTCCGGAACTGAAAGCTGACAACCCTCCTTGACGACTGCTACCAATAGTAGGCTTTGCTGTATTGGACCGCCAGCGCCCAAGGCCGCCATGGTTTTGATGGCTGCGTAGACCCAATCCATCTGGGACTACAGTGGCTTCAGTTTTTAGCTTAATGTTTCTCTGCGGGTGCCTTCTGGAGTCCAAGTACTTGCGTAGTTGCGAGGGCGTGAAGCTAATGTCGTCTCCACTTGAGTCGCTCATTTTGCAGCTATTTATCGAAATTTACCATTGTAAGCTAAGTGGGTACGCGTTATCTCCATGTGTTTAAATGCGTAGCCAATACCCACAACGTAAATCGTGCAGTGGTCAAAGGTCAAAGGAGTACGACCCATCGCGCTAGCTAGTGTGCTGAAACAAGGCCTAGCAATTGTTGGGCATGCGCTGATACTAAGAATCTACCGTGTCTATTTAGCCAACAGTCTTCCATCACTTGTAACCGCACTCGGACTTCCTCATCAATACTCCTTTTGAGCTGCTCGTAGCACAAATGGCACTTTGTAGTTGTAAGATGCCCATTGGATTTCGGAACAGCGCTCCTGCCGCCGCCAGCAGACGATACCGTCAACGGACGACGATTGTGGCTGCTCTGCCCTCGATCCCTTCTGACACCGCCGGCACGAGCACCAGCTCAAATGTTGACGTAACCAGACGCGCGGCAATGCTTTCTGGAGTTGCGGCATCTTTTGCGTACCTGCTGCCAGCAAACGCTGCGCCACAGCCTACTGAGGACCAACTTGCCCAACAAGGCGTGGAAGAGTACTCCCGTCTCGAGGCGGAAGGTGCGTCTCAGACACTGTAGATCCCCCCTTGCTCGGTGTGTGATCCTGTTTCACAGTGCATTGATACACTGCACGGCTTGCCTTACCCCCAAAACCCCAAACCCGCAGGCAAGCTGAAAAGCTTGAAGGCCCTGGATAGCGTGAGGGCGAAATACAACTTTAAACGCGGGTAAGCCGGCTGTCTGGCGCGGTAGCACTCACGTGGGCGCCGATATAAAAGGGGTGGCCGCTAACGATGCCCTTGCCGATGCCCAGAAGCCTTCCCCGGCCATTCCAGCCAGCTTAAGCACTTGCCCTGTGCACGGAACAACACCCGCGTGTTGGGGCTGGCTCGCGTATCCCTGCACGGCTGCTAGCCCCTCCCTCCATTAACAGTGCCCTCTGCATGTATCCAACCCCGCGAGGCCTTCCAGGCCCCTGCACACACCCCACGGCCCACGCCCTGCTCCGCAACTCATCGGAACCGTTCCCGGCCCGCCCCGCAATGCCCCCTCTCCCTATTCCATCCTCATTTAACACATTGGGCACCCCTCTTTCCTCCCTATTCCAGCCCCGACGGCCGCGTCTTCCTGCGCGGCTCCAAGGGCGGCTACTACGCGGTGCGGCTGGACATGGAGGTGCCAGGTGCGCTGCTGTTCCGCAACGAATCGTCCGGCGAGATCTACGCGCTGCAGACGGAGACGGTGCAGCAGGTGGGCGAGCGGGGGGCGCGTGTTGCACATGGGAGTGGGGCAGGGGCCTGGAGTGCCGTACTAGACCCACCGTACCAGTATTATGTCATTCATGTGAGCTAGGAAAGCAAGCGGGCGGGGCTTGCAGCGGCCTGCATATGCCTGGTAGGGTATGAAGGTAATGACGTGTTCGAGGCGGGTACCGATGTTGCCTTGCAGGTGGACCTCAGCAATGACATGATTGTCATCATGCTGTTTGCGGACGGCAACTGGGAGCAGGACATGAGGTGAGAGAGGGGCTGGTGTGACTGTTGAGTGACATGGACACGGGCTATGGCCCCACAGGGCATGGCTAGCAGCCACCGCCAAGACACCGCCCGTGGCTTCGGACAATTGCCGACTGCTTCCTTCCCCCCTTCCTTCCCGCTGTCCCGCACCCTGGCAGCCCCATCACCTACGACGGCGACGATGGCAAGGTGCAGACGCTGACCATGACGGACACGCAGTTCCGCAACGTGATCGGGCTCATATCGCAGGCGGAGGGCGGGGAGGACGGCAAGGAGCAGTAGCCGGGGACTGAGAGGGGGGAAAGAGGCGTTGGAGGGATGGGGTGGCTTGGGATAGGCAGGTACTTGGGACGATGGAGGGTGGGACATGAGCGTCGCAGGCAGTGAGGATAGCCGCGCAGGAGTCGCAGCAGCATGTCAGGGCTTCGGCCTTGAAAGCATGCAAGAGGAACAGCGCAGGGTTGTGTTCCAAGTAGATAGGATGGTGTTTCTGGCACCGGTATGCATAAAGGTGAAGCGCCTCGGAGTGCTCGGGTCGCTTCTCATGTTGTTGTGGAGCCCCGCCGCAAGGCGCGGCGCTAGTGTTGGTGGTAGTATAGGCGTCACAGCAGTATGAGTGATCGTTTTCGCATCTACATGCCATGGTGACCTTCTTCCGTAGGAGGATGAGAGACGAAGGAGATGGGGGTTATGCAGGGCCTTGGAAGAGACGTAGCTATTCTAAGCTGAAACTTTGCGACGTCTCCCTAACGTACATGTCGTACAGCTGCGCTTATTTCAGTTGCTGCCTCTGCTGGTACCGCCTCTTGAGTATTGGCGTTTTAGAGTATGGGCGTGCGTCGTCCAGCTAGTATACCGAGTAGGAACAGCGTTGAGCCATCGTGTTCGTTAGAAATTGAGGGCTTGCCACTCTGGCACGAGAGAGTCGCCCTGTGTTTCAGCATTAGCAGTTGCGGATCGGCCCTTGGGACCGTAGCTGGTAACACCCCCCTCAGACCCTCTCGATGTTAGGGAAGTAAAGTCAAAGCTGCATAAGTGCTGCTGCCTGATGACAAGTCCCTAGCCTTCCATGGTCGCACGCCGTATCAACTCCCTTGCAGCTACCTACAGTGCCATCAGCAAAATATTTTATACTTGATTGCTCTTAAGCTATGTAGCATAACCTATGTAGCTGCACCTATAGAATTTAGGAGAATGCCCTCAACGGCTCTCTCAAACTTGGAGCCTTCAGCGGCAGTTGGTATTCTTGTGCAATTACTGGGATCCGCTTCGGCGGGTAATGATGTGTCAAGCGTTGTGCCGGAGTTGATCCAGGTCAGCACGGTTGAGCATTGTGGTGATCGCACCATGTGTACCAGCTCGCGAAATGAGCTATAATACCAGCTGCTTCCGTCTGGCGTGCAGTATGTCTTCAGCCGGCCTGGATCAAGCGCGCACGTCCGCAAGCTCGCATACGAGGTCTGCAGACATGCAAACCTATCCGAATCAGACTGTGGACGCCTTTGGGAGAGTGTTGCTGTAAGTTTACATGGGACGCCGCGTTGGCCTTTATGTATGGGTTCGAAGCTCGGTTCGTCCCTGCGCTGTGCAGAACGACGCCAACTGCAGCGACCCGGAGGTGGTAGCAGCGGCTTTGCGGTTTCTTACCTGCGTCCCTCCGTCGGAGTTAGCAAACCGCTTGGTAGTGGGTGAGTGGGTACTGGCAAATTCGGGGAGACCAATGCTGGGGTCGGCCAAAGCCGTGTGAACAGCTTCGCAGCAGGGAATGCACCGTCAAGATGCCCCGAGTCGCCATGCCTTGATGCCTCTTAGAGGAGTTGCCCCATCCCCGCAGCACGTCTTCCTCACTCCTCTCCTTTTCCGTCGTGTGCTGCTTCAATCAGAACTCCTTATGACGTGTTCGTCCACAGGGCAAGTCGCGGAGCTGCTGGTGCCATGCCTCTCTGCGGAGGCGGCAGTTGTGAGGGCTGCAGCCGTTCAGACGCTGTGCCATGTACTGCTGCTGCCGGAGGTGCAGCAGGCGGCCGCGGGCAGTCAAGGTGCGCAGCTGGTAGAGGGCTGTGTGCGATTGTCGCCCGGGAACAGCCAGCATCGCCCATCCCAGGAAAGGGCGCTGGGCTGCATGAAGAGAGCTCATGCATGCCCATACACACGCTAGCATGCAAGCTGCAAACGTTTCTTTCCAGGCCTGAACCCCTGCCATCAACATCCCAACCCACATTCCTGCCCACTAAGACCTGCTACACACCACACCCACCCACCCCACCTGCCCACACACCAGGCCTCGCCCACGCCTACGAGGGCCTGTGGGACGCCCTCACGGACTCCCTGCTGGACGAGCGGCCCTTCGTGGTGGGCCTCGCAGCCGCCGCCACCGCACAGCTGCTGGCCCTAGGCATCGACGATGACGTCGGCAGCTTCAGCTCCTCCGGCGCCGGCACCACCGGCTCCAGCCCCAGCCCCAGCGCCGGCACCACCTCGCCCGCGGGCTTCATGATGTCCCGCCTCGCCGACCGCGCAGCCCAGCGCCTGGCGACTGCGCTGGGACCCGTGCTGGAGACGTGCGGGCTGGTGCCGGCGCCGGGGCAGGTGGCGGTGTGTGACATGCTGCTAGCGCTCACGCAGCGCATGCTGGTGCAGACCCTGCGACCCGCGGCTGCGCCACCGCCGCCAGGCATCCCCGTGCCCACGCTGCCGGCACTGGTGGCCTCTGCGGTGTCGTACCTATCCACGCTGCTGCACTCCGGCGACGTGGCGGCGCGGACGGAGGCGTGTGGCGCGGTGCTGGCGCTGGCGGCGGACCTGGCGGCGGCGGGTCCTGCCGCTGCGGGTGCGGCTGCGGGTCTGCCGCAGTCTCTGGTGCTGGAGGCGGTGCAGGGGCTGCTGGAGCTGCAGGAGCGGGAGATGGTGGAGGCGGGGCTGGCGGACATGGGCGAGGCGGTGGCGGCGGCGCTGCCGGCGCTGCAGGTGGGTGCGGGCTGCGGGGCGGAGGAGGTGGGGGAAAGAGGAAACCGGAGGAGCGGGTTGAGGGGTGCATGCCGTACGTTGGGAGGAGGGTGGAGGATGGTGGGGCCGGGGTTGGAACTGAGCTGCAGAGCCTTAACGAGAAGGTGGATGCATTGACGGTGTGAGAGAGGGCAGCGGCTTGCACGTCATGGCGTCTGATGAGAGCGTCGGCCTGTGCGATCCCATCCTCCATGCCAACCCTTCCCCAGCCAAGTGCCCGAGCCCACGTGCTGCACAAGCTCTGGCCGCTGGCCAGCCGCATCGCCGACGTCTCACGCCGCGCCCGGGTCTTTTCAACCGCCTGGAGCGCCGCAATCGCATCGGAAATGGACACCCGTACAGGTAGCGGAGAGCCCAAGGCGACCGACGTCGTGGTTTCCACGCCTGCACCTGTCGCCAACCCGCTAGCAGCGCCCTCGGACCCCCTGGCTGGGCTATCCGCAGTGGACGCGACGGCCCAGGCTGCTGCCGGCGGTGCGGCCCAAGCTGCCCAAGGGCTGGTGACAGCGGTGCCGGCTTCCTGCAGCGTCTCCGCCCAGCTGGGGGATCCCTTTGTGGGGCTGCTGCTGTCCGGCAAGGTGCCGACCACGGACGTCAGCAGCGCTGCGGCGGCGGCGCAGGGTGCGTAAGGAGATGAGGGAAAGTACGGGAGGGGATAAAACGTGGTGACAGGTGACTTGACGGGCGGTGCCTCAACCTCAATCCTACTAAGCTCTGCAAGCACGCACTTGCGGAGTTACCCCATGCGAGTCTCCTGCCTTTCCTCCTTCACACCATCCTCCACCACTAACACCTCTCCTTCCTTCCATGTCACGTAGCTGCCGCGGCCGCGGCGGCATCCTCTCCCACCGGCAGCTCCCTGATCAACGCAGTCACCTCCATGGCGCGCTCAGCCCCTCCTCCGCCGCAACCGGGGCCCCTAACGCTGGCGCGGGCTGAGACCGGCCTCTCCGCCGGCGGCCCCTCCTCCCCGGTCGCTGCGCGCTCTCCGGAACCCACCAGCAAAAAGGCCGACAAGAAGGGCGGCATGCTGGGGGGCCTGTTCGGCCGCCATAAGGCCAAGGCGCGTGGTGTTACCGAGGCAGAGGCCGAGCGGGCGGCGGAGCGGGAAGCGGCGGCGGCTGCCGCCGCGGCGTCCTCAGCGGCCGCCTTGGCCATGCAGGCGGCAGCGCAGCGCCCGGCGCCGCAATCACCGCCTCAGGCGCCGAATGTGGTCAGCAGTAGCAGCAGCCCCTCCGTGGACGGAAAGTCCGTGGCCGGAGCTGCTGCGGAGGCGGCAGCGCTTGCGGCCGCCAGGTAGGGATGTGGTCTGGGGGGGGCAGGCCTGCGCCGCCCATGCCACGTGGGACACACAGTTACCGGTATTGGAAGTAGTGACCCTGTGGTTTTGGGTTGCACCTACTACCGGTACGCTATGCACACTCTAGTCGGCGCAAGTTGAACAAGGTGCCATCCCGGATGTGCTATCGGGGCCTTTTCCGAACTCCACAATACCAGATTGCTTCCACCACATCGCCCTCGCCCTCCTCACCCCACTCGCCATACGCCTCTCCAGGACGGTCCCCACCTCCACGCTGCGTCACGAGCTGCTGCAGTGCCTGCTGCAGCAGCTCGCCCGCCACCCCGCAGCAGCAGCGGCCGCAGAGCTCTGCGCGGAACGCGCCGCCGCCGCGCGCCACGACCGCCACCCCCCATCCGCATCCCCCTCAACACAGCAGCACCAGCCCCCTGGTCCCTCCACCGCGCCCGCACGGCGCCTGACCGCCGTCGCGCAGTGGGTTGCCATGGTGGCTGACGTGCTGGCGGCCTGCGCTGCCTGTGTGGGCTGGGAGCCCTACGTGGCGCCCGGCATCACGGCGCAACCCTGTGCCGCGGTTGCGGGTTGCGCCCCCGTGGACTTCAACAGCCTCACGGGGGACCTCTGGTTGGCGCTGCTGCAGGCGGCGGTGCAGGCGGCGGGTGCCGTACAGGCGCAGCTGGGAAGGCTGGTGGCGGAGGCGGTGGACGCGGCCGCGGCGGTGGCGGTGGAGGCGGCGGAGCTGTCGCAGGTTACGTCGTATGCGGGCATGGGGTACGGCACGCCGTACGGGATGACGCCACTGGGGGGCGGCTTGGCGGCGACGTCGGTTGGCGCGTCGGCGCCGGATGCGGCAGCTGCGGTGGAGGGGTATTACCGAGGGCTGCTGTCGCACCTGGATGGGAAGGCGGTGGTGCTGCAGAACCTCATCGAAAAGGTGCGAACGAGCCTGCAGCGGTGCTTCTCATTCGATTCCGGATATCGGAGTGTAGTATCTGACGTACGCTGCGTGCTGAGGTTTATAAGGACTACACCACTTGTGCGCATACTCCTACTGGTCTATCCTTCGCTTACCAAGCTCTCAAAACTCCCCACCCATGCCCCCCTCCGCCCTCCCCCACCCATCCCCGCCCCTCAGCTGCTCACCAGCTGGCCCTCCCTCAGCGCCGCCGTGCGCCCCCGCGTGGTCTGGCTCGCCGCGCACTGCCTCTCCCTGCCCTGCCACTGGGACGCGCGCTGGGAGGCGCTGCTGGACGCCCTAGCCGCGGTGCTGCTGCGGGGCACCGACGTCCTCACCGCCGCCCGACGGCTGGACGTCATGGGCTCAGCGCTGGCCGGCAGCCTCTACAAGGCCGGCCGCCAGGCCTGGGCCGAACCCTCGCGACCCTTCCTCTTCGACATCGCCGCCGCCTCCGCGCTGTGTGAGGCGCCCGAGTACGAGACCGCGGGGCTGCTGGCGGCGCTGGCGGCGGTGCAGCACCTGGCGGCCCGGCTGCTGAACGACATAGCGGAGGCGGTGCCGCGGGGGGCGGCGGGGGCGGCACATGGGCAGGCGGCGGCGGTGGCGCGGCGGCTGGAGGGGCTGGTCAGGAGCTTCATTGGTAATGGCGGCGGAGGCGGGGGGGAGGCGGCGGGTGCGCCGCATGTGCGGGACTGGTGCAAGCGCGTGCTGCGGTGTCTAGCGGTGGTGATGAGCTACACGCCGCCGGCGACACTGCCTGCCACGGTGGCGGCGCTGGGGCTGATCGCCAAGCAGGTGCGTGTGGGGGTGGGGCGTGGGGCGCGGGATAGGCAGCTGGGATTGAAATGAGTTGGCCTGGGAGTACCCTGTTGCCATCTCTATCCATGAGGGTCATGGGGATGCAAGCAGCTGCTATACCAGTTGCGCCCGCCTCTCCTGAATCCCACTGCCTGCCATTCCTGACCCCCCACCTAGGCTCACGAGGCGGACGGCACCGCTGCCCCCGCCGGTGACGAGGACGACGACAGCTCCTCCGACGCCTCCTCCGCCTACCACCCGGAGGAGACGCCGCAGCACCTGCCGCCGGCGCTGGCTGCGGCAGCTGCAGCGGCAGTGGCCGCAGCCACCTCGGCAGCCGCGGCCGGGCGGGCCACCGAGGCGCAGGGCCAGCAAGCACAAGCTGCCGCTGCTGCTGCGGCGGCGGCGGCGGTGCCTGTAGTCGCTGGCAAGGTGGTGACGGCTAACGGGGGCGGCACGGAGGGCGGCGCAGGAGGGCCGGAGGACGCGGGGCGACTGCGTGGAGGCAGCGTGGCGGTCGGCAGCTCGTATGTGGTGAGCGGGGGGGGAAGGGGTAAGGCTCTAGCTCTGTAATGTTGCTGGTGGTGCTGGTGACAACAGGTGTGAGGAGAAGGGCATCTGCGACATGTGCATTACAGCACGCGTACTAGACGTTTTAAGTGACAATCGTCATATGATTCACCCGTCCCCCGTTCCTCCCCTTCACTCCTCCTCCTCCCTCCCCTCCCCAGGTGCACTCCGCCGCCGCCGCCGTGCCCATGTGGGGCTACCCCTTCGCCTCGCTCTCCAGCGGCGCCCTCCACAACGCCAAGCGCGCCCGCCGCCACCGCGCCATGCTGCAGCACCTCGCAGCAGGGGCAGCCGCAGCAGCCGCACCCCGACCCGCGCTGGCGGCGGCGCTGCGGTCGCTGCAACCCCCGGAGGAAGACGGCACCCTCCCTGGCGCCTCTCCAGCCGCCGGCCCCGCGCTGTCTTGCCGTACGGCGTACCGGCTGGACAGCGAGGCGTTCTGGTCGGCGCTGCCGTACACGCACACGCCCTGGCAGGAGCTGACGGGACCCGCGGACCCGGTGCTGCTGCGCGGCTGCTTCGTACGGCCGGACCCGGCGCGGGGCGACCTGGGCACGATCACCGTCATGCTGAGCGCCGTGAACAGGTGGGATGGCGCCGAAGCTGTGCGGGACTGGGGCTAGTTCACTTGTTCGATGTGTGCTGTTGGGTGGTGCCGCGAGGAGGCTGCTGTTGCTGGTCTGCAAAGCTGGACAAGGCGATGCGGTGCATCCACTTTCTCTCGAAAGTCGCCTAGTTCCCTTCGCACCCGTTCACTGCATCTCGTCCCAGCAGGCCCTGCTCTTTACCTGTCTTACACACGTCTTACACACCTGTCTCCACCCCGCACCCCCTCTCGCTCCCCGCCAGGCTGCCGGTGGAGGTGTCCGACCTGGAGCTCAGCCTCAAGACCGGCGGCCCGCTGCTGGCGGCTGGCCGGCGGGGCGCCTCCTGGCTGCTGCCCAGCCTGGGGCCGCAGGACCGCGCGGTTACCTCGTTCACGGTAGGCCGTGCGCTCCCATGCCCTCCTCCGGCACCGGGGCAAAACATCGGCTGCACGAAGCAGCGGCCTTGCAAGGGGCGCCTATGATTGTCGCTTTGTCCGCTGTTCGTCATGCTCAGTGGCTTGCTATGGCTTACGGACTTCCTTGCCTTTTGCTGCCCGCTCCTTTCCCGGCCACAGTTCAAGGTGCTGGGTTACGGCGACCTGCAGCTGCACGCGCGGCTGCAGCTCAGTCCCGGACCCGCGCGCACGGACGCTGCGCCGCTGCAGCTGAGCTGCATGCCGCTGGAGGTGCCGCCGCCGCTGCTGCTGCGGCCGCCGCAGCCGGTGCCGGACGCGGCGGAGTTTTTCAGGAGCTGGGGCAGCCTGCCGGCGCGCGCTGAGCTTAACGGTGGGCGCATGCTAGCCTGCGGGTTGTTGCGCGCTTGGGGCGCCTTGAGCTAGGGGCACCACGACCGGGCATGTGGATCCTCCGCTCATCCACTGATTGCTTCTCACCACCCGCTAATGCCTGTGTGCTAATACCCTCTCATCCTGTCTTATCCTGTCTCATCCTGTTTCCTTCCCCGTGTCCTCCCCTCGCCAGGCGTGTGCACCTGGTCGGGTCCCGAGGGCGGCGCGCTGCTGCTGTCCTCGCTGCTGCGCCAGCCGCTGGGCTGCTGCTGGCTGCAGCACGTGCCGGCGCTGTGCGGCTTCCAGGCCGCCCTCGCCGCCGCCACCGCGCCCGGGGACAGCCTGGCGCTGCTGCTCACCACGCAGCTGCTGCCGCCGGCGGCACCGGGGGGCAGCCCGGAGACCTACTGCAGCCTGGCAGTCCGGTGAGGGGTGCGTGTGTGGTGGGGCCGCGAGAGAGAACGGGGAGAGGCAGGAGGTCTAGTCGTTTGAGCCATGGCGCTACGAATTGGTTCGTTTGGTTGCCCCGTCAACTTTCGCGTAGCTACCATCCACCAAAGTTTGCCTTACTGCCTTACCACGTTCCAATATGCCCTCCCTACACCTAACACGCATCTGAGCACACCGCCCGCCTCACCCCTCTCTCCCCCCTGCCTCGCAGGTCCACCTCCCACGACCTCGTCCTCAGCCTGCAGAGCAGCGCAGCCGCCTGGTTCAGCCACCTCACCGGCGGCGCGGCCTGCCTGGGCAGTGCGGGTCGCCCCGCGCAGCCCCCCGCCTCCGTCGCCAAGCCGCCGCTGCACCCGCGGGTTGCGGCGCTGCTGCAGTCGTACTCCGCGAGCGCCGCGCAGCTGGCAGTCAGTGCGGGTGGCGGCGGTGGCATGACGTCGATGGGGTCGGTGGGCCTGCCGGCAGAAGTGGCGGCGGCTGCGGGAGGGGTGCTGGCTAAGGGCGCAGGCGGGGTGGGGGATGCTGGCAAGTCGTGGATGAGGAGCGCAGCGCTGTCGGAGTGGCAGCGGCTGAATAGCCTGGCGGTGTGATGGGGATGGGGATGAGGTGGGGCTGGGACATGGCTAGCTAGCCCCATGTCGGGGGGAAGGAGTGCCCAAGGTATGGAGTTTGTGGACGAAGCTTGGCGGGAGGCGCCTCCCACCGTTTCTGTGGCAGGGTATGTAGGATTGGGCTGTACGTGGTAGCAGCATGTGCGCGCGAACATGTGCATTGGGCATGGGGAACTGCGGTCCCCGTGTGCTGCCGGTGCTCGCCAGCGGCCGGGAAAGAAGGTGCATCCGGTCGGTCATGGCGGAAGGGTGTGTGTGCCAGGGATGGCCGTGGGGTTGCTATGGGATGGAGACATGAGAACGGGTTGGGGGCAGCTCGATCAGCCCTGCAGTACGACGTGGTGAAAAGCCCTAGCGGGCGGACTACAGCCTACGTCGCCCGGTGCCCGCTGCTATCTGTGAAGAGATTTTCCATGCTGTGGGCTTCTGGCAGGGGCACCGGTTCCCCACATGCTAACGTCGGATGGGACCATGGCTTCCTTCGCAGCAGGAACTTGTCCCAGTGAGATGAAGCAGACGCAGGCGAAGCCTCATGTCAAAAGGTGGCATGCAGGACACTGGCACACTCGTTTAGTAAATGCGATGCAAAGCTTTCTGATCGCTTTGGCACGGTTGGTGGTGGGAGGCAAGGCACCCCTGCTGCCCAATCGTTGTCTACATGAAAACCTTAAAAGTGCTTCGTATGCCCCATGTGTAACCCCACCAGTATGGGCAGCTAGATATTGGCCGCGTCCGCATTGTGCAATTGTGAGGCTGTTAAAGCGGCATATGGAGGGAAGGCAGCTTAAGGTGGGGACCTTGCACCCGACCGTCCTTGGCACGCTGTGATTGTCGTACACACGGCCATTTCACAAGCAGCGATTAGTCGGCAAAGGTGATGCGTACCCTTCACGAAATCTTAACCCTGTGCCCGATATCCCAAAACGCTCTGCATGTAGCTCAAGCATGGAAAGCTAACCATGAGTTGACACATGTGCCAAACCGTGTGCATCGAGTTTGTCAACTGTCATCTCAGGCAGGCCAAGACAATCCGGGTATTTAATTAACATCCATACAACTTACATGAAGCAGGCAAAATTGAGCAGAAAGCGTAGGGTGTTACACGTGCCATATGGGATGCCGTTACGGAATGCCATAGTGATTACCCTAACGCTATTAGATGCGGGTCTCAATAATGTTAAAGCACCTATTGCTACCATCCAGACGTCGTTGTGATTTATACTACCAGAGCCCAATGCCAATATTGTACGGAAACTTTCTTCTTGACTTGATGTCTTTCCTAGACATAGCATTCTTGCTTAGCGCCGACAATGGAGACCAGCATACCCGTAGCCCGGAGTAACAAGAAACGAGGGGCGGCGGGTGCCGCTCCTTATGCTACCCCGTGCCACCTGAATCCGCTTGAAGCCTTGGCGCACTTGGTGAACCCACACGGCGCCACCCACGACTCGCCAGTGCTGTTGCCATTAGTACAAGTAGGTGTTTTGGGGAGGATACAGCTATAACAGTGGAGCAGCCCTTGGGGTGATGTCTGCTTGCTTTGACCGCCAGGCACTCGCGAAAATATAGGCCCCACGCCCTTGCAGCAGGTCGAGGCCTCTCCCACAACTGGAATACACCAACTATGCCCTCCGCTCTTCCAGTCGCAAACGAAGCCAGCGCGGCTGCCTCTGCCGATTCCAGGCCGCACGGAGGTCGCCGCAGAGGCAGAAAGCAACAAGGTGCGTACGCCTTTCTCGTTTCACGTAGACCATGCAATAGTAGGTCTTGGTTTAGCTCTTTTGCTCTCCTTAGCACGACATGGGCCCCGGACGAGCGAGGACCATGTTGACTCAAACTAGGGAAGGCGTTCCAAAGCTAGTTATTTGTGCAATTTCATATTCAAGTGCTCCTATATTCCGTCGTTTGATGTAAGGAACTAAGTGGCCGGGGACAAACACTCCAACTTGCTTGTGTAACCGTGGGGCCACTGAAGGACTACGCGCAATGCCCCCTGCAGGATACTAGGCGGGACTACGGGGTCCGTGTGGGAAATGGCAAGCAGTCCGTCGCCAACTCGGATGGATGGCAGTGGCGAAAGTAAGCCATGTGTCGCTTTAGCTAGGGTTGGGGGGAAAACCCGGCGTCCTTATGCCGTAACGTCATAACTCGCGGCCATGCGCAGGTATGGCGAGAAGCTCGTGAAAGGAAGCACCAACCCGCGGAGTTACTACAAGTGTAGCCACGCGTACTGCCCCGCAAAAAAGATCGTGGAGTGTACAGAGAAGGGCGGCACCGTGGTTTCGACCAAGTACATTGTAAGTTTCCCCGCTGGACACCTTGGTTTTAACGTTGCATTTGATGCTAGCCGCTTCCCTTTGCAGGAGGAGCATTGTCATCCGGCACCGCTGACGTGCCGGCCATCCCGCTTCAAGCCCAAGCAGAACGCCGAGCCCGTTCCGATGGTGAGTCGCTGCAATCGGTCAAACAACCTTTCAACAAACCCTTGTCCCTAGTCCACATTTCCACATGTCGTGCCGTGACCATGCAGGCCCCACCTCCCGTCCCCGTCACTGACACCTCGGCAATGCCGGATTACGCGCTGGGTGTGCCGGGCGTGTCGCTGTCCGCGCTGCAACCCCTAAGCAGCGATGGCATGCTGCCCATCCCGGAGACCCTCCAACGCGGCTTTCCAGGTGCGCCTTGCCATTTTCGGCTTTCTGTGCGCCATGCGAGTTGAATTTGCATGGCTGTTGACCCTTACGCGGCCACTCTGGTCACTTCTGCCCGCTGCTGCTGTTCCCACCCTCAGCGCCAAGCCAGGCTGACGGCAGTACGGCAGCTGAGCACGACGAGTACACGGACGTGAGCGGCCCGGAGCCCTCAGTCATGCTGCACGACGTTCCGCAGTACGCGCGACCCATGCAGGCGAGCGGCTTCCGCTCCAGCATGCGGGAGATCCAGGACTCGCCCAGCAAGCGTCTCGACGCGCTCGCAGGTACGTCATGGAAGCACACTCCCAGCTGCCGCACACAGATTCCTAGCCCTTGCTTTTAAGGCTTAGGCCACTGCTATCGCTTGGCGGGCCTTCCATGGGCGGTACGGCAACCAACTCATGTTGTCTGTCTGCTCCTGTGTGTGCAGCATACGCGGAGGAGGCGCACCGGGAGTACCTGCTGCACAGCAACAGCCCGGAGCCGGCTCCCGCGTCCAAGCGCCAGCGGACGGAGGGCGCAGCGGGGCGAACCCGGCTGGGTGGCGAGGAGGAGGACGAACTGCCGCCCGTCTCGGGCGCGCAGCAGCTGGTTGACGTCGCTGACCTGGAGGACGGGTTCAGGTGCGATCTCCTATCGGTGCCCGGGTCCTGGAAACGCAGGAACGCCATGACACAACCCCGGGGAACGCCTTGGGGTCTACCAAAGGATGCGTGTTGCCCATGTGTTCTTTGGTGTGGTTAGTATCGTTCGTCCTCCTCCCTTGATGACCTCCGAAACCTCTGTTGCGCACCTCAGGTGGCGGAAGTACGGCGAGAAGCGGGTCAAGGGCAACGAGTACCCGCGCTCCTACTACAAGTGCACCTACCCGGGCTGCACGGTACGGAAGCACATGGAGCGCCACCCCTTGTTGGACACCAAGTTTATCGTCACGTACGAGGGGCAGCACGAGCACCCGGCACCGGACGCAGCGAGGCGGCGCAGGGCGAAGGCAGAGCTAGGTATGCCGCGCTGGCCTCTGCATTGCATTCTGTGCGAATAGCAGCCGCGCATTGCTTTTGCTTACCTTGCCCTGACGTTGTACCTTTTGCAGAGGAGGAGGAAGAGGGTGACCTGGGCGACGGTGAGGACAGCAGCCCGCAGCCCACTAGCCCACAGCCTGCCCAGGCGCCACTGCCGCACCCGAACGGTCAGGCCGAGGGCGCTGAAGCGGGGCAGCTGCCCCTGCAGCAGCAGGACAACTCCTTCCAGCAACCGCCGCTGCCGGCAGAGGTGCCGCTCCTGCAGTTCGCGCCTGAAGCTCTGGCTGGCGTGGGCCTGAGCGCCGACGCTTTGCAAAGCCTGGGGGCGCTGGGCGCAGTGGACGGCAACGGTGCTGCCCTTGCGTCCCTGTTACGGACCCACGCGCAGGTGTGTGAAAACACTAGCTAGGTTTCCTGCTAGACATGCGTGCATGTGCCTAGTGGCACACTATTGCATGGCCTCTAATTTATTAGAGTCAGCTTTACCATGCTGTACATGCCTTTACGTTCGTTTGTACATTGTGCGTTGCAACCCCGTGCAGATCGATCTGGCGATCGCAGCTCAAGCGCAGGCTATGGACGCGGCGGCTGCTGGTTGGGACCCCCTTGCTTGCCTGGTTACCCCACGACCCAACGCGTCGCCGACGGGGTTTCCTTCCGTGCAAGCGCAAGCAGTGCCGTCGGCGGGGACGGGGCGGCAGGTCGTGCCAGGGCGGCCGCAAGCCAGGCAGCAGGTGGCAACAACAGAGGCGTAGCCAACGGTGTGCAGAGCTGCCGTTGATTCTTAATTCCTGACGCTGTTGGGGCGGTTTGTGACCGCCCTGTTTGCTGGCTGCTGGAGCAGGATGCAAGGCAGAGGCGCATAGTTCCGCTGGAGGGATGGTGACAGTCAGCCGCGGGGCGGATGTGTGAACCAGCTATGCCGCGAGCTGCCAGGCACAGGGTTGTGTTGTTGCTTGAATTGGGTTATTGGGTGTGTCTGCATGCATGACGGCGTGTGTTTTGACCAGGTGTTGTTACGGCTGTGCGCAATTCTAAAGCTTGAAGGTAGCTAATCTCATTTCATGACCCATGTGATGCATACTACTTCATGCATGTTGGACTTGTAGCGTTGGTTGAGCTTTGAGCAGGAGAACTTCCGTGGTCTTTGTATGTTGTCGTACGCAGGCGCGGCGGGGTGTTGAACTGTGCCAAAGTGGTTGGGATGGGTTTCTCGTCACTATAAGGCATGGACTAACTGTATGTGTATATCTTGTTTCGCATGGGCTTTTGTCATATAACCTCTTTAGGCCCGAGAATGCTGCTTAAAAAGCTGCTATCAGGGCAGAGCCATTCGAGCTGTTAAGGGTGCAACCACATGGCGCTTGCCCTTTTTATGGCGTGACCCCTGCAGCGGCTGTCATTGTCGCTGTGGTGCCATGGAGGGAGTACCGGTAAACTAGACGTCTCCAGCTTTGCTAACATATCTGCAATGAGCTAAGCCGCGTTTTGAGTTTTACGGGATCCCCAGGGTTGCATGTACGGACCTTAATCCGCCCAGTTCTCACAAACCGAAATAGTGGGTGGATATTGGGCCAGCATGTCTACCTCCTATTCAAGTAACAAGGGACCCGGTGACGACGGACAGCTTTCCCAACGTTTTCACATACTGGCCGAGCAGACTCCCCATCATCACGTTCACCCTTCGCCCAATAACTGATAAAGCCAATCAGTCTTTGTAATTGTTTCTTCGCAATGTCGAAGGTTTCTGGTCCTGGCTTAAAAGTGAGCTGTTGTTATCTTTGGACGAACCAATTAAGGATTCGCGCTTAATGCTGAAGTCACTTGGAACGTAATCGCCGGGCACAGCATTCCTAAACGTCGTAGCTCGTAGGTCGCTATCCCTTTACAGATACAGTGTACGACGCTCGTCATCAAGAAGTCACTCCTATGGTGTCTGTTCTATAGCACATCCCGGCTGCGCACTTGGCCGGATTTCTGACTTCACAGCACAATTGCAAAGGGGGAGGTATTGGTCTCGGAGCTGTTGAGAGGGTGAACCGCTCCTAGCGACGACGCCACGCCGTGTGTAGATATTATTGTTGTAGATGATAGCAATGGGTAGTTCAAGCGTGCAGCGCTGAGGCTTGTTGCTTTTTTTGGCCAAATGCCACGTTGCCGAGCGAACAGTTGAGGGCTTCGTTATTGGCGTTGCAGCAGCTGCAATGTGGAGGTCTTATTCATCAGCGCAGCCTGGAAATTCCCCTGGCTGCTTTCCAAACGCGGCGGCCTTGTTTGGCCCCACCTCCCGCGCCTCTTTCGAGCTTGGCGAGGACGATGCCCAGAATTCTAGCAAAGTTCGCATGGTTAGCCGTGTGGCCAACGGCTTTCGGTCCAGCTCGCTCCCAACGTCTTTCGTCCAAGGCGAACAGGCAGAGAGTGAGGAGGCAGCGCAGGCTTACGCGGCGTGGCAGGCAAGCGTTAGAACATTGCACGCATTATTCCTATGCGTGCCAGGCTTCAGTCCAGCAGCTCCTTACTTCTTTTTGCAGGAAAGCCACCCCTGCATACTAACGCATTTCGACTCGTTCAAAGCCGCCGTTGAGGGCAAACGGCTTGCGGTGTTTCTGGACTATGACGGTAGGCAACGTTTCTTTGCAATGGGGGGCATTGGTTTACAGCTGAAGCTAAACTTTGGGGCGCCCTTGTCGCAGGCACGCTGACGCCCATTGTTTCCAACCCGGACGAAGCAAAAATGAGCGAGGAGGTAAGTTTGATGTAACTAAGGCGTACAAGCGAAGAGTGACTGCCTTGCACTTTGTGACTTACTGTGCGGTGCTCTACGTCCCTGCAGATGCGCGACGTGGTGCGGTCCGTCGCACGAGCGTTTCCAACGGCCATCATCAGCGGTCGGGGACGGGAAAAGGTTGAGGGCTTTGTGCAATTAAAGGAGCTATTCTACGCTGGGAGCCACGGAATGGACATTGTGGGGCCCCGGGTAAGCCTCCCAGCACGACTCGAGCCCACCATCGCAGAGCTGAGCGGCAGCGCATTGTGTCGCCGCATGCATGCGCAACAACCCACCCCCGCTCTCCCTTCCCCGCTTCCCCGGCCCTCCTCCCAGGTGCGGGCTGACGGGTGTTGCGCCAGCAGCAGCGACGTCTTCCAGTCGGCCTTCCAACCGGCGGCGCACTTCCGGCCGCTCATAGACGATGTGTACGAGCGACTGCGGGAACGGTGAGCCGGCCGCTCCTGCCGATCCCTGGGGCCCGGCCGGGCAGTGCAGCTGTGCTGGCTGAACCCTCAGCCCGTTCTTGCCCGCATGTGATGCCTGATGCGCACCTGCACGACGCTGGCGACGTACGCTCTGGACCCGGCCGTTTCCATCCCTCGTCCCTATGCACCTCCCGCTCCCCACCCACCCACCCACCGACCTGCCCACCCACCCACCGGCTGCAGGTTGAAGGACGTGCCGGGGTCGAGTGTGGAGCACAACAACTTCTGCGTGAGCGCGCACTTCCGCAACTGCCCCGGCGAGGCGTGGCAGACGGTGATCAGCACGGTGGAGGAGCTGGTGGGGCAGCACGAGGAGCTGCGCATGACGCGGGGCAGGAAGGTGGTGGAGGTGCGGCCCAAGGTGAGGGAGAAGAAGAGGTCCCGATGGGTTGAATGAGAATGGCAAACAAGCCGAGGACGAGCGCCTGGAGCTCCTGGGGAGGGGAAGAGGAGGTGCCAGTGTGGACTGTACATGAGCCGGGGGTGGGGGAGAAAGGGAAGGTTTAGGTGGCGTTGGAAGAGCAGGGGCCGACATGGGAGGCTTTCTTTGTCAGGTATTATGGGTGTTCGGCAGGTGTGCACGGCGGGAGGTGGGGGGTGGCTGGATGTTAGGGGTCACGGGCGGCAGTGGGGCTCATGCGCGGGAACAGGTTGCCATGCGAGCTGAGAACGGTGTGGGGCGGCTGGGGGCTCCTGCTGGGGGCTCCAACGAGCCGTGTGGTCGGCGATCGCTGGTCTGGTCCGCAGCAGGCCACGTACTGCTGCCCGCTGCTCACCCTGTTCCTCCTCCTGCCTCCCTCTCCCCCCCTGCCGCCCCCCCCCCAGGTTGACTGGCACAAGGGCACCGCTCTGTCGCACCTGGTGCAGGCGCTGGGGCTGCACTCGCAGCCGGACGTGGTGGCCATCTACGTGGGGGACGACCACACGGATGAGGACGCGTTCAGGACGCTGGAGGAGACGCAGCAGGGTGGGGTGGGGGGCTGCCGGGCTGCGATGTGCGAGTCGTAATAGGGCCCCGCGCGCTTAGCGGGGTGGTGTGAGGCAGGAAGGGTAGCCGGGCAGGGTGCTTATATAACAACCGCAGGGCCACTCCCCGCATGCTCCCGTCCCCCGGTCCGGCCCCTAGCTTCATCACCGTGCACGTGTGTCCATATCCTCGGCCATCCCTTGCTTCCCCACACCTATAAAGCAGCCCCCCTCCCCCCCTGCGCTCAGGCTTCGGCATCCTGGTGAGCACGCGCGCCAAGCCCACCCGCGCTCGCTTCACGGTGCGCGACCCCGCCTGCGTGCAAGCCTTCCTGTCGGGCATCGTGGAGTGGTCCAAGTCGGGCAGCAACGGCTGGCACGCCAACCCGCACTGCAACGGATGGAGCATGGCGGGGGCAGCGGGAGCAGCTGCAGCGGCGGCGGCGGCGGGGGGGACAGGAGCTGCAGGGGCGACGGTATGATGCCCGGGGCGGCGGCGCGCTGACGATGGTGGGAATGGCGTGGTAAGGAGGGTACGAACGAGTGCAAGGAGCACAGGTTATAGGGGAGGTAGGCGTGCGGGCGACGGGGTGGGGTCGGCGGGTGGTGGAACTGGGTGCAGGTCACTGCAGCTGCACACTCCAGCAGAAGCAGCAGGAGCTGCAGCTGCGGTGGCAGAAGATTGCTGCGAGAGTGGGGAATCAGGAAGACGGAGGCGGGGTAATGTAAGCATCGGAGACTGATCGGTCAGGAAGGTCGGGGTTGGGGATTCACCCGGGGTGGGTGTTTCACGACACGTCACCGGGAGGGGGGGAGACGGGAGGTGGAGCTGTAGTAGTACGAACTGGGGACGAGAGGGTGCGTAATCGAGACGTAAGTTTGAAGACGTCGTAAATGAATCATTCGAGTTGTTGTTTTGCCAAGGGGGAAAAGCTTCGAAGGGGTATACGTGCTCAGTGTAGGGATGTGAGGAGGGTGGGCACTAGGAGGGTGCGGAAGGAGGGCCGATTTTGGTGTGGCCCTGTCGTGTGGGGAGTCGGACATTTCGGTCGGGACGTTGGCTCGCATGCGGCATATGATGCTGTTGAGTTCACGTGCACTCGCAGAAGGCCCTGGGAGGCGGCATTCCGCAAGTCTGCCCGCTCCGTGTATTGCATCGACGCGCGCCAGATTGGCCGGACGTGCAGGAGAGTTGGGGGCTGTGATGCCGCGCCGCTAGACGCCGAAGTTGTACCATTATACCGGTCGTGAGAGTTCTTCGGACAGTGGTGTTGTGAATAGTTTATAAGAATACTTCATTGTTTCGACGTTGCCGCAATAGTAGTACACTCTGGACATTCAGCCATCGCTGGGATCGAAACTGTGGACGCGAAGTCGCCAGTTCCAATTTTGTCGTTTCTGGTTGTGCTTTTTCGAGGCAGGCCAGAACCCACGCCTGGGTCTTGCTTAACTTACATGAGTGTAAACAAAACGTTTATCTTGTTCCTTGTATCACCCAACCAACCTCGTTAGTCTCGGTCGCCAAAACCGGTTCCGCCTTGAAAGGACCCGTTGCTTGTCATCGGTATTGCTGCTTTACAGGCCACATAGCGAACACGACATAGCTGCGCATCGCCGGCCCAGGAACCATAGCTTAGCCTTAACGGTGTTGCAATCACCATCGACGGGTGCTTAACGGGTGTGCAAGTATACAATCGGAACCGATCGAAATGGGTAAGCGTTTACACGAAAACAGAACGAAGTAGCATCGTAACTCAGTTAATAAGCGCGCGATCTGCAGCGTACAAATCATTTCAGCGCGGTGTTGTGTTACGATTAACCCAGCAGTATCGGTAGACTCCCAATTTGCACGTTCAAATTGCAATCACTAAAGTGCTACAAAATACTTCGCTCGGATCGTGCCCTAACCACCGGTACCGCCAACCGTCTGCCCAGTCTGCACCCCATGACTTCTTTCATCCCAACCTACTTCCTCCCATCCATTTAACGCCTCCGCGTCCCTCCGTCCCCCCTCCCCACGCAGCCTCCTCCTGTCCCGCCTCCCTGCCTCCCTTCGCCCCCGCCTGCGCCCCGCTGGCCCGCGTGCCCCTCTACCCCGCCGAGGCCGCTGCCGCCGCCTGCCCGCTGCGAGTGGTGGTGACGGGCGGCAGCGGCTATGTGGCGGGGGCGGTGGTGGCGCGACTGCTGGCGGCGGGGCACTGGGTGGCGGCGACCGTCAGGTGGGGGCGGGGCGGGCGGGGCGGGGCGGGCGGGTGGTAGTGGGTGCAGCCGGGGGTAGAGTCATGTCCCATGTGGGGGCAGAAGGAGCTCAGCAGCTTGTGAGGGCGAGGCACGTGGGTTGGGCCTGCACGATACCCCCCTCCGCCCACCTCCCCCACCTCCCGCCCCCTCAGGGACCCCTCCAATGCCGCCAGTGTGGCCCCCCTGCTCGCCCTCCCTGGCGCCCAGCAGCGCCTCTCCCTCTTCGCAGCGGACCTCATGCGGCCGGGCAGCTTCGACGCAGCCATCGTAGGCTGGGGGGCGCAGGTGGGGAGGGGGAGGTGAAAAGAGGAAACTGGCTGGTGGGCGGTGGCGGTTGGGGCCCTTGCTGAAGCGGTGAGGCGCCTCCGGGTGCTCAGGCGCCAAGAGGTTGGACTACGCGGGCTTTGGGTAGGGGGCAGGTGGGGGTGTAGCTCTGTCTCACTGCCTGCGCCGGTAGTGTCCAGAGCACAGTGCATACGTAGCATGCATGCACGCACGCATGCATGCATGCATGCGTGCTGGCTACGCCCTCCACTGCTCCGCCCCGGCTGTCCTGCAGATTGTGATGCACACCGCCTCCCCCTTCCGGCTGGATGTGGGCGGGGGGCGGGCGGCGCGGGGGCTGCTGGTGGAGCCGGCGGTGCGAGGCGCGGAGAACGTGCTGGGTAGGGTGGGGGGTTGGGGGTGGGGGTGGGGGGCTTAAACATGAACAAGAAGTGAAGCACCGCAGTAGGGGGATGGGGGTGGAGAGGGTGAAACTGACAAGCTGTACGACGACGTGACACAGCTGGATGGGTAATGAAGAGGGGCGGGGTGGTGGGATTACGTTTCTTGCTCCGGCCTTCCTCCGATCTCCTGGCCAAGACCCTTTAGGCCTCCACCCTCCGGCACTCACCTTCACACCTTACCCCCACCCTCCTACCCACCCCTCCCTCAGACTCCGTCTCCCGCGCCCCCTCCGTGCGCCGAGTGGTGCTCACCTCCTCCGTGGCAGCCCTCATGTGGTGCGACCCCGCCCGCTGCCGCCCCGGCCGCCACACCTACAGCGAGGCCGACTGGAACTGCCTGGCGAGTGAGGAGGTGATGCCGTACGCATACAGCAAGACGGCGGCGGAGCTGCGAGCCTGGGAGATAGCGGGGCAGCAGAGCAGGTGGGGGTGGGGTGGGGGGCGGCTGCCAGCAACCCCGATCCTTCCTCAGTATCGGTACTTTCTCCCCTCCTCACCACCACCCTCCTCGTCGGGCTGGCTCGCATGTTGCAAACCACGATGACGCCCTCTCACAGGGTTCGTTATTTGTTTCCTCTTTACCCCCACTCTTCAACCCCCTCCCCTCCTCACCCCCCCCCCAGGTGGCGCCTGGTGACGCTGTGCCCCTCCCTGGTGCTGGGGCCGCCCCTCAGCGCCCGCACCGACAGCGAGAGTGTGGCCCTCATGCGGCGGCTGCTGCGGGGGGAGATGTTCCCCGCGGCGCCCTACGCGGGGGTGGGCTGTGTGGACGTGCGCGACGTGGCGGCAGCTCACTGCCTGGCCGCTGTGAGCCCGGAGGCCAGTGGCAGGTGGGGGGAAGGGGGCGGTGGAAGGGGGGGGGGGACAGAAACCATGCGTTGAATGGTAGTGGGGTTGGGGGTGCTGGTGGTGGTGGTGGGGCCGTGGAGGTTGGCTCAGGGGCTGTGGCAGATAGTCCTACCGACATTTACCCTGCTACTACGGTACCGTCACTTGCTTTGTGGCATCCAGACTCCTCTTACCCCCATTGCCTTGCCCGGGCATGTGTTTTCAGCTGTCTTGGTTTCTTCCCTCCTCTCCCCTCCCCCCTTCTAAACCCCTCCTCTCCCCTCCCCCCTTCTAAACCCCTCCTCTCCCCTCCCCCCTCCTAACCCCCTCCTCTCCCCCTCCCCCCCCCTTCCCCAAGGTACCTGCTGTCCGGCTCCGAGGTGCTGCTGCACCAGCTGGCGGAGGCGGTGGCGGCGCTGTACCCCGGGGGCCGCGTGTGGCGGCCGCGGCTGTTCGCGCCCAAGTGGCTGGTGTGGCTGCTGGGGCCGCTGGTGGGGCTGCCGAGGGATGCGGTGCAGGTGGGGCGGGGGGGGGAGGGGGGTTGGGGAAAATTATATAAGAAATGCAAACAACTAAAGTCCCAATCCCATATCCCGACTCGGGGTTGGGGAGGGCGGGGCCATGCATGGGAGGAAGAAAGCAGCGGAGGGGTCGACAGCGGGACCTGCCTTGGGTTCTGAGCCGCCATCTGACGGCTCTTGCGCACTGACCCGCCTCCACCTTGCTTGCTCGCATGGCACCCTCTGCTGGCTCGCTTGGTCGCCTTCTCACGTCTCAAACCCTTGCTCGCAACCCATCGGTGCCTCCCACCACTTCCCTGTGCCTCCCTCCCTCCCTCTCCCTCCCCCCCCCGCCCCTCCCCCCCCGTGTGTTGCAGTACTCCCTGGGTTTCGTGCACCGGTACGACACCTCTCGTGTGCGCGGCGAGCTGGGGCTGCGCTTCACCCCGCTGGAGGTCACCCTGAGGGACATGGTGGAGGTGAGGGGGGGAGGGGGAGGAGGGGGGAGGTGGGGAGAGGGGGAGGAGGGGAGGGGGCAGGAGAGGTGTGGACAGTTGGTTTGGAAGGACGGTTGGAAGGCCGGTCAGCCCCGCCGCCTCAGGTTGCTCTGCTGTCAGTACGGACAAGAGCACGCAAGGGGCGAAGGCGTCGGTCGCTGCCTGCATCCTTGGAGTGCGGCGTGTCTTACGCCTCGCACCCGCCCTACGAGCCCGGACTGAGCTGTCCAGGCGCTGGCTTACCGCTCGTACCCCCTGCCTGCCTGCCCCCTTCTGCCTGTCCCGCCTGTTTCCGCCCGCCTAATCCCGCCCGGCTGCCCCCTTCTCCCTTCTCCCCCGCAGGACCTGGCTGCCAAGGGCTTGTCGCGCCACCCCAAGCCAGCAGCGGCCCTGCCCGAAGCCAGGGAGGCGGCGGCGGCAGCAGCAGCAGCAGCGGAGGCGGCGGTTGCGGCGGCGGCGGCGGCGAGGAAGGCGGGGGATGCGGCGGAAGGGGCTGCTGCTGCTGCTGCTGAGGGTGCTGCTGCTGAGGGTGCTGCTGCGGCAGGGGCGGTACAGGGCGGTGAGGCAGCCGCTGAGGCTGGCGGGAGTGGTGGTATCGCCGCTGTTGGCGGCACCAGCGGCCGAGAGTAAGGGATATTGGTAGGGGAAGTGGTAGAAGGCGAGGAAGAAAGGAGTGGGCTTAAAGCTAAAGTAGCTTGGAGAGGGGGAGCGTTCGTGTGGGAAGCAGTGGAGGTGCGCTGCAGGCGGCACAGGTGATGTAAGGAGGGGCGCGTGGAGGGGAGCGTTACAAAGCGCGTGTGATGTTGTACGACAAGGCAAGCCAGCATGCTAGGGTGCGTCGGGATGGGAGTGAGGGGGCGGGGTGTGCATGGGGATCAGGGCATGGGCGCTGGGGCGGGGGAAAGCACCTTGCACTTAGCCGGCAGTCGCAAGCGGGGGACACATGCAGGGCTTGGCTGGGAAAGTGAAGTTGTCGTTCAGCTGTTCAGGGGTTTGGGGAAAAGGGGCGGCGCGAGGCGTGTTCTATTGGGGCATATGCGCATATCCCATTCTGGCGATGGAACGACAACTGACAACGGCAAGGATAAGCAAACCGCTTTGCAAGGTCCTAGGTATGCTGCTGGTTTGCAGAACACCTACTCATTCCTTAGCAACCTTTTCCAAAAGTCGTGATGGCGCATCGGTAGGCGGTGTTTTGCATACCTTGTCGGGAAGTGCGTTCGGTAAAACTTTACAGACTGGCCCTTATTTGGTCTAACACTAAGCCACCGGTTAACAGTTATACCGCATTTGAAGTATTTATTGGCAAAAGCCTGCATTTTGCTGTCACAGCTGTCGTCCACAGAATTTGCGCTTGCTCGCGCGACTGGCGCTCCGCTGCCTGGTTCAGCCCCTGGGGCTGCGCATCTGGCTTTCTCCTTCTCTTGCCGATCGCTGTTTGGCGCGGTCGAGGCTGCCTGTGATGGCACCGCGAGGCGCAAGCAAACGAGCGGCAAAGGTGCAGCTATGACTAAACTCTGTATTTCTCAGCTTTCCTTGCACAAACCAATCCGCTTTTTATCGTTAGACTTGTTCCTCTGTTTCTCCCATTTCAAATTCACTTTTGGTGGCTGTGCACTTTTTCCGTCTGGTCCCGCCCCGCAGCAGGAGGACGGTGACAGCCCAGCTGCCGCAGCCGAGGGCAGCGCTGCAGCGCCATCGCCCCCCAAGGGGGAGGCCGCCGCCCAGCCCCCCGCTAAGAGGGCTCGCAAGGCATCCCAGCCTGCGGAGCGAGAGGCCTCGCCAGCTGCAGCTAGGGCTGAGAAGGAGGAAGAGGAGGCTGCTGCGGGCGCGAGGGAAGCGGAGGCCGCAGATGCCCAAGAGGAGCAGCAGCAACAGCAGCAGGGGAAGGGCAAGGGCCGGAAAGCGCCCTCGGCTGCCAATCCCAAGCTAAGAGCGGCGTCAGGACGGGGCGGCAAGGCGCGGGCAGCGGAGGGGGCCGCAGGTGGTGCGGAGGGCAAGGAGGAGTCTGAGGAGGAGGCGGCAGCTGGTGGTGCTCAGGAGGCAGCGGATGGTGGTGGTGGTGGTGACAGCCCCCGGGGTGTGCGCTACTTCCTCATGAAGAGCGAGCCCGAGGAGTTCTCGCTGGACCAGCTGGCGGGGCGGCCGGAGCAGACGTCCTGTTGGGAAGGTGGGGTGGAGGGAGGGGGTGGGTGTGGGTGGGGACGGAGGACATCTGGTGGGCAGGCGGGATGAGGCGGGGAAGGAAAGGGACAAGTGGCAGGTGGGTGGTGAGGTGGAGAGATGGTGAGGTGGTACCCCCCCTCACGCCCCTCTATCCCCCATTGCTACCGGCACCCCTTATGCTGTTTGGGACTTTGGATAGCTCCCGCCCTCACCGCCCAAACCACCACCCCTGAGCCCCCTCCCTCCCCCCCTCCCCCCCTCCCCCTCCCTGCCGCAGGTGTTCGCAACGCCCAGGCTCGCAACCTGATGCGCTCCATGCGGCTGGGGGACATGGCCTTCTTCTACCACAGGTGTGGGGGGGAGGGCAGGGGGACAAGAGGAGGGACCGGGGCGGGGGCAGGGGGGTTCGTGCAGGAGGTGGACCGGCCACAACCGGCTACAACGCCAGCTTCTATCGCACACAACGAAGGGGCTGCCCCGGTGCCAAGCCCGGGGTTACTGTTGGAGAAGGGAAGGGCAAGGGCGCATCTGACGGGGCCACAGCGCCCCCATCTGACTGGGGAACAGGTGCCAGGGGGTGCCTGGGGTCTGCATGCATGCCGCAATAAGACCAATGCTCGCCTTACCGGCTTGGCTGCTGCCACTTAAGGCACCATCTCTCGCAATGTCTCCTCCTCCTCGCCGTCTTGCTGTCCCCCTCCTCCTCACCTGTGGTCGGTTTCCTATGGTTCGGTATGGTCCTTGACGCCCCTCACCCCTCCCTGCCCGCCCCCCCCCTCAGCTCCTGCAAGGTCCCGGCGGTGGTGGGTGTGGTGCGGGTGGTGCGGGAGGCCTACCCCGACCACACGGCGTTCGACAACAGCAGCAAGTACTTCGACCCGCGCAGGTGGGGGATGCGGTCGGGGGCGTGAGGGTGGGAGGGCAGCAGGGCCCAGTAACAGCGGTAGGGTAAGAGCCGCGGGGATAAGGGTAGGGTAGGGTAAGAGCCGGTAGGGTAAGAGCCGCCCCCCAACCCAGCCCCCCCCCCCCGCCCCTCCCCCCCCCGCAGCTCCCCCTCCGCCCCCAAGTGGTGGATGGTGGACGTGCAGCTGGTGCGGCGCCTGGCCCGCCCGGTGCCGCTGGCGGACATCCGGGCGGAGGCGGCGAGGCGGGGGGGCCCGCTGGCGGACATGGTGCTCATAAACAGGTGTGTTAAGAAAACTGGCCGCGAGGAGGAACGTCCTGGGATGTCGGAAGATGAAGTCCCCACAGAACCGCCGCAGTGGGGGGGGGTAACATAAGCTGAACCATAGGAATAAGGGAAATACGAATTAGGCCAGAACAATGGCGAAAAGAGGCGGCAGGTGGGGGCGGGCGGAGGGACGGAGTAAAAAATAAGGAAACTGACGAGGCAACGGAGGGAAAAAAAAGAAATTCCAAGGGGTGGCCATTGGGTTGGGCGTTGGGGCCACGGTATGGTGGGGCGGGCGAGGTAGGGGGTTTGGGGTGGCTGTGTAGCGACTGACGAGACAGCTTGAACATGCGGCTGTCCTTCTTCAACTTCCTCTTAAAACTAAATCATTATCGTATCATTATCGTATCTGACATTCCTCATCCCCTTAACGTTAGCATCTTCGACCGAAAACAACCTAACTGCCTTGCCGCTCAGCTGCTTCTCCGACACCCTCGGCTTGATTAATTATGACCTCCTCCGTGGTACTTGATGCGTCTATCTTCCGTCTCCGTGACCGTCGTCAGTCGTTCATGGATGGCTCATCCGTTTACAGCATCTGGACGCCGCACGAAAGGTTGTACGACGCCATAAACTGCTCGTTGAACGCGGCCGTGACCTTCGGGCTCTGCATCGTCAGCGCAATGGCCGACTGCAGACGCCACAGCGCCTTGGCCCGGCTGCCTCCGTCGTCAGGCATGGCCACCCCGTTGATTGCCGGCAGGCGGCGGCCGTGAGCTGCCCAGCACTTGTCGCAGGCAAGGCTGTGCAGGACCTCAGGAGCTGCGGCAGGGTCGGCACACGTGAGGCCGATCTGGAAGAGCCCGAAGGTCACGGCCGCGTTCAACGAGCAGTTTATGGCGTCGTACAACCTTTCGTGCGGCGTCCAGACGCTGTAAACGGTTGCGTCATACGGGCTCCTGCGCTGGGCCCTGGGTCCGGACGGCCTGCAAGAACCTCACCGCGAGTGCTGCACCGCCATGTTGATCAGCGGCTGGCACATGAAGTGCAACTCTTGCCTTGGCCCTTCATCCGTCGCATTCCATTGTGAGGCCCCACCACCCCTTGCCTTCTCCCTCTCCCCCCTCCCCTCCAAGCCTTGTCCCCTCCCCTTCCCTCCGGCCCCCCCAGGTCCCGCCTCAGTGTGCAGCCCGTCACTCACGAGCAGTGGGAGCGCATCCTGCAGATGGAGCGGGAGGGAGGGGACGGGGAGGAGCGGATGGGGGAGGAAGAGCGGGAGGGGGAGAAGGAGGAGGGAAGCGGCAAGGGGGAGGAGAAGGGCAAGAAGGGTGGGAAAGGTGGAAAGCGAGGCAAGGGAGGGAAAGGGGCATGAGGAGCCGTATCTGGTAGGCGCGTGAGGAAGGTGGTCTGCAGGGCTGTGCATCTCGCTATGCGTGCCGTCCACCGCTGGAGCAGGTAAGAGGGCAGCGGGCGGGCATCCGGGTGAGGTGGCGGTTGGTTCGTACCGGTTGCTTCGTACAACTCCTATAACGCCATGTCACATGGAGGTGCAGATCCACAGCAGAAAGCAAACATGTGTGATGTTCTAGGTCGTGTACGGGTGGCAGTGGTTTTGCGGCAGCTGCCCACCAAGGCCCGATGAAAGCCCCGTGATGACTCGTCGGAATCCGTTTTGGGGGCGTCTGAACCTTGTACGGCGACCGGGGTGGGGTTTTGAAGTGGAGTAGGGGCCAATCTCGTGCTATACGATTGGTGTGGCAACCCGAGCTCACCCGGCAGGGCATGTAACGGCGCCTGGAAAGCGAAGTTCGGGCGGCAGGCAACACACCTGCCGCCGCACACACAGCGGTTACAGCAGTTACAGCAGCGTGCACCGGTGCATGTGAACCCACCGCAGCCCACATTCAACTGTCGGCACTTAACTCGTTGACCTCTTGCACCCGCACATTGATATGTAGACCAGGAGGTCGCGCCAGCAGCCGCATGCACAAGTGCTACCAGGGTCGTACTACCACTACACTCGCGTGGTGGGGTGTTGCCGTACCAAGGGGTCCCACAAACAACGGAAACAGCTGCCGCAAGCAAGGGAAGCAACCGGTATCTGCCGCACAGCTATCACACGCTCACCAGCAGCGGTAGCAGCCCTGGCCGCCCTTCTCAGCTCCCCTCACAACTTCCTACGGTACGCATACGGCAACTCCCACAACCGGTGACAACACCTCCCACGCTCTCCTTCTCACCAGCTTCCCCTTCCCTCCTCACGCCGCCTCCTCACCCCTCACCGCCGCCCGCCATCATAATCCCCCCCGGCCCCAGCACCACCCCCGCCGCCGCCGCCGTCTGCAGCTGCAGCCGCACCTCCGCATGCCCCACCACCTGCACCGGGTGCCGCGGGTCGCGCAGGCCCATGCGCAGCCCGCGTTCGTCCCACAGTGCGGGCGGGGGGGTGAAGTCCAGCCTCTCCGCCGCCTCGCCGCTGTACCCGTCCACCAGCTGCGCCCCCGCACGCAGCAGTGCGGTTCCCAGCAGCTCGGTGGTGCCGGTGACGTCGTAGTTGGGAGGGGGGGCTGCGGGGGCGGGGGGGGGGGCGGGTAGGGGGTAAAGAGGAAACAACTGATTGACCGTACGACAAGGCGTCATCATGGCACGCGGGAGGGGGCGGGGAGAAGGAGAGAAGGGTGAGGCCTAGGTTTGGAGGGAGTGGAGGGAGAGGTGCATGCGTGGGAAGCCCACTCATGTTGCATCCCCTACTACGACGCGACCAGGTTTCAGCTCTCAGTCAGCTCCACTAGTAATGAGGGTAGTACACATCAGCTCTACTAGTAACGAGGGTAGTCATGTTGTGGGTCATGACCCGCTACCGCGCTTACGTTCCTCGTTCTTCTTCTTGCCCTTGCGCGCGGGGTTGCTGCTGGCGGTGTTGGCTCGGGTGCCGCCCGCTGGCTCCTCGGGGGCGGGGCTCTTGGCGCCGGGGGAGGGCGAGGGGGAGGAGGCGCCGCTGGTGGGGGAGGGCGAGCGGGGGACCGCGGTGAGGGTGGTGCGGTAGAGCTGCAGGGTGAAGCCTGGGAGGAGCGGGGAGAGAAGGGGTTGGGGTTGGCAGAGGGCGAGGAGGGCTGAGGGACGGGTGGAGAAGGGGTTCAGACCTGTCCTGCAGACAATAAACCCTAGTCGGCGGCATCCAGCAGCAGTGGCTCCCTCCTGAGCCCCTCCCCCTCCCCCTCCCTCTCCTCTCTCCCCCCGCACCCCCTTCCCTTCCCTCTCCTCTCTCCCCCCGCACCCCCCTCCCTTCCCTTTCCTCTCTCCCCCCGCACCCCCCCCCCGCACCCGATCTCAGCCAGTTGCGGCACTCCACGGTTGCCGGCAGCGGCAGCTTCACACGCATCCAGCCGCCCTCCGCACCCCGCGACCGCTGCCCCCCGCCGCCAGCCTGCGGGGAGGCGGAGGGGTCCTCCGCGCCCCCGCCCGAGGCACCCGACTTGGAGCCCTTGCCGCTCTTGGCCTGCCCGGGGGGGGAGGCGGGGCGGGGGCAGGAGCGGGGGCGGGGAGGGACGGGGGGGGGAAGGGTGTGGGGTCAGGGAGGAACAGGCCGGGTGGCACCTCACTTACACGGGTGGGTAGAGAAGGCGGGCAGAGGGCATCGGAGGAGGGCGTTTGGAGGGGAACAACAGGAGTATGCATGGGAGGATGGGATCTGTTAACCCCCACCCCACCCCACCCCGCTACCGGCATATACAGGTGTCCCCAGCACCTCGAACCCACCCACCCACCCACCCACCCACCCTGCCGCTGGTTGGCTTGCTGGCCTTCTTCGCCTCCCGCGCCGCCGCTGCCGCCGCGGCCTGCTTGGCCTTGGGGTCGAACATGGCGGTCACGTCGGGCGGGTCGGGCGGGGAGAGCTTGAGGGGCAGGCAGGACAGGGGGGTGCCTGGGGGGGTGGGGGGTGGGGGGGCCGAGGGCAGATGGGAACAGCAAGCAGCCGCCGTAGGAGCGCCAGAGTGGGGTTGGACGCGGGTACAACCAAAGTACACAAGCAGGGACCCCACTTCACAGCACGGGCACATTTCCCCTTACCCTTACCCCGCACCGCCCCTCACTGCATGAGTCGGGATACGGGATTGGGACTACCGGTACAGCTCCTGCACTCTGCTGCATGTATTATTTATTTTTTCTCCCCTTCCACCTCCCCCTCCCTCCGCCCCCCCAGTTGCCTCGTCAGTGTCTCTTTAATTCCTACCCCTCACCCTCCATGTCCTGCAGCTCCACGTGGTATATCACCGGCTGCAGCGGCGGGTCCGGCTGCTCCAGCGCCGGAGGGCTGGTCAGCCCCAGCTCCTCGGCAGTCGCGATCTGCTCCGCCCACCGCGCCCGCAGCCACCCAAAAGGGTCCTCCGCCGGCCGTACGGCACCCAGCGTCAGCGTCAGTATGGCACCCTCGCCTCCGCCGCCACCTCCGTTGGACTCGTCAAACCGCACGGTTTGGTGGGCGGAGGCGGAGGCGGAGATGGAGCGGCCCAGGGTGCGGCCGGCGGCTCGGAGGATGAGGGAGCTGCCGCCGGGTCCTCCGTGCTGCAGGGAGGGGCCGGAGCCGTGGGAGCTGGAGCCGCCGCCGGGGGTGGGGCTGCCGGGGCCGTGGAAGGAGGAGGAGGCGGCAGCGGCTGCGGCTGCTGCGGCGACGGAGGAGTTGGCGGTGCCTGGTCGGCTGCTGGGGGGCAGGTCCAGGCGCTGTTTGGGGGGTTGGGGGTGGGGTTGGGAGGGGAGCAAGGCAGGTGGGTAAGGAAAATGAGGAAGGGAAAGATGGCTGTATGTGAGAGTGAATAGCGAGTGGGTAGCTTGATGAGCTGACGCGCGCTCCTCGTTAGTAGTACGACTCGCCAGTCATGCCGGGCCCGAGACGTCCACCCCTCCGGTACCCCTCCGCTCTTTCCACTCGGATACCCCTGACACTGCGTCCCGTCCTGTACTCCGCCCCGCCCTCTTCCTCCCGCCCTCTTCCATGCTCCCAAGCCCACCCTCCTCCGCTCTCCTCCCCCCACCTGTCCGTCCTGCCCCTGCCCCCTCCTATCCTCATTGCTTTGCCCCAACCTGTGGTTTCCTATGGCTTGGTATGGTCTTTGACCCCTCTCCCCTCCCCCCCATTTCTTTTTTCCCCACCTGTCCATCCAGGAACATGAGCTGCTTGAGTCGGCCGCGTGCCTCCGCCGCGTACCTGGGCACCAGCGCCAGCGGGTTGCCGGCCAGGCTGAGGGCGGCCAGCGAGGGAAGCCAGGACAGCTGAACCAGCGTGTTCTGGGGGGGAGGAGGGAGGGGACAGGGAGGGGAGGAGGGTCAAATTAGACCAACCCGAGGCGAGGGGAAGACGGGAGGAGGACAGGGAAAGAGAAGCCAACTCCATGTTGGTGATGATGCCCGCAACCTCCCGACTCAACCAAACCGTGTGTGTGCCGTCTGCAGGTACCCTGGGCTGCGGCCCAAACATTGTGTGCCCTCACCCCGCCTTGTCGCACGGTGAGTTACACTAGTTTCTTCCTTTCCACCCACCCCACCCTGGCTCCCATACCGGCCCCCACCCCGCCCCACCCCCACCCCACCCCACGCCACCCCGACCTCAGCCCCCAGCCCCCAGTCCCCAGCCCACCACGAGTCCCTCCAAGTCGTTGTGCGACAGGTCCTGAGGGGGTCAGCAGCAGTGGGGAGGGGAGGAGGGAAGCGGGTTAGCAGGGGTGGGGAGCAGGGACCCGAACATCGCACCCCGCCCACATGCACCCCACACCCCGCCCCAGCCCCGGCCCCAATGAGCCCACCAGCGACATGAGCGGCGAGGTGGGCAGCAGCTCCCCCGGCAGGTACGACACGCGGTTGTACGACAGCCCCACGTGCTGCAGCGAGGTGGAGCGGAACACCGGCTCCACATGCTGCAACCTGGGGGAGCAGGGGAGGGAGGAGGTTGGGGGCGCGGGCGTGTGAAGAGGGATAATTGAGGGCTCGGGTTGGGCTTGGGAGGCACGCACCTCTAAAGTGCAACTGCTACTGGGTACCCAATTATCAGCAAAGCCTATCCCTGGCCTTGCACCGCAGGTCTACCTGTTCGCTCCCGCGTATAATTTTTTAAGTCGGGGCAGCGTTCCGATGCAGTTTGGCAGCTCGGTCAACTGACATCCCGTCAGGGTTAGCTCAACCAAACTTGAGGGCAGGCATTTTTCCGGAATGCTGGATATGTGGTTGTTGGACAGGTCGAGGTTGGTCAAGCTTTTCAGTTGGCTAACGTCTGCAAACAGGTACCGGTACGTGCATGTTGACATGTGTGCTGCTTAGTTGTACTGCTCAAGACTCGGGTTATACCTTCTGGGATTTGTATTAGCTTCAAGCTGCTAAGGCACAAATATGGCGCTTTATTAGCCTTTGCCTCAGCTGTGGTAGTTGCCGCTGCTGGGCGCTTTCGCTCCGGCTCAACCGCAGGTGTGGTTGTAAATACCATTTTAGTACGTATACACGCTTGTGTCAATGCGCTGATCCTAATATATCCGTTACATCAAAGCGGGACATTTTGCGTCAAGTTGTTGATGTAAAGACGCTAGGTACCGTAGGTCATTAGCAGAATTTGCACGGAAAGGAAGTAAATAAGAAGCTATACACTTGAACAGGAGGATTGCAGTCCCTCTGGTGCAGCGCGTTGGCCAGCTCCGAAGGACACGCTCCGAAGGAATCACGGATGTGGCGGGTCCGTGGGCCAATTCATACCTTTATAGCTTCCACCGAAAACCGATGGCCACAAAAGGTATTATCCCAGGTATGTTCGCTTGAGGGCAGAATGGATGGAAGGCCCCTTCCATCACTTAGCATCATGGCAGCAACGCCGTAATCCGCCCGCCGTGTAAGCCTCCTACAAAGGTACCTTACGGGAAAGGGGATTAAGGAGCTTAATCCAAGCTTAAAAAACTTCTTGTGGGAATTCAAAACCTAACCCAAGCAAGCAACCAAGAGAGGACACAATCCCACGTGCGCGCCTTCCACACCCACCAGCCCCAGCTGATACCGGTACAGTATTTATCTGCCCAGGTAGGGCCCAACAAAGAAATTCCGCATGCTGCAGGACACACAAAACTCCAAAACAGGCGAGGGCCTTGCGGGGCCACTACACACCCTCTCAATCACGAAGAAAGCCCATTGCAAATAGATCGGCGCTGTACGTATGATAGATGGATTGCAAATCTATAGGTTGAGTTCATAATATAGTGCACAAAGGTGTTCGCAGAACGATGAGAATAACAGCCCTCGCCCCTGCCACCTCGGAACCATCGCTCCTGCCACCTCAGAGTCCTCGCCCCTGCCTCTCAGAACCCTCACCCCTGCCACCTACAATACCCTCGCCCCTGCCACCTCAATACCCCCGCCCCTGCCACCTACAATACCCTCGCCCCTGCCACCTCAGAATCCTCATCCCTGCCACCTCAATATCCTCGCCGCTGCCACCTCAAACACTTCATCCCTGCCACCTCAATACCCTCGCCCCACCCACCTCAGAACCCTCGCCCCTGCCACCTCAGAACCCTCGCCCCTGCCACCTACCAGACCCTCACCCCTGCCACCTCAATACCCCCGACCCTGCCACATACAATACCCTCGCCCCTGCCACCTCAATACCCCCGCCCCTGCCACCTACAATACCCTCGCCCCTGCCACCTGCATCCTCATCCCTGCCACCTCAATACCCTCGCACCTGCTACCCACCAGACCCTCACCCCTGCCACCTACAATACCCTCGCCCCTGCCACCTACAATACCCTCGCCATGGGTGGCAGGGGCTGGGGTATTGAGGTGGCAGGGGCGAGGGTATTGTAGGTGGCAGGGGCGAGGGTATTGAGGTGGCAGGGGCGAGGGTTCTTAGGTGGCAGGCGCGAGGGTATTGTAGGTGGCAGGGGCGAGGGTTCTTAGGCGGCAGGGGCAAGCGTTCTTAGGTGGCAGGGGCGAGGGTGTTGAGGTGGGTGGGGCGAGGGTCTGGTAGGTGGCAGGGGCGAGGGTCTGGTAGGTGGCAGGGGCGAGGGTTCTGAGGTGGCAGGGGCGAGGGTTCTGAGGTGGGTGGGGCGAGGGTATTGAGGTGGCAGGGATGAAGTGTTTGAGGTGGCAGCGGCGAGGATATTGAGGTGGCAGGGGCGAGGGTTCTGAGGTGGGAGGGGCGAGGGTATTGAGGTGGCAGGGGCGAGGGTGTTGAGGTGGCACGGGCGAGGGTAATGTGGTGGCAGGGGCGAGAGTTCTTAGATAGGTGGCAGGGGCGAGGGTTCTTAGGTGGCAGGGGCGAGGGTGTTGAGGCGGCAGGGGTGAGGGTTCTGAGGTGACAGGAGGGCTGTGAGCTCGCGGGGACAAGTGATGCCGCAGCTGCCACAGACCCTGCCGCAGACCCTGCCGCAGTCGCAGGCTCGCGGGGTCAAGTGGTGACCTTGCTCCACTTGTGGCCACTGCTGGAGGCAACATGGTGGCTGCTGCTGGTGACGTCACTGCTGGCCTTCATCAGGACGACGATGGTGCTGGGTTACGGCCCGTGAAGAGGTTACGCCCCACTGCCATCGATCATGTTATGGTGACGGACAGCGACGCATGCAGCAACAGCGAGGGCTGGGGAAGCGGGGGGGGGGATGGTTCACATATATCTGTAAGCGATGCGTCTGGCAATGAGGAGGGGCTGGTTACTCGCCTTGGTACAGCTAATTTGGACCACGCTTGGGCGGTTGAGCTAGTCTTGACCACGCTTGGACGGTTGCATGGCGTCAGGCGCATGTGTCGGCGCTTGCTGTGTGGATGTGAGACGCATGCTACCGGCAGATGCCAGTGGGCGTGCTGGTGTGACGCTGGGTCAGACGCTGGACACGCGAGTAGCAACCGGTGCCTGGCAGAGCAGGAGCGAGGGTGTCTTGCGGTCAACAATCCTGCATTTGCTTCGTCATACCGGTATCGCCTTTCATAGTCCATCACTCGAGTTGAAGGAGAGGGGTCCCGCCCGCAGCAGTGTACCGTATTAATACAACCATGTACTGTAGGAAGGAGAGGGGTCCCGCCCGCAGCAGTGTATCAATACAACCACGTACTGTAGCCTTACCCATTGGGCGGGTTGTGGGCGGGTTGTGGCCCCACCGCTACACTTCCTGTAACAACACACAACGACTCCTTGACGCCAATTCCACTCCAGCTATCTGGCCAGGGGCTAAGTATCTGCGAATAGCTTCCCCGTATACGGTACCGTTACCCTCTGCAGCAAGAACAACAACAGCCAACAGTATAAGCTGGACACGGTGACCCACTACCTCAAACTTTTGCAACAATCCAGGTGCTACACAGCGCTCCGTTTCCTCCAACCCCTGCAGCAGCAGCACCACACCGGGGCAAACCCCTCCAAGGGAGGAAGTGGCGACTCCCCCAACGGCAACGCGTGGTCGTACACTCCCACCTTGTCCAGGGTAGACGGCAACACGTCCCGCAATTCCGACAGCCGCGCTTTCTCCCCCAACCAGCTGCTATTGCCCTAGACTCATGCCTTCCCAGCGAACCAGTGTCTCTGTAGCTTGCACCTGCCAAGCTGTGCCTTACTTCTCTCTTGCGGCTATACAAGCCCGCCACCTCCTTCCCCATCCACCACGACCCCATCGCACTCCTCCTTCTCCACCCACCTCTCCTTCACCCACCGCCACCTCCTCCTCCACCCACCGCCTCTTTCCCCCTCCTCACACCACCTCTTCCCTCCACCCTCCACCCCCCCTCCTCCCCTCACACCGCCTGCACCCCGGGCGGCAGCCTCACCACCCGCCCCTGCAGCCCCACGTACTGCACATCCGTGTTGGGCGCCTCGTTGTCGTCCCACAGCACCTGACGCATCAGGTCCTCCGGCCGCACCGCCTTCACCACCACCGCATTCGCCGCCACCGGCAGCAGCAGCGGCGCAAACAGGTGCAGCGCGCGCGCCCCGCGCTCGTCCACCTCAGTCGGCTGCACGGCCCCCGAGTCCAGGTCCGCCTGCAGCCGCCCGCTGAACACACCCTCCGCCGCGAAGCCAGCTGGAGGCGGCGGCAGCAGCTGCGGTAACGGGCCGGGAAGTGAGGCAGGCGGCGTGAAGGCGGGCGGGTGAGGTAGCAGCGGCGCCGCCTCCTCCGGCTCTAGCGGCGGCGGGATCTTTACTGGCAGCATTGCCAGCAGCTCCTCGTTTCGTCGCTCCGAGTAGCCCCTCGGCGGTGCGATGAGGGAGTCCGCCTCCGCTGCGGCGGCCCCGCTGCGCAGCTGCTCCGCCAGCCGGCTGCGAGCGGCGGCGGCCGCCTCGCCCAGCAGCGGCGACTGCAGCAGCTGCCGGACCGCGGACATCGCCTCCTGCCGCCAGCGGGGCTGCGGGGCCGGGGGCTGGGCAGCTGGCCCGGAGCTGGCGCCGCTGCTGCCGCTGGCGCCCTGGGGAATGGCGCCCGGTGTGGCAGCGTGCGGCTGTGGTGGCGGATGTGGTTGGGGTTGCGGAGGGACACTGCCGCCGGGCGCAGAAGCCGCCGCCGCAGCTGGCTGGGCTTCCTCCTCTTCCGGCTGCTGCTGTTGGGCCACATCTTCCGACGCAGCTTCCTCAGCTGCCTGTGCATCCTCGCCCTCCTCCTCAACCATGTCTTCAACATCACCGTCCTCCTCCTCGCCCTCTTCCTCCTCCCATTCCGCGCTCTCTTCCTCCTCCCATTCCTCGCCCTCCTGCTCCTCCTGCTCCTCCTCCTCATCGTCTTCCTCTTCTTGCACAAGATCTGCCGCCAGCGCCTCCACCACCTCCTCCCCCTCCCCGCTCCCCCCCTCCACCGGCTTCATCGCCTTCAGCACCTCCTCCAGCACCTCCTTCACCTGCTGCCCCAGCTGCTCCGCCCTCCCGAACGCCGCCTGCAGCACCCCCCGCGTCTCCCCCCGCGCCGCCGCCCCCACCTGCTCCAGCCGCGCCTGCCCCCGCTGCGCACTCGTGATCAGCCGGTTCAGCGACATCTGCGCCGGGCTCAGCGCCAGACGCACGGCTAGGGTGGGGGAAGGCGGCGGGGACAGGGTCCGAGAGCGGGCTCCAGGCGCGGAGCCCTGCTGCTGCAGCTGCTGCTGCTGACCCTCCTCCTGCAGAGCAGCTGGGACAGCCGCCGCAGCAGCGGGCGCCCCCGCCTGTGCCGCGTCTCGTAGCTGCGGCAGGAGGTGGTTGAGGCTGGTCAGGGCGGCGGAGGCGGCCAGGCACAGCCGAGCCACGTCCTGCAGCAGCCGCCGGGAGCGGCGGGAGGGCTGGCGGGCGTTGTAGGTGGCGGCGTCGGTGAACCTGGAGGAGCGGGGCGGGGGGGGGGGAGAGGGGCGGGAGAGGAGAGGAGGGGTCAGTGGAGAGCCACGAGGGGCGTGTTTTTGTATCCCTGGGGTTGCAGGGTGGCGGCTCACACAGGGACACCCAACACGGGAAGAGAAGGAAGACACCACATCAGCCCCACCCCGCTCCCTCCCCCACCCATCCACCCCCCACCTGAACCACAGCACGGGGTGCATGCGCGGCACCGCCCGCTCCAGCGCCTCCGCAGCTGCACCCACCGCGGCAGCAGCGGCACCGGCTGCAGCACCCCCAGCAGGCGAGCTGCCGCCAGTACCGCCCTCCGACATACCCCCACTCCCCGCTCCCAGCTGCTGCTGCTGCTGCGGGCCCCCCGCCGCACCGGTTCCCAGGTTCTGCCCCTGCCCCCGCTGCTGCTGCCCCCCCTGCCGCTCCCCCAGCCATGCGTGCAGGTGGTGCGGCAGCAGCTCGATGAACTCCGCGTGGTCGGCCACCACGTGGCGCACCCAGGGGGGCAGCTGCCCGGAGCGGCAGGCGGAAAACACGGACTCTGGGGGGGTGGGGGGGGGGGGTCAAAGATCATACCAAACCATAGGAGACCACAGGTTAGGGCGAAGCAATGGGGGTAGGAGGCGGCAATTGGGGTGTGTGTGGGGGGGGGAGTGTAAGGGGTGGAGCGTAGGGGTGGCGGTCATGGAAAGGTGGTGGGAGCTACAACGCACGTAGAAGTATGGCATGCTGAGTCCCTGGTAATGTGCCCACCCACCCACTCACCCATCCACCCAGCACTCCACTCCTCATGTGCGCACCCAGCCATCCAACCGGAGCCGACATACCGCCTCCCAGCCCCACAGCGCCTCCCTCCGCCCCCCCCCTCACCCGCATCCAGCTTGTCATCCAGGGCTGTCACCGCCGGCTGCTCCAGGGTGCCCCGCAGCAGCATGTCGTACGGCCGCACCGCACCACCTCCCCCTGCTCCCGCTCCTGCGAACCAGGGTGCTGCCGCCGCCTTCGCACCACCCGCCGCCGTCCCCGCCTCTCCCCCCGCCGCCGCCTCCATCGCCGACCTCATCGCCGCCCCCGCCGCCTCCGCGGGTTGCGGCCATGCGGGCGGCAGCAGCCCCGCCAGCAGCGCCCCGCACTGCAGCGGGCAGGAGAGGCGGCCCTCGCGGGATACGGACACGCCGTGGAGCAGCGCTGGCAGGGGGCAGGGAGGGAGCAGGGGGGGACAGGTGGGAGGGGAGACGATGAGAGTTGTGCGACCGGGAGCGAAGGCAGGTTGACCCCCGGCTAAGCAGTAACATCGCCATCGCAAGGCGTCCACTAAGTCCCACAGCTCCCCAACCCCCTACCCCCTGACGACGCACCCACGCATGACGCCGGTCCGCCCTCCGCCGCCACCATCTCCTCCTCCGCCGCCCGCTCATCCACCACGTAGGGAGTGTCCTCCGCGCTCCACTCCCCACCTCCTCCTCCTCCCCCTCCTCGAGCAGCCGCGCGCCTCTGCCCGGCTGCACTCGCGGCCGCCCCAGCCCCCATCCGCGCCCTCAGCTCCTGCATCAACCGCCGCTGCAGCCGCTGCTGCTGCTGCTGCACCACCCCGGCCCCTCCCACTGCTGCCCCCCGCACCCCCGCACCCCCCGCGCCCCCCGCTGCCCCCTCGGGAAACAGCGGTGGCAGGAACCTCAGTCGGTAGGCCCGCTCGTACCAGGGCCGCATCTGGATACCCAGCCCCAGCGCAGCGGCGGCGGCTCGGCGCTCCTCGGGCGGGCCGGGCAGCCCGCGCAGCAGCGCCGCGGAGATGGGGTCGCCGAACGCAAGCCCCTCCGCCACCTGGCTGAACGCCAGCTCGAGACCTGGGGGGGGGGGGAAGAAAAACAACTTACTGACTGTGTGACAAGGCGTCATCATGGTTTGCGAGCGGGAGGGAGGAGGTGGGGTGACGGCAATGGGGAAAAATGCATTCCCAATGCGTTGAATGAGAATTGCAGACCAGACGACAAGCTGCGGGGGAATGTAATCGAGTTGGTCGTTAGTGTGAGGTAGGTAGAGGAAGAGTGCTCATGCGGAAATAGGCTGTAAGGGAAAAAAGGCCAAAGGGAAGGAAGTGAAGGAGAGGAAGGAGCTGGTGACGATGTCCCACCCCTCACGCACCGCTCCACACCCTGCCCTACAGCTCCCCACCCCCCACCCCACCCCCCATCCCCCACTGGCCACTCACGCGTGGTTTTCCACGTGGCCAGCATGCGCGCCGCGCGCTCCACCTGCGCTGGCTCCGGCTGCTGCGGGGGGGCGCCCGCGTGCATGTGCAGCAGCGGCAGCACCCACTGCAGGCAGCCCACCAGCAGCGAGCGGTGGGTGAGCTCGCAGGGGTGGGCGGAGGGGGAGGGCTGCGGGAGGGAGGGCGGGGGAAGGGGGAGGGGGAGGAAGGGGGAGAGGAGAGAGGGAGGGAATAAGGAGGATGCGGGTGGAGGAAAGGTGGGCAGCGGGAAGGAAGGGGACGGGGCGTGAGGGGCTTCCGGAGGCAGCTGGAAATGGAAGCAGCAGTGGTGGGTAGGGGATGTAAGGAGCTGGGTGTAGTAGGGGTGAGGTGTTTTGGAGGCAAACGGGTGCTCCGATACCGGTACGGTATACCTTGAGTACGGCGAAGCAGTTGACATTGTCCGAGTACTTGGAGCAGTATGGAGCCCAGTCGGTGGGATTGAGCATGTTGTCGGCCCAGTAGTGAGGACGCCCAGTGTCTACACCACCGTCGGTGATGACCGCGGTGAAGCGAACAGGATGCAGGTAGCGGGCGGATTGGTGGAGAAGTTGGTATAGGCCCTTGTAATGCGGAAGCAGGTTTGCAGCCTGGCCGGCGCCAGATCCTGAAGCTTCCGGGCCAGCAGCTTGGCTGGATGTGCCTGCCGGTTGCTGCTGTGGAGCTGCGGTGAAACGCAGCTGGATCCCTCCATGGTTCAGCTTTACCACATGTTCCCATGAATTGCTGTGCTGCAACAGATTGTAGAGCAACTTGCAGCAGAGTTGCAAAGATATGAGGTCACGGGCATCGATAAGGAAGGATGAGACGTGGAGAAGTGCGTTCTCATCTAGCAACAAAAGCGAAGGGTCCTCGTTCAGATCCCCCATACTGATGTATGAGCAATGATCAAAATTTCACTTAAATGTGCCACGTTACAAAGAGTTAGACAGCAAGGCCACAAGGGCTTTCTGCCTCCATTCCGTATGGCGAGAACGGCATCATCGAGTACAGCCGCTCTTGTAACCGCTCCGATCGTAGACTCCATCATCAAGCTTTGACCTTGCGGCTTTCATGCAGTTGCACTGTGCTAGTATTCAAGAACACATTTTGCTCTTTCACATCGCTGGTGTCTTGCGGTTGAGAACGTGTTTCAACACTTAAACAGGATAGCACTTTTTACCGCCATACTACCGAAGACAAAGATAACCCTCGTAAACACTAGGAGCTGGCTCGTGCGCCGACTCATCTGGCCGGGCATCCACACAACGCCATCGCTCTAATAAAATCCATTTGACAAAGCCTAAACGCGTGTTAACAAGCTAAGAGCGTTTGGCTGTTGTCGGGCGTCATGGCGGATCGGGACGACGGTGGTCAGGCAGCGCCCTCAGGCCGCGGCGGCGGCGCTGCTGGCCGGGGCGGGGCACGTAAGGTGATTCTGGGTGATGCTACCATCCGTGTCGAACCCCAGGTCCCCGCGTGTCAGCCCCCGCAGCCCCCACGTACCTCTCACCCCTCCCCCGTCCCTCCATCCCTCATTTACCACTGCCGCTCCTCCCTCCCCGCTGCAGTTCCTTCCCACCATGCCGGGCCGCCGCAAGAAGGCCGAGGAGGGCGGCGGCCCCAGCGCCGCGGAGGTGGCGGTGTCGGACGAGACCTTCCGCGACCTCATCAAGCAGGCGCAGTCGGCGGGGGCGGGCAGGGGGCGAGGCAGGGGGCGGGGCGCGCAGCAGCGCTTCCAGGTCACATTCGGCAACTTTGGAGATGACAGTGAGTGTGTGGGAGGGGTTGGGAGGGGTTGGGAGGGAAGGGGTCGGAGGTGGTGCCCGGCGGAGGGAGGAGGGAAGGGGCATGCACTTGATGGGTGGAGCTTGCAAGAGCCATAGGTTGGGGGTGCGGGGAGCAGGGGGGTAGTGGAGGTGCTGCGGGGGGAGGAAGGGGAAGTCTCCGCAGGCGGGCGCCTTTCCACTGCCCCCGTTTGGTCGCAGTCGCAGCCCTTCTCACCGCCCCTCCCCCCTCCCTGGCACCGGCCCTCCTCTCGTGTTCCGTCCCTTCATCCCGCCAGGACCGGCGCTGGCGGCGGCCAAGCACTACCCACGCAGGTGAGAGGGGGGCTGCGGGAGGGGTCCGCTGGCCAGGCGGGATTCAGCTAGGCAGGTAGGCACCAGCCCACATCACGACATCCTCACACCCGCTCCCTGCCCTGCCCCCCGCCTCCCCTTGTTCCCCAGCGTTGGCGGCGGCGGCGGAGCAGCCGGTGCCGGCGGCGGCCGCGGCGCCGGAGGCCCCGGCGGCACTAGCGGCAGCCACCCCAAGGGCGCCGACGGCGCCGACGTGGACCTGCAGGACGCGGGCGGGGACGTGAAGCCCTTCGAAGCCAAGTCCCACCTCACTAAGCCCCGCGCCCCCGTGCTGGACTACACCCAGTACTACCCCACCCTGCTCCCCCTGCGGCTGCCCGGCTCGGAGGTGTGGGAGGACGAGGGCGGCGGCGAGGGCGAGGGCGGCTTCCGTCCCTCCTGCCAGGACCTGGCCTCGCAGCCCGACCCGCCGCAGCAGCCCGCTGCCGAGCTGGACCTGTGGGACCCCGAGGTGGAGGACCAGATGTTCCTCATGCAGCTACCCTCCGTCATGCCGCTACAGCCGCCGGGCAGGGCGGGCGCAGCAGGGGAGGGGGAGGGGGCGGGGCCGGGGCCGGGGAGCGAGCGGCGGCGGGCGGCGGCGCAGGCAGCGCAAGGCGGGGCGGGGGCGGGGGGTCGTGGCGGTTGCGACGTGCGGGAGCTGCCCTCGGGTCGCATCGGCAAGCTGCTGGTGTTTAAAAGCGGTCGGGTGAAGCTGGCGGTGGGGGATGTGCTGCTGGATGTGAGCACGGGGCTGCCCAACCAGCACCGACAAGACGTGAGGCAGGGGGGCCGGGAGAAGGGAAGGGGGAAGGGGAGAGTGTTAGGCGGGGGAGTGGGAGGGGCCCCGGGGCAGGGGCAACGAGAGGGAGGGAGGGACGAGTGCGGAAAGAGGGACGGAGCACCTGTTTTGGGGGCTGCTCGTTCCGTACTGGTCAGCTACCGTACTCCATCCAAAGCGCAGCTCGCTCCGTGACCGTGTCAAGTTTTTCCTAACAACACCACTGACCCACCTCCCACCTTCCTTCCTCCTCTCCCTTCCCCCCGCCTCCCATCCCCCCAGGTGGTGGCGCTCAACCCCTCCAGCAACGCCTGCGTGCTGCTGGGGGATGTGCACCAGCGGGTGCTGCTGGCGCCCGACGTCATGCACCTACTGCGGGGGGGACAGCAGCAGCAGCCGCAGGGGACAGCGGGAGGGACAACGGCAGCCGCCGAGCAGCCGGCAGCAGCACCCGCCCCCGCAGCAGTGGCGGGCGACTCCTTCCGTCGGGCGTTCGGGGAGCTGCCCGCCCTCACGGCGTCACACCGGAGGGCGCGAGGGTACGAGGTGGCGCCGCAGGGGGGGGAGGGGGATGTGGATGCGGCGACAGCGGGCGTGAGCGGCGTGAAGATCAAGCCGGAGCAGTAGCAGCAGCCCCCCACAGCAGCAGCGGAGGTGTGGGCTGGCAGCCACGGCGGTGCCGGGGGCACAAGCGTGTTCCGTAGAGGTTGGAGTGGTGGTGGGGAGGGCAGGGAGGTGGGTGGGGGCTGCGAGGAGGGGTCACAAGAGAGGTGTGCAGTGCGTGCTGGGCGGTGCAGGTCACATGGTTGCAGCCCCCCTGCCCGGTGCATGGGCCAGGGGCTCAGCTCAACCGCATGCTGACCGGCGTGGCTGGTGGAGGGAGTGTGTGGCGACACCGGGTGGACAGGTGAGCGGGTTAAGCGCTGTCTGCAGGTACACGTGTGCGGGGGCTTTGTGACGGCGGGGGCCTGGACGGGACGGGGCTAGGTCGCGGTGCGGCTGGTTCTGCTGCTCTCGGCTCTGCGGGTGGCTGGCAACACAGCTGCTTATCATTGGATGGTATGATGGCTGTCGTTGTTTGGCACCAGTAATGCGGCAGGTGCCACCCCGCCTGCACGCTCCGCATTACTGATGCCGTACTGTGGCGTGTTGAGACGCGCGCTAGAGGGCAGGGGAGGGGGCAGCGCAGCAGCCCCTTCGGCTGTCCATCGGCGGGCTGCCGTACACTTGGTAGCAGCGAGTTGGACTATCCTCACCTGTAACTCACGTTTCCCGCATTGCCTTTCACTCGTTGTCTCCCTTCACTCGACGAGAGGAGTGCATGTATGGGGTCTGTGCGTGGAGGAGCAGGAGGCGTGACGTGGTGCACCTCCGAGCAGAGGAGGTGATTACGGGGGGGGGTGGGGAAAGGCCTCTTTCTCTTCTCAACTTTGGATGCGTTCCAAAGCATAGGACAGGAAGACAAAGAAACCAAGCCGGGGGACCTGCAAACCCCTGCAAGCCCGTACGTACCGGTGGTACATGCAACGGTTTCCTGCTTGCTTGGCAAGGACAGCGCCTCCTGCCCACTGCGCTGTGTAAAAAGCTTTCCTAGCGTGGCACCGTCAGCAGCAGCAGCAACAACAACAGTACGGCACCAGTACTGCGGAGCGTGTAGGCGGGCGGACAGGGGGGGGTGCACCTGCCGCCTCCAAGCAGGCCCAGCCCTGGCGACCCGGCTGCCTCCGCATGCCGGCTTACCGCACACCGGCGCAGCATGCAGCGTAAGGTCAACACCCTGGGGGCACCTATCATCTTCCCATATGAGAGGGTTGAAGTACTGGCTGCAAGTCAGCCAGCGGTGCGGGTGGCCTTGCATGAGATCCTGGCACAGCTTGAGATTTGAGAGTACGGATTAGCCGACCAGGTAAACAACGACTCGACGGAACTGTTGAGCAGCAGTAGCCAGGCATGTTGGCCTTGGGCGGGCGGCAGGGCGGTGAGGCATGGCTTCTCATTAATGTGCGGGCCTGCAGACTGCCTCTTCGAGACTGTGATCTCTGCGCAAGTGCGGTGGAAGGTCTTGTCCTGCTGCGGAGATCTGGTAGGGGATCGGTTTAACCCTCATGGGATGGCAGCCCAATAGGCAAGGGCCTGGCCACTGAAATAGTGCCGGAAGAGTAAAAGCACGTGTGATGCTGGTAGGGGGGATGTGCAGCTGCACATCGGGGAAGAGCTGCTCGATGCGGTAAGGCAGAGTGACGGGAGTTTGAGACCGTGGATAACCAAGACAGGCGTAATAGCTTTTCCCGTCCATTGGAAGTTTATAGGCCTAGGGCGAATAAGCTATACTCGTAGGAAAGAGGCATTCAGCGTCAAACGGCGTCAAAGTTCCCTTTTCCGGTTAGTTGCCGTACAGCTGGATTCCGCCCTATCGAACGCAATGATTGCGTTCGCTGAGGGCAATTGGCGCGTGGGTACCTTGCTGCGATTTTAGACTGGCAATTGAATTGGTGTTGTGACGGGGTCTTTCGAGGCGGGCATTAAGCCGGCGTCTAGGTCGACCACTATATATGACCGCGAGACGTTAAACGCAAGGATAAGATGTTACCATTACAATTCAGGGGCCCCATGCGGCTCGCGGGATCATCTACCCGGCCTTGCGGCGCTCGGCTGCTCGCACCAATTGCACCGTGCTGGCGTCGAACAGGAATCGTGGGGCTTCCGCTTCGACCAGACCGAAATATTAGCATGTATGCTGCAGCTAAGCGCGGCAGACGTAAGTGGATGGGGGCTCTATGCTTGGACGCCACATGCTTGCTCAGTCGTGAACCATGGAGTTATATTCGTAATTCACCACGTCGACACCGCTTTGACCATTCCCCACACAGCCAAGAAATCGGATATCACTTCTGCGGAGCCGGAAGCGGAAGGTGCGGGCGCTACAACCTTGCGGCCAGCTGTGAATGCAGTCTCGCGACGCCAATTCCGGACGGTCCAGCCTTGCCATGACGGCCCTAATGCTATGCTCTATACAACCGATAAAAAGCAGCACATCATGCACTTGTTAGGCCGCCAAACACGTGTAGACCGGCAGGCGCATCGGCAACCCCAAATCTTGCCGCTGTCACCAACAGCACCCCCATTCACAGCCCCACACCCTTATCCAGCCTCAACCCCTTAGGCCGTAGCGCCATAGCCCATCGCCGCGTTCCTCTCTCCCTCCTCCCTGTCCTACCCCCTCGCCCTGCTCCCTTTTCCCTCCTCCTCCCTCTTCCCAGGTGACGAGGAGGCGGAGGGCGACACCGGCGGCCGGCCCTACCGCCGCGGCCGCCGCAGCCGCAAGGCCAAGGAGCAAGACGAGGCGCGCGACCTGCTGGAGAGCCAGCAAGTGGACCTGGAGGTGGGGGAGGGAGGAGGAGGGGAGGTCGCGGACAGGCCCCATTGGGAGAGGTTGGGGGGCGCATGGGGGTGTAGGTTGGGGGGTTCGCATGGGGCGCAGGCACGTGGGGGGATGGGTGTGTGTTTTGGGGCATGACGCGGGGCGGGCGGGGCTGCTGGAGCACCATGCTAACAAGCATGCGAGCTCGCTGACCGCGCTGCTCCCTGCTCCCTTCTTTCCCTTCATAAGCCCTCCCTCCACCTTCACCCGTTCCCGCTCCCTTCCCGGTCGATTCCTCCCTCTCTTTACCCTCCCGCTCCTCTCACCTGCCGCTAATGTGGAACATGTATACCTGTTAATCCCCTCCCACCTTCCCTCCCGCCCCCCGCAGGTGCTAGAGGAGTTCAAGTCGCGGGCGGCTGCGGAGGAGGAGGCGCGGCGAGCTGCCATGGCGGGAGCGGGGGAGGACGACCCGCGGCGACTCAACTTCCACAGGCGAGTGGCTGCCCGCGGCCTAGAGGCTGCATGCGCCCCTGTGGCCCCTCCCCCTGGAGCCGCAGCTGGGGTGTGTTAAGAAAACTGGCCGCGAGTAGGAACATACTGTGAAGATGGAAAAGGGGTGTGTGTGTCCCGCGATGCAGCTACCTGCATGGGGTGCTTGTCGACACCTCCCGTGCTGGCCTAGCTGACCTGTTGACCCACACCTCCACCCACCCTCCACCCCTCCACGGCACTCATCTCCCCGTATGCGCTCACTACATGTGTCGGGATATGGGATTGGGACTCCAGTTGCTGCACTTCTCTTTCTTCCTTCCTTCCCCACCAGTCTTAACTCTCATCCCCCCACCCCCCTCAGGTCGCTGCTGGCCGCCTCCCAGCGCGGGCTCACCTCCGAGTGTGCGCGCATCATCGACGCCATGAGCGACGCGGGGCTGCCGCCGGGGCCGCGCGCAGTGCACGTGTGGGCCTACTCGCACATACAGGCGGGGGACGGACCCGCGGCCAGGGGGGTGGCGGAGGAGGCGAGGAAGATGTTCGGTGAGGGGGCCTGCGGGGATGGGGGGGTGGCTGCGGATTGTGGGGTGGGTATGAGTCGGCGCAGGGTCATGTGAGGTACGGAGAGCCCTGGGCAGCAGACCTGTGCCCCTCCACCCCTGCTTGGTGTGGTCCCGCTCTCCGCATCCCCCTTCCTCTGCCGGTCCCCCTCACCTCCCTCTCCCTTCCCCCAGGCATCTCCTGGATCCCCGAGACCTACGTGGCGCTCATGCACGGGGCGCTGTCCGCCACACGGGGGGGACCCGACCTGCTGGCGGCACTGCAGGTGGGGGGGAGGGGTGTTTGGAAGGGGGGGACCCGACCTGCTGGCGGCACTGCAGGTGGGGGGGAGGGGTGTTTGAAAGGGGGGGACCCGACCTGCTGGCGGCACTGCAGGTGGGGGGGGGGGTGTTTGAAAGGGGGGGACCCGACCTGCTGGCGGCACTGCAGGTGGGGGGGAGGGGTGTTTGAAAGGGGGGGAGAAGAAATGAGAAGCGAGAGGGGGTAAGGGTTTGAAGACACCCTTCTTTTCACAGCGCACATGTCGCAATGACGGCCGAGCTGTAAACCTGCTGAGTGTGCAATAGCCAAGCATGTATACTGGGTGCTGCCCCCCCTCCTTCCTGCTCCTTAACTCCCCCTCTCCTGCTCCCCTCCTCCCCCCGCTCCCCCCCTCCCCTCCTCCCCCCGCTCCCCCCCTCCCCTCCTCCCCCCGCTCCCCTCCCTGCCCCCAGGTGTGGGTGGCCCAGCAGGAGGCGGCGGCCCGCGGTGAGTCCAGCGACCCGCAGCGCGGCTTCACCTTCCTGGCGGGGGAGCTCTTCAGGCTGAGGTACTCGGCGCTGGCCATGCAGGTGGGGGGGGGGGTACTCGGCGCTGGCCATGCAGGTGGGGGGGGGTACTCGGCGCTGGCCATGCAGGTGGGGGGGGGGGGGTACTCGGCGCTGGCCATGCAGGTGGGGGGGGGGGTACTCGGCGCTGGCCATGCAGGTGGGGGGGGGGTACTCGGCGCTGGCCATGCAGGTGGGGGGGGGGGTACTCGGCGCTGGCCATGCAGGTGGGGGGGGGGGTACTCGGCGCTGGCCATGCAGGTGGGGGGGGGGGGGTACTCGGCGCTGGCCATGCAGGTGGGGGGGGGGTACTCGGCGCTGGCCATGCAGGTGGGGGGGGGTAATCGGCGCTGGCCATGCAGGTGGGGGGGGGTATTCGGCACTGGCCATGCAGGTGGTGGGGGGTACTCGGCGCTGGCCATGCAGGTGGGGGGGGGTACTCGGCGCTGGCCATGCAGGTGGGGGGGGGGGTACTCGGCGCTGGCCATGCAGGTGGGGTGGGGGGGTACTCGGCGCTGGCCATGCAGGTGGGGGGGGGGGGGTACTCGGCGCTGGCCATGCAGGTGGGGTGGGGGGGTACTCGGCGCTGGCCATGCAGGTGGGGGGGGGGGGGTACTCGGCGCTGGCCATGCAGGTGGGGGGGGGGTACTCGGCGCTGGCCATGCAGGTGGGGGGGGTACTTGGGAGTGGGGGAGGAAGTGGGTATGGCCATGTAGGTGTGTGTGCGGGGGTGGGTAAAGAGGGAACAACTAGCTGACTGGTGGGTGTGCGGGGGTGGGGGTGGGAGTAAGAGGCCCTACCGAACCATAGGAAACCACAGGTTGGGGCAAGACAATGGGGATATGGGGGGTAAGAGGGTGTGGACTGGCCGCAGGTGTGTGGGGGGGGTGCCACAAGGGCGCCGTCAGGAGTAGCGTTATGGGGGCGGGAGCTGTGGCGGGGTGGGCCAGCTGGCTCCGCAGTGGCGGAGGTGGCCTAGGCGCACCGGCCCCCCCCGATGTGGGTCAGCCCGTGTGCAGGGATGCTCCCGACTCCCTACTGCTGCTGCTGGCAGTTGACAGTTGCCACCCACCCACCTCTTCCCCTACCTTGTGCCCCCTATCCTCCCCCCCACCTAACCCATGTTGACGCCTTCTCCCTCATTCAGTTAGTTGTTTCCTCTTTACCCAACCTGACCGCCCCCTCCTCGTCCTCCTCTCAACCCCCCCTCTCAAACCCCCCCCCCCAGGTTGTGTCGGAGGGCTATGCGGCGGGCTACCAGCCGGATGAGACGCTGGCGGCGCTGGTGATGGAGCAGCTGTGCAAGCAGGGGCTGCTGGTAGGGGGGAGCATGACAGCAGGGGGGGGCCTAGGGGACTGCGAGGAACGGGGCCTGAGCGGAGGAGGGGTACCGGTATGTGAGAGGGGGGGGACTCCAAGGGAACATGCGCTGGAGGGTGGGGCTGGGGACGTAGGAATGGCGGCTAGGTGGGTGGCTGGTGTTGTGTTTGGGACCCATTTGCGTCACACCCTGTGACCTTGAACTCATGCACAACCCCCCATGCCCTTCCCCCCCTCCACACACCTGTCCCTCACCCCCCCCAAGGCTGAGGCGGAGGCTGAGATGCAGCGGCTGCTGGCTGCCGGCCGACCCGTGGGTCCGCAGCACTACGACACGCTGCTGCGGCTGCAGGCGGCGCGCGGCGACCTGGACGGCGCGCGCAGCAACCTGCAGACCTACTGGACCGACCCACGGTTCACTCCGCCACGCACCTCCTCCTACACCGCCATCATCCGCGGCCTGGTGTCGGCGGTAGCGGCGGAGCAGAAGGCGCGGGGCGGGGCAGGCGGGGAGGCGGCGGGCGGGGGAGGAGGGGTGGGTGAGGCGGAGGAGGTTGACCGGCTGCTGCGGGTGCTGCGGCAGGAGATGGTGGAGCGGGGGCTGCGGCCGGGCAGGTGAGGGAGAGGGGGGAGGGGGGGGGAAGAGGAGAGGGACAGGAAGAGGGACAGGACGGGAGGGAGGAGGGGAAAGAGGGAGGAAAGGGGGGAGGGAGGAGGAAGGGACGGGGGCTTCTCGTCCGGTGTGCAACAAGGTTGAGACTGCACTCCACGCACCCGGCGCCGCTACGCATGGCACGCAATGTACGGCACGACACGGCAGCTGGCGAGCAGCCACCGTCCCCACCCCTACCCCATGCAAGCCCAAACCCCTCCCCTCCCCCCCCCCCTCCCCCCCAGGGAGACCTACGCCTCCATGGTGGAGGTGCAGGCGGTGTGCGGCGACCTGGACGGCGCTCTCGCCACCTACGAGACGCTGCTGCGTGCCAAGGGCTCCCCCGCACTGCTGCGGAAGAAGTACCTGGGGGTGCTGACGGGTGAGGGGGGGAGGGGGGGAGGGGAGGGGGGGTGCTGACGGGTGAGGGGGGGAGGGGGGGAGAGAGGGGGGGTGCTGACGGGTGAGGGGGGGAGGGGGGGAGAGAGGGGGGGTGCTGACGGGTGAGGGGGGGAGGGGGGGAGAGAGGGGGGGTGCTGACGGGTGAGGGGGGGGGGGAGGGGGGGAGAGAGGGGGGGTGCTGACGGGTGAGGGGGGGAGGGGGGGAGAGAGGGGGGGTGCTGACGGGTGAGGGGGTGAGGGGGGGAGAGAGGGGGGGTGCTGACGGGTGAGGGGGGGAAGGGGGGAGAGAGGGGGGGTGCTGACGGGTGAGGGGGGGAGGGGGGGAGAGAGGGGGGGTGCTGACGGGTGAGGGGGGGAAGGGGGGAGAGAGGGGGGTGCTGACGGGTGAGGGGGGGAGGGGGGAGAGAGGGGGGGTGCTGACGGGTGAGGGGGGGAAGGGGGGAGAGAGGGGGGGTGCTGACGGGTGAGGGGGGGAGGGGGGGAGGGGTGCTGACGGGTGAGGGGGTGAGGGGGGGAGAGAGGGGGGGTGCTGACGGGTGAGGGGGGAAGGGGGGGAGAGAGGGGGGGTGCTGACGGGTGAGGCATGGGGGGGAGAGCGGAAGGGGTGAATGCGGTAGGGAAGCGGGGTGGTGTGTTTTATACGGTTGAAGGCAGGCAGCGTGGGAGCAGTGCGCAGCGAATAGGGAACATGCATGCTGCGGCTTACCTGCCCGCATGCCTTTCGACTCCTCGACTACTCGCATGTCCCTCCCTGCCCTTACCCCTCATCCCCGCCTCACTCCCCTCCCCCCGGCTCATTAGTTGCCTCGTCAGTTTCCTTACGTTTACCCCCTCCCCTCCCGTCCCCCCCCCCTCCACCAGTCTCCCTGCTCACTGCGGATCGCCCCATCGACGCGCTCCGCCTGCTGCGCGACTGCGCCGCCACGCCCTCCTTCACGGACGCGCGTGTATGTGTTTCGTTGCCCGCCGCCGCCTGCGCCCCCCTGCCCGACCCGGGTGCGGGCGGCCGCAGCGCCCTCACCGCCTGGATGCCGGCACACCTGGGGGTGATGCGCGAGCGGCGCGGGCAGCGGGCCAGTGTGATGAGCTTCATGCGGGAGGCGGAGCTGGTGGGGCGGAGGGGGGGGGGTTGGCGGGGGGGTGGTTGCACATGTGGTTTCATAGCTCATGATGGGCTGGCCTGCCGTACTTCTTATGGGGTCTTCCTATTACACTGTCGTACGTCGCAATTCGTTACCTCCCCTCAACACCACATCTTCCCCAAACACAGTCGGGATATGGGATTGGGAGTTTGGGACTCTAGTTGTTTGCATGATTACTACATAATCCCCCCCCAAACACCCCCCCAACAGGCGAGCCGCCGCGAGGTGGACGGAGTGGTGTTGGGTCTAGGCGGCTGCGTGGTGACTGCTGACGGGCTGTTCGTGCCGCCCGCCAAGATGACGAGCGCGGAGCTGCGGGCGGAGCTGAAGGCGGCCGGGGGGGACCCGGTGATGCTGGCGGGGGCGGGCGGGAAGAAGGAGCTGGTGCGGCTGGTCAAGGTAAGGAGGGGGGGAGGGAAGGGGCGCACTCGCTTGGGTGTGTTGCAGGTCGGCATCCCTGTTCATGTGTGTCACGGGGTGTGTGCATTTGCGTGTATACGTGTTAGTGTGTGCCTTGGACACGTGAACCCTGCCGGCCCTCTAGCTCCTCCGTTCCCTCAAGCTCGCCCTTCATAACCCCCCTTCCCCTCCCCCCCTCTCCCCCCAGGACCGGCGCTCCCGGCTGCCGCTGGGTGTCGTTCAGCTGCACACTCAGCTGGAGCAGCTGGTGAGTGCGCGGAGGGAGCTGGAGGAGGCGGCGCGGGCGGCGGAGGAGGCGGAGGAGGAGGAGGAAGAGTGAGTGGGACGGGGGGGAGGAGAAAGAATACAGATAAGTGCATCAACGGAGTCCCAATCAGGGGGGGGGAGAGGGAGAGGGGGTGCGGCGGGGTGCGGGTATGCGCTTATTGAGTCCCCTGTTGATGAACTTTCGCTGCCTTTGCCCTTGGGACCGCCGTCGTGTGGGGGCGGGGCGGGGTTTGGTGCTGCTTGCCCCCCTTGTGCCGGAGTGGTGTTGACCCCCTTGCTTGCTGCTGCTGCCCTCCCCCCTCCCCCCTGCCTCCCCCCTGCAGGGAAGAGGAGGAGGAGGAGGAGGAGCAGGACTTCGACCCCTATGCCCAGGACAACACGCTTGACCCGGTGAGTGTGAGGGGGGTGGGTGGGACAAAGCAGCCGAGCCGCATCCAACTCAGCCGCGTTCTGTTGCGTGCCGTTGTCAGCCTGCGCAGCGGGGGTGCTGCTGCTGCGCCTCCTCCTTCCCATGGCCCCCCGCAGCAGCAGCATCCACCACTTGTGTGCCTCCATTTGTTTTGCGGCACTCTGCCGCCTCCTATCCCCATGGCTTTGCCCCGACTCGTAGTTTGGCTTGGTTGGGTTTGGTCTCTCTCTCTCCGCCTCCATCCCCACCTCTTCCCAACCCTACATACCACAATAAACCCCCGTTTATCACGCCCTAATGACCCTACTGACCATAGCCTATCAACCCGACCCACATCCCAACCACACCTCACCAACGCCACCGCCACCCCCCCCCCACCGCTGCAGAACGTTGCCGCCATGCTGCGTGACGAGAGCACCTTTGAGGGCGGCGAGGGGCTGGAGGACAGCGCCACCTTCCTGCGTGCGGCGGCGGGGCGGCTGGTGCTGCCGGCTGCAGAGCGGGAGATGGACGCGGAGGAGCTGAGCGAGCTGGACAGGGTGCGGGCGGGGGGGGGGGGTCAAAGACCATACCAGACCATAGCAGGGGAGGAGGGGAGTGGTAAGGAGGACGGCAGGCAGGCTTGTGAAACGGGGGTGAGTAGTGGGTTTGCGGGTTGTCAGGAGCACATGTCGTGCTCTGGCGGCACGGCTCAGTGGTGCTGCAACCACCTCGGCTGCAACTCTCAGCGACACTGACCGCACCGCACCGCACCGCTCTCTGTGTTCTCCTCCCCTCGCGTGGATGTGCCAGGTGGCGGGTGCTGCGGCGGCGCGGCGGGCTGCGGCAGTGGCGGGCGGTTTGGACGACGACAGCGACCTGGACGACGACGACGATGAGGATGAGGATGAAGAGCTGGGTGACGATGAGGACCTGGATGATGCTGAAGACGACAACGCCGCTGACGAGGAGGAAGACGAGGAGGGGGACGAGGACGAGGAGGAGGAGGACGACGATGATGTCGCGGACATGCCCGAGGCGTTTGGAGACGACGAGGCCTCCCGCGGTCGTCGTCGCCGCGGGGGTGACGATGATGAGGAGGAGGATGGGCTGGTGGATGATCAAGTGCGGGAGCTGCGGGGCCTGGGTGCGCTAGGCGCGCTGGGTGCGGGCAAGGTGGAGGAGGAGGAGGCGGGTGGTGACTTGTTCCTAGAGGGCGGCGGCAGCAGCAGCAGTCGGCGGCCGGGGGATGATGACGGCGGGTTGCTGGACGGCGAGGTGGACGAGGACGGTGTGATTCTGGACCAGGTGCTCAATATGGGGGTGCTGGATGCGGCGAGGTACAACCCCACGGCAGGTGGGTTGGTGGGGGAGGGGGGTGGAGGGGGGTGAGGCAGGGGGGAGGAATGAGGCATGGAGGGGGAGGAATGAGGCATGGAGGGGGAGGAATGAGGCATGGAGGGGGAGGAATGAGGCATGGAGGGGGAGGAATGAGGCATGGAGGGGGAGGAATGAGGCAGAGGGGAGAGTATTCCTTGCAGGGTTACAGCTGGCCGCAGGGCTTGTTGCCACCTCTCCAATCTTCTCCTCCTCTTCTTATTCCTCCCTGCCCCCCCACCCCGTACCGGCTGCCTACTCTTTCCCCCGCCCCAGGCATGGCTGTTGCCATGCGGCTGCTGTCTGTGTGGCAGGCGGTGGGTTGCGCGCCCACCCCCGGGGACCTGGTGGCCCTGTTCGAGGGCGCGGTGGCGGAGGAGCACAGCGGCGCGGCGGCGGAGCTGGCGGAGGCGCTGCCGGCGGGGCTGGAGGAGGGGGGCGTGGGCAGGGAGCAGGTGGGGGGGAGGAGGGGGAAGGAGGGGGGAAGGGAAGGGGTAAGGGGTTGAGGACTGGGCCGTCATGCGTTGCATGGGTTGCGTGAGGTGCATGGCTTGCGTGAGCGGCAGCGGCGGGGTGCGTTGTAAAGCACCACCTCTCTCTCACTCTTGACTGCCCACATGGTCAACGCTAAGCCTGCGCTGCCGTTCCTCGCACCTCTGGTCGCGTTTCCTTCCTTCCTTCGTTGTCACCCTCCCTTAACCCCCCTCCTCCCTCTCCCCCCCTCCCCCTCCTCCCTCTCCCTCCCTCTCCCCCCCCCAGCTGTCTGAGATGCTGCTGGCCCTAGCCCGCGTGTGTCTGCGCCCCGAGGACCCGGACGGCGAGGCGGCGGACCGAGTGGTGTCCGTGCTGGAGGACAACGAATTGCAGGTGGGGGGGAGGTGGGGGGGGGGAGTCGTGCGGGTTTGGGGTAGTGAGCAGCTGAGCGCCTGACACCCAGTGGTCGGCAAGGGGAGAGCCAAGAGGCTGTTAGGGCCCCCGCATTACCATCCTTCCCCGCTTCCCTCTTACCTCCTCTACCTCCCCCCCCACCCCACCCCCCCACCCCACCCCCCTTATCAGGTCCCTGCTGACGTGTACGCCGCTCTGGATGCGGCTCTGCGGGGTCGCTCCCGAGTGAGGGATGCGGTGCTGGCGGGGGCGGGGGCGGGCGGGGCGCTGAGGGGGGAGATGGAGGGTGAGGAGGGGGAGGGGAGGGGGAGGGGGAAGATCGGAAGAAGAGTGACAAGTTTAGGAGATGGAGGGAGAGGGGAGGAGGGCAGAGGGGGAGGGGTACGTTGGCTGAGCTGTGGTGGGGATGTAGAGCTCTGGGCGCGGGTGGGGCGTTCAGTGCTGGTGTGCTGGTTGCCGCAACACAGCCGCACAGCACATCACACCCCTCCACTACGCCGCCTCTGTAGGGCCCTGCTGCAGGGAGCCTCGCCCATCGCGGGGAGCCTCTCCTTGCCACTGCACGCCGCACATCCTCCTCATCCACTTCCCACCTCCTACCCTCTTAACCCCCCTATAACCCCCCACCCCCACGCCCCACTAGGTGTTGCAGAGGACGAGGAGGAGGCTGCTGCGGGGGCTGAGGGCGGGCGGGTGGTGGCGGGCATGTTGGGTCCCGGGGAGCAGCCTGCGCTGGGGGAGGTGCTGGAGGGGGCGGGAGAGGAGGAGCAGGAGGAGGGGGAGCAGGAGGGAGAGGGCGAGGAGGAGGAGGAGGCGGGAGAGGGTGAAGAGGAGGAGTTGGGGCTCATGCGGGGAGAGGAGGGCGAGGAGGGAGAGGAGGGCGAGGAGGGTGAGGAGGAGCTGAGCGAGGCGGATGTGGAGCGGGTGGAGCAGGTGGGGGGGTGAGGGGAGGTGGGGAGGGGGGCAGGGAGAGAGGAGGGGGGATTCGGCAGCTGTGATGCAGCTATGCGTAGGTGTGCTCAGGGCCCACACACTGGGGGAGCTGGCAGGTGGAGGAGGGGAGGGGTGGGAGTGCCCAACTGCCCATGCTAGGCTGCATGCTAGGCTGCATGCTAGGCTGCATGCTAGGCTGCATGCTAGGCTGCATGCAAGGCTGCATGCAAGGCTGCATGCAAGGCTGCATGCTAGGCTGCATGCTAGGCTGCATGCTAGGCTGCATGCAAGGCTGCATGCTAGGCTGCATGCAAGGCTGCATGCTAGGCTGCATGCAAGGCTGCATGCAAGGCTGCATGCTAGGCTGCATGCTAGGCTGCATGCAAGGCTGCATGCAAGGCTGCATGCAAGGCTGCATGCAAGGCTGCATGCTAGGCTGCATGCTAGGCTGCATGCTAGGCTGCATGCTAGGCTGCATGCAAGGCTGCATGCAAGGCTGCAGTGTTTCAAAAAGGGAATAGCAGGGCCGCGTATTCGGGCTGTGGCTGCCCTGCTCGCCTTCCCTGCCTCCCCATCCAAGATCCCCTTCATTCCCTACTCTCTTCCCCTCACGGTTCCCAACCCTCCCTCTCACCTCTCCTCCCCCCCTTCCACAGCTGCGCCGTCTGTTCCAGCGCGACAGCGAGGAGGACGACTTCTGGTTGGACGAGCTGGATGAGGAGGCGGCGGGTGGGGGGGTGGGAGAGGGGGGGGCGGGGGAGGGGTCTTAGGGGGGAGACATGCAGGCGGGTTCGGCGGCGGGGAAGAGGGGAAGAGGGGCGTCAGTGCGGGGTGGTGGTGGTAGCAAGGCAGCACCATGTATCCTACCAGGCTGGTGGGAGGGCCGGAGGGCCCTGTCAAGCACCCTCACATCCGCTTTGCATACTGTACACAGCCGTACACGCACGTGCCCTGCTTCCTCTCACCCTTGCACACTCAACAGTCGACAACAGTCCTCTACTCCATTCCGTACCCCTCTTTCCCAACCCCCTCCCCCCTTCCCCCCCGCAGCTGCCCCCCACGGCGCCTCCCCCGACTCCGCCGCCCTGTCTGCCGCGGAGGAGGCGGCCCGGCAGCAGCAGCGGCAGGCGGTGGAGGCGGCGGTGGAGCAGCTAGCGGCCAGGAGCCCCTACGCGGCGAGATTGCTGGTGGAGAGGCTGGCGGAGGCGGCAGCGGAGGCGGAGGCGGAGGCGGAAGTGCAGCGGGAGTTGGAGGAGGAGGAGGAGCGGAGGCGGGCGGAGGAGGGGGGAGCGGAGGAGGAGGGGGCGGAGGAGGGGGCGGAGGGGGAGCAGGAGGTGGTTGGGGTTTTGGATGCGATGGAGATGGTCGCCCAGGGCGCGGAGGTGGGGGGGGATGGGGTGTTGGGGATGCCGGACGGGCGGGAGGTGGCGCTGGAGGCCACGGATGATGAGAGGAGGGAGGCGGAGGCGGCACAGCTGAGGGAGCTGTGGGCGCAGGCAGGGGACGAGGAGGGAGAGGGGGATGAGGATGATGATGAAGATGAAGAGGAGGAGGGGGGTGATGAGGAGGGTTTGGATCTGCAGCGCATGGCTGCGGATGCTGAGTGGGAGGCCTCCTCGCTGTTGGATATGCCGCCCGAGGTGCTGCTGCGGGCGGCGGAGGCGGCGGAGGCGGAGGCGAGGGAGGGGCACTGGGCGACGCCGGAGGATGAGGTGATTGGGGGGGGGAAAGGGAAGAGGGGAGGGCTTAACATGGGTGATGGGGCATGCAAAAAGAGATGTGGGTTACGGGACTGGTTCAGTGTACCCATGCACATGCCCAGCCGCCCTCACCAGCTGCCCCCACATGACCCTCCGAAACCCGATCTTGTCTGCTACTCCTCCACGCCCATGACCCCCAAACACGTTAGCTGCCTTCCTCCTTGTCCCTTCCCCCTTTCCATGGCCCTTTTCCCAACCCCTCCCCTCACCCTCTCTCAAACCCCCTTCCCCTTGCTCTTCCCCCCTCCCACCTCCCCCCCCTCCCCCCCAGGCCGCCCTCTCCCGCATCATCGCCAAGTGCCGCGCCCTGCTGTCGCTGCAGGCGCTCAGCATCCAGGCCGCCTCGCACCACCCGGGGGGGCAGGAGGCGGCGGACATGCAGGTGGCGGAGGCGATGGCGGCGATCAGGCGGGCGGAGGCGGAGGCGAGTGGCGCGGCGCTGCGAGCGGCGGTGATGGGGGTGGCGCGGGGGGAGGAGGAGGCGCTGGGGGCGGCGGTGAGGGAGGCGGCACTGGAGGGGGATGAGGACGAGGAGGAGGAGGAGGAGGAGGAGGAGGGGGAGATAGAGGGGTTGTTGCGGCCCGAGTTGTTGGAGCCGGGGGTGGATGACGGGGTGCTGGAGGGGAGTGGGGAGGCGGAGGCGGCGGAGAGGCTGGTGGAGAGGCTGGAGCAGATGCTGCAAGAGGAGGAGGAGCAGGAGGAGGCGGTCCGGAAGCAGGCGGAGGCGAGGCAGCAGCAGCAGCAGGAGCAGCAGGGGGGGCAGCAGCAGCAGCAGCAGGTGGCGGGGTTGCCGTCGGATTGGAACGAGGGGGGTCTGGGCGGCTCCTGGCACGTGAGCGGCGCGGAGGTTGCTGAGCGGGCGGAGGTGCTTCAGGAGCTGATTGAGGAGGTGGAGAGGCGGCAGCGGGAGGGGGAGGCGGCGCCGGAGATGCAGCAGAAGGTGGGGAGGGGGGCGGGGGAGGGAGGGAGGGAGGGAGGGAGGGAGGGCGGGGGAGGGAGGGAGGGAGGTAGGGAGAGGGAGGGAGGCAGGGACAGCCCAGACAGGGAGGCAGGAGGAGGGGAAGGAACACTAGGGGGGATTGGGGAGTAGCCTTGCCCAAGCGTTCAGATCTGCGTTGCCCCTACCCTCGCCACGTCGTCCAAACACCCTCAGTTGTTTCCCCTTCCTCCCCTTCCCCGCACACTTCTTCCGTCATTACCCCGGCCCGACTCGACCGGTCCTAACCCCTCCCTTCCCCCCCCCTGCCCAGCTCTACTCGCTGCTGGAGGCGGGTGACACCGCGGGGTTGGAGGCGCTGGTGGGGCGCGAGGCGGTGCACTGGATCTCAGAGCAGCTGCAGGAAGCAGTGCAGGAGCAGCAGGAGGAGGAGCAGCAGCAGGGGGCCGCAGGCGAGCAACAGAAACAACAAGAGGAGGAAGAGGACGCCGAGTTCGACCCCGAGCTAGACGCTCCGGAACTCGCGCTGGGCTGGCGCCTCAAGCCGAGCTTCATGCGCCGCTTCGCCGCCGTGCTGGAGGAGCGTACGGAAGGGCTGGCGGCGTTGGCGGCCCGGGGGGGGGTGAGCGGGGAGGAGTTGGCGGCGCGCGGGGGGGCGGAGATGGCGGTGGTGGATGCGCTGTTGGCGATGGCGAATGGCTACGTCTTGCAGAGTGAGCTGCAGGAGGTGGCGGAGGAGGAGAGGGAGGGGGCGCGGGCGCCGGTGCCGGGTTTGGAAGATGAGGAGGCGGCGGAGGAGGGTGGTATGGTGCGGAGCGGGCTGCGGGGTCTGGGGAGTGTGGAGGACCTGGGTGAGCGGGATCAGGAGCTGGTGGGCTGGCAGCGGGAGGCGAGGGAGGCGTTTAGGAAGCTGGAGGCGGAGTTGGCGGGTGTGGGTGCGGAGGAGGGAGGAGAGGGTGGGGAGGAGGAGCAGGGGGTGCGGGTGGAGGCGGCGCGGCGGGAGTTGGAGGCGGCGGTGCAGCGGGTGGTGGCTGGGTTCGGGGAGGTGTACGAGGAGGAGCGGGAGGAGGCGGCGGAGGCGGCGCTGAGGAGCATGGAGCGGGCGGCGTTTGGGGAGGAGGAGGAGGGCGAGGAGGAGGAGGAGGGTGATGCGGAGGAGGTGGAGGAGAGGCGGGCGCTGCAGGAGCAGGTGGCGGCGGTGATGGCGGGTGCGGCCACACCTGTGGAGGCCGAGGTGGTGGAGGAGGAGGAGGAGGAGGAGGAGGAGGGTGGTGAGGAGGAGGAGGGTGAGGGTGAGGAGTGGGATGAGGTGCTGGGAGAGGATGAGTTGACGCTGGATGTGCTGCCCCCGCCAGTGGACCCGCATGCAGCGGCGTTCCTGCTGGCGTGGATGCAGGCGACCGCACCCGGGGCGGCGCCGGTGTATGTGGCGGATGATGAGGAGGAGGAGCGGGAGGGGGCGGGAGGGCGGCAGGCAGTGGCAGTGAAGGAGGAGGGGGTTGTGGAGGTGGAGGCGGAGGAGGTGCAGCAGCAGCAGCAGCAGCTGCCGCCGCCACCGGCGGCGGGTAGGAAGGGGCGGGGAGGGCGAGGAGGCGCGGCGGGAGGACGGGGGCGGAAGGCGGCGCAGTAGGCGCTGTGTTGGGTCCGGGGATGTCAGTCGCGGCAGGCGGGGGTGTTGCGGTGCCGCGTGAGGGGGATGGGTGGGGGTGACACCTGCTCCGATGTTGCGACGTGGGGTGACCCGCTGGGTCCGCTGTCGACGCGATTTGGAGGATTACACATACGAGACCACGTCTGTCTTAAGTCTGTTAACACCGCTTGACAAAGTTTAACCCATGTCGACCAAGGATTCGCTTCGGGTTGTGTTATTACATGAGGGAGTGCCAATTGGACTCGCTGTTTGGACCTTGTTGACTTGGCAAGCGAGAATCAAGGAGGGGCGGATTAGAAAGGCGTGTTTTTTCGCACGTGCCCGCGGGCCTATTGTCCGGGACACGGTTTTTGCACGCCATTTAAAACGACAGCGCTCTGCGCTCACGTGTACGGTTTGCATTCGACCTAGCAACGTTCAATCTTTGTAGTTGGACTTATGTCAGGCTATTTGAGCGTACGACTTTGCTTTGGGGAAGTGGGTGTGACACATGCTGTGGGGCTTCACTGCTCCAGGGGAGCGGAACACATGCAAGCGCATTGGCGGGTGAGGGAGGGGTGTTTCAGTGTCGCATTTCCTGCGCATATTTGTAATGAAACACTGTAATGAAGCAGCGCGTGCAGGAACGCGGTTGAGGAGGGAGGTGGGCGCCATATGTGCTACCACCTGTCAGCTAGCTGGGTAGACGAGGTGCTATGCGCATACAGACCTAGGAAGCCTGGGTATACCAGAACCGGGTCTCGAGCATGTTACGGGTTCGCTCGGCCTGCTGCAGATGATAAAAAATGATAATCGACAAAAAGGGCCTCTAATTCCTTGAGATTGATGAGTCGCGAGGGGTGTGCAATGGACATCAGCGCGACACAGGACCCGCGGGACCTCTACGGGGCGATGACAGGACGAACGGCGTAACCATGTACATGTAGCCTGGAGGATTCACTGAGTTAGCAGGGCCAACCGGTAATATATTACTTTCGCAAGGACCCAGTATTACCCCAGCAATGCCGCATCCATGGGATAGTCAACCGTTACAAAAAGAGGTTGAGTCTGGCTTATTGAACTTAAAGGTGCTTAAGCCTTAGGCTTTGTTGTGCACCCGCTAATGGGTTGCTGCTCACTAGAAGAAATATCCTGCGACTTGCAGAGTACCGGTAAGTGGCAACAGTTCCCCGCTGGCCTCCAAGAAATCTTTTAAAACATCATCCTCATTGCTGCCGTAAGCTTTCCTTGCCACGGAAGGGGCATTCATTGCGATGGAAGCAATGGTACGGCTGGGCCTTGTGCCAATCTGCAACGAGTTGAACGCAGAAGTATTCCCAGACAGCTCGCGTAGAGGCATTGTCAACACGTGCGTGAAAAATGGCCACCATGCAGACGATGAAGGGTGCTTCCCGCGCAGCGGTGCGGCCATCGCGCTCGGCGGTGCGGGTCTTCGCTCAGCAGCGGACTCAGGCCAAGATCGCTGGTGAGGCAGTGGTTTGCTGGGCAAGAGGATCTCCTGTGGACTGGCGCTGACCTCCTAGCTGCTTGCAAGCGAGTCATCATGACTTGCAATTGCTGCCTTGCGGTTATTAGCAAAGCCAATACCTACCTGATGGGATTACATCGATCACATTTTGATTACTGGCTACTGAAGGAAAGGGGGTTCAGTCCATAGTGCTGGCGCATGGCGCCCAAACTGGAGGCCTTGCCGAACGCTTTGCCGAAGTCCCCTCGACTTCACGCAACATGCTCTGCTCAGCCACTTTGTATGTGCACGTCTATTGTGTTACTGCACTAACCTTTAGTGACCCCCGCGTGCAGCGCCCAAGACTCTGTCGGTCGGTCTGCTTGCAAGCAGCGTGCTGCTGCAGGCGTCCGCTGCCCGCGCCGCCGAGGCTGATCAGCTGGACTCGACTGTGGACACCGTCATCGGTGCCGTCAAGGTCGGTGCGTCGTGGAAGCTCTCCTGGGAGGTGTTGCTCGTCGTGATCAATCCGAACGACCGATTCTAAGCACAACCTCTCCGCTCTGCTTACAAAGCCGACGCAGCGATGTCCATCCTTACGCCTCTTAGCTAACCAGAGACTAGAACGGCGACGTCGCCCAATTTTCCAGTTTCCAGCTGATCAGTCAACCGTGTACATCGCAGCAGTTTGCTAGACGTCCCGCAGCCTTCAACACCCCTGTGAATATATCTAGCTTGTAGCTAGTTTATAATCTCTAATAGATTAAGAATGATAGTCTTCTTCTCCGATTGTTCATTCTCTTGGCTGACAACTTGCATCTCCCCGCTGCTCCCCACATCCTTGTAGGCCACCGGTGAGGTCGTGAAGGCTGGTCTCACCACCCTGCAGTCCGGCGTGCAAGTGATCAAGGAGGTAAGTTCCCACACCTGGAGCTTTCTGTTTCCTCGCCTATTTTGCTGCTCGCCTTACCCCACACCTCCCTGTCATCCCAGTGCCCCACACCTCTTCGCCTTCCCCTACTCCTTTCATGCCTCTGCTTCCCCCCTCTCCCTCCCTCCCCCTCCCTGTCCCCTACCCAGGGCTACGAGGTCGCCGCCCCCTACGCCAAGCAGGCGGTGGACACGGTGGCCCCCGTGGTGGTGGACGCGGCCAAGAAGACGGTGGAGCTGACGCAGCCCGCGCTGGAGGCGGCGGCGCCCGCCATCTCGGTGAGGGGCGGGGCGAGGGGCAGGGGGGCAGGGGCCAGGGATGCACGTGCGCATGTGTGGGGTACCGGTACTTGTCCACCGATGTGTTGGCATGGGTTATGGCCCACCCAGGCCCCTAACCCCGCATCCTCCCTCTCCTCTCCTCCCCCCCTCCCCCCTCCAGAACACCGTCACCGACGTGCTGCAGAGCACCGGGCTGGACCTCTCCGCCGTCTCCCGCACTGCCGGCTCCGTCACGCAGGCCGCCGGCTCCGCGGTGTCCGCCGCCAGCCCACTGCTGCGCCGCGGGCTGGAGTTCCTGGCCGCCTCCGACCCCGTCACGCTGGGCGAGTACGCGCTGGGCGCGGTGGCGCTGTACTTCATCACACCCGCCCTGTTCGGAGCGATGCGGTGAGGGGGGAGGGAGGAGGGTTGGGGGGGACTAGTGTGGGTTGGGGTGGGGTGTGATGGGAAAGCTTACCATGTGACCCCAGGCACCACCAGGGGCTGCTGTCTGAGGGGGGAGTGGGTGGGGTTTGGCAGGGGTGGCATGGAGCGGGAGTGGAGAGGCTGGGGTGAGGTTTCCACTGCATGCATGAGGCGCGTGCCTGGGGTCCCGGCTGGCCCGGTAGGGACACATGCTGGCGGTGTGGGGGAGGAGGGTGGGGCTGCACCGGAGCTGCCTTTCGTGCCCTCTCATGCGCCCCCGTACTCCACCACGCGCCTCCGTCCACCTACTTCCCTGCTCCTGCTCCTGCACTTACCATTATTTTTGTCCCCCCCCCCCCCGCAGCGGCTACGCGGGTGAGCTGACCGCCGCTGTGGCACTAGACACGGTGGTGAACGACGCCTCCTCGGTGCTCATCGACATCCGCCCCGCCCGCGAGAAGGAGGCCAGCGGAGTGCCGGATGTGCCCGGGGCCGCCGCCAACAAGGTATGCAGGGGGGGGAAGTGGCTGTGCGTGGGACGCGAAGGGGTGCGAGAAGGGGCTGGGGGCTGGCTTGGGGCAGCGAAATCATCCCGTACGATACTTGACACCTAGTTCCTTTTTGCGGTGGGAACCATGCCGCTGAACACGGCAACTCACCACTGCTCCCCCCCTCTCACCACACCTCCTCGCCCCTCAGGTCCTGGAGGTGGAGTTTGCCGCGCTGGAGGACAAGAAGCTGCGCTCGCAGCTGAAGGACCCCGGCTACATCGAGTCGCAGACCACCGCGCTCCAGATCGCCGCGCTGCGCCGCATCAACACCGCCTCCAAGATCATCCTGCTGGACCGCTACGGACCCAACGCGGAGGCGGTGGCGCGGGAGCTAGCCAAGAAGGGCTACGGCCGGGTGTTTGTGGTGTCGGGCGGCTTCGACGGCCGCGCGGGCTGGATCCAGTCCAAGCTGCAGATCAAGCCCTTCACCGCCACCAGCCTCACCTTTGCCGCGCCCTCGTTCGGCCGCTCCGGCAGCACCACCTCCACCCGCCGCCTGCCCGCCCCGCGCGCTTAAGAGAGAGGAGTTCAAAGAGGGAGAAGGATGACGATGGAAGAGGTGGAGTGCATGGGGAGCAGCATGGCAGCAGGGTCAGGCAGGGGGTTTCGCCTTTCACCGCTGTGCAAACCGCCTAGCAGCATGAATAGGGGGGCGGCGGTTGTGGCCTTGCCGCTGTCGCGGTGTTCCTGCTGTGGCTGCTGCAGAGAAGCAGATGACCGAGCTGCCGCTTGCAGGAAGGCGAGCGAGGGGCGAGTATATGTTGAGGGGACGAGCTGGAGGGTTGATGCAGGTGGGGGTTCGCACCCCGAGCCGCCGTTGGAACGCGGTCACGCGTGCAAACGCGGCTGTGAGCCTGATGTAGCCATGAGCAAGTGAAGAGGAGTTGCACGAGATGAGAGCCAGTTTTGGGGCACTATCACCGTTGGGGTCTGCGAGCGGTTTTCAATTTACGAATGGGAAGCCGCGCCGTTAGGTGGTTGGCGAAGCTATGTCCACACGAGGATGCATGGCTGAGACCTGGACCGTTGCAAGTTAGGGAGAGGAGGGGCTGGTTGTGCGGAGGCCCCGAGTAGAGCGCAGTTTCGGCGCTTATGTACAGGTTGGCATTTTTTGTTCGCGCATTGTTTTTTCTCACTGCTCATTACGCCGCAGAGATTTGCATATTTTGCAAGGGCTACTAGCTAATGTAAGCAACATGTTGAATTTTCAACGATCAATCTTTCTGCTTCGCTTGGGGCAATAATGGGAGAAGGTACGGGTGAGTGTGGAAGCATTTTGCAGAAAACACTGCACGCAGCCATTACAGACAAAACTGTCATCTTCATGCCAACGACCCTTGTACACAGCACGTCTGCAACTAATCCTTGCAATCATATCGCTCGCAACGTTAGACATAGCTGCAGTGTGTAATGCACGTAACACTACACCAAGCGCGTCCCCTTCGCGCTCCAGCTGACAGTCCCACAAGTCTATTGCTAGGACGGGTTCAGCTACGATGTCCTACTTACAGGAAGGACACTCCTCTAGGACCGCTATAAACCTCACTTTAGTCAATAAGCTGTAAGCCTCGCGGCGATGGGCCCGGTTAATGTCGTACCAGCACTCATCAACCGCTCCAAACCCCGCAACAAAGGTGCGGACCTCCCGAACCCATACCGCCACCTATGAAGCACTCAACATAGCAAAGCGCCCCTACCCCTGCACCAGGCGGGCCAGCGCACCTAGTCCGCCCCCTTAGGTGTTTCCAGGAAGCGCCACCTCCCCCCACTTACACCCGCATCCGCCCGGCCTCACCCCCGCCACGCTTAGCGGTAGAGCGACTCAGTCCGCAGGTTGGTGGAGATCTCCGTCTCCCAGCGGTCGCCGTTGTCGAGCAGCTTCTGCTTGTCGTACAGCAGCTCCTGCGGGCAGCGAGGGGGGGCCGGACGGGGACAGGGACGTCAGAAGAGGTCGGGGTTTCAAGCATGAAGCGTTGTAGGGAAACCAGGAACATATCGGTACCGCTCACAACCAAACCAGCCCTTCCTATTGCGGAAGGGCGGGCCGTCACCCTTGCTACTGGACAGGGCAGCAGGTTCCCTATTAAGCCGCTGCCAACCCCGTATCATTCCCTTCCGTATTCCCAGGCTTCCTAGCGCACCCCAACTCGCATCCCCCCAGGTGCCGCACTGCGCACCTCGCGGGTCTCCGTGGAGAACTCAAAGTTGGGTCCCTCCACGATGGCGTCCACGGGGCAGGCCTCCTGGCAGAAGCCGCAGTAGATGCACTTCGTCATGTCAATGTCGTACCTGCAGCGGGGGCGGAGGGGGAGGAGGAGCACAATGGGATGCGGGGGGGCCATGTCAACAGGGAGTTCGCGCTCCGGGCGATGAACCGTGCATGTGCATTAAACAGGGATGCAGCATAGCATTTACCCCGTGCGTATCCATGTCCATGGACAAGTTTCCCGATCCCCTACTGCTGCTACGTCCGCATCCGAATTCTTAATGTAGCTTTTCTACGAACCCGGAAACGTCACGGATCCCGTTTCGCTTGGTTTGTTATAAAGATTGACAAGTTTACCCGCTTCCAGGCTCATGGTATGCCACATGCAGGTGTACGCCCAGAGACAGACCCTTCCAGTATGTTGGGGTCCTACCCTCATAACATAGGGACCCACCGGGTGGTCTTGCGGCTGCCATCCTCGCGCTCCTCCGCCTCAATGGTGATGGCCTGGGCAGGGCAGATCTGTACGGCGCAGCCGCAAGCAGGGGCGGGACAAGGAGGGAAAGGTCAGGCCCTCGTCCTTTGTTCCATATCGCTATGCAGTCCCCTGCCCCACGGCCTGGAACATCCCGGTGGACAAGGCATCCTGCCCAACTTTCCCTCCTATACATCTCAAACATGTAAGGGTGTGTTTTCTAGGGTGCCATGTTTCGGGGCGGCTTAAGAGAGCGCAGGCTTACCGCCTCGCACAGCTTGCAGGCAATGCAGCGCTCCTCCCCGGTGGGGTAACGCCGGAGGGCGTGCTCGCCACGGAAGCGAGGGCTGACCTGGCCCTTCTCGAAGGGGTACATAATCTGGGGGCGTTTGGAGTGGGGCGGGAAGCTGGTTTACGCGACAGCAAAGCCAGGCAACGTGGTGTATGCAAGGGTGACAAGGTTCGGGGCCTATCTCCCCTTGTACCGCAATTGTGACCCGCCCAGCGTAGGATACTTACCGTGACCTTGGTGTCAAAGAAGGCACCCAGGGTGTAGGCAAAGCCACGCCAAATGTCCGTCAGCAGCATCATGTATGCGCTGTCGTCCAGGACTGCGCACCGACAAATAAGCTTTAGCACGGATGGCAAATATATTATCCATAAGACTCAACAAAGGGACTTACCCTCAGCCATGTTCTTTGGCGTGCGCTTGAAGGTTGGGTCGTGCTCCCAATCGCTCGCATACCGCTGACGCTCAACTGTAAAGGCACACGTAAGCTGGTTTAAACGAAACTCTAGGATAACGGATGCCGGGAACGCAAACCTAAAGCGTGCTCAATCTACCCTGCTTCCAAGCTCCCGACTCTCCCGGACGGCGCTCCGTCCCCATACAACGGACGAGCTCTGGCATGGCACCGCAGCTTCGGGCTGTCCATGATGACAGCAGGCTCTGAGCGGCGCGCCTAACAAGAGTCATGGCGTGCAATCCTCCTTCTAAATGCCCTACGGCTTAGGGTTCCTCCCTTATACACAAGAGCCTTTCCTAAACACCAGGAACAATCCGAACGTGTAGGTGGTCGGCACAGAGGACATTGCCCAATTGTAGTACAACATTTACTGCAACGTTAAGACAGCTAGTCCAACGTTGCTCTATTCCCTTTCAACGTATCCTTTCGTTATACCATACAGTAAAGATGCGTTCCGCCCGAATTTTAGCGTCTACCCGTTGCCTTGTCTCAAGTCTGCATGCTCAACAGCAAGTATGCGCGGGAGCGTGTGCTGCAAAGGACTTGCAGTTATCAGAACCCTCTTGTTCCCCACGTTGTGGAATAAATGCTCGGTCCGAAGCAGTATCGCTTCGGCAGTTGCGAAGCGTCCAGGGGTTTGCACGCATTGCTGAGACAGAGGAGGGCATGACAAAAGTCAGCGGGTACTATGCTGGGGGCTTCTACCTCAACAACGTGCAGGCGAGTTCCGCTTACACCCCGCACGTGGATAATAGGGGTAGCATATGGGGTGTGTGGCAGGGTGGCGTTCGACATTGCTTACAAGCTTCAGCAGCCAGGAGCGAGCTGGCCCTCTAAATCTTAAAATCTGAAACTCCCTGATTCACCAGCTGTGTACCCCCCGCTTGCAGCCCCTATCCACACACACTACCGCCGCGCTACCTTCTTGGCCCTGTCCAACCCCTCTCCCTCACCCAACAGGTCCCCGGCTCCGTCATCCTGAGCCACGACCTCTACATGATGTGGCGCCCACGTCGCATCTCCGAAGTCACCCCCGACAGCCTCGTCTTCCTGGAGCTGCTCAAGCCCGCGCCCGAGGTGCTGGTGCTGGGCACCGGCGCCACATCGCAGCCGCTGCCGGGCCCGCTGCGGGAATACCTGGCCCGCCTGGGCGTGCGGGTGGAGCTGCTGGACTCGCGCAACGCCTCCGGCTACTTCAATGTGCTGAACGACGAGGGGCGCGCGGTGGTGGGCGCGCTGCTGGTGTGCGACCCCGAGGCGCGCATGCCGGAGAACCTGCCGGAGGCGAATGAGCCGCTGTGGGACCGGCCCGGGCTGATGCAGCGCAGCGGGTCGATATGAGGGGCGGGAGGAGAGCAGGAGAGGGAGGCTGGGAGAGGGGTGTGGATGGGAGGCAGAGGGCGCAGGTGGTGGAGGGGTTGTGTATATAGCAGGGTGTGGGCAGTGGCGGTGTCGGGAGTGTTGGTTAGTGATGAGGCGGAGTGGCCGTGGGCGAGTGGGAAGGAGGGCGGGGCTTGCAGCGCGGGCATGACAGCGTATTCATGCTATCCCTGTAAGCGCTGTGCAGGTTGTGAACGACGTGTTTGGTTCATGCAGCCGGCGGGCTTGCGCTGCTGTGCCCTGCCGCGGCTGTGAGCGCCTCTCGGCTGGGATCTTATTACGTGAAATGGTAGGAGGTACCCCGCATGATGGCCCCCGCGTGCATGCGCAATGCCGAAAGCAGCACGCGGCCGTAGGGCGCATTACCGGATGTGCAGCAGATGCACGCTTGCTTGCTTGCATGCAGCCAGCTGGGAGGCACACAGTCGACTCGGCTGTGTCGACATGGTGCTTAATTTAGGGTTACAGGCTTACAGCACGGTTTTACAGATTATTAGCGCAGCCGTATATAACGCAGGTGGTGTTTCCCGGACCAGAAGGAATAGGAAATGCATGCGGAGGCAGCCCCGGCAATCCGCGGGATGAATTGGGCTAGCGGGGTAAGACATCCTTGCTAGGAGTGGGAGTCACTGCGTCATCAATGCCAAAGCGACTAAGCCATGTGCTTACCCCACAACCAACAGCAAATGATTAAAGACACACAAATACGGGTCTTCGTGACGTCTGCGTTTTGTACCCCCTGGCTAAGCCTGTCGCTCGGATCTGCCACAGCTCCCAAACTGCGGACCCAGGTACGTCAGAACGTAAGAGGCTGTGTCACTAGTCAAGGCGTCACCAGACATTATTACTTGGGCCCACGGCATAAGCAGTCCCCCACCATAGCTAGACCAGTACGATAATTCTTCAGCAACATTCTCCAATACACACTTCTCTGCTTACTTCCGATTTCCTCCCAGCAGACAGAAGGTGTATCTTTTCCGGATCCACGCGCCCATCCCTGCTGTGATGCCGTCACACCTCCTCCACCCGGTCCCCACACCAGTGCACACCTGTCTGCAACCAACATGCAAGGCCGGACCTACCCCCTACCCACCTTCACACCCCCACATGCCCCACGTCAACCCTCCCCCAATGCCTTCACCACTACGCTAGCTCCCTCACACACCTATTCAGCCAAACCCGCGCAAGCAGTGGGTGCGCCCCAAGCCGCCTCCGCCCCCGCCCCCGGCCCCCCCACGCTCCCATCCACACCCCCTCCCGCCGCCCCTCCTGCCCCCGCCGCCATGGCCCCGACCTCCTCCAGCAGCCTCCGGATGACGTTCTTGCCCTTGAACAGGTTGGTGCGGCGGATGCGCTCGTTGGCGAGGTGGCAGTTGTCGGAGGACTGCCCCATGGGGATCATGATGGCGGGCGCACCCAGCAGCCGCTCCAGGTAGGAGGCAACCGGCATGGTGCCGCCTGGCGGGGGGCGGCATGCACACAGGGGGTGTGAGGTGCGGGGGCGGCATCATGGCAGGCTGACTGCTGTGGTTCAAAACACAAGGCCTGGGGTCCACAACAGGCGGCCCTCTTGCTGCATGTGCTTCATGTGCCCCTCCATGCCACCCTCCTCCCCTGCCCTCCCCCGCCTGCCCACTCACCCTCCCGCACATACAGCGGATGCACGCCCCACTCCTTGGCGATGGCCGCCTCCGCCATGGCCAGCCAGGGCGAGCCGGGGCGCGCCTCCCACCAGTTGCCGCGCGCCTCCACGTGCAGGTCGATGGTGTTGCTGCTGCCCAGCGCGGAGAAGGAGCGCTGCAGGTGCCGCCTGGGGGGGGAGAGAGGGGGAAAGAAGCAGAGGGGGGGATGGCTCAGGTGAGGGCGGCTCGAGGGGTGCAGGCGAGTACTGGGCCGTTGGTTACCGGTGTCTACACGGAGACGCCCCCTCCAGCCACCTTGGGATTCTTCTTTTCCCCTCCATCCCCTCCTGCCCCCCCCCCACCTGAGGCAGTCCACCAGCTGGTCCGCGTCCTGGTTGGGCACGAAGCGCACCGACACCTTGCCCTGCGCGGCCTTGGGGATCACACTGAAGCGGGTGGGGCCGAACCTGCGGACGGAGGGGGTAAGGGGAGCGGGGGGGGGAGGTTGAGAGCGGCAGCGAGGAGGGGTGCTGGTAGGAGGCCCAACCAGGTCATTGGACAGGGCGAAGGCAACAGCGAAGGCAACAGCGCGGCAGGGTGCGGGCCGTGGGGTGTGTGTGCCCGCCTCGGCTCTCCCGGTGGCAGCTCAGCGCAGCGCAGCGCAGCAGCTCACCTGTAGCAGGTGCTGGCCGGCTCCGCCTGCTGCTGCTGCTGCCCCCCCGCCGGCTGCTGCTGCCCCGGCCGCATGTCCACCACCGACAGGCTGGGGCGGCACCAGCGGGTGACCAGCAGGTCGCGCTTGTTGGGCGGCGCGGTGAGCGCGGGCACACCCAGAGCAGCCTGGGGGGGTGGGTGGGGTTCCCCGTGTTAGGACACTTAGTTCGGTACCCTGTCTGCCCCTCTCCCCCCCTGGCTTCTCCACCATTCCCCCCCGCCCCCCCGCCCCCCCGCCCGCACCTTGTACCCCTCCAGCGAGAACTCCTCGCTGTCCTCCAGGGAGGTCCACGCCAGCTCTATCAGACCCGGCTCCACAGCGTCGTAGAAGCCGGGGACCTGGGGGGGGAGCGGGGTTTTTGTCGGGGTAGCCCAACGAATGCAGCCGAGGGCCCCTTCACTGGCGTTGCCCGCGCCCACGTTCAGCGTAAGGAACCCACACATATAGCCTGGGTCCACCTGCAATGGACAACTCCTCATCTCCCCTTAGCTCATCGCAAGTCCACAACCCACCCCCTCCCCCCTCCCCAGTCCCCCTCCCCCCCCACTCTACAAGCGCCCCCTTCCCCCTTCCCCCTTCCTCCCTCCCCTCCACCCCCTCTCCCCCGCTCACCTGCACCCTGCCCCCCGGCCCCACCAGGGTGGCCATCACCCGCAGCAAGTCCACCATGGGCTCGGAAAACACACCGCCTGGGGAGGGGGGGAGGGAGGGGGGATGTGGGAATTAAATGGGTGCTGACACGAGAACGGTAGCAGGAGATGTCTGCAAAGGGTACAAGAAAGCCAGGCATGCAGGCAGGCAGGCGCGCCCCCAACCCACCATCGTTGCCGCTGTGCAGGTCCCGCTCCGGCCCCGTGATCTGCACGCTGAGGCTCAGCATCCCCCGCATGCCGTAGGTGAGGCAGGGCGCGTTCTCGCCCACCCACAGCGTGTTGGAGATGATGATCAGCTGCGTGCCCTCGAACCACCTGGGGAGGAGGGGCAGGTGAGCAGCCATGGAGGGGTTGCAAGGGCGAAGAGAAGGCCGCAGGCTGCAGACAGCGAGCCGTGAAGCAAGTCGTAAAGCAAGCAGCAACACCGTAGTGCCACCGGCTGAACATGCGCCCCAGGCGTCTCAACCCTTACCTTCCCACACCTGTGTAGCACCCCCCCCAACACCTCCCCCCCCCCAACCCCAACCCCACCTGAGGTTCTGCGTGACCGCCTGCGCGAAGCCCCTCGAGCCGTTCTCCTCCTCCCCCTCGAACACGAACGCCACGTTGACCGGCAGCCGACCCAGCCGACCCATGCCCCCGCCTCCACCTGCTGCCCCTCCTGCCGCTGCAGTGCCCTCGGAGCAGCCCGCGTTGAGCAGCTCCCGGACCGCGAAGATGAAGGCGAGGATGGGGCCCTATGGAGAGGGAGGTTGGGGAAAAGAGAGCGGGAATAACAGGGGTTGTGAGCAGCATGGCTCAACAGGGCAGGACGCCTACAGGTCCTTTCCAGCAGGCGCACGTCAGAGAACAGGAAGACGGTGGCCGCGGCGGCCTGACCCCCAGGCTGCAGGTCCCCCCTCCCCTCCCCTCCCCTCCAAACCCCCCCTCTTGCGGTACCTTGTTGTCCGAGGTGCCCCTGCCGTACAGGTACTCGTTGATGGAGTTGAGCTCGAAGGGGTTGGTGGCCCAGTCGGGCTCGGCAGCGGGCTGCACGTCGTAGTGGCCTGGGGGGGGATGGGAGGGGGAGGGGGGGCGGAGTTTAAAGATTAGAGAAAGCAGGAGGGAAAGGAGGGAGGGAGGAGAGGATGAGGGTGAGGACGAAGCAGAGGTGAAGCTCCCGACCTGGCCCCCCCGCGCAATGGCCGACCCATGCCCGCATGTGAGCGCATGTGACAGGCGACTCGTGAGGCCAGAGGCCACGTGAGGAGGAGACACAGGTGGAAGGGACATGTGGGAAGGGAGTTGAAGGGGTTGGGGCGATACGGGTACGAGCAGTTGGCGCGAGCAGCAGGTACGGGGAGCAGGTACGGGGAGCAGGTACGGGAATCAGCCAGAATTAGCGGGTTGGGTGGGTGGGTAGGAGGTAGGGTGGGTGGGTCCCACCCTTCACAACAAAACAAGCGGGTTAAGGTTACGAGCGGCGTTGTAAGGGCGTCGGGGAAGCAGCGGTGGGGTGTCTTCCATGAAGCAGCGGCAGCAGCGGCTGGCAGCCCCACCGTAGAAAGTGACGGTGGGTCGGTCGGGGTTGTGTCCCAGCCGCCCGATCACAACCGGGTTCTTGTCCTCGTACACCTGGAGGCAGGGGGGCAGGGGGGAGGGGGGCAGGGGCAGGGAAGCAAGGGACAGCCAAGCAGCTTGTCGGCACACAACCTTCCACGCTAGCAGCACTAGCTAGGAAGACATACAGTCCCTCCTCCCATGCAGGCCATGTTTGATCCCCTGGTGCCTTCCTTCGCTCTCGCCGTACCCGCCTCACAACCCGAGGCATTTGGTACACAGTCTCCCCTCCCCTGCCATACCCCAGCCCCCCCCCCCCACCTGCACCACCTTCACCTCCGCCCCCAGCCCCTCCAGCATCTTGGCCAGGAACTTGGCGCCCTTGTGGCAGTCGTCGCGGTGGCGGGGGAACACACTCACCTGGGGGGGGAGGCCGGCGGCAGGGGGCGGGTGGGTGCAAAGAAGGCACATCAGTTGATGGCTTTAGCTAATAGAGGGAGAAAGGGAGCAGGAGCCGGGCTCGGCAGAAAGTAGCGAAGCCAGGGTTTGGAAAGGTGCTTATGAGGGTTATGACACGTTCCCCCGACTAGCTCCGGAACGACATCCATGCAGAGCAACAGCACCCGCACGTCTCCGACCTCCTTCACCTCCCCCCCCCGCCTCGCCCTCCTCTCGCGCCACCCCCCCCCCACCAAGCCCTCCCCCCCTCTCACCGTCTTGATGCGCACAAAGTCCCGCAGCGCCGCCTCCAGCTGCTGGTCGCTGGAGCTGCAACCCGCACCGAAACCCAAACCCTTGCCCAACCCCAGCCCCAGGCCCAAGGGCCCTGCCGGCAGCTGCACCGGCAGCACCACACTCGGGCCTCCCGCGGCGCCCGCCGGGCCGGCTGCCGAGGCGCCTCCCAGCAGCGCCGCAGCCAGGTTGTGCTGGCTGCTGCCCGCCAGGGGGCTCCGCCGGCCGTGGACGTGGATGGGGACCATGCTGCTGCTCTTGCCCTGAACCGGCAGCGGCGGCGGAGCCCCGCTGGCGGCGGGGTTGCTGCCGTTGGCGAAGGCGGTCGTGGAGACCGGCGGTAGCAGGGGGGCCGAGTGCGAGGCGAATGCTGAGGTGGCGGATGTTGAGGATGTGTCGCCGTCCGCTGCCACGGCGGCGGCGGCGACTGTGGGCACATGCTCCGCAGCCGCTCGCGGGGGCGCCAGGTCAATGGTGGCCGCCGCGCCGACGTCACCGCCCTCGCAGCTGCCGTCCGCGGCGGACGAGCTGGCGAGCGACCCGTGGGACGCATTGGACGCGCGGCTGTCTGGCCGGCGGACCAGGTGCGCCAGGGAGGGCGACTGCAGGATTTGCGTCGTCGGGGCCGACGGCCCTCCTGCTGAAGGAGCAGCTGGCGCTGCGGCTGCCGTCCCTGCCGCGGCTGCACCCTCCTCGGTCTTGGAGGCCGGCACCGCAACCGTCTGCAGCGGAGGCCGCTTGGGCAGCACCCATAGGTTGCTCTTGCCCGGCGCTGCCGCAGCAGCAGCAGTAGCGGCAGCCGAGCTGCCATCCGCAGCACTGCATGGCCCCTCCGTCCCGGGATCCGCTACCGCCGCGGCCTCCCCGCCACCACCCCCACCCCCACCCCCAAGCGAGAGCAGGTTCAACGCGTCCTGCACCGCGCTCGTCCGCCGACCAACCTCGTCACCACCACCACCCACACCGCCACCACCGCCGCACAGGGCCGCTGCCGCCGCCACCGCCCCCGCCGCACCGTACTGCTGCACATGCGCCAGCGCCGCCTGCACCGGTGTGGCCCCGCCTCCGCTGCCCCGCGCCGACGCCCCCTGCACCCCTCCCGTCGCCACCTCCACGCCATGCACCAGGCAGCCGCACGCAGCATGCAGCGCCTCCGCCTCCGCCGCCACCTCGCGGCAGCACTGCTGCAGTACGGCGCCGTACACGTCGTCGATGTGCCACATGCGTACCTCGCCGTCCGTGAAGCCCGCGACGGCCAGGTCGGCGGCCAGGCAGCCGCACAGCGCGGCGGGCACGGCGGAGGGGCTGGTGGAGGCGGCTGGCAGGGAGAGGATGCAGAGGCAGGTCCAGGCGGTGGACCTGGATGGCGGGGGGAGTGGGGGGCCGGGTTGGCGGGCTGTCGTGTATAGGACCGACCGCTGGTTGCACACCACAACCCGGTAAGAGGGGGTGGGGGCACACACGCCAGCCCCGCCTGTGCTCTCACCCTCGTGCCCTCAGCACAGCTTCCCCCCTCTGTGCTCTCACGCCCCCCCCTGTGCCCTCTCACCACAGCCGCACAGTGCCGTCCGCACTGGAGGAGGCCACCACCGTGCTGGCCAGCGCCACAGAGCGGCCGCCCGGGGTCAGGCAGCCGCCGTGCACACCCGTCGCCGCTGTCGTACCGTCGGGCACCGCTGCCCCCGCCGCTGCCGCCGCCTCCGTCAGTCGCTTGTGCAGGTGTATGGCTGCCAGGCCGGTGACGTCGTCCTTGTGTCCGGTGAGGGTGCGGCGGCACAGCATGTCCATCTCCAGGTCCCACACGCTGCGGGGGGAGGGGGAGGGGGGAGGCGGTGCGAGGAGGTGAGGTGTGAGGAGGTAGGACACTGGAGGTGGGAACTACGGTGGTAGGGCTACAGAGTGGAAGGAACGTTACAGCAGCGCGTGTCGCCGCTGGCAACATCGCCTCTTTCTTCTTCTTGAGGCAGCTTGAGGCTGCTTCTTGTTTTCCGACGTGGAATGCAGAGATAGGACGGGAAGACAAGGACCAGCAGGACGGCTGTTAGCCTGCCGGGCGAGCCCCCCCCACCCCCATCAGCACCCGCACCCGCATCCCTTCCTCCCACCGTATTGTGTTGTCCCTGGCCCCGCTCAGCAGCAGGTTGCTGCCCAGCCCCAGCAGGCACAGCACGCTGCCGCGGTGCCCGCGCAGCACCCCCACCAGCTTCAGCGTGGCGGCGTCCCACACGCGCACCGTGGCGTCACCTGGGGGCGGGGGGAGCGGGAGGGGAAAAGAAGGATACTCAAAGTGTTGAATGAGGCTGGCAAACAAGACGACGAGCTCCTGGTGGGGGAGCGAGGGCGGGTGGTGGGTGCGGTAGGGTGCGGTGATGCAACATGGTGCGGGTAAAGACAGCCCAGACTGCGATGCATGGACGTGTGGACCCTGACCCGGGGTTGAAAAAGGGAGGGCCTCTCGGACTCCTGTAAGCAATCACGCATACGGCATACCCTGTCTATCTACCATCTACTATCGACTTGCGACCATGTCCCTCCTCACACCCTCTCCAGAGGCCTTCCCCCCCCCCCTCGCTCCCTCCTCACCTCCACCCGAGCACAGGAACCGCCCGCACAGCGCCAGGCAGTTCACCGGGCCCACATGCGCGCCGCCCTCCGCCGCCGTCACCATCAGCGGCGCCAGGTCGGACACGCCCTGGTCCGCCTCCTCGGGCGTGGCGATGATGCGAGGCGGCAGCAGCGCAGGAGGACCCGCGAACCCCGTCGTGGTGGTGCGGGCTACGAGGCCACCCGCCGCCGTCAGGCTCGGCCGCTGCGCTGCGAATGGGGAGCGCGGCGGGGTGGTCATGCTGGGCAGGCGGCTGATGGCGGCGGAGGCGGGTGCGGAGCCGGCGGCGGCAGGAGCAGCAGCGGCCTGAGGGGGTGAGACCAGCGGCGCCGCCGCCGCGGCTGCCGCCGCCAGCAGCTGGTGCTCGTCCAGTGTGAAGACCTTGACGGTGGTGTCCTGGCAGCCCACGTACAGCAGCGACAGGCCGCCGCCGCCAGAGCTGCCGTTAGCGCAAACGCCGCAGCCGTCAGCGGCTGCCGCCGCGGCGCCGCCCTCACCTCGGCCCGCCGCCAGCGCTGCGCTGCTGCTCCGCTCCATCCCACCTACTGCTGCTGCTGCTCCTCCGCCCGTTCCTCGCCTCGCCCCCAGCGCCTCCACCAGCACCTCCTGCACCCCGCCCGGCACGTCCGCCATGCTGAGGCTGCTGCTGCTGCCGTCGGAGGAGGAGTAGCGGCGGCTGCGAGGTGAGGGCGAGGGCAGCAGACCCTCCCCGGTGGAGGAGCTCCGGGCGCTGTCGCCGCCAGCACCGCCACCGGCAGCACCTCCGTGTCCAACCCCATTGCCCACCATGTTGGCATCCGGCTGCGGGGTTTGCTGCGGGCGGCTGCCATCTTGGTTGTGATTGTGGAGGTGCTGATGGTGATGATGGCAGTTATTCCCATGCTCATGGTGGTGGTTGTGGTGGTTGTTGCGGCCGTGGTTGTGGTGCAGCCCCAGCACCTCCAGGCAGCGGATGGTGCCGCACGAGTCGCTGATCTTGACCAGCTGCAGGCAGCGGAAGTGCACCGCGTCCCACACGCGGATCTTGCGCCCGCTGGCGGCCAGCAGCAGCCGCCCGTGCGCGCGCAGCCTCATGGCGGTGACGGGCTTGCGCTGACCCACCAAGGTGTGCAGGCAGCTGTTGTCCAGCAGGCTCCACACCTGGGAGTGCAGGAGTGGAGGGTGGAGGGTGGGTGAAGGGGAAAGGTGGAGGGTGGAAGGTGGGGGAAGGGGAATGCGGGTTGGTGGGTAATAAGCAAGGTTACGGAATGGTGGAAGAAAAGGTCAAGGGTCGACCTCTCCTCAACTGCCCCTTCCCCACGATTGAGGCCGCTAACCCTCCCTTTGTCGAGTGGCACCTTGCCGCCTATTCTGACCCCCACGAGTGCCGTAATGTCCCCTGACCCCTGCTTTTTTCTTCTTTTCATTTATTATATTATTATTTTGTTTTTATGGTTTTAATTGGTCCCAAAATTGTCCCACCCCACCTTCACGCTGCAGTCCGCTGAGGAGGTGTAGAGCCGCGAGGCGTGCGGGCACACCGTCATGGCCACCACGGGGCCGCTGTGGCCGATCAGCCGCATGTAGTCGTGCGGCTCGTCGTCGGGGAACGCATCTGGGGGGGTGAGGAGTGGTGAAGGTAGGAGTGGAGAAGTGGAAAAAAGAGGTGAGCGAGCACAGAGAGGAAGGAAGGGGGCGGAGAGCGTACATTTGGGTCGCATGGGGCAGGTACGAGGGCGCGCGAAGCAGCATCGCAGGGTTCGCAGCGCAGCCTTTGGCGGCGATAATGCAACCCCTACTGCAACGGCTGGCTACAGGCGAGAGGACCACACGCGGCCACACACGTCTGGGAAAAGCGGAAGACGGGCCGGCGAGGCAAGCAAGGCTGCCATGCACGCAGGCCCCCCACAAAACACACCTAGGAACTCCGCCTGCGAGCCGACCCGTGACGCCAACACTGCTGCAGGGCCCGCCGGCTCGGGCTGGCCCTGCTGGGGCTGACCGCTGGCGCTGATGCGGCGGGGGGCTGCAGACCGCGGGTGGGGAGGCGGGATGGGTCGGAAGGTCAGGGCGGTGAGCTACGCATGATTACCACACGATCGGTAAGCTAAAGCACGGCAGCTATCATTAACGCTACGCAGAAAGCGGCCCGGCTCGCCCGGATACCAGAGTGATCCACCCAGAGTGAGTCCCAATCCGGCCCAGCCCCTATAACAGTCACCACCACCATCAAACGCACCCCGGGCAGCGCTTCAACCCGCACCCCCACCACAGCGTCACAACACCAGCCCCTCTCCACCCACCCATGCCCAGAACGGTCGAAGGCAACGACGGCAGCTCATGTAGGGTATCCGGCGACGGCTGCAGGAACAGCGAGGACCCGCCGCCAATACCCAGACCCGTGGGTCGGTGCGCCAAAAACGCGCGACTCTTTGCCGTAATCCCGCGACTGAGCGCCTCCAGGCAGATGCACACGTCGCGCTGAGGATCCAGCCCCGGAGGCGGGGCCCCGTACACACCGCCCCCCGAAGACCTCCGGGGCAGCGGAACCTGCGGCTGCATGACCGCCATCGAGCCGGGTGCGCCTAGCAGGGCTGCGGGCGCGGGGAAGGGCAGGCTGGGCGCCGGCGAGGGTTGCAGCAGCGGGTAGACGCGCAGTGGGCAGCGCAGCGTGTTGAGGAAGCCGCCCTTCTCGCGCGTCACCACGAGCGCGGTGTTCTTGGGGACGGCCACCCAGTCGGATGCGGAAGCTGAGGGTGCGGGGGACACACATGGAACGGGGGTGGGAAGGGAGTTGGGAAGGGGGTGCACATGTGCGCGGGGTGCGTGCAGCCCCTTGGCCACGTACGTGCTTGGCAAGATGGCAACCCAGATGCCCCACATGCTCGTACAACTCCCCGACACCAGCCCCTCCCGCTCTCACCCGTGATGGGCTCCGATGCCACGAACACCACCGAGGGCCCCTGCGCGCTGAACCCCAGCTCGTAGCTCGACTCCCGCGTGATGCTGCTGCCGCCGTTGCACCCCGCAGGACACGGCGAGTAACCAGGCCCCTGCTGCCCCCCCCCTGCTGCTCCTGCTGCTGCTGCCTGCAGCCCTTGCTGCTGCTGTCCCCCGCTCACAGCGCCCACCTCACCCCCCACCACCCCAGAACCAACAACACCCGGCTGTTGCTGTTGTTGTTGCGCCGGGGGGGAGACGGCGGCGGCCATGGCTGCAGCCACGGGTGTGGCGTGCGAGGGCGCGGGTGTGCGCGCGAAGCTGGCGCCCTCCGCGTAGTAGAGCGAGGCGGGGCCGTCGGAGTCGGGCGACACGAAGCGCGTGGCGATGAGGGTGGTGCCGTCGCTGACCACGTAGTTGAGCAGCGAGGTGGCGGTGATGCCGTGGCGGCGCTGGATGGAGCTGATGGTGGCGATGGTGTCCTAGGAGAGGGGGTGGGAGGCGGAGGGGAGGCGGCGGCAGCGGGAGGTGATACGTGAGGTAATACCAGCTGGCTGCCAATGGATTAGCCACGGCAAGCCTCCCTCTCGGCTATGTATGCAAGCGGTGGATTTTTAGACATGATGCCTTGGTGCCATTTCGCAACCATGGGGCTTCATTGTCCCGCATTGGCGTACTTTGCCCCATTTATGTCGTGGTGCCCACTTCCGCCGCCCCCCACGCCGCGCGCACCTGCATGGCCTTGATGAGCACGTCCGGCGCCAGCTGCGCGCGGATGTCGGGCAGGTGGTGCAGGAAGAGCGCGAAGCTGACTGCCGAGTCGGAGTGGAACGACTGCACCGCGTTGTACGCGCAGTCCGACAGCGTCTCCAGCAGCGAGCGACGGATCTGCGGGGGCAGGGGCGGGGGCGGGGGCGGAGAACAGGCGACATGGGGCCGGCAGCCCGGGGCTCGGGATGGAGGGGTATTATCCCGTATGTCCTGCCAGAGCCAAAACCGCTTCGGAACATCAAACCCGGACAAGGAGAAGGTTATATGGGTGTGTGGGCTGCCCTGCTACGCCGCCGCCGCCCCACCCCCCGCACCTGCGCGAAGCCCGCCACCACTCCGTTGTGCATCCACATGTAGCGGCTGAACTGGAAGGGGTGGCAGTTCTGCTCGCTGCGGAGGAGGAGGACACGGGGAGGACGAGGCGGGGCAGCAACAAAGATGGGTTATGGTAGCACGGTAAATACTGCAGGAATCCCCATCCTGGGACACGCTGCCACGCTCCCATGCATGTTCCCGGTGCAGGGACCGGGCCCTCCAGGGCCGCCCCCCCTCCCTCCTCCATCCACCCGCCCGCCCCCGCACCTGACCGGCATGCCCGGGTAAGCCGCCCGCACGTGCGCGAACACGAGCGGCGACACGATCTTGCAAGCCAGGCGCGACAGGTTCTCGTTGTTCCTGTGGTCGGGTGCGGAATCCAGCAGCAGCGGCAGCAGCCAAGAGAAGTGTCAAGCTGTCAACCGCAAGGCAGGCAACATGGCACCTGGGCGATCCCACAGCATGCAGCCCCTCTGCAACACCAGACCAGAGCGGAAGCCGCGTCCTGCTTACCACGCCGGGGTGATGCTGGTGAAGACGCACGGGGTGGGATCCCGCTCCCGGCGCTCCTCGGGGTTGAACCAGCCGATGCCAAAGCCATCGCCATTGAGGTTGCCATGTCCTGCGCGGGTGAGCAGAAGTTTAGCATAGGGCAGTTTTAGGCAGACTGTATTTAACCAATTGGCATAGTGGCTATAGTCAAGGCCAAAGGACTAGTAAGGGCAGACAGCTAAGCGTTAGAAAAGAAGCCTGGCATAGTGTGGCTTTTGGGGTATTGTCCAACCAACGCCTTTCAAAGGGCACAGAAGGGGCGATGCGTTGAACCCCGGCGTCTTATGAACAACCCATCTACCGGTGAAGCATCATAAACACATCCCCGCGATGTATTGTGTGTGCGTCCGGGCTCATGCGCAACATGCCTTACGCTCGCTTACCAAGGTGGAACGGTAGGGTGGGATCAATTTTTCGTTCACGGGCGTCATACGACTGCATTGGATAATGGGGTGTTTGCGCACTTAGGAAGCAGGCAAGCCACGGCTGAAGAAGAAACGGTTCGTAGCACAATCCCAAGTTGCGGCCCCGCAGCCGGCAGACGCAACACCTACAGCCCACCTGCTTAATGATGCTCCTGTCAGGCCATAAAACAATGTCGGCCAGCAGCTACGCGAAAGAAAGTTGGACAACCGTTGGACCGGGGGTAGGCAGGCAACGTACGAAACCGACAGCTGTCTCGTGAAACCGCGCACTAATACTACACTAGCTAGTAACTAACCTGTGGCTGGCCGACATAGGCCATTAATCGACACATCGTGTTCCAGGTACAAATGCCCAAGTTGCTACGTGTCCAAAAGCTCGTTAGCCATGGTCAGATGGATACTTACTGTACAGGGGAGGATGTTGAGATCGGAACGGCTCACTTTCCTTAAAAGTAAAGAGAACTGCCGTACACGTTGTTTTCTAGGAAACCCTCAGTCACGTTTGTCTCTACAGCAAATAGGAGACGAGTTAATCATTTTAGTTTAAGAAATGGACTTAGGAGACTTGTAGCGAAACATGCCGGGGGGCTGGGAGCTTGGGGGCTGGGAACTGCCTTTGCCGTCTGAAGAGTCCGGAAAGGAAGTTCCCAGCGTACTCAAAGCAGAGGAGGAAATCGCTAAGTTTACGGTGCGGCGAATCACCCAGCTGTGCAGCGGTGGCTACATGAGCCAACCTCCTTGCTGCTTTGCAGGTTGATGAACACCTAAGCGACGTAGAACGCACTGTACTTTATCTAAATGGTGGACAGCTCATCCAGCAGCGTCATGCAATTGCCAAGTAAGACCGTTGGCCCTTCTTTGGCGCTACGCCGCGTAACATGTCGTTCCGTTCTTGTCGCTGCATGCAGCTTGCCCGCTGTCCTCAAGGGACGCGGACGGCCTGCATTTGACGCTATCTCACAGCCCTTAAAGGCTGCTCTTAATCGGTTGGACTCGGAGGCCCAGGTGGGGTCACATGGGCTTGGCTTGACCCCTCGGAGGAGGGTGCGTGCCGACGGTTGCCTCCTTACTGACGCAGATTGCAACAGCGGAAGCATTTGCGACAATCGCACGCGAGCGATTGCTGTCGCCAGTGGACCTGCAGGTTTGCATCCTGCCAACCGTCACCCGAAACATCAACCGGGAGAAATCTGAAGAGGTGCGCAAAGGCGTTACTGCAGAATACATGGCAAAACCCGGCAACCACACGCTGCTTGTGCCGCTTTCTATGCGCCACAGGAGACGGACGCATGGCTCAACACCCTCTTCGAGCTCATCCCCTTGCTAGACAAGGAGGTGCTCAAAACGGAGGTGCTCTCGCTTGCACTCTCCAAAGGGGACGTGGAGGGCGTTGTAGGGTCGAAAACTATATGCGTCCGGATCTTGGGCGCGCTGGCGCCACGGCTGGTGGGTTAGGGATGGGTACGGGGTGGCTTGGCGGGCACGGCGCGTGGATACTGTCTAGCTTATGTGCTTAGTGTCTAGCTACACCCGGGGCCGGCCATGTCGGGCCAAAGCAGGGAAGAAGTAAAGCAGCCAGCAAGCCGTGCATGTAAATGGTGTAATGCCACGTCTCCCTACACCCTAACGCCTTCGCATGCACGCGCCCATTACCCTCCCTCCCAACAGACATGGGAAGAAATCGAACGGACGTTTTTCAAAAAGGCGCTCAGCATGTGCCAGGACGTGGACCACCATATTCGCATTGCCTCATGCGGGCAGCTCGCCAGCATAGCGCGCATCGCAGGCAAAGACGTGGTCGCGAAAACCATCCTGCCCGAGCTCTTTGAGCTGTTGAACGATGAGGAGATACAGGTGCGCGGGCGGCTGCTCACGGAGGGTGGGGCTTTACGGGTATGGGGCAGTGGCACTCCTGGGACGGTGCACGCAAACAGCTTTGGAGCGAAATGCCACTAGGACGCCAGCCGAGTATCAGGTTTGGAGGATAAGCCGGGGCAGAAGCAGCACACGAGCCAAGACCGGCTGTCTTTAGCACCCCAAAGCACCCCACCGCATGTCAAGCAGTTCCCTTCACCCGCGGCCCCGGTCTCGGTCCCGCCCCCGGCAGGCACGTGTGGCTTCGCTCACCACGCTAACCGCCATCCTGGACATGGTGCCCCCGGAGGTGCGGAAGGGGCAGGTGATGCCCATCCTGCGCAACCACATGCAGCCGCTGGAGCTGGACGTGGCCATGCAGCGCTGCCTGGCGCGCATGTTTGGGCAGCTCGTGACGGTGGTGAGTGGCCTGTTGAAGCGGGGGCCGGCGGGTGTGGGTAGGGTGAAGGAGGGTGCCCTCACAGCTTGAGCAGCACGCCATCCACGTCACCAGGCTGTCACCATCAGGGGCGGCGGGAGGCGTGGCAAAGGGACCACGGGCACCACCACATCATTAGCGCGTCGCTCAACACACTTTCACCACCACTATCCCTAGAACTACATGCGCATCACATACGCAACCTCGCGCGCGCAGGTCAAGGTGGACTTTGAGCACGACGACTCGGTGCTCTTCTTCTCCTGCTTCAAGCACCTAGCCACCAAATCAGACGTGGAGCTGCGGCGGCTGTGCGCGGGGCAGCTCCCCGCCGTCCTCCGCGCCGCCACCGCACTTGCCGCCGCCGCCTTCTCGCAGCAGTTCCAGGACACGCTGAACAGCCTGGCCACGGATGCGGATGTGGAGGTGCGCAAGACGGTGGCTGGGCAGCTGCATGAGGTGGCGCGGGTGGTGGGCAAGGACTGCCCGGCGCTGCTGACGCGGCCGCTGTGCCGGCTGCTGCGCGACGAGGCGCCGGCGGTGCAGTCCGCGCTGCTGCCCACGCTGACGCAGTGCCTGGTGCACTGGTCCATACGAGACGAGTCGCGGCGGGATGCGGCGATGGGTGAGCTGGCGAAGGCGCTGCTGGAGATGGAGGCGGCGACGAAGCGGAACTGGCGCATGCAGCAGCAGCTGGCGGTGGCGTTCCCGATCTTCCCGCAGGTGCGTGGGTGCGCGTGTTGGTGGATGGCATGGCGTGAAGGGTGGGCTGCTGGACCGCGGGCTGCTGCGTGGGGTATGTGTGGAGGAGGAGGACTGCGGGACGGGAGTTAAAAGGGGATGCTGGGGATTGAAGAAACTGAGCCGCAAGGAAGCATGCTGGGGATGCACGCACGCGGCTTTGGCAGGGCTTGGGTCTTGCGCACGAGGCACCGCCCCCTATCGTCGATTAGGGCACACGTGCATGCGGGTAGAACGCACACCTGTGTCGCTGCTTACTTGACCATCAACCGGTGCCGCCATCCGGTAGTCTATAGCTTTTAAAGGCGTAGGTAAGTTAGGAGACAGGAGACGGACATGGCTACATTGAACCGGGAAAGCCCCTCTAGGACAGCAGGGGAGATAGACATGCTTGCGTGCCGCGCCTACCTTGCTTCGATCCCACGGACGCCCCTCCTCCGTTGGCCTCCTCGCACCAGATCTTCTCGAGCGACCAGGTCTTTGAGCACTTCGTGCCGGTGGTCTTCCGGTACCTCACGGACACAGCAGCAGCGGTGCGGCCGGTGGCGGCGGAGGGACTGGTGTGCTTCATGCGCTACAACAGGTACGGCCGGTTGTGAGGGTTGTCCGGGACCTGCGCCCCAGGCTCGAACAGGTCGTACAGAGCGTACGGCAGGGTCAACGGCAGATAGTACGGGATTTCTGGTTATTCCCCCCTCATGCTTCACACACGCACCTGCTCCACCACACACAGGCGGGAAAAGCAGCGCGCGGAGATGCTGCTCCGCATCATCCGCGACTACTGCCGCGGCCGCTCCTTCACCGCGCGCATCACCTTTGTGGACATCGCCACACACCTGCTGCGGCGCTTCTCCTCGCGCTTCATCAAGGAGTACATCTTCGATCTGGTTCTGGAGCTGCTGTACGACCCGGTGCCCAATGTACGGCTGTCCGCCACGGCGCTGCTGCCGGTGCTCAAGACGTGCATCAAGCTGCCGGAGGATGTGGACCTGTTGGAGCGGCTGAACAGCGGCATGTCCAACATCATGACGGATAACGACCGGGACGTATCGCAGGTGGGGTGGAGGTGGAGGGCAGAGATGTACCCAAACCAGGGGTTAGGGTAAAGCAATGGGGATATAGAGGGCAGCAGGTTGTCACAAAACAAAAGAGGTGGGCGAGGGTTAGGGAGGAGGTGGAGGGCGGAGGATGCCCCGGGGGTGGGTGCGGGCAGGGAGACGTGGCGGTCAAGGGCGAGGCAGGCGTGACAGTAGGAATGGCATGTACCAGAGTGAGCACTAACAAACGCCTGCACGGGGCATGGCGACGAGGCTGCAGCCAGGATACACTGTAGCTGTCCGAGGCTATGTACGGTAGCCAGGCCCATTGTACCCCGAGGCCCCCCTCATGCTCGCCGTGCCCCTACCTACCATCTCCCTCGCCCCGCCCGCCTCCCCGCGCCCCCCCTCCAGAACGCTCGCGCCATGAACGAGCAGTTCAAGAAGACCCCCATGCGCATGGGCGGCGCGGGCGGCGGCATGCTGGACATGAACGGCAACATGGGCGCTGCCTCGCCCTCGGCGCTGGGCTTCGGGCTGGGCGCCTCTCCGGGCTCCATGGAGGCGGAGGACCGGCGCAAGGAGGAGGAGGAGCTGGAGTTCACATTCTCACAAGACGACGTAAAGGAGTAAGTACCGGCGTGGCTGCGGGTGCTGGCTGGGCTAGGGCAGCAGACGGGTTCCTGCGACCGGAGGCTCCTGTGTTCCTGTGACGGGTGACACCGCCAACGGCAACGTCCTTTCGCTAACCACCCTTCACACACGCCTGCCCCCCTGTGCAGGATCAAGGGTGAGATCCTGCAGGTAGGGCCCATCAAGAACAAGGGCCTGGGCGCGGGGCCGCTCGCCAGCAAAGGCAGCGTGCAGCGGCGGCCGGGCGGTCTCACGCCCGTCAGCGGCTACGACCGCACCTCGTCCAACATCGCCAGCCGCCAGGGCTACCCACCTCGCCGCCCGGGCGCCGGCAACGGCAGCGAGGACGGCTCGGGCGCACGGGCCACGGGCGTCACCACGCTGGGTGCCGTACGTGCCCCCGCCAGCGGCGCCGGCGTCAGCGGCCCCGGCAGCCGCATCGCCTCCGCCGCCAGCTCCGCCGGCGGCGGCGGCAAGTCCTACGGGCTGGGCGGCCCCGTAAGCCTGGCCAGCCCCGTCAAGGGTGGCCCCTCCATGTCGCGCATCTCCTCCATGCCGTCCCCCATCACCAAACCCAGCTCCCCGCTGCTCGCCAGCACCCCCTCGCCGCCCTCCTCCTCCGGCTCCGGCTCGCAGACCGGGCTGCGGCTACCCGCCATCACCACCCGCTCCTCGCCCTCCTCGTCACCCTCCACTGCCGGCATGGTTACCAAGCCGGGCAGCGGCGGCGGCAGCAGGCTGACGGGGGCGGGCGGCGGCATCGGAACAGCGTCCATGGCCAAGGCCTCCCTCACGGCGGTGTCTAGTGTGGGGAGAAAACCGAATCGGTGACTCCCAACGGTCCCGCAGGCTGTGACCAGTAACCTGGCTCCGGGGCGCTCCCCACGCGGCGAGCGGTGACCCTGGCGGCCTGCGGCATGGGGGGCGGGTGTCGTGGGGGCCGCGCTGGAAGGGAGCTGGGAAGAGGGGCAAGGCGTAGGGGGAGATTGGGCGCGCGTAGGATAGCGACTAGCGGGTGCGTGCAGGAGGTGTATGTTGGGTGAGTAGAAGCACCGTAGCTACAGCGTATATTGCCCTACTGCGCCAAAGCGGTTGTGGGTTTCTCGGCCTTGACTTCCACGTCGCGCGATGATTGCTGACGGTGTAACGGATGAGTGGGATGTGTTGGCACCTGGGGGGTTTTGACGGATGCCTGTCGTACGCAAGTGGTGTGCGGCTTGCGTGGGCGGGCGGGTGGATTGCTGCGCAGTTGGGACGTGCCGTGGTTGGGCGTCGGATGGGCGCTGCATTACCCGTAAGACTGCTGTAAAGGGGTTAAGCTGTTGGTTTATGAATCGTTTGCGAAGTATGTTGACATGCGTTTCGAGGACCTCGGGAGGGATGGCTGACGGTGTCTGCGAACAATACGGGCAGGTGGTGGAGCTTTGTCGTACGTGCAGCTGTGAGGTATGTGGTGAGGAGGTACCGGTATCCAGACAAATTCAAGTGGTCTGCACAGCACCCGCAACTAAAACAGGGGTGTCGAAGTTATGAGACGTTGACCGCATTGGACTCTTCCCTAGAATGTGTGTGTGGCGAATCTGCACCACCGGCAGGCAATCCTGCATTGCCGCGGGCCCTGCAACACCCAAGCCCTTTGTCGCTGTGTTGGCTATTGGTGCACGCAACGGTCTGCACGGCTTGAAATAAGGCCATGTGTTGTCTGTGCTAATAGCCGGAGTGAGACGGCTGTTGTGTGGTGTCGTGGTGGTGGCGGTGGGCAGCATGGTGACATGGGTTGGCACAAACGGAGCCCATTGGCGTGTTCTAGTTGGCAGGACGGACTCGGACGTACGCTTGGACTGGTAGTAACCATGTGCATTATTGCTTTGACTCGCCTGAGGACGCCTCCCACATAAACCATGAACTACGACGTCCATGGATCCATGTAGGGCTGTGTACGGCAGGTGCGCGACGTTTGTGCTCGACCTTTACCTCGCTTGTCGGTTATGGCAATTGCTTCTGCTAGCATGGAGTCTTTACCTAGACGCTATAGTTATCAGGAGTCGTTCACCAGCCTGACTTGGCGCGACTGCAAACTATAAACGACCGAGACATTACCGTCATCTGTAATACGATATGCAAACTTAGGAATAGCATTGTCAAGTTGCCATGTATTCTCGGGCGTCGCTCGACCCCGGTGGAATGACAAACTGCCGAAGAGTTCAGTGCTCGGGGCCGGGACGATTTGGGTCCGTGTTCCAGACAACCCAATTGAGGGTACCTAGTCAGCATTGCCTGGGAGTAGTCAATAACAGGAATGTGTGCGCATTTCGGGTAGTTTCGGGTAACGGCAACACCGATGAGGGCGGCCATTTGCGGAGAAAACAAGCTCTGACGCCCCAGACAAGTTCTGCTGTCAATCTTGCAGCAAATGTCGAGCGACGCATGGAGAGCGGGCGGTTAATTTTGGAGAAGGCGCCTCGGCCACCAAATGGCGTAAACATAGAAAGTAAGTAAGCCGCCTACCAGATGTGTCTGATAACTCTGCAACAAAGACTTGTTGTTGCAGGCTTTAGAAAAAGGCTTTTGGCACCGCCAGCCAACGACCAACTTCCTAGGTTGAACGCTCTCATCGTCGTCGAGGGTTTTAACGACTGCTTCGCAGTCCACCGAGCGGTCCGGGCACCGGTGGGTCTTGCATCCTCAGCCAAAGGCGTTTTTTGCTCTTGCTGCGCCTTACCCACCATACCTACTACGGGGAATACCATACGTCACCTACGCCGCCCAGGTCTTCGTGCTCGGCGGCGGTTATGCACTTGCGGATAAGATGAAGACCGAGCTGGGCTACCTGCGGACCCTCGCGGCCTCCGGGTCGCTACCCAGACAGCTGGTGGTCTTCACCGACCCAGACTGGCAGGGCCGCATGTTCCGAACCTACTTGGACGACCAACTGCCGCTACAACCACCACCACCACCACCGCAGTCCAATCCCGTTAGTGGCTCCACACTAAAGCCAGTAGTCGTGCGCCCGCCTGCACCGAAGGTGGGGCAACGGCAATCCAGCGATGGTGACGACCCAACATCGGAGCCGGTGCCCATGAAAGGCGCTGGGGTTCAGGGGCCCGTTGTCGTACGACATGCCTTTCTGCGAGTGGAGCTGGGCACCAGTGAGGAACGCAACAGGTGGGACAGCGCCACATTAGGCACCCTGCGCTAACCCCAAGCCGGATGTCTTATAAATGTACATAGTGCTGAGGCTTCTGCGGCCCCTGTAACCCATACTGTCGTACTGTATTGGTATGTACGTGCCAAGGAGCTGGGACCTCCGGGGTACAGCAGCAACGGGCAAAGCCTCATCGGGCCATCACGCCCCTTGAGCTGTCTGTTCAATGCACAGTCGTTATGCCCCTCCCTTGGATTGCACTGTAGGAACCACGAGGCGGGCAACGTCGGTGTGGAGCACGCTTCTCCCGACACCATCCGTGCCTGCCTGCGGCGCGCCCGACCCGGTTTCGGAACCAGCCGCAAGGAGTTTAGCGTTGAGGAGCTTCGGGTGGCGGGCCTGGTGGGCAGCTGGGAGGACAAGGCGCAGGTGCGGACGGGAAGGTTCAGGGTTCACATGTAGACCTCGTCTAGCATAAGTACATATGGTGGTGCAGCTTCCTGCTCTTGTTCCAATCCCCAAAGCTTTCCGCGTCGTGCAAGGGCACTGCTCGCATGCTTGATCTAGAGATAGACCCAAATCCTTCGTTTCCACAAAGGGTTGTCTGACCAGTTATGACCCATGGGACGCAGGTGGCCGGACCCAAGCTGCGACGCGGCCGCTTCTGCCGCGCCCTAGGCATTGACGAGGTTGGCTCGGGTAAAGCGCTGGTCAACCTGCTTAACCGCTTTTTCACGCGGGAGGAGTACGAAGCAGCCCTAAAGGCTGCAGACGAGAGCAGCTAGGGCTGTGGCTAGGTTAAGCCTTGGGAAACCTTGAAAACCATGCACCCACGACGTGGAGCCAGCGGCGCTAGGAAGAGCTCTTTGTGTGTGGTGAAGGAATAGTGGAGTTCAGCCTTCATGGCCAACTGTGGACAGATATGTGACGTAGGAATTGGCACGGGGTTATGAGGTTGCCGCCGGTAATTAAGGGTCTTTAACAAGTTGGATGTTATATAATAGGGCGTGCGTATGTGTTCATGCATGAAGAATCCTTACCCAATCGTGGAGTAGCTTTGGGCTGAGGCTGCTGAGCGGCGTGAGTGCAACATGTCCATGCTCCTGTGCGCAACGGCCTCGTGGATAGACTGGAAACCCTACGACCGCGGCTAGCACGCCGTTATAGCCCTAGAGTGCCAATTAAAATTGCGTTGTTGTCCTTTCCTTGGCTATCCGCAAGCTTTCTTGAGCGAAGACATGCAATGGCTGTTGACTGCTATCTTGGAGCAGCCAGTTATACACCTTGCCACACAAAATGGGGTCCCCGTCTAATGGATCTTAAGGCTATACGGCTACTCATACGTATTTCACTTCGGGTACTGTACGGACGCCGAGAGTTAGACCTCTTGCCTTGACCTAGTCTGCCTGTGAGGCAGTTGTACATACCATACTTACCCTAGGCTTGCTTTACAACCCCTCAAACCGTCTTTGGGGTTTAACCGGCGCGCGCTAGCACTGCCAGCTTTCTAGGTGTTTCAGAGTCTTAGGCTGTTTTCCCACTGTATAGTTACTCAAAACTTTGGTATGCATCGTGTTGGTTTGGAGTCTTGTTAAGCTGCTGTTACACGGGAGCTGCGCTGCAGGTCCTGCTGGGCCATGTTCAACTCCCAGACCGGTTGTGTCAGCAACTTTATTGAGCACGATGGCTGCGCCCGCACTGTTATCGTGCTGCTTTTGCTGACAACCGTCGGGTGCATTAGCTATACCTGGGGGTACTACGAGGTAAGACGTGCCTCGTGAACACCTGGCATAACCTCGTTGCATTTTGCTAGCAGAACTCTGCTTTGACAGTCGGGGTTTTGTTGCCTTCGTGCAGGGCATCGCCAATGCGCAGAGCAACCTTATGCTAGACAAGCTGCATGAGATTCAGCTCATGAATATGGCAAAAGAGAATGCCACAAGCACCAAAAAGCATATAGCGGGGCACGGGAGACACCTTTCAGAGAGCCAATCATCGGGCCTAGGCGCAAGTTCAAGCGGCAGCTCTCCGGAGCCGCTAGAGTTTTCAGCGATTGGCGCAGCGGCGTTGCTGGAGGATGCTGCAGCGGAGCAAAGCGAAGAGGAGTCTAGAGACTTGTCGTCAGCGGCACAACTGCGGGGCTCTACGAAACTGCAGAGCTCCCGGAAAGGGTTGTCGGGGCGGTTAGAGGACGGGGGGACGTAAGGGGGCGAGGGATGTAAGGGCGGGGGGACGTTTTCGCTCCGTGCTCTCTGTGGTGGACATGCAGTTACTGCGGTGGAATGCGCTGTGGACCTACGTGCTTGGGTTCAGCAATAATCCATGAGGTTTTGGTTTGGTTGCATGATGCAGTTTATTAATTCGGCACAACGTTCGAATTGTCATGTGCTGTCCGTTTATTCTTGACGCATCGTTACCATGTACGACCGGCAGGTGGTGTGGGCGTGAGCTATGGAGGACACTAACATGATATAACTTCAAAATGTGCAAAAAAGACACATGACAGCATCTTGATTGGGGAACATGATTGCATAACTACCTTGTGTGGTGAGCACCTTATTAATGTTTATCCTGTGCATACCACACGCGGCCAGTTTTGTCAACACACGCTGAAGCGCCATCTGGAGGCGCCATGCCATGCCTGCTATTGTCAACTATGTTCAATGTAACCTGTCAGGGAGTCCACCTCTGCACTAAATCCTAACGCTCAAGGGCGCTGCGCCTTTTCACAGCATGCACTCACTGCACTGTAAGCCATATCTACATCATCGGAATTCACATGAAATTCACTGAGCAACTCACGTGTGTCCTAGCCTCACCCAAACCGGATTTGCCCATGCCCAGCAATGCTCGCGTGTGGCAACTTCGATTCAACGTCTAGTGCCGCTGACAGCTCCTCCATCAACGTTTTACTTCTCCCAGCAGCCGCGCCACCCCGCCCGGGCCCTGCTGCGTCAGCACCCCGCCCCTCCGTGCGGCTCAGCACCTCCTCCAGCCCCATCACAATGCACCCCCCGCAGTCCTGGCGCCCGCCTGCCGGCGCTGAACCCGACCTTCCTCCTCCTCCTGCACCTCCTCCTTCTGCAGGGCCGCTTCGCCGCGAGCGGTATGCCGTCCCAGGCGACCCAGACGTCGACGCCCCTCCCGACTCCATCACCCGCGCCAACGTTTGCCCCGCCTGCAGCTCCAGCTCTTGTCGCCGTCCGGCCGCCTTGCGCGTGGTCTCCCGTATCTGCAGCCGCCGCGCCGCCTGGTAGTGCAGCTGCAGCGCCTCCATGTGCTGCTCCCGCACCAGCCGCGCCATCTGCATGTCAGCAGCATGCTGCTCGAACCGTGGGTCCACACCCACTTGGGTGTGGTAGAGGCCCGAGGTGATCCATGGGTCGGTCACACGTTTCCGCAGCTTGCCGGTCTCGCTGAGCGTCAGGCCTGGCCGCCCCACCCAGTCGCAGCTGAACTCCTGCAGGTGTACCGGCTTGCTGGCCTTCTGCAGCATGGTGCTGGGCTCCGAGTGGATGAGCATCATCTCCATGCCGTCCGCCCCCTGCGTGCGTGTGCGCCCCTGCGCGATGCTGACGGCGCGGGAGATGAGGCGGTCACGGCCGATGCTGGTGCCACCCACCCCTGCGCTGTGGGTGATCCGCATGCTGGGCGCGCGGCTCATAACCTGCACGCAGTGAGGCCGAACAAGTCGAGCACCGCATTCGTTAGTGGCAAAAACGCCTTCACGCTTGCCATGCATCCTTGCCTTCGTGTAATTTCTCACGCAGTCAATAGCAGGCATCCACGTCGTCACAGCCAAAACCCACCTCGTCATACTGCGGCCAGTCCTCGTTCCCAATGGCGTAGTTGACCGCCGCCGGCATCTCCACCTCGGACTCGTCATCGTTATTGCCGCCGAACTTGGCACTCCCGCCCGCCGTCTCGTGCAGCCACAGCTGCTTGGCGGTGGTGCGGTAGCAGTCCTTGAAGTCCAGCGTGGGAACCACCGTGGGCGGCGGCTTGTAGTCGAATGCCAGCATGGCGCAGCGCGCGATACAGTCCAGGAACTCTGCGAGAAGGGACAAGACAGAGAAGGCAACAAGACAAAGGGAGATCCATAAAGCAGCGTCGTTTTGAATCGGAAGAACGCAGTGGGGTTGTTAGTCCTCCCACTCCGGGTAGAAGGCCCCAGTCACGCGGGTTGGTAAGTGCCTGCCAGTACCAGCAACGCCGCGCAGCCGCACCTTGGAAGCTCAGGCGGATCTTGGTGTGCACGTTGGAGTCTATGGGCTCGGGCGGCGCCCCGAATTTGGAGCGCTTGAAGGAGTGGATGAGCTGCACCTTGCTCAGCACGACGGCCGTGACCTCGAAGTCGGAGGCGAGGCGAAGGAAGCTGTTGAGCGTGATCTCAGCCTGCACGGCGCCCACAGCCAACAAAGCGGGGTGCAGATCAAGCATGGCGATGGGAGTACCGGTACCAGTAGAGACACCAAAAGCAATAGGCCGGCAAAGAGTATCCCGTACACCAACACAAGCCGCAACCCCAACCTCCATCGCAACCACCGTGCAAGTCACAGGAGAGAGCCCCTGTCAGCCCAAACAACCATTGATGCGCGCGACCTCCCTCTCATGCCTCCTTCTCTGCAAGAGCAGCGCACGTACGCACCCTCGGCTCGGGTATGGGCGATCCCGACAGCGAGGTGCTGGGGCTGTCATGTCCGCTGCCCCCCTGCTGCTGCTGGATGTAAGTGTCCCACAGCACCGTCAGCTTGGGCCGCAGCCGCTCCAGGGTGGCCACGATGTCCATGTGCAGCAGCGCAGAGTCGATAGGGTCGGGGTCGGGCAGCGGCTGGTGCACGTGCGGCAGGATGAAGCGGTTCACCTGCGGGCGGGAGGGGGGGCAGAGGGCGTGGAGCGATAGCGGCATGGCGCTCATGGGGAGGGCCAATGGGAGTTATGGAGGAGAGCAGGGTACGGTGGGATGACGCCTATCAGGGAGGTTAAGGTCAGTAGTTGGAGACCCTGTGCTGCGCCTCCCTCTCCCACCGCTGGGCTACCCCCGTCTCTCACCACTTGGTCGAATGACGCCTGTACGCTGGATGAGGGGCACAGCTTGGTGCCCAGGCCCGTGACGGCCAGGATGAAGTCCGACAGCGCCAGGCGGGAGGCGGCACCCGGGTCCAGGGAGCCCAGCAGGATCTGCGGAGGTGCGTAGCAGCGCATGAGGGTATTGGTGGAGGCCATGCCAGGTTGCCAGCAGTGGGCCGAGTGGCGACGCACTACTGGATGCGGTACCGGTAGTACGGCAACAGGTGCTAGCACGGGGTACCGCCGCATGTAGCGCGAAATGGATGCGGCTGGGGTAGAGCAGCGTAGGGCGGTGCGTCCGTCGCCGCATGGCTGCATGCCGTACCTTGTCGAAGAGGCCGGAGAGGCCCAGCGCGTCGATTTCATCGTTCCACATGCCCATGTCGCGCACAAAGCGGATGAACTGCGAGCGGCTGATGAACATGAAGTTCTGCTTGTCGCCCCAGCCGCAGTAGCGGATGAAGACCTCTCGCAGCTGCTGCTTCTGCGGGGTTTGAGAGAGTGGGAGAAAGTGGAGCCTGTGAGTTTCCTGGCAAGGTTTCAACGGCCCATGCTCGGTCCAGCCAAACCAGCCCCCAGACCCCATGCCGCTGAATATAGTTAGGCCCCAACAGGAAAGCAACATGGCAGCAGCATGACAGTTGGAGGTGCAAGCGAACAGGGCCCCGGGTGATTGGTCCACAAGGTGCATTCCAGCCTGTCCGTCGGTGTCTTTTTTTTCGATGTGGACTGTTACAGAGGAAGGACAGGAAGACCACCAAGAAACCAGCGGAGAAAAAAACCACTGGATACCAGAGTCTGGTCTGCAGAGTCTCCATGCGAAGCATGTCGTGTCTCACACGCCAACCGCAGGCGTCAAAATTCCCATGCGTGCCATGCAAAGCACTGCGCTCCCTCTTCGCAAACCGTCCAAGAGCAAGCAAGCGACCCTGCTGAACTTACAATTTCGGGTTTCATCTCCACTGCAAGGTCCGTACGCCACGTGCGGCTGCTGGGAAGGATGGGTGGCTTGATCTTTGGCGTGGCAGCACTGAGGGCCGCTGACAATTTGCTCTGAAACCAGGAACACGACAACAGCGTAAGTTCGACCAGATATAGTGAGTATGCACTTTGTGTGTGCGCATGATGCTGTTGATGCATTGAGGAACGGCAGCCGCTCTTGCTGACATGCCGCCAGCCACAGCAAATACTGCAGCGTGACCCTGGCCTCGCCCCTGCAGTAGGAGGCTTACCCAGTCGACGGTTTGCACGCCCCCAAGCTTCACGCGCAGCCGTTTCCTTACGGTCGCCTCCAGTCGCCCAAAGAAGTCCTCGAGGCACCTGGGGGAGCAGCAACCCAAGTACGGGGTTTCGTGTAGGTGCTATGAAGCCACGATAGAATTGGGTTGGTCCCCATATATGCAGCAGGGGCACCAGAAACGCTCACTTCTTGGCATTCGCGTTTCCTGACGTCGATGGCCGCGAAGCATCCGTTGCCGGAGCTGCACCTCCTGTTGCTGCCATAACTTCGACGCTTTGCTGCTAGCGCTAGATACCTAGCAACAGCTTGCTGGCAATTTACCGAGGATTTGGGTTTGTTTCCTGTCTTCCCGCTAAAAGCTCCACAGCAAAGTGCATATTGTCCTACAAAGGTAGAATGTTTTCTGCTGTGACTAAATGCAATTGAAAACACTAGGGTTGCAGCGAGTCCCAGGAGCTCGAAGTTCAGTACGGATGCCTGTCACGTGACTCAACACACAATCGGCAAGGGACTTCTTACGCCTTTGAGGATCTGTACAAAAACATCAGTCCGTAATAGAACTGTCTGTGCCCATGAGTATAGCTTAATTGTAAGTCAACGGCTATCCTTGTCAACGGTCGCCTGATGGCGGAGGACGGCTTTTCAGCACAAGAGTTGATTCAAGCTTGCAATAAAGTTATAGTAAGATTACAAACACGCAGTTATAAAGCAACTATACTGCTCGCACCAACATTACATCGTTGTTGCTACTGCGTAGACCAACAGTAGTTACGTTTCCAGGCTTATGCAGGCCTTGTAGCACGCGTGGCGAGCATCGATGAAGTGAAGGTTGTATGCAGCAGCACGGGCGTCTTCGTGGCAGCCCTAGAGGGTCTGCTGCAGGTTCGCCTGGAGGATGTCCTTCGGGCACCCTCAACAAATGCTGAGCGGGCGTACAACTGCAACCTTGTGGTACGTCGGCAGGGCTGAAACAAGCGTTGTCCAGGTCCTGAGGGAAGGCTGATATAGTTTGTACCCGTTTTAACAACGCCACCAGGTGGATGCCCTGTCCCAAATCCTCGACTCCGACCTATCCCACATCTCGGGCCAACGTGTTGTCGAGGGCTCTATCGATGACATCTCCAACTTGCTGGAGCTGCTTGCCGCTCTCTGTCAGGGGAAGCCGCTGCTAGGTAAAGGGTGAACTGCCTGGGCAGGTACACCAGCAAGCGCCTTTGGTTACCGTACAGGCTTGCCAGACCCTTGCCTTCACCGCGCGGGGATCAGGTGCCCATAGCCATGGCTGATGCAAAGGGCTGCACATGCACCCGCCTGTGCGGTATCGTACCAATGTTACCAGGGTCCACTTGTGTACCCACCTGCGGTGTTCCGTAGGGCCACCAGCTCCGGGTCATGGGGAGATTTCTGAGGACGCTGACGACCCAGATGAAGAAGAGGAGGAGGAGGAGGACGAGGAGCCGCCCTCGACTCAGGACCCTCACCTGGAGGACCAAGCGCTTGGCCAGTCCGGGACGCTCAAGCATTGGATCCAACCTGGGCAACAACTGCAGCAGCAGGAGGAGGAGGAGCACCCGCAGCAGGAGGAGGGGCTGCTGGCTGCGGCAGATGCGACCAGTTCCGCCGGCGCCCATGCAGCAGCAGCAGCCAATGGAACGGGCCGGCGTAGGAACGCACCGCAGCGCCCAGCGGCGGCAGCAGCAGCCGAAGGCGGCTGGTTGCCGCCAAGCCCCTTCCGCGGGATTCCTCAAGAGGGCTTACACAGCGTGGCGTCAGGGGAGGTACGTGGGCACGCTCGCTGGCTGGTGTATAAAGAAGCTACCTTGGAACAAGCCGGTGTAAATTCACCATAAGGCGACTGGACCCAACCGCTCCGCTGGTTGCCTTTGGTTCTTAGCGTGTCGTGCGCTGTTTGGCCCCTTCGTCGCCGCGTTCCCAATGGTTGCAGAGGCCTCCAGGGTACAACATGCCAGCAGAGGCTGCAGGTCCCAGCGGCTACGGCGGCAGGCCGGCCAACAGTCGTGTGCCGCCAACCGCACCCACACGCGGACCCCGCCACAACAGCGGCGGCGGAGCCAGCAGCCTTATCAGCATCCCCTCTGATGTGGGAGGCGCGGCACGCCACGGCAGCGACCCCGGCATAGCAGACCAGGGGTTCATGCAGCATGGGCGGTACCCCCAGCAATACCCACATGTGCATGGCGTGGCCCACTTGTCATGGTCTGCCGAACACCAAGCCCCTGATGTGGGTGAAGAGGATGCAGTTCCGGGCCGCAGCGAGACGTCCCTGCTGGAGCGGGCAATGTCACATGCGGACGCTACCCTGCGTGGCGGCATGGGGCAGGGATACGACTACTACCATGACGCTGCTGACGCGGAGGAGCAGGGTCGCAGGGCACGTGGCGGAAGCAGATGCTCCAAGCGGAAGCTAAACCGTCGCAACCCGTGCGCCGTGGCCCGGCCTGCGGGCCCAGCGGCGGCTGCAGCTCGGCAACGGCCAGCTTCCGCGCGACCCAGCAAGCGTGGGCTAGTGGGAGCTGCTGGCGTGGCCAGATCGTTCCGGGAGGCATCCCCAGCAGTTGCCCCTTCCACACGTCGTGAGCCATCATCACGCCAGCCAGCAACGAAGGGAGGTGTAAGCCGTGCAGCAGCGGCAGCAGGCACGACCACCATGAAAGGTAGCGGAAAGCGCCGAGAGGGAGGCGTTGGAGACAAAGGCGGTGCGGGCCTGCGGGCGCTGCAAGAACCTGTTGGCCCTCCTAGGCACGTGGCCGGTGAAGGGCACAGGGCGACGCAAAGGGTAGCTGCTGCGTACCGCGCGGCGATGTCGGTTGCTGCTCCGTTGGAGGCGCTACGCAGCCTCAACCTGGCAGACGGTAGCAGCGGTTCAGGCGATGAAGGCGAGCCATCGACGTCGCCTAGGCAGCCCTCAGGCAAGACGGCGCCAGGCATGCACCTCAGCGCCGACTTGGAGGGGAAGCTGCGATACGTGTACCGGTAAGCGCTGATTGCCGCGGCACGGTATGAGGAGGGCCCGTTCAAACGGGCCCACCCAGCATGTCTGGACGCTTCCAGATAGCGCGTTGTCCCAGAAGCAAGCATGGCCTAGCCGCATTTTACGTGCTAGGGGATTAATGCAGCCATGCGCCACAGCCTACAGTTGTCCTGTGGCTCTTGGGAAATTCAGCCGCCGCCTTGGTTTACATGCACCTTACATACACTTGTATCCTTCATCCTTGGGTTGCACCCCCCCTGGCAGGTTGGCTTCCAGTGACCCCAAGCAGCAGGCGGCCCGCAACGCGGTGCAGAAGCTGGCGGTGGTCGAGGAGCAGATGCGTCATGTGCGGCGGCGGGAGATGCTTGAGCGCCTCGGCAACGCTCGGGCGCGGCGCGAGGCGGCACTGCGCCACACCGCCGACCGGCTGCACGAGCAAGGGCAGGTAAGCGCGGCCAAATGAACCCTGCCCGGTTTACCTTCTCGCCATTCCCTGGTTCAGGCCATTGTCACTTGGGCAAGGCCTTCATATACCGGTAGCGTTGTTCCCTCCCCTGATGCACTTGCGTGTCATGCGTCAGGAGCACGAGCGGCGTGTGGAGCAGCTGCGGCTGCAGCGGCTAGCCTCCGAGTGGGCCTCCAAGCAGCGCAGCGCGCAGATGCGGCGCGCGCTGGCTGCTGAGCTGGCGCTGCGGGAGGCGTTCCTGGAGGTGCTGGAGGGCGAGAAGGAGCTGCGGCTGGCGGAGAGGCGGGAGGCAAAGGAGGCGGGCGGGCTGCCGCAGTACAAGGGCGCCATGCGGTAGGTGCCGTGTTCCGTGCAGTGTTCCGTACGCAACTCACGTGTACATGGTGGGTACTCGGGTTCCAAGTGAAAAACACGGTAAGACGTACCGTGCGTTCTTCTGCCCTGCCGGTGCCGTTACACATGGGGCATGGGTCCTCGTAACCTTTTCACCCGCTCACCGCACCTCCACCGCTCCTCCATAACAGCCATGCGGAGCAGCAGTACATGCAGCTGTACAACATGCTGGAGGAGCTGCTGGCGTCGGAGCGGCAGCAGCGCGTGCGCGCCAGCCGGGAGGCGGAGCAGGCGCAGCGGCACAGCAACCAGCTGGCGGCGACGGTGGTGCGAGACCGCATGCGGGAGCTGCTGGGGCGCATCGCGAGGGAGGAGGAGGCGGCGCTGCAGCGGAACAGCGTCGCCACGCGGCCGGAGAGCAAGCAGGCGCTCAAGGCGCAGATGCGGCGGCTGCTGGGGATGTCCTAGGCGTGTGACATGGGAGGCGCGGGGCGATTGGGGCGGAGGTCGTGGGTAGTGCTGGGATTGGTGTCATGGTGGATTAGGGAGAAAGAGTGGCACGGAGAGGGAGGGCTGGAGGGGAGGGCAGTCGGTGGTGAGACGGGATGTTCTCTTAATTAGTTACGTGCACGGTGCGGCATACGTACTGAACATGCGGGTCTACAAATGGCGGCCCGGTGTTCTATACTATTGTGCTTATTTGCGATAGTGGGAATACGACGGCGGGGCTGCTAAGGGTGGGGCGGCACGCATGGCGACGAGCCTATGCGTGTGCTGTCAAGAGGCGGCTTGGGTAGCGGCGCTATGTGGTATGGCTATGAACGGCAGCTCAGCAGAGCGGCTTGACGAGCCCGGTTCTGTGGCCCGTGGTTCGGTAATGGACACTGCAAACTGTCTAAAGGTACAGCCTTCTTTCAGAAGGCCCACGACGCCGGCATGCCTTACATGTGCTGCAAGCAAGGCCTCGGCCGAGCAAGGACTGTACGTATACCAGGGTATAATAACCGATCAGTAGTGCCGTACGTCCTTGCGGTGTTGCCCACTCGCATGTACCGGTAGTCCCCTGCCAGTAAACGGAGGGGAACGCGATGGAGGGGTGTCGTGCAGCGGAGATACACTGAGGTTTTGAGGTACTGCGCCCCATGCCAAAGCCATCCAGGGAGCTGTTCACTTCGCCCCCGCCGTACCAAGTGTGCTGGCTGCTAATGCCGTGCTGACTTTCAAGACTGGTAAAGGGGCCACCCACAAGACAATTTGAGGGAGGGACGGGAGGGAGCTTCGGATGCTTTGTTGAATGTGGGGATGAGGTGTGGAACTGCAGAGGTTATGAAAGCTGCGCACCAAACGTCAGCTAACAGGTACACTAAAGTACAGGGTATCTAGGGAGGCATCTGTTCTGGCGGACCTAGTAGACACCCAGCGTGCTTCCTTGGGTGCTGTGGGATGAGTATGAGCGGGCCGTGGTGGTGAGGGCGCTACTTGAATGCGACAGGTACGTTACAGTACGGCGGAATGTAAGGGAGAGATCGATGGGCACAGGGCTAAGCCATACTAATACATTTTATACCTACAAGCTATGTGTTTATTAATTTGTTGTGATTAATCCACACTAGGGCATCCTAGCCCCGTTCAAGGCTGCAAGCGACTCAACAACCAAAAGCGTTGGCGCATTGAAAAGGGCTTGCTAAGCATTCTTGTGACAGCGCCTTGTGTACCTTTCCAAACATGCTTCTTCAACAGTCGTTGCGTGTGACCGGGCGTCAGCTGTCGGGCGCTCGTCGCTCGCCGCTTACAGCCGCGCGCTTGGGCCCAATTCGCTCGCTGGTAGAGCATCGTCCGTCTATTGACCCCATGGCGAACAAGCCGCGCCCAGCCGCCCCGACCCCAGGCACTATCTTCACGGTTAGTCGCCTATACTTGTTAGCAGCACTTTACCGCAATAGCGCTGGACGATTAGCAGAAGTGACATACGTGTACACCGATAAGCTATCTGCCTAGGCATGCTTGTATTGAAATGACTTGCTGTTCAGCGATGCTCCAGCCAGACCCTGGGCTGGCCAGTAAGCGTGTGAACACATGCATTTCTTAGTATGTCTTTTTGCGACCACGTTTATCAACTGGCTCTGCTTGCCGGGCATGCCGCTGCGCTGTCAAGCTTGCGACCAATGTGATGACGTCGATGCTGTTAGTTGTAATCCCACCTGCAAGCCATGCATCCATACTACATACACCTCTGCACAGCCAGCAATGCTGACGCGTAGGTATCTGCGGTGTTGCTTGCTGCACCAGGTTTACACGCCTGAGGAGGTTAATGCAATTCTTGAAGAGCACAAGGACCGGTTGGTCGTCATCATGTGCAAGGTGAGACTGGCTGCGAGCCTGAGACCTTCGACACGGTTGCTAGGGTAGTGCATGACATCACGTTGGCGTGCGCTTGGCGATGTCGGGCAACATGTGTCCGGGGATCACACCCCAATCCATCCACATGCCTGCCCTTCCCGCGCCCCGGCCCTTCAGGCCTCCCACTGCAAGCCCTGCAAGACCTTCATGTCCAAGTACCAGCGCATGGCGGAGCTGATGCCGGACAGTGTGCTGCTGGACATCATCGGAGACACCTCCACAGACACCAAGCGGCTCATGGTGCAGTGGGTGAGCGGGGCTGGCGGCAGTGGGCTCGGCAGACGTGGGGGGCTGGGAATTATGTAGAGTTTAATACATCAGCGCTAGAAACACAACTCATTCCTCACAACTGCTCCGTATCTCCCTGCCGTCCCGTTGCCCCTGCTGCCGCCGCTGCCGCTACCGCTGCTGCGACCCAACCACCTCCTCCTCACCACCACCACCACGCCCACCATCACCACCGCCTCCACCCCAACAGGGCATCAAGTCCACGCCCACCTTCCGCCTGTACCGCGGCGGCGAGTGCGTGGGCACGGTGAGCGGCGCCAAGGAGGCCAAGGTGCTGCCGGTGGTGACGGGGCTGCTGCGGGAGGGGGAGCGCGGCAAGGGGCTGCAGCCGGAGGACCTGGAGGACCCGGGCACGGACGATGAGATGTGAGGCGGGCGGCGGGGGGGGGGCTGGGGGTGAGGACCTGAGGAGGGGAAACAGGGTGTTAGGGCTAGGCAGGGCGAGCTGGGGGAGAGGGGAGAGCAGGCGGGGGTAAGGTCGCTGCTGAGGCGTGACTCGAGGCGTATGGAGGTGGGAGTGTAGGAGCAAGAGCAGGAGCAGGAGTGAAGGAGGGAGAAAGAAGAGGGAGGAGAGGCGTGTGTGATATCTGGTATGGCTTGCGCGGAGGGCCGGGAGGAGGGGCGCTTGGGGCCAGAAGGGCGCGGTTTCTTTCAGGGTGTTGGGCGTATGGTGCATCACAGGACATCACAGGCAGGGGCAGGGGTTTCCGCTGGAGGGGAGAGCTGCATTGCTAGTTGCGTGAAACTATTAGGCCGAGCGTGGCAAGGTGTATTGTTCATGAGTGGCGTGTGACCCCTCGCGTGTGCAGCAGCTAGGTACCTATGAATGCTACTGCTGCTACTTCTGCTGCTGCCAGTTGGAGCTCATATACTTGTTGGAGTATATGTTGTGCGGGCTGCATGATACTAGGCGGCGTGCGTCGCAGGCGCCCCTGCGCTGGGGTGCAGGTGTTAACTGCCTGCTAGCCGTGGGTGTCGACTTTCAGCTCGATAGCCATGTCGAGCATGTGCAGGACATGCGCGGCCACGTTATGTGCACAATATGCGCGGTTTGGGTTGCAAAGTGCGCCTCTCGTAGCGTTGGAGTGCGACTGAAGTAGAGGCGTGTAAGGATGCCTTGGGCAGTGCTAGGAGGGCTAAAAGTAGTAAGTGTTGAGTGGAGAAGTTGGTTGTACAGTGCGTTTGCTAGCGGAGGCGGCGTCCGTGCACGTTGCAACTGGATAGGGTGGCAACGGCCACAGCCGAGTGTGCCTTCGTTGCCAGCCGTGTTGCAAATTTTGGACACGCGCGGATGTAGGTGAGAGAGCATAGCCCCGCATCAGCATGCGAGGAGCATCGAATGTGCTTGGTTAATACAGTTAGCTACCTTTCTCGGGTCCGAGCGTTTTGATGATGTACGCGGTATAGTGGAGATGTACCCGATCCAGTCCGGATCATGGTTTCGCAGCTGCCGTACTCTGCTACACACCACGGTGCTGATGTTAGGGGGCCCGTGCTGCTGTTAACGGTTGCCTTTGCGTATAGCTTGTGCTATCCACATGCATAACAGGTTAGCAAGGGAAAATGCAGACAGAGCAGGGGCAGCAGCACGGTCAATGCTACACCGATAGCTCGAGCGACCATATATATTGCACGGCGGTGTTTGCAGCTCAACCCGCTGAACAGTACGCCCCAACCTATAATACCATGCACCCATGTGTTACGCGACAATGCATCGGCAGGACAGTTGACGGTAATCATGTGAGTACCCGTGCATGGGGCTGCAGCCTCAATACGCTTCTACAAAACACATAACCCTCAACAGATGCTCAAGTCAATGTATCGCTCGCAGACCCCCCAAGCCCCCAATCAAACAGATGCCACGCACGCTCACGCTCCCCAGCCTCCTTCGCAAGACCTCCCGCAATGCAATCATCCTACCCACTTCACTCTCCCACAACGGCCCCCAATCCCTCTCACTCCCGCACCCCTACCCGCCGAGCTCGCACCTGCCTAACTTGGATTTTGATTTACCGATCAATCCGCTGCCGTACAAAACAAGATGTCGAAGAACGCCGAGCTGATGCCGTAGCCCTTGCTGTAGTCCCGGTAGTGGTGGTCCATGTGCCGCCGCCGCAGGTCGCGCAGCAGGGCCCCCGGCAGTGCAACACCGGCACCCCCCGCATGGTGCATCCAGTAGTGCAGGCAGTCGTACGACACGTAGCCGTACCCCATGCCCGCGAATACGGCAAGCGCCCTGCCGTACGGCAAGGTCGCCACGAGACTGCCGTAGACCGCCACTACGAGGAGGCTAGCGGGTACGGGCGGGAAGACGAGTCGCAGCTTGTCCATTGGAAACTTGTGGTGGCAGCCGTGGAAGAGGAAGTGGAAGGTGCAGCCCAGTGGGGATTTGAGATTCGCATGGAAGACGAATCGGTGTACGACATACTCCAACAGCTGCCAGCCCACCACACCCACGAGCGCTAGGGAGATGGCGACCGGCAGGGGTAGCCCGTGGCGGTTGACTGCGCAGGCGAGGCAGTAGGTGAAGAGAGGCAGCCAGACGAGGGGGACCACCCACCAGGGTGTCTTGGAGCATGCCTCCAGCAAGTGGTTTCGGAAGAAGCGCGGCTGGCCGGGTTCGGGTGCGTGGACCCAGGCTGAGTAGTTGGGTCCCAGGGCGCCGATTTGCCGGAGCAGGGGCTGGGAATGGTCGATGGTAGCTTTGCCCACTGTGCGGTCTTCAGATACACCCATTGCTACAGGGATGGCTGGTGGGGAGGCGTTGAGCAGGTGAGGCCCTGCCACGATGCAGGGGAGAGGCGACGAAAGGATTGTGTCTATAGCTGCGGGGCCAAGTAAGCTGCTTGTCGTTGCTCCAGGGAGGCGGGATAAATGACACGCTTAGTGTGCTAGTCGACTTTCAGGGCTTCCTTTGGGCGGGATTTTGACGTGTCCGAGTTTCCATAAGTAAGGACTCCCTGTGCAACGGCAATTAGGCGTGAGCGTGAGCAAGGCCTCCTCCGACCGGTGAGATGGCAAAGCGCTGTCCCTTACCAAGACAAGAAGGATGCCCCCGAGAGTCAAGAGGACCTCGCGCGCATACGGTAGAGTAGACACGTCGGTTCGTAGACCCTACAGCACAATATCAAGCAGGAAGATGCCATCGCTAGTACGGGTTGCTACCATAGGGCGCGCACTCATTACCAACCGTAATAATAAATGCTGCTCCGCTTGTAACAAAAAAGCGGGTCCAGCCCATCCTTTTTAAACCAGCACTCGCCCTACCACATTGAGCTAGAGATCGGTGACTGGGGCCCACTGTAGCAAAAGTAACTGCTTTGCAACGTCTACTTGAGTCAAACTTCGCAAAACGCAATTGGCGTCAAAAGTGTGTCATACGCGAAGTGTTCGGTTATGCGGCCCGGTCACACTTTGTCGTACATACCCAGCAGGCGCGCTCTTCGGAAGTCCACATTGCGGCACTGAGCTGCTAGCCCAAAGGTCTTGGCTTATTACTGCCTCTTGATAATGTAATTCACAATGTATTCCCCTGGAAAACACTTTCATGGTGGCAATCCCCGCCCAACGCACTCCCGGACTAGGGACTTCTTCCATCCATTAAGCTATCCTGCTTCAACAGGCCGTCCCAGGCACGGTGAAGGGGTTTATACGAAAGGAAGTCAGCCTATAGCCCGAAACACTTGTAGATAGTTGGTCGGGGATGTGTGATACCCATGAAGAAGGCTGTGGTCAAGTAGTGCGAGAAGTGCTAACGTGGTATAATGCCTATAATGTATATGGGCTGGGCAGGGCAGGATGGGGCTTGGGCGTGGCTGCGTGGTCCCTGCGATGGAGATGAACAACGATACGCACCGCAACGATTACGGTACCCCGCGACCAGCTTAGCCTTTAAGAGTGCTCGTTGAAGGATGGACGTGTAGGCCGTTGGTACGTAGAAGTAGGCCATGCGGTTGGTGCCATGCAACCCGTTGACATACCTGATGGACGGCATGAACGGCACGTAAACCGCCCGAGCTTCAGTAATGTACTGGACATGCATACCTAGTATAATAGCATAGACTTTATTCCCACATACGGTAGGAAAACCTGTCAGAATTCCGGTACGTAGTCAACCTACCTTGACTCCTACCTTGCATGTGATACATAGGTACTAGACAAAATCATTTTATTGTGATACACGGAAAGTACTGAGGAAGGAACGTGACAGTTAGGCTGTTCAAAATTGCTTTATGGCTTCTGACGACATGAAAAGCAGCTTGCTTCGTGTACTCACAACCCTAGGCTGTAAGGAGCCCTTTGATGATGCCGTGCTAGACTACGCGTGCGGAGTTCTTGAAAGCGCGGTAGAAGACCTAGGCGAGGAGGACGGTGCGTACAAGGGCGCGAAACGGCTTGCTTGGTTTCGACAGCGTACAGCATATTATTCTGTAGGATGAACCGGGGAAGAAAAGTCCATAACGGTCGGTTGGCGGTTGCCATGCTTTCCCATGTCACATGGAGCGCGCTTTCCACGTTCAGCTGAAAGTCTCTTAACCGCGCATGCGGACCTAATCACAGATAACTTGGAGCATTTGGATTTGCTGCTTTCCGGGGCGTGCGGCGAGCAGTATGAGGCTACAGCGGCCGAGGAGCGCTGCCGGCTGCTGGCCACCATTGTTGACGAGGTTAGCGACACTGCCCTACCGTGAGATTGATGGAAAGCGAGGGTGGTCCTCTTCATATCTTCCTCCCCTGTACTGCAGGCTCGCCGAAGGGCCTCCGGCTCCACAGCACAGCCTTCATCCGGCGCTCCGCTCCCTAGTTCCCATGCTGTCGGGGTGACGCAGCGCCTTGGCGGCCTGGACCTGACTACACCTGGCAGCGCCGTCGGCAGACCGGCTAGCAGCAGCAGGCCGGACCAAGCATTGGGCCGCAGCGGCAGCACCAGCAGCAGAGGTGCTGAGAACGTGTCCCCGACTGGTGACCCAGATCGCCCGTTTGTGCCGTCCAGGGTAGTGCAAGAGCTTGCAGCCTTGTGCTCTGGAGCCGCCTCGGAGGAGTTCCTGCAGTACACGCTAGAACGCAAGTTTGGGGGCAGTGCGGAGGTGCGTGGCTGCGCGAGGCAGCTGTAGCTGCCTGGCAAACGTCCATGAGGAAGCAGCCATGCGCTGGGCACTTAGGAAGTGCTGTGCGTGCCCAATCGTGCCCTCGGGTCAGCGTTGGTGTTGACGGGAAACCACGAATGCTGGATTCGGCGGTTCATGGTTCCATTCCCATATGCTGCCCTGCGCTGCTGGCTGACATGTTGCTTGCAGGCGGTTGCTGCATGGCTGCTGGACTCGGAGCCCGGGGAGCTGGAGGCTGCGCAGGAGGAGTGGCAGGAGCTGCGGGAACGGGAGCTGCGGGAGCAGGAGGAGGCCAGGTTGCTGAAGGTGGGGCGACAGGTTGAGCTCTTTCAACTTGGGATGAGGTAGAGCTTGAGAGGCATCTGGGTTGGGACACGGGTAGGGGGAGGGAGGTATCGCCGTCACCAGCGCTGCCGCAAACGCTAAGTGTGGCGGCGGCGCTTCAGCCATGGTGGCCGGGGGGTTTATGACACAGAGCGCTTGCTTGCCAGGCAGCCGGCAACCGGTGATGCGGTTCCTGATACCGGTACGACCCCAGGGACTTGCACGCATCCACTGCAGCCATGCCACACTGCCCTGCGGTCCACATGTCTTCCCTTCAGGAGCGGAACAAGCAGCAGATCTTGCAGAAGTTCGATCTGCGGCCCGTGCCTGAATCCAAGGACCCAAAGAAACAGGGCAAGGGCGGCCCCGCGCTGGACGTCTGGAACGACAAGCAGCAGCCCCAGCAGCCCAAGGTACGCTGGGGGCGTGTTTTCGCCTACCGCTCCGGATACTGGGTTTAACTACATCATTCGCAAGCACTCTAGGCCTGGGTGCGAAGTATGCTTTGCCCTTGCCTTCTTGCTGGCTGCAGGTGCGGTACTTGGACGGACGCGTGGTGAGCACCAAGGGCGAGAAGTTCATCATCGAGAAAGATGGCGAGGATTGGGATGGCGGCAGCCGGGGGAAGGTGTACACGAAGGGCAAGCGCGGGAAGGGCTTCGTATAGCGCAAGCTGTTCAATGCAGGAGTGATGCGCGCCTGGTGACAGTCTTATTTCATAGGCGTAGACTCGGGTGTACGAACGCAATGAATGTTACACTGTTAAGCTGCAGTTTCTATGCTGTGTACACACCCTTGCATATATGCTGTGTACACACCCTTGCATAACAACTACTAGTCTGCGTGCCGTACATATCGTATTGTAGATGGCGGAAGCTGGCGGAAAGCTTAATCTCCATGACTCTTTACAGTATGCAGGTATTCCTTGCCGCGTGACCATCAATGTTCGTGAAGTTGGCCGCGTTCATGTGTTTGGCAGGCACCCCAACGCGACCGAGGCATGGGTCACCCAGCTCGACACGCCTCCCTGCACACTGCAATTTCCTCGGACCTCTGGGGTCGCGTCCGCGCCAAGGTGTACCTAAACGCCCATAAATGTAAGGGCGCCTGGTCGCATCAACTTGCGCCCTGTACACCCATAACGCATGGACAGCCCTCCGATGCATCCTCCATGCGCCACATGCAAGGCCGGCCATGGACGCCCGCCTGCACCTTCCGCCGTGTTGGAGGTGCAAACTCAAGGTGTAATTTCCTGAAGCTGCCGTGCACCAACAACCCCACGGGCAAACCGAAAGAATCAACCCGGTGAAGCTACCATAACGGACGCCTCAAGCCGGCTCCCAGTCAGGTACCCATGACCCAAACATTCCTGTTCCTTGGCAACACTGCAAGGCTCCTTAGCCTGCTCGCCAGTTGCCCCATTCCTCTGTAGCCCCTCCACCCTACAGCCCGCCCTACGGCTCGTCCACATCATGCCGTACCACTGCCACGCCCCCGCATCCCTCCTCCCCTGCCGCCTCCCGCTCAGTCCTGCATGGCGCTGCTCCTGCGCTGCCCCTCCTGCAGCGCCACCTGCTCCAGGAACTCGGGCTCCAGCATGTCCCGCAGCGCCACTCCGCCGTCCACCGCTGCCTCGTAGGTGCTCATGATGGAGGCGGGGTACACCGGCATGTACAGCCGCGTCAGCACGCGGATGGAGTTGGCCATGCGGCACACCACCTCCAGCTGGGCCCTGCTGGGCGGAGGCGGCGGCGCAGAGGTCTCCTCGGTTGCGTCGCCGGCGCCGTCGGAGGCTGCGGTGGTGGAGTCGGAGGTGCCGGCTGCGCGGCTGGGCCGCAGAGGCGCCACCCAGACTAGCCCGTTGCAGCCAATGATGAGCTCGACGCCCAGCGCCTCCAGCGTGTGGAAGTGCTGCTTCTGGCGTTTGATGAGGTTTGGGGGTACCTCCACGAGCTGTCCGTGCACAAGTTTGCCGTACTTGGCGCTGCGGGTGTGCAGTGCCACGCTGCCATCTGCGTGCACGGATTGCACCTCTGCGCTGATGAGCTCGCCCTCGCGGAAGAATGAGCGCATGTTGAGCTCATCCTCTGCGTTTCGACGGCGCTGGATGCCGCCGGGCAAGTGCACGGCAGAGAGGAGTAGCTTTGCCTCCTGGCGGGACTTCAGGTCCACGCGCCATGCCTTGCCCGCTACTTCCGCAACTCGGCCTACAACAACGTCGCCCTGCTCTGCGTTGTAGCGGCTATTCAAGGTCTTAACGTAGATAAGCTTGTTAACACGCTCCACGACACCGCATACGGTTGCGACGAGCTTGCCATCCACCACTTGAGTGCCATGGCCACGCAGGAAGCCTTCTTGGCCCTCGGTGCTGATTTCGTCCCCAATGCAAACGAAAGCCGTGCTACTAGGGGCATCGTGGATATTAAGTGCGCGCTCTATTAAAGCTATATCTGCACCGGGTTGGTGCTGCCGGACCCTGACGGCGCTATTGGTCGACATCGGCGTTAAAGCTAACGATGAAACTAGACAATACTATGGCATGCGGTAAACTGTCCTAATAGCCCTCGTAGCAAAAGCAGTCAAGGCTTTACAAGTGAAAGTGTTCAGGGAACAGTTAACGCGTAATGCTAGTTTAAATTATAAACACGTTCCGCAGTATAGCTATATAGGGACTATGCATAATAAGCGCAGTTGTAGCCAGGCCCCAAGTGTACCATGGTTCGCAGGCATTTGTGTGTTCGGCCCTGCTAATCTGTTTACGCGCATGCTATTAGCTGCAATAGTATACACGTTAATACAATTTAAGACGGGACACTCTCCAAATACTACTTAACATTGCTTCACCAAACATCGCGACTGGGACAGCTTGTGGCACACGGCAAACAGACGGTCCTTTCGTTAAACGTTGTCTCTCACTTTCTAGGTACTGGGAGGTCGCCAATAAGGGCAGGTCGCGTGCTGGGCATGAAATGCCTAAACGTCCTGATGCCGTAATACCGTTAACACTAACGGGTTTACGGCGTCTTACATACAGCCGTGGCTGGAGGCCATCGGTCGCGCGAAGGGCTCAGCAGGGTCCAAAAGAGGTGATGTTTAAAAACAACGTTTGTATGTAAGGCAGTTTACAGCGACAGCTTGGCGTAGTTGAGCTGCACGTTGGAAACGCCCAGGCAGCGTGCGATACTTAGCCTCCTGTCACGCGATCTCGCCGACTGCTCGTCGTCGGTGCCGCTCTCTTGTCCGCTGTCCTCGTTGTACTGTTGCAGCAGCTTGCGGGATTTGTGCCTGTTCCATTTGTTCCTCGAACCGTCCGGTAGCGTCGCGTTTCCCGCCACCATGAGCTCCATGATGTTCTGCGGGTAGTCTCCTTCCGGAAGAGAGCAGTCTGGGAGAGGCACCTTCACCAGCTCAGTATCCCGGGTCGCCGTGGAGTTTTGCTGCTTAGCGGAGAGCACGTCAACCTTGCGCGAGACATTCTGGATATCCGCCTTGATTGGTGCAAGGGAGTCGTTTAGGACCTGCCGCAACTCCGCAATGGTGATCGGCTGAGCCATTTGACACCGTAGCTTGAAGATATATGACACTGTTGTACTTAATATGACTGTAAACACTCGGACGATAGTTGAGTGCGGGAAGTAGTGTGTCCATACAGTATCCGAGGCTGCATTTTTGTTGGCATCACTTTTTCCACCGGACTGCACCTGGAGCGTACTACGCTCATACGGCGTACACCTGGAGCGTACTACGCTCCACGGGAAGTTATCGTTGCGACTTTTTGTGAGAAAATTGTTTAAACCTCACAGCTTCGCAGTAGCAAGGCTCGCCCAAAGCAAGATAGACAGATATGAAAGGTGAAAGGTGGATGGGTAACGACGTGCCTCGTACTTAAACGTGTGGTTAATGTTGAATTACATGCCGGTATACAATTGCCGGACCTATGTCTGACGACCATACTATTATATTGAGCTTCAAGCTTACGGATGCTCAGTACCCGGTACAGCATTGTTGCGTCGCCCCTTGCGTTGTGCGGTAGCACGTTCCATGCGCTGGCAATAATTTTCAACTGCCACATCTGTGCTAATGTTGGGTTCATTACCAGCAACTGTGGCTGCGCAGGCATTTAATAGCACAACCGCCTGCAAGCACTGCAATGGTGGCTGAGCCGGGCTGAGGAGGAGGAGGAGTGCGCGATTTCGCCCTGGGTGTGGATATGCCGCGTTGAAGCACCTCGACAGTCATCCGCACCACAACTAAAGCCTATGTGGACATGCTCCCCGGGCACAGGACGTTTGGATGCATGCAACACTGTTAGGGATCCACTCCACCTGATGATCGAATCACGTGTGTTACAAAGGTCAGCTCCTCGCTCCGTCTGCTCCGCCAACATCTCATACCGGCCCGACGCGCCGCCGTGGCCGGCGGTCAGGTTCGTTTCGAACAGCAGCAGGTTGTCGTCTGTCTTGCGGTCGTGAAGACGCGCAACCAACTTAACCCACGTTGCCGCCTCCCAGTACCTAACCCGCGTGTCCGCGAGCCCCGCCGTGACCATCAGGTGTGGGTACGCCTGCCGCCTCACGTTGTCATAGGGCGAATACGACTGAATATACTTTTAGTATGTGGCATTCTTTTTTGGGTTGCCCAGCTCCTCAAAGTCCACACCGGTGAGGGGCAGTGCACTTGGTTGCTGGGTGCAAACGCTGCACAAACCACGTGATGCCCCCAGACCTCCTCTGCACTCCTTTCCCTCACCCCTCACGCATCCACAATCCCTCCGCACCTGCTGTCCAGCTGCTGCACTGGACCCACATGTCGGCCCTGGCTTCCGCTTCGGCTTCCGCTTCACACGCCCGCTAACACATCCTCCCTTGCATGCTGCCGGACCCTGACGGCGCTATTGGTCGACATTGGCGTTAAACCTAACGATGAAACTAGACAATACTATGGCATGCGATAAACTGTCCTAATAGCCCTCGTAGCAGAAGCTGCCAAGGCTTTGTGAAAGTGTTCAGGGAACAGTTGACGCGTAATGCTAGTTTAAATTATAAACACGTTCCTGGATATAGCTATATAGGAACTATGCATAATCAGCGCAGTTGTAGCCAGGCCCCAAGTGTACCATGGTTCGCAGGCATTTGTGTGTTCGTCCCTGCTAATCTGTTTACGCGCATGTTATTAGCTGCAATAGTATAAGCGTTAAGGCAATTTAAGACGGGGCACTCTCCAAATACTACGTAACATTGCTTTACCAAACATCGCGACCGGGACAGCTTGCGGCACACGGCAAACAGACGGTCCTTTCCTTAAACGTCGTCTCTAACTTTATAGGTACTGGGAGGTCGCCAATAAGGGCAGGTCGCGTGCTGGGCATGAAATGCCTAAACGTCCTAATGCCGTAATGCGTCAATGCGTAAGGCGAACCTGCATAATTGTACGGCACCTGAATAAACTACAGTAAAGTTACGCCGTCTCGTCGACATGTATCCCGTCTTTGATCCTTACATGTACCATGTCTGCTGGTGGGTTAACAGAGTAACAGCTGAGCCGGACATCCTGCGTCTTAAGTCCTAGCTCGCTCTCATAGTACGTAGTAATTGTTATCGTCGCCATAACAATGGGCGAACAAACCTCAAATTCTGGGGAGGCATCGTGTCCGACGCGTTGCAGTGATGGTTACAGTAGGGCTGTCCTAACGGTGCAAGGAAAAATTTCCAGGGCAACAGGAGCTGTTGGTGCCTACGTTGCTCGGCGGCCTGTGCTTGTAATCTCCCTGAGTATACTGGCTACCGCAGCAGCTGCGGCTGGATGGGCTCGCTTCAAGATAGAGAGTGCAACCGATGTTCTATGGTGCGGATATGGGGTGCACTGTTCGTCCACCGTGCTGGGCGCATGGAAAGGGGAATTGGCAGCAACGTAGCGGGGCCTGGGAGGGCCTGTCCCTACCCCCGCTCCTACCCCGGTACACCCCTTCATGTACCCATTTACTGACCGCACACCGCTGTTTGCCCGCGTTGCCCATTTGACCAGGGTCCCCCAAGACACAAAGCCCCAGAGAGACGAGGATTGGGTCAAGACGATATACGGAGCTGGCGGTGGCTATGCGCAGGTGTGGGACTTGCCTGTTGCGTCCGTGCTCCATGCTGACTTGCGGGGCTCCGCTGGGCTGCTTGTGCGTGACTCTACGGAGTGCGCTCTGCCCCCATGTCAGCGACGATTCCGTTGGACGCTATCATGCGCCCCCGTGTCAGCAACGGTTGTCCCGGACCACCATGCCTGCATGTCTGCCTGTCTGCTTGCGTGCACCCCTCGCAGACTCACATCCTGCGCTTCATTCCTTTGTCCTCACTCCAGCCTCTGTCGTACTCCCCACCTGCTCGCGCAGTTCTTTGCCACAGTCAACCCCAAGCAAAAGTCTGCGTACGGCGACAACGCACTACAGCTGCCGGTAAGTACCCGTACCGTTTGCTGCAGCCAGCACACGGCTAGGCTGCCACCCACGCAGGACAGCTGCTGGTGCACTCGTGCCTGCTCCTGCACTTGGGTTGCTGGGTGCAAACTACGCTGCACAAACCACGTGGCGCCCCTAGGCCTCCCCTGCACTCCCCGGCACTCCCCGGCACCCCCCTGCACTCCTTTCCCTCACCCCTCACGCATCCACAATCCCTCCGCACCTGCTGTCCAGCTGCTGCACTGGACCCACCTCTCCGCCTGGCTCTCCTCACACGCCCTCCTCACACGTCCTCCCTTGCATGCCTTCCTCCCTTCCCGCCCCTCCCTCCCGCCGCCCCCTCCCGCCTCCCCCCCTCCCAGATCTTTTGGGAGATGTTCCAGGTGGATGCTGCCGTACGCAACATCACCGTCATGGATGGAGACAAGAAGTACGGCTGGGAGCAGATCTGCACCACCAAGTTTGACGGCAGCTGCAAGTACAGCAGGTGGGTGGGTGGGTAACGAGGAAACAATTAACTGACTGAGTGGTAACCCTGATAAGGCGTCGGCTCGTTGGCGGCCCCCAGTCACGTGCGTGTGGTCGCATGCCCCTCGGGTCCTGCTTGCGTGCAGTGTACGGCATGCGTTCTGAACTGCGTACGGCACTCGGGGACACACGGTTGCGGCACTTTCGAACACCACTGCTGATTCCACACTGCTCTCCCGCTCCCCTCATCCGCTTCCCATACCCTGCACCCGAACCTTACAACCCACTGGAACCTTTCCTTACCCACCACCCGCGCAGCTCGCTCCATCTGTGGAACATGAGCTTCAGCACCTTCCTGGCCGCGGTCAACGGCTCCGCAACCGACCCAACCGCCGGCAACCGCGACGCCGTCATCGGCGCCGTCAACCAAATCCGCTTCCCGGACAACACGTGAGTAGCGCGACCCCTGCCATCGTCCCGCCCCCTCCCCGTGCTCATCCCACCCGCCTGCTTCAGCTTCAGCGCATGAGCTAGGGCCTCACACAGCACCCGGCATGCGCCCGCACCTCCTGCTCTACCCCCCTCAAGAGGAACACCTCATGCACTGCCCCCCCCCCTGATCTCCCGCATCTCATTCCCTCTCCCCGGCTCCTGCCTCCTGCTCCACCCCCTGGGACTCCGGTGCTGTGCTTCCAACCTATTTCCCCCCTCCCCTTCCTCTCCCCCTCCGCAGACCCGTCTCCACGCTGTCAATCTTCGGCGGCATCTCGCTCAGCCCGCTGCCCAACCCTCCCCCCGGCGCCCCCGACCTCTACATGTCCGCCGCCCGCGTCGTCTCCATGTCCTACTCCATGCGCGACGGCGTGCCGGACGCGGTGCTCAAGAACTGGTACAAGGAGTACATCAACCTCCTGAAGGCGCGGACCGAGCAGCTGCAGCACGCCTCGCTCGCCTACCTGGCCGGAAACAGCGTGGAGCTGGAGATCGGCAACAGCGTGACGGCCGACCTGTACCTGATTGTGATTGCGGTGCTCATCTTCATCCTTGTGGCGGTGGTGGGCATGTCGCGGTTCCACCTGGTCGCCACCCGCAGCTCGCTGGCGCTGCTGGGGGTGGTGAGCGCCATCATGGCGCTGGTGGCGGGCTACGGGCTGGCGATGCTGTTTGGGTGCCCCTTCACAACGTTGGCGGAGGTAGGGTGGGGGCGGGGGCCGGGGGCGGGGTAGAATTAAGGAGACTGACGAGGCAAGTAACGGGCGGTAAGACAAGGCTTCACGGGGTGGGGCGGGGGCCGGGGGCAGGTGCAGGGGAGTCTGTTGTGTACGGCAATCAGCAGCATGTGGGTCCTGCACCTTGCACCCGCTTCCTGACGTGTTTCTGGCACGGTTTCTAACCACCGCCAGCAGCAGCAGCAGCGCCGCGCGCGCCCTCTGCACCCCCATGCATGCATGCAACCGTACATGCCACGCGATAACACACAGCCCCCTTCCTCACCCTCCTCCCCCCCACCTCCACTTCCTCATCCTCCTCCTCCCAGACCCTCCCCTTCGTGCTGCTCGGCCTCTCCATCGACTGCATGTTCATCCTGTCCAAGGCGTACGACCACGTGGTCGCGGGCGCCCCGGCCGCCTCCCTGGAGGAGCGCTTCCGCTCGCTCATGTCCTCCGCCGGGACCAGCGTGGTGGTGACGCTGCTGGCGTCGGCGGTGGCGTTCGCGCTGGGCGCCATCAGCGAGCTGCCCTCGGTGCGCTGGTTCAGCGTGTACGCCACCATGGGCGTGGTGTGCATCCTGGTGGCCACGGTGGGTGGGGGGGGGGGGAGGGGGGGGGGAGATGAGAAGTGCAAGGGAGGGGGCGGTGGGTGCGGATATGGGTGGGAGTATGAGCGGGGTTGTTGGGAGGGATTGACAAGGTATGTGAGCTAGGGGTTGTATGCCATCGCACTCTCGTCGGGTGGCACTGCTTGCTCGCTTCCTTTGTGTTTATTGGGTCTTCTTCGTTCCTCCCTCCCTCCCTGCTCCCCCCAGATGACCTTCCTGGTGGGCGTGATGGTGCTCACGGAGCGCCGCATCGCCCGCAACCGCCTGGACTGCTGCTGCTGCGCCACCAGCGGCGGACCGCCCCTGCCCACCGCCGCCAGGGCCTTCCTGGCGGCCCCCGCCGGCGCCGGCTGCTGCGCCAACACGGTGCAGCCGGGCATGGCGCCACCCAACCACATGTGCGCTCCCTCGCGTGCGGCGGTGGCGGAATCTGCGGAGCAGGTGAGTGCAAGCGTGCGCTCAGAACATATCCTCCGAGTAGTACGGTATATCCGCAGCAATTCCGCATATCGGCATTTGTTCCGTCGATTCCTAACGCACTTGTCTCCCGCATGTTTGTTTATTCATGCGCACACACCCGTGCACCACCCGTGCCAACCACACGGTGTTTTCTCGTCCCTGCCACCGCCATCCGACCAACCAACCAACCGCCGCCAGGTCTCCGACTTCAAGACCTCCGCTGTCCCTGTTGTGGCCTGCCAGGACCCCACCCGCGGCGGCTCCCCGCGCCAGCACCCCGCCCCCCTCTCCGACGAGGAGGCCGAGCCCAACCTCATGAAGAAGCTCTTTTCGCGCTACTACGCGCCATTCCTGACCAAGTGGTACGGCAAGGTGTTTGTGCTGGCCATCTTTACCGGCTGGATCGTGCTCAGCGGTGTGGGCATCCCCAAGCTCAAGCTGGGCCAGCCGCTGAGCGAGCTGGCACCTGACACCAGCTACCTGCAGGACTACGTGAAGGTCATGGATGACACGGTGCGGGGCGCGTGGGGGTGCGGGGGGTCCCTGGAGGCGGGTCGGGGAAGCGTATCTTGTCCTCTTGTGTGGAGAAGAGCATCCTCATGGGCACAGCCACCCGCAAGGACGTGCACATGCAGATTTGCGGGGCCTTTTGGCGCCGGCGTTCCTCAACGTACCCTCGCTATTTTCACGCTGTCCTGTGGGATATCGTGGATTGGTATTCTTGGACGCCACCAGGCTTTCGCCACCTCCTTCTTCAGTGATTCTTACCCGTCTTCCCTCCCTCCCCTGTCCTCCCCTCCCCTTACCCCTCGCCCGCCGCAGTTCAACAAGCAGATCGGTTCCCCCACCGGCCTCTATTTCCGCTGGCTGGACCCCGCGCCGCCCGCGCAGCAGGAACGCATGCTCCGGGCGCTCACGGCCGTGCTGGACTGCCCCTACACCAACGCCACCATCTCCGCCTTCCAAGGCAACTGGCTGCTGGACTTCATCGAGTAAGAGCGGCAGCGCGGTGTAGCAGCAGCAGCGCGGTGTAGCATTAGTGGCACTTTCGGGCTGTAGCATTAGTGGCAGTACCGGCTCTAGCAGCACCGCCAGCCGCCTGGCCGCTACGGCGGCAGGCACTGCCACTTTGCCAGCATGCAAAGAGCTTGTTAACCGCACTTCATTACGCGCTCCCGCCTGTCCTCATGCATCATGTCCTCATCCTGCTCCCTCCTCCACCCCCTCCTTGCCTGTCCGCAGGTGGGTGCAGTCCAACCACCCGGAGGTGACGTTGGAGGCGCTGCCGGGCTGCGTCAACCCCTTTGTCACGCGCACCTCGGGCGACCTGGGCAAATTCGTGTCGCCGAAACCCATCAAGGGCTGTATCCCCGAAAAGTACTTCTACCCGTTGCTCGATAAGGTGGGACAGGCAGGCTGGGTGGGAGGGGAGGGTCGCATTGGGGTAGGGGGGTGGGCAGCGGTTGGCTAGGCCTGGTGGCGAAAGGCGGGCTGCATGTTGGGGCGGGAGCATGTCCGCTATCAGCATCCCCTAACTAGGAAACAGCTGCCTCAGCCACAAGCCTCTGCAGGTATTAGTAACCACCCACCCCTAGATGCCTACTCCCTCCCTCCCTCCGTTGCTTCACGTTTCATTAATTCCCCCCTCCCACCCTCCCTCCCTTCCTCTCTCAGTTCCTGGACGTGTCCCGCGGCTACCGAGACGACCTGCAGTGGGTCTACGTGCCCGGCAACAACGGCAGCCGGGTGCCCTCCTTCCTCTGGTCGCACCGCTTCCCCGCGGTGCACACGGCGGAGGGCGACAACGACGCCTACTCCAAGGACAGTCTCAAGGCGGTCAAGGAGGTGGAGCGTGAGGTGAACCAGGCGTACTTTGCGGCCGCTAATGCCGATACGCCGGATGATGTGTTCTTCATGTACAATGGTGAGAGGGCTTGGCTTGCAGCGGCTGGGATGGGGACGGGGGATTAGACTGTTGGTTGGGTGAAGCGTGGACGGTTGGAATGGTGTTTGGGCATGCGTGTGCGGATCCCTCAGCTCTCCTGCCGCGACTCATTCCGGTCCGGGGCCCTGAGTGCTGATATGCTGTTGCTCCGACTTGTTATTAACGTGTCTGCGCACTTCTCCTGCTGCCGCTGCTGCTGGCGTCGCCCCCGCCCCCCTCTCCCCCAGGCAACTACATCTACGGCGAGGGCGACGCCATCATGGCCAGCATGACCACCGAGTACGTGCTGCTGGCGGTGGCGGGCGTGGGGCTGGTGCTGACGCTGACGCTGCCCTCGGTGCGCGCGGTGGTGATGATGATGATTGCGGTGGGCATGGTGGACTTCTTCCTGTTCGGCGAGATGTTCATCCTCAACATCCGCTTCAACCAGGTATCCATCATCAACATGATCATGGCCACCGGCCTCTCCGTCGACTACTCGGTGTATTTCGCACAGCGCTTCGTGGCTGTCACCGCGGACGGTACCCTCAACGGTCGCATGGCCATGGCGCTCTCGGACACCGGCAGTGCGGTGTTTGTGGGCGGTCTGACGGCCCTAGCGGGCACCATTCCGCTGGCCTTTGCCTCCTCAACCATCCTCCGCACGTTCTTCGCGCTCATCTTTGGCACCATCTGCTTTGCGCTGTTGATTGGGCTGATGCTGATGCCGGTGGTGTTTAGCTTGGTGGGGCCGCCGCCGCCGAAGCAGGGGGCTGACGAGTCGGTGGCGCCGGCGGGAGGGAAGGGCGGGGATGAGTTCGTGCCACAGAAGCAGCAGCAGCAACTACAGCAATTCCAGGCGCCGCAGCAGCAGTCGCTTGAGATGGGCGGCGGTCGTAAAGGAGGTGTTGACATGGTATGATGCGGTTGATGACGTGGTGTGGTCGAATGCTGTTAGGTGTCGATGTTGATGTTGTCTGTACATAGTTACTTTCTAATGTTCTGCATGGCCGCAAGCTTAGTTGGTGGGTTAGAACGAAACCCAATCGGATGCGGGGGTACGGTATTAAGGGTGGGCAGGGGTTGCGTGAACGGTACCGCCCCCCATCTTCCTCGTGACCTTTCGACACCTCGTGTCTTCTAGGTGGCTGCCACCACCACCTGCTCGGCTATCGCGATCCCTACGGGCACTCCTGTCGTGCAGTGGCTGGTGCGCGGTTGGTATACCTCCCTTGTGAGAGCTCTTCATGGATTATTTTACCTCGCTTTTATGTTACGGATGTGATTCCTGTTGGACGAACGGACGTATGGTAAGGAGCGGGTCGTCATGCTTCGATGCCCGCTTCGTGGGGTGGGCCTTGACTGTGTGCTCAAGCAGGGGTTTTAGGACAAGTGGTTGGCGCCATGGCGTGCGTGGGGGTCTCGACCGGTGGTGCTGAAATTGATCCTACCATATGTATGGTGTTCCTATTGCATGTCTGCATACGCGTGCGTGAGAACCCGAACACTCGTTGAGAATACTGTGCACAGTGGGTTCGAAAGGCCTTGAAGAAATGTCGTTGTGGCTGAGTAGCATGGTTGTCCGGGGGATAAGCCACACACCCAGGCAGCAGATCATCTCAGCTGCAACATCGGCTGGAAAGTATGACTTGTTGGGATAAAGCGACGTTCCTTGACGGCTGTGTGGGTGGCCTTTAAGGCACGTGTCCCTCACGACGGCTTTTGACGTACGACATTGGGAGTAACCGACGGCGAAAATGTAACGCTGTACACTGTAACGGCGAAATACGCTCTTGTCGGCTGGGGCTGGTGTTACCCCCTCCCAGGTGAGGGGCCTACCAGCTTTCCCACCCAGGCCCAATAGCAAGCCATGGTTGCAAACTTATTCTGGGTGCAAAGCCACCCTTCTGGCCCGGAAGCCAAGGATGGGTCATCGAGGGATGAGAACGGCGAAGCGGGTTGGCATGTCTTTTCCCGGCATGTTTGCGGGGACACGAAAGGCCACGTTTGCCATAACCAATTGACACAAATGACACAAACAATGGTACCTTAGGGTTCATATCGCCATGGTATGCAATGTTTAACGTCTAGGGGGTCGGCGAGGCAGGCCCAGAAGAAACGGGACAACACGTGTGCAAGCCATGAACGGGCGGCAGCATATTTCTTCTATAAAGCAATCTAGGCTGTTAACGTGTACTGAAGGTATACCTTGCTGTTAGAGATCCAGCGTCATGCCCTGGCAGCATGTACCACACGAAATCATCCTGGCCATTAAAACGCCGGTAGTACGGTATAAGGTTGCAGCTCGGCCATGACCGTCGTGTTATGAGGGAAAACGTATTTGGCATGTGAACGTTTGCGTAATAGGATTGTAGGCGTCGCGGTTATCAGAAACTGTTGCACGCGGTATCCAAACAAGGAAGTTAGGTCTTCAGGGCTCGAAGCTTTAGCAATTGAACACGGAAAGCACGTTTTTACAATATTACTTTCTTAAAAGGCCCACCGAATTGGTATGAGCCGTGCTCTCCTTCTGTTCGACGCTCCGGCATGAATGGCTTTCCGACAGTCACGAGCCTTGCCGGTATAATCTAATTATAGTGTTCTGTACGAGCTACTGAATCAGCAGTGGGGTCCACTTCGAGCTATAGCTTGCCCAGCTGCACGGACAGTGCGAGTCCCTGTCGCAACCTCCGGGCCCGACACGTTTCTACCTGTCTTGCGCAAGGTAAGCAGTATCTATGCTTGAAGAGGTGATCCCGAATGCAATTTAGGCATGGCGTGCCCCCCAGGTGTTATTGAAGGTACACTGCCAAAGGCTCAGGATGCCCTAACTTGTCATAATTTGCCTGCAGGAACTACTATGAGTTCCTAAAGCACACTTGAGAAATACTATTGGACCTCCCAGGCCGGTCGCGTAGGATTTTATGATACTGACCCATGGCCGATGCATGTAGCGAGATAGCCGATACGCGCAGAGCCGGCTATGGAGGGGGCGTGATGTACCTACATCAAGTTGCACCTGCGACATTGGCACCTACAAGCTTAATTAGCAACACAACTCCTCATGGCGTCCCCTCAGCTACCTTGCTTCCACGGTCTACCACCGATCCTCGCCCGGTATCATCCTTTGTAAACTCTGATTTTGGGCACGTTAACGGAGGGCCTTTCCGGGAGGACTTTGCAAGGGTTACAAGCTTCGACGCCCAAGATGAAAGGCTACCTGCACAGACAGCCGGCGCGTGTGGCATGAGTGGCGATGGTAACGACACTTTGAAAAAGATCGTTGCTGATCCGGGAGCCTCTTCGATGGATCTAGCTTATCTAAGCAAGGTTCCGCAACACTCCTACTGGCCTCCTCCTCCTGCCGCTCCTGCTCCCGCCACCCTAAAGAAACGTTTCAGCAGCGGTGCGGACAACGCCGGTGTATCTACATCTGCTGCAAATCCCGGCAAGCCCTTTCCTCGAGGCGAATCTGTTTCTACAGGCAAAGACGGCTCCCGAAGTTATGGCCCAATGCTCCCAGAATCGCCAGCGGCCAAACTCACAACTATTCCTGACCAGCCCTTGCCTCGTACACCCTCCGGGTCACTAGCAGCTACCCCAGGGCCGCGTAGCAGCTCAAGCCAGGTCTGGGCCGGCGCCCCCGCCTCCTCCACGCCTCCCGCTGCGCCCTGCTCCTCCCGCTCGTCCGCCATGCGTCAACCGGGGCCCCTCCAGACGGCGGCAACGGACACCAGGAGCACCAATCCTCCTCCCACTGCCGCTGCTGGCCCCGCTGCTGCAAGCGGCAGGGGCGTCAATGGTGGCCGTGCGCCGGCGGTCGCACTAGCCCCCAATGGAGGCAGCAAGCAGCAGCTGCCACTCGGCGCCCCCATTGCCCCGCAGCAGCCGTTGGCAACAGCAGCAGTGGGTGCGGTTGGCGCGTCACGAGGCGGCGGTCCACCTTCCGAAGCCATGCAAGCGTCGCTGTCGGCCTCCCAGCCCCAACCACGGACCCAACCTCAGCCTCGGAGGACGAAGGAGGGGCAGCGGGATGTACAGGAAAGATGGCGGCAGATACAGCAAGCCGCAACGGAGTCGGCTGGCGGTGCGGGGCTACCTGTGGCGACCGCTCCGCCGGCGACCTCTCACCCGTCACCCCATGGCTTGGCTCGCGGCGCTGCGACCTTGCCAGCCTCGGCTGCCCTGGCGCCGGGGTCAGGAGCTGTGAGGTCCAAGGTAGATTGGTGTTTCCTCTTTTCCTGCTTTGGCAAGTTGACTTCGTCTACAGGCATCAACCGGGAAGTGTGTCCGCAAAGTATGATGCAGGCAAAGACACTGTGCTTTTGACACTCTATACAGAGAAGGCCGCCTTGTCTCCGCCTTATCTTCTCATACTTATATACCTCCCATGCTGCTGCCCCCCCTGCAGGGCGTGTTGTCGCCCAAGGTCCCCATCATTATGCCGCGTCAGTTCGCCGAGCGCGTCATGGACCCTGCCACCATCCTCAAGCACGGAGTCACAGTCCTTGTGCGCCGCATCGGAGACCTGCCCGCCACCTCCGACCCCCTGCACCCCCACCCGCACCCACACCCGGACGCAACACCGTCAGCTGCTGCGTCTGCCGGCGTGGACGGTGGTGCGGCGGGTGGCGGCGAGGGCGAGGACGCGGGCTGTGCTCCTGACCTGGTCATGCCGACGCGTGTTGAGCAGTTCTTCCACGCGCAGGGCTACAGCCAGTACCGCGTGCTGGGCCTGAAGGAGATATCGTGCGGGTGGGTGCTGTCTGCTGGGGGGTGGGAGCTCGGGTGGGCAGCGGGGGGTGGGAGCGTGTGGAGCGTGGGGGAGGCGAGTTGGGAGGCCTGCGCGTGTGCATGTGGCGGCTGGTGCGTTGGGTGGTAAGTGCACAACGCCGGTTGGGTTGCCCCGACTGTGCCGCTGGTGAGGCTGATTAGGCTGGCGAGGCGTGCTTTCCCGCAGCTAGTGCTTTGGAAAGTTTCTGAAGGCCTGGCGATGCTCGTAACATACATACATCGACACCTGTACCCCGCATGCCCCCGCAACACCGCGCGCAGGTACCCTAACTGGCGTATTGAGATGTGGGAAGCGCTGGACGACACGACCGTGAGACTCACCATCCGGGCGCCCACACAGGCCGCCAAGGCTGCCGTGCCGCCGCCCCAGCCGCCCCCGCCCCCACCGCAGCACCCCTCTGCCACCGCCGCCGGCAACCCAGCGGCCGCTGCAAGCCCCAGCCGCAACCAGGCAGCTGGGGCTGGGGCTGGGGCTGTCGCAGCGATGCCGCCTCGGTCCGCCGCAGCGGCTATACCTGCTATATCCAGTGCTGGGGAGGCATCCCCGCTTGCGCGGCGGATGCCGCTGGTGCCGATGTCGCCAACACGTGCGCCCGGGGGCCGTTGCGCCTTCCCTGCTGTTGCTCCCGGCGGCTTTCCGGGGGCGGAGGAGGGCCCAGGACGAGACCGGCTGGGAGGCCTGGGAGATGCCGCTGCAGCACTCCTAGAGATGGACACGGTAGGTGTGAGCAGCAACCGAGCCTGGGAATTGACACGTAACCAGGGACGTAGTCCATGTTTGCTAATGGTTAGGGTGCTGCTTATGGTGGCTGTTTGTGTCTGGGCTCCTTTTTTATCCGGCCGGTATCGTCTAGGTATCGTCATCTGCACCGGTGCCCATAGTAGCTTCCCCCATACAGCTGAACTCGGGCCCCCACCTGCCTGCTCCCAGGCCAAGCGCGATGCGGGTCTGGAGTGCACCGAGGTGGTCGGGGAGGAGGACGCGGAGGACGCAGGCGCTGCAGCCACTGTCGCGGCCGACCCAGATGAAGACCGCGAGGATCGACCCATGGGTCCTGCTCCTGCTGCGGCTTCGGGACGTGGTGGTGGACGCATCGTCAAACAGGAAATCGAAGGTCTGCACGAGCGTCGCGAAGAACGCCCGGCCGACGGTGCCGCTGTTGCTGGCGCTGATGCTGTTGCCGGTGGCCGCTCCGTAGGAACAGCAGCAGGGGATGCACAAAGTGTCCGCGGCCGCGGCTCGGCAGGCGGAGCCCACATGGCTGGAGGCGGCGCCGGCGGTGCGGTGCGGCCGCCTGAGGAAGGCAGCCTCGCGGCGGCCGGAGCTGCGGTGGAAGGCAGCGGCGGGAAGCGAGCGTGGGAGCCGGCTGCTGAGGGGGGCTGGGAGGGGCGTGAGGAGGCACCGGGACCTCGAGGCCACGAGGGCCACCGAGACGGCGGGCTGAGCAAGTTCATGCGGACGAGCGGCGGCAAGGCTTACAGGGGTGGCGACGGCGGCTTTGCGGAGGGCTCTCCGACTGTTGGTGGCCAGCAGGTGAGGGGAGGGGGGCCCGCTGCTGCGGTGTCTCTCAGCTTGTTGCTGGCTGCTGGTCCAGCATTGCTGTCAAAGTTACACATCACACATCACGCTGCGTTTGCGCCAGGTTGCCGACAAGGGTTGCGTCACTGTCGTACAACCGCTGGCCTCCGTCCCTCCCTACCGCAGGACCATGTGGGCCAGCAGGCGGGCAGCCCCCGGGCGCCACCCGAGCGGCCGCACCGCAGGGGCGCCAGGGCGGGAGGAGCAGGAGGAGGCGGCAGCAGCCGGGACGCAGCAGGTGCCGGCGCGGGGGGCAGCAGCACCGGCACCGGTGGCGGCGGCGGCGGCGGCGGCGCATTCGGAGGCTACAGCAGCCTGCCGCCTGAGGACATGCCGCCGGAGCTGCCGGGCGCGCTGGCGACATCGCCGCACCCCTGCCGCAAGGTACGATGCACCCGCCTGCGAGCTGCGACGCCGCCCCTATGGGCGTATAGCAACTCCCCCTCCTCCTGCCCATCATCACCACCCTGGCCCCCCCCCATCCTACCTCTCCTGTCGCACCTTACAAACCAACCGCACCGTACACTCACCCAACCCTCGCTACCTCCCCTAACCTCCCCTAACACCCGTCCCCACCCTCCCACCCCCCCACCTTCACCCCCCAGGGCGGCGCCACGGTCCTGAGTCCCGAGCACTTCATCCACCTGCCGCGGCTGTTCTTCCAGGACCACTTCGACACCGCCGCCGTGCTGGCGGGCGGGCTGCGCGTGCAGGTGCAGGCGGGCGGGGTGCTGGACCCGCAGGTGGCGGCCTGCAGTGTGGCCTCCTACCAGAACCACACCGGCTACCGCTACTACCGCCTGCTGGGCTTCAAGGAGGTGCCCAGGTGGGGTGGAGGGGGTGGAGGAGGCGGGTGGGCTGGGTTGCTTGGGTACGCCGTGGAGGATGGGTTGCTGCTTGGGCTACCAGTATACCGGTATCAACTGCCATCCTGATGGTGCAAGGTACCATTCGCATGTACTGTACTGTGTACAGTTGTTGCTGACGTGGCCCGTATGGTATGGTTGCATGCTCCGCGTGCAGGCGTTACGCGGGCTGGCGGGTGGCGGCCTGGGACAAGGTGGCTGCGGACACGGTGCGGGTGCGACTGGCGCCGCCGCTGGGGCTGCCGCTCGCAGCGGCACTCAGCCGGGCGGGACTGCTGCCGGGGGGGCCGGAGGGGGCGCAGGCGGAGGCAGCGGCAGCGGCGGCCGGTGAGGATGCCGGCAGCGGGGGGGGATGCGTTGTCGATCAGTTGGGTGGCCAACAGCAGCAGCAGCAGCGGGCTGCTGCTGGGGGGACCCTGGCTGCTACCGCGACGGGGGGTGAGGCAGGCGGTGGCGGCGGCGGCCGACGCAGTGTTCGGCCTGCGGCCGACATGAGCCGGCGCGGCTGCGTTGCCGCCCACGAAGCTGAGGCGGCTGACTGCGTTGGTCAGCATGAAGACATGGATGAGGGGGAGTTGTCCCCAGCCGCCATCCTGCCCTCGCCGCGTGGCCGGGACGATGCCTACGTCAGGACCGACAAGCCTGCCATCGTACCGCCGCCAGTCAAACGCACTCGCGAGGAGCAGCAAGACGACGCCTCCTTCCATGCACCGGAGCGCCGCCGCGACGGTTCACCTTCCTCCCCGCCCGCCGGCGCAACCGCTCCTTCCAGTGCTGACCTCCGCCGGCTGGTCGCACTGGCGGGGGCCGCCAGCCGCGGACCGCATGACCACTCGGGCAACCACCAGTCGGCACCTGTCGACCACCGCCTCACCCACCTCAGGGAGATCAGGGCGCCAGCGCCGACACGCAACGCTGCCTCCATTTCCCCATTGTACGGCAACGGCAGCCCCTCACCCCTCAGCGGCAGCGGCGGCGGAGGCGGAGGCGGGAATGTCGTATTCCGTCACCAGGGTGTTCCGGGCGTGACGGAGGTACGGCGCATCATGGAGGCGGGCGTGGCGGCTGCTGCTCAGCGGCTGGGTGGTGCGGGGGTTGCGCGAGTGCGCAGCGTGGTGAGTCAGAACCCGAGTGTGGTGCGGCCGGACAAGGGGCGCGTGTACCTGCAGAAGCCCTTCGTGGAGGGGAGTCTGGCGGTCGGCAGCACACCGCTGGCGGTGCAGGTGAGGGGAGGGAGGATGCGGGGAGGGCCGGGGTCCGGGGAGGGGCTGTCGAGGTAGACGGGTGCGGGTATTGTAGTGTACTGCTTTCGAGGACCTGTCTACCTATACTAGCATGCCGGGGCTTCCAGGCCATTACGTGTTCTCTTTCCGCACCCCCAACCATGATGACGCCTTATCACACAGTCAGTTTAATTCTTTCCTCGTTATCCCTCACCCTCCCTCTCCCTCCCTCTCCTTCCCCAGGTGCTGATCAACTCCGGCGGCCAGCTGGACCCCGGCATGTACCCGACCAAGGTCACCCTCTCCAGCAGCGGCGCGCACGGCAAGGCGGAGTACCTGCTGCGCCTCACCGCGCCCATGAAGCAGGCGCACACCGGGCAGCTCATCGTGGGCTGGACGGCGCTGGGGCGGCAGCAGCTGCTCATGCACCTCACGCCGCCGCCGCCGCCGCATGGGCAGCCTGGAGGAGGCGGGGGTATGGCGGAGGCGGGAATGAGCGTGCCGGTAGTGGGGTTGTGGCCGGCGGTGGAGACGCCGCTGATGGGCCGTGAGGGCAGCGGAGGAGTTGCGCAGCGAGAAGGGGTGGACGAGGAGTTGGAGGAGGAGGAGGAGCAGGCGGCGCTGGGTTGCGGAGGTGGACCTGATGATGAAGCGGCGGTGGGCGAGGAGGTGCATGCGGCAAGGCCGCAGCCGAACAGGAGGGGTTGCGCGGAAGGGCCGTTACCGTCGCTGTCTCACCCTCCCGCAGCGGTCCTGCGGGGCCCGCTCTGTGACCCGCTGCTCGCCGAGCGGCTGCAGCAGCACCACGAGGCGCTGCTCTCTCGCGCCCTCAGCGCCCTCTGCAGGCAGCCCGCCACATACCAGGCGCCGCTGCAGCAGCAGATGAGGCACGCAGGAGCAGGACCTGCGGCTGCTGACTGGCCGGAGCGAGACAATGACGGTGACGTCAGCCCGCCTGCCGGTGCCGCGCTCTTGGCCGCCCGCCGACCCAGAAGCCTGGGCGTGCAGCGCCCCCGGCAGAGCTGCTGGGAGCACCCCAGCTGCTCGTTGGCACTGCTGCAGACCTACCGGATGGGGTTTGTTGCCAGCGACGGCGGTGCTGGTTGCGATGGCGGGGGCTATGGGATTATTGCCGGCGGCGGCGGCGGTGTTCGTGGGGGCCGTCATGTTCGCAAGCACTCGCTGCCCGAGTCCGTGCTGCATGCGGCGGAGCAGCTGCTGCACCTGTCCGGGCAGGCGCTCAGCGCCAGTGTGGAGCAGGGAGGCGACGGCGAGGAGGGCGGCGAGGAGGAGGGGGAGGAGTACGGAAGCAAGGAGTACGGCGGCCTGCATGGCTTGTCGTACGTTGCTGGCGGCGGCAAGGCTGAGGTGGCCTTGCCTGTTGTCATGCCCGGCCGTGGTGGCAGCGAGGCGTGTGCGGACGCAGCGGAGGCCATGGCGGCGGTTGAGGGAGGAGGCACTAGCGGCGGTGGCGGTGCGGACTGCTGGCAGTTCCGGGAGCGCAGGGCTGCTGCGCTGGCTGCCATGCGGGGCGGCGGCGGCGGCGGTGGTAGCATGACGGTCGCCGCGGCACCCCAGCTGGACCCGCCCTTGGTGGCAGCTGGAGGGGGCGTGTCGGAGGGCGCTGAGGCGGCGCTGTCGCCCTTCGCCACCCTCCTGTCGCAGGCGGTGGGCGGTGCAGGTCAGCATGCGGGAGCTGCAGTCCTGCAGGCGGGGTTGTCGCCCGTGCTGCCCCGTTGCGAGGGGGCGGTGGCCGCTAGACTGCCTAGCGCCAAGGCTTCGGCTGCGCTCCAGGAGGCCGAGGCAGCGGGTCCGGCTGCTGCTTCCATTCGAGCAGCAGCAGCTCCAGCAGCAGCAGTGCTGCTGCCGGGAGGCCCTCAGCGGTTGTCATACGCGCGCAGCAGCATCGACTCCAGCGGCGGGCTGCAGCTGCCCTCGGAGCGGCCACAGCTGCCGGCGCCGGCAGCATCGCCGCCTGAGGGCGGCTCGCCTCCGCCTCCTTCCCCAGGCAGTGGCGGCGGCGCCTTGGAGGCTGGCCCTTGGTCCCCTTACAGGGAGGAAGTGGGGCGCCTCCCGAGGGGGGCCAGTCTAGGCATGGCTCGCAAGCGCTCTGCGGCCTCCGCTCTGACGGGGGCCAGCGGCGAGGAGGGAGACGGCGGTAGGAGCGTGGGAGGTGACAGCAGCGGCGGCGATGGCGGTGGTGAGGGCTCCCGGCCTCGCAAGTCGCGCCGCACCTGCCACAGCCCCAGTCCGGCCCCGGGGGTTGCGCCCGCTGGAGGTGGTGGTGCAGCAGGCGAGCAGGGCAGCTTGGAGCAGGGCAGCAGGCACGGAGCAGGGGTTGAGGATGCGACTGCGGCTGCGGCGATTCGTGACCCCGCAGCAGCAGCGGCCTACCTGGCCGGCATGTGGCCCTTCGCCGCGGCAGCGCTGCCTGGACCACACATGCAGACACAGATGCAGGCGCCGACCTCGCTGCCACCCTCAGCTTTGGCTGCCTTGGGTGCGCAGCTGGGGCTGCACCCATCCATGGACGTCATCGCTCGCATCCAGGAGCTGCGGCAGCAAGCGGACCAGCAGCAGCAGCGGGAGGCGCTGCAGCGGCAAGAGCAGCGGCAGCGGTGGAAGCAGTGGCAACACGACAACCAGGAATCTGCAGCAGAGGTCAGTACGGAGGTGCCGCATCATCGCAGGTCCTCTGCTGCGGGCCATGCGAACACTGGACAGAAGGGCGGACCCCAGCGCGAGTCAGGCACCACCCTTTCCACGCCACCGCGCTCAGTGGCGGACAGCCTCGACCCGCACATGCAAGGTCCGCTCCGGAGCTCCTCTGCTACTCTGGGGCGCCCGGCCGCTGCCGTACAACCAGTTCCGTCGCAGCCGCAGCGCGCGAGCAGCGACGGTGGCGCATGCGGCGACAGGCCTGGATGGCAGAGCCTGGCAGGGCCCGGCAGCAGCCGCAGGGGACAGGGCAGGAGCCGACCGGACGGCGAAAGCGCTCATGACACAGCCGCGACAGGAGCAGCAGAAGCCGTCCGTCTGGACGCAGCTCGGTTGGTGAGGCAGGGTGGGCTGGTGGACGCACCCTGGCCCCTGTCCTGGCCCTCGCTTCCTCCCGGCGCTCTCGCCAGCGTGGACCCGGCCCTGCTGGAGCACTACTTGCGCAGCGGTGGCGGTGTTGCTGCTGCTGCCCTCGCCTCCAGCAGCTACCAACCCCACCACATCCAGCATCAGCATCACCACCAGCCGCCCCAGCAGTACGGCAACGGCAGTCTGGGTTTGTCGGGTGTGGGTCCGGCGCTGCTGCACCTCATGATGCAGTCGCGGCTGCGGCAGCAGGCGGCGGAGCTGGCGGCGGCGGTGTCGGCGACAGCGACAGCGGCTGTGGCGCCGCCGCAGTATTCCCGCGGTCCGCTGGCGGATGCTGGAGCCGGGCAGGGAGTGGGGGAAGGCAGCCTGGGGCGCTGGTAGCTGAGGAGCTGACGGGTTGTGAGGCTGCGGTCTGAAGAAAGGAGGAAGTGCGCATGCGGAACGTTGCCGAGTTGGCGGCTAACTGGTGCTTTATTTGGGAGCGTAACTGGGTCTGGATTGGTTTAGGCATGCAGCTTATCAGGAGGTATGCAGGGGTAAGAGGGGGGCCATTACCATTTGGATCGCCCATATTTATTGCCCCGGCTTGGGGTTGGTTGCATGTCATGTTGCTCCAAGACGTACCGTCGCTGCAGGACGCGGTACCAGCTGCGTATGTGTGTGTAGTTGAGGCTTAACAACCGCTACGGTAGGTTGCGCTTGGCTAGTTGCGTCTCTGCTAGCCTGAGAAATAAGCATTCAAATAATGGAGGAGGGCAGCTGGAAGTGCTGCGTGTGTGTGCATCCTAGGTCGGTCCGTTTCCCACTCGGGTGTCACCTGTGGGTGCTGTGGATAGGCGAGGTGGCTCTGCGCGGTACACGCGCCGGGTTGAGCAGGTTGCCGCGACAGGCCGGTTCGGGGGGATGGGGCAGCCGGGCAGCTGCAGGTGCTGCTGGCAGTACCCGCACCAGGGGGGGCAGGTCACTTGCTTGTAGGGATGCGTTGTTTGCTGGACTGCACAGGCATTCGGCTTATAAATGTTTTTGCATGAAGAGAGTAAATGCGAAGTGAGCAGATGTATGTCCCAGCCGCCCTGCCGTTTGGTTGTTGTTTGGCAAGATGGGTTTGGCAGAATGCTGCATTCGTACAATGGCCGTGTTTTTGAGAGGAGACAGTTTGGACAGTTTGCTCCTGCCCGTGCATCTGTGGCCAGGGTCAGGTTGCTAGGCGTTTGCATCTGTGGCCAGGGTCAGGTTACTAGGCGTTGTTTGCATTCAAAGATGATGTGAGTGGAGTCATCGAAGACGGCGTTTTGCGCAGTGCATGCGGTAGGTTGAGGTGGATAATCGAGGCATCAAGCCATATTGCTTGCCCGCTAACGATTCTGTGAGACGTACGGTATGCTTTTGTGTCGTGCAGTGAAAGCTGGCCGGACGTACCCCCGCCCAGACCACCTGCTGTGATGGCGCTCTGTGGTTAGTGCTTGCTTGCTTGGTTTTGCAAGGTAGTTGGTTTGTCGAGTTGGGGACAGGTGGTTTGTCCCCTCGCATGGCTTACGTTTGCCTGGTATGTGGGTTGGAGACATTGTCGGCTCTGGCCTCTTGCTGTGTTTTCCACCGGCATCACCGACCGTCCTGCCACATTGGCATGCGATAAGGGGCGTGGTGCGTGTGAGCCGTCGTGACCTTGGTGTTGCAGCTCGGCAGTGTTGCTGCTTGTGATGTGATTGTCAGACAGGAGTCCAACATGCATCACCGGGTTGTGCTGGCCAAGAAGGGCCGTATTCCCCCAGCAGCACTTTCCTGTTGTCATGAATTATATAGAACACTATCGTTGCGTACGACCGTTGCCATTTAGCGCTTGCATAGTAGGGTTTGTTTAGAGATCAGGCCGCAGTTGCTTGCCCCTCGATGTACTGGTCTTTGTCGTATATTAGTCGTAGCAGTTATTGTTGTTGTGCGCAAGGCGGTATATGGATTCCTGTAACCTTGTCGTTGTAGCTTTGGGTTGTGTCACGTTGTGCAGTGGGTAACGATGTTGTTGATGATGTTGATGCTAGGGTTTTCGACGTAGGTGCTCCCCTAATACTGTATGACACCGGTACGATCAGCTCCAACCAGGGTTCATTGAAAGCGGTTTCATGTCGTGTGGACGTTCCCACACTCGTGTCGCCGTACATAATATGTAATATGTCCTCGCCCGTGGCCCTGACCCGCATGATTGCATGAAGGCTGGATGCTTGTCTGTCAAGCTGAAACATGTCCTGGACGGGCGGGCGAAGCAACCATACTTTCCAGGACTGTCCCCCAATGGATTCTTAATAGCTACTTTGCACTGGTACGCATGGGAGAAGACGTTGTAGATGCCGCTACGCAACTTTGGGTTGCAATCTGCGCGACATGCGGAGGACAGCATTGACATCCTATGTCGCGCGTGGACTTCGTTTTGCTTCGGGTCTTTCAATGCAACCGGTGAGGGTACTTAGCCGGGCCCACAACGAATCGAAACTCCACAACCCAATGCGCGAACCCAAAGCCCGAAGATTGTTGCAGCGGCGGCGCACACGAAAGCGCCCGCTTATTCGGAGCAATAAGCATAATGGTAGGAATAGGTCTGAGCTCTAGCCAGGCCATTGCATGCTATGCAGATAGGAGGAGGAGGGACTGAAACAAAGATAGTACCTTGTTCCGCCTGGAACAGTGTAGTCTCCAACAGAAGACAAGGATCCTTCCAGGCTTTGTTGATATCAGAGTTGGGATAGGGACCACTTGAGACGTAACAAGGTTGGGGGCGGCGCCCCTTTCACCGAAAAGGTGTGTCCACCACTCATCATTCATCAAAACCGGCTCGAAAGCCTGGAAGGATACCATTCTGGCGGCGTGGCGGCATTTTATACAGGACCTTCCGTACGACAGGTTGTTCCATAAGGCGCACCTGCAGGGATAAATCTTCATTACTTCATATGCCCAAACGAGAATCAATTGAGGGCTAACGTGGGACAACCTGTAACATTTGATGTTATACAGGCGGGAGCTGGCATGAAAAAGCATAATAAGCGCCTTGCTCGTACCGTAGCGATACAAAATTTTTGTGATAATAGTATTGGTGAGGGCCTTGGAAACCAGGCTGGAATTAGTAGGTGTTTCTTGAAATTGGTGACGGATCCGGGACCGAAATGCAAGCGGTTACCAATTTTGGTGATCGCTTGCCCTAGTTCCCTTGTCAAGCCCGTCCATACGTGCCTCCTCCTCCCCTTGCTGTCGAATTTCAACAACCTCCGGTGCAAACCGTGTGCTAGGGAAGCCGTAAGCGTCGAGCAGGCACGCCAGGTGGCGGTCTAGGGTCAAGCGGGCTTGGCCGAAAATACACAGTGCTCCGTACAATTGGTGACGACCCCACAAATTTCTCTATGGGGAATTACCAGTGCTACAACTTTGGTGACGGCCTACCAAAATTGTATCACAAAAATATAGTATCACTACGGTAATGCTCCCTTGCTGAAGGGTCGTAAGGAAATTGCATTCGGCACATCTCCTAAGGATTACACGTACGTCCACCCGCCGCCTTGAAAACCAGTAACAGCTATTCCAACCTGCAACCTCACTATCTCCTCACTCAGGAGTGCACCTGTGTCGCTCATCATACAAGCTGCATGCTTGTGGTATTAGCCGAGCATTGAACGCATGTCTTCTACCTAGTTGCAGGGGGGCGAATCTCGAGAATCTCGGGGCCCGAGTCCCTTTCCTTGCAAGCATGTATGGTTGACTGTCAATGCTGGCCGCCAAGCTAGACTGCGACGTGCAATAGGGAAACTCGTTGACGCTCAACTGTGCTTCAATAACCAGCAAAGGTGCAAGGTTTTCCGCAGCATCCATAACACAGATGTGTTCATGTGTTCGTTGCAGCCCACCAAATTCCTCCCACGCATGCTCCGCACGTTAGATAACCTCGCCACTACATTTTCAATCGCCTGGATCCCCTGCTGCCGAAAGGAGGCCCTCCTTGCCTCCTGATGGGATCGTGTGCAAGGGCTTGCTACATGGCTTGCCCGCCCAGCACCCCTCCCTGCCTCTTCAAACGCCCGATGAGCGCCTCGGAGCCGAGCCACACGCCCGGCTGCCAGTACTTGAGGGCGCTCCAGAAGGGCACATGCGGCAGCGCCATGCAGTGCAGACTGCGGGAAGTACGAAGCGGGGAACAGAGCGCACCTGGGTCGCCGTACGGCACTGGGCCGTGACCCTCATAAGTCCTAGTACCCTAGTGCGCCTTCGTTGCATCGTGCAGCATGCTGGTTGGGAGCAACGGTATGTACAGGACAGCACGATTGGGGCGGAGGGCAATAGATCAAACCAGGTATTTGTGGGGGAAATGGCGTTAGAACCCCAGGGGTGAATGAACGAGTAACCGTTACAACGGTTCCCTAAAAGGGAAACGGGTGATGAACCCAACCCTACACTGCAAGAGAACCGGAAGTAAGGTATGCACGAGTCAAGGCCGAAGGGAGATGCGCACTCACTGCAGGTGGTCCACCGATCTCCAGGGGGGCACGTGGTAGCCGAACTTGGTACGGCTGCTGCCGGGGGGCGCATGCCGGCCCAGCACCTCCCTGCCCACCCGCTCCATCTCCTCAGCTGACGGGGAAGGCAGGGGCACTTTCAATCATTAGGGTGGTTACGGTAGGCTGGACAGTCATACAGGCAGTTTGATGAGCTGAACACCTGTGCTCTGTCTATCAATGCGTGCACATTCACTTGGGATCCATGGGCTTGAAGGGGTCATGGTGAGTTGGACTTGTGTCCCTGGTCTGGGCGTTTGGCATCCCCCGTCCACCACCCACCGAGTTCTAAGTCTTGTGGTCGCATGCAGTCCGTGTTTGCGAGGTGTACTCGCGGGATGACGAGTAGGTGCTCCAGGGCCTGGGGCCGGATGTTCCTAATCACGACAAGCCGCTCGTTCTGTGTTGGTAAATGGGTGAATGGACGGATGGCGTTCTGTGCTGGACGCAAAGCACCTAGTTGTAGCTGGCGGAAGGGCAGATATGGGCTCTTGCCTGAAATAGAACCCTGTGTTGCTCTGCCCCGTCACTGATTGCACAAAAGGGACATCCTTCTACAGGCTCTCGCGCATCCTCGTGGTACTTGCCAGAGCGCTTCCGCTTCCACGGACAGCACGTACAACTACAAGCCATTCACTTGCAACCCTAAGCGGCTGAAGCTGGCTAGCCACTAGCCCTAACCCGTTTGAGCCCTAAGCCCCTAACCGGCGGTCGTTGATTAACATATGATTTTACGGCTTCATAATTGTAGCGAATAACTCAACACCCCGGAACTTTTATTATCAAACATGTTTGCCAGCAAAACCTTGACGGCATAGTTTGGTTATATACACTCAGCTGGCTTGAGCTCGCAGCATGAACAGAAATTTAAGTGGCAGGTCACAAAAATGCCATGATCGCCATAGCGTCCCGTCCCCACTTGAAGGCCGTTGTAAAAGTTGCACTTTGGCCGAAGCGCCGAACCGTACTGTACGGCAAGAAATGAAACCAAAGCTTACAGCATTAGGTACGCATCTACCATTAGAGTAATAACTAAACAACTACTTTCCACCCAGCACCTGGTGTTTACCAAGATTCGCCTCATCACATACTACCGCCACCACTCTCCTTCTCACCCTCTCTAGTTTAGGCTTGATTCCGCATCTGGGGCCAGCTGCCTACACCTCTGCAGACACCGCTGCACTAACGTCCGTTGCCGCTGCCCCATCTGCCCCTGGTCGCCGTGCTCAACTCACTTCAGCCGCTGCGCTGCTGCCCGAAATATGACCAAGCGGAGAGAGCAAAGCCTCCGACTGCAGTCGCCCCAACAAAGTATTTCGCAGTCAAGACCAACAAATGCACATCCGCCGTCAACTTCGAAACACCATCCCGTAGCTTGGACACGTCGCTCCGCAGCAGGGAAACATCGTGCTTGAGCACACCGAAGTCGCAGCCCAGCTTCCCGGTAGTCCGCTTCAGTTCCTGCACGTCGTTCATGATGTAGTTGAAGGCGTTTTGATTGTCGCCATGCCCACGCTTGGAAAGGGTAAAAAAATGGGCGAAACCTGGACATATTGCTGCAGGACCTAGGGGTTCCAGGCATTGTACACCCACGGGGTTCCAGGGGTTACGCCCCCCTCAATAACAACCGATATGTCCAGGTTTCGCCCATTTTTTACCCTTTCCAAGCGTGGGCATGGCGACAGTCAAAACGCCTTCAACTACATCATGAACGACGTGCAGGAACTGAAGTGGACTACCGGGAAGCTGGGCTGCGACTTTGGTGTGCTCAAGCACGATGTTTCCCTGCTGCGGAGCGACGTGTCCAAGCTACGGGATGGTGTTTCGAAGTTGACGGCAGATGTGCATTTCTTGGTCTTGACTGCGAAATTCTTTGTTAGGGCGACTGCAGTCGGAGGCTTTGCTCTCTCCGCTTGGTCATATTTCGGGCAGCAGCGCAGCGGCGAGCAGACGGTGAATTGAGTTGAGCACAGCGACCAGGGGCAGATGGGGCAGCGGCAACGGACGTTAGTGCAGCGGTGTCTGCAGAGGTGTAGGCAGCTGGCCCCAGATGCGGAATCAAGCCTGAACTAGAGAGGGTGAGAAGGAGAGTGGTGGCGGTAGTATGTGATGAGGCGAATCTTGGTAAACACCAGGTGCTGGGTGGTATTGCTGGATTTGCCTAGCTTGCGGGCGGGTTTGTGTATGAGGGATGTCGTATACTTGACCGCAACAGTTGCCATAGATTATGGTAAGGAGAGACACTATTTCTGTCGATAACTTGGGAGCGTAGGTCACATTGATGTTGGCCGGGTAGCTAACAGGTAACATGCATATGGCTAGGACGCAGAGCTTCGCAGGTGGCTTCCTCACGGCATTGTGCGTTTTTTCTGGATGATTACCGGATTTCGTAGTTGACGCCTCCTGTGGCCTCCGACCAAACGGACTTTTACTGTAGCGGTCCTAATAGCGGTCTCCCATTTACGCGGAACATTTGATTGACCAAGTACAATAGGGGTATGTAAGAAGCGAGTGGAAAAATGCGCACCACCACCTGCATACGGACAAACCGGCGATTGCAAGGCACGTATCCTACTGCCACATGACCCTGAACGACATCCGCCAGCGGGTATGAGTAGTACATAGCTGACATGTACACGATATGCGCTTCATAAAAGGAATCATTGTTCAAGTCAAGTACGTCGCTTCATCAACAACAGTCGCGCAGCTATGGGTATTGATCACATACTGGTGTTACGGTTTGTAATTAACATGGAACGCCAAGCAGCCAGCCAGCGCAGAGTCTGCGCAGAATCAACGGTTTGCTGACTACTTCCGATGCGACACCTGTCCAGTGCGCCCTAGCAACAAAAGGTGGCTACCTCACCACCGTCAAGGCCTCGCCGCCTTGCATGCCACCCCCATCACGTGGTTTGTGGTTCCCTGGCCCAAATGTGTATTGCGATCCAACCATAGGATAAATCCAGATTGGACGAACCACAGCAATGCCCCATCCACTGCATTAGCCCTCTGGGTTTGCCGGACTGCTCACGGCGCCTCTTTGCAAGCGGCACCCTCTGCACCCCCTGTTCGTCGTCTTGGTGCATGAAGTTCTCGCGGTAGTTGTAGTCGTAGAACTGCTTCACGTCGGACAGCATGGAGAAGAAGATGCCGCTCATGCCGCTGGCCAGGTCCTCGGGCGTGATGTGCGTGGTCACCTGTTGCAGCGGGACATGCGAGACAGCGTGGACTCAGATGGCGCCATGGCAGCAGATGGAAATAAAGGGGGCGCAGATGGAACAAGAAGAGAGGGGATAACCATCCAGCTAGCGTCAAGGGCCCCTCCATGCTGCCCCATGCTGCTACGGCTTCCCCATGCAGCCACTCGTGCCTGCTTTTTGAGGTCGAATATGTCGAAGAAGTAATAGCTGCCTGGTGCGAGCGGTGGTCCCTTGCCAGCACGAAGTCCGTGAAGGCCAGCAGGTCCATCTCATCCCTAGGGGACACGGGAACACCGTAATGTGGCGCTGGAGGGCTGGGAGGACTACCAAGGTGTCTAGTCACCTAGTTGCCGTCATTGCAAGCAAACCCTCGCAAGCTAAGCCCTCACCCCCCAGCCCCCCATGCTCTCACCCTGCTGCTGCCCCGCCCTCGGACCCTCCCCGGGCTCCACAAGCGGGTGGCGGAGGGGTCGGAGCTGCCCCCGTGCATCTCCCGCAGAGCTGGGGACCGGCCAAAGAGAAGGGGAGGGGAGAGGGTGGGAAACCGAGACGACGGAGGATGAAGCCACAGGGACAACAGTTGGGCACATGCTGCATGAGCTACGGTGCAGACCCCCAACAGCAACACACCCCACGATAGCGCAGCGCATGCAAGCACGTCAGGCTGTTCCAACTCCATGCCTCTACTGTGGCTACTTCCATGCTAAGCTCTGCCGTGTTAATAAGACACAGTGAACAAGTTGTTCGTACGCAAGACGGATACGGAGGTAAGCATTGCCGGGCTACAACAAGCGCGTGTGACCAGGTTACAGGGGAGGTCTGGATTGCAGCGCCTGCTAGTGGCGGCTACCACTGCAAGCGGCCATCACCATGAAAAACGTCTAGCACAACCCTCCTCGCTATTGCAATCAGACGTGTTTTGGCGTTTTTGCCAATCCTTGCGCACACGTGCCATACAATACACGCTGCCAATGCACAAGGCATCGCGCGGTTACTGTTAATATACATCAAAGGCATGCCATGATGTCAACCAAGCTAAGGCCCGATGGTACAGTAAATAACGATATGACAACTGGAATCACGAAATCACAAATTCCAAACCAAATCTGAATCAGCAAAGATGCCACACGGTGCACATGCGTCCAGGGATTATGTGCAACAGTCGACCAGTACAAAGAAATTCTTCGACTCTCCCTGCCCCCAAGGGCCGTCCAAACGAAATCCTCAACCCAACATGATCAACAAAATCCAACCTCCAATCGTACTGACAAGGATTTGGAGCCGCGTGCATAATGCATGCGTTCAAGCGTTAGCACAATAGCCAGGCAGCACGCGTGCGCCTACGAACCACCGCCACGTGCACCCCAGTGTATCGTTAGCACCCACCAGGGCTCGCGATCCTGTCGAGCCCCCTTTTCCCCACGACAGACTCCAGTCTGAGCGAGCGACCAACACCGTAAAACCGACCCACAATGCAACACAGCAGCTTTGCCAGGGACCTATCAAACCACACCACATCATACCAAGGACTCCTACAAAGTGACAAAGTGACCCGCGGGTCAGGATATGGTACAAATTACCGTCATGACGCCGCAGGACCGTCATGGCACCAACTGTGATGCACGCGACTGCAAATGTCATTCGAGCGCTGTCGCCGCATTTCAAAAGCACGCCGTTCAATACAACCCTAAAATCCAGGCCCTGCCACTGGGGCTCCTACGACCCCTGGGTCGTCCCTCAAGCCTAGTGAAGGGCTATCTGACTAGTTGCCACCCCCGTCTCCACTCTCGCACCATCACCGGGACAGCGACAGTGTGCTGTAGCTGGGTAGAATGTAAACTATAAAGTCATGTGTAGCAGTGCTTGTCGTACAACGAAACATTCAAACACAGGATTACTAAGGATTTTTTCTTCTCCCCCTACTTACTTCTCGTACTCCTTCACAACCGCCCATGCACGGCTAACAGAACGCAGCAACGCGTACCAAGGGCACGGTGCAGCTTATCGCCGCTCGTTGCTTTCTACCCACTGGGCTGCTACAGGCGCTCGTGAAAGGGTTTGCTACAGCTCTGTACCAGCCGCTACCACCATACACCACACGACGAAACGAAGCAAGTCAGCGCAGGTCGGATCAGCCTTCCCCGCTCTCGAGGCTCAGTTTACTAACACGGTAACACCCCAACACAACCTCGTCCTGCCCCTTACTTCCGGCCCTTCTTGAGCGCCTTCTTGCCAGCTCCGTTCAGCGACGATGAGGGGGTGGACGCGGCGGCACCCACCGCTGCCCGCGGGGCCACGAAGCAGGAGCGGGAGGCGGCACCGGGGGCGGGGCCCGAGGCGCTTCCGTCCTGACGGTGGACGCGGGGCGGTGGGTGCGGCATGAGGCGTTGAGTCATGGGGCAGGGGCAGGGGCAGGGGCAAGGGAAGGGGCAGGGGGAGGCAGTTGGGAGGTGAGGGGGATAGCATGCAGGCCGGCCAGTGGGTGGCACTAGGACATGACAAGCTGCGATGCATTATGTGCAGTAGGGCTAAGAAGACCTGGATGAAAAAAGGAATGCAGGTCTAGTCACATCCGCTCCTTGCCAGCTGCCGTGTAACCGATGTGCACATGTGTTTCGCTTACCCGACTCATCTCAGCCACAACGAGGACTACCGAGGTGTATAGCCACCTAGTTGCCGTCATTGCAAGTAAGCCCTCGCAACCTCATTCCCCCACCCCACCCCACCCCCCAGCCCCCCATGCTCTCACCCTGCTGCTGCCCCGCCCTCGGACCCTCCCCGGGCTCCACAAGCGGGTGGCGGAGGGGTCGGAGCTGCCCCCGTGCATCTCCCGCAGAGCTGGGGACCGGCCAAAGAGAAGGGGAGGGGAGAGGGTGGGAAACCGAGACGACGGAGGATGAAGCCACAGGGACAACAGTTGGGCACATGCTGCATGAGCTACGGTGCAGACCCCGAACAGCGACACACCCCACGATAGCGTAGTCCATGCAAGCACGTCAAGCTGGTCCAACCCTGTGCCTCTACTGTTGCTACTGCTGGTACACGTTACCCAACACAACAGTGCACAGCATATTACTGTACGAACTCTCCCACAGCCGCCTCCATCACCCTTATCCATCCCCCACCCCCGCCCGACCCACGGGTCACCCACCCGCCTCGTAGTCCTCGTCCCAGCTGTTGCGCGCCGGGTCCGAGGTGCGCTCCGGGTCGGGCACCTGGTCGTACGGCAGCTCGCTGACCCGCAGACCCGCGGGCTGGGCGGCGTCGCGCTCGCGAACCTGGGAGAGGGGGGTGGGGGCGGGAGGTGCGGTGCACAAGGCGGGGGAAGGACGTTGTTGGTGTTGAGCCGCACAAATGTCGTACAAGACGCACCGTGAGCCTGCTGCATCCCTTCTTCACTGCACGACAAGCGTCACACCAATACCCGACGACCCCAGCACAGTGGCGCTGACAGCCTCTCGCGCTTGCGCCTCCACTTCCCCACCTGCACCCCTTCATCTAGACATGCGGCTCAGCATACCGTCCCCCAGCCTCCCACCCCACCCTCCCACCCAGCCTCCCCCCCACCTGCACCACCGGCATGCGCCCCAGCAGCAGCTGATCCACGCTATCCTGCACCCAGTGAGCCACGTAGAAGTTGCGGCCGCGCATCTCCACCAGGATGGGGAAGCTGGGCGGGGCCTTGCGCTCCAGGATCTGGGGGGGGGGAGGCGTGGGGGGCGGTTGGGTGCGCGGTCACAGCGGGTCGGAGTTGTAAAAGCCATGCCCCGGAAAGCGGGGATGTACGATGGCGACGGGTCGATTGCAGTTGGTGACGCGCGCAAGAGCCTGGCAAGAGTGTTGTGAAAACACCGTAATAAAAGCATTACCCAGGATGTGCCTGACCAAGTTATCATGTCATTGACTTCCGCACTCTTAACAGCCAAGCCCAAACATCGCGCACCCAAACACCACACCACCACCAGCTGCTGTCTCCCAGCTCTGCCCATCTCCAGAAGCGTCGCTGTCCTTTCCCGAGTCTTACCGTCTTCTGAGTCCCCCTCGTTCGCGCCTCCTCATCTCCCAGCGTCACCGCCGCCACTCCGCCCACCAGATCCGACAGGGTGGGGTTCTTGATCAGATTCTCCAGCAGGCACCCGTGTGCCGTACCGATCAGCTGCACGCCCCGCTCGGCGATTGTACGGCAGGCCAGCGCCTCGGCTTCCGTACCGATCTCGTCCACAACCACCACTTGGGGCATGTGGTTCTCAACGGCCTCGATCTGCGAGGGACATGGGAGGGATTAGGTGAACTGAGCCGCGAGCATAGGAATCTTAGGAAAGACCCGTTAGCTGATGTCGTCAGGGGGTTGCATGGGAGCCGTACGGCGTAGTGGCAGCGAGGGGGCAGCAACGCACAGGGTTGGTTGCGATGCAGCGGTGTAGGGGCAACGGCGTACGGCAGTGGCCTAGTACCCACACGGCGCTTTCCCAGGACCTCCCTCCACAACCCCCCCCCTTCCCACCCACCATGACCGCATGTTGCTGGCTGGCATCCGCCACCTGCATGCGCCGAGCACCGCCGATGGCGGGGTGCGGCACGTCGCCGTCCCTGCGGCCGGGCGAGCGGGTGAGTGCATGCAGGCGGCACACGCACGTAGCACGCATCACATCATAAGTCATCGGATGGCGGCGTTGAGACACCGCCACCCCCTTGCCTCCAATACCTTTGCCCAGTAGCGATCGTTCCGCAAAAATCCCGCTGCTATGTTCCTGTTAACCCACACAGCAGCGTTCAAAACAGCTGGCGCCTCTTCTTCTGCAGTAGACAGGCCTCCCTCCCCCCTCCCCGACCATCCCCCAAGCACGCCAAGCACGCAAACACGCACCCCCACTCGCACCCACCCTCCGATCTCGTTCGATGTGTCCACAATGACGACCCGCTTGCGGTACTCATCCGCCAGAGTACGACACATCTCCCGGATGACGGTGGTCTTGCCCACACCCGGCCGCCCCAGCAGCAGCACGGAGTGGCCGCCTGTGCGGCGGGGCGCGGGGTAAAAATAAGGAAAACTGACGAACTGAAAGACGGGGCTTCTCCATGGGTTGCTAATTGAACCATGCTGCAGGACCTGATTGAGAGTGAGTTGGAAGGCGGTTGCGGGGCGCGGGGGGGGGAGGTGGGGACCGGGAACCGGCAGTGGGCGGGAGGAGCATGCATGGTAGGTAACAGAGCAGCATGATGTCCAGCATGTGGTGCCTTCCGCTGCCTGACAGCCTGACAGAGAGAGCCGCACAACGCCCTGCAAACGACAGACCCCTGGCCCCTGCAGACCCCCGCCACCTCCCCGCCCCCCGCAACCGCCTCCCAACTCACTCTCAATCAGGTCCTGCAGCATGGACACGTGCCCGCTCACCGCTCGCCCCACGCGGCAGGTGAGCCCGATGACAGCCCCCCGCCGGTTGCGGATGGCTGAGATGCGGTGCAACGTGCCAGGCACCCCCGCGCGGTTGTCAGCGCCGAACTCGCCGACTGCCGCCACCGCCGCCTCCAGATCCGCAGCGGTGATCTGGTGGGTTGCAGGAAAGGTGGGTTGGTGGGGTTAGGAAAATGGTAAGGAAAGGAAAGACACAACGGCCGTGGGTATGCTTGCATTAAGCATGGCGGACGGAGGGGGCAGAGACAGGAGGAGAGCGGAAGGCAGCGCGGGTGGGTGTGTATGGCGCCGTGCTGCATGTGCACGCGCCTCACCTCCGTGTCCCGCAGGTACTCCCCCGCGGGAATACCCTGGAAGCGCGCCTCGGGCTGCCGACCCAGGTCCAACACCACCTGGGGGTTGGGGGCGATTGGGGGCCAGTTGGGGGCAGTTGGGGGCGGTTGGGGGGAGGAGGTGGAGGTGGAGCAGGGGGAGATGATAACCAGTGATTTTTTTGAGCGATATATCGCTTTTTGAGCGATAAATCATTGGTCCTAGGGCCGTGAGAAAGCGATAAGGTGTCTGTGCCCAGGGTATCTCATCGCTCACACCCCCCCTGCCAGACCCTCTACATGCTAGGGATTTGGGTCCAGGAGGGCACTGGGACTAGTGAGAAGCGCCTCCACATTGGGGTTTAAGGGGCTATGGGCACGTGTGACCCCAGGAGGCCGCCTTAGGAAGCGATAAGCCCCGAAACCCCTCGGCTTGGCTGCATGGGAAAGCGATAAGCGGTTGCCCAGGCCCGATTTCTATCGCTCGAGCAGCGATAAAAAATACCCCCTCGAAAACGAAAAAAAACGCTGGTGATAACGTGCGCTTTAGCTATAGGGGCTGCAAGGGCACAGAAGGGCAAGGAGGCTCTGGGGAGCGTCATTAGCCGCGGTGTTGTTGTTTACTGAGCGCCCCGCCTCGCATGGAGATGTCGTAACCCACAGGCAGCGCGCGCAAAGGTCTTACCTCCACAAGGCTAGCTCGTTGGGGGTGGTTGACTAACGGCTCGCGGATGTCCTCCGGTAGCAACTGTACGGCAAGGGGAAGGAGGAGTCGAGGGCGGCCAGATGTGTGCCTTGCAAGGTATGCAGGCATAATGGAGGGCTTTGGTGTGGGAGCAGCCGTGTCACCAGTCAACGGGAGAGGCAAGTAAACCGCTGCTATCACTCAACGGACGAGAGCCCCTCCTTGCTCACCGTCAGGAGCTCCGCTAGGTCGTCTTGCACTATTTCTGTGCCGTTGTCGGAAATTGGCTCTGATACTGTGTAACCTGCTGCGAAAGTTTGGCGCTGACATCATATGCGACCGATACAGTAGGCATGCGGTAAAAAAGCAACAGCTTACCGCCGATGTCTGATGTAGACTCAGTAGGATGTGCCTTATCCGCCTGGTACCGACATGCTGGCATTCGAACATGTACAGGAACACGCGCTCCAACCGGCATGACCCATCGCGTTGACGGATGCCTAGCGGAAAGAGCGCGCTGTCGCTCAGGTTTGACTTCGCCAACAGCAACTTAGGCTAGTCAAATGACATACCTTCCGCTCAGCCTGAAGCACTTGGACGAGCCGTGGAGAAGCATGTTAGGGTTCTTTTGCCCTTTAGCACTGCTATTAGCTCCTGGCACAACGCGAGTGTTGCAAGGCTTTGCTACTTGAATGTATTAGTTCAGAGTATGCAGAAAAGCAAATAGCTGTCGCCAAATAGAGCGCGCTGCCCCGATGACCGAAAGCTAAGGCGTTTTGCACCAGCGCAGGCCCTGTTTAGCGCTTACTGTGTGCTTATGAACACTGATCCTTACGACGCGACTCATATTTAAGCCAAGTCGGTTGGGGGTTGGCACATTCCCTCCACAATACGGCACAAAGATACGTATCGAAGCATGCAACAGTCAAATGACCCTGACCTACCTGCACGTCTTATAGCTTTGCAGCAATGGCATTGCACACGAGGAAGTTTGCCAGTGACGCCTGACTTTGGCCGTTGCGCGCCCGACGGCAACACCGCCCATGCTTACCAAGAAACCATGAAGGGCAAAGCTATGTAGTGCAATGCCTTCGCTCATCCGTGCAAAATACAGCGCACAATAGCACTAGAGGGAAGCTCATGCAACCTGTGCCAGCTGACCCACCGGAGCCCACTGCAAGCACGTTGCGCCTGGACCTTTTCATGTGACCGGCATCCGACAAAGCCACCCCAGCTAGCAACGGCACACGCAAGCCATGTCACCCCGTGGTGCCGCACAACTAGGCATCCTGAGCGCGGACATGCAAGTCTTCTTGACATCCACAACAGCACACAACGACATGCATGATACTTTGACCCCTCCCGTCACTGGCACCAACACGCCACCCAAGCACCCGGCGCACGCACCCTGCATGCGCAGACTGCAGCCGGCAGCTCCGCCTGCTGCTGCAAGTTGTCGCCAACATCCCGCTATGCCGCGTCATCACTAGATGCCGTACGTCTCTCTTCAAGCCCCAAAGCAGCAACCCGCCAGCCTGCATCCTCGCCATGTCACCGACCTCTGCACTTGGTTCCGTTACCCTAGTGGTAATCGTCTACATGCCAGGATACGTGCCAGAATATTCTCCTCAACAGCCGTAACCCTAACTACAGTTACCACTAATCAAGCCCCAGCTTTCTTCGTCCTTCCTTCGTCCTAAGGCACACTACCGTCCTGTCTACTCTATCCATTTCACCCTATCGTCCGAGTGCCATCTCACATGTAGATCGCCTCCTAAAGCGGCGCAGAATGGCGAACCGCAATGCCGGCTGGATCGTACGACCCGCACTAAACCAGCTGCCGTACGCCAGACTGCAGGGCTCGTCCAACCCGCTCTATGCGGCAGACCGTCGCAAACCGTCTCTACGCTGTGGCAGCACACACAGCCTCTCCACCCTGCAAGCCGCTTCGCCAGGCGCCCAACTGACCGGCAGCTTTCGCACCCCATGACACAAACACTCCCCTAGAGCCCTTCCACAGCCCCAAGCCCCCATCTCCATCCGCACACCAACTTTTCCTCTTTGACCCATGCACAGCAGTCTACAACTAGGTACCCGTACCCGTAAACCAACCACGACACAAAGCCCTACCGAGCCCGCGAAGCACTACTCACACGCCCAAACAAGCATGACAATGTGCCCCTACCAACACACCTCCTGAGCCACATCATCTCCCTACGGCAGCCGCTGCCGCCGCAAGTTGCTGCTGCTGCTGCTGTTGCGCCTGCTGCTGCTGTGCCTGCTGCTGCTGCGCCTGCGTCATGAGCGCGCGCAGGTAATCCCGCAGCTGCTTCACCTCGCCCTCGCGGATCAGGTACACCAGCTGCTGCTGCGCGGGGGCCGCCAGACCCAGCGCGGGCAGCACCGCACCCACCTGGGGTGACGAGAGGGGACCGACAGGCGAGGCGAGGGAGGCAAGTGAGAGGGAAACGGGCTTATAGTCGTTGCTAGTTAGGTTGGTAAGTAGGTGAGGGGATGGCGGGCGCGCAACGCTGATCGCACGTCACAGTGCAGCAGCCCTCCCGACCTATCTTTCCCTGCATCACAGTGCTCCTTTCTTCGTGATTCGCTCCCCCCCGCCGCCTCACCAGGTGAGCCGGGAACTCCTCTCCGCACTTTGCGTAGATCAGCTTCAGCGCGCTCGCCGCGTCCCCCAGCAGGTGCAGCACCGCCGCGTCACGCACGTCCAGCAGCGGACCCGAGGAGCCACCCCCGCCCCCTGCAGCCACCGCTGCCGCCCCCACCGCCGGTCGCAACAGCCCCACAATGCACGCCTCCTCGCCCAGCCGCTCCATCGCGTAACGACGGAAGCCGGGGACCACCTCGCCGCCAGGAGCACTGGCAGCAGCGCCGGCGGCGGCGGCAGCGGCATCCGCACTTCCAGCAGCAGCGGCACCACCAGCAGCCCCAGCAGCCCCCTGCGGCGGTGCCCCGCACCAGTCCCCAACTAGGCGGGAGAACACCTGCAGACACGTGCGCCGCACGTTGGCGTCCACATGCGTGGCCGCCCCACGGGTCAGTCCCACCACCGCCGCCTCCAGCGCCCCGGGCGGCACCTGCAGCAGCGCGCCGCTCATTGCGTTGCTGGTGATGGCGGAGAGGAGCAGGTAGTAGGCGCGCTGCAGCTCGCCGCGCTCGCGAGCGTCCTCCAGGGTGGCTGTGGGGAGAGGGGGAGGGAGAGGGGGACAAAGAAATATTCCCAATGTGTTGAGGAGGGCGGGGGCGGGGAGGGAGAGAGTGAGGAAAGGGAGGAGTGACTGGGGAGAGGGGTTGGTTGCATGGGGCGACACATGCACTGTGAACGGCACGAGGAGCTCGGGGGCGGCGTCTCCCGCATCCTCCTACCACGCCCCTCCCATCTCAGTATCTCCCGCGGCTCAGTTTTACCAACCCCCTCTCTCGCACCCGCATCCTCCTCCCATGTGCCATGCCCCACCCCTCCCTCTCACCCGCAGCTCCGTCCGTAGCGGGGCTCATGGCCGCGGGCGAGGCCAGCTTGCCCGACCAGTCCCAGTCCGCCCCCAGTGCCGCATGCAGCCGCAGCACCAGCGGCGGCAGCAGCGCCTCCAGCAGCCCCCGCAGCGCCTCGCGGTACCGCGCCAGCAGCTGGTTCACCAGGCTCACCAGGTCCACCATGTCCTGGGGGGGGGATGAGGTGGGGTGAGGTTGGGGCGGAAAATAAATGAGAAGTGCAGCAACTGGTGATGTTGGGGTCTTTGGGGGTGGTAAAAATAAGGAAACGGACGAGCTGTGAGCTGGTGAGGTTGGGGTGGGGGTGGTTGTGGGCGAGGTGGGGTTAGCACGGCATAGGAGATAGGACCTCACACCAACTACCCACCTGCACGTCTGTCTGCGTGGACAGCAGCACCTCCAGCGCGGGCGGCAGGTACGGCAGCAGCGCGGGACCCAGGCACTCCACCAGCCGGTGCACGAAGCTGATGAACCGCGCCCGCAGCAGCTTGTTGGCGGGCGCAGCAGCCGGCGCCGCCACCGCCACCTCCAGCGCACGCACCAGCAGCGCCGCCAGCTGCGGCCGCTGCCGGGTCACCATGTCCGTTCGGAAGCCCTTGCTCAGCCGGTTGACAGCCTCCATGGACTGCAGGACCAGGCCGGCGGAGGAGGAGGCAGCAGCCGCGGCGGCGGCGGCGGCAGCGGCGCCGCCAGGCGCCGCTGCCGCTGCCACGGCTGCTGACGCCGCCCTGAGCGGCGGCAGGTTGTCCTCCACCTGCCGCACCAGCGGCTGCATGAGCTGCCCGAGCAGCTGCAGCTGCTGGTCGGGCGGCAGCTCATCTTGCCCCAGCAGCAGCCCCACCGCGTCAAACACGTACAGCCGGTCGTCCACGCAGGCGTTCACGGGCGCTGAGGCCTTGCCCGACCCCGTGGCGGAGGCGGCCCCCGGCCCCCCCACGCCATCCATGCCCCCCGCGCCGCCCGCTGCCGCCGCCCCTCCCGCTGCGGCCCCACCCGTCAGCGGTGTGGTGAGCACCCGCTGCAAGTGCGGCTGCAGCGAGGCCAGCATGTCCGGCAGGTAGGGTCGTACATTCTGCCGTAACGCCTTCACGAGCCGGCTAAACAGGTAGCAGGCGCGCGTGGACACATCCTCCGCCGGGTGCCCCATGCCGCGCGCGTCCAGAAACGCCGCCAACGCCGCCGGAATGGCCGCCGGCTGCTGCTGCAGCACCCTGCTGTACCGCACGCAGCTCTCCAGCACCGCTAGCGCCACCAGGCGATGCCTCGCCACGTTGGGGTGCGGCCCGCGCTGCACCAGCGCCAGTGCAAGCGCCGCCAAGCCGCCCCCTTCCGGCTTCATCGCCTCCTCCGGCGCCCCCTCCCCCAGCTCGTACAGCAAGTTCACCGCCACCTCCACGTCCTGCCAGCCCGCATCCGCACGGCCCAGCACCGATCCCAGCGCCGCGCCCACAAAGCCCAGCACCTCCGGGAAGCAGATCTTGGCGATGTTGCGGAAGAGCGTGAAGAGGTCGCGGCGCTTCTCCTCCACCGCCTCACGCTCCTCCTGCGCCGCTGCCAGCTGGGCGGGCAGTGCGGGCGGCGCGCCTCCGTAGCTGTCGGGCTGCGCCGGGAACTTGGCGGCCACTGCAATGCCCTCCAGAATGGCGCGGACCTGTGCGCGCGTCTCCGGGTCCAGACCGGGGTTCCTGGAGGGGTGGTGGCGGGGAGAGGGGAAAATAAATGAGAAGTGCAGCAACTGGGGAGAGGGGAGGGTAGGTGATGGGGATGAGGAGGGCGTGAGGGGAGGGGAAGCGCGAGGACTTGTATCAGGTTTAGCATCCTAAGAACTCCTCCTGTCGCGCCCCTCCTTCGCCCCACTGCACTCCACTCTCCCCAGCTCCCAGCCAACCGCCACAGGGCCGCCGATGCCCTCCCCCTTCCTCCCTTTCACCCCCCGCCCCCTCCTCCTCCTCCCCCACCTCTTGGCCAGTCCCTTCAACCTCGCCACGTATGCCCCCATGAAGGGCAGCAGCGGCAGCGCCACCTCGTCGCAGCTGCTCTTGAACGCAGCCAGCACCGCTGGAAACAGCTGGGACAACATGCCCGCAGCCGCCTCGGAGGCGCGCGCCGCCTCGCTCGCCGCCTCCTCGCTGACCGGGAAGCCCACCGCTGAGAGGCTGATGACGCCGTTCTCCACGCGCTTCAAACTGTCCATGATTTCTGTGGCGAGGGTGGCCAGCAGGCGCGCGAAGCGGACAGCGACGGCCTCCTCGTCGTCGTCGTGGTCAGTCAGGGGGGCGGAGGGGAAGCCGGCGGACCAGCGGGCAGCGGTGCCCACGATCTTCATGCTCTGCAGGGTGGTCGACAGAGGTACCGTAACATGGGGCAAAGTTACGCGGAGGAGTGCCGGCGAACGGTTTGTGGTGTGGCGTAGGAGTCGAAGTGCAGTGGTCAACGCTGGCCAGCCCAGGCGGACACCAACCACCAACCGAACGCCCATCTCCGTACCCGACCCTCTGCGCCCTGCCCAGCCCTTACACCTCCCCGATTGGGATTCCAGTGCTTCACTTCTACATGTTGTACCCCCCGGCCCCCCCGCCCCGGCCCCCACCTGTATGAGGTTCAGCTTGGGCAGCGCCTCCATGCGCTTGGCCACCACCTCCGTCACGCAGTCCACCGCCGCCATCCGCAGACCGCCGTGGGGGGAGTCCATCAGCGACAGCAGCAGCGGCAGGAACCTGCGGGGGGGGCAGGGGAGGGGGCAGGAGGTGGGCAACACGACGAGGACCAGCAGCCCAGCGCCCACCCCCTACCTCCCGCGCGGAAGCGCCAGCAACCCCCTCCCAACCCCTCCGCGCCCTCCCTCCCACCCCGCATTGGGAATCCTTCTCCCCCCACCCGCCCCGCCCCGCCTCTCACTTGTCATTGGCCACTAGCCCGATGTCGATCCAGGGGATGTAGCGGCTCATGGTCGTCAGCACCTGCGCCGCCAGCTCCGGCGCCTTGTCGCGGTATGCCCCCGCCAGGCGGTACCAGGCGCCCGCCACCTCCCCCAGGCTGTGTTCCCGCATGCTGTCCTTCACGTGCATGCTCAGACGGCTCTCGTCCTGGGACCTGCAGAGGGGGGATTAGTAGCAGGGATGCGGCGGGGGGTTGGGATGTTACCGTACTCGTAATGGGTAGACGTCAGAGGCTGACGATGCGCCCCGGGCACGACAATGCCCTGCATGTTCCGGGCACGCCCCCTCATACGTCCCCGGTACGTCGCACAGCCTCCCCCATCCCACCAACATCAGCCCGTGCATCGCGCAGGTTTCATCGTACTGGACCGCACCGCAGAGGGGGCTGCACATCCCCTCGCCCCGTTGTCATACAGTTCGTCATTTCCCTCATTTTCTTCCCCCGCCCCCGCCCCGTGCCCCTCTGCCCCCCTCGGCGCCCCTCTGCCATCCCCCCCGCAAGTTGCGTGCTTCTAGGATAGTGTCTCCGACTGCGCTCACTGCATGAGTCGGGATATGGGATTGGGACTCGTTGTTTCACTTACTTCATCCCCCCCCATCCCGCCCCGCTCCCCCCCACCTGGGTATGTCCAGCGACACGATGTCCTCGTCCACCGACAGCAGGATGCGGCAGAACATGTCCACCACGCCCTCGCCCTGGGCGGCGGCGGAGATGAGGTCGTGGAAGAAGGTGGGCCAGTTGGTCGGGTACTCGTACTGGGGGGGAGGGGGCGGGTTGGACAGGTGGGGGGGGGGGAGGGGGGTGAGGGTAAGGGTGCGGACGGGGCGGGGCGGTGGAGGCGCTGGATGTGCCAACGACACTGCCGCTGGGAGCGCGTGTGTTACGAAAACTGGCCGTCGGCGATGGCTGCCGGTCTGGCTGGTCAAGTAGCTGGTAGAAGTAGCGCGGAGTGCGGGCTGCGCTGGGCGTTGGGGATGCCACCCCCCGGGCAGCCCTGCCTTCATGCATGGTGGTCGTCTGCGCCGCGAATGCTGGCCTGCAGCGGCTGCGGACACACCCCTCAACAGCTGCTGCACCCCGCCTGCCCGCCCGCCTGTCTGCCTGCCCGCCTGGGGCTGCTCCCGAAGGAGTTCAGCTGGGGAGAGTGCCGCCCTGGTGCATCCATACAGAGCAGCCAGGGCGCAACATCCGTCGGCCCAGACAGCAGGTGGGCAAGGCGCGCAGCGGTAGATACCCAGCGGCAGGCCCCACCGCCCCCAGCACCGTGTGTGCAGCGCCCGCTGCGGCGCCAGCTACTGCCCCAGTGCTCCCATGTCGCCGCCACCACCGTGTAATGGCATCTGGCACCCCGGCACTGCAACCCCAGGGAGCCGCCTGATCCACTGCCGGCTGCTGCTGCCGCCAGCTGCTGCTGCTGCTGCGTCGCCCATGGCTGCTTCCGAGCCGCCGCTGCCCGGGCGCCCCAACCGCCTCTCACCGGCGGCCCGCCACTGCTCGCTTCACCCGTGCTGCATGCAGGCAGTCCCGGTAGGAGGCCCCGGTCCCAGGCGGCCTCAGCCCGGGACCCCAGCTCAGCTGCTAACCCCCCATGACACCAGCCGGACCATTATTACTGGCCCGCAGCCCGCCGCCCTCCTGGCCCCCTACCCCCAGGGTTATGTGATTGTGTGACTCCGTTGCTTCACTCTTCAACTCTTTCCCTCCCTCCCCCCACGCATTGGATACTCTTCTTTCCCCCCCCTCCTGGCCCCCACGCAGCCGCACACCCACCTGCAGCACCGCCACCAGCGTCTGCGCCACCTTGTTGCGCAGGAAGGGCGGCAGCGGGGCGGCCGGGGTGTTGCAGTCGCGCTGAACCCAGGTCATCAGCGCGCCGCGGATCTGGGGGAGGAGGTGGGGAATGAGGCGGAGGGGAATGAGGAGGAGGGGAATGAGGAGGAGGGGAAGGGTGCATCGGGTGGGGCAGGTGGAGGGAAGGGGAGGGACAAAGCATGTGCGGGAGGGCGGATAAGGGCCGCAGGGCAGCTGCATGGACAACTGTGCTGTGGGGGAGCTTGCAGGTCACATACATGCGTCCAGTCCCCAGCAAGCACAGGGTGCGGTAGTCGTAAAAATAAGGGATGGAGTGGAGGTTGCGCGGCACCGTGGGCGCCTTTTGCTGGCTTACTGTCGCCTGCCAGGCCAGCGAGGCCTAAACCCTTAGAACACCCCACCCACCATGGCCTTGTCGGCCGCTGGAAGTCCAGCATAGCTTGACCGAATCAACTGCAGGTGCCATCAATTGCCGTTAGGACCCCCATGAGATCTGATGGGGACTGGCGTTCACAGGCAGAAGCGCGCACCTCATGGAGTGTTTGTAAACACCAAAACTTTACTTCTGCATAAGAAGTCACAGAAAACCGTTCGACACATAGCCTCAAACACTCTGGTGTTTGTTTGATGTTATTGGTAAAGGCCGCCGCTTGCTCCTGCGAATGCGTGCCGACGGATTACTTGCAATGTTCACAGCCAAATCCGCCATGCAGCCTTGAATGTACCTTCAGTTGAGGGCTATACGTGCCATCGAAGCTGAAGGTGATCAGCACAGCTTTTTCAAAGTCGTCCATATTTTGGAGCCGCCGCGCCGAAGCTTGCCTCTGCCTGAGCACGCTCACCACGGAGCTGGGTTTGCCACACACCAGGCTCAGTGGTGAGCGCTAAGATCATGACGCGTCTGACATCAAATGTATCCCTTACGCCATACGCCTTTCACTTATCGTCGCGGTGCAACAGTTCAAAGTGTTTTGCCCGGCAGGAACAAGTTTCTTCGCTTGATTGATAATATTGCGGATTGCGGTGCATTTATCGCCTGTATCCGAACAATTTACAGAGACCGTTTACCGGTACCGCGCAATGTCGTACAGTAACATGGCATGCTTGCTATGTACGGCAATTGACGTACGGTAAACCGCCCTGAATCCCCGGCTGCAAGCGTTCGCACGTGGCATCATGCCATCCCGGCGCCATCTATACGGTATCCCTGGCTGATCTGCAACCCAAGGCCATGTGCGACCGCTTCCCGTGTCGGTTACCCGTTGGTGCCCCCCACCCGCCCGTACGGCACTACTGCTAAAGATACACACCAAACCCGAAGTGCTTCCCCCCAATGGTGCGCAGCATTGCCGTCCCTAAAGGAAACCTCAGTCCCGATGACCTAGTGTACGGCGACGGGACGTGAAGCGTGGAGGGGCATACGCACGCGTGGCCATTGCTTTTCGTGCCCCTAGTTGGTTTTGACCAGGCACCCAACGCTGCAGTCAAGGCACTTGACAGGCGCGCCTTCGACAAAAACATGCCTGCCGTGAAGCATGCATCGCCCTTGGGAATACTGCTAACGCCTCAGGGTGTTCCCGCTGCCACTGGTGACCAGCAGTTTAGCTACACTGCACTGATTCCACATCCTATTCCGTTTCCACACCCAGTTCGGTTCCCGTAGTTACCGCACAAGCCCTCACGTCCCCAGCATCCTCCGCCAGCCTCTTTTACAACGCCGCCGCAGCGTACCAGTACACCTGCATTGCAGCAAACCGCCGCAAGATGCAACCTAAACCCTAATGGCCCATCCCAGGGCAACATCTCACGCTGCTGACGCCGCACCAGGCACCGCACACAACCCCACGTCTTCCGACTCGCGGCCAGTCTCCCGAACACCCCCACTTCACATGTAGCACCGGTGGCATCATGATTTCACAAGCACTTCTTCTAGGCGCGCCGTCCTGCGCTTTACATGCATAGTGCAAAACCTAACCTGACACCCTACAGAGGAAGATGTCTATGGGAAACCTAGCACACGAACCAAGTTACATTTTCTCACCGACAAGGGCGGCACCATGTACCGTTTGCAGACATCGCAGCAAAGCGGTTACCCGTGAAGACACTCGGGACCTCCCTCACGTGTAGGCACACACCAACAAGAAGCTAACCTAGGAATGTAGCGGCACTTCATCCACCCCCGATCACATGTTCTATACCACCACCCTCGATCCCGCTCAAGCTAGCAAACAAGCAAGCAAGCAAGTTGTATTCAGACGGAAGGCAGTGTTGTGTGCGCACAGCTCACAGCATCCCATCAAACCGCGAATAGCATACATACCGTACCCTGGAAACATAAGCTAGAGTCTAGCGCTCCTAAGCCGTGTCTGTTTAGCGCTACAGCCTGCAAGACCACCGAAGAGCCCCTTCTGCGAAGCGTGCAATGCCCGGTGCAATGCCGGTGACACAACCTGCCATCCTGTTCAACCGCCCGCATGCAGTTGGATGTCCAAGCAGTTACCTAAACCCACGCGCGGCACCGTCTGTGTTCACGAAACGCAAGGAGCACAAAACACAAACGGGTTATTAGTCATAGTCAGCCTGAACAGCCTGCCCTTGCACATAAGGCCTTCTGTGGAGATGGCTGCAGGGGAATGCAGCGCACACACGCAAGGTGCATGGATTATTCGGAGGGATAGACCCCCGGGTCACTCGCCTGTAAGGCATTGAGAACATCATTGCAATTGCACAGTACCCGGACAGGACCAGTGCCCCTTCCCTCCCTTCCACACGCCACACACGACACATGCAAACGAGTCCGAGAAGACGCAGCCAAAGCTACCGAACGCCACTACGCGCAGGAACAACCCCACGCTGCTTCGCATGCCATGCTGCTGCTTGCACCGCCAACGCTGCCACCACATGTACAGCGGTCGCCAGCCGGGTAAGGGATGCTGGGGGATGCACGCCACCCAACGCGCTGCATGCATGCATGCATGGAACGCATGACTCCTGCGGGACTCGAACCCAACTCCCGCATCCGGAATCCCCACTCCACTCATCCCGCGGAAACCCAGTGCTTCACTCGTTGTCCTCTGGAACGGCATCACCACCGCCGGTGCCCCTGCGAACCACCTTCCCGTAAGCGGGCCGCCCTCGAGGTGCCGGCGGCGGCCGCGGCTTGCGCTGCAACACTGGCTGTTGCCTGGGCACCGGCGGCGGCCGGGGGTTAGGACGGCTGCCGCGGCTCACAACCGACTCCCTGACCCGCTCCGGAACCACCGCCACCGCCGGTGTGCTGTCATCCTCGTCCTCATCGTCCACCTCCTCCTCATCGCTGCTCCCCCCGCTGCTGCTGCTAATCAGCTGTCGTCGCGTACTCCCCGTCCCCGCACCGCTCCTACCCGTGTTGCTGCTGGCATTGCTCCGGGCCAGGTCTCCTCGCGACCGCCAGGCTCCCACCCGCCCCGGCCCCTGCTGCGCTGCTGCGGCCGCGGCTGCTGCTGCCGCCCGCTGCTGCTCCGCCGCGCGCTGCTCCTCCAGCTCCAGCGCCGCCTCCACCGCGCCGCTGCCCGCACGCAGACCCTCCAGGTAGCTGCGGCTGCAGGGCGGCTGGTGGGGGTGGTGGTGGTGGTGGTGGGGGTGCGGGCCGCTGTCGGTGTCCCAGCCGGAGGGAGGCGCGTCGGCGACGCGTGCCAGCCACAGCGGTGCCTCGCTGATGGGCCTGTGAGGAGGGTTAAGAGGAAACAATTGACTGGCCGTGTGATACGGCGTCATCATGGTTTGCAACATGCGAGCCAGCCCGACCGTGGAAGCCGTGGAGGGGTGGAGGGGAGGTGTCCGTGGGCATGCATGCAAGGGGAATCAGTACTGATTGCTGACTGGGAACTGCGAATAACCGGTTTGCAGCTAGTCAGCTCGCTTCTTAGCAAGCACGACCCGTTTTGCTCTTATCGGACTTGCATGAGGAGGACACAACACAATGGGCATAGCGGCATACCGAGTAAGGGTACCATATGCATGGGGCGGTGCGACCTACCTGCCCGCTCACCGCTATTATCGGCTTACAGGATCGGACGCGGGGTTCATGCCTGCCCCCTTCCCCTCCCCCACACCTGGGCACGTTGTGCACCCAGAGCTGCGGCTTGCTCTGCTGCACACTCGCCGCCAGCAGCTGCGAGCTGCCCTCCAGCCAGAACTGCTGCCGCAGCGCGCCACCGCCGCCGCCCACACGGGACCGCGTGGGGGCTGCTGCTGCGCCAAGAGACAAGCGGGAGGGGAGCACAAGGGAAGAGGGAGGGAGGCACTAGGAGTCAGGAGTGGTAGTCTGCAAGCAAGCACCGGCAGCGCGTACAAGAGGGCAGCCCGGACAGCAGGTTGCATGGGGGCATGAGTGTGGTCAGGGTCGGGCCGGGCCCATGGGGATCCCGGTAGGCGCGTGCAAAGGCTTAGCAATGCCGTGGATAAGGATATTAGGAACACCCAAACAAGGGTAGGAACACCCAAACAAGGGTAGGAACACCCAAACAAGGGTAGCTACAGCACTGTCGTGAGGCGTGGTAGGACGCCGCAGAAGCATGCTCGTTAAGGCTTCCTCGTTAGGCCCCAACCCTCACCATTGCTGGGCGTTGAGATGCGGTCCGCCAGGCGAGCGGTGGAGGGCCGCACTGCAGGGAGCAAACAGGACCGCCGGTTAGTAGAAGGTATTGGAACCAGGTAACATTAGAAGTAGTCGAGCATAGATCTGTTCTGTTATCTTTTGCAGCCCACTCGTACGTGATCCCGCATGCACAACGCCGTACCGCACGTGCCACTCTGCCACATGCTACCATCCCCTCGCGACACTTGCATGCCAAAGGCCGCGCTTGCGGACCTTCACCGCTCGCTCACTCCTCCCACCCGCATTGGGACTCCAGTTGCTGCGCTTGCCGTTTATTTTTCCACCCCCGTGCAACAACTCACCCAATCCGCCCTCGCTGCCAGCGGTCTCGCCGCCACTGCGCCAGCCGGCAGGCCAGGCAGCCCCCCCCAGGGCACCCGCCGGCATCCGCCTGGGAGAGCCCTGCGTGTTGCCCTCCGGAAAGTCCCATTCCAGAGGCGGTCCGCCCACGCATGCGGAAATGTAGTAGCTGCTCGGCAACCCGACAACGGCGGCTGTGAGGGCCGCAGCCAAGGACACGACACCCTCCAGGGTGCGACTCTGCCGCCGTTGCTGCTGCTGCTGCTGCCGCGACTGTGGTTGCTGCTGCTTCGACTGCCGTCTGTGTTTTTGGTGTTGATGCGAGTGGGACTGCGGCCGCTGTTGCTCTGATTGCTCCTGTGACTGCTGCTGTTGCTGCTGTTCCTCTTGTTGTTGCTGTACCCGTGCCTCCTCCTCTTCTTGTTGCTGTGCAACCTGTTGTTGCTCCTGCAGTCTCTGTTGCTGTTGTTGCTGCTGCTGCTGCTGCGGGTCTTGTTGTTCATCGACGGACTCTTGCAAGGGAGGTTCTTCCTGTTGCGGCTGATGCTGCTGCAGCTGCTGCGGGGGTGTCTGCTCTTGCTGCTGCATCTGTTGTTGCAGCTGCGGCTGCGGCTGCTGCGCTGCTTGCACCTGCTGTTGCTGCTGTTGCTGCTGTGGCTGCGGTAATGGCTGCAACTGCTGCAGCTGTTGCAGCTGCTGCGGGTGGTAGTAGAACGGCTGCTGCACACTGGGTGACAGCGTGCCCCGGAGCGCCGCAGTGGGCGTCGGCAGCAAGCCACTTGCAGGAGCACTCGTAGCCGGCAAGTTCAAGGGCGCGAGGGCGCCATTCGGCCCGCTGCCAAAGCCACTGACGGACAGCTGCGGCTGGGAGGAGGCACCCGACGGCGAGTAGTGCGCGCCTGGAAGGGGAAACGGGTAGTGCGAGAGGGAGACCGCGTCCTCGGGGTCTGTGCTGCGGCGTCCTGGGGGCAGCTTGGCTAGGTTCAGGCCCAGCTTGCTCACCACATACGGTCGACCGGCAATCGCGGCTGCGGCCGCTGCTGCTGTCGCTGACCCCGGCGTCAAGCGGTGCTGGTGTTGGTGTTGATGCGCCTGCTGCTGCTGCTGCTGCAGGGCCGCCGCTGCGGGCTGGGGCTGCTGCTGCTGCTGGGGTGAGCCCCCGTGAGGCAGCGCCAGACCCTCTGAGAAGCTCGCGGAGCGGATGGAGGAGGAGAGCCAGCTGCGCAGGTCCGCAACAGCGGCCACAGCCGCCGCCGCCACGCCGCCTGCCGCCGCCGCCAGCACGGCTGCCGCCGTGACGGAGGCCGCCTGCTCCTGCGGCGAGCCTGCAGCCCCCGCACCCGCAGCCGCCTGGCCTGACAACACCGGCTGCAGCAGCGCCTGCACATGCGCCGGGACGCCTGGGTGGTTGGGCGGGAAGGCAACAGACGGGAAGTGGTAGGCCGCTGCGGTGGCGGGCATGTTGGTTGGGGTGGAGGGTCTGGAACCGATGACGCCTACAGGACCCGTGGGGGAGAGGACCATGTTGGCGGGGGAGGCGGGCCGCTGGGGACTGCCCATGCCGCTGCTGGTGCCACCCGCGCCCGTCCAGGACATCAGCGGCCGCACGGCGGGTTGCAGCGGACTGTAGGCGGGTGCGGTGGGGTGCGGGCTGGGGTTGGAGAGCGCCAGGCGCACGGGCGACTGCGGACTGCCGAATGCGGTTTCATCGTGTACGGAGGCGCCGCCGGCGCCCGTCTGCCGGTGTTGCGGGTGCGGGGGTTGTGGTTGCGGCTGCGACAGCCTCAGCTCCGAGGCGCGCTGCGGCTGCTGGCTGCCACCTCGAGGCGGCACCTGCTGCAGCTGCTGCAGCCTCTGCCCCGAGTCCTGAAGTGCAGCCAGCTGCTGCTGTTGCTGCTGCTGCTGCTGGTGTAAACTGAAGCACGAGGGGCGGTTACCAAGCGCTGCGGACGTCGTCTCTCCGCTGCTGCTAGCGCCTCCGCCGCCTCCGCGGGGTGTGAGGACTACATCGTCACCTGGGGCCGTACCGCCCAATCGCACATCACCCGACGCTGTGCGCCGCTCCACCCCCGCCTCGTCCCCCTGCTCCGTCGCAGCCCGGTGCAGCTTGCTGGGCCCCACCGGCAGCCCGTCTAAGGACGTGTGACCCCCCGAGCTGCTGTTGCGGTGAAGCGCCCGGTCGCTGCCGCCACGACCAAAGCCCAGACGATGTGGCTGCTGCCCAGCGCTGTACCCCGGCAGCTGAGGCGGCAAGCCCGGCGCTGGGAAGGGCGGGTCCAGCAGTCCTCCAAGCGCAGCCGGTGCCGCATCGCTCATGCCCGTGCCCGTGCCGTTCCGAGGGCTGCTGCTCGCCCCGCTCCGGGCGTTGAAGGAGCTATGGTGCGCAGACAGGGGCCGGCGGGGCGTGGTGGGTCGGCCTAGGGAGGAAGCGGCCGCAGCGGCGGAGGCGCCGGACGGCGGCTGCGAGGGGCTGCCGCTGCTTGCATGGCTGGCGGGCACCGCGGAGCTAGGCCGCGTCGTGGTGCCGCCGCCGCTGCGAGGCCTGCCGTACATGCCGCCGCCCGTCGAATGACCCGACGCGTCGAGTGATGTGCGCGGGTGCGACAGGCTCTTGGTCAGGCCGTTCATCACCGCCGCCGCGCCGTACGTATCCACCACCCCCGCATTCAGCGCCGCCGCCGCCGCCGCTGCCGCCGCCGCCGTCGTGGGGCTGTACTGGTACGGCGAGCTCTGCGGCGGGGCACCGGTGCGCCGCGAGGAGCTCGGCCGCAGCGGCCGGGGCTGGGAGAGCTGGCAGGCCGACACGGTGGGCGCTGGCAGCCCCAGCGCCTGGCTCCAGGCCGCCGCGCCGCCGCCGCCAGAGCCGGGCATGGGCCCCAGCCCCACCGCCGTGCCCAGCACCGCCACACCCGACATCGCGCCCGCGCCCACGCCGATGCTCCGCGCGTCTGCTCCGCCCAGCTGACTCCGGGGCGAGTTGGACGCCTGGCCCGGCTGGCCCTGCATGCCGCCTACAGGGGAGACAGCGCCGCCCAGGCCGGTACCCCACACCCCGCCCGGCATGCCGCGGGCTGAGCGCGGGTGGCTCAGGCTGCGTGTCTGCTGGCTGGGGCGCACGGGGCCGCTGTTGTTGATGGAGGGCATGACCTTGCGGTCCCCAAGCACGGCGCCGCTGCCTCCGCCCTGAGCATTCCCGGGGGAGGCGGTGGTGGTGGAGGGCGCCATGGGTGCGATTGCGTCGGCGGACGCTGCCGAGATGGAGCTGGGCTCCGGGGGGCTGGCCAGCTCGCCTGTGGTGGTGCCGGGGGCGCTTTGGGGACCAGCGCCGGCGGGGTGGGTGCTGCCGCCGTGGCTGCCGCCAGGGACGGCGCTGGTGGGCCGGGCCTTGGCGGCGGCGAGGGGGGAGCCCAGGGCAGCAGTGCTGGGCGGGAGGGAGCTGGTGGGCATGTTGTTCACACCCAGCTGCCTGCGGTGCGGTGCGGCGCGAGCGAGGAGCAAGGGAAGTGGCAGGTGAGCGGCCATGGCGTCAGGTTGTGGAGGCTTAGGCAGAGGATAGGACATCGTAGGGGTTAGAGAAGGGCTTTACGAGGCAGGGGTTGGCAGAGGTTTGGCACTTGGCCTGGCGTCGAAGGTGGAGGTGAATCCCCTAATGCCGAATTGCGGACTGGCCACCCATACCTGGGGACCGGCCCAAGCGGTGTTCCCCGCTGCGCGGTAAGCCGGGATACGCGGCCTGGCGTGGCGCTTCTGTTACGATTTCCCGGCTGTGACTGAGCCATAAGCGCGTCCGCCGAGGAGCTTGGGGAGCGTTGTGGAGTTGCAGCATTACTCGTTGCAATTTGCGGTTGCGCATTCACAATCAACTGGAGCGAGGAGGACCCAGATGGTCCCCAAGCCATACTCCTACGGCTGAAGCCGTTAGTCCCTCTTCCGCGAGAGCGGTAATGCTTGGCCGAATGAAACTCCCCGCGGCCCCTCTTTCATACTGTACGCAAGACCTGACAGCAAAGTGTAACGTACTGCAGCTTTCACGTCAAATAGGTTTCAATCCTGGCTTGCTTGTCGAAACGAAACGGCTAAGCTGTTAGGCAGGGAAGAGTCGCAGCGCCCCTAGTATTGAAGGAATATGTCGCTTTATAGCAAGGATACGTTGTTTTTATAATAACTGCGCAAAATGAAGCAGAGTAACATAATGCGTGGATTGCTCCATGATGCATGGTTTTTTCCCTCATTCCCTACTGCTCACTTATACTGTTGTTCTTGCTGGTTTTTATAGTCAGATAAGAATTAGTCTGGTTTCTCAGCTCGCGTGCTTGTAAAGGTGGCGGTGGGTGAGCCAAGATGTTGCCTGCAGGTTTAGATGACTTCATGAGTCATGTCCTTTCGCAAATTGCAAGCAGTAACGGATTTGATATTAGGTTCCCCGGGCATGGGGATGATGGGGAGAACGACGGCAGCGGCGACGACGATGTCGCACCCCTGGCAAGACACTCTCCACTTGGCCCACAAGACGAGGACAGGTGCTAGTCGCTCTGGGTGCAAGGGAAATCACGTCACTCGCTTGCCATCAATTGACGACAAGGAGGGCAGTACAGGAGGGTGTTACAGGGGGCGCTATCGTGGGGCAGCGTGCGAGGGTTAGCGGCCTTTCTCTTCCCTCCATCACCCCCCGATTTGCTCATCACACACACCAATCCCTCAATACCCCACACTCCCGCCCTCCCCGAATCCTCCTCGTCTTCTAACGCACTGTTTACACCCTCCCAACCCTCCATCGTCCCACAGCTTCCGCCACTTCCTAGCCCAACTCCGCGACCCCGCCACCTCCGCCCCAACCAAAGTCGCCCTCATGCACCGCCTGCTAGCCGACCTCCGAGCCGCCACCGCCCGCCAGCCGCCGCGAGCCCTGCTTGCCGTACCGGGGGCCGTCGCGCAGCTCTGCGCCCTCGTCACCAGCGACTGGCCGCGGCGAGGCGACTTGGCGGCGTCGGCCGCCGACGTGGACCTGGTAGTGGCGCTGCGGCCGCCACCGCCGCCCACGGGTAACGCCGGCGGCAGCGGCAGTAATGCGCGCCGGCGGCAGGCGGCGGCGGCTGCCGCCGCCGCCCCCCGCATCACCCGTCTACCCCACCACAGCCTGCGGCGTGTCACCACCGCCGTATTAACCGAGCTGGCTCGCTGGTTGGATTCCGTCAATGCAATGTGGGACGCACTGTTCTTTCAGCACCTGCCCACCATCCTAGCAGATCTGGCCGAGCGGTACAAGTACGGACAAACGTATGGCAGGATGTACGGCAGAGGTCAGCGTACGGATCAGGGGCAGTACATGTACGAACGGCTCCTAACCCTGTGTTCAGAAAGTGCGGCGGAGAGTACTGTCGTACGGCATTTCGTGGCGAACAAACTGTTCGACGTGGTTGTACAGCGCTACCCCAGATTGGACGTACGCAATGCAAGGCGATCCGCTTGGCCCAGGCTGCGACCTCGGCCCATGGACGATGACTGCTGCCCCTACTCCGCATGCTCCTGGCCCGCACGACCCGGGCCCCAGTGTGACAGCGAGGGGGTCACCGCCTGGTTTGAATCCCAGCTGGATTCCGATTCCGGCTCCGAGGCTGCTGGGCGCGAGGACGAGGAGGCCGAGGCCGAGGCCGAGGAGGGGGGTGCGGGGGGTGCGGTGTCGTGGTTGGGTCGGCGCGCGGTGAACGCTGGTGCGGGTGCGGAGGTGCCTCAGCTGGCTGCGCCCGACGTGCCCCCCTCCCGGCTCTTGGGGGTGCCGCCGGGCATGGAGGGGATGTTCGGTGCGGATGTGGAGCCGGGGCCAGACAGCCGGGACCCGCTGCCCACCGCCTTCCTGCGGTGGGTGTCGCACTGCTGCTGCACAGTCAGCGCGGGCAGCCCCTCGTACGCAGTTGGAATGCCTAATAACCAAACATATTGTAATGCCCCGCAAGCCTGGCGTCCCATCATGCTTACGTGATGCCTCCCGGCCTGCCTGCTTACCGACCTAAATCCTTTTTCCCCCCACCTGCCCACCTGCCCCCTTCCCTCCCCCCTCCAGCTTCCTCTCCTGCAGCTGGCCCAGCCTGCCGGCGGAGGCTCGGCTGCGGCCGCTGCAGCGGGGGCTGCTGGCGGCACTGACGGCCTTTCCCGCGGACACCTCCTCGCGGCAGCTGCTGGAGGGGCCGCTCATGTACCGCATGCGGGAGGCCTACCACGGGTGCGACCCGCGGGACACCTGCAGCAGCACCTACCTGGCCCGCTTCCTCGCTTCCTCGCTCGCTCGCTTGCCTGTTCCTGCTGCTGCTTTTGCTGCCCCCAGGGGTTGCACCCCGCTGTCGGGAACTCCTCAGCGACAGGGAAACTCCTTCCCTACAACATGCTGACGATGCTGTATCCTGAATGTATCGGTACCCATCAAGGGGTACCGGTGCTTCATCCCGCTCGCACCCCCCCGCCACCTCATCTCACCCCCTCCCGCCCCTGCCGTACCCTCACCCCGCCCCCAACCCCGCAGCGCCGTGCTGCACCAGTTCGCCGCCCTGCGCTCCGCCGACGCCCGCCTGCGCGACCGCGCCGCGCGGCTGCGGCTGGCGGGCAACCAGGCGTTCAAGGCGGGGCAGCTGGAGGCGGCGCTGCAGTGCTACACGCAGGCGGTGGCGCTTGACTGGGACGAGCCGGTGCACCGGAACAACAGGTGGGGCCGGGGGCCGGGCGAGGGGCGGGGGGGAGGAGGGTCAGGACCTCAGAAGCAGCGCCGTAGCAGTGATAGAGCGGTGCACCGGGCAGTGGTGTGTACTGCAAGCTGCTGGAGACACGGCGAGGGTTGTCGTAACACCCCCGGGCTACCCCCCTGCCCCCCCCCAGGTGCTTCACGCTGACCAAGCTGGGGCGGCTGGCGGAGGCGCGTGCGGAGGGGCTGCACAGCCTGGCTTGCGACCCGCGCAACGCCCGCTCCTGGTCCCGGCTGGCGGCGGTGTTTGAGGTGAGGGGCGGGTTACGGTGCTGCCTTAGAGTGCTGCTGGGGAGGTGGGGGGAGGGCTGCCTGGGTGGGGCGCTGGCAGGCAACACCGCCGCACCACCGCCGCTGCTCGGCCGTGCCTGCCAGCCGGCCTACCTCGTGCGCCCTCTCGGCCCCCTGCCTGTCCTGCCTCCCCTGCCTCCACCCCCCTTCTCTTCCTCTCCCCATCCCCCCCCTCAGGCCCTCAAGCAGCCCCAGGCGGCCCAGCTGTGCTACCGGCAGTCCCTGTCGCTGCTGGCCCCCCGGGGGGACGAGGAGCTGGAGGGCAGGGTGCGGGGGGTGGAGCTGCAGCTCAAAGGTGAGGGCGGAGGGGGGGGCCGGGAGAGGCAGGGTAGGAGGCAGGTGATGGAGGAGGGGTAGGGACGCTAACGCTATTGAGCGGCAGGGCGCTTTGCGCTGGTGGTTAGCTGGGGTGGGGGGGGGGTCTGGGTCGTTGCCCGGGTAGGGGGCAGCCGTCCGGCCCAACCCGCTCAGGACGCCCTCCGCCCAATGGACCTCCAGTTGCTTCACTCTTCATGCATTGTTCCCCCGTGCGCTGGCCCCACTACTGCTGTCCCCCATCTCTTCAGACCCGTGCTCCCCCTTCCCTCCCCCCTCTCTCCCCCTCCCCCGCCCTCTCTCCCCCCCTCCCCCGCCCTCCCTTTACCCCAGGCGCCACCCCCTGGCGCTTCGACCGGCTGCCCCGTCGCGCGCTGTCGGGGCCCGGCTCCCGCTGGCTCACCTGGATGGGCCGCCAACTGCCCAAGGCGCAGGCGAGTGGGCCACCTGTCTTCAAACACACATACACACACATCGCGGCCGCCCACCGGAGCCGCAACCCCCCCCCCTCCCGCTCGCACCCCAACTCCAGGTCCCCGCCTTGCAGGCCCTCTGGGTCCGCACCACCCACCTACAAACCCACACACCGCCCTACTAACACCTCCTGCCTTCCTGTCCGGTGGCCAATCCAGGCGGGTGATATCCCTGTGATGTGAGTGTCGCGTCGTGGGGCGCAACGCCCATGTCACGCCCCACACCCCACACCCCACCCCTCCTTAATCCGACCGGTGAGATCCGCCCTCATCCCCCCGGCCCCGCGCCGCCCCGCCCCGCCCCGCCTCGCCCCTCCCCGCCACCCACCCCCTCGCAGTTCCGCGCCCTGGAGGAAATGGTGGAGGAGTCGCTTCTGTTCGTGCGCGGCGGCGCGGAGGGGCCCCCGAGCCCGGAGTCCCGCAGCCCGCAGCTGACCGCCGCCACCTCCTCCGAGGCCTACGTCGCCACTGTGACGCTGCTGCCGCTGTGGGAGGCGGCGTGTGCGGTTGAAGGTGCGCGCTGGGGAAGGGGGCGAGGGTTGGGGAAGGGGGCGAGGGAGAGGGAGTTGCGCCCTGCCGATTGCATTCGAACCATCCATGGCGTGGAGGTAACGCCGTCCTTTGCTCTGCCTTGTTTTCGGAGCTCCTAACCCTTGTTGGGTGTCCTTCGCTATCCTGTCGCCGCCGCCGTCGCTCCTCTTATTGCTGCGGTGCTCCTCCTGCTGCTGATGTCGCCCCTGCTGATGTCGCCCCTGGTGCTCCTCCTGCTGCTGGGGCCGGCGCTGCAGAGGCGCCCCGGGTGCGGCAGGACATGGGCGTTCGCTGGAACCTCAGTTGGTCGGTGAGTGGCGGGGGGCAGCGGGGAGGCGTGCGGGGTGCGGGGTGCGGGGGGCTGTTTCGGTCTGAGACACGGCGAACAAGGTTGACCGCTTCCCGGTATTGAGATCCCTGCATCTATCCAGTAGTACGGCATACGCCGTGTTTGGGGCCTGTGGGGCCGGTCTAGGGGTACCGTCTGGAAAGCTGGAGCGTCATCACCTGACGTGCTACACCCATGGCGTGCCTTGTTGTGTGGTGTGTACGGCAGGATATGGGAATACGGGAGCCTAACACCGGCCTGGTGTACTACATGATAACCTGCATGGACGGGGCGACGTGCGTCACACGCGCGGGGGGGCGGATGATCCAGGGCAAGCCGCGGCTGGCTGTGCTGCGAGTTATGCTGTGCGCCGCCATGGCGCGACCAATCAAGGGTGGGTGATGCAGCTGACGGGTTATCCGCGGGTTATCCCGAGGGGAAGCATGGGTGGGGTTGGTTGGACCACCTGGACCGGTGCTGTGGGGGTTTTTCGAGGCAAGGGATTGCTGGATACAGGCCTAGGCAGCTGCATGGCAGGCTTGTGATGGATGCCTGCCGGCACCACCGGTGCGGCTTTCGTCGCTTATGCTTTTTCCAAGCGGGTGAAGTGTAGCGCGGGGTGTGCTGCATGTGTGTGACCCGACTGTATCGGTACTGCTGCTGGTAACCGCTGCTGCTGCGGGTCACCGCTGCCGCCACCCGCGCAGGGGAGCCCATGCGGCCGCACAGCGTGTTCCTGGCGCACCGGGCCGTGCCGTACTACGCGCAGCTGAAGGCCGTGTTCGAGCCCATGAAGGTCGAGATCGTCTGCGAAACACAACACGAGGCGGATCAGGTAGGAGGGGGCAGGAGGGGGCGGAACCCCATGCAGTATACCAGCATATGTACGGCACAGCCTCTTGCCATGCCCCTTCAGGCCTGCATTGCACCTCCCCTTTGCACTTGCCTCTCGCGTGCCTCCTCATCTTTCCGTGCATGCAAACATGCAATGCCGCCCCATCTGCCGTACACCGGCACGCAGTCCGCTGCCAACTACAACACCGACCCAGCCGGCTACAACCAGCGGGACCACTACGGTGACGAGATATCGGACGAGGTGGCGGCGGCAGCAGCAGGAGGAAGAGGCGGCAGCAGCAGCAGCGGCGGCGGCCAGCGCGTCTCAGCAGCAGCCACGGCAGCCGCAGCCTCCCCCCGGCAGCAGCCGCGGCACCCCACCGAGGTCCTCAGCGATGACGACGCGAGTGCGACCTATCGGGTGATGCTGGCGGAGGCGGCAGAGGAGGCGGAAGCGGGAGCGGGAGCGGCGACGGGGGGCACGATGGGGACGGGGCGGGGGAGTGATGGGGAGGGCGGGGCTGGAAGGAGGAGCGGAGCGGGCAGGAGGACGGGGGCAGGGCGCAGCAGCGGCGGGGAGATGCCGAGCGATGCGGAGATTGAGGAGGCGACACTGGCTCTGCTGCGAGGTGGGTGGGTGGGTTGTTGAGTGGGCGGTGGTGGGGGATGCAGCGGCTGTGAGGGAGAGTAAAGACCGAACCATAGAATGCAGAGTGCGAACGGGAAGGTAGGCGTATCCTAATTCGCGTTGGACGAGGAAGCCGAAGCCTGCTCGGCCAACTAATACCGTGTGTTCATACGCATTTCCCTCGCGTAACGGTCCCAACCCCGAAGCTTGGCGTGTGTTGGTTACCTGCCTGTCTCCCTTCCGCTGCCCACCTCGCGTACCCGGCCGTGGTCCCACAGTTTCTGACGTGAACAAGACGACGATACGGATGCTGTTAGACTCGCTCAACGTGTGGTTCGGGCGGGACGTCTCCTCCAAGAAGCAGTTCATCCGCGCAGTGAGCTGCAGGTATGTGATAGCCTAGGCAGGCTCCAGAACGGCTGTTGTCGGGTCCGCAGGCAGCAGGTGCGGGCAGCACCAGGCGGCCTGGGGAGCCTGGGGACGCCGGTGCGGCATGGGTCAGTGCAGCGGTAGTCGAGCTGGGTGGCGGGGGAGTGACGGGACGCTGGGGGATTCATAGCAGGATAGCGGAGGGTAACGTGGTTAAGAGTATATAGGCCGCAAGGACACGTGCGACTTATCGTGAACTGCTGACAGTCAGTAAGTGATCATACCTGGACTAGTCTCTGTAGGCTTAACGTTTCGGTGGAGCATGTGCTTAGCTAGTTACCTGCTCTGTGGGTACGTCATTGAGGGCGGAGAATCGGTGGCCAGGCAATTGCAACGGCTAACAGATGTTGTGGGCATGGTGCCTAGTTACAAGGTGGCCCCTCCCTCGGCCAGCGGAAAACGTTGCCCACATACCGGGCCATGCAGCTCTCCTAGCGAGGTATCTTGCATGGGGATGGAAGGGGTAAACTACATACAAAAGTTGTATCTCTCTTCGGAACCTGCTGGTAGCACCAGCAGTAGTAGTAGTCCGGATGCGTTCCCGTACACACACTTTGCGCAACATCCATGAATGCAGCAGCTACTGCATCCTGCATGGATTGTGTAAGCCACCTAGTTGTAAAAAACGAAACAACGAGACGAGGATGACCCCATGCGCATTCCACAGACCGGCCTACCCAACAGCACGGGGCCAAACCAGTCAAGCGGCACCTAGGGCTCAACTCAATCAATATTCCCTGTTCCGTAGCTCACTTAACCCCCCTTCTCAAACCTGCCCGTATCACACTTTCCTAACGCTATTTAGCTACCTGGAAAACGCTACCAATATAGATAGTATCACTTCAATAAGTATGCTGACTAAGCTATACCCCGTTACACCCCTAATGAACATATAGCCAACCCGGCATGCAATCCACTGCTTCCATGATAACCCATAAATGCAGTCCTGCGTAAACAACGTAAACACCGGATCATCACACAGCAATGAATGTGACGCACTATTGGCGCACAGCGGAGGTCCAACGCGCAAGTGATGCGCCCGTTGCGTGTACAACGCGGGAACAGCGCACAGCCAGCGTTAATGCGCCCTTGATGCGCCCTTGCGTCAACATCTACCGCGGCACACAGCCATCGTGGTAGCGTTCATCAAACAATACGACGTTTGTTAAAACATACATGTAGGGGGTGTACAAGCATCCCGCAGCCCCCAGCAGCCTCACCCCTGCCAGCCAAAACCGAACGCCAAAACTGCTCTTACATCATACATCCTATTTTTTCGTCTCGTACGCCTTGGGCAGGTACTGCGGTCGCAGGTACTCGGTCTTGCTAATGACGGTCCCGCGGCCCCAGTGCTTGTTGGCGCGCTCGGGTCCCCACGATTGCCCAATCATGCGGTGCGCCTCGCCGGTGCCAAACCTGCAGGAAGCCAGCACAGCACGATGCATGCATGGATTCATGAATGGATGGATGCGGAGCAGGGTCCCCACACAACACGACACAACACAACACGAAAAGCGACATACCGGTACGAGTACCATTGGCCTCCCACAGCACTGCATGCTGCATGTTGCATGCTGCATGCACTTGGGCAGCAAATACACCCACAGTCTTGCTGCATGCACCCGGAATGCATCCATCTTCAACCCACTAGCCGACGCAACCCAAGGCAGCAACCCCAAGGTTGGCTTCACACCAACCCTGCCTGCAAGGCATGCCGTCCCATGCATGGCAGCTCTAGCCCCGGCCGCCGCCCCCTCAGCCGCCCGCTACCCCCGGTCGCCAGTTGCTTCACTTACCACCTATATCCCCCCCGTGTCGCACCCGCACCCGCACCTGCGCACGCTGCTGGCCATGGAGCTGAGCGGGCGGCTGTCCAGGCTGGGCGACACCGACACACTGCGCGCGTCCTTGTAGTCGTAGGAGCCCGGCCCCAGCGTCGCCTTGTAGTCCTCCCGGCGGTGTGCGCGAGCGGTGGAGGTGGGGTTGGTGCCCATGTTCCTGAGGTCACATGGAGAGGTGGATGGAGAGGTGCATGGAGGTGTGAGGTGCTTGGACTGCTGGAGTGCCGGTATCTCAGTAAGAGGTTGTTGTTGACATGGCGTGAGGTTGGTCAAGGTGTTGGGAGCCGCATGGTGTGAAAACAACTGGCCCATGGGTCACACGGCACGGATCCAGGTGCGTGCCTATCTGTTCAACTGTTGAGCTGCGGACACCTTACTTGTAGCTAACCGGCGAATTCACGACAGCAGTGTAGAGCGAGCACTTGTTCTTGGCCAGGTGGCAGTCGACATCGTACACCACATCTGGGGATTCTGTCATGAGGGGTCGGTCAGGGAAACGCTTGTAGCGGGATCGGTGGATGGAATAGTTGATGGCAGTTGTCTCCAACGACTTGGCCAGCGTTACGGGCGCGTGGTCCTTGAGCCTGGAGGGACGTAAGCACGGCGGTTGCATCAGGCGAGGCGCCGCAGCGGGAGGCGGGTGGGGGCAATGGGGGAGGGGACAATGGGGAGTGGTTAGGGTTCCTGTCAAGCTGCAAGTGCGGGAGAAGGTATAAACAATAAGGGCATGAACACAGGGAGCCGTTAAATGGCCCATCGCCACGTGTGCGCTGCTTGCTAGGTATAAGGCGTGTAAGCTTAGGGGTAAGGCGTTACGGTACCTTGGCCCGCAGCCCGCCCGCCTGCAGCCCAGCTGGCCCGCGGACAACCCCACGTAACCATCATGACCAACTGATACTCCGCAGGCTTTCGACATGGCCTAACCCCAGAGCAAAGCGGTCTGTGTCGCCTCGGCACTTCAGCCGCCCGGGGCTAATTCGGGCTGGGCGGGTCGGGCTGGCTCACATGTTGCAAGCCATGATGACGCCTTATCACACGGTCAGTTCGTTGCTTCCTCTTCACCACCCACCGTTCCGGGTCGTAGAAGACGTCCGTGACGGGTGAGCTCCAAGGCCGCGTGAAGCGAGGCACCTGGCTGTCGAACACACTCGCGTAGAAGCGCCGGGAGTCTGCGGGGAGGATGACACAACAGGGCGGGAGGGTGGGGGGGCGGGTGTGGTGTTGCCGAGCCACAACAGGCTCGTGCATGCGTGGCTTTCCGGGCATGTGCATTTGCATGCTGCTGCTGCTGCCTCGTTCTGCTGCAGTTGACGCGATGCGGGACTGCTTTCCCTTCCTTCCCCCCCATTGTAGCAGCTGCAAGCCTTGGCGCGCGAGTAAGGGCCCGAACTGCGGATCCGTTACGGGCAGCTGCTGCCATAGTTCGCTACGGTACTGCCCTGCGGAGGTCCAGCGGGGCCCTACGGATGGTGGGCTTGCGCCAGCACGCGCTGCGCAGCTCTGCATGCCTGTACGGCAGCGCTGAACAGGGGGGGCGGTGGTCCAGAGGATCTGGGAGACACAGCCGGTAGGCTGCCCCTCCTATGCAGATCCCACCTAGCCGCTGGCCTGATACGCGTGCCTTTGTGTCGCTGTTATGGTTGTTAGGGTGGCCCGGCATCCGTATGACTCCCATGCGGCTGGGGCCTGGCTGCTTGCTGCTTCTCTGGTGGGCAAGCAATAACCCCTTGTCATCAGCCCCAGCGCGCCTCTTGCAGTTGGAGGCTGCACGCCCCATGGGACCGGTACTATCAACACACTCCAAGGTTGCGACAAGGAGAGTTGAACTTAAACACACACTGACTATTGCTTCCCCTCCATTTACACGAGCAGCGGTAGTTCCGTTGGAGGAAGCGCCCTCTCATTCGCAATCTAGCTGGACTAACCCCCGCCCGTCAAGCATGAAAATGCCGCGAGCCTATGTCACAATAGGGTACGCCTGAGCTAAACCCTACCTCTGCAATGGCTCTCTACCGACTTTTTATGGCCGGTATCGATGTTGTAAGCTCCGAAGGGCGCTATTTCTCGCGGCGCTTCAGCTAAGCGAGGTGCATTGGAATGCATAACCGAATACCGATGTGGCGATACTGCAAATATAACGCAAATGTTAGCGAGAGGTCACGCAAGTTACATGGCATACGTCGTCCCCGCACCTGACACCGCCCTTGAAAGGGTCATCTTGTGACCGGCATCGGTGTTGTAGAAGACTGAGGGGGAAATACTAGCGTTAGAACGCTCCGCCCGCCACATCATGACACGAACCTGCACTAGGTAGCAGCTGTGCACAGACCTGGTTTAGGATTCTCATCCCAGGCCTGCATTTTGTGTCTAGCCCTTCTCAAGCAGCGGGCGGTCTTATCCTGTGAGGTATGTTGCCTCTAGCAACTTGGCGACTTTGCCTGCCTTACCCTACTACTAAGCTAGTTATAGGAACCGGCTACAATTGTAAAAGTAACATAGTATGCTGGTAAGGAATCGGGTGCATCTAAGGACAGAAGGAGCTCCCAGCTACCCAAGCACTTGGCGTCGAGCCGCACTATTAGGTCGTTGTATGGATACTTTTAATCGCTAGGATATGTTTTGGTTTAATTGTACCGATGGTATCGCTTCTGTGGGAAATTGCAACTCTTCGGGCCTCCCAAACTGATGAAGGCTGACGATGCTCCATAAACGCATGCCGCTTATGATGTCTATATGTATACCTTTGTAACGCTATTTTTAATCCAGACAAACAAGCTCGGCGACTGCGACCGCTTGGGCGGATTGAAGCGAACCTTGGGTCCGGCAGGTACCGTAGTCAGAGCTTGCACAAGTACCAGATGCGGCCGACTCCTGATCAATTCTAAACGTCAATAGTTAACAGTAAACACGGTAGAAACTAACCGCTGTCTGTACCAGCGCCATCCAGAATCGGAATTGGCATATTATTATTTGGGGGGACCAGGTCACAAACCCGGGATACTTCGCAATGCTATCAAGTGTTACCCCAGCACGATGCAAGGCATAGTCTCGCTGCAAGACCTCTGCAAAGTCTCCTGTCGCCTCACCGTCTGCTAGTAGACGCTTGCGTGCGCGTAAAGGAATCCACAATGCTCCAGCAATGCATTCCTAACGCGTGCAGCAACACCGCGGGCTACGTCGAGCGCAGCGGTTTGTGTACGTGTTGCTTTCCTTGTTGGCGTAGCCCGGGAATTCAGGGCATTGCTACCAGCGGGTGTTGCAGCGGTGCGTGGCACCTTGCCTTGACAACCGCGGAGTAGGAGTCCAGGACAGAAACTGCACTCTTATCGCAAACGCGCTCACGCTTTATGGAGTGGGCGTACGCGAGTACCAAGTAACTGAGGACCGTACAGCGATCCCGATGTGCGGACAAGCCACCAAACGTCCAGTTACTTTCTAACATGCATACAAACCATTGAGCGTTACAAGCACATGGAGGCACAATGCAAATTCGGAGCGAGCATGTAACTGCCTGAGTCATATTGCAATACTTGCATGAGCGCATTGCCTATTAGTTAGTAGTACGATTTAAAGGGATTGATATTGAAGAGCTTCGAGCTTAGTTGCTGTGGCAATGGATATCGACGGTGAGGGGGCATCGTCGGCTCCACGCCTTCGGATATTTATTAGCAGCGCAGCGCAGAATGCAAATCGGCGACAAGCGCTGCGGAAAAGGTACATGCATGCTCCATACGCAGCACACTGGTATGGTGGTTAACTTGTGCATTCTGCCATGCTCAGCTGGTTCCGGTACCTCGCGGATCCGTCAATCCAGTCCAGCGTCTCGGTCTGTTTCGTGTTATCAAAGGACTCAGAATCGGAGGAGTTGGCGCAAGAGCAGGCAAGCGATGGGCAGGCATTGCATATTCGCGTTTGCTTTCCACTGGTAGTCATGTGTACAGGTGTAGGTAATTTGATCACTGTAGGCACTGCCCTGCTGTAAGGGACTTACAACACTGCCAGCACTTGACCAACGCACAGCGGCTTGCCGGGGAAGCAGGCCGACTGCTGAACCGCGGGTCTTGTAACGCTTACGCACAGGCACAACACGGTGATCTGGTTTTAGTGAACGCGCCCCCTGGGTACCACAACTTATGGAGGAAGGTGGGTGAGCCTGGCAGAACATAAGAACCAAACAAAGCCCTGCGTCTTGCCACTTACGCAAGTTCCCTGAAGGCATTCTTGACCAACGACCACCAGCTAAAAGAAGTTATGCCACTATGCTGCTCCTCGGCGCATGGCATACGTGCCACAGGCGTTGGTCTTCCTCGCCTGGTTGGAGGAGCGGAGCAGCAGCGGGGGTGGAAGCGACTCGTACGACTTTGTAATGCACGCCGACGACGACAGCTTTCTCCGGCTGGACCTTCTCGTCCCTCTCATGGTATGTACGTGTGTACGGCACCGCCCGGGGTACCGCACGAACGGCGCGGATACCGGTAGCTAACGTGGCCTGCATGGACACAGCACGATATCCCCTGTCGTTTGATGGCTAGGATTGTACGGAAGCGGCTACCCGGCGTTCGCCCCCAACGTGTTTGGACCGAGTTTGGCAGTACTTCATGCCCTGCCACTGCACCCCTCCATGTCCCAAGCCTGCAACCCCGCCCCCCTGTCCGCAGGCCGGCTGGCCTCGGCAGCGCTTCTACTGGGGCTACATCTGGGACGGCACGGGCAACCGCGTGACGGCGCCCATCCGCAACCCCGCCAACAAGTCCCACATGCCGCAGGAGCAGGTGGGGGCGGCAGTGGGTGGGGGCGGCAGTGGGTGGGGGCGGCAGTGGGTGGGGGCGGCAGTGGGTGGGGGTGGCCGCACATGCGCGCGTGTTCAGCGGTGCTGGGGCTGCCTGCTGGATTCCCATCGTAATTTGGACCTCTCCCGGCACCTGGCTGTGAGGCCCTTATGAACAGTCCCACCCCCATGGCTCCGCATCCCGCATCCCGTCCGCACCCCCCCGCTGCAGTATCCGCTGGACTACTACCCTCCCTTCGCCAGCGGCTGCGGCTTCGTGCTGTCACGAGACCTGGTGCGGGCGCTGCTGGCGCAGCCGCTGCCGGACTATCGCCTGCTGGTGGGGCGCGGTGGGGGTGGGGGACTGGGGGCTGGGGTGCAGAGGGTGGCGGGGTGGCGGAGGAGAGAGAGGACCCGTGGGGGCCCCGGCTGGACATCCTGGATGCGGCACTGGGCTTACCGACATGTCACCCTGTGTGTGAATGACCAAGCATGCTTGAGAGTCGGTCAGCGAGTGGTTCAACCTCAAACGGTCATGCCGACTGCCGTTAGGTGTTCAAAAGCGGCCCAACCAAGTTATCACAACCAGCAGCGGGCTGTGCCGCAGTCCAAAGGGCCGTAGCCCTGCTCCTGCTCCCTGCCCTCGCAAACCCATTATCACTGCCCCCTCCGGCGCCCCTTCCCGCGCCGTCTACACAGGACCCGCCCTTCGGCATCCACCTGTGCGGCCCGCCCGAGCTCTGTGTGCTGCCGGACGGCCCGGTGACCCCGCTGCACGACGACCGCGTGCGGCCCTACCGCCCCCTGCCCACCTTCCGCCCGGACACACTGGTGCAGCACTACCTGCGGCCCGAGGAGATGCGACCCTTCTACCAGCAGGTGGTGGGGAGGGGAGGAAGAGGAAGAAGCCCATCATTGACACTGCATGCCCCCTTCAGGCGGGGTGCGGTGAGCTTGCTGGGTGGTGCGGTCCGGGGTGGGTCGAGTGCTCGAGTCCGTTGCGTGTTTGCAGGGAGTGGGTTCGGGGCAGTACTGATAGGATCCCTTTAATCAAGACTACTACGCCCAAAATGGCCATAGTTCCGGATGCATTTTCCCATCGCGACCTCCCAACCACCAACCGCCAGCAGTTTCCTCAGCGCCGGTCCTTGCACCCCAAGCAAGCTCGAGCCCGCCTCAGCTCGCATCTCCCACACCCGGTCTGCCTTCCCGCTGTTACAAAGCCACCCACCAGACGGTCATGTTGCGTATACATATACCGCACCGTCTATCGCCGCGCGCAAAAGCCTTTCAATGCGTGCGCCATCTCCGTCACCAACACCACCCAAACGAAACGTGTCTACCCTCTATACCACCCGCAGGCCCTGGAGGCAGCCAGCGGCGATGCAGCCCCAGCAGCGGGCCCCAGCAGCCAGCAGGACACCTCCTCGAGCAGTGCACCTGCGGAACTGTACAACACGCTCGTGTCGCTGGGGCTGCTACGACGGTGATGATGAGGTGCCACCTTGCCGGTTTAAACAGCGGTTGCTGTGCGCTTGTGCTGCCCCTCGGGTTGGTTGTACTGCCCCACGGGTTGCAAAGTACGCATGGCGGCGTAAGGCCCATGGACATGAAGTGCGGCAGACCTGGCACCCCAACAGCAACAACATCAGCAATGACCGTGCAATGACCACACAAGTCACCTCAATGGGCCCGACACAATGGGCCCAGCATGCAGCAACAAAGGCCTTCTGGTTGGACCTGGTATGCGCTCCTACCTGCGGCGGCCCACGGAAACAAGACACCCTATCTTAAGGCCATGGGCCCTAACACCACTACCACATTCATCTCCCTCGTGCTTGGCAACTGCTGCTTGGCACACGCCACGCACCCTGTAACAAGATAATGGATAACACCTGGATCACCTTTCACCTATGCAAGCAAGCCTTAAGACCTACGGCCTAATGATACACCAAGAGTCGCCTCCGTCCGGCACGCACGTGTGCCTAACTAGGCCTGAGCCAGCTACCGGTGACATGGCACCCCCCGCAACAGCTTTCCCCTGCCCCTACTCAAATCTGTTCATCAGGAGCTTATCATCTAGTTTGCCATTCCGACAATCACAGTACGTTCCTACTCGCGGCCAGATTTCTGAACAACACAATGGATCTTCTGCTTTTCCCTACGAAGCCACGTTGACGAGCGGGCACTCCCCACGCCCCCAGTCGCGCTGTACTGAAGCCCTCTATGCCACCTTTTGTGCTTGCGCCGGTTGGCGCTCGTCCATTATTTTTAGCAAGGACACCTCCTCGTCTAGGGTTGTCTGCGTTCAGGTAGCATGGTGCACGAGGGGAGAGCTTGAGGAATGGTGTGTAAGGTAAGGGGCAGCTACCGTTATCCGGGTTTGCCCCGGTCAAAGGATCACCGGGAATCTCCTGCAACACCCAAGCTCCAACCCAAGGCATGCGTAGGTCAGTACGACCAACCCTTACTCCTCACCTGCAGCTCGACTTTGGCCTGCTGATCGAAAGGCACAAGCACCAGACCCATGTGGCGCTCTTCCCGAGCGCCTGAGGCAGTCGTCGCCTGCTCATATGTGTTGCTGAGGACAATATTCCCCTGTTTGTCCAAGCATGTGAAGTCCCCCTCCAATACGCGTCCTGATACCATTGTTACCTGCAAGGGGTGCAAAAAGCAAAAGTTCTCCATGGGATGCATGGATTGGTGGCCTGCGGAAGACGCCAAGCACCAAGTACCTACCCTAAACCTCCTATACAGTAAGCCGCGCACATTTCGAACGGATTCGGGGCAATCAGCGCAAGAGCCTTGTGCCATTATGGCCAGAAAGCGGCGGCGGCTACAATGCTGCAAGTATGTAAGGGTTTGAAACTACGTTGTAATTTGCCTAACTTCAGTTTCCTGAAACCCATGGAAACGCCCGACTGGTAGGCGGTTACTCCGTACAGCCAACTGCAAAACGAAGGATTGTCTTTACACGTCCTGTAGGCGTCCTACCAGAAATTATAATATTTTGGCGCTTAAGAGATATACCAGTAAACTTATTTATAGATGCGTTTCCGGCACATGACATAGCCCGGAGCGACGTAGCGACAAGCGGAATACCCACATTCGCGACAAGCTAACATGAACTTTTGGTACAGTCCACTCTTAGAGACACAGCTGAACACCACATCGCAACTACCAGCGGAGCTTCTAAGCGCGGTGACCGCCCCATGCCGGACTACAGCAGAGCTTGAGGCGGTGCGAGCCAAGGCAAAAACACTTGCGCACTATGACTTGGCAGGAGCAGCTCATGATGCATTGCTATCACGCAAGCAGCAGCAGGCCGGAGAAGCAATTCGGGTGAGGGTTTAAGCATGTATAAGAAACGGGGTCGTCTTATCGAAACCAACTGAAAACCGATGGGCAAGTTAGCGACTTATGTATATAGCAATTTTTTATTAAGCTGTATTTGGTAGTTGTCCTGCTGGTTGTCATTCCAGCCGTACCGTACCCGTCAAGGCCTATCTCCTGTATACTTGACTGTCAAGGACTCCTCAACCGCACTCCTGCCCTAACACACATGTCTTTCTTTCCCCGCTGCACAACCCGCCCCCCTCGGCACTCCCGCCCACCTTCACCAGACCCTTCGTAAGGGCCACCGGCAGCAGCTGAAGCAGCACGGTGATGCGGCGGCCGACACGCACGCCGCGGTGGCCTCCATGTGGGGTGCGCAGCTGGACCACCTGCGCAGCCAGGCGGCAGCCGCCCTCATGGACCTGCAGGACAAGCACGAGGACGCGCTGCAGAAGCTGAGACTCAAGCAGGTGTGTTGACAAAACTGGCCGCGAGTTGGAATGTGCATGTGTTAGGGCTGCTGGGCATGGCGTGTGAGCTGCATGGCGTGTGCTAAACATGTTGAGCAATTACCGGTAAGGCAAAGTGTAAGGCAAATGTATGTTTCATGACCAAGCATGAGATCGATCTCATGAGGTTGCGGGTAGTGCAAACACATATCGGCCTGCTTACAACACCATCCAACGTTTCCTCGCTTCACCGACCCATGGTTCACCGCCGCTCTGCGACTCCCTCCTCAACGCACCGCAACCAACGCCGCCCCTCACGCAGGTGGACCGCGCGTACTACCCCGGCATCCGGCCGCAGCAGCGGAACACGGAGCTGCTCAACCTGCGGCGGAGCGAGGCTGTGCTGGCGTCCAAGAACGACTTTGCGGGGGCATCCAGGGTACGTAGGTCCCCGCAGAGCAGCAGGGCCTTCACACGGCATGGGGCTGCTACGCGGGTGGCATAGTGCTCCTGATGCTTCCCATATGAAACTCTACCTAGGCTGATCATGCACCTGCCCTTGGCAGCGTTCATGGCATTGGGCAAAGTGACTAGGCAAGAAGACGTTGGACGCTTCCCTCCGCCCTTCCTCACCACCACCACCACCACCTCCCGCCAACAGATCAAGTCCCGAGCGGACCAGCTGGCGGAGGCGGAGGCGGCCGAGGCGCACCGCGCTTGGCTGCTGCGCTGCCACGGCGAGGAGGAGCGGTTGCTGGAGGTGCAGCGGCGGGAGATGGAGGGGCTGCGCAGACGCTGGGACGCGCGGCTGCGGGACGTGGAGGCGGCGCGGGACTGCGATCTGGAGCAGCTGGGCCGCAAGATCAAGGCAAGCGAGCAACAAGCTCGGGAAGGAGGGACAGCATGCGGGCGCCCTAAGATATCGCAGTAATCGTGTTTCTTCGTACCGTAGTTGGTTGGGGCATCAGGTACTGAAGCCCAGATCGCAACGTGTATGGTAACCTTCTGCCGGAAACGGTACCAGTACCGGTACCAGCCTCACACGCTACCCATAGTAATCGCCACTGGCTGCCCTCACATGCATACCGGTACGCGGGCCCGCACGGTACTGCCGCCGCAGGTAAACACCACCAACCAGCAGCGCGACTTCACCCGGGAGCGCAAGCACGTGGAGGCGGCGCTGCGGGGCTGCATGCTCAACACGCGGACCACCAGGGTGGGGAAGGGCCTGGACGCCGCCTTCCCCACCATGGCTCTGCTCGCCGCCTCGCAGCCCCCGCCGGAGCGACCCACCACCGCGCCCCTGCTGACCGCCCTCCGCAGCCCCTCCGAAACCAGCCGAACCGATGCGGCCTCGCGCCCGGGCTCAGCCTACTTGGGGCCCAGTAGCGGCAGCAAGGGAACCCCAGTGCGAACAAGCGGAAAGGAGCCGGCGACGACGTTGAGTGTGCGCTTCGCGCCAACCCCGGTTCGTGAGGCATGGAGTGAACGCAGCGGCAGCAGCACCAGCACCAGCTCGACGCCACGACCGCAGACGCCGCCGCTGTTGCAGGGGCCGGGTTCTCCCGCTAGCGCGCCCCTCGGAGGTGAGCCCGCAGCGGCTCATGCGGAGCAAGCGGCGGCAAGCGAGCCCCTGTCCCCGGCTGCTCCCCCAACCGCACCCTCATCTGCTGCGGTTGGGTCGGGTACGACAAGCGGCGCAACAGGCAGTGGCAGCTCAGCGCTCACAGAAGCTGCGGTCAAGGCGATAAATCAGGCTACTGGTGTGCAGACGGCAGGAGCTAAGCGGGTAGGCGGCTCCACGCACTCGAGCTCCTTCAAGTCTAACAAGCCCTACCCGGGAGGTCTGCCGACACGAGCAGCCGGACGTCCCTCTTCCGCTAGAGTACAAAGACCCTAAGGCGGTGTGTGCGAAATGTGGTGCAATGGTTAGCAGTCAATTACGCTGTTCTGTATTAGTTTGTTAACGGCAGGTTGATGAAAAGCGAGGCAGGTCTTGTGTTCAGGGTTATGACTCGTGCTGTTGTGAGTTGAGTCGGGGAATTATTGATCCGCAGGAGGATGATATCTGGGCAGTGTGGGGGCGTGGGTTACGTGTACATAGCAAGCGGCACGTTAGGATTCATGGCTTACACCTCACAGTGTTGTGACTATGGCATTCGTTACAGGCTGTCAAGATGTCAACAGCGCTTGGCTGGAACTGCAGATTGGCAGCTTCAACGCATACATGCACATAATAGACACACATCACAGCAGAGTACACGCCAGCTGCACACTTCCCCCGCCCATTGCATTTGCAATTAAACGTACGTTGTAGACAATACACAACAGACATGATGTCCTCAAGTCACTCAACAGTCCGCAAAAATGTCAGCGTCATGACGCCATAGGTGAATGCACCGTCCGTGGTAAAGCACCGTCAGCAAGTAGCAAGCATGCAGCAACATGGAGTGAAACCCAACAATCAGTTCGACCCCTCCTCCTTCGCCTCAGCCATCTGGACATCCTTCGCCCCCTCAGCGCTCTCCGCCGGCTGCTCCTTCGCTTCTGTGGCCTCCGTCTCCATGGCCTGCTCAGCAGCCTTCGCCTCCTCCTCCGGCTTGGCCTCCTCACCGTCAGCCGCCTCCTTCTCCTCCTCCGCGTCCTTCCCATCCTCAGCCACCTTCTCTTCTTCCGCCACCCCATCCTCAGCCGTCTTCTCCTCCTCCTTCGGCTTGGTGTCCTCGGCTGCCTTCTCCTCCGCCTCCTTTTCCCCCTCGGCCTCGCCCTCCTTCGCATCCTCGCCCTCTTTGCTCTCCTCAGCCTCCTTCCCCTCCGCCGCCTCCTCATCCATGGGTTCGGGTGCCTGTGGAAGGAAACAGCAAGCCAATGTCAGCACGACTGAAGCACGATATAGCCATACAACTCACCCCAAATGAAGATTGTTAGGCAAGACGCCATGCACGCCTGTCCGCAAGAAAACGATTTGTACCACAATTTCATGCCATTGCGTTTACAACTTAGCCAACGTAACCCAACACCCACCTGCTCAGCCTCCTTGGAGGTCTCAGGCTCCTCCGCGCCCGTCTTCTGCTTCTTGGCCGGGCGCGCCTCCTCCGCCTCCGCCTCGCCATCGCCCTTGGCCTCCTCCTCCTTCACCGCAGCCGGCTCCTCGGCACCCGCCGAGTAGGACTTGGCGTAGGTGACCGCGACCTGCTTCACCAGGGGCTTCATGGCCGCCAGGTCCTTCCCGAACTTCTCCTTCAGCTTGTTCAGCAGATCCTTCACAGTGGTCTTGTTCACGTCCGAAACTGAGCAACCGGGAAGACGAGGAATAGAGTGAGACAACAAACCATTGTAACAGTCACCCATTCAGACAAAAGGCAAGAGTGGCGGATGCATCTAAGCGTGCACGGCCTCAAAGGCATGCATGACCCGTGGGTCTAAAGTACATGCAAGCCGCCAGGAGCCGAGGTATGGCAAGAAGGAGGACATGCAGGAGGATAGACACCATGCCGACCCACCTTTGAGCAGCTCAAGGGTTGCGGTCTTCACCTCCTCCTCGCTGGGCAGGTCCGCGGCCTCCTCCTCCTCGTCCTCAACCTCGGGCGCCTTGCGCTGCAAGGACAAAGCGTTACAACGGATAGAGCATTACATCAGTGACGAACGCCAGGCAGCAATTACAGCAAGAGCGTCCTGACATCCTTTACCCGATCCCGCAACTCTGCCCCGAGGCTTTGATAAACACAACATACCTTCTTGGTCGTTGAGGCCCGCTTCGGCGTGGCCTTCTTCTGGGCAGTCTTCTTCTCCGAGGCCGGCTCCTTCTTCGCCCGCTTCTTGGGCTGCTCCTGCTCCGCCTCCTCCTCGGCCGACTCCTCCTCCTCCGCCTCCTCCTCCTGCGAAGGCTCCTCCTCAGCAGGCTCCTCCTCCGACTCCTCCTTCTTGCCGCGCTTCTTCTTGGCAGACTGAACGGGACATGACAGCGCAGGAGAGATTCATGATTTCAGGCAGGCAATCAGAAAAGCATGCAGGTAATGGCGACAACAAACAACCGAGCCACTCGCGGGAAACCTTACAAAGCAAGTGCGAGCATGACTGCTCGAGGACCATGGGCAACCTCCCCCACTACACTCACCTCCTTGCCAGTCTCCTTCTTGGCGCTGCGGGGAGTCGCCTTGGGCGTCTTGGCCTTCTGCTCCTTCTCCTTCTTCGCCTTCTCCTTTTCCTTCTTCTTGAGGGCCTATGTCAGTCGGCAGCATTAGGGATACACGACTCACGCAATGCACCACCCGTGTCACGCGTGGCTCGAACCACGGTACTGGGCCCAAGAAGCATGCAAGGTGGGCAAAAGAAAGCTAAGCTTGTGAGGGAACCTAACTCCTCACGATTCATGACACGGTCTGGCTTCCTAGCTCCCCACGCCCCCCGCTCTCACCTCCGCAGCCAGATCCTTCTCCGACAGCTTCTTGGGCTCCTCCAGGAACTTTAGCAGCCGCTCCACCTTGGCTTCCTGCAGACGAGGGACAACCGAGCAGCAGCACAGGATCACACTAAGCGTTAGTAAACGCCCTGCCTGCAACTGTGAGCGCAGGGGGCTTTCTTCAACCCCGCGTGTGTAGATGGTAAACACTTCGCTGCATTGGCGGGCATGTGCTGTTGCTAAGGCCCATGACGGCATTGGGTGCAGGCACGCAGCTCCCCGCACGCACCTTTTTGCCCTCCTCGCCGGCACCGCGCGGCAGCTCGAACACGTCGAGGGCGCTGTTCAACAAGGCTGCAGGGCAGTGCGGGGGCAAGCGCGTGTCAGAAAAAGACAGCCGTAGATCTGACACTGACTATGACGTAGTAGAGGGCAAAGGAGCGCGTGTTCCGCACAACAGGCCGCGTGAGTGAGTGTGAAGAGGAGAGCGGGCGCGGCATGGGGACATGACAAGGCCAGTCGTGTGTCTGTCCATTGCCTTAGGAGCAATTAGGCTGAATGGTGCCTCGTGGTTTCATCAACTGCTGTTACAGTAAAACCATACCCAGCTCTCCCAGCTCAATGACCAAGGGATTGCCTACCGATGGTCCATTTGGACAGCCTCTCCTGAACCTTCTCCATCTCCTTCTCCTACGAGCGGGCATGGAGGGGCATGTGTTCGCTTATATTCGCAAGTGACTCAGCATTTGGCGAATGCCGGGCGTAACACGCGCTGTCGCATGCAGTACCATAGGCTAGCCCCGGCCACCCCCCTCGCTGTAGCCAGAGCCCCGCTACCTTCTCGTCGTCATCGAAAGTGAAGCCCGAGAACTCGTACAGGTTCTTCTTGCGCCGGTTTGCCTGCATATGGCACGCTGCATCCGTCAAAGACAGCCACCACCTCCGGTAACCTTGCGATTAAGGGATGCGTGCACGCACCGTCCCAACGCGCTTGTACAGGACGCTGTGAAGGCCAGTCAGGACCTCGTCGTCGGTTTTGAGCTTTCCGAGCAGGTAGTGGACTGCATCAAGAATTGGAAGAAAGGGTCAGCACATTTAAAAAAATAGACGCAATCCCAATTGCACTTACCATTTGGAATCTCCCCAAGCTTCGTTCCCCGGCCCTGCGGGCAGCAGAATAGTGAAGTCGTTGACCACCGCATGCGCTTCAGACGACAGCGTCCGAAGGACAGCTTACCTGCTTAATAATAAATTCAGCCTTCTCCTTAACCTCAACTACATAGTGCTCTGCCTTCTTGCGCTGACGAGGGCCAGAAATAACGGGTGCAGGGTCCAGCCCACCGAGGCTCTTCTTTTTCGACGGTGCGCTCTTCTCCTCCGGCTTTGTGTCTTCCTCAGCGGCAGGCACTGCCTCAACAGCAGGAGGCTGGTCGTCGGCCATGGTGTAACTCGCGGTGTTCGAGGAAGATAAGAAAAGGCTTAAGGCGAGCAATTCGGTCCAAGTCAAACTTAGTAACTGTTCAGCAATTTGGTCAGTAGTCTAGTAGTGTGTGAATGAGGCTTGCGATGTGGATTTTCGCGTCACATTTGAATGAGAATTTTGAAGTCGCCATGCGGAAATACGGTAAGAGCAGACGTACAACCGTTGGACGCTTCACGCTTGGTGTACATTAGCATAGCCAATCCACGTGCTTTCTGTGTACTCTTAGTGCTGTGCTATCATGCCGGTTGCGGGCCGCCTATACGGTAAATCTTAAGGGACTGCGCACTCTGTTGAAAACGATAAGAGTTGTAAACTAGGCTTATATGTTCCATGCTAATTCCTTAGCGCACCAAGCAACCAGGGCAGAACAGGCATACCTCACACAACACATGCACTGTTGTCGCTTGCTTCGACAAACTGCTGTCACACGTAATTTGCCATAGGATACCGGTAACTGCCTTGTGGTTCGTCTGAAGCAGCCCCAGGGCGTGGAGGGTCCGTGGGCTGGGACAGGGCAAAGAACCCATACGTGCATGTATCGCAGCGTGCATGTGCGACCGGAAAGCCGTCGCCTTTGTCGCCTTGGCTGGACACCTCGTACACCATCTCATGCTGTTCCCCCCGCCCCCTTGTGGTGTGGTTAACACCAAACGCACGTTAAGCCTCTTCTCGGTCTGCCAAAGCTCAAGGAATGCTTGTCGTCAGCAGGCCACCCCAACTCGTCACCGGGAGCAAAGACCGACCAAACCCATGATACCCACTGCATCCCGGGGGTATCCTTGCATGCTGGGGGCGCTATGCCCAGCAATGCATTACACCACAAGAATGCATTCCGGGTGAAGCATGCCTGCTAAGGCTCTGCCTGAGCCCTGTCATTGTGACTTTGTAAGCTTACCAGCACTCAGCTTTATGGAAGCGCCCACCAAGTCTTGCAAAGACGCAGCTGCCGGGCAAAGCACCGGCCCACCGTGCTTTGGTGGGCACCACGAGCATGGAACATTGGAGGTAAAGAGGACACAACTAACTGACCGTGTGATAAGGCATCACCATGGTTTGCAACATGTGAGCCAGCCCGACCCGCCCAGCCCGAATTAGCCAAGCCAGTGCAACAGACAGCCCCATGGGCGTTTCCAGACTTGCTATATGAAGCCCTTCAGGACACCTGCCGCTACCGCTGCCGCTGCCGTTCCCCAGGTGACTACGCAAACTACAGTGCGGAGTACACGTCATCCAAACGTTAGCGCCGCCCTGCGAAGACACCACCGCATGCCAAGGGTACGTAGGCTAGAATACAGTACACCCGCGCACTGCCACTCCGTGCTCGCAATCCTTGCGTGCCAGGGGCAATGCGTAGCCCTCCGCTACCGGCAATGCCACCTCTGAACTCCACAAGACCACTTCCGCGTCAATGCCGCCCCAGGATGGCCCATAGGTCGGTTGGCCCATATGCCCTTTACCTTGGATGAGGTGACCCAAAACGTCTACCTCTTACAAAAGCACGACGAACGCGCCCGCCAATGGTGATTCACTATCGACATCGCGAAGGTGCCAAAGCGGAGATCAATGGCGCGAACGCTTTGGTGTTTCACAAGCGGAAACATGAGTAGGTAAATACAAGGGATCTTCATGATGATGTCGTCTATGTCGCCGAAAAGCATGGCGGGTCAAGGCAAGGGTTCTGGATAGCACGGCATTAATGGGTGTCGGCCGGCATAATTCCATATAAACCCCAGCGATGCGCGTGCACCTCCCCCAGACTAGAGTTTGTTGTCGATACTCCGGTCGGCAGAACGCACCTTGCCATCCGTTCCTAGGGTCTCGCCCACGTTTCTCTACCGTCGCCAGGTCCACACGCAGCATCATGTCGGTGCAGGAGTGAGTCGGGATTCGGCGAGAACCGGGAGCAGCATGAAACACCAGATACCATGAAAGCTAGGGATCTAGAGCCTGGTCGGTCTTTGCCAAGCAGATGGTTAGAATGTGGTCCTTCGCCTCCCATGCGCGACCACGCAGGTACATTGAGAAGCACAGCCTGGAGAAGAAGGTGGAGGAGGTTCTAAACCTCTGCGTCAAGGAGAAGCCCGATGAGCCCCTGTCCTTTATGGTACGCTCGTGTTGATCATGGAGAAACGCATATGGCACATAACTGATGCGTGCTCCGACATGGCCTTGAGAGGGACATTTGCTTACGTTAAATGGATTCTGTCATTATGCAGGCCAAGGCCCTGCAGCAGCTGTCGCCACCGGAGATCGTCAAGGTGGTCGGGCGCCAGGTCATCGACTCGCGCGGCAACCCCACTGTTGAGGCTGATGTGTACACTCGTAAGGGCATGTTCCGTGCCGCTGTCCCCAGCGGTGCTTCCACTGGCGTGCACGAGGCCGTCGAGCTTCGCGATGGCGACAAGTCGAAGTGCGTGTTTCAGCTCATGCTCTTCTAACACTTGAAGTCGCTTGACACTTAACGGGGGAACCAACCCAAATGTGCAGGTACCTTGGCAAGAGCGTGATGAAGGCTGTTGAGAACATCAACACCATCATCGCCCCTGCTCTGAAGGTGAGTAGGCGCGCGCATGTCATGTCGGACCCCACGGGGCTGCTAGCCTCCACTCTCCCACCCGCCCCTACACACCACGCTACAGTCAACACTATAACACTGAAACAATATGCTTTTCCTATGTGCAGGGTATGGACCCAGTTAAGCAGGCCGAGATTGACAACAAGATGAAGGAGCTCGATGGCACGGACAACAAGGGCAAGCTGGGTGCCAACGCCATCCTGGCTGTCTCCATGGCCGTCTGCAAGGTTGGTACTGCCCGCCCCTTTGTTGACCGCTTGTTGAATGCCCGCCACCGCCTTTTCCCATTTGTCTCAGGGAACAGGTGTCCAGCTTAGCCCGCCTGCTCGACCCAACACCATTACTCACAGCTGTCCAGTGATCGCACCCGCAACTGCCACTCCCCTGTGCCCTCTTCACCACACGCCCTGCTGCTCCTGACTCGCATGCTGCCGCCCTTGCTCCTGTCTGCAGGCCGGTGCCGCGGAGAAGGGTGTGCCGCTGTACAAGCACATTGCCGACCTGGCGGGCAACACCAAGCTGGTGGGTGGGGGCAGGGGAGGGGGAGAGGCATTTGTGTGTGGTGGGGCCTGGTAGGTGCGGAGGGTTACAACTGGTGCCCCCTTAGGCTGGGTAGGCCCCCCCGGGTGGCCTACGGCGTGCACATGAGGGTCCGCTAACCTCCTATGACCTTTGCGTGCTGCCCTCTCGCCCTTGTGATACCGCGTTCGTTGCTTTATCTGTGGGCAGTCCTGCCCAACCCTGACACCACCCCCCTGCCCCCCCTCCCTCGCCTGCTGCTGCAGATCCTGCCCGTGCCCTCCTTCAACATCATCAACGGAGGCAGCCACGCCGGCAACGCACTGGCCATGCAGGAGTTCATGATCCTGCCCGTTGGGTGAGCGCGGGGGGGTGGGGCGGGGGGGTGGGGCAGGGTTAAAAGCACGCGGGCAGGAAAGGGGGGAGATCGGGGGCGAAATCGTCGTGAATGTCGGAGGGTGTTGATACCGCTGTCCTGGTTGACTGGAGCAGAAACCCTGAACAAAGCCCGGGAGCCGGAGACGATGTGCATGGAAACCACTCGAGTTGCTTTAGATAGATAGTAGAGACCTCGCCCCCGTACTGTGGGTCGATGATGTAGGCCAGCCTGACTACCCTGGCGATGGATAGCTCACCGTCCCCCCTTCCCCCCGTGTTGCCCCGCGCCCCCGCAGCGCCTCGAGCTTCGCTGAGGCCATGCGCATGGGCTGCGAGGTGTACCACCAGCTGAAGAGCCTCATCAAGAGCAAGTACGGTGAGTGGGTGGGGGGCACGCACCTAGCCCTGCACGGAGGCGGCCGGTCGCTAGAGGATGTGTGCCGGTACCGTACCGGTACTCGTGGCACTGCTTCAGCAGTCTCTGGAGTCTGGACCTTATCATCGTTGGGAACGTCCTCTTCCTAATGCGATCCCGCCGTGCGTGCGTGTTACCCGTTTTGTAACGCTTCGTTTATGTTGCCGTACACGCTTCGTGACTGGTACATGCGGTTTTCCACGAAACGCAGGCCAGGACGCCTGCAACGTTGGCGATGAGGGCGGCTTCGCTCCCAACATCGGCTCCAACGAGGAGGGACTCAACCTGGTGAACGAGGCCATTGAGAAGGCGGGATACACCGGCAAGGTGGGTGGGGGAGGGGGGAGGGGAGGGGGCAAAATAAAGGAAAACTGACGAACTGGATGACGAGGCTTCTCCATGGGAAGGGCGGGGGGTACGGAGGGCCATGAGAGGCTCGAGGAGGCGAACAGGTGTTCATGGACGGAGTGGGAAGTGGGTACGTGCCTTTGGCTTTTGTGACGAGCAATGACACCAACAAGGGCACCAAGCTCCATGCAAGCCGCCCCAGCCGGCCTCGTTGCATCTATGAGACTGACGTATTGCTCCTGCTATTGTGACATGTCGTTTGCAACAACCTTCCCACCACCACCACCCACCACCCGCCGCCTGCGCTACAGGTCAAGATCGGCATGGACGTCGCCTCCTCCGAGTTCTACACCGAGGACGGCATGTACGACCTGGACTTCAAGAACCAGCCCAACGACGGCAGCCAGAAGAAGACCAAGTGAGCGGACGCAGGAGGGGGGGTGGCTGGGAGGGCTGCTGGGGGAAGCGCGTTCGTTGAGCTGTTCATGTGAATACCCGTGCTTAGCACATGCTCGACGACATGCCCTGCACGAAGGAAGCCCTTCGCACAGTGGCCGTAACCTGACCCATGGGTCATACACGCAACCGTCCCTTCCTGAACCTTCTCTTCGCCCCTTTCCCTGCTTTCCCTCCCCTCCTCCAGGGAGCAGATGCTGGAGCTGTACAAGGAGTTCTGCCACAAGTACCCGGTCATCTCCATCGAGGACCCCTTCGAGCAGGACGACTGGGAGCCCGCCACCAAGCTGACCGCCGAGGGCATCTGCCAGGTGGTGGGTGACGACATCCTGGTCACCAACCCCACCCGCGTCAAGAAGGCCATCGAGCAGAAGGCCGTCAACGCGCTGTTGCTCAAGGTGAACCAGATCGGCACCATCACCGAGTCCATCGAGGCGGTGCGCATCAGCAAGGAGGCCGGCTGGGGCGTCATGACCAGCCACCGGTGAGGGAGGGGGGGAGGCTATACAGGGGTAGTGGGGTGAGGGAAGGCAGGCAGGAGGGGGAGGTGTGGGGACCATGTGCCGGGAACAGCTTACCTGCTCTGCCTACATCATGGAGTGACGGGCGGGGGGCTTTGCAGTATCGTTGCAAGCACAGCACGGCACGGACCTGTTTGTGTGTCAAGTCGAGCGAGCGACACAGCCGCGGGCCCTTCATCACCTTTATGCGTCCGTCACAACCACCCGCCCGCCCCCCGCTCCCGCCCCCCGCGCCCCCTCCGCAGCTCCGGCGAGACTGAGGACGCCTTCATCGCCGACCTGGCTGTGGGCCTGGCCTCCGGTCAGATCAAGACCGGCGCCCCCTGCCGCTCGGAGCGCAACGCCAAGTACAACCAGCTGCTGCGCATCGAGGAGGAGCTGGGCGAGGCGGCGGTCTACGCGGGCGAGCAGTGGCGCCACATCGGCTGGTAAGCGGCCGGCCGGGCCCACAGCCGATGTGCCGTGGAGCAACCTCTGCGGTGGCAGCAGCGGCGGCAGCAGCTGTCGTGGCCCCCTGGGTAGCGGCCTGGGTAGAGGTGGCCTAGGGTGTTGTCTTGGCCTGGGTAGCGCCGGGGGGCTGCCGCTGGAGGGTTGCGGTTGTGTGTGAGGTGGAGCTCGGAGAGCCGTGCCTTTCCGTGTTTTCAGGCGGCCCTGACCTCGCGTTTTTTGGGTTCTTGCGAGGGTGAAGCGGGGTCTGAGGACACTGCAGGCTCGCTGTGAAGAGGCTTGTTTGTTGCGTTGTCTTCTTGAAAGGTGTTGGGAGGCCGGATGGGATATGGATCGTCTGGCTGGTCTCGCGCCTGAGGCAGAAGAAGTAGAAGAAGAAGTTGTGCACGATGCAACTCGATGCGGTGTGCATTAGCTGTAGGGTGGCTGCATGGGCGTGCAATGCCTTGCGAGTGCTCACATTCTTTTCTTGTAAGCTGTGGGAGTCGCGTACTGTAGTGCATGAGGTGGATTGCAGGTGACGGCTGCAGTTTGGATGCAGTTTGGATGCAGCGCGTTGAGATGCGTGGTTGTAACCCTTGTAAGGAGTGCCCCTCTTGTGCTGCATGGCGGCAAGTCCACGCATGTGCTGTGACGGTCGCCCACGCATGGGCTCCAAAGCGACGATCATGTGACATCTATGGATTGTAACAGTAATTGTACAATTCTACAGTGACATGTAATATCACTCGTCAAACCAGGACCCTTGCGTACCTGATGATTAAAGACGCTATACCCATACAGACAGCTCACATATATAGATATTGCCAAGTTCTGAGGTAGCTCAAATATCACGCAATTCCTTCTGGTACGATGTGCTAGGCAAACAGTGCATATGACCCATAAGCGGCAAGGACTAGAAACCGGATTGTCAACGAGCAAAGCAGCGCAATACTCTTCGCTATCTACCCTAAAGTATGGCCGTCCCCAACAATTCTTTAGTGCCTGTAAGGAATATAGCCTCCTTTGCGTACGTGCATAGCTTCGCATGCACGTTCCCACGCCTGCTTCAAAACCCCTATAGCCATTAGCTGACTCATCTGGTGGCCACCAGTCAACCTGCATCACCCCCTAGCCCATCCCCCATCGCCGATCTCTTCCTAGATCACGAGCGATCACTGTACAACCGTACCAACCCCAACAACATCCCCAATGGCTCATACCACCGCATTCGGCAGCAATTGCATCCGGCAGCAAATCGCATATAAGTCACAGCTGCAAGCGCACCCCCTCCCGCCTCCTGCACATCCCCCCGGGCATGTCACACGCACGCAGCACTCTCCCCTGCACCATATGCATCCAGCGAGCTGCAAACCATGTCATGAATAACTACACAACCACAAAGCCCGGCAGATACCGGTTACAGTGACAGCCCCAACCATCCATTCCTTATTTACCAGTTTAATGTTTCTTCCCCCCCACCACCACAAACACACACATCATATCCGCGGTGCCGCCAGCGCCTCCCTCGTGTACATCGCCGTGAGGGCATCCAGGTCGGGCGCCGAGGCGCTGCCGGGCCCCATCGCGCCGGCCTCCCGCGCACCCGCGGGCCCCAGCGGCAGGCTGGGCAGCAGCAGCCGCGCGCCGCCCCGCAGCCGGTGTCGCGGCGCGGAGGCGGATGCTGGCAGGTCCTGCAGCTCCAACAGAGCCGTCTGGCCGTACAGCACGTAGGCGGGCGGGGGGCTGCCAGGCACCTTCCACTTGCCGCACAGCCTGAGGCAGGGAGGCAGGCAGGCAGGGAGGGAGGGAGGCAGGCAAGAGTTGGTCATGTGACAGGGCTCCAGGTGGATACCGGTAGCAGGATGTGAGGGAGGTGGGCAGGAAGACAGGAGCCACAACACTTGGGCGCTCAAGCCTCAGGAGCATCAACAGTTCACTCCATTACGACAGCAACTGCACCACCCATAGCGAACCATGCAGTACAAGCATCCCTACGTCCTGCTCGCCACCTAAAGCCCCAACACCCCCAACACCCCCAGCACCCCCTCTTCTCCCGTCCCCTCCTCTCCCGTCCCCCACCTGCCCAGCGCATCCGTAATGGGCGGCAAGCTGGGGCACTGCCGCCCCCGCCGGCGCCCCCAGTACCGCCTGCACGCCCAGCCCACCGCCACCGCCAGGACCGCAGTGCCCGCCAGCGTGGGCCACACCACCGCATGCACGCTGGGCGCGCCGCCGCCCGCCCGCAGCGTCACCACCCGCCGGTCCACCAGCTGCACATGCAGGGAGCCGCCGGTGGCCTCCTTGGTGCGCGGGAAGCTGCTGTCGGAGTTGTTGACCAGTCGGTTGACCAGCATGTCAGCGTCCACGTCTTTGGTTGGGGAGCCGGTGGAGACGGAGGAGGAGGAGGGGTTGCCGGAGGAGGAGGAGGGGTTGCTGCCGTGGTTGGATGAGGAGGAGGAGGAGGAGGAGGAAGAGGAGTCGGGGTTCATTTCCAGGGGCATGGTGGCGGACACGTTGACCAGGAAGGCGGAGGTGCTCACCTCCTGTAGCATCACGCGCACCTGGGGAGCGGGGGAGCGGGAGGGGAGAGGGCAACAGGGCACGAGGCGGATGCTGAGCTGGAGAAGGGCAGATCGGCCGGGCAGAAGGGCAGATCGGCCGGGCACAGACAACTTATCCGGCCATGGCGAGCGTTTACCGGTAACAAGCTCGCATCCCTGCGTTCCCAACTCGTTCCAGTTGTCACCCCGGCCACGCCCCCACCCCGCCCCGCCCCGCACAACCGCCGGGCAGGGTTCAATGTAGTAACCCATGTTACAGCCCCGTCACGCAGCTCGTCAGTTTCCTCTTTTCGCCCCGCACAACCGCATGGGTCCCCCCCGCCCCCCCCCGCCCACCTGCGTCGTCACAATGCCCAGCGCGTCCGCTGTGTCCGCCGCAATCAGCAGCCGCACAATGGAGGCCGGCGGCGCGTCGATGCCGGTGCTGTCCGCCGCCAGGTCCGACAGGTTGCCGCGCTGCGACACGTTGAGCAGCACCTGGAAGGAAACCAGCAGCGCCCGCTGCGACTCCGCCGGCGGGGGGCTGGCGACGCAGGCGGCGGCACCGTCGGCCAGTGTGGTGCTGCCGTCGGAGCACACGCTGCAAGCGGTGGAGCCGGGGCGGCTGGAGAAGGAGCCCGGGGGGCAGAGCCTGTGCGGGGAGCGGGAACAGGAGCAGGAAGCAGGAGCAGGTGGAGGGGGGTGAGGCACGGAGGGGTGTGTGACAGGTGGCGGCAGTGCTGGTGGCGGCGGGTTGGAAAGCAGCAGAGAACTGAGGTAGGCACCGTACCCAAAAATGGCAAGCATGTTTAAAGCAGTGGACCTTGTTCTGCTGTGAATGGGCAGGAAGCCTCCAGAGCTCTGGCAGTGGAAGCGACAACCTCCTCTCCCCTCCCTTAGTTGTTTCCTCTTTACCTCCCTCCGCAGGACTGCAGGACCCACCACCGCTGCCCCCCTCCACCCTCTACCCGCTCCGCACCTGCAGGTGGTGCCGTTCCTGCACGCATACGTCCCCGCGGGGCACGGCACGCACGCCGGATTGTACACCTCGCTACTTACGCTGCCGACCGCGCAAGGCAGGCACACGCTCGCATTGGCGGCTGCGCTGTAGCTGCCCGGGCCGCAGCGCCGGCAGGCATCCAGCGGGAACAGCACCGATGGTGTGAGCAACACCGGCAGCAACTCCCCGCCAGCATCCGGAGGCGAGGAAGGCAGGGAAGGCGGGTAGGGCACCCCGGCACCACCGGCACTAGGGCCTGTGCCGCTGGACAGCTGCTTGCCGGCAGCCCCCGGGGCCGGCATCGGAGGGCTGTTGCTGCTGCTATTGTTGTTGTTACTGCTGCTGCATTGCTCCGCCGCCGCCACTGCCGCGGCCGCAGCGGCCGAGTAGTCCAGGTAGAGGTCCAGCAGCCGGGTGGCGCAGGTGACCCCGTCCGGGGCCAGCAGGGTCAGCAGCAGCCGCTGTTCCGCCTGCAGCCGCGAGCGCGCAGCGGCAGCCGGGCAGCTGTCGTAGTCCGGGTCGACCTCGCCTCCCGCCTCCTCCGCCTCGGCATCATCATCATCGCCAGCATCATCTTGGGGGGTACCGCGGTTGGGTGCTGCGGGTGCAGCAATCGGCAAAACGGAAGCAGGGGGCTTCCGGGCGGACACAGGCGCCGGACTAGGCGGTGATGGGGCCTTTGCCGCTGCTGCTGCTGCCGCCGCCTGGCGCTGTTTTAAGAGCGTTGCACGTGTCTTCTCCCCCAGCACCAGCGGCGACTGCCCCTCCTCCTCCTGCTCCCCGCCCCCTCCTGCCCCCGCCCCCACCACCACCTCCACCTGCTGCTGCTGCAGCACCACGCCGCCGCTGCTCGCCTCCAGCTGCATGTCGTACGAGGGGGGCAGCAGCGCCAGATCCACCACCTGCGCCTCCCCCGCGCCACACCAGTCCATGTACTGCGGGTTGTACAGCACCTGCAGCACAGCAGCGGTGCCAGCAGCAGCAGCACTGTCGCCGGAGGCAATGGAGGGCAAATTGAAGCCGTCGGGTGGCGTGTCGGCGAGTGCGATGGCTGACCTGGATGCCACCGGCTGCCGGGCTGGCGGCTGCTGCTGCTGTTGAGGTGGTGCGGGGGCAGCTGCAGGTAGGGAGGAGGATGGCGGGAGCCCTGCTGGTGGTGGTGCTGGTGCTGGTGCTGGTGGGTTATGGGAGTTGGGAGGGGGTGGTGTGGGAGCTGCTGCCACGGCTCCGGGATTCGGGCGGCCAGCAGGGGGTGCGGCTGGGAAGGAAGCAGGTGGCGGCGATGGTGGTGGTGGTGGCAACAAGGAGGCAGGTTCGCCTCGAAGTCCACGGCCCCTGCTGCTGCTGCTTTGCAGCGCCCGTCCCCGCCGCAAGCCGCTGCTGCCGGGAGTTGGAGGAGCTGCCGCCTGGGACTGCTGCTGCTGCTGCAGCGCCAGCACCGCCGCCATGTTGCCGCGAATGGCCTCAGCCAGCGTGGCGAACACATACGCCAGCTGCTGCTGCTGCTGCTGAGTGCTGTTGGGGGCGGACTGGCCGGAGGAGGCGTTCAAGGCGGCGGCTCCTCCCATTGCTTGGGAGCCGGCTGCTGCCGCTGCCGCTGCGGTTGCTGCCAGCAGCAGCTGCTGTGGCAGCCCGCACAGCGGCAGGATGCGGCCGCTGGGGCGGTGCACCAGCGCCAGCGACAGCCGGGGGCCTGAGAAGACGGCGGGGTCGCTGCTCGGCTGCAGGGTGAGGTTGAAGGTCCGCAGCCGCACCTGGTTGTACACATGCAGGCCGCCGCTGGAGCTGGTGGTGGTGGTGGACATGAGGGAGGCGGGGTTGCCGGTGCCGCTAGGTGCCGGCACGGGGGGAGCAGGTGAGGCTGTGGGTGCGGTGGTGGTGGTAGTGGTGGTGCTGTCGGGGCTGTCAGCATCGCCAGTGAAGTGGCTACCCGGGCTAGCAGCAACGTCTACCGGCATGGTGTCAGGGGGTGAAGATGGGGTGTTGGGGGGTGTTGGGCTCGGGCTCCTGCTGCTGCCGGTGCTGCTGTTGTTCCCCACTGCCGCCAGCTGCTGCAGCTGCTGCAGCCCCCCGCCGCTGCTGGACACCACGTACACCCCCAGCTGGGCGGAGCAGGGCTGCTGCACGCGGGCAGGCAGGGACCACACGGCCCAGGAGGCGGCGCCGCCCGCACCCCCGCCCGCACCCGCGCCCTCCCCCACCAAGTAGCGCACCAGGGGCGGCGGGTTGCAGCTGCTGCTGAGCACCACCACATCCTCCGCAGCGCTACGAAGCGGCAGGAAGACTGCGGAGGCGTCCTGGCCGAAGGGCACCCGCAGCAGCACCTGAAGGGCGTCACCTGAGGGCGAAGGCGGCGGCTGTGCGGCGCTGGGGCCGCCGTCCTGCACGTCTTGTTGTTGCGGATGGGAGGCTGGGGGTGGTGGCGTGGTGGCGGGTGTGGGTGCGGAGCTGGGGCTGCTGGCTTCTGGCAGCAGCAGTGAGGTGTTGCCGGCGGTACAAGCTGAGCATGCGGGGCGGGTGCGGGTGTTGGGGGAAAGAAACCTTAGCGCTTAGTGATAGGGCAGTGATAGGAACATAGGATAGAACCTGCGTCGGCATGCATGCCTTGACAACGTGAGGGAACGCCCGCAGCTGGCTAGCTGGCTGCAGCCGAGGATATGGAAGCTGGAGCTGCTAAATACAACCGAAAGGGTTCGCTAGAAGGAGCCCCTGGCCTGCCAGACAGACGTGAAGGCACTCCCCCAAGGTAAACGCAAAGCTAAACCAAATAAGCAAGTAAGCCGTCGCGCATCGTACCTGTCAGCACAGGCAGCAGCGCCTCCGACACGGTGTATGCGTCAAGGCCGCCCAGCAGCGCCGCATCTGCAGGGTGGGGTTAGATATGCTGAGCCGCGGCCACCACGAAAGATCTCTAGCCACCTCGGGTCACACCTCTCTAGGACCTCAACACGGACAGCTCACTCCCCCCCAAACACTTCCTCCACCACACCCCACAGACCCACCGTCGCAAGTCTTGGCGGCTACAGGCGGAGCCGCCAGGGCTGCCGGCGGGGGCTTAGGCCAAGAGGAGCTGTTCCCTGCAGCCCCTGTTCCGAGCGGCGGCGGCGGGGCGCCAGCTGGGGGAGCCGGCGCGCGCCACGGACCTGTCGTCCCAGCAGGACAAGTGCCGTACGTCGTCCCGTACACATAGATGGCGGTTAGGTTTGCTGTTGCAGCCAGGGTCTCCGCGTTCTCAACCGGCGTCAGCATCAGTCCCACGCGGAGTGAGGCGGATGCGGGCAGCGCAGCCCAGTTGATGGAGACGTTGACGGCGGCGGAGTCCCGGTCGGCTGGGAAGCTCAGCGTACCGCTGGCCCGAACCACACCGCTGCAGAGGGAAGCGTTGACGCAACCTGGGGTGCACGTTGCGGGTAGGCGGGATTAGATAACCTGAGCCGCGGAAACGCTGACCCTGACCGTAATGTACCGGAGAGGAGGCAAGCGAGAGGGTACGGTGGCAGGAGGCGGGCGGTTGTCACATGGTGGGCGTCTCGGGCGTGCCGCATGTCATCACCGCCACCGCCTTTCGCAAGACACAGAGCACCCGCCTGACACCGCAAGGATCCAAGATCTCCTGGACCTGCCCCCGCACTCGCAACCTGCCCTCACCCGCACTCCCACCCGCAACCTGCCAGCCCCCGCGGCTCTGTTGACCTTTCACCCACGCAGCAGCAGCAGCAGTACAGCAGCACCGCGCCTCGCAACGCAACGCACCTATGGTCTCCAGCACAGTTGCCGAGTACTTGAGTGTGGAGGTGAAGGGACTCAGGTTGGCTCGGCGGACCGTCACGTTCACAACGCTGACCACTTGCGCCGCCGCCAAGCGGGCTGCGGGCGGCGGCGAGCTTGTCCAGCCCACGCCCGCAGCCGCTCCTGACTGCAAACTGCTCAGAGCGGTTCCACCGCTGCCGCTGCTAGTGCCATTACTGCTGCTCTGGTTGCTGCTGCTGCTGCTGCTGCCGCCACCGCTTACACTTGCACTCCCACCACTGCCACTGCTCTTGCGGTACAGTACCAGACCCCCCACCACGTAAAACGCCGGCACCGGCGGCTGCAGCAGCACCCGCACCGGCGTTGCCGGGTCCAGCACCACGTTGCTCACGGCCACCACCTCAGCCCACAGCTGTTGCTGCTGCCCAGCAGCTTGTCCTGACGACGGCTGCACCCCCAATGCGCGCAGCATCCGCAGCGTGAAGTTCTTGCCGCCCGCCTCGCCCTTGCGCCACGTCAGCAGCGGCGGCGTCACCTCCGCTGCGGTTGGGTCGGAGAGCCGCAGCGCGAGCGTGGCGGGCAGCAGCGAGGGGCCCGCAAGCGCCGCGGTGAGGGTGAGGGTGGCGTCGCTGCGGCTGGCGGCGGTGTAGGTGCGCAGCAACCGGGCCACCGCGGCCTGGAGCACGGTAACCAGGGTCTGCGGGGGTGGCGGAGGGAGGACGGCGGGGGCAGGAGGGTGGTGGTGTCCGGGAGGAGAAATGGAGGAGGAGAAGGGCTGCGAGGTGGTGCGCTTGCGGGTTGGGACATGGGGGGGTTGTGGTTGTGGGACCAGTGGGAAGAGCCAGTGAGGCAGCGGCGTGAGGGCTAGTGGTGCCGTGTGGTAGCGGATAGGAGGGCGGCACATGAGGGGAGGCGTACCGTGGTATTGGAGGCTGACGTGCCGTAGGGTGAGGGACCCGCGCCGTCGTTGGTATTGCCGGTGCTGGTATCATTTGAGCTTGCGAAAAGCAAGGGTCGCTGGCTACGTCCTGCTAGCAGGCGTACGGGATAGACTCCAGCGCCGATACCCCGAAAGGTCGGGCATGCAGCTACTCGGAATGTGACGCTGCGGCAGTCGGGAGATATTGTGCCTGGAACGAGGACGTCATCGCCCTTGGGTGCCGCTCCCAGAAAGCTCAGGGTTAAGTTTGGTGTAACGGCCTACATGTATCAAAGGGATTTCGCTTAACTTGGGAACTGTGTGAAATGTCAGTGTAACCCGTTTGTAAAGGCTTCAGCTCTTAGCATGTAGCATGCATGGTGCTCACGCTTCTCACTTGCTGGCAGCCTGGACTCTGCAGCTCCGCCTGAAGGGTCACGTTGCCGTCATTGCTAACAGTCCTAGGCTGCAAACTATTTATAATTGTCTGTTCAGCCCAACTGCTGTCTGAAGGGCTGGACAAGCCGCAAGCGACCTGCAAAGTATGCAAGAATAAAAGGATGTAACATTTTATACCTAAAGGCGTAGTTTAGAAACAAGGCGGGGGAGGCACTACCAACTTCCCTACCCCTCCCTACCCAGCTTCCTTGCCAGAGAGCTACCAAGTGTAAAGCAATAACCGCATTTGTAAATTGAGGCAGAAGCTGGAATCGCTGACGAGCACCAGCCCTCATGAGAAGCTGGGCAAGCGAAACGCCAGTCGCTCATACGGCAGCATATGAATGCGCCATTGAAAACCCTTAAGGTAGGTTTATATCACTGCCGTCTTCATGTATAATGGGAGGCACTCTAGTTAGGTAGCGCAGGGCGCGAGGCGCGTAGACAGTCGTGTGTCCGCCTACAGCGCCCTGTGTAATAAGTGCGGTTTACAGATGTTAAAACATACATAAAGAACACAGTGGCGGGGCACAGTGGCGGGGTATTACCAGTAATGTCATGCAGTATTCGTAATTACCGTAATTACAGGGCATAGTTTGTCAGTGCCGTACCTCGTTTCCATCGAAAAGCTCATGCAGACATCCGTTTCCGTCGACCTTTCTTGGCAGTCGGAGCGGTATCCCCTTTGCACATACCTCTCGGGGCTGTGTTGGCTGCCCAGGCCGGGTCCCATGCGGTCTCTTCCCTTCGCACCTCCCATTGCTATCCGTTTGGCTTGCCAGGCCATGCGGGCTCACCCCTTCTCGCTTCCCTCTCAGGGCGCTGTTGGCTGCTCAGGCCACCCGCCGTCCTGGCACCCACCGTCCTGGCACCCACTGACCTGGCACCCGCCGACCTAGCACCCGCCGACCTAGCACCCGCCGACCTAGCACCCGCCGACCTGGCACCCGCCGACCTGGCACCCGCCGACCTGGCACCCGCCGACCTGGCACCCACCGACCTAGCACCCGCCGACCTGGCACCCGCCGACCTAGCACGCACCGACTTGGCACCCGCCGACCTGGCAACCGCCGACCTAGCACCCGCCGACCTAGCACCCACCGACCTAGCACCCGCCGACCTAGCATGCTCCGACCTAGCACCCGCCGACCTAGCACCCGCCGACCTAGCACCCGCCGACCTAGCACCCGCCGACCTGGCACCCGCCGACCTGGCACCCGCCGACCTGGCACCCGCCGACCTGGCACCCGCCGACCTGGCGCCCGCCGACCTGGCACCCACCGACCTAGCACCCGCCGACCTGGCCCCCGCCGACCTGGCACCCGCCGACCTAGCACGCACCAACTTAGCACGCACCGACCTAGCACCCGCCGACCTAGCACCCGCCGACCTAGCACCCGCCGACCTAGCACCCACCGATCTGGCACCCGCCGACCTGGCACCCGCCGTCCTGGCAACCGCCGACCTAGCACCCGCCGACCTAGCACCCGCCGACCTAGCACCCACCGACCTAGCACCCGCCGACCTAGCACCCGCCGACCTGGCACCCGCCGACCTAGCACCACCACCGACCTAGAAACCACCGACCTGGCACCCGCCGACCTGGCACCACCACCGACCTAGCACCCGCCGACCTGGCACCCGCCGACCTAGCCCCCGCCGACCTAGCACCCGCCGACCTAGCACCCACCGACCTAGCACCCACCGACCAAGCACCCCCCGACCTAGCACCCGCCGACCTAGCACCCACCGATCTGGCACCCGCCGACCTGGCACCCGCCGTCCTGGCAACCGCCGACCTAGCACCCGCCGACCTAGCACCCACCGACCTAGCACCCGCCGACCTGGCACCCACCGACCTAGCACCCGCCGACCTAGCCCCCGCCGACCTGGCACCCGCCGACCTAGCCCCCGCCGATCTAGCCTCCGCCGACCTGGCACCCGCCGACCTAGCACCCACCAACCTGGCACCCGCCGACCTGGTGCCCGCCGACCTAGCACCCGCCGACCTGGCACCCGCCGACCTAGCACCCGCCGACCTAGCCCCCCCGACCTGGCGACATAAGAGAGGTATGGGAGCGAGACCCACGGGCCCTAATTACACAAGAGGCCGCAGGGCGGGGTGATTTGGGCGACTTTCCTAGGCGGTGCGCAGGCAGACAGAGCAATAGAACGGGCCCATTAGGAAGGCGCTCGGATGCGCCCACTCAAAGTCAGCACACTGTACGGTGGCGGTTGCGGCACTCTGACAATTGCCGCCGGGGTCGTACGCGGAAGTAGTGCACTTCGCGCAAGGGAAGGCACATTTTGAAAACCTACCGAAAATGTATAGGATAACCTAAAAGCGTTTCAGCGAATGCACCGTTGGCAAGGAATGCCTGTGGTTGAGACCCCCTCCTGGCGCAGCATCAGTACCATTACAATTCAAATCTCTTGGCTCGAAGACAGGTCAACAGCGTTCTTCCGTAGCATCAGGCGGTCGGGTAGAGAACTTCCCACCAAGTGGCTAATGTTATGTCATGAAGACATTGAAGCTGCGAAAGTGTGAAATCACCTCACAAATACCCTTACCTAAGCCGTGCATATTACACATAGGCTACTAACTTCGGTATTTTCAGGCAGTTCTGCCGTTTAACGTCCAACACCATCGGTCCCAAAACTAGTATACCGTTCAGGGCTTGCCCGGCACCCAGACCAGTTTACGCTATAGGGCACACGCGAACGAATGCCCATTCCTTTCAACCCTACAAGTACGCAATCCCTCATTTTCACTATGTGTCGCCTCCTTCGCCCCCCTCATAACAAACCACGTCACTCCATCAAGTATCTCCCTCAACTGCAAGCCTCAGATCTGGACCGTCACGACCCTCCTGACGGGGGTGAAGAAGCGCCGAATGCTGCTCTGTGAGGCCACCGCCTGAAGAGCCCTTTGGCCTCCCAGGGCCTTGCGTGCCACCACAGCCGCGCCGGCAGTTCCCTCACCACCCGCCTCAGCACGCCGGTTTACAAGTGCTGCTGCTCTAACAGGAGACAGGCTCACCAACTCGGAACCTGCTGCCTCCTTTACCGTGCTTTGGACGCTGCCTTCACTATCCCAGCCCTCATCCAGGGTCAAATCAATCATACAGACGCTCCTGCCACCACAGCTCCTGCTGCTCCTCCTCCTAATCCGTTCCCAGTCTGAGGAAGCAAGCCCGGGAGGAGCGGCCGCGCTCGCGTGTGCTGCTGCACCGTCGGCGCCTGCGCCACAACCTCCGCCCATGGCACCTGCCTGCCTGCAGCTGGCGCCTCGCTGCGTCCCCGCTAGCGAACCAGGGGGCCGCACCGCACCGCACCCCTGGCACTGCTCGCCTCCGCCGGCCCCTTGCGGCAGTCGCGAGGGCTGGCCTAGCCCCTGCGGCGCATGCGGCACCCCTACCCCTTGCCCACAGTCTCCTGCGCTCGCCTGCTGCTGCCGCTGGTCCGCCATCTCACCTTCAACCGGCCAGCCCTCATCATCGCGATCTTGTAATTTACGCTTGCCCAGTGCTGAGCTCCGTCCCACCAGCCCCTCCTGCTGCCGCTGCTGCTTCCACCCGCCTGATCCCAGGCGCTGCTCCCGCAGCTGGTCCAGGATGCGCGCCTGCTCCGCCAGGTCCACACGAGCGAGGTCCACCCGGACCCCTGCAGCACCCGGGGAGCAGCCGGTCGGGCGCCGGTCGGGACGATCCGGAGTCGCAACCGCCACCCCGGGGCCGCCGCCGCCGCGGGGCCCGCCGGCAGTGCGAGATAGGTACACGTCCAGCCTGCAGCCGAGGAGGCAGGAGAAGGACAGGGAGAGCTTGGGTGAGGTTGAGGCGTCCCTCGGGAGTGGCTCTTCAGCTGAGCAGATAGGGAGGAAGAGGGGAGGCAGTGGACGCACCATCAACACAAAGGGTGCGGCTGCTGTGACTTACAATTATCATGCGGCAGCGCATGTTGCCGCATGCAGTTGACCGCACCTAGGGCCACCACACACTGCGACTAGCGCCTTCGCCTGCACGCATGTTGGTGCGCCGAGAGCGACCCCACCACCACCTGGACCTATGCGGTTTCCTGTGGTATGGTATGGCCTATTTACCCCACCTGGATCTGTCGGCGCTGAGGTCCATGAGCGGCGCGAAGAGGTCCACCAGCGCCCGCCGCTGCGAGGAGGTGGCGGCGTTGACGGTGGGCACCAGCCGCCGCGGCCGCAGCTGGGCCACCGCATCACACAGGTCCGCTGCGCGCAGATGCGGGGGGAGGGGAGAGCAGTTGGGGAGGCACACAGAGCAATCCCATCAATCTGTCAGTCAGATTACTGAATCATTGCAGAACGGGGCGGGGGATAGCAGTCCTCACGAGCGCCGTGGAAACGTTCAAGGACGGTGTGTTGATTGCAGGGTAGGCGGCACACGAGAGCGGCCACGCAGCAGTCCCCACACAGGAATACCCCCCACGCAGCACCACTACCACCAGCACCAGCGGCGCAACGCTCACTCACTCCAGCTGCTGTGCTCGCTGTACGGCACTCCGAGGACCGTCACACCGCCCTGACGCCGGACCGAGATGCCACCGCTGCGGCGAAAAGTCCAACCTGGGGGAACAGGAACCCGAAACCTGAGACCCCCCGGCTGGACAGAGGCCAAGCGGGCGTGTGCGCACGTGCATGCGGCGAAAACGGTGTGTTGCTCCACAGCCGTCGGCCCTCCTACCCTTCCATGTTGGTAAGCGTTGAGAGAACCCAGATTGTGTGCATACGTGACGTGCGCATACAGTTAGGACGTACAGTTAGGCCCCAGTGGGGCTGTGCAGCTGTCGCCGGCGGCCTACCCGTGGGTCGAATGCCAACGGCCCGCTTCCAGACGCCCGGGTAACGCTCCAGGTAGGCCTGCAACGCTCGCACAGTTACACATTGACATCAGGCATCCAATTCAATGGGAAGGCAGCAGGAAGGTAACTGGAGTAAGGAATCGGGATACAGGCGACTCTACACCTCCACTAGGCAACGCACGCAAGTGGCAGCTGTCGATCCTCCGTCCCAACTGACATATGCTGTGCTGCTCCCGCCGCCGCGGCTCCCACCTGCACATCCTCCGGCCGCAGCCCCCAGCCGGTGACGTGTATGCACGCCTCCCGCGGGTCCTCCGCCAGCACCGCCGCCAGCTCGGTCGGCAGCTGCAGCAGCCGCAACACGGCGCGCTTGGCGGGGCTGCACCACACCTGAGCAGGGGGGAGACAGGGGATGACAGACAGGGATGAGGGGAAGCTGCACGTGCCAAGTCACGCGCTAGAGAACTTGACGCAGGGCCGTCAAGGTGCGTGAAGCATGCAGCCAGGCAACCGGCAACCATAGCAGGACAAAGCTTGCATGCCGTAAACCACGCCCCGAAGTAGTCACCCGCCGTCAAGCAACCTGACCAAGTAGTCCACGTCTGATAGGATACAGTCATTGCGGTAGAACTGAAGCCCGAGGCCTCCTCCACGCACCTTGGCCCCCAGCTCCTGCGCGGCCTCCAGGAAGGCCCTCTCCTTGCCGATGTGGTAGGCAGCCAGCAGGAACACCGTGCGCGGCTCCTCGAGCAGAGCGTCGCGCATCGCCTGATGGGTGGGCGGGGGGCGGGGCAGCAGGGGCAGCAGGGGCGGAGCGGCAGTCGTCGTATCACCACTGCAGCTGGCTGATCAGGCGATCAGGCAGGGTGCATGGCCGCCATGGGTGGGAAGGCGGGAGAGCAGGCGGGAGGCTGGCACCCAGAGAGGAGAAAGCGGCCAACTGCAATCCAGGGCAGACGGTAAGAAGCGGAGGAACTCCCGCCACGTTACCTGCTATCCCTCTCTTGCCCCGCCCCATCACGCCCCCGCCCCGCGCACCTGCACCATCATGCGGATTGCCTCGCTCTGCGGCGGCAGCGTGTGCCGGGGCGCCGCGTAGGTGGTGTCCAGCAGCAGGGTGTCCACACGCACACCCGCCAGCCCCGGCTGGTGACGCATCCAGGGCTGCCACCTGCCGCCGCCGGGAGGGGGAGCCGCGGGGGCGGCACAGGGGTGGCAAGGGGACAGGCGGTGGAATGGAGTGATAGTGATAGAGGGCTTGCGCAGCGACGGGCGCACAAGCAAGGTCAAGGTGGATTCCAGCTGAATGACGACACATGTCGGGAGCTTCTGTGCCGCACCGCGCACGGTATTCCTCCCAGCATAGGACCTAGGGCCCCCCCGCCTAACAGCCTCGCATCGCCCTCGTACGTCTCCCACCTGCAGTCCCCAGTGTGCAGGATGTTGGTGGTGGCGCCGGCGCCGTGCTCCCAGCGGCTCGCCTCCACCTCCCGCTGCCAACAGGGAACGCCGCCTGCCACTGCTGCTACTGCTGCTGCTCCTGAACCGCTGCCGGGATTGCACCCCGCCTTCCCTTCATACTCAGACACAATCCAGACGCCCTCCTCGTCCTCCTCCTCCCCTCCTCTCCGCCCCATTTCCGCGCCACCTCCTCCGCCCCCAGTGCTACCCCTGTGCCGCCCTCCGACAGCGCCAGCAGCGCCGCTGTCTCCCTCGCCGCCCCCTCCCCCACACGCAGCCGCATCCTCGCTCGCCCCATGCTGCTCACCGCCACCCCCTGGTACGCTACATCCCCCATGCATCGCAACCCTAGGCGGCGTTCCTGGCGCGCAGCAACCGGTATCCCCTCCGGCCGCCTCCCTGCCCACTCCTGCTGCTGCGCTCCCTGCCGCTTCCGCCTGCTTCGCCCCAGTGGCAGCCCCAGCCCCAGCAGCCAGTGCTGGTGCTGCTGCATGCGGCCCCGTGGGCACTTCGAACAGGAACATGAGGGAGCCGGGGCAGTGGTTGGCGTCCAGCGGCGTCACGCGCACACCCGAGATGACCACCGGCCGGCCCACATCCAGCGGGCGCACGAGCTGCGGCGGCAGGGAGGCAAGGTGCCGGTAGCAGGAAACGTGACGACGTAACGACGAGGGAGCATGCTGTGTTGGTGGGTGTGCAGGTGGTGAGCAGTGCGTGGGTGGCAGGTGAAGGGCGACATGCAAAGGGCTAGTTGGTCGGGGACAGGCTGAGGTCTAAGGCCTAACACCCGGTAGCTAATCCGCCTTCTGTATTCCTCTCCGAGCACCCCAAACCAGGTGGGCTGCTTCCCCACCTGCGGCCGCAAGCCCATGTCGTGCACCAGCAGTCTTGCCGTCACATGAGAGCAGTAGATGACGCCGCCCTTGAAGCCCCTGCGTGGTGCGCGTCGGGGAAGGGCGGGCCGCATTCAAGGTAAGCACTGGCCTGCTCCTGCCGTGGATTTGCTGTGTTGAGAACTTGCAGAATGCTGCTGGTGATGCGGGTAAGCAGGAGTGGCATGTACACATGCTACCGAAGCAAGCCCGGCTCCCTCCAGTCTAGCGTACCTGTTTAGGCCAACTGTGTGGTCGGAGTGAAAGTGCGTAAGGAAGTAATGTGAGCAGCGGGGGCTCTTGAAGTTAAAACCGTCAACCAGGAAGTCCGTTCCGGGGATCCATTTGATGTCCTCCACCTGCGGCGGTTGACAACATGTCGTATGTGAAGTTGAGAGACAGGCAAGATGGGTATGAAGTCCTTGAGTTGAGAGGCAAAGCTTGAACGCGCTGGGTGCCGCGGCGCCTACTATTGAGGCGAACGTCCCTACCTGTGACGCCATTGCAGCTGCCCAACCGTCGCAGAGCTTCTAGGTTGCCAGCTCACATGTCCTCATCACCATCAGCGTCTTCATCGTCGTCATCAATTGAGCCCTCGTTAAGTTCTGCTGCAATGCGGGGTTGAAACATCAGACCGGCTGAAGGTCCGGTGGCAATTTCCCGCCATACGTACCGTCCTCCTCAGCGCCTTCCCGGACTACAGCAGGGCCATCTGGCTTTCCTACGACGGGCTCAGTTTTCTTCCACTCGCGGATTGCAGCTTCCTGCACGCAAAGAAGGACGACTTACGACGCATGAAGGATGTGACTGGTCACCCATTTAAGCAATCCCAACAGCTAATATGACCTTGGCCTCAAGCTCCTTTTCCTGGGCAGCAATCTGGGCCTCCTCACTGCCTTCCTTAAACACCTCCTCGGTGGTTCGCGGCACAAGGTGTGGCAAGAATATCATTGCGACGGCTACGCTCTAGCCTAGAAAAGCAAATTCCACTTACTATGCGACTATGATAATGACTTTCACGCTGTCCATTGGAGCAATGCCTCTTAACGACTCCGGAACCACCTCGATGTGGCCATGTGAATGCCGTGTTTCCCTCAAACCCACCGCCCGAAGTGTATAAGGCAGACGGCAGGCAAGCGCACATGCCAGTGTAGAACTATCGCCGTGGAGCCGGTGTAGCATCAGGCTAACTGCTCGGGGGAAGGGCAGGGGAATGCAGGGGAAGGACAGGGCGAAGTACGAGGGCAGATTGCATGATAAGACGCTGGGGGACGTTGACGTAAGCCAGTGAAGGATGCGTGGGGAGGTCGTGTAACACCACCTGCAGCGCGCAAGCCCCTTAACTCACGGGGCATAACGGGATGCAACCGGCGTTGGCTGCACGGGTTCCGAACTGTCCGCTCGCTGTGTTAGCCTCCCTTATTATTTACGAGAGCAGCTAGGATAAGCCATATAAGGTGTAACCCTTGGTCGCTGCTCCACAGGAAGATGTGTCATGCTGTCAAGGCACCATCGTGCGGCTGAGGCGCATCAACGGGGGCTGCTGGTCCCTTCACGTCATGGTACCTACCACCTCACGACCACAGTACCTCAAACAACACCTCCTGCGGCTAACACCTCTTCACAATCCTTCTGCACATATGACCGGTCCACCAGTTCACCACCCGCAACGCATGGTGGCTTAGCCCTGGCCGCACACCGGCAGCCAAGGGCTTGCCAAGGAAATCGCGACTGGTTCACCCGCATGGCCTGAGCAGTCATGTGCACCAGAGGGGATGTGCGAAGGGATGTCCTTGCATGGCCTGGCCAGCCAGAGCTTACCGGCATCGAGGGGATGTGCGAAGGGCTGTGCCCGCGTGGCCTGAACAGCCAAAGAGCGCCCCGAGGGATTGTGCGAGGAGGTGCTAGACAACGTGGAGCTGCCAGTGCACGTGGGTGGGGCTAATGGTCATGCAAGGGGGAGGCGGAGGGTTAGACAGGGTGGCATGGTACGTTGAGTGGCCCCAGACCTCGATTGAAACCTCAAAGACTAGGCGAGGAGAAGTCGTATGCGAACCAAGATGTCAAGTCCCTACTCTGTACACTGCACACAAGGCCCTCCAAGGCGGAAAACCTTCCCAACAACCCAAAGCACACGCGCCTCCGAGCAATGACAAAATCGTCAAGGGCTCACGACACCCGCAAGGGCGGCCCAAGTGGTCTATGCCTTGCATGCGCCCCGGGTACGTACCCAGCTTCAGATTCGACAGGCCGCGCTTGCCGTCTGGCACAAGCAACGTGCCCAATAACTGCTCCGTAACATCACATGCAGCGGTCCGTTTACCACTTGGGTCACGTCGGTATCCGGAAGCTGTCATTCAACAGCTTAAGCCTTGCTTGCTGCCACGGCTCCAAAACTCCCCAAGACCCAAACCTCTTATAAACACAACCCACAATCCGCCCTCACCATCCAGTCTACCCTACGCCGCTGGTGCCACCGCCGCCCCATCCCCATGCAGCACCTCCCGCCCCTTGTGTCCCCCCGCCTCCTCCGACGGACACCGCAGCGGCGCTATGTGGCGCACGTAGCGACCGTTGAGCGCCAGTGCTAGCAGGTCCTGCTCCTCTATGAACCAAACCTCCGAGAACTGCGCTCTCAGCCCGCACAGGGTGGCACTCAGCGCATCCACTGCGGCCACTACCACCTCGCCCTCTACCTCAGCCACGTGAGCCGAGCCGCCGCTGCTGCTCTCCGTCTTCTCGGTCTTAATATGAACGACCTCGGTTTCAGACCCTGTCGCCGCTTCAGCAAGCAGCCTCCGCCGCTGTGGGTGGTGCTGTTGCTGCTGCTCTGCAGACTCACTACCAGCGCTGCTGCTAACGTTGGCAGTGCTGACATCCCCTGCTGCTGCAACGGAATGCAGCAGCTCACGCCCCGAGCTGCTGCTACCGCTGCTGCTGCCCACAGCCACCCTGCCGCTCGTTGTCGCAGCCCGGACAGCTCCCGAGGAGTGCTGCGTTGTGGGCGGCAGCAGCAGTCGGGCCACCGTGGTGTGCAGCATGGCGGGCTCCTTCACCATCTGGGCCTCCCGTGGGGGCGCGTTGGGCAGCGCGGCTCCCAGGGCGGAGCGCAGCAGCGCGGGCTCGCCGCCTCCCCGCAGCACCTGCCAGCAGGCCACCACCACACCTGCGGGGAGAGGAGGACAGGCAAGGAGCGGACGGCCATGTCCCAGCGGGAGCGCTTAGGCTCAGTGGCTCAGCGGGCCCTGTGCCTGAAGCAAACCGCCTGTACAACGACGCCAGTGAGTTGGATGCCACAACCGAGGGCCCTCACCTGTAGTTGTCACGACCACCCGGTCCAGCACGGCGTCGATGGGGCAGGTGGCACCGCACACCCCGCGGATGCTGCGCTCCTCCTCCGCAATCACCTCCCGGCTGGCGTGGATAGGCTTCTGCGAGGTGGGAGCAGGGCGGAGGCGCCCATCCATTAACACTACGAGGACGAACAACAGAGCTGCGGGCGCCCGCGGGGCGCGCACTCCTAGCATACCACAGGCACTTCTACGGACGTGTGGCGGGAGCTATATACCGAGTAAGGCATGCAGGTACCACGCCCGGTCAACGCACCGCGTGTGATGAGGCATGGTAGAGCGTTGCGTGGTAAAGCGCATCGTCTTGTAGCCAGATGCTGCCCTCGGGCAGGACCGGCATCAAGAGCTGCCGTACGGCGTCACGGATCTTGCCTGACACCACGTGATCTCGGAGCGGCAGGATCATGGCGCGTACGGGCACCTCCAGGGGGTGCAAGATGGGCATGATGAGCATGCGGTTGGAACGGGAGTCGACTGTGACCTTGAAGAGGTCAGCTTGCGTGAGGCCCTGTGTAATGACACCTCCCAGGGTCAGACCCTTTTGCCGTACACCACCACCCATGGCGTCGTACACGCGCTTACGGTCAAGAGCATACTTGCTGACTGACAGTCGCATGGAGCCGGTATCGCCTGGAGGAGTTCGGAAAAGGAGCAGAGGTCTCATTGTTAAGGAAACTGCAGCTTGGTGCCACATGCAGAGGAAACATAAGTCCTTTGCCGTGGTGCGGGGTATTCCCCTAACGCGGCACGATAAGCAAGGCGAGGTGGCCCTGAGAAGGCCAGAAGGGAAAGCACCAGAGTGGAAGACGGGCCGTACGGTCCTTTATCCGGGTACGACAGGAAACGGTTGACCGCGATGATAAGGGGCAATCCTTCCCATAAAGGCACAGCGCAATGCCCAGCCTGGCTCACCAAAATCTAGTTCCAAAGCCGCAAGCCGTTCGCTGCAGGTGGGGAGGTCCATTACGCTGCTAGGAAGCCCAGGCTGGGAGTACCGCAGCCTAACACGTATAGTTCTCACGGCTACAGTGACATGGCATGTAATTAGCATGGGCATAGCCATCTTCCATGCTGGTACTTCGCTGCTCACCCATGAACACCGTTGGGACGACCAAAAACATGGCTATAAGCAGCCAGTTCTCTTGTAGCAAATGCGCAACCTTTGTGCTGACAGCATGACGACGGCCCGCTGTAGCCCCATCTTCTGCATCCCCGACGTTCAAGGGCTGATGATGTCCGCGATGCATTCCGACCGAGTATCGTCTTTACATTTGTGAAAGATGTAAAGTGTTATTTTTTACTCCACATTTGGATTGCTGGACAGGCCTTTTATAGGACTCTTAACCGTGACAGCTTTATGAAGGGCACGGGTTTACAAGTTGCAAGGTTACTATTCCTTATAATGTAAGTGGCTAAGTTCTAATAAATGAACAAGGGTAAAATTTGCTTTACATTTGAGTATGGCAGGTGCATCGCCGTGGTCGCACGGCACGGCCACGGCTCACAGTGGCTACGAGATGCCCGTTAGGGTGAGCCAGAATGCCACCTACAAAAGAGCCAAGTCCCAACTATGCAAACAACAGAAACCTCCGCCCATATGCCGATCATTGTCCTATGTACGCCGCTTCTTCTGTGCACCTTCGCCTCCAGCATCACTTACACCGTCTTTCCCCTTGGCAGCCAACCCTGCTAACGAGCCGTACACGCCCGCGGGCACCGCCTTCTCCGCCACATCCATGTCCTCGCCACCACCACCACCCTCATCGTCCATGTCCGCATCGATGTCGATCTCCTCGGGGTTGGCTGCATAGGCAACAACAAACAACGGGACTTTAGTACTGGCAAGCAGGAAAGGAAAGAGGGCAGCATGCGGTGCTTTCTGAGCGCAAAAAAATCTCACCCAACGCTCTCCTTCCAAACTTACCCGCCGCCGCTGCCGCTTTGCGCTGCTGTTGGCCCCCTGCCGCGCTGCCGTCCTTCTCGCCGCCTTGCTGGATGATACCCGCCGACACAAACCCGGACAGCGCTGTCCGTCCCGCGGTTCCCGCCCCGCCAGCCGCTGCGCCCAGCCCCATCGCCGCCACCGCCTCCGCCTCCAGCTCCGCCATAGCATCCGCGCCCTCACGGGCCCGCTTGGCTCCCGGCCCGCCGGCGCCTGCTGCGCCAATGCCCGCCTCCGCCTCCGCGCGCGAGGTGATGCGCGCGGCATCCACTATGGAGTTGATTTGCATGTGGCTGAAGGACACCTTGACCGACCTGCGGGGCGGCCGGGTGGCGGAGGTGGGGTAGTTCAAGGTCTGGCAGCAGGCGAGGAAATGAGGACGCAGTGGCAAGTGAGCAAGCTGCAAGCCTTGCAGGCTTTTGAACTGCTCGATGGGCTCGGATATGTCCCTGACGGTCATTCAGAAGTAGCTCACCATCCAACCAACTAGACCCCATGCCCTCTTGATCCCCCACTGCATATCACAGCCAGCCCCACTACCCTCCCCCTCCCCCGCCCGCACCCCACACCCGCGCACCCACCGCAGTATCCGCATCATCTCCTTGAACGTGTCCTCATTGCCGTGCCGCACCTCGAACGCGCGCCAGGCGGCCCAGTAGTCCGCCGCGCGGTCGGGGTGGCTCACCGCGGAGCCGTGCACGTAGATGGCGCGCGCGCGGTCGATCTCTCCCAGCTTGGTCTCCAGCGCGGCGTAGCGCGTGCACAGCTCGCGGACGTCCTCATCGGAGAAGTCGTTGGGCGGCTCCGCCTCGATCGCTGACTCGTAGATCTCGCGTACCTTGGGTGGGTAAGGACGGGAGTAAGCCGGGAGTCAGGTTATGAGGAGAATATAACGCACGGTTACAATTCCTCAGGTGGTTATTGAAATGTACAGCAGTAAGCGCGCCAAGCGCCGCCCTCACCTTGGCGATGCCGAAGAAGTCGGAGGCCCTGCTGACGTACACGTCCAGCACGCTCTTGCGCTGGTCCTTGGGGACCGCCGCCAGCGCCCGCCCGTAGATGTCCATGGCATGTCGCGCCAGCCCGTGCGTCTCCTCCAGCTTGGCGTAGTCCAGGTACAGCGACTTGCACTCCTGGGGAGCGGGAGGGGGGCGACAAGGAGAGGTGGGCTGGCTCCAGATGCAAAACTGGATGGGTTGATACTTGGAAGCCCGGGCTTTTCGCAACTCAAACCGTATTCGCTGGGGACGTACTAGCTGCCCTGCTGCTGAATCTAGTAGTGGGCACCGCTTCAATACCAACAAGCATACCTGCGGCGGCGCGTCCTTGATCGCCTGCTCGTACAGGTCCCGGGCGCGCTCCAGCTTCTTCCCGCCGTACCGCTCCACGAACGCCGCCAGATAGGCCGACCAGATGTCCTTCACGTGCGGGTACTTGAACAGCGCGATGCCGCGCTCGTACACCTTGAACGCGTCCTCAAACGCCTTCTGCTCCGTGAGGAAGAGCGCGTAGTTGAGGATGACCTGCGGCGTGGCGATGCGCAGGTCCAGGATGCGGTCGTAGGCGGCGCAGGTGGACTCGCGCGTGCCCAGGCTCTCCTCCAGGTCGGTGTGCATCAGGTGCAGCTTCAGGTTCCTGCGCAAGTGGGTGGCAGCCCCGGGCCCGCAAAAACGTTCACGCGCCGTTAGGCTACAACTTCAGGAGGGTCATGTACGACACCCGGCAACCCAGCGCAACGATGTGCAACGAGTCCGCGGTTTGAGGAGCGTGTCCCTATCGCACAATGCAACAGGGACGATTGAGGTAGAGCGGGCACGGTGTGCGCTGCATGCAGCGCGGCTAGCTCGCATGAAAACTCGACACACCGCGCGCGCGCACCTGTACACCCGTTCCTGCACCGGCAGCGCGCGCTCCTCCTCCTGCGTCATGCGCGCCGGCCGCTGCGGCGGGGCGAGCACGCGGTTGATGATGTCCAGCGCGCGCTTGAAATTGCTGTGGCGCAGCTCCATCTCCACCCACTCGCACCACACCTGGGCCAGGTCGTCCACGTACTTGTAGCGGGCCTGAGGAGGGGGGGAACAGCGCGTGCAGATACGGTAGGTGGGGAAAGGACGTCAGGGAAGCGAGCCGAATGATGAGTGGGGTCTCATGCATCTAACGCGTAACGAAAGACGAAAGAGAGGAGGCAGGGGGACCAGGCAATGCGGGTTGGAGGTATGGAACTGGGATGTGCGCATGCAGACAAGTGGTGGTACCAACGTGGTAGCATGGGTGCAGCAGCACCGCACCTCGGTGGCCTTCTGGAAGATGATCCTGGCGTTGGGCACATCGCCGTGCCGCTCGTAGAACTTGGCGAAGGCGCACCACAGCGAGTGCGGCTTGCCGGTCGCCTTGTCGGGGTCCACGGTGCGCACCTGGGGGGTGGGGGGGGGTGAAGAGAGGGGATGGTTGGGTGGACATCAGATGGATGGAAGAAGGAAGCACAGCGTGCGGCGTAAGGGAAGAGCGGCAGCTGAGAGGAGCGCTGTGGGAGGCACCAGTAGGATCTAATGTCGATGCTCGCTCGGGTTGCGCTGATAAGCCCCATGTAACCCCGCAAGCCTCAAGCGCCCCCCACGTGCAGGCCCCCCCTGTAAGCCTCTCTCCTCACCGCCTCGGTGTAGGTGAGGATCTGCTTGGTGGGCTTGCCCTCGAACAGCTTGACGCGCTTGTGCCACTCCGCCACGTTGTGCGGGTTCTGGCGCAGGATGACGGAGGACAGCAGCTCGGGCCGCCGGTTCATCAGGTGCTCCAGACGGGCCAGGCTGCGGAGAGGCGCGGGGGAGGGGGGTCCGGTGTACGGCATCGTACGACATGAGGTGAGTACCGGGTGGCAGCGGAATGGGTGGTGGGAACTGAAGGTGGTGGCTTTGGGGCGGCGCGGCAAGGGCTCAAACTAGCTGCTGCCAGAAAAAGGTTTTGTCAGACAGGAAGTCCAATATCGCTTTCCATGTGAGGATTATAACCCTGTCGCCTGATGCTCAGTCGCATTTCCCCGCCCTGCCCTTGATGCACAGGTAACGCTGAGGGAGGGGTGTGTTGGGGTCACCAGTCGGAAGTGACCCGGGGAGTGCCACCCAAGGATTGGTAGCACAGCATCTATGGCGGAGCGTATGCGGGCTGCGAGCCCTGGGAGAAGGGCAGTGGCACGTGGCTCAGGTGGACGTTGTCCATGTAGGTCGTCGTCAGACGCGAGGTCCGATATCGCTTTTCATTGGGGCATCACTGCCAGTGCCAACATGCAGCAACCATCAACAGATGGTTCGCTCCGAGTTGAACCAATGATTTCTGTCACACCCAAACCCACCACATGCCAGAACGCCATGCACCCTCCCATGTTGCCCAGCACCGTCATTCACAACCCCCGGCTCTCCCAGGTGCCCCCCCGTCCCCATGAGTCGGGATTCGGGATTGGGACTGCGTTGATGCATTTATCTTTATTTTTGCCCCCATCAGAACCCACCGAAGGTCCACGTCATTGCCGTCGTCCTTGAGCAGGAAGTCGGTGCCGTCGTCGCCCTCCTCCGCCCCGCCCTCCTCCTCGTCCTCCCCCGCCAGCTGCTCCATGCTGGCGGACAGCAGGCTCTCCTCGAACTGTGGCAGCAGCAGCGGGCAACGCATGCAGGGGGAGCGGCACGTCACGGTGAGAAAACGGCGGTACCCGTGACAAGGTGTCTCTCAGCGCCTTCCCATTGTTTGACGACAATCACGTCCATCATGTCTAACGGAGGATGTGCAAGGTGCCCGACAGCCAAGCCTGGCAACTAAGATGACCATCCTCATAATGACCCCACACGCTGCCACACCCTCGCCCGCGGCCCCACCTGCGTGTACGCGTCGTAGATGAGCGAGAAGTCGTGCACCGTGATGACGGAGCACAGCCCCTCCTCGTACACGTCGCGCGCCTTCTCAAACATGCTGCGGCGGATGTAGTAGTCCGCGAGGGAGGTCCACAGACGACCAACCTGCAGCAATGCAGCATGCGTGGTGCGGGGGCAGGGGCACAAGGCGGCAAAAAGCGGTCATCAACACCGTCCTCGGTTGCTCTCCAAGCGCCAAGCTCGGTATGCGCTACATTGCCTCCAACCAAACCCACCCAGTCCACGACGCTGCTCGCATCCCTGCAACCGTCCCGCATAAGCCAAACCTACACGTCCTCTCACATCCAACACCCGCCTCACCTCATCCGTGAAGCGGCGGATGCCTCCCCGGATGATCGCGTCCACCCGCATGCCCGCCACCTCCTTGGGGTGCTTCGTCACGATGTCGCACAGCTCCAGCCACAGCGTGTGCTTGCTCTTGCCCTCCAGCGAGCGGAACGTGTCGTCGTTCAGCAGCTCGGCCAGCTTGCGAGCGGCCTCGCCCCAGCAGCCCTGCAGGAGAGAAGGTGAAGGCGAGGTGGATGAACGAGAGCGGGTGGATGGGTGGATAGCTGGATGGGAGCCATATTCATGCTGTTGCCCAAGCAACGCTAAGAGCTCCGCGCCGGAGTCCCATGCACTGCGCGGCGCTTGGCCCAGCAAAGCCATCTCGCCGGTGTGATGTTGCCCAGCGCTTTTGCTGCCGCCTGCGTCATTACCCGGCGCCCTCACCGCCCCCGTGCAGCCAGCGGCCGACCAGCACAGCGCCCCCCGCCCCCGCCCACCTTGGCTTTGAGGTAGGCCACGTACTCCTCCGCATGCGTGGGCTCCAGCTTGAGGTAGCGCCGGTACAGCCGTACGGCCGTCTCCACCGGGATGCCGGGGGTGTGGATGAATTTCTGTAGGGTAGAGGGCATGCGCATGCAGCGGGGCAAGGGTGCGACTGGTAAAAAGGATGCATGGTCGCCCCACAGGGATTCCTCGGCAACCAGGACCCAAGACATCCCGCTGCAGCATCACAACAGCTGGTGGCCCTCTTCCACTACCACTGCACCCCATTCCTTCTGCCCCTGGGATTACATTGGACTACATTGCTTCGCTCCTTTTTCCTTTTCCCCACTCCACCCTGCCCGCAGCCTCTCCCTCACCAGGTACAGCTGCCAGACGCGGTCGTGCTGCGTGATGGGCAGCGAGGCCAGCGCGCGGTCAAAGGTGCGCCGCGTGCGTGTCACCAGCCGCTGCTCCATCAGCAGCTGCAGGTAGTCCAGCCAGATGCGCGGCATCTTGTGCATGGACACCAGCGACCGCTCAAACGTGTTGTTCAGCGCCTCGTAGGCAGAGTGGTCCGGCCGCAAGCCGCGAACCGCTAGGCGCCGCTCGGAGAGGTAGCCGTACCAGAGCTGCGCGCGCGGGGCAGTGGTAGGGGCGGGGGTGCAGGGTATGGGGCGGAGGGAAGTGGGGGAGGAAGGATTGGACGTAGTAACGGTGTGATGGGGCTGCGAGGCCAGACGGGTGGCTATGAAATAGACCCACGTCCTTGAGATGTTGCGTGTGAGGGGGAGTGTGGTGGCATGGATGCGCAACGAAAGCGAACGTTTGAGCATTCTCGAGTTAATGGTTTTTTAGTGGCGCCGACAGTTTGTGCATTTACTGGCCAGATGTGGTTACATACACCATATGCCAGCTGCTGAATGCACGCCCTCCAATACCCCAACCCTATGACGGCAGGGGACATGGCTACTACGGGCCCCCGGGGCTCTGGGTGGCTGGCGTACAGGGAGAGGCACAGCTCTGTTCCCGTGCTGGTGTAGGGGACCACCTGTGCGTGCTCAGGTTCCCTTCGTGACTGCTGTTCACCTACTAGTTGCCACCGCATCTGGGCCCCTCTCCCGCTCCCAGAGTTCATATGCTTGTGGGATTTGTGGTAAACCTTACTGCCGGGCTTTGTACCTATTAGATCGCCAAAATGCGAGCAGGCTTTCGCTAGGACTGCTTGCAATTTAACGGTGCCGGCATACCTTGTAGCTTCCTGGCAAAGCCCGAAGAGCTCGCTCGTATAGCAGGTATCTCCGTTTGGGGCTCGCCTCTGTGCGAGCCTGGATGTAACGAAGCCACATTTTCAAGTTGTACGGGTTCCGGGCCAGCTCCTCCTCATACAGCAGGTCCTCCTGCTGTGGAAGAAGATCCTCCATGGCCCGCAACTGCGCGTTTGACGCCACGACTGCCATGCCGCCCTACTGCTTGCCGGCGGCCGAAGCCGCCCAGCAATGATAAAGCTTTAGGTATCCAGAGTAAGCTAAAGCATGCCAAACGGGCTAACGGGACGCAAACAAGGGATCGACCCCAAGCTATCGTGAGCGCTGAGTACTGTTTGGCTACTGCAGACAATTGTAAATGCAGCAAAATATACTGTATGTACACAGTGCAAATAAAAAGCTATACTTCAGTACAAAAGTATGCCTTCTTTGGCTAAGGCTCTCTAACTGACGTCGTTCAGACTGCAGTTCCATCTGCTGCATTAAAAGTTCCATCCAACGATGAAAACTTAGCTTCTTATTTCCCATGGTTTTGTAAGCTGTGTAGCTACTGGGGGCGCTGGTGGCGTTTGCTGGAGACCTACGGTTCGGGAGGACATGCCGACCATTACCCTGCAGGTGCATCCCAGGAACGGGGCACACGGACGATATGTGTTACATGACGTTGCTCAAGGGCGGACACTATCTTGTTACTTCTTCTTGACATGTTGCCCCGGAGCAGCCATGTCATGACACATGCCGACACCCCTCACTTGCACCCACCATGGCTTTTCCAAGCATGGAATTGCCATGCCTTCCCCCCTTTATCCCGAGTCATCAATTCAGGCTACATGCAGGAGCCGCACCCATACATCTTTCTTTACCCTCCTCCTTCCCTTCCCCCACGCCAGGTGGGCCAGTGCGGCAACCAAGTAGGCCAGGCCCTCTTCGAGCGCCTGGCAGCACAGTCCGCCTTCGCCTCCACCTCCAACACCCTCTCCTCCTCCTCCTCCGGCGCATCCACCGCCGCCACCAGCACTGCCACGCACCTCGACTGCGCTGCGGCCGACAACGAGGTCTTTCGTACAGGCCCCGACGGCCGCCGTCGCGCGCGCTGCCTGCTGATCGACACGGAGCCCAAGGTGGTGAATGGCGTGCTGGCGGCGGACCGGCAGGGGCTGTTCAGCAGGCAGCAGTGCTACCTGGGGCAGGTGCGGGGCTGGAGGCTGGAGGGTGCGGGGGAGGAGCTTGGAGGGTGTAAGGGCTGGAGGGGGGTATCGCGCTGCCTGGAAGGTATACCTGGGATCAACGCAGCTTAGGAGGTAGGGTAGCGTGCTTATAGCGGCTTGGAAGCAACACGGGTACGATCTAAGCACTGGGCGTGCGGACCATGCAACGAGTTACAAGGTCTTCTTGTTCTGCTGTGGACTTGCATGCCTTACCAACACGCCCCATTCCTCGCCCACATCACTTTCCCACTTGCCCACTTTCCCACCAGTCCGGCCGCGGCAACAACTGGGCTTTCGGCTACAACCAGCTCAACAACTCCTCCTCCTCCGCCTCAGCCACACCCTACGGCAAACCAGCCACCGCCCCGTCCACCGCCACTCCCCCCTGGCGCCCCGGCGGCGGCCCCACAGCGCTGGGTCCCGCCTGGGTCTCCTCCACCGCCACCGAGGACCCCTCCCAACAGGAATTCCGGATCCTGGATCAAGTGTACGACGGGATTCGCCGCGAGGCCGAGGAGGCGGACGGCTGCCCCAACTTCCTGCTCATTCACTCGCTTGCCGGCGGCTCCGGATCCGGCATGGGCAGCCGCATTTTGGAGCACCTGCGAGCCAACTACCCGCTGTCGTACATCGCGGCTGCTTCGGTGGCGCCGCGGGCTGCGGGCGACACGCCCATGCAGAGCCTGAACGCGGTGATGTCGCTGTCGTTCCTGCAGGCGTATGCGGATGTGGTGATGCTGTTCAGCAACCAGGTACGGGAGGGCTGCGGGTACGGCTGGGAATATGGCTGCTGAAAAACTGCTACGGGATAGGGAAAGGCCGTGCAACTCGTACTGCATGCAACCCAACTTGAAGTGCGGCCCTCTTCCCTTCGCACCCGTGCAACCCGCCCACCGCATCCCCCCTCCTGTCCTCAGGACCTGATGGATGCCTTTCAGCGCCCCGCCGTCGCCCCGCTGCTGCCCGGCGGCTCTGAGCAGGGAGGCGCAGGTACGGCAGCCGGCAGCAGCGGGGGCGGCGGCGGTGCGGGCGGCGGCCTGGCTGCGCTGAATCGGCTGGTGGCGCACAACTTGGTGGGGTGGCTGTGGCCGCTGGATGCGGCGGATGCGCTGGGGGGGGTGGGGCGCATCCGGGACACGGTGAGTGGGGGAAAGAAGAATACCCAAGAGTGGGTGGATGTCGTGGTGTTGCTGTGTTGGGGTTCTTACTTCTTAGCTTGGGAGGACGTATGAAACGGCGAAAGGCCCATGTCGGGCGGGGCTTGCAAAGCTGCCATGAGGCCATACAGTAGACCTCCATTCTGGCTAGGTGACACCGCTAGGCCTAGGCCGTTCTCTGTGAGCGGCTGTTGCTGCCTGCACGCCCGCAGGTCGCCACAGTGGCCGCGGACCCCTGCAGCAAGCTGCTGGAGACGTGGACGGTGCACTGCCACCCCAACGTGCCTGTCAGCGCGCTGTGGGCGGACTCGCTGCGCAGCCTGGGCGCGCTCATGCCGCGGAGCGACCCGCTCAGGGGCGGACGACACATCACCACGGCAGGCGAGTGTGTCTGCACGCACAGGTGCCGGCCTTGCGAGCACCGCCTGCCTGCCTGCCGCTGGCCAAGAGGATGAAGGAATGGGAAGCAACATTATGTAAAAGGAGGGGTCCGAGGAGGAACAGAGAGGGCTCGGCAAGAAGTGGAAAGAATATCCTGCGTGGCCGTGTCGCCTTGCTTCATGACATTGATCTATTACTGCACCGGTGCAAGCCAAGCATCCGCACCCGCACCCGCCTCCACCCGCAGGTGCTCTGCTGCTGGCCCGGGGCTACCCCCCCGCTGCCGTACCGCCGCCGGGCGGTGCCAGTGGCGGCGGTGCGGGCGCCCACTCATCGCTGCTGTCCGCCTACATGCGCTCGCTGGGGCCGCACGGCGCGGCGCCCAGCCTGGCGCCCGATGCCAGTCTGGTGCTGCGGTGCGGGCAGGCGGCGCTGTGGAGGGAACCGCGGCGGGGGGCAGCAGGGGCGGGGACGGCGGGAGCCTCGGGCGGAGCGGGGGCAACTACCGGCAAGGCGTCTGGTGGGTTTGACCAAGGGCCGTTGGTGGGGGGTAGCAGAGCAACGGGGACGCAGGCGAAACGGCTGTACAGGAATCAGCAGCATGATTGCACTGTCCGGTTGCAGGACGAGGCAGTGAGGCGGCGGGGCCGGGGGGGGGGGTTGTCCACAGCTGATCAGCACTCAGGCACGGGCGCACATTGACATCCCCCCCTTCCGCGCCCCCCTTCCCACTCGCCCTCTGCTGCTGTGTTGCTGGCAGCGGCGGGCGCTGCGGCCCCCAGCCTGACTGCGGTGTGCAACCGCTCCAGCGTCATCGGGCTGCTGGAGGACACGGTGGCGCGGGCGCTGGCGCTGTGCGACGCGGGAGCCTACCTGCACTGGTGCGCGGTGGGGGCGGCGGGAAGCCTGCGCAGTCGATGAGGGGAAGGGGACCGGGCTAGGCACTGGGGTGGCGGGGATGGGTTGTTAGGGCATGAGCACTCCTGTGGCTGGTCATTTCCCTTGCCCTTGTTCACTGTGGGCGATAGTAAGTAGGAGGGTGCGCTGCAGGCGGCCTGGGTGAGTGGTTTAGAGCACCCACTCATGTTGGGGCCCGGCCGCCTGTGTTGGACTGTTGGTGCTACAGCCTTGCTGGCCTTGCAGCCCAGGGAAACCAACTCCTTTGCAACCGGCATGTTCGATATAGCTCCTTTTCACCCGGCTTCCCGCCGGCCCTGCAGGTATGCTCGCCATGGCTGCAGCGGCCATGCAGTGCGTGAGGCCGCTCGCGTGCTGCTGGACGTGGCAGACTGCTACCGACAAACGCACCGGTTACCGCCGGGGGAGTACGATGTACCGTAAGCCACCCTGGATCGCCCGGAAGGGACGTATAGCATTATGCGTTTATGACACGTGCTTGAGGATTAGTGCATGTGCTTAGGCGTCAGCGTTGTTATGCGCGGAGCCCAAGATAGTCGTACTGAAGTTGGGTACACTCTTTCCCGTTTTACCTGGGGGTGTATGGCAAACCAGGGTACAGTGACGCAATGTGACATGCAACATACCTGTTTTCCGCCAATGAGACTGTATAGCTGGGTAACACGTCTCTGGTGAAGGTCGTATGTTGCATATGCGCCGTGTATGGGCAAGGTGTTGGTGTCAACCCGTTCGCATGCCATGTGCAAGGCGGGCTATCTAGTGACACACCTTACGCAAAGCTCGAGCTGGGTTTGAACAGCCATGCGTAGTCCCATTCAGGCTAGCGATCCCATTAAACGGGCCCCACAAACCCGCTTCCAGTGCGCGAGGTCCCCCAGCGTGCAACCATCGCGCATGTCGACGCGTGTGAGCGACTTCCTGCCCCCAAGAGAGCACTATGCAATCTGGTACGAAGGACACGGTCGAATTAGCAAAATTGCTCAAACGACGTTTGTAGGCGCAAGCAAAAGCAGTGTCCAGGACCGCACGCGGACTCATCACAAAACTTCGGAATCTCTGGCACCCTCAGCATAAACGCAACAGACTGGTGTGACAAGCGGGCTATGGAGTGCAAAGCAGCCGGGTGCTGCAAGACAGCATACATGTGTAAGCTATGGCCGACTTAGAGCGTTAATGCCCTAACAATATGAAAAATGTTACATGTAACATTCCGAGAGCTAGCGGACAGGCAGAGAGGCTTCCGTTGAGCGGGGGAACCGGATTCCGTTGGATTGGATCCACTTAGATCCGGTAGGGAAGGTAGCTAGATGCTTTGCGCTCCCTCTGCAAGGCAGTCTTCTTTTATATGGTAACTCAGCTACCCCTACGGGAAGCCATTGCTTTGTTGTACACTCTACTGTATGCCTACGGGTTTCCTGCAAGGTTGCCCGTTTCACCGCCGACCATTTATAGTTACAGTAGTTACAGTTTCTATGCCACGAAGTTAGGGCAAGTAAACATCTTGTGGCAGTAAGGAGTCTTGTTCAGCTGTCACTACCATGAGTTCCAAACTTCGCCTTGGCAAGGGAACGCGCTCTAATGCGGTAATAAGCAGTTGAAAGACTCTATTTAGCAGGCAATTTAACTCGCCCAAGCTGTGCACACGAGCGCGCTGGCGAGCCATCCTTGCATTTCTCGTTTGCGCTCAGGGGCTAAGCGAGAGGGACCAAATTGAACTAGCCATCGCTCTGTCACTACAACAGCAGCAGCAGCAACAGCCTGGAGATGCGACTGTCCATCCTCCTTCCGGGGCACATGTCGACCCAACGGTTGTCGGTCCGACTGCGGTACCTCCACACGGTGGCCAAGTTCAGGATGCTCCCAGGGCCAAGCGTGCTGCATCATCTTGTCGGAAGTTTACGCTGGAGGTGAGAAGCAACCAGTTGCCAATCTCTAAAGCTGCTGCACGTACACGTGATTCGGCATCTCAAGCACGCGCCTTTCCGTGCAGGATAGCGACAGCGATGCAGGGGACGATGCCGACCAAGGTGCGGACGACTACGAGCCTGAACCAAGCAGCAGTTGCTCAGATGAGGACAGTGGCAGCGATTTTGAGGGCGAAGAAAGCGAGGATGAACGCCCCAAGAAGAAGCGCAAGCCCCCGGTAAGCGTCAAGGGGACAAAGGGGGCCCGTTGTTGGCAGCGCCAAAAGGCCCGCTTCCAAATGTGCTGGGAATACCTATCGGCTGCAATCCTTTCGCATCTGGTATTATACAGGCGGCTGGCGGGAAGAAGGCTGCTGCAAAGGCTCCAGCAGGTGCAAAGCCGAAGGGAGCTGGGAAGAAGACTGCAGCCACCGCCGCAGGCAACCGAGTAGGCAAAAACCCTGGTACGGTTCCAGAAAACGCCAAGACATCTCGCGCTGCTGTTGGCAAGGCCTCTGCTGCTGTCGCAGCGCGCACGTCGAAAAGCGACGGCCCCGAACCCCACAGCGCACCAGCAGCGCCGCCGGTCGCGGCGCCCCATGGTCACGCCGCAACTACAACCCGTGCCGCACCCCAGCAACGCGGTGCGCCGCAAATGACCATGCAACGTGCTGGCGGTGACGACGACGTCAAGGACACTAAGCCGCGCGGCTTGGGTGTGGGACAGCTTGGGCTTAGCAGTGCAGACCCTGGACCGTCTGCCGCCGATGAGCCCGGCGACGCAGAGCCTTCTCCGAAAGGGGACTCGCACGAGGCGGCCGAGGAGGATGAGAAGCCCAAGGCGAGGCCCGTCAAGGCCACCGCGGCCGCCCGACCCCTCCCCAAGGCGCCATCAGCATCATCCGCGCTAGCAGCTAGCAAAGCATCCAACCAGGTGGGTGGCTCATGGCCAATAATCAGGTAGTGACTCGGCCGGCCGTTTCTGTGCACAGGCTGCTGATGCACATGTGCGGCGTTATCCGTTTACCATTACGCGTGTCCTCTCCTCTATCCACAGGCTGCTGCTGCAGCGCCCAGACCGGCGCCAAAGCCCCTAAACTCTGTCAACAGGACCAGCTTGGGCGCCGCGGCGGCTGCGGCGCCCTTCAAGCCACCCATTCCTTCCGCTGGTGGGTGCAGCTTGGGAGCAATGGGAAACCCTACAAGGTTTGGGCATGCGACAACCATACAAGGCATCATGGCACGCGTTTATCCCCTCTCCTCTACTCTTGCCGTGTACAGGAGGTGCCGCCAACGGCACTGGCATCAAGCTTCCCACTCCGTTGACGACCGGCGCCGTGGCGTACCGTGTTCCTGGACTGCGGCGCCCAAGCAGTGCAAGCAAACGGTGACACGTTTTATTGGCTGTCCAGCGGTCATGAACGCCCGGTGTCCATCATGTTATGGGGTTTCCTGTAGGGCGTGATTAACGTGCTTGGCCTATTACCGGTAGATAATAGTTGTTTATAACTGGCGCCTGAACCTAAGGCGCCGGCGTGGGTTTGCATAATGATTGCAGGAGTGTTCTTGTGTGAAGGGAAGCATGGTTCATATGGGTCTCGGAGCGATACGGCATTTCCCGCGAAGCTTCCATGCCATGAATCCAGAAAAACAATGCCTTTTCCCGTTAAGGGAAATTTGACGTTACCCGTTAGCAATATAGTAAACAGAAAGAATGGCACAAGAGCTCATCGCGCGGGGCGACCGCCTGTTTGTTGAGGAGGACTATGAGGGTGCAGCAAATGCCTATACCGAGGTGTGTACTTAGTTCTTAGTTGACACGGGCTATTCCGGCCTTTATAAACCGCTTTTGTCTTGATATGGCAGGCCCTACTGGTAGATCCTTCTAATGCTCGCGTCTATGAGGCGCGCGCTAACGCGTACATCAAGTTGGAACAGTATTCCGAAGCGAATGCGGACGCAACAAAGGCTCTGGAGCTGTCTCCTAGCCTGGCCAAAGCCTACTTGCGAAAAGGGTACGGATTGTGGCACATCATTTCTGCTGCGCCGCGGCCGGCTGGACTCAAATGACCCATGTCGTTTATCTAGGGTTGCGCTGTTTAACATGGAGGAGTACGAAGCCGCGAAGGAGGCTTTTGAGGCTGGTTACCAACTAGCGCCTGACAACACCTTCCGAACATGGATCCGTAAATGTGATGCGGAGCTCGATGGTGCGGAGGGGAAACGGGTCGTGGGATCCAGGTTCGCGGGCAGGTCCAGCCGCCGAGGAGCGCGTTTACCCTTGCTGCAACGTTCGCATAGACAGAAGCATGTGTTTTACCATGGCCCGCATGCCCTAAAGACTGTAGGCAGCTATTGTACTTTGTACACCTGGGAAAGGGCCCCTGCCTGGCGCCCCTGCTTGCAGAGGAGGCGGCGTCAATGCCCCAGGCCTCCAAGCCGGACGCCCCCGCAGCACCCCAGCCTTCCCCTGCAGCCACTACCGCCCCTGCCGCTGAGCCGCAGTCCCAGCCGCAACCCCAACTCCCACCACAGCCAGAGGAGCCAGCACCCGCTGCTGCCGCCCCACAGCCGCCCAGCGAGGGTCCCAGCACCACCACCTCAGCACCCGCCGCCCCCACCTCCGTGGCAGGCCCGGCCGCCGCCGGCTGCTCCGCGGCGCCGCTGGCCCCCGCCGCCGCGCCCGCCTTCAGCGGCAAGTACCGCCACCAGCACTACCAGCTGTCCAACAAGGTGACGCTGGACGTGTACGCCAAGAAGCTGCGGCGGGAGCAGGTGGCGGTGGAGTTCGGGGAGAGCCACCTCGCGGTGCGCATCGTGGACGCGGAGGGGCAGGAGGAGTACCTGCTGGACACGGACCTGTACGGCAAGGTAGAAGGGGATGTGGAAAAGTAGATGAGAAGCGCAGCAGGGAAGGGGGGTAGATACAGGGGGGAGGGGAGGGGAAGGACGGGTCCGACTGTCGCCGGAGGGGCGTGTGAGGGGTTGCGGCGAGAGGGGGTGATGAGGTTGAGGCGAGGGGCGGGCCAGGAGCGACTGCCGTTGCGCAGACGAGTTCCCATTGCACAAAGGGCGAACGTCGCTGGCTTTTGCGCCGAAGCCGGCGCCGCTATACCTTCCAGCTCCCACCTGCCGCTGTCGCCCTTTACACCTACCTACTGCCCGCCTGGTGTCCCCGCTCACCGCCCCACCCACCCTGCCCCCGCCAGATCGTTCCCTCCCAGTGCAAGTACGAGGTGCTCAGCACCAAGGTGGAGATCACCATGGTGAAGGCCGACCAGCTGCAGTGGGTGAGTACTGTGGGCGGGGTTGACCTCCCTGGGGTGTGCGGAGCGAGCCGGAAGACATGTCTCCTGGTGTTGTAGAGCGCCTCGCATATTGAGCTGACCTGCCATTCCTCCCTGGCAATCCAATCGTAAGCTGTCATCCCTCGTCCCGCCCCCACCGGCGCCCCAGGCCTCCCTCGAAAAGAGCGACAAGGTAGCCCCCGCCAACTACAGCACTCCGGGCACCGATGCGCCGCGGCAGTACCCCTCCACCAAGCAGAAGGACTGGAGCAAGGTGGAGTCGGAGCTCAAGGTGCGGCAGCGGGGGCAGCGGGGTGCAGTGGGAGGCAGGGGGTTGCAGGGAGCGGCAGTGCGTAGCCCGGGTAGTCCCAGCTTCCTCATGCGCCCAACCTCAATACGCAGGACATCTTCACAAACCCACCTCCCCTGCCCTCATATGCCCCCTTTTTCCTTCCCTGCTTCCCTTCCCTGCCTCACCCTCCCTGCCTCACCCTCCCTGCTTCTCAGGAGCTGGAGCAGAAGGGCGAACTGGACATGGGCGACCCGCTGAACAACTTCTTCAAGAAGATCTTCTCGCAGGGCGACGAGGACACCCGGCGCGCCATGATGAAGTCCTTCGTGGAGAGCAACGGCACCGTGCTGTCCACCAACTGGAACGAGGTGGGCAAGAAGAAGGTGGAGTGCACGCCGCCGGAGGGCATGGAGGTGCGCAAGTGGGAGGCGTGAGAGGGAGGGGGCGGGACGGGGGCGGCGAGGGGGTTTAAGTAGGAAACTGACGAGCTGTATGCGAGGAGGGGGTGGTGAGGTAACCGGGGCGAGCCTGTTGGGTGCGGCTTGACGGCACGGGGAGCGGGGCGGTGGGGATGGGAGTAGGGTTTAGCGTAGTGGCCTTGCAGGATTTGGGTTGCGGAGAAGGTTGAACGCATTGATGGATGTACCCGTTTGCAGTTAGTTGCTGCGGCGCTTGAAGTCCCATGGCAGGGAGGCCGGGGAGCTTCGTTGGGCGGATGGTGGGCTGTTCGTAGAATCTACATGGGCGGGCAGCTGGGAGCGATGCGGGGGTTCTTCAGTGTGAAAGGATGCTGCACATTGGGAAGGGTTGCAGTGTGCGCCATCACAGGGGCTACGAGTTATCATCAGGGGGCTGCGAAGTACTGAGGCACTGGGCGTGGGTGTGTAGCAGCGGATGGATTGTGAATGCGGACCCAGCTGCCGGAGGGTATTGTTGCAGGGGGGTGTGCAGGGAGCGATGCGTGGGAGTGAGGTGAGGTTGCGATTTTGCTGATGTGGTGTGTGCGGGTGTAGACGTGATGGCGCGCTTTGTCGGTGCAAGGTCGCGCAGTTTGGATGCGTGGAATATTGGAAGGCCGGATTCAACATGGCACCATTCTTTTACAATACGGTCCTATGTATTTCGAGGTCAACACGCCAGGACTACAGCCCCTCAGTTGTTATCTCCAGACACAACGCCAATGCCGCAATGGAATCTCTCTGCATGCAATACCCCACACAAGAGCGTATCGTTTAGCGAAACCAACCATACCTCCCTAATCGTGCTAATACGAACATGATTAACAACAAACAGCTTTGGTCCAGCAATCGATATGAAATAAATAACATGTGCGCAATGGGTTTGCCGGCGTCCCGCGAGATCTGCCAACCCACCTACAAACCGCTTCTTACCCCGAATGCAACACCGGTGCCTGGATGCAATGAGCGGGTGGGTACCTGCATGTGGCGTCCATGGCAGGTCTCTCCCTCCTCCCGGCTCCAGTACTTGGCACATGCGTCAAGGTGAACGTGCGAGGCACATTGGCACCGCGTCGACAGTTCCTTTTTGTTGCTTTCTTCAATTCTATGTGTGTGGGCATGCTCCTATGCTATGGTCACAGCCAACAAGATACGGTACTACACCTAAGCCCCGGCACCACCCGACCGACCAACCAACCAACAGCAAAGCCTCTAGCAACAACAGCAGCAGCAGCACACATGCGACAACAACACTCACAAATCCAGGTCCTCATTCGCGCACAGGTGCTCCCCAGCCCCGCTGGATTGCGCACCGCTCCCCTGCCCCTGCTGCTGCTGCGCCTGCTGCATGAACTGCTGCGCCTGCTGCACTTGCGCTTGCAGCTGCTCCACAGTAGCACTACCCGGGTACCCGCCCACGCTGTGCGTATTGGCTGCTGCATGTGCCGCCGAGAGACCGTACTGTTGTTGTTGTTGTTGCTGCTGCTGCTGTTGCCATGCTTGTTGCTGCTGCTGCTGTTGGTGCTGCGCCAGGAACTGCGACACCTGCAACTGAGCCGCCGCATGTTGCTGCTGCTGCTGCAACCCCGCGGCAAACATAGCCGCCTGCGCCGCCGCGCCGTAGCCCCCCGCCCCGCCACCCGTGCCGATGCCCATCTGCATGGACAGCATCATGGCGGCGAGTTGCTGGTGCTGCTGCGCACTCAGACCGCCCCACAACCCGCCGTTAGGTCCCGAGTTCGAACCGCCGCCAGCACCGCTCGACGCTCCTGCAGCCCCCGCCGCGGCCCCCGCTGCACCGTCCATCCCGATCCCGCCGATGCCCCCGAACCCCCCCACTCCGTTAAACACAGGACCCGACCGCGACCACGCTCCCGTCAGCAGCCGGGATCGCTCCTCCCGCGCCTGCCGCTCCATGGCCTCGAGTCGCGCCCACCTCTCCCGCACCTCCGGGTTCGCCACCCCTCCCGCACCTGCACCTGCCGCCGCGCCCGCTGCTCCCACATCCCCGACCGCTACCCCACCTCCCGCCCCAGCTGCTGCTGCCGCAGCCGCTGCAGCTGCCGAGCCCAGGGCAGAGGTAGGTGCCCAGGATGACACCAGGCCGCCCCCGGCGGTGGCGCCTCCAGGCGCCATGCTAGCAGGCAGGAAGCTCTGAATGCCGCCCAACACGGGGCCGGGGAGCTTCCCACCAGCGCCGGCAGCACCGCCCATTCCTCCTGCCCCCGCAGGTCCCGCCGCTCCGAACAACGGGCCACCTGCCCCTCCATGCAGCAACGACCCCAGGCCGCCGAAACCGCCGGACGCCAGCTTGTGCAGCTGCGCCTGCGCCGCCGCCGCAGCAGCGGCGCTGGCTGCGGCCTGCTCCTGCTGCCGCTGCAACATTTGCTCCCGGTGCTTGGCAACCGAAGCCAGGGAGCGGCAGGCGGGGTAGGCGGGGTCACGGTCTCGCCCGCGGCCTGAGGCGGAACGGTGTGCGTTAGCGGGCGGCGGCGGCCGGGGGTGAGGCAGCGCCGCCGGCTCCTCAGACCCATCACGACCGCCGCCGCCGCCGTTCCCGTTGCCGCCAACTAGGTCGCCCAGATCGCAGGCTGCTGGGTCGGCGTCTGCCGCGACTTGTTGCAGCTGTAGCTGCAGCTGCAACTGCAGGTCGTCTGGGTGCTGCTGCTGCTGCTGCTGCTGCCGCTGCAGGAGTTGTTGCAGGGGGGCGCCGGACTGCTTGCTGGCGCGCAGGCTGACCAGGGCCACCCGCATGTTGGGTGGCATGGCGGCCTCCAGCGGGTAGGGCCGCCGCTCGCGAATGCAGCAGCGGGGGCACCTGCGGCAGGAGGGGGAAGGGGGGTGCAGTGTGAACCAGTGCAGGGAGGGCTATGTCTCTATGAGGAAATCACCACCCATGCAGCATCGGATGCAGCAGCAGCCCAGTTGCCAACCCCAGGAGTGCACCCCTCCCCCGACCCGCCACCCACGCACCCCTTGGGCGGTGTTTAGTACCCCACCAAGAAAATCAACTCACCTAAAATCCGTGGGCACATATCTCGACCTGCCTCCAGCGCCAGCACCCCCTCTTCCGCGCCCTCGGCCCCGGCCACCTCCCCTTCCTCCTCCACCACCCCCTCCCCTTCCACCTCCCTCCTCCTCATCCTCGTCATCATCCGCCGCCACAGCAGCCGACGACGGCGGCCGCCGCAGCCCCACACAACTAAAGTGATACCACTCCTCACAGTAATCACACCCCAGCATCGGCTCGTCCTCGTCGTACAACCTGCGACACAAGCAGTACACCGACGACACCTCCAGCAGCCGCTCCACCTCCTTCTCCAACAGCACCGGCAACCGCGCGGCCACCTGCACATGCGCTCGAGCTCGCGACAGCAGCTGCTGCAGCTCCGGCCCCACCACCTCCCGGCCCGCAGCGGCCCGCAACTCCCGCATGAGTGTGGCGCACGTGTCCAGCCAGTCGCGAGCGGCGGTGTGGTGTGCGAGCAGGGTGGTGAGGAGCGGGTCGGCGGGCGGCAGGTCAGCTGCGTCGGCCTCGGTGAGGAGGCGGGTGAGGACGTCCATGGAGAATCTGGAGGGGAGGGGCAGAGGGGCGGGTGAAAGAGGAAAGGAGGGAGGGAGGGAGGTAATGAGGAAACGACTACCGGGTACGTTTTGGGAGCGTGCGTGGGTACATGGATGGGATGAATGCATGCGGGAAGGCGAGAAGGTCCCTCTCCTCCTACCATTCCCCGCCCTCCCAGCACTCCACCCACTTGGCTCCCTCTGCTGCTCCGCCCTCCGCTCCCTCCTTGCTGCCTGCTCCGCCCTCGCCCCCAGCACTCCCCGCCTCCGCCGCTGCTGCCACCGCCCGCACCAGCGGCGCCGCCCGGCTCCTCCACGCCTCCTGCCGCAGCAGCGACAGCGCCGCGTCCGCCACCTCCCCCGCATCCAGCTCGCACACACAGCCCTGCTTCACCACCTCACGCACGCAGCGAGCAGACACGGCAAGCGCCGCAGCGGAGGGTACGGCAGCTCGCCGAGCCGGGGCGGCTGCTGAGGAGGGTTGCTGCTGAGGAGGAGGAGGAGGAGGTGGTGGCAACCTGGCCTGCTCCGCTCGGTGCTGTGCCACCAGGTTTTCATGCAGGACCAGCAAGCGACGGGCGGAGGCCTGTGGGATGGGGGGGACAGGAAGAGGTGAAGCGACGACCCCAGCGTGAGACCAGTGCATGGGTTAGTGCGCAGCATGCATGAAAACTTAGGGCTGCATGGCGACGTGTCCGTTGGCTCTCTTTCCTCACCCGCTTCCCTCCCCCAACCTCCCTGCCCCCCCTCCCTCCCCCCCTCCTGCCCCCCCCTACCTCCCAGCGCCGGTAGTCCCGCAGCGCCCTCCGCAGCTGCGCCTCCTCCGGCGGCTGCACCCGCAGCTGCGCCGCCTCCCCCAGCAGCTCCTCCAGCTGGGAGGGGGAGGGGCGCCGAGTGCGGCGGAACCTGCGGGGGGGGGGGCAGGGGGCAGGTGGGGGGTTAGAGGTGTGAGGCAGGGGGCAGGGGGGGAGTAGGGGGAAAAGGTGTGAGGCAGGTAGGAGACTGGCAGCCAGACCGAAATGAGGAAGGGCGTGAGACGGGCAGAGGTGGAGGAGGGGCGTGCAAGGGGGGAACTGCAATTTGCTCACTGCTTGTGAAGGGCTACTAGAAGAGTCGGTGCAAGCCCGCCCCTCCACCCGCCCACTCTACCTCGTGCAGTACGTCTCCAGCTGCTCCATGCGCTGCCCCGACGTCACCGCCGAGCACACCGGACACGACCAGCGCTTGGCCGCCCGTGCTGCCGCCGTACTCATGCCCACGCACTTGTGGTGGAAGATGTCGCCGCAACCGTCGCACTGCAGCAGCGCGTCCTCCGTGCCCGCGGTACTCTGACACAGGCACAGCAGCGGAGGCGGATGGCCGCCGCCGCCGCGGGGCAGCCCCAGCGCCGCCAGCGTCTCCGCGGGTAGGTTCTGGGGCTGCAGCAGCGCCAAAGCAGCCGGCGGCAGGGCGGCTGCGGCGGCGGCGCCGCCGCCGCCGCCAGCGGTGCCCCCGGCTGCACCCGGTGTTCGGGAGCGTGTAAAGCCGCCGCCGGCAGCAGCAGCCGCAACGTCATAGCCGCTGGAACTGCCCCGCCGCCGGCCCGCTGCCGCGCCCTCACATCCGTCCCACTCCATCTGATCAACACCCGCCTCACCTCCCCTTCCTTGCCCCTCCTCCCCTCCACCCACCTCCTTCCCATCCCCCACCGCCCCTCCCCCTCCCCCTCCGGCTCCCGCCACCACCTCCCTCACCGCCTCCAGCCGCACCAACCCCCCAAGCGCCAGCGCCACCGTCGCAGCAAGCGCATGCAGGGCCTTATCCAGCTGCGGCGCCGACCCGCGCCGCACCAGCGTCCTCCTCAGCCGCTCCTGCCACTCCTCCGCCGCCCCCAACGCCGCCTCCGCCTCCTCCACCAGCCGACCATCCAGCTGCAGGTCAACCGGCGAGTCACGCGCCTCCTCTAACGCCTCTTGGAGCTCCTCCGGTGAGGGACGCACCGCCCGGGCTCGCTGCAACCCCGACCCCGCCCCTGCCCCCACGTTCCCATCAGCGGCGGTAGCATGATGCCGTACGAGATACCTCCCCTCCTCCGCATGCTCCTCCTCCTCATCCTCCTCCTCGTCTCGTTCCTCCTCTCCGTTGCCGGTCCAGCAGCCTGTCAGCATGGCCTGCAGCCTGCCCTGCCGCGCACCCAGCTCCGCCATCAGCGCCTCCAGTGTCACCAACACATCTGGGGCCAGCGGCAGCTCCAGCCCCCGCTCGCGCCACTCCACCACCTCCGCCGCACTCAACGCACCCCCGCCGCCGTCCCCGTCATCGTACTCCCCCCCGTGCCCCCCATGCGCAGCCGCCGCTGCTGCAGCCCGCGCGATGGCCAGCCGCTGCATGGCCCGCATCTCGAAGCCAGTGGCCTCCACCACGGCTTCCGACAGCGCAGCACGCAGCGAGGGATCCACCGGAAGGTGAAGAGCCGCGGCCCGATCGAGCGCGCTGCGAGCGGCCTTGAGCGGCGCGCGAGGGGCGGCGGCGGCGGCAGCAGCCCGCCGGGCGGCGGCCTCGGCTGCTGCTGCAGCGGCGGCGGCGGCCTTGGAGGCTTTGGAGCGGGCTGACGCCGCCGCGGCTGCGGCGGCTGCGGCGGTGTCCCCACCGGCTTGGCGCTGAGAGGGTGTGCCTTCCTGGTCGGCAGCGTCCGGCTGCTGCTGCTGCTCCACCTTTTCGTAGGAACCGGCAGGTCCCGCCTCCGCCGCCGCCGCAGCAGCCACCATTGCCAGCGCTGCCGCCGCCTCCGCCTCCGCGCCCTCCGCCGCTGCCGCCTCCGCTGCCGCTGCAGCTGCCTCCGCTGCTGCGGCCTCCAGCGGCGCAAACACCCGTGCGAACGTGGAGCGAACCTGCGGAAGAGGCCGTAAGCACCATCACCACCATTAGCATGCGTCCATCAAGGCCCTCTCCAACCACCTTAACCACCAACTGTACCACCCCTACTACCCTTACCTCCCCAAGCATACCAGTGATACCACCCACCCTCCCTCTCCCTCCCCCTCCCGCCCCCCTCACCAGGTTGTTCCACCGCACCGCCTCCAGCCACAGCCGCAGCCGCCCCGCCTCAGGCAGCTGCAAACCCAGCGACAGACCCGACCCAAGCAGCTCCGCCGCCTCCGCCTCCGCCGCCGCGCCGCACCCCGGCGCCGCCGCCAGCACCGCCGCCACTCGCCGCCGCCAGTCGTCCGCCGCGTGCAGCAGCTGCCGCAGTCGCCCCACCGGACGAGCCGGCAGACAGCGCGCCGCGAAGCCCAGTGCAGCCGCCTCCGCCAGCGCGGTTTCCAGCTCGGAGGTGGGGGGCATCTCGCCGGCGTCGATGTCCGCTAGCAGCCGCTCTGGGGGGGGTTTGGGAGGGGGGTCGGGAGGGGGGTCGGGAGGGGGGTTGGGAGGGAGGTTGGGAGGGGGGTTGGGAGGGGGGTTGGGAGGGGGGTCGGGAGGGGGGTTGGGAGGGGGGTCGGGAGGGGGGTTGGGAGCGAGGTTGGGAGGGGGGTCGGGAGGGGGGTTGGGAGGGGGGTCGGGAGGGGGGTTGGGAGCGAGGTTGGGAGGGGGGTCAGGAGGGGGTTGGGAGGGGGATTGGGAGGGGGGTCGGGAGGGGGGTTGGGAGCGAGGTTGGGAGGGGGGTCGGGAGGGGGGTTGGGAGGGGGGTCGGGAGGGGGGTTGGGAGCGAGGTTGGGAGGGGGGTCGGGAGGGGGGTTGGGAGGGGGGTTGGGAGGGGGGTCGGGAGGGGGGTTGGGAGCGAGGTTGGGAGGGGGGTTGGGAGGGGGGTTGGGAGGGGGGTCGGGAGGGGGGTTGGGAGCGAGGTTGGGAGGGGGGTCGGGAGGGGGGTTGGGAGGGGGGTTGGGAGGGGGGTTGGGTGGGGGGTCGGGAGGGGGGTCGGGAGGGGGGTCGGGAGGGGGGTTGGGAGGGGGGTTGGGAGGGGGGTTGGGAGGGTTGGAGACAGTGGTGAAGAAGGGAGGTTATTGTGGTGGTTAGGAAAGCAGCCGAATCGAGGAGTATCGTCAGGTGTAGAAGGAAGGGTGGGACCTACCAGCGCTCCCTCCGTCCATGATCGTCTCCCTGCCACCTCCCTGCCCCACCCCACCCCTCACACCCCACCTGCCGCCGCCCCCCAGCTCCTCGCCCCCTCCAGCAGCCGCCCCACCACCGCCAGCCGATCCAACCGCAGCCCCAGCCGCTGCCCCTCTCCCACCAGCTCCTCAAGCTCGCGCATAGAGGCGGGCGGTCGCCGACCCCCCCGAGCAACCCGCTGCTGCTGCTGGTGGTGCTGCTGCTGCTGCTCAGGCTGCTGCTCTGACTCCTCCTCCTCCTCGCTTTCATCCTCCTCTTTACTAACCTCCACATCCTCCTCCTCCTTCTTTACGAATTCTTCAAGTACTGTGCCAGCGAAAATGGCCCGCAGATCTTCATAAAACTGGGCCTCCTCCTTTTTCATCTCCTCGCTCTTCCCTCCTCCCTCCACCTCCTGCTGCTGCCCTCGACGCCGCCCCTTCTTCTCCCTCCTCCCCTCCTTCCTCCCTTCCCTCTCCCCCTCCTCCTCCGCCTCCTCCTCCCCCCCAGTCGGAAGCTCCCCAGGCAGCGCCAACAGCGCCTCAACCCTCCTGTCCCACCGCCGAGCCGCCACCACCCGCCCCCGCAGCTGCTCGTACACCTCCCCGCCCTGTGCGCCCATCACCGCCGCCTCCTCCAGCACCTCCGCCAGACCATGCAGAGTGGCCTTGTGCGGGGCAGCCAGCAGCCGCCGGGCGCCCTCCTCCCACTCGCGACGGCGAATGGCCTGACGCAGGCCCTCCGCCTCCGGCATCTCAACACCCATGCGCTCGCCTGGGGGGGCGGGGGACGTGCGCGGGGAGGTAGGGTGGTGAGAGGCAGCGGCGAGGCGGCAAGGCAATGGAGGGCTTCAGCGGCTGCCAGTATTGTTGCCAGGCAGCAGGGGTGCACCGCGGGGAGGGTACACAGTTACAAACACAGCCTCCCCCCCTCACCCTCTCCCCCTCCCCTCACCCCCCTCCCCTGCCTTATCCCTCAGTCAGTTAGTTGTTTCCTCTTTACCTCCCCTCACCCCCTCCCCTCACCCGCATGCAGCAGCAGCCGCATCTCCCGCAGCGGCGGCTGGGGCTGCGCCGCCCGCGCCTCCGCCGCCCGCCGCAGCCACTGCGAGGCGCGGCCCAGCAGCTCCCGCACCTGCCGCAGCTCGGGCAGGTACACCTGGGGGGAGGGGGGGGGGGAGGGGGGGAGGTGGATAACGGAGGCCTGGCAGGTATGGAAAAGCGTACGTAAGAGGAGACGTCAGGATTCAGAGGCAGGTTCCCAAAGCACACAACATGGCTGCTTGAAGCCCCGTAGCCTGCCATGCCAAAATGCGTTCTTCACCCGCTCCCCTCCCTCTCACCCTGATCCCCGCCGCCGCCTCCGCACACTCCCTCAGCTGCTGCAGCGGCACCTTCGCCCGCAGACAGCCCTTGGCCACCGAGCTGGCCGCCTCCGCCCGCTCCAGCAGCGCCCCCAGCCCCGCCGCCTCCGGCACCGCCACCCGCACCGCCCCCAGCTGCTGCTGCAGCTGCCGCAGCTGAGCCAGCGTGGGCAGCTCCTCCTCCGCCTCCTCCTCACCACCCTCCTCTACGACCTCCTCACCACCCCTCTCCGACTGCTCCGGCTTGTCCCCCTCCTTGTCCCCCTCCTTGTCCCCCTCCTTGGCGCTCACCCCACCCGCAGCCGCACCCTCCTCCGCAGCACCCGCAGCAGACCCATCCCGCTCCTCCGCAGCAGCCCCCCTGTCCGCAGACCCCTCCGAGGCCGTCTCATCCCCACGGGACGCCTCCTCCCTCTCCTCCGTCTGCCGCCCACTCCCAGCACCCCCAGCCTCCTCCACTCCCGCTGCTGCTACACCTGCCACGTCTCCCACTGCTGCCCCTCCCACTGCCCCTCCTGCCGCCCCAAGAGGTCGTTCCGGTGAGGGCGGCCGAGCCCCCCGGCGAGCCGCCGCCGCCGCCGCCCTGCCTGAGGCGCCGCTTCTGGCCGCTGCCGCCGCCGCCGCCGCCCGGGCCTGAGCTCGCGCGTGCGGCGCCATCAGGCTGCGTGCGGTGAGCGCCAGGTTGCGGGCGGTGGCGAGGCGGGCGCGCAGGTCGGGCAGCTCCGGCAGGTCCACAGGGAGCTGGGAGGCCTGAGGGGGGGAGGGGGGAAGGGGGTGGAGAGAAGGAAAAGGTGGGATGGGGTGGGGGGTGCGAGAAGGAGGTGAGGCAGGTGGAAGCAAGGCAGGACAAGTGGTAGAGTTCGGGTGTGTGTTAAGATAACTGGCCGCGAGGCGAAACGTACGTTCGGGTGTGTTAATCAAACTGGCCGCGAGTAGGAACGTACTGGGATGTTCGGGTGTGTGTGTAGGCAGGCGGACAAGGCAGCAGGCAACAGCCATGTAGACCCAAGCGGACCCATCCGCGCCACCCCTTCCCCTCCCCAACCTATCCCCTCCTCACCTCCGCCACTAGCTCCTCCAGTGCAGCCAGCGCCACCACCCGCTCCTCCCGACCTCCTCCACTACTGCCCCCTCCTCCTGCTCCCTCTTCTCCGCTGCCTCCTGCCCCTCCTCCGCCCCCCACCAGCGCCCCGCAGCGCTCCCTCCACGCCACCGCCGCCGCATGCAGCTCCCGCAGCCCCGGCAGCTGCGGCGCCTGCAGCGGCGGCGGCTGCCAAGCCAGCACCTCCGACAGCGACCGCAGCGAGGGGCGGGCGCCCGGCTGCACGCAGCAGCACACCTGCTGCCACCACTGCTGAGCGCGGAGGAGCTCGGAGTGCGTGCGTCTGAGGGGGGTGGGTGGGGGTTGGGTGGGTGGGTGGTGAGGTGAGGACTGGGTGAGGGGGAAGGGCATGCAAGACACGGCGCGCGGAGACGAGGGGATAGGGCGAGAGAGGGCTGCGGCGAAAGGGACCAGATGCGGCTCTTGGCTGGAACTACCGTTACAGGACCAGGAAGCCACACGCGGGTGCTGGCAGCAATGCGCTGCAAGCGTTGCACGCATCATACAGCCCCAGTCCCGCCCCGCGTCCCTCCACCTCATCAACCGCCAACCCCCACCCCACCCCCACCCACCTGGCCTCGTCCACCCCCTCACCCGCCCACAGGAACTGCTCCGCCCCCCGCAGCGCCGCCGCCAGCTGCTCGGGGGACCCGCCCGCCCCCTCTCCTAAGGTGGAGGAGGAGGCGGAGCTGCCACCCTCGGCCCTCCCCGCCCCCTCTCCTGAGGAGGAGGAGGAGGAGCCGCTCCCCGCCAGCAGCGCCCGCGCTGAGGCCACCCAGGCGGCACAGGCAGCGGCGTGGAGGGAGATCACCTGGACAGGGCGAGGGTGGGGGAAGGGAGAGGAGGAAACAGGGGCGGAAGCGGTTAGGGGCGGGGCGGAGCAAGGGGGTGACGCAGGGTGGTGGCGGCGGGGTCTGCAGGGCTAGCGAGAGAGGCTAGCGAGGAAGCTGCCGTACACAGCGCATGCGGTTGCGGCGGAGAGGGGAGGAGGGCCCCAGTGGGGAGGCGCCCTACCCCACCCGCCATCCTGGGTGTCAGTAGGGACCGCTAACCACCAATTTTCCTTCCGGCCCCCTGCCGCCTCCTATCCTCATTTTGCTTTGCCCCTTACTCATGGTTTCGTATGTCTAGGACTGGTCTTTAACCCCCCCTCCTCCTCCTCCTCCTCCTCCTCCTCCTCACCTGACCAAGGCTGGCCCCCTGCTGCCCCTTCGCCTCCGCCACCTCCTTGCCGTCACCCGCACCCGCACTCGCACTCGGGCCTGCATGGGACACCAGTTCACAAACCCCGCCTCCGCCTCCGCCGCTGTTACAGCCGGGGACCTCGGCGCCGTCCATTTCCGGTTGCTTCCCCCCGGCCTCGGCCTCGGCCTCGGGCTTCATGTCAGCGGCGGCGGGGGCGAGTACGGTGCCCCCCGCCGCCCCCATGGTCGCCGCCACTGTCGCCGCGGCGTCTGCGTCGCCCGCAGCGGCACCCGGAAGCTGTGCGGCGGGACCGGGGCTGCCGCCGTCGTCGGCGTGTGAGTCGGCAGCGCCGGCGGTGACGGCGTTCGCGGCGTGAGGTGCCCGAGACCGCTGCTGTGGGGGCTCCCCCTCCATTGCCGCTGCAGCGCCCCTAGCCGCCGCCGGCGCCTCCTCCTCTCCACCGGCATCCGAGGTACGACGCCGGGGGACTACGGCATCGGAGCCGTACATGAGGACCGCATCGACCCTGGGCGCCCCCCTGGGTGCTCCTAGAGCGCCGGCATTCAAGCCATCTTGCATCTGCATGGCAGCAGGGGAGGAGTCCGGACGGGACAGAAGTGAATTAGAAAACGCCAAGAGAAATGAAATATATTGCTTCCTTGAAACAGGTGGGCGGCCCCGCTGGAAGTGACATCGGCAGGGAGAGCCGCAGCAGCCGGAGGAGCAGGAGGAACATGCACAGGGACCAGGCCGCCTTACCCCAACCCAGCCCAAGCTGCATCACCACCCACCCACCCACCCCCGCGCGGTCCCAATCCCACCTCCTCCCAATCTCGCACAGTGGTCCGATACACCATGCGGCGAGCAGCCGGCGCGCAGCCGCACAACGCCGCCGCATGCGTCGCACACGCGAACCGCCCCGGGCAGCAATCGCACTCCACCGCTGTCAGGAACAGCAGCGCACGACACGTCACACAACTGTCGTACTCATCAGGACCGCCTCCGCCTCCGCCGCCGGCGGCAGCAGCGTCTTCCACAGCGTCGTCGTCGTCGTGGTCAACAACATCATCATCATCGTCAGCAGCAGCAGCAGCAGCAGCTACGCCGCCGTCATGATGGTGCTCCTCATCTTCTTCCTCATTCGGCGGGGACAGGGAGGCCAGGCTGCTATGGCGGGTAGCTGCTGCTGCAATGGCGCCGCTGGATGTCCCCCTGCTGCCGCCGGCGCCTCTCCGAGCGGCGGCGGAGGCGCAGGACGACGCGAGGGCGAGTAGGTCCGCCACCGCGGAGTCCGTGGAGGGCCGCGGAGACCTGCGCCGTCGGGTGCTGAGGCCAGCGCGGCCGCCGCCGTTGGCTGCAGCAATGAGGGTGCTGTTGTCGGCGGTGTTGTTGTTGTCGTTGCTGGAGGGGTTGCTGCTGTTGCGGGGGTTGTTGGCGGTTGGCAGTTGGGCGGTTGGCGGCCGCATGCTGCGTGTGCTTGCGGGCACTTGGCGGCTGCGGACCACACCTGCGGGAGGCGGAAGGGGGGAACGTGATACGTGCAGCAACTGGAGTCCCAATCCAATATCCCAACTCATGCAGTGAGCGCGGAAGGGGGGAGGAAGCCATGCAGGGTGATTCAGGGTTCCACTTGCCGATCCACCACCACTGTGTACCGTATTCTACCCACGACGGAGATAGCAGCCACACAGGTTCAAGGCCCCAACCGCACCACCAGCCTCTCGTCTGCCCCCACCCAGTACCTTCTCCCCGCACAGCTCCCCCCCTTGTCCCAGCCCCCCTCCCCTCCCTGCCATACCCTGCCCCCACAGTTCCAACCGGGTCTCCAGTGTCCCCGCGGTGAGCCACAACAGGTGCGTCCCCAGCGCCAAGGACAGCTCCCGAGTGGGTTTGGCAGCCGCCATGAGCCGCACCACCAGTTCATGGTAGCTGAACAGCTGCGCGGGGGAAGGAGGTGAGGAGGGGCTGGCGTTAGGGGGTTTGGCGGGACGACAGAAGTGGAGGGAGGGAGGAGGGTTGCAGATGTGTGGAGGGTGAGAGGGAGTTGCGGGTCGGGACGGGACACGGCTTGCCAGGCCTGACTAGACCGCAACAACGCCGGGGGGGGGCTCGCAGCTCCTTTCCGACCTCACATCTCCCCACACCCCCGCCCCCGTTACCCCAGGGCACCCTAACCCACCCGTACACACCCATACACATATCACACCTCCAGACCCCCGCACTCTCCCCCCTCACCGGCTGCCTGAGCGCCCGGCGATATCGCGCCTCCGCCTCCGTCGCCCAGCCCACCCAGTGCGGCGTCGCGAACCGCACCTCCTCCACCACCCCGAGCCCCGCCGAGAACCCCGCCATGCAGGCGCCCGGCCAGCTCACAACCAGCTCCCCCGGCCCCTGTGTCACCCCGTACACGGTCACACGCGCACGCATGAGGGCGCGGGGACTCAGCATGACGGGTGCCGCTGCGGGTGCTGCTGCTGCCAACCCTGCCCTGCCCTCGCTTCCCGCTTGGTGTTGCTGCTGCTGCCTTTGTCGTGCGAAAGTTGACCCCAGCAGATCAGGCAGCGTGGGAGCAGCAGCAGCACCAGCACCAGCATCAGCGGTTTCGGAGCCTGTGGACGCCGAGACTGCACTCGCCTCCCGCATCACCAGCTGCTCAAAGGCCCCCAGGTGCGAGTACGGCACCCCGTAGCAGCGCCGTGGCTCCCCCATGTGCAGGTAGGAGGCGGAGAGCAGCATGTGGTCGGGCAGGTGCCAGGGGGTGGCGGAGAAGAGCATGTTGACGTGCAGCACGGGGGAGGTGAGGCCGGGCAGCGGGAAGGGCAGGTGACCGAGCAGGGAGCCCTGTGGGGGAGGTGGGGGGCAGGGGAGGGAGGGCAGGCGGGGAGAACGGGGGGGGGGGGCGTGGGGGACAGGAAGCGATGTGCGCGGTCAGGTAGCACATTGAGGGCGCTAACAGACCTCCGAAGCACTCAGCGGCAACCATCATGCATGCCTGGCACCATGCAAGCACGCAGCAGCATGCACCTACACACGCTAGCACGCACCACACACGCTAGCACGCACCACACACGCTAGCACGCACCCACACACGCTAGCACGCACCCACACACGCTAGCACGCACCCACACACGCTAGCATGCACCCACACACGCTAGCACGCACCCACACACGCTAGCACGCACCTACACACGCTAGCATGCACCCACACACGCTAGCATGCACCCACACACGCTAGCACGCACCCACACACGCTAGCACGCACCCACACACGCTAGCATGCACCCACACACGCTAGCACGCACCCACACACGCTAGCATGCACCCACACACGCTAGCACGCACCCACACACGCTAGCACGCACCCACACACGCTAGCACGCACCCACACACGCTAGCACGCACCCACACACGCTAGCACGCACCTACACACGCTAGCATGCACCCACACACGCTAGCACGCACCCACACACGCTAGCACGCACCCACACACGCTAGCACGCACCCACACACGCTAGCACGCACCCACACACGCTAGCACGCACCCACACACGCTAGCACGCACCTACACACGCTAGCATGCACCTACACACGCTAGCACGCACCCACACACGCTAGCATGCACCCACACACGCTAGCACGCACCCACACACGCTAGCATGCACCCACACACGCTAGCACGCACCCACACACGCTAGCACGCACCCACACACGCTAGCACGCACCCACACACGCTAGCACGCACCCACACACGCTAGCACGCACCCACACACGCTAGCACGCACCTACACACGCTAGCATGCACCCACACACGCTAGCACGCACCCACACACGCTAGCATGCACCCACACACGCTAGCACGCACCCACACACGCTAGCACGCACCCACACACGCTAGCACGCACCCACACACGCTAGCACGCACCACACACGCTAGCACGCACCCACACACGCTAGCACGCACCCACACACGCTAGCACGCACCCACACACGCTAGCATGCACCCACACACGCTAGCACGCACCCACACACGCTAGCACGCACCTACACACGCTAGCATGCACCCACACACGCTAGCATGCACCCACACACGCTAGCACGCACCCACACACGCTAGCACGCACCCACACACGCTAGCATGCACCCACACACGCTAGCACGCACCCACACACGCTAGCATGCACCCACACACGCTAGCACGCACCCACACACGCTAGCACGCACCCACACACGCTAGCACGCACCCACACACGCTAGCACGCACCCACACACGCTAGCACGCACCCACACACGCTAGCATGCACCCACACACGCTAGCACGCACCCACACACGCTAGCACGCACCCACACACGCTAGCACGCACCCACACACGCTAGCACGCACCCACACACGCTAGCACGCACCCACACACGCTAGCACGCACCTACACACGCTAGCATGCACCTACACACGCTAGCACGCACCCACACACGCTAGCATGCACCCACACACGCTAGCACGCACCCACACACGCTAGCATGCACCCACACACGCTAGCACGCACCCACACACGCTAGCACGCACCCACACACGCTAGCACGCACCCACACACGCTAGCACGCACCCACACACGCTAGCACGCACCCACACACGCTAGCACGCACCCACACACGCTAGCACGCACCCACACACGCTAGCACGCACCCACACACGCTAGCACGCACCCACACACGCTAGCACGCACCCACACACGCTAGCACGCACCCACACACGCTAGCACGCACCCACACACGCTAGCACGCACCCACACACGCTAGCACGCACCCACACACGCTAGCATGCACCCACACACGCTAGCATGCACCCACACACGCTAGCATGCACCCACACACGCTAGCATGCACCCACACACGCTAGCATGCACCCACACACGCTAGCATGCACCCACACACGCTAGCATGCACCCACACACGCTAGCATGCACCCACACACTAGCATGCACCCACACACGCTAGCATGCACCCACACACGCTAGCATGCACCCACACACGCTAGCATGCACCCACACACGCTAGCATGCACCCACACACGCTAGCATGCACCCACACACGCTAGCATGCACCCACACACGCTAGCATGCACCCACACACGCTAGCATGCACCCACACACGCTAGCATGCACCCACACACGCTAGCATGCACCCACACACGCTAGCATGCACCCACACACGCTAGCATGCACCCACACACGCTAGCATGCACCCACACACGCTAGCATGCACCCACACACGCTAGCATGCACCCACACACGCTAGCATGCACCCACACACGCTAGCATGCACCCACACACGCTAGCATGCACCCACACACGCTAGCATGCACCCACACACGCTAGCATGCACCCACACACGCTAGCATGCACCCACACACGCTAGCATGCACCCACACACGCTAGCATGCACCCACACACGCTAGCATGCACCCACACACGCTAGCATGCACCCACACACGCTAGCATGCACCCACACACGCTAGCATGCACCCACACACGCTAGCATGCACCCACACACGCTAGCATGCACCCACACACGCTAGCATGCACCCACACACGCTAGCATGCACCCACACACGCTAGCATGCACCCACACACGCTAGCATGCACCCACACACGCTAGCATGCACCCACACACGCTAGCACTGCACCCACACACGCTAGCATGCACCCACACACGCTAGCATGCACCCACACACGCTAGCATGCACCCACACACGCTAGCATGCACCCACACACGCTAGCATGCACCCACACACGCTAGCATGCACCCACACACGCTAGCATGCACCCACACACGCTAGCATGCACCCACACACGCTAGCATGCACCCACACACGCTAGCATGCACCCACACACGCTAGCATGCACCCACACACGCTAGCATGCACCCACACACGCTAGCATGCACCCACACACGCTAGCATGCACCCACACACGCTAGCATGCACCCACACACGCTAGCATGCACCCACACACGCTAGCATGCACCCACACACGCTAGCATGCACCCACACACGCTAGCATGCACCCACACACGCTAGCATGCACCCACACACGCTAGCATGCACCCACACACGCTAGCATGCACCAGCATGCCCTCCATGCACGAGTATTTCCTTTACAGTGCCCCCTCACCCCTCACCCCTCGCCTCGCAACCCGCAACCCAGGATGGAGCCGTATCGTATCCTTTGTTCCTTTCTTCCTCTCCACACACCCCCATGCAATGCCCCCTCCACCCTCACGCCGCCCCCCCCCCGCACCTCCAGCTTGGGCAGGTTGTTCAAGTTCCCGGGATGTGCTGCATAGTACGACGAAGCGGACCCGGGCCGCGTGTCGTACCGCGGGAAGCCGCTGCCGTACACCCTGCCGTCCAGCTCCCCCGCCGTCAGCACCTCCACCTGCTCCCCGCCCTCCTCCACGATCCGCCAAAACTCCGCCTCCACCTCCTCCCACCCAAACCGCCGCGACTTGCTCTCCTTGCCCAGGTGCTGCCTCCGAACCTGCATCGCCTGCCGCTCAAACTCCGCAAACCGCAGCTCCCCGCCCTCCTCCGCGCGCGCTGCCGCCTCCTCGCGTGCCCGGCGGCACAGCGGGCACACCCACTCGCCCTCCGGCACGGCTGACAGCGGCGGCGTAAGGCAGAAGAGGTGGAACCCGCGGTCGCAGCGGTCGCACAGCAGGATCTGGTCCTCTCGGTGCCCTCCGCTGCACAGCTCACACACCAGGGTGCTCAGGTCGGTGGCGCCGTCCACGCTGGGGCTGCCGACCGGGGACCCGGGGAAGGGCAGGCGGCTGCCCCCAGGGCCGCGGCCGGCGGCGGAGGACTTGCCGCCGGCGGCAGCAGCGGCGCCCGTGCCCCTCCTGTTGGCTGGGTGCGGGTGTGGGGGCTGCTGCTGCTGGTGTCGGGGTGGTGCTGTGGATGCGGCGGCGGCGGCGGCTAGGGGCTTGGCGCTGAGGGAGCGCGGGCGCTGCTGCTTGCCGCTGAGGGCCGCCGCTCCGGAGAGGGAGGAGCGAGCGGGGGAGGGCAGCGGAGACGCCGGCTGCAAGGGAGGAGGCACACGCGGGAGGTGGGCAGGACGTAGCAGATGGTGCAAGGTAAGACACAACCATACTCATCTATCGCCGCAATCCACGCATCGTTAGCCCGAACCCCTTGGCTTCATTTCACCCACAGTTCCCAGGCCAAACCGCACCCGCACCAGTGCACATGCCCAACGCCAACCCCGCCTTCCCTTCCCCCCATGCAACCACTTACCCTGCCATTACCCAGCCCCTCCCCGCCCGCAGCCCCCGCCCCCATCCGCCGCCGCTTAGCCCCATCCCGCTGCTGCTGCTGCTGCGACGGCGGCGGTGACGTCTCCTGCCAGGCCCGCTCCCCCGCCTCCCACTCCCCCCATGCCCCCGTCTGCGCCTCCCCCGCCTCCCGCTGCCCCTGCCGGCCCATCATCATCTCCAGGATCTCCGCCGCCTCCGCCATCGCCGCCTCCTCCCGCGACTTGAGCTGCTTCTTCAGCCGCCGCGACTGCGCCTGATACAGCGGGTGCTCAGGGTTCTGTCCGTACCGCCGCAGCAGCTCCTCCTGCTCCCGATGCAGCTCCTGCTCCCGCTGCCGGCCGCGCTCGCGCTCATCCGCGGCGCCGCCCCGCTCGGCGGCGCGCTTGGCGGCAGCGGCGAGCAGGTGCTGGTCGCGCTGCTTGTGAGCAGCAGCGGCGGCGGCGGCGGAGGCGGCAGCGGGCCGGGGTTCGGGCGAGTCGTCGCCACGTCTGGGTCGCTGCCTCTGCCGCTGCGGCCGGGAGTAGGCGGGTGGGGTCGGGGAGGTGCCGCTGCCGCCGCCGTTGGTGGTGGTGGTGGTGGGAGCTGCAGCAGCGGCGGCAGCCTCGGGGGGCCCGTCGCTGGGCCCGGCGGTGTTGCCGCCGCCGACGTCGGGCCTGGGGAGCTTTCTGGCGTCGTTGGGATCCGGCGAGTCCCCGGGTTGGGCCTGCGGGTCCTGATCCAAGCCCGCCGTCTCACGTCTGCGTTTTGTCCTGCCCTGCGCCTCTGCGTGGTGCTGCTGCTGGGAGGGCTGCGAGGGCTGCTGAGGTGACTGGGCGTCCGCTGCGGTGGATGCCTCAGACAGCACTGCTGGCAGCGCAAGCGGAGAGGGCGGCTCCGGCTTGCCAGCAGGCTTGGGCTGCTGCTGCTGCTCGCCGCCCTCAGGTTCCTCCTCAAGCCCCGGCTGACTGAGCTGTCCAGCCGCCTCCGCCTCAGCCTTCACCGCAGCCATGGCTGCAGCAGCAGCGCCGGTGCCGTTCTTCCAGTCCTCGTAAGGCAGAAGGTGCCTGACGTAGAGCTGACGCATGCCGTAAGCCACGCTGGTCTGGCCCTTCTCCGGTATCTGCGAGCAAGCAAAAATAACCGAGAAAGCACGTAAGGAGGCATGGAGAGGACAATTGCGGACAGAGAGCGCTGGACTAGTTGACCACAGCCATTGAGCCATGCGAGTCGACGTTGTCCCGTCTCTTGTAAGGTTTCGATTACCAGTCGCACCTGCAGGGACTTGGCAACTTCCTTCCATCGCTTCTGCTCGGTGACCAGCTCGTAGCCACCACGCCGCTTTACAGCACGGTATAACACGAAGATGTCGATGTCCTTGCCCAGGAACTGCGGATACTTCCACTTGCAGAGCTGCTTGCCATGCGACTGAAGGAACCTATCATAGTCCTCGTAAAAGTCCAAATGGGACGGCTGAAAGTCGCGGTGCTGCAGCTCGTGGACCTTTTGTATGCGAGTAGGAAACTTGAGCCCGGAGAGGTCGAGAGCGCACGGCGGCTTCCAGCTGTTGGGCGGCACAATCTTGCAAATGCCATAAGGCTCTGCTATTGGCCGTATGGACTCAAGATAGCGCAACGGAGACTTCCATTCATCCTCCGTTGGCCAGAACGTAGGAGCAGCCGGGACATTCAGGAGGGCGGTGCCCTCTTGAGATGATAGGATACCAGACATGATACCTTTGTCAGATTACAGTGGCGTCCGGCTGCAGCCCTTCGGCGGGACGATTGGTCATCGCGGATGCGCGAGTGCTATGTGACAACTTAGCTGGAATACGACAGCACAATATAAAGACGGATTAACAAACTAGAACCATAGCTTGCCGCCTATAGCCGGCGCTTGTTTTTCAATAGCGCAATGACATCGGGGGAGCCGGCGTAGCAAAAGACCTAGCAGGCTACTAGCCAGCTTGTATAGTGTCTATATAATAGGCATGCTTGTGGTTATAAGTTCAGAGTTAGACGAGCTTAGTGTACTAATATCCCATGGTCGGAGCCAACCTTGCCCATGCAGACATAAGATGTACAACTCTGCCCCTGCTGCTAGTAGAACATGCTCATTATCTCACTAGCTCTTCGTTGACACTAGCCGTGAGTGTTCCCAGGCAGCCCTTGAGCAGACGACTCCTTTCAGTTATGGGGCGGTTGCCCCGCAGTCTCAGAGCCTCCACGCTCGCATGGATCAAGGGAAACCTACAAGTAAAAAGCAGAAGTTGACTGGCCTACAAGTTGTGCAGGGTTAGATCCTGGGTGCGAACGACTTGCACCTGCAAAGTCGCGAAATAAGCGCAAACATTCCGGAACCGGGTGAATGCAACGACAATAACACAGGAATGCTTCTTAACTTGCACCTTCGTTTGGGCCGATCGAAGACGCCCCGCAAAACTCCGTCGTGCCTAAGTGTAAAGCACACCCTTCGCCGCAGGTAGTCGTGTCATGCAAGCGTGATGGCGTTATATAGGTTATAGTGAAAGATCCCAGGCATTTCCGATTAGCATGATTCAATCGACAGGTTAGGAGTATGGGCAGTCGTTCGCCTGTTCGTGAGCCACAGTCCAACCGCCAAGCATCGCGATGTTTAAAATGCGTGTAACATTTCCTTCATCAGTTATTTGTAAACTGCGCATCCCACAAAAGTTAGGCGGGCTGACTCCGCAAGGTGGTTGTGTCAGTTGGGGGAGTTTGGGCAAACCTAACTCTCGCATGGACGCTTTGTACGCCAATTAATAGGTATTGGTAGAACTACGCAAGAAACATTGCTCGACTTTCTATTTTGGATTTCTGGCCTTGTGTTGATGTCCCGTCGTGCGGCAGGGCCGCGCGGCGCTCTTGAACCGAAGGTGATATACAAACGCCCGTTACTGTAAGCATGATGGAGCTGTTCTCTACCATGCCACTGGCGTGTGCACCAGGCCACAAAATACCCAGTGCATGTCGGCTAATGTCTAGGTCACCTGTATCGCCACGCTTATCATATGATATCGCGAACCATGAGTGCTAAGCTTAAATTTCCCTCTAAAGCTGTCTGAAAGATGTGCATTAGGCGACCAGTGTCGACGTGTGCCCCTGCTGTTTTGGGCGCGTTGCTGTGTTGGGCGCCCGACGGGGCTATATGACAGGGCACACCACACAGCGTTTCATGTACTCTCTAGAGTTGTATAGCCTGCACAACTTCGTACATGTTAAAGTGTTTCCGGTGGTCGGATTGCCGCTCACATGCTCTTGAGGGCCAACGTAGCTAGCAACCAAGCAATCCGAGTTACGGAACTGCATGCTTCGCGAATTGCCTAATAAATAAACAGCAGTGCAAGAGGTGCCTGCAATCGGGAAACCTGTCAACCTTATCCATTAAATGTGTCTCGCCGTCGCACAGGGAGGGCGCTGCTGCAGTCCTCCGCAGCGCTCACACCCCCTCAGTTCGCTAACCGCTCGCCAACGTCGGCAATCAAGCAACGAATTATAAGTGGGCCAGCCCTGCAATGTCTCTCTCGCCCTCACCCTTCTACATCCCTCACTTAACGCTCGCCTCGTTGCGAACAAGTTCTCAAAACACGCGCCGCTCAACACACACTCAAAGTGCGTTGCTCCGCTGCCAACGGTCTCCACGCAGGCGGACCTCTCAAAACCTCTCACCAGGGTTTCCCTTCCTACCCGTTTCCTCCTCCGCCCAGCGCGCACGAAACACGATCCACGACGTGCCGCCCAGCCAACCCCAAACTGTCGCCTAGCGGAAGCAACTCTCTCTCCCCGCATATAGTACACAAAAGGCGCCTAGAACGCGTGTCAACAGCGAGTGCCTGCGTGCCTACAGGAGCAGCACGCGTGGACTAGCGCTGCCAGTGGGGAATCCCCCGCGCCCCATGCTCCCCCTCGTCGCGTCATCTCAGGCTGTAACCTCCTCAAAGACAATCGTCATACCTCTGCGCCCTCCATACCATTGCTGGAATACGACAAAGCGGAGCGGCCAATCATGCCGCCACACCTACTCTATCGACCTCCCGGAACCAGGAACAGAGGCCCTAACCGAGGCATGTAACCGAGCCAGGAAAGTGCTCGGCCCCACGGAGCCTCAGGGCGCAGGTGCAACCCGCCACGGCGCTTTCTCAGCTCTCAATGCAACGGGCGCTTTTGTTCGTCAACTCAACTCGAACCCCCTCGTGTGGAATGTGTCACGTGGCAGCATCCATCATCCCCAAACGCAACTCAACCTTCTCACTGTCGCTGTCTATCTTTCTCTCTCGGCCTTGCGTGTCTTCCACGCATCAGCCGCAGGCCCCCTGTGAATGCTCCCTCGCATCTTGAAACGGCCACAGTAGGCACGTAGTTACCCCCACCCATTAGCACAACACCCTGTCACGCCCTGCCACGTAGCCTCATCAAAGTCACACAAAACTAGGAGGGATCCGCCTAAACCTCCCTCTCTTCTTTCCCTCTCTACTTCCCTTACATCTTCTCATCTCCCTCCTCAATCTTCCTATTCTCTCTCACATGCCTCCCTCCGCTCCACCACACTTCCCCTCCTCCACCTCCACGCACCCCCGCCTTACGCCCTCACCGCCACCTTCGCCCCCGCGCCCGCCCTCGCCACCTCCGCCGCCACGCTGGGGTTCACCTCGGGCGTGTTCTTCTCCGCAGGCGGCACCAGCTGCCAGAACTTACCCACCATTGCCTCCCAGTTCGCCAGCACCGCACGTGCCTTGGCACTCCCCGTTCGCTCCACATGCGCCTGCACCAGCCCCCGCAGCTGCGCCTCGCCCGCCTGCGTCACCACCCGCTGTACGGCGACAATCTCGGTGTTGACCTTGTCGCAGAAGCTGCCGTCCTCGTCCAGGAAGTACCCCAGGCCGCCCGTCATGCCGGCCGCCACGTTGCGACCCACCGACCCGAGCACCACCACACAGCCTCCCGTCATGTACTCGCAGCAGTGGTCGCCTGCGCCCTCCACAACCGCCTCCGAGAGGGAGTTGCGTACGGCAAACCGCTCGCCGGCACGACCGTTAACGAACAACCGACCGCCGGTTGCGCCGTACAGACAGGTGTTGCCGACCAGGGAGGCTTCCTCAGGCTTGAAGGGGCTGTTGGCGGGCGGCAGGATGACAATCTCGCCGCCGTTCATGCCCTTGCCCACGTAGTCGTTCGCCTCTCCGATGAGCTTCACCTCCAAGCCCTTGACGCAGAAGCAGCCAAAGGACTGTCCGCCGGATCCCGTCAGCGTGATTCGTACCGCGCCCGCGAAGCCGTTGTCTCCGTGGTGCTTCGCAATCACACCCGCCACACGGCCCAGCGCGGAGCGATCCGTGTTGATGATCTCAAACGCCTTCTCCACCACCTCCTCGCGCTGGATCGCGCGCATGACCTCCTCATCCGCCAGGATACGGTCGTCCAGCTGCGGCCCGTTGTCGTGCACCTCCTGGCTGCGTCGGGTGCTTGAGCGACCCGCGGGTCCCGCGTAGGTCGTGAGGAACGACAGGTCCAGCCCATCCGTCTTACCCAGCTTCACCTGCCGCTGGGTCAGCAGGTCCGCGCGGCCGATCACCTCGTCCAAGCTGCGGTACCCCATCGCCGCCAGGCCGGCACGAACCTCCTCCGCAACGAAGTGGAAGTAGTTCACCAGGTCCTCGGGTGCACCCGGGAAGCGAGCGCGCAGCTCCTCCCGCTGCGACGCAACTCCCACGGGGCAGTTGTTGGTGTGGCAGACGCGGGCCATGATGCAGCCGGTTGCAATCATGGCAACCGTGCCGAACCCGAACTCGTCCGCGCCCAGCAGCGCCCCCAGCAGCACATCGCGCCCGTTCCTCACGCCGCCATCCACCCGCAGCACCACCCGCTCCCGCAGCTCGTTGCGGACCAGGGTCTGGTGGGTCTCCGCGAGGCCCATCTCCATGGGCCCGCCGGCGTGCTTGATGGAGGAGATGGGCGAGGCGCCGGTGCCGCCGTCGTGGCCCGACACCTGGATGATGTCGGCGTTGGCCTTGGCGACGCCCGAGGCAACCACACCGATTCCCGCCTCGGCCACCAGCTTGACGCTCACCTTGGCCCGGGGGTTCACCTGGGGGGGCGGGGTGGGGTGGGTGGGTTAGCAGGACGGATTAGGTGGGGTTTAGGATACGGCTTGGGCCGGTTCATCTAAGCGTTTTCCTTAACCTAAACCGTCTCTAAGCCGCCGCGTGGAGGCCATGGCAGCTACCCCACCTTCCCAAACGAATCCATGCCCCCTTCCCACACCTGCTCTCCCCTCCCCGCCCCCCTCACCTGGTGCAGGTCGTAGATGAGCTGCGCCAGGTCCTCAATGGAGTAGATGTCGTGGTGCGGCGGCGGGCTGATCAGCGGCACCCCCGGCTTGGAGCGACGCAGCTGCGCAATGTAGGGCGACACCTTCTGACCCGGCAGCTGCCCGCCCTCGCCCGGCTTGGCACCCTGCGCGATCTTGATCTCCAGCTGGTCCGCGTTCATGATGTACTCGGGCGTGACGCCGAAGCGTCCGGACGCGACCTGCTTGATGCGGCTGGTGGCGGTGTCGCCGTTGCGCAGGCCGCGAAGGTGCGGCAGGGAGGGGGAGCTGCCGGAGGCGGGCTCCACGTCGGTAACCTGCAGCCAGCGGGAGGGGTCCTCGCCGCCCTCGCCGCTGTTGGACTTGCCGCCGATGCGGTTCATGGCGATGGCGATGGTCTCGTGGGTCTCGCGGGAGATGGCGCCGAGGGACATGCCGCCGGTGCAGAAGCGCTCCATGATGGAGGCGGCGGACTCAACCTGGGGGGGAGGAGGGCGGGGAGGGGTGGGGGTTGAGGAGGGGTGGGGGTGGGATGGTAATGAGGAAGCAACCAACGAACCGTGCGGTAAGACGTCCGTCATGGTTTGCGAGGCGGCGAGGCAGGCGAGGTTGGGCGATGGGAAACGAAGGTGTTATTTGTTCACATCATCCTCCAAGCGACAACGCAGGAAAGCCGGCGCTCATGCCGCCCGCGTACCCCTCATGTCCACCACGAGCACACCACTACCCCAACAAGCGCCTCCCATCCCGCCCTACCCCCTTTTACTCCCTCCCCTCCCGCACCTCCTCCACCGGGATGGGCTGCCGGTCGCTCGCAAAGTCCAGGCAGTCTCGCAGCACCGCCACGGGGGCGGTCGCGAAGTGCTGCTGGTAGGCGGCGTATGCGGCGGGGTCGGGGCGGGAGGCGTCGCCCAGCCCGATGGCCTTGTGCAGCAGCTTGGCCATGGTCTGGTTGTTGCTGTGGTACTCACCTGCCCGGGGGGGAGGGAGAGTGGGGGTGAAAGGAAATGAAAAGTGAAGCAGCTGAGGGGAGAGGTGTAGGTGGGAAGGGGCACTCTACCTCGCCTGGTAGGGGAAGCAGCGCAGCGCGTGCAAGGGGTCCCTCACTGCGCGCATGCGGGTGCACCGCACTGGATGGCCCGCACCGCACAAGAGTTGTAATGACGTCATGCTCCCCAACCCCGCCGCACCGCCCCCGCTGCCCCCGCCCCCGCTCACCCTTGGGCTTGGACTGGATGAATCCGTAGTCCTCCAGCTTGCTCATCGCCCGCTCGGGGAATCCCTTGGCCCACAGGCTCTCCGCCTCGCGCTGCAGGTCAGCCAGGCTCATGCCGCCGATGCGGGACACGGTGCCCCTGGGGGGTTGGAGGGGAGGGAGGGGGGGAGGCAGTAGGGAGATGAAGCAGGGTGAAAACAAGGCCAGCGCCAGCGGGCTGTGTCACCGCCGCAACGAACCAACAAGGAAAAGATGCACCGTACATACCTGTCCGCTCAGACCGAGCCTGCTCTCCAAGCCCTCCCTCAGCCACAACAGTAGAATTCCTCCCAACCCAACCCCCGTCCTAACCCTACCCCTTCCGCTCCCACTTCCCCCCGATGTGTTTTTACCCCCCGCGCCCCTTTCCCCGCCCCCCTCCCCCCCCCCACACCTGAAGCACAGCTCCACCACGTCGCGCCCCAGTCCGTACGCCTCGAAGATCTGCGCTCCGTGGTAGCATGACAGCAGGCTGATGCCCATCTTGGACAGGATCTTGAGCACGCCCTTCTCCAGCGACTTCTTGAAGTTCTTCTGGCTGTCCTTCACGCTGATGTCGGGGACCTGGGGGGGAAAGGGGGGGAAGGGAGGGGGCGGAAAGGGGTAAAGGCGGCGTTACTGTACGGCAAGCAGCTCGGGGTTGATTGGACACGTTCGCCATGGAACTCACCGTGCACCCCCCGTGCCCTCCCCGCACCTCCACCAACAACTGCCCCCCAACATCAGCACCACAGCGTCGTCCCTCTGCAGCTCCCCTTGCTCCCCGCCTCCCCCCGTTCCTGGTGACAACCCCACCTTCCCGGCCTTGATCAGGCTCTGCGTGCGGCTGGACAGGCGCCACTGCCGGCTGGTCTCGTAGCCCAGGTAGGGGCAGATCGCATGCGCGCCGAAACCAATCAGCATCGCCGCGTGGTGCGTGGAGAAGCACGTCGCCGTGTCCGCCACGATACTGGTATCCGAACGAAGACATGTACGGATCAGGTGGTGGTGTACGGCACCAACCGCCAACAGCGCGGGAATGGGGGCACGTGCGGGGTCCAAGGCGCCGCTCGCCTCGGGCCGGTCCGACAGTACGACACACTGGCATCCTTCCCGTACCGCCGCCTCCACGTCAGCACACAGCTGCTTGAGGGCGGCCTCCAGGGCGCCAGGGGCGCCCACTTGGAAGAAGAGCTTGAAGGTCTTGGAGCCCAGGACGCTGTCGGAGGCTACGGCCTGCAGCTCGGATTCCAGCAGGATGGGGCTGTCCAGGAGGACCTGCTTGTAGGAGTCCGACCCGGGGGTCAGCAGGTTGCCGCGCGCGCCCAGCCGCATCTCCAGACTCATCACCAGACCCTCACGCAGCGGGTCGATGGGTGGGTTGGTCACCTGGGGGGGGGGGTTTCAGAGACCATACGGTGCCCAAGCACACGGAACAATAAGTAAGGGCAAAGCAATGGGTAGAGAAGGTGTGCGAGGGAGTGTGTGCGTGAATTGAAAGGAGGGAGTTCATGCATGCATGAGGTCAGGGACGAGGTACGGCTCACAGCTGCAACCCCCCTCCTTGTCGTACATCCCCACCTGCGCGAACCGCTGCTTGAAGTAGTTGTACAGCATGTGCGGCTTGTCGGACAGTACGGCAAGCGGGATGTCGTCCCCCATGCAGTAGGTGGGCTCCACGCCCGTCTGCGCCTGCGACTCGACCACCATCTGGGCGTCCTCGGCGCCCATGCCTGGGGGGAAGGGGAGAGGGGAAGGGGTGTAGGGGTTTTAGGGCAAGCTTCACTCTACGCTCCTAAGCTCCCATCCCCACCTCACTCATCCGCCATCATGCCAACCGGTGCTGGTACTTCCCACTTCAACCGATCATGGTCACCGAACTCGATTTTACCCTCTCCCATCCCTCCTCCCCCCGCCCCTCCCCCCCACTCACCCACAGCCGACTGCAGCCTCAGCAGTGTTGCCGAGTCGTACATTGGCTCGTTCAGGAAGGAGGAGTCGCCCAGCTCGCCCAGCCTCCTCAGGCTGGCTGCCAGCCACTGCTGGTAGGGCCGGCGGGCGGCCACCTGGCGACTGATGGCGGCGGTCTCAAGGAAGGAGCCGGACTGCAGGTCGGCGCACACCATCTGGCCTGAGGGGGGGAAGGGGAAGAAAATCCAATGTGTGGTATGAGTAGGAGGGAGGGTAGGGTAGGAGGGGCAGGTGGCACACATGGCATGGCAGGGCATTGTGGTTGGGATCATTGCATGACCGCATGTGAGGCGCACGGAGGGCAAACAGCAGCCCAACGGAGGGCATTGATGGAGGGTGATGATGACCCGGGGGTTGCAGAGACGTGTTGTCGCCACGTCTTAGTAATGCGGCACAGCACGGGGCAGAGGGCTGGCGCATTGTGGTTGAAAGGCGGCGGGTGATTTCGCGTGCACGTGATTCCCACCCGGCACGGACGGTAGCTACCGTGCAAGGTCCCTTGGCTCGCTTCTTCCACTCTCACACTCAAATTGCACATGTTTCTGCTGTTGGGTACATTCGGCTGCAGCCAGCATCGCAGTCACACCCCACCACCACACGGTCAGGGTCAGTGTTTCCGCGGCTCAGTTTATCTAATACCCCACCACCATCCCGCTCAACCCGCTGAACTACCCGTCACTCACCCCCGCCAGTCATCCCTCCCTCTCATCATCCCTTCCCAACCGCTGCCCCCGCCCTGCCCCCCTCCCCTCCCGCTCACCTGGTCCCAGCCGCCCCTTCGCCACCACATTCTCCGCGTTGCTCATCACATCGCCCAGCACGCCCACCTCACTCGCCACGTAGATCATGTCGTCGCGGGTGCGCCAGAAGCGCGCGGGGCGCAGGCCGTTGCGATCCAACCGCGCACCCACCCGCTTGCCGTCGCTGAAGACCAGCAGCGCGGGGCCGTCCCAACCCTCCTGCATACCCTCGTAGAACTCGTAGAAGTCAACGACCTGGGGGAGGGCAGGGTGGGAAAGGGGGAAACTGAATGAAAAGTGCCGCAATTGGAAGAGGGGGGGGGAAGGGAGGGGAGCACCAGGCTGCGGGCAGGGGCGGCCGTGCGGCTGTGGAAGGCGGCGGTTGATGGGCGGGGCCGCAGGAGCAGGGGGAGGAGCGTGCACGTCCGTGTGCTGCGGGGAGACGTGGTGGCAGATGGCTTGTTGCCGCCGCTGCTGCGGCCCATACTCGCAGCGTAGAAGGGTCGTCTTCGGTCCCCCGCGCTCACAGAGCTGCTGCTGCTGCAGGCGCTCATCGGCGGCAGAGACGCTCCACACGCAGGCTGCTGTTGAACCCTGAGACGGCCGAATCCTCCACTTGCTCCTGGAGGCGTGCGTACGGCACACCGGCACCACCTCTCGCCAGGGAGAGGCTGGCGCTGTCGGCTGGGGACGAGTGGGTGGGCAGCTGGCTGGCTGGCTACGTGGCTACAGCCGCAGCACGGGCGCCAGGGGCACCAGCAGCAACAACAGCAACAGCAGCAGCAGCACCGGCGCTACTGCCCCGCGGTGGGAGGCTCGGCACCCGCCTTTGCCTTTTCAGCTGCTTGCTGCCTTCCTTCCTTGCTTGCACGTTCTTCCACTAGCGGACTGACAGCATGCATGGGGACACCTTCCCGCGCTCCTTCTTCCCCCCATTGCCTCCAGTGCCCCAACCCCTTTTCCTCCCCTACCCCTCTCCCCGCCCCTCACCCCCCCAGCCTACCTCGGGGTACTCCTTGACCAGGTCGGGGTGGTTGCGGTACGCCTCCGGAACCAGCAGCATCAGCGCCTCCTGCGGCTCCACCCCGGTCCGCACCAGCAGCTCCGCCACGTTGTCCAGGTTGGCGCTGTCGGACTGGGAGGCGGAGCAGAGCGGCAGCAGCGCCGACTCGCGACCGGACCAGATGGGGTTGGTCAGGTCGTGTTCGCGGGAGGCCACCCAGTTGAGGTTGCCCTGCAGCGTGTTGATCTCGCCTGGGAGGGGGGGGGGCAGGGGAGGGCCGGAGAGGGCAGGAGAGGGGGAGGGGGTGAAGAGAGGAGGAGACGAGGCAAACGGGGAAGAGGAGAAGGGGGTATGGAGGAGGTGAGCTGAACGGTAGGGGAGCGGGCACATGGGCTGGAGTATTGAACTACAGGTATAACCCATGTAATGGGTGGAGAGGCCCGCCGGAAACAGCTGGAGTGCCGCCCCAGGGAGGTATATCTCCCCTCGCTGCGGTTCCCGGCGCCTTACCGTTGTGGCCCAGCACGCGCATGGGCTGCGCCAGGGGCCACTTGGGCGTGGTGTTGGTGGAGAAGCGGCGATGGTAGATGGCGAAGGATGCCTCAAAGTCGGGGTTCTCCAGGTCGCGATAAAAGGTGCCCACGACCGCAGACCGCAGCATGCCCTTGTAGGTGATGGTGCGGTTAGAGAGCGTGCAGATGTAAAAGTCCGGCGCGACATCGGCTGGCAATTCCGCATTCTTAGCCTTCTCCACCAGCTTGCGAACCAGGAAAAGCTCGCGCTCAAGCTCATCGCCAATCTGGCCCTGCTTGCCCTCAATCATAACCTGCCAGATGCGCGGCTCTGTGACCTTGGCAAATCGACCCACAATGCTGTGGTCAACCGGCACCTTGCGCCAGCCCAGCACCTTTACGCCCTCCTTGGCGCAAACATTCTCCAGGATTTGCTTGCACGTTGCCTCCAGCTGGTCGTTGTTGGGAAGGAAGACCATGCCGACGCTGCAAGCAAGCGCGATTCATCATCGAGTGTGAGCTACATAGCGCGATGGTGCAGCTGCGAGGTCGCTTTTTGTACACAGGAAAACGCGCTTAAGTAAATGCACCCGGCTCGCCTACCCGGTGGTGAGCTCGTTCAACTGCGGCATCTCCTTCTTCAGCAACTTCCATGGAATTTGTGTCATAATGCCGGCGCCATCGCCCGAATCATCGTCGGCTGAGCAAGCGCCACGGTGCTCCATACACCCGAGCGCCGTCAGAGCCTGCGCCAAACAAAGTCGCGCATCAGCACGTCGCCCTAACGCCGCCGCGCCCACCGCCGCGTCAAATGGGTCGCACCTGCTTGATAACTGTATGGCTCTGAATGTTCTTCAGGCTGGCAATAAAGCCGACCTGCAAAGGGGCAAGGTCGGGAGACGCTGATTGCTCACTGAATTGCTAGTCGCTGAACAAGATCACACCCAGCGCTTACTCCGCAGGCGTCGCGCTCCTTGAGAATTTCCTCCATTTCTGCCACCTTCGGCTCATAGCTGATATTCGCGGGTACAGGCTCCAGCACCTCAGGCGTCAAGAGGGGCTCGACCGAAGCCCCAGTGGAAATTGCCGCGAGGGGCAAAGCCATCCGGCAAGGAGAAGGCTGGACAGATGAGCTGAGCTTGACATTCTGCAGGAAGGATAATTGAAAGGCTGAGCTGATAAATAGCCCCATTGGTCAAGTAACATGCCCTTGCTGAAACCTACGTCCCTATCGCTTAGGCTGTTTTCAACGGTCTTCAATTGGAGGGTAAACTACGAACCTTTAGCTGTGCCTTGGCGCTGCGGCGAGTTGAGTGGACGCGGGGTGCGGTAGGCACGGCGGGAAGCACCGAACGCTGGCTGCTATCAAGGCGCGAGCTAGCGCGCTGTTGAGCGCGCAGTTGAGTATCCATGTTTTATGCGACTGGTGGGCGTCGGCCCCGATGCAGTTCGCATTAAAAAAGGCGTGGCAACGTTGAACGACTGCAGTTCACTCACGTTTCTCGTACGGTACGGTGTCCATGTGGGTGAGGCGGCTGGCCATGAGAGCACCTCATAGAATGTTTACTATAATCAGAAGGCTGATCTTCCATAAGAAGGACAAGGAGCGGTTCAATCTCTAATTGATGAAAACCCTACTTCCTTCCCATTCGCGGGGGCTGAGTTTAGTTCGTTGAGATTTTTCATTAGGGTTACATGTTAGCCGGGAGAATCCCCTGTGATACCCAGATATATACACGAAGCCGATAGCTTGCTGCAGAGCTTTAAGCCTGATTGCCAACAACAGCTTAACGACAAGCACATCAATCAGAGCCGTGTTGGGGAAGAATACTCGAGGGTAAAGATCATCCATGCGTTCTTACGAGAAATTGGTACTGGTAGCCTTATTCATACTTGTAACACAAAAGACAATACTCGCCCTCACCTTTTCCAAACTTGATGTTCAGGCTGTCCCGTCATACGCATGCATCCAACATGCAAAAAGGATCACACCTTGAGGAATTGGGCACAAAGGGTCACAATGCCCGCACATGATGCATATTACCGGCATGTATCACATTACCAGCATGTACCTGCTTTTCGCGAACAATATTACGAGCCAAGCTTTCACACCTCCGTCTGCTTATCCACCTCGCTCGCACCGTGCTGAACATCCACAAAAGCTCCCCGTTTCCCATCCTCTCGCCACTCCTCTCGCCCTCCATCCTCACACCGTCACCGGCTCACGCTTCGGCACCGCCGCCGCAATGCTCGCCTCGCCCCTCAGCATCGCCGCCGCCCTCTCCGCCACCATCACCGTCGCCGCCGCCGTCTGTCCGCCGGGAATGCGCGGCAGCACGGACGCATCCGCCACACGCAGTCCCTCCACGCCAAACACCTTGAGGTCAGTCGCGCTCACTACGGCCCCCGCGGCGGGCGAGGTGCCCATTGCGCAGCTGCCCACCAGCGCGTTGCCGCTGTGCGCGGTGCGGCGCAGGTAGTCCTCCAGGTCCTGCTCGCTGGAGGCGCGCTCGCCGGGGAATGTCTCCTGTTGGGGGCAGGGAAGGGGGAGGTAAAAGATAAAGAGACGAGGCTGCGAGGGGGGGGAGGCGGGGCTGTGTTGGTGCATCATGCAAATGAGCCGCAGAACGGAGAGGGCATAGGGAGAGCGGGGAATGCAGGAAGGAGGACGCAGAAGGGGTTATGGAAAACACGGGTATGTGTGGTTGTGGACGGGTGTGTTGCAGGGCACATGGTTTGCGGCCCACCTCCTCCAGGTACTTGCGCAGGGGCTCCTGCCGTGCGATGTCCCGCGCCAGCCGCAGCCCGGCCTTCAGGGTGGCCAGGTCCTCGGGGGCGGAGAAGTAGTTGCTGCAGGGGGGGAGGGGGAGAAAGCATCGGTGTGCCGCACAGGGGAGAGGAAGGGAGGGAGACCAAGGGGGGAACGGGGCGAGGAGAGCAGGGTGATGAGTGAGAGTGGGGCAGGCGGGTGAAGGGAGCCCAAAAGGGTGCAGAGGTGCAAAGGGTGCAAGTCGTGCGCATGCAGGCTTGCTGGGAATGGCCGCATATGCCCACGTCCCCGTCTGTTCCGCATCCAGTCTCCCCTCTCACCCCCTCCCCGCCCACCCCCTCCCCGCCCACCCCCTCCCCGCCCACCCCCTCCCTACACACCCCCTCCCCGCACCCACATGTTGATGGCGGGGTTGATGAAGGGGTCAGCCGCCTTGAGACCTGGGGGGGTGGAGGGCGCGGAATCGGGGAAGGTGGGAAATGGTAAGGCAAGCCCGGATGGCATGGCCCCACAGGAATGCCCGGTCTTCGGAACAACAACGCTGGACCCACTGCTCCAGGCTACAAAGAGCTACAAATGCTACATGCACTCGCCCGTGACTCCGCCGCCTCCCTACCTCCCGTCCCAAACCACTGCTGCACCTCCTGTCGCTCCCCCACCCCCCCGAAGCTGTTACTCGCTACCCCCAGCACCACATTATCTACCCCTGTTTCCTCCCCACGAATGCGCTCACTGCATGAGTCGGGATTCGGGATTGGGACTCCGTTGATGCACTTATCTATAATTTGTACCCTCCTCACCGATGCTTCCCCTGCTCTTGGGCCTGATGGCCAGCAGCTGCATGGTGATGCCCCCCGGCCAGGCGCGCCCCTGCTTCTTCAGCTCCCCGAATGCGATGTACGCCTTCACGCCGTCCGGGTCCAGCGCGCAGCCCGGCACGAAGCGGACCTGCAGGTCGGGCTGCTGGGTGGTGGCGGCTGCGGGGGGGAGGGAGGAGGGCGGGGGGGAGGGAGGAGGACGGGGGGCGAAGGAAGGCGGGGGGCGGAGTTAAATGGGGTTAGTAGGGACGGGATGAGGAGGGCGAGAGGCAGAGGGGGAAAGAGGCCGGCTTAGCAGGTCGTTATACAGCAACAAGGAAACCAGGCAAAGAAGCCACTGCGGCGGGAGTGCATGGGGGTGCAAGAGGTGGGTGACCCCTGCGGGCGGGTGCTGGTGGCTGATGAGTCGAGTGCTGTCCGGGAGGCACATGCCCCTCCACCCCCGCCCCACGTTGTGAACATGGTCCGGGAGGCACCAGCGGAGTGCGCTCATGGCTGCCCCCCTCCACCCCGTGTTGTGAACATGGGGGTCAAGATAGACCACAGATAGACCGGGGTGGATGGGGGCGAGCTCACGTCGTCGGCAGACCTCCCAGCGTGCCCCCCGGGTGCAGGTGCGGGTGCGGGTGCAGTGCAGTGCTGTGCGGCCCCACCGCTGCATGCAGAGCAGGTCAGCAGCCGACCCGCTCGCCACTGGGAGCCGGCGAGGGGCGGGACGCGGAAGCGACTCGGGGCACTTGTTGCAAACCCCCTTACCCCACCCCTGCAACCCCCTCACCCGATGTGCGCACGAAGGCTCCGTGGTCGCACCCCGTGGTCGCCAGCGGCCCCCGCCTGCCCAGCAGGTACGCCGCCAGCGCCCCCGGCCGCAGGTTGCAGCGGCTGTCGTATATCTCGGAGGTGACGGACAGCCGCTCGAACTCGGGCTTGGCCCTGGGGGGGAGAGGAGGGGAGGGCGGAGGCGAGGAGGCGGCGGAGTGTTGACGTTGTCGGGCCAGATGCATATGCGATGGGGGAGTATGATAATGGGGAGTAGGGTGGTACAATGGGGAATGCAGGGCAGGTGTTAATAACAGAGTAGGCACTAGTCCCGACTGCCGGATTGGGGGTGGCACGGGGCTGCCCGGTCTGTCCCTCCCCTCCCTGCGCAAATACCCCCTTCTCCACCTCCAGCTCCTCTCCCCGACCCCCTCGACTCTTTCTCCCCCAACCCAATGTAGCAATCCATGGTGAAGCCTTGTCATACAGCTCGTTAGCTTCCTCCCTTTACCCCCGCCCCCCCCACCCCCCCTACCTGGCCGCCAGCACCGCCGCGGGGTGGTCCTGCAGGTTGGCCCCCACCCCCGCCAGATCCGCCACCACCCCCACCCCCTGCTCCCGCAGCGCCGCACCGGGTCCCACCCCGGACAGCATCAGCAGGTGGGGCGTGTGTACGGCTCCCGCGCACATGAGCACTTCGCCGCCCGGGGCCAACTCGGCTGGGAGGGGGAGAGGGGGGGGGGAAACGAGGGAGGTCAACGGTGGTATGGGTTGCGGTAGGCACTCGTGCCGCTCTCTGAGGCTCCTCTGCAAGCGAAGGAGGGCGGGGCAGTGTCGCAGACCACACCCCTGACATCGGAACCCTCTCCCCTTCCCTCCCCAAACCCCTGTCCCCTCCCTCCCCCCCTGCCGCTTCTCACCGCTGTACCGCTCCCCGAACTGCTGCGTTGCAAACTCCACCCCGCGGGTCCGAGCACCGCCAGCGCCCTTCTCAATGTGCACCTTGGTGGTGCGGGCGCCCGTGATTACCTGGGGGTTGGGAGAGGGGCAGGGGGCAGGGGCAGGCGGGTCAGGGAGCGAGCGTGGAAGGGCGATTGACGGACGGCGTCGAGACAGGCGAGTGCAATTTCTTGCCGCCCGCATTCGGACCCTCCGTGCTCCTGTGACAGCATTTCTCTATGCCCTGAAACCGTACTCCTCTCCTCCACCGAACAAACCATTCTTCCTATCGTCCGGCGTAAACAGTCCTATCCGGGTCCTTAGGGGATCTCTGCCACCACCACCCCCACCACCATCGCCCGCCCCTGCCCCACCCCACCCCCGCCCCCGCCCCGCACCTTGAGGTTTCCCCTGCCCATCACCGGCTTGAGGTGGGTGCGGTAGGTGTCCGCTCGCTCGCCCCGCCGCTGCGACACCTGGAACTCACCGTAGCCATCCTGATGGGGGGGGAGGGGAGGCAGGAGAGGAAACAAGCAACTAAATAACCGTGTGATAAGGCTTCATCATGGTTTGTGCATCATGAGGAAGTGGTACCGGTAGGTGTACTAGGAGGTAATGGAGCGGGTGGTTGAGGAGCCGAGCACGGGGACAGGGCGCGTTCGTTTGCATACGTTTTGGTGCCACCGCGCCGCCCCTAACACTGTCACAGCGCGGCCCCTGTTGGTGCGGTTTGAGACACGGTGACCCGCGGGTCGTTCCTCGCCGCACCCACCTGCGGCCTGCTCCAGTCATTGAAGTCCGGGTTGGCCGGTAGCCCGGCTGCCGCGGCGGCGCGGAAGAACTCCTCGTGCAGCGGGTTCTGGTAGCGCGGCTGCTCCACGTGCATGGAGCCGGACTGGCCGTGGTAGGGCTTGGGACCTGGGGCAGGGGGGGAGGCAGGGGGGAAGGCAGGTGGTGGGGCAGGTGGTCTGTCGTGCGTTGCGAATGGTAACTGGGAACAAGCTAGCAAGATGCCAGCATGCCGAGCTCACCCTGCCCGAACCGGGTGGGATGTGTGGGTTGGGATGTGGGAGGGGTTGGTGGGAGAGCAGGTCAGGGGTCAGGGGGCCGGGTATCGCGGCCACGTCAGTCGTACACTCGGCACTCGCAGATGATACACCCGTTTGACCGCCGCTTCCTCACCACGGTTTCCCCCCACGACATTTTAGCACTCCATCGCATCACACCTCCACCCCGCACCATCTTCTACGGTACACTCCCACCCCCATCTCCGCTCCACCTATCCCTCCCTCCCTCCCTCCTCCTGCCACGAAAAGGCGTAACTGCAGACGTCAGGATGGCGGATGCGCGGACTCACACCCTCCTCCCACCCTGACCCCGCCCCCACCCTCGCCCCGCCCCCACCCTCCGCGTAGCACTCCGCCTTCACGAACCAGTCCAGCACCTCGCGACTGCTCCAGCCCGGCAGCCCCCAGCTGTCGTAGTCCGCCGCCGACCCGCGGTTGTACAGCGTGGCGTTGGTGCCGGAGGAGCCGCCCAGCAGCCGCCCGCGGGCCAGGTAGACCTGGGGGGCAGGCAGGGGGGAGGTGAGGTGAGGTGGGGTGGGGTGAGAGGAAGAGCAGGTGGATGGGGTCATGGAGCTGGGGCAGGAGGGCAGGAGGCGGCTCTCCAGGTAGGGGGCCAAGAAGCCGTGTGCAAATCTTGTGGAGCAAGCCACGCTGTTCGGCCGCTTTGCGCATATTTGCTCTAGGCACAAAAAGGGACACGCCCCTCCAGCAACCGCAATACAGCCAGACATAGCCCTCAGCACGCACGCGCGCACGCACGCACCTCCCGCGAGACCAGCTGCTTCTGCGTGAGGGAGGACATGCCCCAGTCCAGCACGGGGTGCGCGAACAGGCGCGTGATGCCGGCGGGGACAGCCACCTCTAGAGCGTCACCGGAGGGACCGGCCTGCACAGGAGCGGAGAAGGGAGTTTTGAGGATAGCCATGGTGAGAATTATGGTGGAGGAGGATTGAAAGTTTGAGGGTGGCCGTCTAACTTGCCTCAAGCACGAGGACCTTCTTCTTGCCGTCTGCGGACAGCTTGTTGGCAAGGACGCAGCCGGCGGTTCCACCACCGACGAGGATGTAGTCATATTTATCAGAATTACTGCCTAATGGCCCAGCCGCTGCCCGCACCGCAACTGGTCGACGTGAAATGCCTATATAATATTAAGTTTATGTTATTGTTCCTCGGCGCCTTCGGGCGCTTAACCGCGTGAGGGGCTTTGTAACCCTTGCAGCAGGTCGTTCAAAGAGCTTACATGCTGGCCGAACGGCTCGGGTACTTGAAACACCGCATTTCGCAGGCGCTCCGATAGGTTTATAGCCAAGCATTGTCGCGCTCTTCAGCGTCGCCTGCTCACTAGTTAACCGCGGCAGTCGGCCGTCGGCGGTCGACGACTGTTCGAATCAAGAGATTCTCTCTTAACTTTAGCAAACTTACAAAGCCGTACACAAATTAGCAAGAGCTGTGGAAGGAATAGCTGCAATTAAGGAGCCGAAAACGTAAGCGACAAACAACTAGCAGATGCCGTGCAGATCTTCCAGATACTGCGCGTGCCCTTTGCCCGCCAGGTCGCAATTGTAAACTCCGGTGTTCAATGCATATGTTTTTGCGTTACATGCGGGAATATGTCAAAGCCTTAGTCCGGTTGTTGTGCACCCCTTGCATAGTGTTCCAGTATCGTAGATTGCAAAACGCCAAAAATTCCAATTATCAATACATTTACATAAACGGTGGGCTGAACATCACTGGCTGCAACTTCGTTGACCACAGTTGACCCAAGGGTCCCAAGGGGCTCTCAAAACGTCCAATCGCCGGTTACCTCTCCACACGCACTCAGCAAGCCACCACCAGGACACCCGTTTACAAGAGTACTGCATGTTCGTCGAGTACGAGTCCCCAAAATGACGCGGGGCGGGCCGCAGGCCGTACGGGACGCGATGCAGCGATGACGAAAGACCGAGAAAGATGAGCCCTAGAAAAAACGTGACAACCGCCGCCCGCGTACCGTCGCACAAACCGCCTCACAGCCATAATCCAAAGCCTTACCGTCAACTTAAACACTTACCAGTTTACCACATGCCATTCTCACAATTACGCTAAACCGCAGCTCCATCTTCATCAACCTTGCGTTGCCCTGCGTTTCAGCCTAGAAGCTCTTCCTCTGTCCTCCTTTTTCTAAAAGGACGCACCTGCAAAGTACACAACCAAACATGGCAGTCGCATCCGGCCATCCCTCCGCAACCACCACCACCACCACAGCTGGAACCGGCGGCCCCAACTCCCACAGCGCTGCCACCTCCGCCGCCGCCTCCCAGCTGCCCCATATCTCCAAGCTCCCCGAGGACGTGCAACCCGAGGTGCGGCAGCTGATTGCGACGCTGCAGGCGTACAAGGCCGCCACCGACTGGGATGACATCGATCGGGCCACTCGCGCGCTGGACGCCGATTGCGTGTACGACTCGCCGTTCATGTGAGTGGGGGGGCGTGTACGACTCGCCGTTCATGTAAGTGGGGGGCGGGTGGGTGGGAGAGGGGGACTAGAGCCCCTCTGCCCTCTCCCCCCCTGCTCACTGCATGAGTCGGGATTCGGGATTGGGACTGTGTTGTTGCACTTATTTATAATCCCCCCCCGCTGCCCTCTTCCACCCCCCTGCCCCCTGCCAGGCTGATCACGGGCGGTCGGGAGCGCGTGCGTGCAGTCGCCAAGCTGCTGGCGCCCTTCGCCTACACCGAGTTCGAACCTAAGGTGGGCGGGGGGAGCAGCGGGAGGGGGCGCGGGGGCGTGCGGCGAGGTGCGCCTGCTTGAGCGCCTCGCCTGCCTCGCCGCTGCTCCTCGCGCACCCCTACCTTGTGACCACCTTTCAACAACCTTGTAACTCCCTCCCCCCCTCTCCCTCCCCCTCCGCCCATCCCCTTCCCCCAGCTCGTCCGCATTCTGATGGACTCCGCCGCCCGCAAGGCCGAGCTGCAGGTGGACGGCACGCTGCGGGTGGTGCCGCGGCGCTACTGGTACCTGCCCGCCACCTGGCTGCTGCCGGCAGCGGTGCCGCTGGAGGGGACCGTCACGCTGCACGTCAAGAGCTGGAACGACAAGGTGTCACGGGTGCAGGAGAGGTGAGGGGGGGGTCAAAGACCATACCAAACCATAGGAGACCATAGGAGGGGGGGGGGGGGGGGGGAGGAGGATGAGGAGGTGAGGAGCTGTGTGTGTGGCGTGTGGCGTGTGGGTGTGGGGGAAGAGGAGGGGTAAGGGTGGGCGGAGCGCGCGCATTGGAGCTCGGGTCAGGCATGTCGTGTCGTGCCGTGTTGGGCGCGCATGTGCTGTTGGGGTTCAGGGAGCTGCACCCGGTGCCCCTCCCCTCCTTCACCTCCCTGCCCCCCTCCCGCCCTTCCCCCCGCCCGCCAGGTTCGCCAACCTGCCGGTGCTCATCCCCGTCTTCCTGCGCTGGCTGGCGGGCTGGGCGGCGGGCAGCGCGGGGCTGCTGGCGGAGCCCGCTCTGCGCACCCTGGGCGAGTGGTACGGCGCGGGCTTCAGCAGCGTGCAGGGCGGCGTGGAGAGCGCGGCGGCGCGGAGCCCCGCGGTGGCGGCGGCGGTGGGCAAGGCGGAGGGGGTGGGGGAGACGCTGGCGGCGGGGGTGGATGCGGCGAAGACGCGGGTGGCGGGCATGGTGGGCACGGAGTAGGGTAGGAGGGGTGAGGGGAGGAAAAGAATAATCCCAAGGAGGTGAGGGGGGGAGGTGAGGGGGGTGAGGGGTCGGGATGGCATGGATGGATGGGATGTGGTTGGACGGTTGGAGGTGGCGTGGAGGTGGTTTGTGATGTGGAGTTGTGGACTTGTGCCAGGGTTAGTGTGTTGTGTTGCGGGGGTGTTGGCGTTGGGGCGGCGGGAGGAGTGGTGTTGGGTTTGGGAGAGCTTGTTGTGTAGTTGCTGAGGCGCGCTAATTGCAGGAGAAGTTCCTGAGGAGTTTCAGGCGTTGCAAGTTTCAGGAAGGTGGGGGTTGCGGAGTGCGGGCATCAGGCGTTGGGTGTCGGGTGGGATTCAGCAGCCGCTGGATGAGCCCGAACAGGCGCGGGCGGCCCACGGAGGGACCCGTACGTCTTTGCATTTGTGGAATGTGTGTGAGGCCTTGCAACGCGATAAGGTGTTGCTCTTGTTGGCGGCCAGTGCCTCGGCTGGCACAGCATCGCGGGTTTAGCATTGACTAGTGAAGATGGCGACTCCAGACAAGGCGCGTGCAAAGGTCTAAGTTTAAATTGAAGGTTACCCTTCATACTACTTCACGTTTAGGCGCCTACCTACTGTAAATGGACCTGTCCTGACCGGAGCCGACCCATGGTCCGCCTGGCTACGTCAGCCACGTACGACAAGTTAAGTTCTTGGGCAAAGAGCCAAAGACTAAGGGTTTCTGAAACTGTATCAGTCTGTGCCGTTTGTTTTCTTTGTTATTGTCAGCTGACCAGGCCGCCTGGTGGATTCTATCAATCGGCAAAAAAATAGAGGCGCGCTAGTGTTGAAAAAACGTCGCATTCGCTACTTTCCTAGTACTTATAAGTTATAGACGATACTGCGGTAAAATGTCGCTTCAACATTTACTTCACACTTTCATTGTTCCCAATCTTGGGACGCCGGGCTCTCAGCCAGCCCTTTCCGACTTTGTCGTGACAATATGGATTGCTCTTGCCATCCTAGCAGTCCGTGTCGTCTTCGAGCGATCAGTCATTCCCGGATTCCGCCGTTACCTTGAGAAAGTTAAGGGTCCGGGCGGCGGCAAAGCAGCGTTTCCGGTCCTAGACAACATATGGATTGCAGTATTCTCCGGCAGCTTGACCGCCTACGCCTGGTGGGTGACCGTCCGCTCCAACGGCGGCTGCACTCCCTGGTCCACCGCCTCCTGCTTCGCGGGCTGGCCCGAGCACCCCGTGTCGCTGAGTCAGCGGCTGTACATGGTGCTGGCGTTCGCATACTACCTGTACGAGCTGATGGGTACGGCAGCGGGGCTGGGCACCAAGCTCAAGACCGACATGGTGGCGCACCACCTGGTCACCATGGCGCTTGTCCTCATCTCGTGAGTCCGCATGGGTGGGAGGAAGAGGGGGGGGTGGGCACGCGGGCTGCCCCACGTGAGGGAGGGCGTACGGTGTACGGCCATCGGCAGCGGGTGTGTGTGGGTGCTTGTCATGTCCTCCTTCCTAGGGGCAGCAGGCAGCGCAGGGCGCCTCAGCGGTCTGATCAGCGCTGGCTTCGCTGGCCTCATTCTGTCCGCATGCAACACCCAAGGGCCCCAGGGCAAAGGGGCCAGATGGCGAGCAGCCGTACCAGTAGTTGGCCTGTGGACCCATCTGCCCATCGGGAGAGAGCGCCAGACAGAGAGACACAGTGCCGCTCCCGGCAACTGCCTGGCCCGGTGTCTGGCTGGCACCTCGCAATGCGGTCTCGGCTTCTCCTGTTGGTACCCTAGCCCTGCCCCCTTTTCCCTTCCCCCGGATCTGTGTCCTCAACCGCAACTCGCTCCCTCCTCCCTTCTCCCGCCCTCCCTCCTTTGCCCCTGCGCCGCCTGTCACCCTCCCGCAGCCACCACACCACCCTGCAGCGCATGTCCGTGATGTGGCAGGCGCTGTTCGATGTGTCCAACCCCATCCTGCACACCGCCAAGGCGCTGCACGCCAGCGGGCTGCGGCAGCTGGAGCCCGCCAAGTGGGCGCTGTTCAACCTCTTCGCGGCCACCTTCCTGATCTGCAGGGTGCTGGGGGGCCCGGTGGCCATCCTGTGGCCCTCCTTCACGCGCGCACAGGGTGTGCTGCCGGCTAGCTACTGCTACACGTGCTGGGGCCTGGAGGTGTTTGTTTACGCGCTACAGCTGCTGTGGTTTTACAAGATTGTGGAGATCGCGGTGAAGGGCGAGAAGGCGGCGGAGAAGGCTGATTAGGCGGCATTATTAGGGCATTGAACCATTGAAGCTTGGGCGGTTGGGATCGCGTGCGTGGCATGTCGTTCGTGTGATCCGGGCTTTGAGACAACGCAAGCTTGCTGTTACGTGGCAAGAGCGAGCGAGCGGGCAGCGCCCCTTAGGACATGTCGTTTATCATGTGATCTCTTGCATTCGAAAGGATGTGTAGTTTTGGTATACCCGGTACGAGGCCGGTAGCAGGTGTGTTTGGGTTGTGGCGGTTGCAGAGCTTCGGCTTAGGCAAACGGTTATATAATCCCAACCGGTGCGACAAAGACGCGGGCTGAAATCGTGTGTTTTCGCAGTCGCACTGGCCAATGCCTGCGGCGAACAGCAACTCGTGTGCTTTGTTGCGAGGTTGTGGGGTGCGGGGTCCGCGCTTGGTTGTGTTAGTTGGTCGTTGCTCGTTGGTTGGTTGGTTGCGTCTCACGCGTGTTGTTGTTGCTTGTGGCGACTATGGTACCGCTTACCGACACACTGTTAGCAGTGGGAAGTTGCCTGGATGCGTACCTACCCTCACCTTGCCCTGGATTGTTGGGTGCGCGACGAGGGGGGAGGAGCTCAGTGCCGTGGCGCAGGTGGGCCCGGGTGTCGTACCTTCGTTGGGGTGCATGCAGGGCGGGTGGCAGGGCATGCAGGATGCGCCCCTCTTGTTTCTTGTGCGCATGGCGTTACACGGCTGGGGGCTGGGTGGCGTTGACCGGGCAGCAGCACCGGGGCGCACCGCTGGCTAGCACTATTGCGCTGTTGCATGGCGCTGAGCTGCGGTCAACAGGGGTGCAGCAGGTTGGGCAGCACAGGAAGAGGAGTAGGGCAATACCTGCGGCGTTTGTAAACGCAGTACGAGTGCGACTGAGACTGCTGAAGGCTGCTAGTTGCAGGGATCGCTAGTACATACAACAAACCCAATCGAGCCGAACGGAAGCCCCCCCCCACCACCACCACCCGTATCATGCTCCCTTTCAAACACATTGCCCGTCCGCCGCCGTCCAGCCACCCACCCACCGCCCCCTCGCACCCCCAACCCGCCCCCACCTGAACATCTCGAGTGCATCCGTGTCACCGCATCTATGAACACCACTTCCCACGTCAGCAGGGCCTCCCTACGTGCCCCACAGGCCGCCCTCGCGTGCACGCCCCGCCAGCCGCCGCCTGCAGCGCTGCCGTACGGCTAGCTCCCGAGCAGCCCTGAGGGCATGTCGTACGCACGTCGGAGAACGCGGACGTACAGTGACGTGTGGAGGGTAATTACGGTCAGTTGGCTTTGTTTTGGCACCTGGATGCTAAGGCGATGCGGGGGTATCTTGTTATACCGGTAACTCTATTGAGTTGGGTTTACAGGAACGTGTCATGGTAGGTGAACAGATGGAAATGCGGTATGCATGTCTGCATGCTCCCCTGTACTGTAGGGCGGCGGTTCGAGTGTACAGCAGGGGCGTGTGCAAGGCTTTTGGCATTTGAGCGCGCGCGGGAAGTTGTGCAGGTGTGGAAACGGGGTTTCATGGTTACGTGGCAACCTAGCCGTACGATACCCTCCCATGCGGGGTTGGGGGAGGATGAATGTCTGTTCATTTTAGTCAGGCATCAGTGGTGCACGCTTGCTGTAGATACTGCTGGCGCTGTTTCAGTTGCCGAGCTGCGGCCGGCAGGGGCCACTCGCGGGCACGGAGCGGCGGTTGGGAAAGGGTGACAATCCCTAACGGCGCGTAGTGTGTTTTGGTCCGGCGTGATTCCCTAGAATCCGTGGGGTTGCAACCCGGCCGAGTCTTGCCTGCGGTGCTTAGGGTCGGCCCTTCTTCCCATTCGGTGTAACGCATAGCAGGGATTGACTTCAGCCGTGCCACATGCAGCCTCGCTGGTTAGCTGGAAACAACACAACAAGGTTAGCACCGGCGAGAGACGTTGCCTCGATGTTGTCGTCTCTGGTTGCAATCATGTACGTACAGCGACGTTTTCTCCGACGCTTTTCGGCGTATACTTATGACGATGTGGCTTTCCGCGTGAGATTGCAGTTGTTAGTGGGACTGTTAGTAATAATCTTGACTGTGGGGCGTGTTGATTTTTCCTTTCCCGCGGTTGTAACGGCTGCGCGTTAGCCCTCAAGCTATCGGACCCTCGGGACACGACCTGAGCCACTAGCCTTTGACCGACTAAGCTTGCCGCACTTTGATTCAAGCTTACATTTGCATCACGCTTGGCTTGCAGAAAGCATCAGACGGCTTGAAAGGCGACGTTGACAAAGGCCGGATAGCAGACCAACGGACGGTATACTATCCAGCATCCAGCGTCCTTCAGCGACGACAGAAGAAGAAATGGAAGCCAAAACTATCAACTCAATAGCATACAATCATCCAGACCTGCTCACGCGACTTGGCCCAATCCTCGCTCCCAACCTCTTAACGCCCGGCTCCGCCCCGCAACTCATCGATTACGTCGTCACCATCTGGATCGCCCTCCTCCTCCTCGCCATCCGCGTCACCGTCGAGCGCTATGCCCTGCCTCGCATCCTACACGCACTCCAACGCGTAAACAGCCCCAACGCAACCCCCAAAACCGCATACGCCATTCTGGACAACGCCTGGATCGCAACCCTGTCCAACAGCCTAGCCGCCTTCGCCTGGTGGGTGACCGTCCGCTCCAACGGCGGCTGCACTCCCTGGTCCACCGCCTCCTGCTTCGCGGGCTGGCCCGAGCACCCCGTGTCGCTGAGTCAGCGGCTGTACATGGTGCTGGCGTTCGCCTACTACCTGTACGAGCTGATGGGTACGGCAGCGGGGCTGGGCACCAAGCTCAAGACGGACATGGTGGCGCACCACGTGGTGACCATGGCGCTCATCGTGATCGCGTGAGAGTGGGCGGGGACGAGGGTTAGGGGCGGGGGCGTTAGGGGCGTTGGGGGGCCTAAGGGGGCCTAAGGGGGCCTAAGGGGGCGTAAAGGGCGCGGGCGGGGTTTCGGGGCGGGGTTTACGGGCGGGGCGGGGCACATGGCAGGACAGCAGCTGCTGTGCTATGCCTTCACGTGCTGCATGCCGCATCCCTGCCGCTGTGCGCGCGCGCAGTGAAGCTCCTCATGGCTTCAACACCAACCGCCCTTCCACCATCCCGCCCGCCCCATTTCTCCTGAATCCCCAGGTATCTGACCACCCTGCAGCGCATGTCCGTGATGTGGCAGGCGCTGTTCGACCTGTCCAACCCCATCCTGCACACCGCCAAGGCGCTGCATGCCAGCGGGCTGCGGCAGCTGGAGCCCGCCAAGTGGGCGCTGTTCAACCTCTTCGCGGCCACCTTCCTGATCTGCAGGGTGCTGGGGGGGCCGGTGGCGATCCTGTGGCCCTCCTTCACCGTGGCTCCCGGGGTGCTTCCCATGAGTTACTGCTACACGTGCTGGGGTCTGGAGATCTTTGTGTATGTGTTGCAGCTGCTGTGGTTTTACAAGATTGTGGAGATTGCGGTGAAGGGCGAGAAGGCGGCGGAGAAGGAGGCGTGAGGGGAGGAATGGAAGGGTGATGTGGTTTGGTAGGCTCATGGGCCGGTTTGCTGGCAACGCTATGCGGCCCAAATCTTCGGTGGTACGGGCTGACTAAGACAGCTACATGTGTACACTAATATACATAAGCCATATAGTCCATAAGGCTGTTTTGCCAGGCCTCTTCAAGACTGCCTACCAGGGCCTCTTCAAAGCTTTCCTCCCAACCAAACCATGTGCTGCAGGCGCCTCCGCCCGGTCTGCCGGTAGCGACACCGCTAGCAGCCGGGCGGTTCCAAGAGGCCATGTGTCACGCAACCAAACCTCGAGTGCCGTAATCCACTTGTACTCCCCTGGGGGCTTGTAAGGCAGTACCGATGTACGTCAGGAGTGCAGCGGCACTGCGCGCATGCGGCTCATGCAGCGGCCGGCCGCGTGCCTCTCACGGCGCTCCCGCGGCTGAGGTCGCACCCCCCCCCCCCGGCCTAACGGCTTGCACCCGTGTGCGGACCCCGTGACGCGTCTGCTGGGGTGCAAGCCGATGCAAGCCGGTGCGACACAACATCGACACACTCCCAAACGGTGTGCGGTGTCTGAAAGAAGAAAGCGCTGGACGTGGATACTACCGTGCTATGTGATTACAAAGTCCCGGAAAGAGCCCGTCCGCCAGCTGCCTGGCGATGTCCTCTCATGCTGCATGCATGCATGTGTCGGTACCCAGCACTCCCCTCCCTCCGCACCATTGCAGGCGACGTCCGCCCAGCCGCCTCTATGCGCCTTTCCTCCCTACCTGGCTGTCTCCTGAAGGCCCACCCCTACCTCGCCATCATCCTCCGGTATGCTACGGCCAGGGTCAGTGTTTCCGCGGCTCGGTTTACTTAATCCCCTCCTTCAACGCCCGCTGCCGTTCCTCCCACGTCGTCTGCTTGAGGACGGAGCCTCGCACCCTACAGCGCGAGTTACCCGATGCGCCCCTACCAGCGTGCACATGCTCCGGCGCCAATCCTGCCTCGCCTCCCACCTCTCATGCTGCTGCCTCCGCAGCCCTCCCGTGCCAAACCCCTCCCCCATGCGCTCCCTCATTGGGTCTGCTTCTCCCCCCCAATGCGCTTCCTCCCCTAACCCTCAACACCCTCTCCCGTCTCCTCACCCACTACAACACCACACCGCTGCACTCCTTCCCACCACGTACCCAACCCCTCCTCCCCTCCCCACTCACCCCTCGCGAGGCTACCCCCGCCCTCCGCCCCTCACACCGCCCCCCCGAACCCCTCCAGCCTGCCCAGAGTGGCAGCCACGTCCGCCTGCACCCGCTGCTGCAGCTCGGGGTGACCCACCCGCTGCACCACCTCGCTGCCGAAGGAAAACACCAGCGCCTGCCGGGCAGCCTCCGCGCTGATGCCGCGAGCCCTGGAGGTGGGGGGGGTCAAAGACCATACCAAACCGTAGGAGACCACAAGTTAGGGCAAAGCAATGGGGTTAGGAGTTCGCAGGGAGGGAGGTGGGGGGGTAAGAAATGAATGAGGTATGCAGGAATCAGGAGAGGTCCGCGATCTGGGGACACACCTGCTGCTCTGCTCCCTGCTGCCCTACTTGCCTTTCCATCCCAGGAACGGGTCCGTTCCACACACACCTCTCCATCTCCCTCTCCCTCGCACCCGCCCCCTCATCCACCATGATGACGCCTTATCATCATTAGGCGGTTCCTCTTTACCTCTCCTACACTGGCCCCTTCCCTGCCCCTTCCCTCCCCCCCCCCTTCCCTCCCCCCTTCCTATCCCCCTCCCTCCCCCTTCTCACCCCTCCCCCCTCCCCCACCTGAAGTAGAACAGCTCCTCGTCCCGCAGGTCGCTCACCGCGCAGCCGTGCGTGCACTTGACGTCGTCCGCCACGATCTGCAGGTTGGGCTTCACGTTCACGGTGGCCAGGGGCACGAGCAACAGGTTGCGGGACAGCTGGCCGGCGTCGGTCTGCTGCGCGCCGCGGTTCACCTGCCGGGGGGGGGAGGGAAATGGGGAGGAACTTCACGTCGAACAGGAGGGCAGCGGGACCCCCGTCCCAACCCTACTTCGACTCCGCAGCCGCACCCTCCGCCTCGACCCTTTCGCCACCCCAAACCTCCTCCCTCCCTCCCTCCCTCCCTCCAGTACCCGCCAGGCCTGCCCCCCTCCCCCGCCCATCCCGCCCCACATCCCTCTCGCACCTTGACGTTCCCGTCAAACACCCCCCGCCCGCTGGCGTGGCTCACGATGCACTTGTGCAGCTGGCTGGCCTGGCCGCCCCGGTGGTCCAACTGCAGGCGCGAGTGCAGGTCGTGCAGCTGGTGCGGGCCGCACAGCAGGAAGTGGGACAGATCGGTGCGGGTCTCGGGGCCAGCCTGAGGAGGAGTGGGAGGGAAAGGGGAGGGAAAGGGGAGGAAGGGGTGAGGGGAGAAGGTGAATACGGTTCCTTCACTCTCAAGTCCTAACCATCCCGCCCCTCGCACCGAGCCGTCCGGTACCTCGGCCCCTCCCCCGGCCATGTCTTTCTACCCGCGGCTTCTTCTTCTTCTTCTTCAAGCCGACTCTGCTTCTGATAAGCAAGCAGTTGGTAAGTCCCCGGGTTGCGTCTCTCCCCCCACCTGCAGGATGGTGAGGTCGTGCCGCGCCAGCCCGCCCCCCACCGCCGCCTCCGTCAGCCGGTACTCCGACCGCGCCGCCTGCCGTACCAGTGAGCCGTGGAAGTGGAAGGCGGCGGACGACTCGCGCTGCACGTAGGCGTGCCGTACACTCGCCCCCTCCTCCAGCAGCACTTCCGCCACACTGGTGCACAGGTAGCGGGGGGGCGCAGAGGCGGGGGAGGCGGAGGGGGAGGCGGAGGGGGAGGCGGAAACACCGTCTGCCGCTGCTGCCGCTGTCCCCGCTGCTGCTGCTGCTGTAGCATCGCTGCTGCTGGCGGGTGCGGGTTCTGCCGCTGCAGGTGCGCCCTCCAGCTGTGCGAACTCCTGCACCAGCTCCACGGAGGAGGCGGCGCCGGCATGCAGCAGCACGCGGGGAGCGCTGGCGGGGGCGGAGGTGGAGGAGGAGGAGGAGGAGGAGGAGGAGCCTGCAGGGAGGGCGGGGGCGCGGTGGTGAAGGTACTGGGTTGTAACTGGGATGTGGCAGCCGGGCGGGTTAGGCGACTGTGCACCCTGGGGTGAGCGCAGGCAGGAACCCTATAGCCCGATCTCGCTCTCCGACCGCCCCTCCTCGCCATCAGCCGCCCGATCAGCTCCATTCTCCCCTCTGCCCTCCCCCCTCCTCCCTCCTCCTCCCCCCCTTCTCTCCCCCGCCCCCGCCCACCTGACGCCAGGTGCAGTACGAACACGGGTCCCCCCAGCGCCACTCCGGGCCGCACCGCCACCACCACCACCTCCGCCGCCAGCCCGCTGTTGAGGGTGGCGAAGGGACCGCCCCGGGGGCCGGACAGGCAGCCCTGCAGGGGGGTGGGAAGTGGGGGGTGGGGTGGAGGGGAGGTGGCAGGGGAGTGTACGGTTCAAGCAGCCCAGACCCATCCCTTCCCAGATGCCTCTACAGCCCTCCATAGCAGCAAAGGGCACCTGCTTTCCCTTCCCTACCCTCCATCCCATCCACCCTCCCCCCCTCCTCCCCCCATCCTCCCACACCCTCATCCTCCTTACCAGCTGCTCTGCCACCTCCTGCGGTGCCCCCTCCAGCGGCCCCACGTACGCCCCCTCGCCCGCCGCTCCCCGCCCCAGCCCGCGGCTCAGCTCCGGCCGCAGCCGGCCGTCCACCAGCACCGCCACCGCCGCCGCACCCGGCAGGCTGTGGCGCTGCAGCACCTCGGGGGAAACCGGGGCGCCGGCGGGGGCCAGCTGAGCGGGAGGAAGGTGGGGGAGAGGGAGAGGGGTGTTGATGGTGTTGGGAAATGGAGGTTTGAGTGTGTTCGGTGAGAATGGCTAAGCTGCGGTGGAGGGCCTTACCTGTACGTCGGTTCGCAGCAGGGGAGTGATGTCTGTGAAGCGGTAGTCTTCGTTACGGGTGCTGGGCATGCGGAGTGTTGCGATGGCGGAATTGGCCTGTTCACGAAGCCCAGCCAAGCTGCGCAGAGATTCTTAGATCAGTTGCGTAATTGGTGTTTCAATTGGGTTTATGAAAGGAACGGCCTTACCTGGGAGGGGTCGCGACGTCCTTTACGGTTCGTGCTAGCCATTTATCCTCCGGAGTCGTCTGAACCGCAGACGCGACTGCGGCGCTTCTACATATCCTGAATGTTGGCCTTACATTTGGGTGTGGCGCATTTGATACGCAACGCTGACCTACAAGGCGGAAGCGGAATGCTAGGTTAGAACTGATACCTACTACGCCCATCGCCGCCGTGCGAAAGAAATCTGAAGGTCTCACCCGCAAGATTCGTCCTAACGGTATTGCCAATGCACGTTTGCATCGCGGATCCCTGCCAAACTGCAAGGCTAATGTGGAAAGCAAGCAATGCAAAATCTCAGCACCGCGCGATCTAAAATTCGAAGGTAAGGGCAACCGCCTAATGCTTAACTGTTAGTGAATATGCTAATTGGCGTATGACCACGAGCTCGATGATGGTTCCGGAGCACCCCTTGACGATTCACTTCCGGGAAGACGCCGCACGCGCCGCGCGCATGCAAACACGCGCCTTCCTCGCAGACGTTGGTAAACGCTCATCGGCTTACCGCCCTGCTTACCATTCTACTATTACATAATCAACACGCGGTACGGTCCCGCGCGGGGAATGACTTATTTGCCCCGTTGCTCATTTGCCACTGTTTATTGTCCTTGCGGACTGTTGCAGACATGTAACTCCTAAACCCGGCTGTCTTATATGAATCGGCCCCAGCACGCGGCTTTAAGAGGACTTGGAGTACTGCGGTGACCTGAACTGGCCTGGGAATGATGAGGTCTCTGAGCCGGTGTGGATGGAATCCTGTGCCTGCACAGCCATCAAGCATTCCCCTCCCAAGGAAGCCGCGTATGAGGGGCCGCCCCTCTGCCGCTCCAGTGCCCTGCTATTTACAACCCCTGCAGGCTACACTTGCAACCCCTGCTGGCTACCAAGCCGCGACCACCCACTGCCATTTTGCCAGCCACTGAATAATACTCACACCAACACCCTTCGAGGCCACCATGGAAGTGCCCCAGGGAGGTTTGTGACTACCAAACTACAGCACAGGACCCCGACACAGGATGAACGGTCATGCGTTCAGGATGGAACACGCCATTGTCCCCTGGCAATCCTCCACCATTGTCCCCTGGCAATCCTCCACCGCAACGGGGACCACCTGCGACCGCCTACTACAAGCCATGCGTGTGTGTGCACCACTTCCCATTCCTCTCTCCCCAATAGCACTCCTCTCCCCAAAACGTTTATACGAAAGAATGTACCAACCAACCAAGCAATGCAAGGCGGTGTCGAATCATGAATTCCTAGGTAGCAGCACGAACGGCTTCCAGACCCTGCGGCGCCGCCAGGGCCCTATCTGCCGGTGTGCTCGAGCCCATGCCGTTAGCTACATATGTACAACAGCCCCGAATGAGCGCAGTCACCGTCAGCCATCAGCCCAACATGCAGTAGCACCGGTTCAGTTGCCAGCACAACAACAGCACACAGCACAGGAAAACGACGCGGTCCGGAACACTTATGTGGCACCTGAAAACTCGTCCCTCCACTACTTGGCGGGCGCAAAACCATTTCCGGAGCAGTCCGTACAGGGGAAAGATGACAAAGCTTGCATTATATAGGTTTATATCAGTGTAAGTAAGCCAAAAGTGTGGAGTCCCCCTTGCAACTGCCGGCACGGGTCCTCATGACCCGCCTCTCCCTCTAGTTAATCGTGACCGCAGCTTCGCCCCTCCCTTATAAACCACGCAGCAGTCGTATGTCATTGTCGTCCATAAGAGGGTCGGGAGGTCCCGACTGCAAGCCTCCCCGACATCTTTGTATGTACCAAACCGCCGAAAGCGCACACACCTCAGTTTTCTTAATGCACCTCACATCAGCACACGCGCCGGGGTTGAGTCTAGAAAAGTCCGGTTCCCATGCCACCTTTGCCATTCCGGGCCAGCGGGGGCCTTTCAACACGCAGCCTGGATCGCGGGCTGCGGGGCCACATGCGACGCGGCGACACCCGGCTGCATCCCGCACACGGTACTGCTGCTGCTGCCGCCGCCGCCTGCACCTCCACCTCCGCCGCCGTTAGACCCGCGCATGTCCGCGCCATCCCTACCGGAAACGCCACCCTCGCTGCCCGAGATACCAGGCATGCCCATTGCTGCTGCAGCAGCGGCAACGCCATAACCCGCACCCCCTGCTGCTGCTCCTGCTCCTGCCGACGGCTCCTCCGAGGGAACCCCCTCCGCCACCGCAGTCGCTGCCGCCACTGCCGCACCCGCCGAGGGCGTGCGCGGCCTCACCAGCAGCGGCGCCGATGAGGAGCGCAGGTAGCGCGCCAGCGGTATCCCGTCCACATGCGTATGCGCATGCGCACCTCCCAACACGGAGAAGGCCCCCGCCACCTGCACCGGTGGCTCAACACAGCACCCCGGCGGCGCTGCGGGCGCTGCTGCCTCCGCTGCCACGGCAGCAATGCCCTCCACGGCCTCACCCGACACACCACCTAGCGCATGCGAGAAGCCGCACCTGCCGCCCCGACGGCACTCCTCCATGCTGAGCCCGCATAACCGACAGCGCATGTGGCGGTGGTGGTGCTGCTGCTGTTGAGGCTGCTGTTCCTTGTGCTGCTGCTGGCGTTGCTGCTGCTGGCGCGGTCGCTGCTGCCTATGCGCAGCAGCCGTGTGCTGCTGCTGCCGCGGCGCCAGGTAGCTGGTGTGCGGGAGGGAGTGCGAGAGCGGCGCCGGCTCGCTGCCCAGCAGCTGCTGCTCCCGCCGCCGCAGGGAGGAGGGCAGCGAGGAGCTAAGCAGGGGGTAGTGCTGCTGCCGGCCGCTGCCACTGCTGCTGCCGAGCTCGGATGACGACCAACGCATGCCGTCTTCCTCCTCCTCCTCCTCCTGGTCGCTGTAACCCACCGCAAAGCTCTCGCCGCTACCACCTCTCCGCCAGCCTTCCCCACCACCGGCCTGCCTGCCGCCGCCCGCACTGCTGCCTGCTTGCATCCGCCAGCCCGCCCTGCGCGGCGACCGCCCACCCGCCTCCCCGCTTCTCCCACCCTCCCTCTGCCCGCCCGTGTCGACCCCCTCACCCCCCAGCCTCCGCTCCTCCATCTCCAACTCCATCTCCTCCTCATCTACAGCATCCAGCTGGCCCTGCGCCCTGCCGTACATCCCACCCGCACCCCCTCCACTGCTCCCAGCACCAGCCACACCTCGACGCCTGCGACGCAGCGCTGCGCTGCCGCCCAACGGAATGGCAATCGGGTCCGGCCGCCGCCGCAGCAGCCCCCCCTCACTCCTGAAGCTGCTCACCCCAGCCATGCTGCTGCCACTGCTTCCGCCTCCGCCGCCTCCGCCGCCACCACTGCCGCCGTACATCTGCTGCGACACCGACGTGCCAAACCCGCGCGCGGGCCTGTCCTGCTCCTGCTCCGGACCCAGCACTCCCGACATGTCCAGATCGAACAGCGGAATGTGGCCTGCCATGGGTGAGCCGGATGCGGACTCGGGCTCGTCCAAGATTAGGCTGGACATGCTGGCCGGCCCCGGCGTGCTGCCCAGGTCGAAGGAGGGCATGCTCACGAAGGACGGTAGCGGCACCGAGGCCGCCATGGCGGGCGGCAGGCGCTCCTTCTGCCGCGTGATGAAGCGGCGGAGCTGCAGCAGCAGCGACACGCGGTGCTGCACCGCGGCCTGAGCCACCGTGATGCAAAAGTTGGAGACGGCCTGGAGGCGGGAAATGGGAAGGCGAGGAGGGGCAACCACCGTTCAACACAAGCTGCATGCATTGAGCTTGAAAAGCAAGCGACGACAGAGCTACTGGTCAAGCGCCGTTCTCCTTACCTGTGCCGACTTGAACGCCTGCACGAACGTGAGCCGCACCGCATTGTACGCCCCCACCACCTCCAGCCCCAGCCACTGCCACACAGCCACTCCGCCGCTGACACCTCCCCCAGCGCCGCTCGCAGCAGCAGCCTGCGCCACCGCCCGTCCACCCGCCCGCACCGCCGGCGCCACCCGCCGCGCCGCTCGCCCCAGCGTCACCGCCCACTGCACCGCCCAGCGCGCCCCCTCCCACGCCGCCGCCAGCTGCTCCACCACCGCCGTACTCGCCCAGCTCAGCGCGCCGCCGATGCCGCACAGCAGCTGCAGCGGCCCCACCAGCAGCATGCCCACCAGCGCCGCCACCAGCCGCACCAGCTGCGCCAGGAACACAGCCAGCGCCCAGAGCGCCCGCGCCGGCGGCCCTAGCACTGAGGAGGCGAACGCCAGTGCCTCCCGGCCCGACACCGCCGCGGTGGCCACCACCGGCTGCGCCACAGCCCACACCGCCATGCCGGCAGAGGCCAGCCCGCTGCCCACACCCGCGGCAGCGGCCTGCGCGGCGACTAGCAGCGGCTGTAGCGCGGAGGTCAGCGCCGCAGCCGCCGGCGCCAGCAGCTGCTGCAGCAGCGCGGCGAGGGACCGCAGCATGCGCATGAGGGACACCAGCAGCGGCGACTTTGAGAAGAGGTAGGTGAGCAGGATGGACATGCGGATCTGCGTGTGTCGCTCCAGCCACTCGAACAGCTCAGCAGCGGGCAGGTAGAGCCGCGAGGCGACGGCGGTGACGACCTGCTTGAGGAAGGGCACGTTTTTGTAGAGGTCGTAGAAGCCGCAGCCCATGGAGAAGATGGAGATGGCGATGAAGAGCAGCCACAGCGCGCGACGCATCCAGGGGCGGTACGGCAGGCCGTAGCAGGGCAGGAAGATGGCCCAGGAGGGCAGACCGCTCTCGTAGAGCTTGAGCAGGCGGAGGTCGCTCTGTGAGAAGCGGGGGGGGATCAAGTTAAGAAGGAGAACATGGTCAGGATGTCCAGTCACAGGAACGCATCCAGTGGTTGTGTGTGCCACAATAACAGCATGAGACCACAACAGGGCTATGACACCCCGCCCGGCGCTCCAGCTGCTGAACTACCTTGACGAACCGGCGCAGCTCCTGCGGCAGAAAGGGATCCCTGAAGCTCAGCACCACCGTGCAGGCGTGGTAGGTGGCGCTGGGCCGCGTCCAACGGCAGGGCCGCGGCACGTCGGTGCTGCCCTCGCCGCCACCGCCACCGCCCCCGCACGCACGGCGGCTGCAGCCGATCTGCAGGTCCGCCCATGCCACTCCGCTGCCGCTGCCGCCAGCAAACCCGCGGGCGCTACTGCAACCCCTGCGCAGCAGCTCAGCGGCACCATGACGCAGGCCCTCCCCCCGGGGTCCGCCCACGCCGCTGCCGCTGATGTTGAGGGCCGGGGCGCGGGCGCGCACATGCGGGCCGTGCAGGCAGCAGCCGTCGCCGCTGCAGCCCCGGATATGCATCCCGTTGCTGCTGAGATGCCCCCCGCCGTGGCTAGTGCTGTGGGTGGTGTTGCTGCAACCAGTAGTTCGGTACATAGCGCCATCGCTGGCACGCTCGAACGGGTTGGCGTCTCCGCGGCCACTGGGTCTACAGCTGCTGCTGGTGTTGCCGCTGCCGCTGCCAGTGGCGTCTGCGGCCGTCGCCGCGTCGTCGCCCGCTTCGTCCGCCATGCCGCGCAGGTCGCTAGCTGACCACGCTCTCCGGGGCGACTCAGCCTGCACGTGGCCCAGCCGGCCGTTCCCGAGCCGCTTCTGGCGCTTGTAGGAGGCTGCGGCATGTGGTGGAGACATGGCAGCGGAGGGATGGGCCGTGTGAGTAGGGTTAAATACCTACGATAGCTAACAAGTGGAATAATACCGAGGTCAGTACGGCATGCAAATTAAAACGTCCTGGCAACATCCTCCGCCCCGCTCATTCCGTTTGTGTCACACCTGCCACCCGCACACCTGCAGAGCTTCCCCCCTCGGGCTGCTCCTCTGCACGACCCTCCGGGCTGGCATCAGGCACCACCAGCCGCAGCCGCCGCTGCGTCCCAAATACCGCACCCTCAGCATCCCTCGTGGGGCCGCCCAGCCCCCTGCCGGGCCCTCCACCCTCATCCGCTGATGCAAAGCCCGGCGCACTGCTGCGGTGCGCGCCTGCCTCAGCCGCAAGCCGCTGCCTGGTTGAACCCATGTCACCAGGAGCAGGACCAGCACCCGCAGCAGATCTGGATCCTAATGCGGAGTGGCCGTTCCTGCCAGACGCGGTACGGCAACGGGATCCGGGTCCTTCGGAGCGCACGCAGCGCAGGGACGCGCTGTCGTGGCCGGCTGCCTGCCCCGCTGCGTCTGCGACCGGCGTGCATGTGGACACGCCAGCGGAGGAGGAGAGCGCTGCGGCCGCCGCTACGGTGGCTGTGGCGAACGCGCTCTTGCCGGTTAGCGGAATTGAGGACCCGGGGGAACGTAGGGCGTGCCTGCGGGGAGGTACGAAGGAACCCAGTGGATGGAGTGCGGCGAGCGGGGTGACTTATGTGGTCAGGCGGGGCAGGGCGGCTATGGGTCCTTAGGCAAGATGTCCTGAAGGATGGAGAAGCCTACATGCCGTTGCTTCCCTGTCTCAACCACCTGGTTCGTGTGTTTGTGCTTGGACTGCCACCTTCTGTGCACTTGCAAAGACAGTGCGACCTTATATGTGTCCCCTTCCCCGCCCTGCATGACACAAAACCTGCCTGCCAGGGCCGCAGCCGGCCGCAGCCGCAGCAGCCAGCCTCCTCTCCAGGGAGCCCCGGCTGGGGGTGGGGGCCGCGGACAGGGCGCCGCGGCGCACATCCACGTTGGCAACACTCGCACGCGGCGTGTAAAACTCCCGCACATCCTCCACCTGCGGGTTGTAAGAAAGGCGCGAATTAGCATAACATATGGGTTATCTGGGTCAGGTGTGTCGTGGGCCATTTGGGTCTGCTAAGCTCGCAGCTAGCGGTGTCCCGGTAGTGCCTGCAGGCCTGAGACGCCCCCGGCGTAACGCAACCCTGTTACCGCGCACCGTTTTGAAGCAACGCTTGACGACCTGGCGCGCCTCCAGCACCAGCTTGCCATCGTCGTGCAGCGGGCAGCGGTAGTCGATGCCCACAACGGAGGACCACTCTATTTCAAGTGCGACCACCTGCATTTGCGGGGAGGCGCGGCAAACCCACATCGGAAGGTTAAACGCCGGAAGTTGCTAGCGTATGCCTCGCTTGCAGAAGGCAGACTATATATCAATATGTATCACTCCACGGAACCCTACATGTTTAAGCGTGTGCTGATCTGTTGTGCTGAGGCAAGGATCGACCCGTTCGTGAGCAAATAACGACGGTCACGCTTCCATGCACGCGAAAAGAACAATACTGCTGGCCCCATACCCCTGAGCAGAGGTTCGCGTTCCAGCTGAATCTGTGAAACGCTATGGAGGCACACGCAACTTCGCCTGCGTCCCTTGACCCAAACGCCCGTATGCCCAGTCCTCACCCTGTGTGCCGGGCTTTCGTCTGTCCAGCTAAACGGGTTGTTTTTGTTCCAAAGCCTAGTAGAAACGTGCTGGAGAGCCTTGCCAAAGCGTCCATCAGCCTGCGCAGCGGAACTTTCTGTCGACTCCCAACCAGAGGCGACGACGTGCTAGCCGCAGAAGGTACCCACCTGCTGGGGCTCCTCTCGGAGCACTATAATAACGAACCTCTTGTTCTCTTGGTCTGAAAGCAGCGCTCGGTATGGACATCGACGAGGAGAATGGACACTGGACAGTGCAAGTAGCGCACCGCTGTCAGCATGGGCATAATGGCACAAAGTAATATTGTTTCCGTTCTCTAGCTACACTTACCCAAAACTAAGCGATGTCAAGTAATGCAGTTTCGTCATGTCTATGGCAAGAAAGCTGAAGTAACCTGCCACCTGTATCCCAGCACGCCCTCATCAGCGTAGCTGGGAGTGCTTTACCTTGGAAACCAAGGGCGCCAACGGGCGCTTTGCGAGCATGTACGACATTCTTCGCAGCTTTCAGCAGCTTTCCGCGACAGAGTAAAGTGTACCCTGAAATGCAATCATACTCTGGACTTAAATTCGCACAAAACACCTCTTAACCGTGGACTAGGAGTTTGGTTGAGATCAACGGCTGAAGATAATTAGGGTTGGTTGGTGTAAGGCATGCTTAGCAGCAGTAGTGCATAGGAAATCTTGAAGGTTCAACCTGCGTATGGCAACAGTCTACCCTGACCTCCATCGTATCAGTCACCACCATCGTTTCATCGCTGCCTTGGGCTGACCCATGCGCAAGTAATGACGACATCGAATTACCGCGTAAAATTTGTCTCACATGCTGATGAGCCTGATATCATTGTAGTCGCCGATGAGACGGACACTATAGATGTCATAATTCAGCAGGTGAGCACCTGCCCCTGGCACTGTGCAACCAATTCCGTATGCGATGTCCAAAACCTTGGCGAGTCTACGGGTAACTTGCCTTGCTGTGTAGGTTTGTAAGGCCCGGCAGGTTCCGCCGCACAGGCACTTGCGGATACTGTGCGCTGGGCGGGAGCTATATGCCGGTAAGGGCCTCCCTGCGCCTCCCATGTCTCTAAGCCTTCCATCGGGATATGGGTCCATCGGGTATGGCTTCGGCCATGCAGTACACTTCAGGAACCACACTCTGCGGGCGTTGCGGTCGCGAGCCACGTCCCCCCTCCCCTCACCTCCCCACCGCCGCAGACGACCCGGTCTCCAAGGCGCGGGCCAAGGTGCTGCACTGCACGGTCACGGACTCGCCCCCGCAGCGGCCCCCGCCCGCGCCCCCGCGGAAGGTGGCAGCACCGGCAGCACCGCCCCCGCCACCCGTGGTGGAGCAGCCGCCCGTCGACTGGGTGAGCCGCGACTTGCACCCGGGACCCGCGGTGCTGCGGCCTGTCCGGCCTCCGGGCCCACAGAAGCCTGGGCCTCATGAAGAGGCAGAGGCTGAAGTCATATACAGAATGAAAATTTTAAAGCGAATACTGCGTGTTGCCAGGTCATGCTCTGTAACGGTCAAGTGTATTAGTTTGGTTTGCCAGCTTGCCCATATGTTGGTGTCTCCCCCCATTCTTCTTTTCCACCCTCGGCCCCCCCCGCAGCTAGACGTGGTGGACCCGGGCACGGTGCTGATGTGGATATTCGGCTCCATCCTGGCGCTGCTGTGGCTGCTCTTCGTGTTCTATGGTGGGCGCAGCCAGCGGGGGATGGGGAGGGGGCAGCTTGGGGCCCAGCGGCATGACGCAGGGTGGCGGTCCTGCTCCCGAGGAACTGCCCCGATCCCGGTTGCCCCTGCGCAAACACTTACCGGTTCTTCCCTGCATGTGCTGTCGCGGCGGAATGCTTGCCGTTCGCAGTTCCCCTGGTGCATGGAAGGGGGGGCGCTCTCTCCGCCGCCCATTCCTCCAAAGCCTGGGCTAGCGCTTCCCCTTCACCCCATTACCCATTTTACCCCCCCCCAAAGCATTCTGGCTGTCTCCGTATGCGCTCGCCGCATGAGTCGGGATACGGTATTGGGACGCCACTTGCTTATTCTTATTCTTTACCCCATGTCCCCTCCCGCCCCTTTCCGCCAGCCCACATGTTCGACCGCACCTCTGTGGTGATGCTGGTGATGATGAGCGTGGCCTTCCTCATCCCCTGCCTCCTCAGCTACCTGCCGTGGCCCTCCTTCCTGCAGCCGCACCACACCCGACCCGCGCACCCGGGGGGGACGTACGACGCGCAGTACGACCCGGCAACGGGGCGCTCCACGGCGGTTGGCGGGCACCAGGGGGGCGCGTGGCAGCGGCAGATGTACGAGGGAGACATACCGCCGCGGCCGCCTGCGAGGGTGCGGCCGGGCAGCTGATGATGGGCGGGGCTTGGATGGGCCGAGGGTGGTGTATAGGGGCTACTCCGGCCTAGCGTGTAGGAAGGATAGGTGTTTGTTTAGGATGAGCCGCGAGGGATTAGCGATTGTGCAGAGGAATTGGGGGATTGCTTGCTTGTTTACGCTCGAAGAATGGGGGACACGAACAGAAATCCGAACCGAGGGATGGGGGATTGTATGGCTTGGCAATACGTTGGTGGCTGAGGGTGTGATAGAGTGTTACAATGTTGCTGTGGTCGGTGGCAACCCGGGGTGAAGCCCCGGACAACGGATACGAGTGAGTCCAGTCGAACTTAATATGGCCCAACATGGGTGGCTACTGAGGTTACTGGGGCTCCTGTAGCGCATGGCAAGGGCATGAGCGCATGACTCTTGCGGTGGCTGGTCGGGAATTGCCGGCAGTTGAAACGAGTGTTCCTGCGCGGCCGGGTTTGGGGAGCTAGGTGCCCATTCCCTGGCAGGCGGCGTGGCAGGGGGGTGTGAGTTGCTGGAAAGGGTGGTGTAGTGTCGGGCCCCTTTGGTGCAGGGGGGCGGGTCCATCCTGCCCCTATTTCCATCTTGCAGTTGAGGACCACCAAGGGCATCCCCAATGGTGGTGGTGGCCTCCTTTTTTCCAAAGGTGGATGAAACTTACGTCGGTACGATTAGAGGCGTAAACACTTGGATTGGGTATGGGAAGAGAGCGCAGTTATCGTTTTGCGGCTGTGTTACGCTGTGAGTTACGGCATGGGTGGACCCACCGAGCAGAGCGCAGCAGGCTCCTGCTGGGCGGTGGATGTGGACCCCGCCTAGTGTAATGACGGGTAGTCCCCAGCAAAGCCCCGGCCCCATGGCTTGGGGCCAACCAGATGCGAGAGAGTTTGGGTGCATACCGCGAGGTGAGGATGGCGGTTCCATGATGCCAGGACCTGGGGGGCCCCGCAGTTGGAAGGCAATCAGCGCAATATTCCATAACTGGGCAGTATGGGATCAAGCTGCTCAGCCCTATGGAAGGCACGGATTGGTGTCCGCTGCGCTCTTCTCCTCGCGGAATTGGATGCTGTGCGGTTGCCCAGCCGTTAGTACGGCAAGACCGTGTAGTAGAATTTCTGCAGACACGGAAACTAAGTTGCGCAGGCTGAAGACAAATCATAACACATTTCAAAGCTTCAAGATGGCTACGCTGTCCTGGACTCGCAAGGCGTTCTCGGCTTGCCGGATGCCAAGTAGGACAGCTTCTAGATCGCGACAATGTGTCGATCGATTTTTTTCACTGCAATCAAGATTCATAAATTACTGCTAAAACAATCTGTGTTTGGTGTGCAGCGCGCCGGGCGCCTGTCGTGCGGACATTCGCGACCAAGGGAGATGAAATAAAGCAAACGGTGGCCACCAATAAGGTCGTGGTGTACTCCAAGACTTACTGCCCTTATTGCTCGCGGGTAAGCAGCCATTGCGAATTTTCCTTGCGCTTGCCGTGGTCAGCAGTAGGTTTGGACCGGTGGGCGTGATGGCTGTCGGCGTGCTGGCGCGCAGGTGAAGGGCCTCTTCACCGACCTCAAGATCCCGCACAAGGTGCTGGAGCTGGATACCATGGGTGAGGCGCTTGGAGGGCAGCGGCGTTGAACCCAGGGCCTTGGCCCAACTGCAGCTCACCCGTACCTCCCGAGCAAGCTGTGGCTGCTATGCCGTACATGATGGCACGGCTCGTTGCATGTGCAGGCGCCGAGGGAGCTGAGATCCAGGACGCGCTGCAGCCCATCACGGGGCGTCGCACGGTGCCGCAGGTCTTTGTGGGTGGCAAGTTCATTGGCGGCTGCGATGGTGAGTTGGGTTGGGTTGGGTTGCTGGTGCGCTGGCTTCGTTGGGCCTTAACGGCACCGCCCACTCAATGTTTCACAACGTCTTTCCATCTCACAGTAACTGCATATAGGAGTTTGCACCCCTGAAGTGCATACGTACATATGTGAGGATGGACTCTCTGGGGATGGGGTCAACACCCAACGCGCATCGGCGGAGCATGACATACTCCAACTGCATCTATTTGGACCATGCCTACTGCAGACACGGTAGCCGCCCACGCCGCCGGCAAGCTCAAGACGGTGCTGGGCGAAGTTGGCATCGCCATCTAGGGTGCCGTGCAACCGTACGCCACGTGGGACATGGCCGCAAGGAGTTCGTGTAATTCATTTACAACAATTCCTACTTTACCTACACGTATACACGTTTTGTAACAAAAGCTCCTCACGGTTCCTGACCCTCGTTGCGGTAGTTAAGAAAGTATCAAGACCTACCAGCCGCCTCTATTCCGACTTGTCATCCATATTACTCAGAGATAAGTTACACGTATTAAAGAAATGGACAGCGACGGAGAGGGGGATGAGCGCGGCGGCGGCGCAACAGACGTCCTGGACTTCGGCTTTCAGGAAGAGGAGAAGAAAATTGGAGGCCGGCGCGCAAAGAAGTTGAAAGAACAAAAGAAGAAACTTAGGGCTGGCACTTTTGGTAAGGTGGTTTGCATGCGGTAGTCAGCTCCATTGGTCACTCTAAACACTATGGCATACCACCCCACCCAAAGCAAGTTGCATGAACTGTGTAGCACTATTTATCACCGAGAAGTTCGCCATCGCGCAGTCCTCCATTCGGCCGAACCGCGGGCCGCAACCCTGTCTTGATACATGGCGCACCAACCAATCGCACAACCCAGCGAAATCCCTTCCCCTCTGTGCCCTTGCCCCGCTCCCAGACAACATGGGCTTCGCGCCGGAGGTCCTGCGCGCCATCAAGCGCAAGGGCTACCGGCTGCCCACCCCCATCCAGCGCAAGGCCATGCCGCTCATCATGCAGGGCCTAGACGTGGTTGGCATGGCGCGCACGGGCAGCGGCAAGACAGCGGCTTTCGTGCTGCCCATGATACACAGGCACGTGAGGGGTCGGGAACGTCGAAGGGGGGTCAGACGTGTACGCGGGGTTGCGAGGGCAGGCGTTGAGGGAGCGCCTTTGGGAAGGCTATGCGTCCGGCGGCGGTGGCGGGTTCGTTCGCTGCCTCGCTGCCCTCCGCCCCAGGCTGCTAACGACCCCTGCCCCCTGCCTGCCGCCTCTCCGCCCCGCTGCTGTGCAGGCTGAAGCAGCACAGTCTGAAGGCGGGCGCGCGGGCGGTCATCCTGGCGCCCACCCGCGAACTGGCGCTGCAGGTGGGGAGGGAGGGAGGCAGGGGGGGGAGGGAGGGGAGGAGAGGGAGGGGGGCGGGAGGGGGGTGGCTGGCTATCTGGCTAGGGACAGCGGAGCGGAGCAAAAAGGAAGGCGTTCAGGCCCTGGTGGTGCAGGACGCACCAGCCCTGCTGTGTGCAGGGCAGGCAACACAGCCCCCAGCAGACGCCGAGGAGGCGCTTGCTGCCGGACAGCCAAAGCAGCTCCTCACTCCCCCCCTCTCTCCACCTTCCCTCCCCCCCCCACTTGTATCATTATCATACCACACTTTGGAATTTCTTTTCCCCCCCCCCCCTGCAGACCCACAAGACGGTTCGCGAGCTGTGTCGCTTCACCGACCTGCGCACCGCCTGCCTGGTGGGCGGCGACTCCATGGAGCTGCAGTTCGAGGAGCTGGCGGCAAACCCGGACATAGTGGTGGCCACGCCGGGTAGGGGGGGTGGGGAGGGTAAAAAATATAATGAGACACTGACGATGCAACTGACGAGCTGTATGACAGGGGGGGGGAGGGGGAGCAGACTGGGTGGGGGGGAAGAAGAAGAGTGAGTATGAGTTGTGGGGGAAGGGGGAGCAGGGGTGAGCTCGTGGGCAACGGGGGATGTGTGCTGGTGTCTCTGGGAGCTGGGTGAGGGCGGCGCTGGGAAGGAGGTGCGGCAGTGGAGGCCAGCTAGCTGAGTGAGGTCCCCCCCCCCCTCCCCCCCCCCCGGCCCCAGGTCGTCTGGCGCACCACCTGGAGGAGGTGGAGGGGCTGTCGCTGCGCTGCGTGGAGTACTGCGTGTGCGATGAGGCGGACCGCATGTTCGAGATGGGCTTCATTTCGCAGGTGGGGGCAGGGGGAGGGGGAGGGGAGGGTGTAGCCAGGCTGGTCTGGAAAGGAGGGCCGAGGAGGCCTCGTGAGACTGACCTCGCCGTGTCGGTGTCTGACAGCACAGTCGCCACGCAGGCCGCTAACGAGGCCAGTGCGCATTGAAATGCTCCTCCCCCCTGGCCTCGCCCCTCCCCATTACTCCTCCCTCCCCTCCCCCCTCCCCCCTCCCTTCCCCCAGGTTGCCGACCTGCTCCGCAAGATGTCCCCCGCCCGCCAGACGCTGCTGTTCAGCGCCACCCTGCCCGCCAGCCTGGCGGAGTTCGCGCAGGCGGGGCTGAATGCGCCGCAGCTGGTGCGGCTGGACGCGGAGCGGCGCATCAGCCCCGAGCTGGGGCTGGCGTTCTTCACATGCAGGTGGGGTGGCGGGAAGGGGGCGGGGTACAGGTTTGCACACACAGTGAAGGCGCCGTCTTTGTGTTTTCCTAACACAAAGAAGGCGCGAAGCGCTTGGACCCCAACAACCATGGGACTGAGACGACGTGCCGTACGCACCACCCCCAAAACCCACCCCTTCTCCTCCGCCCTCCTTCCCTCCGCCCCCCTCCTGCCCCCCCCTGCCAGGTTTGAGGACAAGGTTGCTGCGCTGCTGCACCTGGTTCGCGAGGTGGTGTCGGGGCGGCAGCTGACCATCCTGTTCACCGCCACCCGCCACCACGCGGAGTTCCTGTACACGCTGCTGCTCAAGGAGGGGCTGGACGCCACGTGCGTGTTCGGGAGCATGGACCAGGTGGGGGGGGGCGGGAGGCGGAAGGAGCAGGGGGGGGCAAGGGGTGGAAGTAGGAGACACGCTAGCGTATTCCCTTACAATACGAGGGTCTTCTAGCGCTCTAGGACTACGCATGCGTGATCTACGCGTGTATTTCTGCACAAGCCTGCCCCCCCTCCCTGCTCCGCCTCTGACCCCGCAACGCCCCCATCCCCCCCCTGTAGACCGCCCGCAAGATCCACGTGGCCAAGTTCCGCGCCGGCCGCTCCCACCTGCTGGTCACCACCGACGTGGCGGCCCGCGGTATCGACATCCCGCTCATCGACAACGTCATCAACTTTGACTTCCCGCCCAAACCCGAGCTGTTCGTGCACAGGGTGGGTCGCGCAGCCCGCGCGGGGCGCTCCGGAACCGCCTACTCCCTGCTCACACGAGAGGAGCTGCCGTACCTGCTGGACCTGCACCTCTACCTGGGCAAACCCGTAAAACCCGCACCCCTGGTTCCGGAGGTGAAGCCCGAGGGCATGGAGGGCGGGGCAGCGGATGCGGCCAGCTTGGCGGCCGCCGCTACCTCGGCGGAGGAGTCGCTGTACGGCGGTTTCCCCGCTGTCGTACTGGATCCGTTGATTGAGCATGCACGGGAGTTGGTGGCTGCGGCTGCGGACCTGGAGGGCATGCAGCGCACGCTGGCTAACGCGTGGGGCATGTACTGCAAGACGCGGCCGCAGGCGAGTGCGCAGAGCGTGCGGCGGGCGCGGGGGCTGGAGAAGGAGGGGGTGCACCCGCTGCTGCTGGCGCTGCTGCCCAAGACCAAGTACACGCAGATTGAGGTGAGGTGCGGGGGGAGGTGGGGCTTGGGGCTACGGGGTACGCTGGGGATTTTGTGGGCTGATCACCCCCGCCAGCCATCTCTCCTTTGCTCTTCCACCCTCCTCCCAAACCGCCTCCATCCCGCTCCCTCCCCTACTCCCTCCTCCACCCCCATCAGAACGAGGTTGCCCTAGCCCAGTTCACGGAGCGCCTCAAGTCCTTCCGCCCCGCCGCCACGGTGTTTGAGGCGGAGATCGCGCGTGTGAAGTCCACCTTCGCCAACCCGCTGCTGCTGGAGGGCGGGAGCGGCGCGCTGGGGCGGGGCGGCAAGAGCACGGAGGTGATGGCCACCAAGCGGGCCGCGCACGCGCACATCATTGAGAAGGAGCGGCAGAAGAGGGTGAGCAGAAGGGGAGGGGAGGGGTTGGACTGCTGCGGTGTGGAAAGGCATGATCCCGTCCCTCATCCCTCACCGCCACCACACCCGCACCCACACCCGCACCCGCGCCTCGTTGCTTGCCTGTCTTGAACTCCTGGCACCCCCCTCCCCTCAGATGCGGCTGGAGGAGGAGGAGCGCAACGCGGCAGGGGGGTCACGGCGGCGGGGTGCTGCAGAGGGCTCTGATGAGGAGGAGGACGGCGAGGAGGAGGAGGAGGGCGGCAGCGGCAGTGGCGGCGAGGAGGAGGAGGGCTGCTCAGGGGATGACAGCGGCGAGGAGGAGGAGGGGCAGCAGCGCGGGGCTCAAGCAGCCGGCCCCAGCGGCCGCGGCGGCAGTCGCGCCCGAGCCAAGCAGGCGGCCGCGGCCGCCGCTGCGTTCGGCGACGGTGTGGTGTCTGAGGGGCGCTACCGCGACCCCTCGCTCTACATCAGCCACGTGCGCGACGGGCGGCACCGCGACGAGACGTTCGAGGCGGAGACGCGCGCCGCGGAGCTGCAGTCGGCGGTGCTGGACCTGACGGCGGAGGACCAACAGGGTGGGGCACGATGGGGGGAGGGGGGAGGGAGGGAAGGGAGGAGGGTGCTGCATAGTGGATAGTTGGCGTGATGGCAGCTGCTAGGATATCTTGACAGCGCAGGCTGTGCTTGCCCTCTCCGCCCCTCGTACCTCGGGTACGACGCGTGCCCTCAGTCCATCTCCCACCCCCCTTCCATTACCCTTGCCTCCCCTCCTTAACCGCCCCCTCCTCACCTGACCCCCCCTCCCCCCGCCCCCCGCCAGGCATGTCCGACTCCAAGCGGCGCTACCACTGGGACAAGCGCAGCAAGAAGTACGTGCTGCGCTCCTCCGAAGACACGCAGCGCAAGGGGCGCAAGCTGCGCAACGAGGCGGGCAAGATGGTGCAGCTCAAGGAGGGCGAGCGGGGGGAGCTGTACCGCAAGTGGTCGCGTGTGCACCACAAGCGAGTGGCGGCAGCGGGCGACGAGGAGGAGGCGCCGAGGGGGGGTGGGGGGCTGGGGGAGCGGTTCGAGCGGAAGAACCGGCACACCAGCTACAGGGCAGCGGCAGCGGGCGGTGCAGCCGGGGGCCAGGCGGGAGGAGGCAGGGGCGGCAGGGCGGCGGGCAGGGGCGGGCGGGGCGGCAAGGGCGGGCAGCCGCTGGGGGCGCGGAATGCGGGGCTCAAGACGGAGGATCAGGTGCGGAGGAGCGGGGCTGGGCGGGTGGTGGGAGGGGGTGTCCGGGGACGAGGGTAGCGCGTGTGCTGGCGGTGGTGCCGCCTATCCCAATGCCGTGCCCTGACTCGCGGTTTGATGGCTCTCTGACCCTCCTGCTCGCTGTGTGATCCCATGCAGGTTCGCAAGGAGCGCAAGGTGGTGGAGCGGCGGAAGGCCTGGTTGTCGCACAAGCAGCAGCAGGGAGGCAAGGGAGGGGAGGAGCGAGGCAGCCGGGGTGGTGGCAGCAGCCGGGGCGGTGGCGGCAGCCGAGGCGGTGGCGGCGGGCGGGGCGGTGGCGGCAGCCGTGGTGGTGGCGGCGGCAGGGGTGGTGGCGGCAGGGGTGGTGGTAGCGGCCGGCCGGGAGGTCGCGGAGGGGGGCTGGGTGTGCGTGGTGGCGGCGTCAGCAAGGGCGGTCGCGGCGGCCGTGGTGGCGGTAGGGGCGGAAAGCGGCGGTAAGGCGCTGGGGGCGGCCGAATGTGAAGGGTGTGGCTGGCGCAGGACTTGGCGGGCTGGATGGCAGATCGTTAAATGGTACGACATGGCCCTTTAGCGGATCTTTCGCGACATTGGCTTCGGGAGCTTTTTTGCTAAAGCTGTTGATGTTAAGTATTATAGCGTAGGTATACAACATGCAGACTTTTGCTGCCACCGTTAGTCATTACAAATGCGCTTGCACAATGCCAGTAACCAAACGCTGCAATGCTCGAACCAGAGCCCAGAAATGCGGCAGGCTTAGAACTGTAACAGTTCAATCTGCGGCGGGGGTCCTATTGGACCGGTTACTCGGGGCATTCGGGTCTCGTCCGGATGTGGCGCAAAGGTCCGTCGCGCTTTCGCACTCTTAAGATGTATGCGACTTAACATGTAATAGACACGAAATTAAAGGGTTTGTATTAACTTCGTCTAGGCAAAGGCTACGCGTGGCGAGCGCGCAACTCCTTAAACTGCTTTGCGATGCAGCGCCAGATTTGACGCGCGTTAATCAACTTGTTGACGAGCTTGCTGGAGCCGAAGGGCAGCCGTTCGTTGAGGAGTCTCTCGGTGGCGGTATGTGGGTGGTAAGTATGGTGCCAAGGGTTGAAACCTTGCCGCATGCGGCATTGCACCGCTAGCCGTACATGCCAAACAGTACGCATGTCAGCCGTGGCTGTAACTGTGTGAATGGATAGGAAACCAAGTGAGGACATCACTGCCGATCTCTCCGTCGCTTAATTCAAGGAGAGCTCACATACTGTGCTGTGTACGTTAAGCGGGCAAAGTTGAAGGTGGAGCCCGCTTTGGCTTTCCCCCAACCCCATGACGCAAGGTGCGCTTCACCCGCGGCAAGCCGCTCCTCTGGAACCTCACCTACAGCACGGGCCGCCTGGTCAACAGCAACAACCGCGCCTCCCAGGAGTTCGACCCCTCGGTGCGGTCCGCGACCAACGTGGTGGAGCTGAACGGGCCGGGCAGCTACATCGCGGCGTACGGCAGCTACGAAGCCGTGGTGGGTAACGACTTGAGTGCTGGCGGGTTGGATGGGAGTGCACGGGAAAGGGCGGGCAAGGTTTAAGCCCGGCTAGCATTTCAGGGTTCAAGCCGCTGAACCTAGGTACCCTAGATCCCTCGCTCCCGCCATTGTTGACCCATTTTCACCCCATCCCGCCCCTTCTCTCTCCGCCCTCACGCCTAAGTGGCTTTAACCTGCCGCACTCCCAACCGCACATGACCCCCCCAGGACGATCGCGCGCTCACGCCCAAGACCATTCGCGCGCGCATCCGCTCCGGCCGCCTGGTTGCGGGCCCCCTGGCGCTGCCGCTGCCCATCTCCGGCAGCGGCCTCTTCCAGGTGCTGTACGTGGACTCGCAGCTGCGGCTGTTCCGCAGCGGCGCGGGTGCACTGGCGGTGCAGGTGCGCGCCGACTGCCTGGGGCCGCCGGCGGGGGGCAGCAGGTAGCTGGTGGCTGGTGGGAGGTCAGTGGCGGCCCCGCGGTGGTTATTGGCGTGATAACTTTGGGGGGGTGGGTGGGTGGGGAAATGGATGTGCACAGCGGCTAGGCAAATGGTATGCATTGGCGTGCGACGGGGAAGATGGGGTGTTTAGTTCGGTAGGCAGGGGCCTGGCAGGATGGCAAGAAGGCTTTATGTAGGTAGTACAGCTGCTTTTTGCATGGTGCCCTGTAAGCAAGAGCCGGCGCTGGCTTCGACTGCATCCCGTTTTGCACTTCCTTGTGACAGCACAATGTGCTCGTGACAACATGGTAAAGGGCGCCCCATGTCGAATCGGCCTAGGCAACCGTTGGCTTCATAGGCAACGGCATAGACAGCACCACCACGGCGCTTGCGTGGCTTACTTCATTGTCTGCAATACAGACATTGTGCAGGCGTTAGGTGGCACTTACTATGCCCCGTGGATGTGGATTTGGTTTGGTTTGGCTTGCTCGTAACGCGACCCAACGGGTCGCCGCAGGCGAGACAGATACCCGACCACAACAAGTTGTTGATTGAAGCAGTTCATAACTTTTATTCGAATAAGGATCTACTGTGCGGGAAAGCTAGCACATCAACAGCATTCCACTGCGGTTTTTGCCTTTAACTGTCACGCTTCCGCCTGATGCACGCGGTCCCTGCGGCCTTTAGCTGCAACATAAAATCTTGTACATATGGACTTCATTGAGGATTTTCATTAGCCGTGCAGCCACTATGCGAGTCTCTTAGCAACTATCGTCGTACGTGCACTTAGAAGATGTTTGCCAACTCCTTTTACTGCTTGCCTCGAGTTTTTGTAGGAGTACATCCATATAAGAAGTAACGCTGTGACCTTCACGTGAGAGTGCTAAGGACGAGCGCACCTAGCTAATAACTGCCCGCCGCGTAACTTGCTTTTTGTCGCCTTTCCTTTTGATCCTAGCTGTGTGAGTTCCCGTACGCTCTGCCATGCCTAAAAAGGTGGGCTTCCCGCTTCACGGCCACTGGACGCTATGAGATGGTGCTTGAAACTCACACCACAGCTCTCTTCTGGCAGGTTAAGAAGGGCCCTCCCCTTATCACAGCGGAAGAGGATCTTGCTGCATTTGGTTTTAAGCTTAGCGACATAGTGCGGACCCCGTTGGGCATTACCGCAACAGTAATTGGCGTGAAGTAAGTAGCCCGCGGCGTTCTGTAGCATAAACTTTGCACCAGTTCCGCTTCCGAGCGAGATGTTGCGTATAATGGATTTCGTGTTTGGGTCGAGACGCTGTACAGATTGCTTCATCATCCATCCCTGTGCGGGCGGAACGCTAAACTTGAAGATCCTATTCCCTCCTCCCGTTCCCTTTAGTTCCAGTTACTACCCCCTGTGTGCATCTCTGGGCCCCTGAAACGCAACTTGCAGGTACGAAAGTGCAGAGGACAAGCAGACTGGGAGAGTATGGGTTAGGTACGAAAACGGGCATGAGGCGCCTTTGGAGCCGAAGCTCAACGCGGGCTTCATGTCGGCACTGGGCTATCGGAAGTGCTCCGAAGCGGACCACATCCGGCGGGATGTGGGGGTGCACATGGCGGAGCAGAAAAAGCAGGACGATGAGCGGTACGTCGTGTGGGGTGCAGGCGGCCTAGTTGGACACGCGGGTGGCACGGTGGCAGTACAGGGTTAGGGGATGCCGATGAGTTCTGCGGTTTCGGACGACACGATATGCCCGGCTCGGCATGGATTGCATTCTTGAACCGCTCGTATCGGCTTCACACGCTGACCCAAATCGGCTGTTAGACAGGGCGGGCCGGGCAGTTCGGCCACTTTCGTTTGCCTCCTTTGCAGCCTAACGCCTCAACACCATGCTGTTTTGGCTACCCTGGTGCCCCTTCTAATGACACAGGAAAGTTGTTGAGGAGGTGATGCGGTGCAAAGAGCAAGGCCTGCCCATCCCAGAGCATTTGCTCCCGAAGCCAAAAGCAACCAAGAAGAAGGATGCCAAGAAGAAAAAATAAACAGCAGCGCTAAGGGCCGACGCCGCTCTTGGTGAATTCTAGATTCCCGGATGCTTCATATTGAGACCCAGATGAGTGTCGTGTATGGGTCATTGTACATATGTCTTAATTCCAATGTCATGCGGCAGGGGTGGGTAGTCAGGTGTGCGGGAGTGGGGGCGGGTTGGGAGGCGCATGCATGCTTGCATGGCAGTTTGGCAGCCGCAGGAGGGGGGCTATGGAACATGCAATGTCCCGTATAACGGTATTTTGAACATTGCTTATAGCAGACATTTGAATGACGATTAGGCTAGGAGTGGTCAGTAGCGCAGACATGGCGCATGTGTGTATGTGTAGTAGGATTTTATGTAGTTAGTTCGTGACCGTGTGGGTTAGTGCCGTTAGCCTGCGACTTGCCCAACGATATACATCACATTGAACATGATATGTCTGCAACAGGTGTAGGGATGCCCGACTTATAGCGGCCGTCATATGGGTTTTCGAACATGGTAATTGATGTTGGGTACGGAAGGAGTGGAATGTGTAGAAAGCATGGCCGCCCTGGGCTGGGACCTGGGAGCAACAGGAGGGCCAACGGTCGCCGGAAGGCGGTGGGGGGCACCGGAAGCGTGTATCCGGTTCTTCAGTGGCGCTCTGCATGGACGTGCGCATTGGCATGGGTGGAGCCCTAACATGGATAACCCGAGGGGGCGCTTGTAGCAGGCTGAGGACAAATATGTCTGGCTCCAGTAAATCATGTCTCCTCTGGGGTTGAACCAGAGGGCTTGCCCGTACCCTTGTGTTACGCCTCACATGACCTACCTGGTTGACAGATTGCGAGCGTGGGGGGGGGGAGGTCGCTGTGCGCGCAGGATGCCCTATGAGGGCCGGCTTTGCAGGGAATGTGCAAACGCACGGTAAGGCCAGCGGTACAGGTGAGAGATACGGGGTCTTTTGATATTGCCCCGGCCAACTGCCGGCGAATTTTCCGCGCGGCTTAGCAACGCCACCCTCGTTCACCCGGCTACTCCTTGACACATGCTTAGCCCCGCAGTCCACAGAAGCTAAGAACACATTTCCCTGATAGCTGCAATCTGAGCTGGACCACCACAGTTGCGTAGAGATTGCAGGACGAGCATGCATTATTTTGCGGCTGGAAAGGCCCAGATGGTTCCCAGTTGAGTATCCGTTGAACAAAGCTAGCATGCGGGGGTGCGCGATGGATAGCAGGTAGGACCAATCGGCTCGACGCGTCGTAGTACGCTGCAGCCCGTTTGCTGGAAAACCCCATATAGGAGGGCTTCAGTGTTTCTTATGTGCGTGCGTTAACGTGTTCCCGTTTCCGTGAAAAAATGGATTTCCAGCGTGCACGCGTGATATTATCGGTAGGCGAAGGGGCAACTTATAATAGCATTTAGCATAAGAAATATTTATGCACAAGGTGCAAAGGAAAAGATGTTAGGTGCAGTATCCGCGCCAAGCCATAATAACTTGCACGACACCGTTATGATTCTGCATAACGCATGGTCACCACCCCACTTTGCCGTACGGCCTGCTTTCCCGTCAGTTGTGATTTGGTCTTTGTGCTTCTGAGCGCACCTCAGGTACTAATGCAACAGTCCAGGTATTAGCTATCGTCTTGTCAATTTTGAACCCACCTTCCTATCACCTTGCCTTCTCACAGGTCGGAACACTAGGTCCGACCCGACAAATGCCTGAAACTCTTGAGCATCCGCCTTAATGGCCCAACAACTTGTGGGGCCTTTTGCTCCTTCACCAGCTTCAGCGCAGCCAGCGGCCCAAACGGAGGCCCAGCAAGGCACTGCTGGAGCGGACGGGGTTGGAGCGCCGCTAAAGACGAGGAAACAGTATACTATATCTAAGCGTCGTGAGCGCTGGACGGATGACGAGCACGCGCGGTTTGTGGAGGTCAGTTCATTATGCAAGACCCGGTGCACTTCGTGGCCCTATGGTGTAGAGAGCATGTTGCAACACTATTTATTACATTTACAGCTCTTGCATCATGGATTGTACCAAACCTAAGTCGCTGGAGTGAATCTGCAGGCTCTCAAGCTGTATGGCCGCCAATGGCGCAAGATTGAGGGTAAGGGTGCAGCGCTCTGGTCACTCAAGGGCGCGTTTTGTCTACAGAAATGTAATAATGACTCCTATAGAAGGGCGCGGCCTTAGCTCTCGCCTTTTTTACATCCACGCCTCGGAAGATATGCTCATTTCCGTGTTGTCGCCGTTCCTTTACAGAGCATGTCGGCACCAAGACTGCAGTCCAGATTCGATCCCACGCACAAAAGTATTTCAATAAGCTGGAGCGAGGTACGTAGTATGGGGTTGTCGGAGCCTTAACTGCTGTACATGAGGAAGCCCGGGCGGCTGACGATTCGCTTGACCTTTCCCTACAGCTGGTGGTGGCGCGGAAGCCATTGAGGTGCCTCCACCACGCCCAAAGCGAAAGACAGCGCCTCTTCCGCAGCGTGGCGAACAGCAGAGAGGGACCACTGGTAGCGATGGTGCAGGACAGGGAGGCGAGGAAAACGGTGGGTTTTCATGCACGCAGGGCGTGCTTGAGTGGGTTTCCCAATGAGGTTCTACAAAGGCATGTTCGCGGCATCAAAGGACTGCCCATCGACTCATCCCCCCTGCACCTCCCTGTCACGCAGGCTCTGACGGCGGCAACGCCCTGCAGCCGCTTACAAACGATGACGACTGGTTGCCGTCCGCGGATTTGCAGCAGCACCTGCAGCAGCTTCAGCCGTTAAGGCAAGGCTCGCGACCGCCCAGTCAGCCGCCCCCGCTGCCGTTAGGACAACCAACCGGGACGTCACCGCAACGGCTCCAACCGCTGTCCTCGCATGCGCTGGTGCCGTTTCGCCCCCAGCTGGCTCCTCTGGCCGGCCCCGGTCTGACAGCCGGGCAGGACCTCCGGTCCGCGGCAACCGCCCTCCAACCGCCGCCTGCAGCTGCCGTGGCGGATCCCCTGCCTGCGTCCGCTCAGCTCGCCCAGCCATCGCAGAGCATGCTGCCGCTTCCCGCCGTTCCCAGGACCCTCTCCCTGCCAGTGCTCGGCGGGCCGTCGCAGCAGCTGCTGCTGCCGCCTCCAGGTGCCGCCGGGCCGCCACCGCTGCAGGCCCCCCAGCCCTCCCAGCCCCAAGCCCAGTCCCGCTCACCGCCCCCGCTTCCGCAGCCCCAGCCGCCTCCTCCGCGGCACTCGCTGGCCGACAGCATCGCGCGCAACATCGCGCTCAACATGGCCCAGTGGGCGCAGGCGCAGGTGGCGCTCTCCGACGCGCCGGGCGCCTCCGCCAGCCACCTGGCAGCGTCGCACGGCGGCTCGCCTGACCGCCAGACGGTGGAGGCTGTGGCGGCGGCGGCGGCAGCGGCCGCTGCTGCAGCCGCCACCGCCGTCATCTCAGCCGCCGGTGAGGCCATTCAGCATCGGATTCAGGAGAAGGCCGCCGCCGGCTTCCTGCCGTTCCTGGTGCACCCGCTGGCGGAGCTGATACCGCCCACTCTGGCCGCCTCCGCCAGCGGCGCCACCACCTCCGGGCACAGCGCCCCGCCCTGGGCGCTGTCGCTGCCAGGCCAGCAGCAGTCGCTGCTGCACGTGCTGGCAGCGTCCAGCAGCGGTCGGGGTATGGGCGGATCCGGGCTGTACAGCCACCACCACCACCACCACCACCATCACCACCACCAGCCGCCCTCGCAGTCGCAGCAGCAGTCACAGCAGCACACGGCGCCGCAGTCCGCCCGCCCGTACCGCTTCTCGCTAGACCAGGGCGCGCCGTCGGGGCTAGGCGGCCTCACGGGGAGCGACCCGCTCACGCACACCCATACGCACACCCATACACACACGCGTGACGAGACCACCACAGGTCAGCTCACGGCGACTCCCGGCAGCAGCCAGCAAGTGCAGCAGGCGGTGTCGGGGCCAACCAACAGCCCGCAGCACATGTCGCCGAACCTGGCGGCGGCGGCGGCTGGCGGCGGCGCCGTCCCCAGCGGCAGCGGTGGACTGGGTGTGACCAGCAGAAGTCTGATGCGGATGGCTAGCCTGGGGGCACAGACACAGCCGCTGTCGCTGTCGCTGGCTGCTCTCGGCGGGGTTGCTGGTGCGGGTCGTGGCCTTGGATTGGAGTCGCAGCCGCAGCAGCAGCAGGCGCAAGCATGGGAGGCGGGTCCTGGCGGCGCTTCGGTGTCGCTGCATCCCTCCGCGTCGGAGCTCATGCACGCTCTAGCACTGACGTCACCTTGGGATGAGGAGCCAGGTCAACAGCAGCAACAACCCTCCAGAGAGGGACTGGGGCGGCTGATGGCTCATGGGTTGGCCGCAGCCGCAGAGGGCATGCTGGGTTTAGACACGCATCCTTCCGCATCCGCTGCGACCCTCACGAGCGCGGAAGGCCTCGGGGCGCTGATCGCAGCTGCTACGCTGGGGGCGGCGGGCGTCGCCACCCAGCCCCAGCCCCAGCCGGGACCTCCGCTGCCTGCGCGGCCGCCACAGGACCCTCAGGCGCCGCCGCCGCCCCCGCCGCAGCACCTGATGGATACGCATGCGTTGCTGCCTGGCTCAGGTCCCTGCTCGGCCTTCCAGGTCCTCCGCCCTCCCCCTGCACATGGCCATCCGCCGCAGCCGGCCCCTGGCTTGGCGCTTACCTCCCTCTTTGATCCACGTATGCGCGCGAGAGAACAGCACCAACTGCAAGACCGGCAGCAGCATTGGAAGGAGCAACCGCCGGAGCAACTGCAACAGCAGCCGCAGGTGGAGCAGCTGGTGCAGCACAACCTGCAACAGCGTCAGGAGCCTGGCGACATGGGCAGCGACCCACGGGTCCGTGCACGTTCGCCGTCCCCTCCACGTGAGCATCACCACCATCACCATCAGCCGGTGGAGGCAACGCAGCAGCTGGCGTCACGGCGTCACCCCCTGCCTCCCCAGCCCCCCCATACCGACGTCCATCTCGGAGGCTCCCAGCGGTCCCAGCAGCGGCAGCAGCAGCAGTCCTCCTCCCAGCAGCGGCAGCAGCGCCCATCCTCCGACGCCATCAAGCGTGAAACAGCTTCGCAAGACGAAGCCAGGCAGGAGGACCGAGGCCGAGAGCGGGAGCGAGACCACCACCATCACCACCACCATCATCACCATCACCATCATCGCAATAGCGACCGAGACAGGGGCTCAAGGTCTGCTGTCATCGCACGCAACGGCGGCGGCTGTGAGACCGATGACGGCCAGCAGCGCCCGGGTGAGCCTGGCGCCGCCGGGAGGCCCTCCTTGGAGCTGGCGGAGGCTGCGGACAAGTCCTCCGGGGCCTCGGGATGTGCCGCCAACGCGGGGGCGCAGGCGGCCGCTGCAGCGGGCCGGGCCGCGCAACGGGTCGGGGCCAACGCTGGCGACGCAGCAGCAGTTGCGGCAGGGAAGCCACTCGACAGCGCTCGACACCACCATCACCATCAACACGGTGGGGGTGAGGTGCGGCATCCGGATCTCGACATGGGAGACCCGCCGGGGCTGCTGGGTGACGGCGACGCGTCTGCCGGGTTGTCGCACCGCTGCCTGACCTCGCGGCGACCGCACCAGGACGCCGGCGGACCGCATCACCAGCAGCAGCAGCAGCAGCCGGCCGCGCAACGTCCCGACAGCTCTAGCGGCGGGGAGGCAGCACAGGAGCAGCAGCAGTCGCACCACCACCACCATCACGCGGGCAGCCATGCGAAGCCGCACCCGCACCCGCACCGACTTCCCCAGCCTCCGCAACCTGCTGCTCCTCAGGGGCAGCAGCCCGGCCGAGACAGCCGCCACCAGCAACACCAGCAGCGGCAAAGGCTGCCTTCCAGCGGCCCGCAGCCGCAGGAGTCAGCTCGCCAGGCCGGCAGCGCACCCGCACACCGTCACCATCATCATCACAACCCTCCCAGCAGCGCCGCTGGCGGGGGCGGCGGCGGCGGATGGCTCGACGACTACGGCCTCGCTGCGTCCGGTGACGGCGCCTACCAACTGGGTCAGCTGCAGTACCTGTCGCAGCACACGGGCCCCGGGCTCAGCGGCACCACCGGCTCCGCGCTGAACAGCCTGCAGGAGGTGCTGCATGGGCCCGACCTGGCGGCCATGGTGCCGCTGCTGGCGCCCTCATGCAACGTGGCGGGAGCCGGCGGATCGGGTTCCGGAGCCCCGCTGCAGCAGGACGCCGCGGCGGCGGCGCAGCTGGCACGGCTGTCCGGCTCTGCGGAGCAGCAGCAGCCGCACCAGCAGCATGCGGGGAGGCAGCAGGGGGGCCAGCAGCTACGGCAGCAGCAGGGGGCTCAGACGCAGGGGACGGACCAGCAGGACGGCGGCTCGGGCAACGGCACGGATGTGAATGTGTACATCCGGGATTGCTCGCTCATGTCGCCGTCGGGGCAGATGCCGCACTCCTCCTCGGGTCCGTCCTCGCAGCATCACCCGCCCTCCTCGCAGCACGGGCAGCGACAGCAGCAGCAGCAGCAGCCGCCGCCGCAGCAGCTGCCTCTTCCAGGGCCGCATGTCGAGCAGCAGCAGCAGCTGCATGGCCTAACGATGCAACAAGCATCCCGCCCAACAGCCCTACACTCACCCGCTCCGGAAACATCTTGTCAGCGTGACGGCTCTTCACGCCAAACCCCGGACCAAAACGCCGGATCAAACGCGGAGGCAGCGGCCGCCGCTGCCGGCTCGCCAAAGGCCCCGCATTCCGGCAGTGATGCCGCAAATGCTGCTGCCGCCGCCGGCGGCGGCAGCACCCATGCCGCCGCTGACACCGCAGTTCCCTCAGGAGCCGTCACGACCGACGCTCGCTGCGGCAGTGGCGGCGGCGGCGGCTCAGGCGGCGGCGCCGATGGCGTTCAAACCAGCGGACCAACTGGGGTTGCTGCGGCACGGGCCCCGGTGCACGGCCTGGGAGCTCGTCACGAGACGCCGCCTGTGGCGGTGTCAGCTGGCACACGTCAGGGCCTCAGTGCCGGCGCAGGTGCGGCCCTTGCTGCTCGATCCGTGCAGGCCAGCAACCCCACCGGCACGCAGGGGGCGGACACGCTGACAGGTGTTGGCGCCACGGCCGGCGAGGGTGCCGAGCGGGGCACTGCAGTGACCGGTGCGGAGCCGAGGTCTCGGTCGGACAGCGGCGGGCAACAGCGCCAGCGCTCGGGGTCAAAGTCGGGTAGCGATTCGGGCGCAGCTGTGGCATCCCGGGAGGCAAGACCGGGTACTTCTAGCATCGGGGCGCATGCGCCATTGCTCGGGACAGCGCAGCATCGAGCTTCCGCCGCTGCTGCTGCTGCTGCTACCGCTACTGCGAAGGGCGCCACTACAAAGTCCGGGAGCAGCACGGAGGGCAGGGTGGGGGAGAGGGAGCAGCAGCGGACGTCCAAGGGCACCCTGGACGCGTCGGAAGGGGCTGCGGCCGCCCTGACACCGCCCCTGGAGCCCGGGGCTGCAGGGGTTGCGAAGGCGGCAGCTGCAGGAGCTGGCGGAGGCGGAGGCGCGGGAATGCCCCCAGCGGACCGTACCAAGCGGGTTAGCTCTGGATCACTTGAGGGAAGTCGGGAGCGCGTCGGGGGCAGCGCGCTGGCTGCTGCTGCTGCTGCTGCTGCAGACGTGGCCCACCTGCATCAGCAACTGCAGCAGAGCCGTTCAGCAGCGGTGTGGCCCCTAGCCGGGCACTTCATGCTGCCGGCCTCGTTGCTGCAGCACCCGCAACAGCAGCAGCTGCTGCTGCAAGGCGCTGCTGGCAGCGCCGGCCTGTCCGGCTCCGGCTCCATGCCGGGGGCCGCCGACACACTGGCCCTGCTGCACCACATGCTAACGCAGCAGCAACAGCAACTCGCCATGCAGCAGCAGCAGCAACAGCAGCAGCAACAACATGAGCTGCAACAGCCGCCCAGCCTCGTATCCACACTAGCTGGCTTGTCCGCCGGGGCGCAAGCGGTAGCAAACATGCTGGCCATGCAGCAACAACAACAGCAGCAGCAACAACAGCAGCAGCAGCAGCAACACCAGGGATCCCAAGGTCAGGCTGCTTTGGAGCCTCCTGCCGCCGCCGCTGCTGCCGCTGCCGGGCTTCCGGAGGTTTCCGCCGCCGCCGCCGCGGGCTCGGGGCCCAGTCGCAGCGGCTCCGCTGCCGCTGACACGCTCACCCGGACCGGGGTGCTAACACGTCCACCGTCGCTGCCACTGCCGCAGCCTGTCTCCCAGGTTGCCTCTGCCGCTGCCATTACCACTGCCGCACCCGAGGCTGTTGCCGCCGGACGAGGCGCCGGTGCTGTCCGCGGCTCCGGCAGCAGTCCGCTCGACCCGTCTGCTGCTGCGGCGGCGGCGGCGGCTGGGCCGGCGGCGGGGCCGCCGGGTGTGCAGCAGGCTGGCGGGGCCGGGCCGGCGGGTGCTTCTGCGCTGCTTCCGCTGCTGCTTGGGGAGCGGGCGATTCAGCTGGAGCACATTGCGCGGCTGGAGGAGGTGGCGCGGGCGCTGCAGTACGCCTCCTCCCTGGCGGGGCCGCTGGCTGCGGTGCTGCAGCAGCCGGCCCTGCAGCAGGCCTTCGGGGCGGGTGTGGCGGCGCAAGGTGAGGAGGGGTGGCTGGGTGCGGGAGGGGCCTAGGGGGGGATGGGGCGGCGTTCTAGGGTTTTGCATGTGTGTGTGTGTGTGTGTGTGTGTTGCTGTATGGACCAGGAGTCCTGGGGCATCCAGGGCCAGTTTTGGCAGCCTCCTCGCCCGGTCTCGACCCCACTCGCTGGCCTGACCTGCAGGGGCCCGGTCTGGTTCGGGCGGCGCGCTCCGGCCCGCGGACCCCTCACCGCCCAGCGTTAGCGGCCGTCTGTGGGAGACGGGGCCGGCGGAGGGCTCCCGCGGCGCTGGCGAGGCTCCCGGGCAGGGTGGCAGCGATGAGGGGGCCGCTGCTGCTGCTGCCTGTCGCTCGCAGCCGCGCTTGGGTAGGTACTTGCCACTTCCTCCGCTGTCCTCCCTGGCTTGCTTCGCGTTTCGTGATGGATTTCCGCCCGCCGGGTGGCCCTCCTTCCCTTGCGTGAGCACATATGTATGGAGCCCGAGCGCACATGCACGAGCAGTTTGGCAGGTTCCGTGCTCACCAGGACATGTCTCGCGCTGCCCCCATCTACTTCCACACCTGCCTCGCAGCCGCTTCCGCTCCTTCCATATCTCCTCCGTCGGCGACAGGGAGACTCGCGGAGCCCTCACAAGCGCAACCTCAATCGCCCTTACCGCAGCCGCAGCACCGCAGCCGCACCGGAGCTGCCGCCCCCACCGCCGCAGACCTGTCCATGCCTCCTGTTCCCGACGCCGCTACCTCTGCCCTCATGCAGCAATGGAGGAACGCCGCAGCTGCGTACAGCCTGCAGCCTCTGCTGCGGGCGGCACAAGCTGCCATGCCGCCAGCCCCCGGCATCCTAGCGCCTGGGCTGCAGCTGCCAGCTCCCGGATCCATGCTGGGACCGCATTCCGCGCTGCTGCCGTACTCTGCGCACCCCCTGCTGCTGCAACAGCAGCACATGCAGAGCCACCTGGCGCACAGCCACCAGCACCAAGCGCAGCTGACGGCCTCCTACCTGCAGACCATGGGGCTAGGCCTGGGCCTGGGGCCGGGCCTGCTGGGTGGTGCGGGCATGGCGGGTCAGGCGGGGGCGGGGCTGGCGAGCCTTGCGGGTCGGGGGCTCAGCGCTGGTGCTGGCGGTGGAGGTGGCGAGGAAGCGCTGGGACGAGGAGCTGCTACGGATCAGAGCCCGCGGCCCTCATCGGGAGCTGCAGGGTCGGCAGGTCAGCAGACGGGCGTTGCGGCGCCCTCCGGTGGCGGTGGGGCCCGCGGCGGTGGCGCGTACGCTCCAGGCATTGCGCTCCCTCCGTTAGCGCCCGGCCGCGGCCATGCGCAGCGCCAAGCGTTCCTGCCCCAGGACGAGGGCGGCGGCTGGCCCTCCGCGGCGCCGCCCAGCGATCCGCGCCTTAGCGCCGGCGCCGGTCGCCGCGGCAGTGTTGATGGAGCCGGCGGCAGCGGAGGATTCCGGCCGTCGCATCGTCCCGTTGGGGACGCTGCAGCCGGCGCCGGCAGGGGTGTGGGCGGGACTGACGACGGCGGCTCTGGTGGCGCTGCCGGCTGCAGCGGACGCGGCCTGAGTACGGATAAGGCCTCCGACAAGGATGCTGGCGGCAAACGCAGCCTTAGCGACCTGTACGGCGGCGCTCTCGCCGCAGCGACGGCGCAACGCGGCAGCCGCCACAAGTCCTCCCGGCGCCGCCACCACCGCGGCCACAGTCCGCAGCGCAGCGTCGGCAGCGGTGCCAGCAGCTCGGGTTTCCATGGCGGCGGCGACAAGAGCGGCGGCGAGGAGGCTAACAATTGCCCGCGTCCCTCCCGCGAGTTCGGCAACAAACAAGGCGGTGCTGCTGAGCAGCAGGACACGGCCACGAGCAGCGGCGCCAAGGAAGGGCATGGAGCCGGTGGCGGCGGCGCCGCCGGAGGTCTGGGCGGCAGCGGCAGCGACCGTGGCGGCGGCTGTGGCGGCGGTGGCGGCCTCATGATGCCGCCTAACAAGCACCCGCGGCTGGCGCACGACGCTGCGAACAAGCTGGCGATGAAAGGTGGCGGCGGCGGCGGTGCTGCCGGCGGCATGGGCGGCGGCGGTCACGCCGGCCGCTCCACGCCTGGCGCCAAGGATGCGAGCCCAAGCAGTGGCGGAGGCTCGGGTGGCTCCGGCGGCGGCAGTGTGGGCGGCAACAAGAGCGGCACCTCCAATGATGCCTTCGACGGCAGCATGAATGCCTCGGACGAGGGCAGCAACGAGCCAGGAAACGCACCCGCGGAAGGACCCATGGGTCAGCCCTTGCCACCATCTGACGGCGAGGGACGCCTAGGCATGGGCGCAGGTCGCGACGTCGATGGCGTCAATGTGCAAGGCATGGCGGTGCAGGGCGCTGGCATTCAGGGCGGCGGCGCGCGCTCCTTCTCAGTCGCCCAGCCCGACCCGCCCAACCTCAACTCCATGCAGGGCCAGGGCCAGGGCGCAACCGGCCAGGGCCAGGGCCACAAGCGCCAGCGCTTCGACGCTGCAGCCGCTGCGGGCCAGGGCGCCACCACTCCGCAAGCCGCATCGGGCCAGGCGGACGGGGGCAGGGGGTCGCAGGGACCCGGAGCGGGTCAAGCGGCGGGAACTGCGGGAACGGGCGGCTTGGCATCCGGCGGCTCCGAGCGGCTCCGGGGTCAACCGCCGCACAAGGTGCCGCGCACGGGCACTGCCGCTGGTCCCCACGGCGCCAGCCAGAGCCCTGGACCCGGCGGGCCGGGCGGCGGGGCTGGCGGCACTGCGACTGCCGCCGCGGCGATGGGCGGCTCAGCCGGGCGCAGCCAGCCCCGCGGAGAGAGCCCGGGTGACGGCTCCAACGCTGACAACGGCTCCCCGGGTCGGGAGGCGGAGCCTGAGGCGGGGGACATGTCGGATGGAGCCCGGCGGACTCCCGAGCAGCTGCACCACTACCACCATCACCACCACCCGGAGCAGCAGCAGTCGGCGCGGGCGGGGCCGCCGCAGCCGTCGCACCAGCGACCCGTCGGGTCACTGCACTCCAATGTGGCGTATGTGTTGGAGCAGGGCAGTAGCAAACACGGCACCGACACGGGCCACAACAACAGCGGCACGGGGCCGCGAAGCGGTGTGGGCAGCAATGAGGGAGGGAACGGCGGCCACGGCGGCAGTGGCAGCAATGAGGGAGGCAACGGGAAAGGAAGCCAGGGTAACGGTAGCCATGGCAATGGCCAGGGCTCTAACGCCAATGGAAGCCACGGGCAAGGCAGTAACGGTAACAACGGCAACGGGTCCAACGGAAACGGCGCCTCAACGAACCTGCCGGGCGGCGGCCACCATGCCTACTGCCGTACACTCGCCGGCACGCCGCAACGCGACAGTCCGCCAGCTCAGAGCGGCGGCGGTAACGCCAGTGGCGGCGGCGATAGCGGCGGCGGCGGCGCACATGACGGCGCCAGTGGCGGCGATGCGCCGCCTCCGTATGACATGGCGAAGGCGTCTGACGTCGTGACGGGACAGCGTCAGCAGTCCCAGCAGTAGTCAGCGGTGCTCTGGGAGCGGCTGGCAGCGGTGACGATAGCTGTCTGGTGCATGGGTAGGGCAGCAGAGGCTGCTGGGGCAGTTGATGGCTGGGATGTGAGGCGCTGGCTGGGAGCTGTGTGCATGGGAGGTGAAGGAAGGGCTGGCATACTGGCTTGCATAGCGGTGCAAAAGTATAAATAGCATAGTGACGGCACTTTGGCAGGGTGCCTGGCTGTCTAAGCTAACTGGAGAGACGAGGAAGCATGAGGTTTGAGAAGAAAACCAAGCTCGCTGGGCGGTTGCATGGGTAGTGGAGTTGGCCGTGCGTGTGCATTGACGGGGGTCACTTTAAGCGCATGGTGAATGTTATTGAGTGAAGGGCATTGAGTTTTGATACTGAGTGAGGGGCATTGAGTTGAAGGCTACTGCTATAACATACAGTTCTTCATAACGCAGGCGTTAACAGTCAGGGCCAGCATACACTGGCTATGCTCACCGCTGAAGGGATTTGCAACGCTTGCAAGTCCTAATACCCTTTCACTTCACGTTTACCGGTTGAGGGGTATATGTCGCTGGGGGCTGTCTTGCAGGGACGGATGCTAGCGAGGGCTCAGTTGGGGTTCATGGAAGACAGGGAGGTGGCGGCAGGAGAGGGCGAGTGCAGCACTGGACAAACATTGTCACAGGCGGAATAAACGTGCAGCTATTACTGGGGCTAATGGACTTTCTTTTGATATGCAAAGCTTCCTTTTCCAAGGAAACGCATCAAAGCTATATGCAAGTGGTTGGGATTTCGGATGATACTCGCGAGGGTACAATCGTACCGTGCCGTAATTGTTCTGATCTCGCTCTTTCGTTATTAGTTCTGTTAGTAGTATAGGCCAGGGGTTACTGTTTCATACCCAAGCTGATTTCTGGCAGTGGAGAAACACCCAATGCATCGTCTCTCTCTAGCACTGTAGGGTAGTACTGCATGCCCATGTATGTGCGGAGGGTTGGTTGGGGTGGTTGGCGGTTGGGAGTCTTCTGTCGGGTTACCAGTGCCGACAGGGGCATGCCCGGTGTGGTGGATCGCGTTGCCCCATGCATATAGCAGCGGAGATTTCCAACCTGTACTGCAGATCAGGAATGGGGTGTTGCATGCATATGGGGTCGCTGGACAGCGGGGGCCGCGGCGGGTTCCTGCTGGCCCGGGGCTGATGCATGCGGCTGCTGCCCGGCCCGGCCCGGCCTGTTGTGCATGTCGGGTGCTGTGCTACTGTGCGTGGGAGGGGCGCATTTCATTCGGCTTATTCTATTGTACAGCGCCAAGAGCGCGCGGAATGAGAGAGGGACACATAGGAAGAGCGGCGGTGTGACATTTGAGGGTTGCATGTTTCGTTACCAAGGAAAGGCGAGTGGTAGAGGCAGGGCCATCAGGATGTATCCGTACGTGTCCCAGAAAACGGAAGACGCTGCCATGTTTATGGAATGTAACGGCACTTTGGGTGTGGCACTGTATATGGTATGCGTTACAGGTGCCTTCGGTTATACGATTCAGCTCCTTACGCACGCCCACGCCGACTGAAACCAATGGGGCAGTACGACGCTGCATGCTGTGAAGCTGCATGACATCGGTCGCCTAGCCTTCATGCACTGCTGAAGCCCCGTTACCTTCAAAGGAATGCCGGCGCAGGCTGGCGTTACAACTGCAGCAGAGTGATGTGATGACAGAGAGCCAGTGCAACAGCAGGAAGCGCATATACTTTCTCTGCGCCGACCCAAGACACATCACACGCTTGCATGCAACTCGACCACACGACGCGCCTCTCCCCTCGCAATCACTGCTCAGGTCGGTGCCACCCATGAGCACAGCGCCGAGGACCAGATGGTACTTCCAACTTTGTTTGTATGTAACATCATCTCTTGTGTAATCCCTGCCAACCGTCACGAGAAACGGCCCAGCGCAGCGCCCCTGTTGCCGGGAACTGCAGTTGCGGAACACTTCCCCCCGGGCCGGGACAACCAAACAGCCGCCGCAAAGCCACCTGTCAACCACCCACACCCCGCGACTAGAACTTGAAGGTGTCCCCGCCCTTCGCCTTCTTCGCCGCCTTGGAGTCCTGCGCCGCCTGCTGCTTGCGCTTCTGCTGCGCCGCCTTGGCTGCCACCAGGTCGCTGAAGTCCTCCCGCCGGTTGGCGGAGCGCATCTCGGCGACACGCGCCTCGTACAGCGCCTTGATCTGCGCCTGCGGGCCGGAAGGAGCAAGACGACAAACAGAGGTCCAAGTCAACAAAAACGCGGCACGTCACAATGGCACGCTATAGTGTCGGCCCTTCGGTACAAGTCAACCGAAGACCCATTTGCCTAATGCAAGATTGTCGTACGCCATCTTTCCCCACACGCTAGGTCGGGACAGTGCTCCCTTGTCCTCGTCCGGTTTTGCCCCCCCCCCTCCGATCCACCCCGCCCCCCAGCCCCCTCGTCATCCAGTTCGTCAGTTATTCCTAATTTCTGCCCCCAGCCCCCTGCCCCGCTCCGCACCTCGTCGAGCCCCTCCAGCTCCTCGGGGCTGATGGTGACCTCCACATCGGCGCCCAGGTGCTTCAGGAAGTCGGGCCTGGAGGCGGGGAGGCAGAGAAGGGGGGGGGAGGGAGGGAGGGGCAGGGAGCGGTGGGAAACGAGGTGAGCGCGCTGCATCGTACCTGCCGGTATGGCCCGTATGGGACTTTGAGAGTGCGCTCGCTTTCATGCGTAGATCCAAGGCTTGCCGCGACTGCACTGAGGCGCTGTTTCCCCCCTGGGGCTCGCTCCACCTGCCAGTAGTACCTCCAGGCACGTGAGCCTGCTCACTACAGACTCGGCGTGTGCTACATGCATTAGTGACACGCCACGTTCCCAGCAGCACCCGTGCTTCCTATCTTGACGCAAAAGCCCCTGACAGTCTAGGAGCTCGCACCCTCACATCTCCGTTCCACCCCTCACCGCCCCACCGCGCCCTTCCCCCGTCACCACCTACTTCTTCTTGCCGCCCGGCTGCTGCTGCTTGTCCGCTGCGGCCGCCCCCGGGATGACGTACACGTGGTCGGTCCCCATGATGCCACTGGCGCCCACCGCCACCTGCTTCTGCTCCAGAACCGTGTACAGCTGCCGCGGCCCCTCCGGCTCCTTGCGCAGGTTGATGGTGTCCGGCGTCTCGATGCCCGAGGGAAGCGAGGAGGCGATGCCGGAGGCCAGCCCCGAAACCATGCCGGAGGCCAGACCGGAGGCGATGCCCTCCGACATGGCCTCCTCTGTGGGGGCGGGCAGGGGGGTGGGTGGTGAGATGCTAGAACATCACAGCAGGATGGCAGGAAGCAACATTGCTGGGAAGCTGACTACGGCTATTTGTTTTGCATGTCTTTGCAAATTCCCTTACCGCAATGGGAGTTTGGCCACAGCATAATATTCGAGTACACAAGCGGCAGGTCAGACGCGGATTGTACCGAACGGCCGCGCCTAGTCGCTTCAGCGCACTATCGCCAGTGGTGGTGGTTGCCCCGTCCGCACCCTTACCGTCTAGCTGCTGGTCGCCCTCCTCCTCCTCCTGCTCCTCCTCCTCGCTGCTCTCCTCCTCCACCTCCTCCATCACGCCCCACAGCGCCTCCTTGTCCACCTCCTCGTCGCTGTCCCCCCCGTCCAGCTGCTCCCCGAACACGTCGCCGTACAGCGGGTTGCCGTCCTGGTCCACAGGGGGCTTGCCCCAACCGCCTGGAGGGGCAGGGAGGGGCAGGACGCAACCAGGTGGAACCGTTGGTTGCATGCACTCGACGGCCCGCAGGACAAGTCGTGTGCCCCCCAAGCGCGCAGCTGCCCGAGCAGGGGGATGGGAAACAACGCCTGGTCGAGTTTGCACCAGTGTCTCAACTAGTTCGGCCTCGACCGGGCCCCACTCAGACCCAGCACTGGCGCCCCAACGCCGCTGAGACCCCCAACCAGCCCCCCACCCGTCCACCAGCAGCAGCCCCCCACCCACCGGGGTGGTATCCGAAGCTGCAGCCGTGCGGGATGGGCGCGTTGAGGCCCGGAACCTTGAGGTTGGGGTAGGAGGGCGGCGGGCCGTACCGCTGCATGTTGATGAGCCAGGGCGGCGGCGACTTGTCCGTCATGCCCAGCGCCGCCCGCAGCGTCTCCGACAGCTCGCCGGGCTTGCAGTGCGTGATGCGCGCCTCGAACTCCTTGCCCTCGTAGTACAGCTCGCCCACCCCCGTCAGCGGAGGCGGCTTTTGATGCTTGAAAAAGGCGTCGTGCAGCACCTGGAGCGCAAACAAGGTAATGTGGTGATGTGGGCGTTCGTCTAGGTTCAGTGCTTCGTGAGTTCCCACGTGCTTGCTCATTCAACGACCGCGTCCGAGGCTCGACGCGCGTACTCCCTCTATACGTTCCTACTCGCGACCTGTTGCTTACCTCTCCCTTCGTTCGTCTCATACCGCCGTGGGCATTACGCATGCATCACCATCCTATCAATCGCAACCGCCCTACCGCAACTCAAGAGCTTCCAAAGCAGCTGTCGGTCTGCTACGCAGCATCCGCCCAGCCGGCATCCTCCTCCCACATTCCCCCTCCCCACACTTTGGAATTTCTTTTTTTCCCCCAGCCGCCCCGCTCCCCCCCACCTGGTAGTCGATGTCCATGCGGCCCATCTTGGGCGCCATCCGCTCGCGCTGCTTCTGCTTCATCTTCTTGGCGTCCTCCTTGGCCTGGTAGGCGGTCCGCATCTCCGCGATGCCGGTCGCCTCGATGAACTCGGGCAGCTTGAAGGGCGGCTTCTCCAGGCCGCGCTTGCCCTGCAGGTACTTGCGCTTCTGGGACCAGTGCCGCGGTACGGGGACCGTGTTGCGGTAGGCCTGTGGGGAGGAACCCATGGGGGGGGGGTAGGAGGTTGGGGCTTCACAACGCGAAAGGAGACGCACCATGGGCTTACTAAGGTGGTCCGGGGTGAGTGCGTTGGAGTGAAGTACAGCGTCCAGCTGGTAGCTCAGCGCATGAAACCGCGGCGCAGCAGCGCGTCATGGAGCGGATGGGGACACCCGGCGACCAGCCATGGGGACCAAACGCGACATGGCGGGTGCCCGGGCCCACATGAAGGGTCGAACGCAACCATGGATACTCAGGAGAAGCAATGTCATGCATGCTGGCTCCACCGCAGCTCAGGTCCTGCCCTACTTGGTGCGATGTATAAAGTGCATCCGGCTATTTCTGTAAGCCAGGTGCTGGGAGTGGGGAAGCCGCTAATGGGCCGAACACATGAAATACAAGCGCCATGGCAACCCTCAGCTCGCAGGAGTGTTAAGTGTGCACATACAACACCGCGCGGCATGACCGCAGCACCCGTGCACGTATGCCATCCCGCCCGCCTCCCACATCCACCTTGAGGAACACCAGGAGCGGCGGGTCGGGCGCCGTGACGTCCCACACCTCCACCACCTCTGGTCGCGCGCACACCGCCTTCAGCTCGGCCACTTTTAACCGGTTGAGCAGCTTCAGCTTCTTCTTGCTCAGCTTGCCCTCCACGCCCTCGCCTGGGGACCAATGCAACGCGGGTGTGCGGAGCGCTGTGAGCATTTTGCATTCAAACCACAGGACCATGCATTAGCCCCCTGTTGAACGATGTTCAGAGTCCGGCCGGCCATGGGGCATACAGCCCACCACCGTCGCCGCACGCCCGTCCCCTGCCGCTGCTGCAGCTGTGGACCTCCGAGGCTACAGCGCCTGCAGCCTGACTTGCCCCTGCGGGGGGCCCAGGGGACCGCTGCTGCATGTCCGTCCAACCGGGGCTGCTGCGGGGGGTCCGCACCAGCAGCTCCCGTCCCTCCGCCAGTGCAGCTGCAGCTGGTGCGACTGCGGCTGCGCCTCACTGCTGTCCTCGCCGCTGCTGCCGCCGCTGCAAACCGTGGGCCGCTGCCTCCAACTGCCACGCCACCAGGGTGAAGCTAAATGCGATAGGTGGTGGCAGTGCAGCATGCCGGCATTTGATGCCGGTGCAAGAAGACAGAAACACTGGGCAGCACGGTAGTGTCATGTGACTGCACGTGCGGAGACCCCGATAATATTATGATGATGTCGCACCCCGATAGCTCTATGACCATGTTCCACAACTACGAACACGGCAGCTGCGTCCTGTAGCCCCAACAACCACGCTCCTTGCCAACCGCCATGGACGCACCTTCCTCGTCCTCGTCGTTCTCCTGGTCTGAGGTGGTCGCTCTTCGGTCGTCCTTATCCCGCGTGTCATCCTACGGTACGGCATACCAGGGCGCATGGACGCTGACATATGCATGGGGCACACTGGCTGCTTTGCTGCTGCGTATCGTGATACATGGAGGCGCCAGGGCCAGCTCTCTAGTAGCGGGTCAGGGGCACGCACGGCAACGCCAGCATTGCACACCACCCACCTCATCGTCGTCCTTCACCTCTATCGCTCCCGTGACCTCATCTGCGGAGGCGAACTTTTCAAACACCTTCTTGAACTCCTCGTAGGGGTCTGGACCGGCTTGTGGCGGGGGTTCCTGCAGTCGCAGCACCGCGGCACCCAGCGGTTGGCGCCTGACCCAGAACCATGCACAGCCAAACGGGATTCCACGCCTGGGTGCGGGCGCCTCCTCGACACAGCATACTGCCTACATGCCCATCGTACACGAGCCGAGTCCCAGGGTGCAAAGGCAAGAGGGACCCCATCCAACGACCTCCAATGACTAAAGAGTGTTGCAACCACGGTTGCAGTGTACAAACAGCACCATTCGACTAAAGCTGTACGGGATAAGGGGATAAGCACCTGTACTCGTAATCCCCACACGCCGTGCTGTGTGAAGCCAGGGGACTCACCGCCGGGCGCGTAAACCCGAGGCCTCCAAAGCCCAAGCCGAGCCCCGGCCTGTCTGGGTCCTCCTCTTCATCTGCCGTTGACGTTGCTGCAGCGTCGCCCCTTAGCGCTTCCAAATCGAGGGGGGCTGAGACGTACTCAATCACGATATCCTCGTCTTCCCCATCCTCCTAAAGGCATCATTGTGCATTCGTTACACGGTGTTTTGTCGCCTTAGGGAAGGGCCTAACCCAGGGTACACTTACCGATGTTATGGCTGCACCGCCGCCTGGCCCCTTCCCCTGCTCGCCTTGCTGCCTGCGTGCATGGTGCCAGCATTTGGCTCAGGCAAGTTCGGAGCATGAATGGGATGAGGCCGCCCGTACCTCCTGAGCTGCTTGTTGAGCTTCTTTTTCTTTCGCCTCTCCTTTTCCTTTTCCGCCTTTGACTTTTTGCCTCCGTTTGCTGCGGGTTCCGGCTGTGCTACGCCATTGGCCAGGCTGCTCACAAGCTCCTCTTGAGCCATACCAGACGCCAGCCCACAGGGGCAGCTATAAAGGACGCGACTTAAAGTGTATGTGCTTTCCTAGCCTCTAACAATAGTAGGTAGTACAAGTTGAGCACAGATGGAGCAATAAAGATCGTGTACCAAGTACGCTTGGGAACGTGGGTAGTTTGTCAGTCTAGTCTATTAAGATCGTAATGTAAAGTTGCTTGGTGTGTGTAACAGAGACAAGCCCCGGGCTTGCGGGGCAAAGGGAAGTGCGCTCCAGGGTTGGCTACGACTGTTCACAGTTTACCCCTCAGTCGAACCACGTTTTTCCCTCTTTTGTCCTCCTTGCGTCTGCAACTAAGGCGAAACCATGGCTGACCAGGTGTGATAGTTATCTCCCGCCGCCAGCAGTTTGTTCATTTCACATTATGACACCAAGAAACTTTACTTTCCTTACAGACCGAGAGGGCCTTCCAGAAGCAGTTCGGTGTGACCGGCTGCTTCAAGAGCAAGGAGAAGAAGGCGCCGGGCAAGAGCGGCCACCGCTTCTACAAGCAGATTGGCCTGGGCTTCAAGACCCCCAAGGAGGCTATTGAGGGTGCGTGCAGCAGCGGCAGATATAGCAGGAGCCAAACGGAGCAGGCGTACAGTTAGCGCTCAGAACGAGCGATGGCCGGCAGGCGCCGTCGTGTGCGACGCAAAGCCCGCGTTAAATAATTAATAAGTCTGCCCGCCCTATGCAGGCCACTACATCGACAAGAAGTGCCCCTTCACTGGCAATGTCTCGATTCGCGGCCGTATCCTGTCGGGTGAGCGCATTTTGGCGGCGGCCTGCCAGCTCTGGTTGCGATGGGAACCATAGATAGGCAGCCAGCATTTATTTCATAAAGTTCACTTTACTTTGTGGTGGCGGCTGCAGGCGTGGTGAAGTCGACGAAGATGAACCGCACCATCATCGTCCGCAGGGACTACCTTCACTTTGTGAAGAAGTACGGCAGGTGCGCATTCTGTTTAGGAGTCGCTTGGCACGGGTTGGGGGTGCTGGATGTAACATGGTGGCCGAATCTGGCTAAGCGGGTGACACGGGGGGGTAAAACACATTCATGTGCGTTTCCTGGGTACAACAATACGGGGCTGCCATTACCAGAGAAGGCCGCAAACATAGCTGTTGGTTTAGGGAAACATGCTCGTGGCAGGACCATGAGGGATCTGGGCAGGGCCTGTATGTGGCCATATGCATAGCTGCGCTCCTCATACAGGGCCTGCGCTAAGGGGTATTGCGGCGTCGGGTATCGTGCGTTTCCCAGCATTTCCAATCTGCCGCAGCATTTCCAATCTGGGTTGACGTCCACTTGGAATGGCTAAGGCGTTAGGGCTAGGCTGAAACCGTCCATTTCACTAACTGCCGGTTCATATCTGCTCCTATTCATATATCTGCTCCTATCTATATATCTGCTCCTATTCAGGTACGAGAAGAGGCACCGCAACATCGCCGCCCACGTGTCTCCCTGCTTCCGCGTGAAGGAGGGTGACAGCGTTGTCATCGGCCAGTGCAGGTGGGCACTGGTATAGTGGGGTAAAGGAGACGTTTGGCCAATGCACGATCCGGGGGCAAGGCGAGCATCGTGCATCACTAGACACACATTGTGTTAACCCCGAAATGTCTGTATCAAAAGGTTATGGGACTCTGTCAAGGTTTATATGCTAACTCCTGCTGCTGCCGCATGCAGGCCCCTGTCGAAGACCGTGCGCTTCAACGTGCTGCGCGTGACTCCCCAGGGCTCCTCCGCCAAGAAGGGCTTCTCGTCCTTCTAAGCGATAGGCACATTGTAAGACTTGTGGCAAGGACTGCGGGCCTCTTTCTCTTATCCTCTACTAGGTTGGGCAGCAACATCCTACCAAACGTTAGGGCACTTGACAACAGCAGGGCCTGTCCACATGCGAGTTCAGTAGTTGCGCCGGACCCTTTAGCAGCCTAACGGAGAAGTCGAAGTGAAGCTCGCCGTCGTGACAAGGGTTGGGTACTATTCCCCCTGGGTAATGTACCGTCACACCACAGCAGGACATGAAGAGGTGAGAGACCCAGTTACAGTTCTCAGCATCAGCCATCGATGTACAGGATCGTACTAAGCCGTTGCCCGCCATCCTATAGGCAAGTAATGCACAACTTACTGCTATGCAAACACCAACAGCACTCGCAGCCATTCACAATGCAACCACAATACTTCAGCAGGGTGAATCATTTGCGACTAGGAATGACATGCGTGCGACAAGTGACAGCTCATCTACAACAAAGCGGCACGGACACGCTTTTTCTGGCGGGACCTGAACAAGTAGCCCATCCAGCCCTGCTGCCTGCTGGGTGGCCCTGCGCTGCCAACGTCGGCCATATGACTGTCGAAGCTTGGAGCGGAGCGTGTTGGTGTTGTGAGGTGGTCCACGGGAGCTGAGACTGCAGCAATTGGCGGGTAGTCTTCGGGCGCCGCGGCGGTGGCCAGGGGGTTGCTGGTGCCACTCGTAACACCACCCAAATCCAAGGGGGTCTGCAGAGGGGCATATCGTACATCGGTTAGTGGTAGCAAATGGAAAAAGGAAGAGCGCTGGGCAGCAGGAAACGTGTGAATGATGTCAACTGTCATGATGTGTTGAGGTCCTAAGACTACAGACCCACCTGGTGGAGGGAGAATGACTGGCCACTCGCCGCTGACATGCTTCCCTGCAAGTGCAACTCCAGCCGTTGCGTCTGCAGCTCCAGCTTCTGTAGCAGCTCACTGTTCTCCTGGGTCAAGCTCTCCACGCGAGCCTGTGATGTCGAGAGCCGGTAGGGGGTTGGCATTCCGCATATAGGACAAACATACAACCGAGACTGCACTAACGCAAGACACCACCCTCCACCTGCCACGCACGCACCTGCAGCTCCGCAACCTGCTTTGCCTTCACCTCCTGCGCCTCCTCAAAGTTGGCGATCAGCTCGTGTATGGACTGCATCAGCCGCAGCTCCTCCTCCACCATCACCGCCACCGGGTCGCCGCCGCTGACGGGCCCCGCCGGCAGCCACCGCGCCAGCTGCAGCGCCACCCCCTCCAGCCCCTCCGGCAGGCCCTGCTGCCCCCGCCGCAGCGCGCCGGTGTCCAGGGAGGACAGCGCGCGGTCCGCCACCACGCTGCTGGGCGCGTCATGCTGCGGCCGCGCAGCTGACCAGTCCACCACCACCAGGTGCTGCTGCTGCTGAAGGTTGTCCGGCGTGTCGGGGCTGTCACTCGAGGGACCGGCGGAGGCGGTGGTGGGTACAAGGGCGAGTTGGCCGTCTGGCCCAGCGCCGCCTCCGCTGGGAGCCTGGCTGGGCACCGCTGTCTCTGGCTGTGGCTGTGGCGTGAGCGCAGCAGAGTTGCTGCCATGGGCAATCGCTGCCAAGTCGACACGCGAGCCGGAAGCGGTCAGGACACCGCTGTTGGTGCGTGAGTGCAGGTTGACAGCCCCGGCAGCGGCAGTACTTTGCTGCGGCACCGCTGGCGGCGCCTGTTCACTCGCCAGGTCGCATTGCACCTCCTGCTCCGCCGTTGGCTTGGGCGGGGCGGCGTGCGGGCCGTACCCGTTCAGCAGCCTGGCGCCCAGCATGCCGTGCGGCCCCACCAGCGCCGCCTGCGCCTCCAGCTTCTCCTCCGCCGCCTGCAGCTTGGCCTCCGTCTGCTTGAGTTTGACCACCAGGTTGCGCCCCTTGAGCTGCACCTGCTGCAGCTCCTGCGCCCGCTCAGCAGCCTCCTGCGTCAGCGAAGCCACCTGTTGGGGGAGCAGACGGCATGCGGCGGTGTCAGCAGCGCAAAGATGGTCACGACCCAAAACGCATACCCAGCGCCGGCACTAGGTGGCCAGCGCCGGGACAGATACTCCCTATAAAACAGGAAATGCATGGGTGTGGACTGCTCCTCTTTTGTAAGCCGCAGTTGGACTGAGCACGCGGCTGACTAACAAGCCTGCCAGTAACCTTGCCTGCTTTTCCAGCGTGCGTGCTCGTTGTTGTGACTCCTCCGCCGCCCGCTCCGCCTTGAGCACGGCGGACTTGAGCTGCAGCACCTGCGACTCCAGGCCCACCACCTCGGCAGCCATCGCCTGCGCCCGGGCGCTGGCCTCCGCGTAGCTGCTGCGGGCGGCGTGGCGCTCCTCCGAGAAGCCCTCCAGCGACAGCGCCTGCGCCTGCAACTCCTGCTCGTACTGCTTTATCTGCGCAGGAGGACCACCGGAGAGGGCGGATAAGCTCTACAGCTACGGGCTAGATGGCCAAAACCCCTGAAACAGCAGCAGCAATTGCCCCAGCCACGAATGGCCCCCAAAGACTGTTAGTGCATAACCAACCAAAAAAACCACGAAGCAAGACAACCATTCAAAGCGCCAACCATCACGTCACCACCTACCTTACGTTGCAGCTCCTCCATCGCAGCACCGCGCGCGTTGTACTGCAGCATCAGCGCCTGGTTCTCCTCCGCCAGCTGCTCGTTGATGCGTGTCTGCTGCTGCAGGCCGCGCGACAGGGCCAGCTTCTCCTCAGTCAGCTCGTCGATGTGCTGCTGCAGCGCAGCAAACTGGGCGCGATTGCTGGTGCTGCTGGCGCCGTTGCCGTAGGCTCCAAGGCCCCTGCACGTTTACAGAACAGCAATTGATTACAGAAAGAGGAGGAAGAGGGAGGCGTTGAAGAAATGAAACCCCACCCTCAATCTCCCTCCCAGCCGCATCAGTCACAAACGGTAAAACAACCACGCCCCAAGTGAAACGGCGTCTGCAAGGAACTTACGTTGCATGCGAGAATTCCGACACGACGCCCATTGATTCAACCGAGGCGCGCCGGGAGTGGTGCCCTCGCAGCTTCATCATGCTCTCCGGCCGGGACAGCGCACCGGCCCGCATGGCCCCCATGTCGCCGCCTGCGTAGCCGCTGCTGCTCACCGCGAGCTCTTCCAGGTGCCCATGCACAGAGCTGCCTTCACCCGCGTCATCGGGGTAGCCACCGTCACGCTCGGGACCCCGGCCAGCACCCTCCTGGCCGTGAGAGCGTGGCTCCCCGCCAACATCCTGATCCCCGGACTGCGACGTGCGCGGTGTGCCCGCCATGCTGGCGCCTGCTGTGCCCTGGGCGCCATCAGCGGCTCCGGCTGCTGCATTGGAATCGGCGGCTTGCGCCGCCTTTCCGTCGCTGCTGTTTGCACTGGCCGGCATCGTGGAGAGCAGGTTGTCCAGGTACGACTCAAGAAAGGACGCGGTTGATGACGTGGCGGCAGCGCTGGCGTCCCCGGCTGGAGGCTGGGCCGAGTAGGCAGACAGGTAGCTGGCGGCGGCTGCGAACTGCGGGTTGGTGGCGCTGGTGGAGGTCGCGGCGGGCTGCGGGGGAGCTGGCGGGCGGGGCGGCAGGCTCGGAGCTGACGACGCCGCCCCAGATGCTGAGGCGGGGAGGAAGGACGTGCTGAAAGATGGTGCAGAAGGAGTGATGGTAGCGCCCGCCGCCTCCCACGGCGCAGCGGTTGTAGCACCCGCCGATGGGTGCGGTCGCTCGCCTTGTGACGCAGCAGCCGCTGGGCGGAGGAATGACGGCAACGCACCATCCGGTTTCTGGAGCCCCAGGCCTGCAGCAGAGGCGTTTGCACTGGCGCCGAAAGGACCTGCTGACGCAAGCGGGCTGGTGCGCCGCTCCTCACCTCCTCCCAGGCCGCCCCAGCTCAGCCCGCTGGCAGAAGTATCCTGCTTCGGCAGTTCGTCGGGCCAGCGGGGATCCGGAGAGCGGAATGAGAGGAGCCCAGCAGCCTCCGCGTTGCTGCGGCCAGAGGCCTCTCCCGGGCTTCCGGAGGCTGCAGCCTTGAGCGGCTCCCATGTCCGGTGATCGGGAGCCGCAGAAGCCGGCATAACAGACCCGCTGCCTACCTCGGGAGAGGAGCCCCAAGCCGTCTGTGGCGAGCGAAATCCCTCGCCTACCCCTGCATGCCCGCCTAAAGATGCGGTGCCGGCGCTGAGCCGGGATGTGGATTCTGTGAAAGGCGTTGCTCCGTACGACACGGTGGGCTGCTCCTCGGAAAGCGACGGCAGGGGCCGAGATGCCTGCGGCTCCTCCTGCACCGCTGCCGGCTGCTCAGGTGCAGCTGCAGAGGCAGGCGCCGTGGGCTGAACCGCGGGCGCCGGAGTCGCTGCGGGCATGGGCGGGGGCTGCGGCTCTTCCTGTGCAGCCGGCACCTTGGGAGTGCCGAACAGCCATGCAAACCGTGAGGGAGCCGGAGGGGCGCGTGCCGTTGCTGCCGGCCGGGCATGAGCTGGGTCCGGGAAGGCATCGCTGCTGACCGCCTGCGGCGTGGCGGCTGCAACCCCACCATCCAAGCCGAGGCTGCCGGCCGGCAACGTACCTGGTGCCCCCGGGGACGCCGCGGGGAACGACAGCGGAAGCAGCGGTGAGGGGGCGCTCTCCCGGGGGGGAGTGGCACTGGCGTAGCCGCCATGAGCAACCATCGGCGCTTCCGCGGGTTTCTGGGTGGTTGCCGGCAGGGTGGGCGTCGCTGCGGGGGCCGGAGACTGCGCGGGTGCGGGTGCTGCGGCTGCAGGGTCTGGGTAGGCGGTGGTTGCTGCGGTCGGACGAAGCGGACTGAGGTAGCTATCCGACAGCTGGTCGTACCCGGTCGACAGCCCCCACGTGGCAGCAGCCGCAGTTGGGGCTGCATATGCCCCAGCAGCGCTGTCGCGCTCCGCCGGCGGCACGACAGCAGGGAGGGACACTGACACCTCCTCCGGGATCGGTTTGGAGTCTGCCAGCGCATGCTGCGTGCTGCGTAAGGGGTCAGCGGCGTGGGCTTGGGTTGGGTCAGACACCGGCGGCGTGGAGTGATGGGGAAGCGTTGAAGGCGCCAACCCGGCCGGGACCACCCCTGCAACGGGCTCGAGTGCCGGAGCCGAGTAAGCCAGCCATGATGGCCTCACGTCCCCACCAACAGGGGCCGCAGCGCTGGGCACAGCCAGTGCGCCCGATGCTACTGTAGACACACTCGCAGCTGTGGACTGCGCGAAGGCTGCGCCAGAGCTCTGGTCAGCAGCGCCTGGCATGTAGGAATCCGACAGCGCCGAAAACCCAGTAGCACCCGCCGAGCCATCAGGGTCATAGGCTTGGGACGCTGCGGGATGCGCAACCACCCCCGCGTCCGACTCCGCCGCTGCAGCATGCTGGGCTGTGTCACCCCACTGCGTCGTCCCCATCGCCTTGGCGCCCGGGGTCCCCATTGCAGTCTTTGGCACGGCAGCGGGGCCAGCGTCACGTCCTCCCGCATCACCACCACCCGCTGCGGGCAAAGCAGGCTGGCCCTCCACAGCCGGTCTGGGCCCCGTGGTATCCCAGGGTGCCCCCACAGCGCCAGCCGTGCTGACACCTGGTGCCTGCCCATCTGGGCGATGCACAGGCGCCGTTGCTGCCTCGGCTGCTAGAGGCGAGGCTGACGGCGCGTAGGACTGCTCCGCGGGCCGACTGCCGGACATGTCGCCCACGGGACTCCCCGCCGCCGCTGATGCTGGCGCTCCGAACCAGCTGCTGGCGGCGGCTGGGGGGCCGCTGGGGCCAACCTGCGGTGCAACGGAGGTCTCCGTCGTGGGGCCCGCGCTCCAGGTGGGCGCAGTGGGGGCCTCAGCTGCGGGCTGCGCCGAGCCGGAGTCGGAGGCTGAGGGAGACCTGCTGTTGCGCTGAGCCACGCTGATGGCGGGGTTGCTGACGGGCAGCCAGGGGAACACACCACTTGAGCTCGTCCCAGGTAGTGCCGGGGCAGCGCCCACGCCACTGCTGCTACTAGGCCGAGGTATTGGACTAGCAATAGGCGACGGGGCGCCGAACGGAATGGGAGCATCCTGCAGGACCACAAACGTGGTTGCGGGTGACTTTGCAGGTGACGGTTCAGCGGCAGGGACAATCGGTGCTGACACCGCTGCTGACGCCACCGGCAGGTGGTGCACGCTCCCAAGAGGTGTTGGAGCCGACGGAGGCCACACGGTGACGCCCTGCAAGGCGCTGTTTGGTGCTCCAACTGCGGACGGCTTGACGGGGGCAGCACTGCCCTGCGGCGCCTGATGAACGCTGCCATTCGCCTCCCCGAGCGTGACTGCAACAGTAGGCGGCGCATCTGCAGCATGGGAGGGTGGCCTTACGCGCTCGGGCAACCCCAGAACACCAAAAGGCTGTTGCAGTGCGTTTCCAGACAATTTCCTGATGTGTATGCCCTAAAGAGTATTGACGTGAGCTTGCTTTGCTAGGACGGCTGTTGGCAGCTCCTAGGTATCCATGGCCCCAACCGCGACAAACTGATCAGGTACACAACCTCAGCTTAGTTCGCACCTGCTGGATGCTTGCTAACTGCAGCTGGCGTTGTCACTTTCCCCTGTGCTTTAGCCTTCCGAAATTCCTCCAGCTGCAAAGGGCGATATTTTAGACACCGGGCATGTTTGGTTTCACTTCCACCCTAGGCATCTCACCTTTCGGCGGCCAGCTTCAGCGAGTTCCTTCCTGCTTTGCATGTTTGCTCGTTAGGCGTTGAAACAGCGGCGAAACTCGCTAAACGCACGGCCGGAAGTCCACGGCTGTAGGCTTCTGGCGGGACCGAGTCACAGCTGTAGATTAAGCTTGCTCTTATGCGCTTTCAGTTGCACCCGCCATTTGCAAAGGTTGACGCACAAACTGCGACGCCCTAGCAACCATGGCAAAGTTTTGAATTCTGTGCGTTGTATCAACCTGCAGTTTAATAAATGCAAAAGAGCATATTCATGAGTGTACAGACCAAGATGATGGATGGATCGAGCGCCTTGGCCTACTCGACTTTGCCGTGAAACGATCCCGCAGGCAAGCAATTCCGATGAGCTCAGCTCGCCTTGGCGTTATACGGTTTGTAGTGATAATACCTCTTTATACCCTTTCCTGATGGCTTTTTGATAGTAATGGGGTCCTGACCCCAGAAGACTTAGCATGGCATTCGCACAGCAAGCAAGGTGTCCGGCGCAGCCCAACGGCGTGTCGCGTTCGCAACCACTCAGTATGCATTTTACTTCCACCGCGTCATTTCGCTCAGCGCTGTCGGTCCCAGGTGGGGCCATGCGCCCGAGTAAGGCCCGCTTGCTCGGCGTCTCAGCGTCGGGCAACATCGTGGAAGGTCATGTGACCTCATCTCCACCGGCGCCTTCTGGCTCAGCAAATGTTGCGAACTCGGGACCGCCTTCTCCCCTCGTCGAGGGGCAGCTGGCGACGGCTGTGACGCCCTCAGCCTTGGGCTCCCTGGACGACATGGCCGCCTTCGTGGAGCGCACCCGACAGGAGGAGGAAAACATCCGGCGGAGACGCGAGGAGGTGCGCGTCACCGCCTTGCATGGCACTGCACTGCTCTACGGCCCCCGCATCGTCTCCGCCTGCTCAGCTCCTTGCCGTGCGCCAGGAACGGCCCCAGGAATGCTTCGCCTGCTGCAGCCCTTACTTCCCTGCGGCCCTTGCTACACAATCCTCCCCCCATAACACGCCTGACGGCTGCTACTGCTGCTGCCCCTGCACTGCCTGCCGCCACCTCTGCCCGCCCACACCTGCTCCCCTCCCGCAGGTGGAGCTGCAGCTGCTGCGCATGCGGCAGCAGGAGGCGGTGCGGCAGCAGCAGGCGCTCAAGCTCAAGATGGCCTCGGAGCGGGCCAACGCCGCCGTAGTGCTGCGCGAGCAGACCGGCGCGGCGGCACCCGCAGCAGCAGCAGCAGCAGCCGCAGCAGCACCTGCAGCAGCAGGCCCGACACAGCAGCAGGAGGGGGAGGACGGCCATGCGGGCGCTGCAGCCGCCTCGGCAAGCGGGGGTCCAGGCAGCCTGCCGGCGGGGGGGCCGCCCCGCAAGAAGCTGATGCTGAAGAAGAGCAAGCGCATGAGCGCAATCGCGGCGGCATCGGGGCTGCACCGGGTGAGCAGTACGACAGGCTGTACGGTGGGCCTTGGGAGAGCCGCCGTGGCGGGGTACACGGGGCAGGGCACACTGCCGTCGAGCCGGGACGGGGTGGAGTCTTATATGTGAAGGGCACTGCCGTCTGGCATGGCGCCGGTTACCGGCCATAGCGCTCCCTGACGTCCCTTCTCTTCCCTCCCGCAGGTGACGCCACCCCTTGGCTCCTCCTCTTCCTCCCCGGCCTCCCCTGCCCCCCGAGGCTCCTCCGCCGCCCCCAGCAGCAGCGGGGCGGGCGGGGGGCTCCTGCAGGCGGGAGGCAGCAGCGGGGGCGGTGGCGGGGGCGGCAAGGCGCTTCTGTGTCGCGAGGAGCTGATCGAGAAGAGCAAGGAGGGCGCGGGTGCGGGTGCCGCTCTGGGGGGCGGCGGCAGCGACTGCGAGTGCAGTGTGGACTTTGAGGAGGTGGTGGTGCCCAAACCCATCTTCGTCATATCCGACTGCACAGGTGCTGGGAAGGGTTGTGGGGTTAGGTAAACTGAGGAGGGATGGAGGTAGGGGCATGGCGGGCTGCGGGCATGCCGGGGCCTTGACGCGAGCCTCCGAGTGGGCTGGTGGCGGTGGTGGGGACGAAGCAGCCCGCGGGCATCACTGCTCAGGGGGTTGTTACTCAGCGCCCTGCCCAACCCATGTAACCGGTAGCACCGCTAGCGGCATACTAGCACCTGGTCATGATGGGGCGGCCCATACGGCCCCCCCTGCCCTTGCATACAGCTCGTCATTTGCATCGTCAGTGTCTTATTAATGTCTTACCCCCCCTGCCCTTGCATGGTACTGCAGGTGAGAGTGCTGCGCGCACCGTGCGAGCGGCGCTGAACCAGTTCGAGCTGCGCTGCCGTACCTCGGCGCCCGCGCAGATCATGATCTTCCGCTTCGTAGAGTCCATTGAGAAGGTGACGTAGGGGCGGCGGGGGGGCGGCGGCATGGCCCGGGCATGGGGCCGGACCTGCTTGGGTTTGGGGTCTTGGCGGCTTGCCCAGCAATGCGAAGGGCGTACTGGCGGGTGCTGGTTCGCATGCAAGGGCCCACGCAGGGGTGCTGCCCGGCGCCCTGGTGACCTGCCCCCCGTGACTCACCCGCCCGCTGCCCCCGTGACTCACTCACTCCTGCCCCCCGTGACTCACCCGCTGGCCCCCCCCTTGCGGCGCTGCTGTCGCAGGTGATGAGCATCATCCAGGAGGCAGCCAAGGTGGGGGGGGGCGTGTAGCAGGGTATGGGACTTGGGGAGGGACCGCGGATGCCGCTTCGCTTCCCTACTAAGTACTAACAACCCCAGCACCATACTTCGCTTTCATCCTCTTCCTCTTGCCCCCCTCCTTTACTGCTATGAAAGTGTCTCCCCTCCCTTCCCCCCCAGGAGGACGCGCTGGTGGTGTACACGCTGGTAGACCCCAAGGCCGTCAAGGCGGTGCAGACCGCCTGCACGCTGCAGCAGGTGCGCTACGTGGACCTGTGGACCACCCTGCTGGACACCATGGAGGTGCACCTCAACGCGGCCAGGAGGTGGGAGCCAGGGGAGGGGTACCAACCAGAGTCTCAATGGAGTCCACAAGGGAGGGCGAGGCAGTAGGGCGGAGGAGGCGGGGTGCCACCACCCCACCAAGTGCTGGTGGGCGGTCCCTAACGGCACCGGGTCCGTGTTACGTGAGAGGGAGGAAGGGGAAGGGAGGGAGGGGAAGGCGAGTGGACAGGGAACCAACCCTTCGCAGGTGCTATGCTAGGGCACTCCGGGGAGGGAAGCGCACGCTGTCATGACATGTGCGCCTCCTCCGAAGCCCCCCCCCGCCCCTCGCCCCGCAGCGGCGTGCCCTCCTCCCTGGCTGAGACGCGCCGCAAGCCCAAGGCCAGCCTCAACGACGAGTACTTCCGCATGATCGAGGCGGTGGAGTACACGCGCAAGATGGACGACGGCGCGCACCCGCAGGAGTGGGCCTCCGCGGACCTGGTGGTGCTGGGCGTGTCGCGGTGCGGCAAGACGCCGCTGTCCATCTACCTGGGGCAGCGGGGCTACAAGGTGGGGCGGGGCGGCGGGGGGGGGAGCCTGCACCTGCATGCAGGGGGGCGGGGCGGGGGTCAAAGACCATACCAAACCATAGGAGACCACAAGTTAGGGCAAAACAATGGGGGTAGGAGTTGGCAGGGTGCCACAAGACAATGGGTTGGTTAGCTTTCCAACTTCATGGGCGGGGCGGGGGGGGGGTGGCGCGGAGCCGCCCTGGCTGGGTGCAGTACCGGCGGTCGGGGAAGTGAGCTCCTGGTTAGTCCGGGTGCCGCCCCGCACGCGCACCAGCACATGCAGCCACCCCTGACGCCGCCTGCACCCCTCACCCGCAACCCCCTTACCCGCGGAACATCCATCTCACCTCACCCCCTCCCCGCCCCCTCCTGCCTGCTGCCCTGCCAGGTCGCCAACCTGCCGCTCATCCCCGGCTGCCCGGTGCCCCGGGAGCTGTTCGAGATCGACCAGACGCGCATCGTGGGGCTCATCATCGACCCGCACGTGCTGGCCACCATCCGCCGCAACCGGGTCAACATGATGGGTGTGGCGCGGGCGCAGGCGATTGACTATGCGGAGGTGCAGGTGGGCGGGCGGGTGGGCCGCGAGGTGGGGAGGGAAAGGGGGGGACCTGGGTTTTGGACAGCTTCCGAAAGAGGGCGCGATTGCCGTGTTTGCTATCGATAGAATCGGGGGTGGGGGTTCGCAAGCAGGGAAAGGGCATTGGTGGGATCCAATGCCAGCTAGGATCTGAACAAGCCAACAGGCAAGGAAGCCCAACACGTTGGGCCGCCTCCGTCGCGTCTCTGCCACCTTCTTCCAGTCATCCACAACATTCGCTACCGGCCCCACCCCGCCCAACTGTAGAAAATTAACGCCGAGTTGGACTGGGCTCGCAAGCTCTACAACGCGCACCCCGAGTGGCCGGTGCTGGACGTGACCCTACGCGGTATCGAGGAGACGGCGGCGCGCATCCTCAAGCTGCTCAACGACCGGCGCGGGGACGCCTCGCCCAAGTGGGTGGAGGCCTACCACGCCAAGATGGCGGCCAGCTCCGCAGCGCAGGCGCCCGCGGTGGGAGGGGCGGCGGAGGCGGGCGCCGGCTCGTACGGCATCCCTGAGATGATTTACGGGGCGAATGAGAGCACGTTCCTGATGCAGGGGCTGTACTAGGGTGGTAGGCAGGAGTGCGTTGCCGTGTGTTGGCTGGCCGTGTAGGTCAAGAGGGGAAAGATAATGATAAGTGCAGCAACTGGAGTCCCAATCCCAAGAGGGGAGGAGGGAGGAAAAGAATCGTGATTGTATAATATTAATATTGTAACTTTGACCGACCTGGTAGGACAGGAAGCGAGATGTTGCGGTGCTAGCAAGACCCTGTGGTGCCCCACCATGGTCACACAGGGAGGAGCTGCAGATGCGGAGGGAGGCACTTCCCGAGGGCATGCTACAGGCGGGGTGTTCCACGGGCAGTTAGTTAACAGGCGCTGTACGGCACTACAGGCCGCATGCGTGCGCGCTAAGTGTGCTGATGCTAGGAGCAATGCTAGTAAGGTAACCCTGCCGGGTTGGACCACGATAACGCATGTCCGTATAGCGTGCATTGTTAGCGAGGCCCTCGTCCGCTCGGCCAGCGAACTTTGGAACAAGAATTGTTGTGGGTGATCCGCGCATTCCTCAAGTTAGTACTGGTCACAACCCTCCTGCATATGAGAGAAACGAAGGGCGGTATGTAACCCGGCCTAGCTTCAGTTACGTACTAACGGCAGACGGCAGACGCAAACCCGGTTGCCGTTAGGCGCTATCCGTCTGTCACCATGGATGTGTCTCCGGCAATAGTATAAGGGTCTCCCCCCCTATAACTCCATTACTCCAAGTTCCTGGTGTGTGCCAACTGAAATGGTCAGCCCCAACCTGGCAAAGACGACCACCTGGCAAAAATACCTCTACCTTGGCGCTATATTTATGTATGCACTACTCAGTTGCAAGTTATCGTTTATCGGCCTACTCGCGGCAGGTTTGCGAATGGATGGAAAGGCGGGAACCGTTATTTCTACTTGCAGAAACGCAGCATGTACAATCAACAGATGGTCCAAGCAGCCTATATGCAGTATGAAGGGATGTACCTAGGCACTTCACAAAGGGAGGCGACTCATGAACTGCAGGGAGGCCAGTAAATCCATAATCCATGCAACACCATATGCCAGGTGTCTGAACAGGGCATTCTCTACGCTACAGCTTCACTTTAGTTACTTAGTAGAAAACATGTAATGAAGCTACGCCTTGGTACACCTGGTCGCTGGCAAGCAAGTCACCACCGCGTCTTAAATCAGTAGCGAGTGCATGAGAAACTTTTGCCTACCAATAGATTCGACGTCGTCAACAAGAAGGTCAGTCGTGCAGTGGCTCGGACGGCACGGAGCTCTGGAACGCACGTCGGCTCGGGGCTCGAAGAGTCGGACGCCCGACCCGCTTTCTCGCCTCCGGTGCGTTGACGTGCTCGTCGATTATACTATCAACGTCTTCGGGCTTGCTTCATGTCGGCTGGAACGGGGCCTGGGCCGGACCTGGGGCGCGTGTTCGCGCGAGCGGAGCCGGAAGAGTCGGGGAATAATATGCAAGGGCCTTGCTCTTAGAAATATTTCCTTTCCAGTTTTCCACAAATGCACTAAATGAAGCAAAGGGATACAGTCGCATCTCAGCGCGCCTTGCGCAAGGCCGCCACGTCGTTCACGGAGCATCTGGTGTGCTTCGGGACACCCTTGTTAGGGGCGGTTCCGCTTGCCATGCGTCTTTGTGGTTGTGATCTGCTCTTTCCAGCTACCTGCGTCGTGTGGCGACGGCCCCTCGTTATGTCCCAACTGCTCGCAGGGCGCACGCAATCAGGCGGTCGTCGGTGTGCACTACGACGACTTAGGCTTGACCGTAGTCAAATACCTTCCAAAAAAGGATTCGTTTTCTTTTGTTCCTTCTTTGGTAGGTGAGGGAGGAGTTAAGCGCGCTATGTTTGGGCGCGCGCGGTTGGAGAAGCCGACAGCCTTCGTCCTAATATCACTTGTCGCTTTTCGAGCATGTAGTATCCGTTACATATCAGAAACTGTTGCTGACGGGTTGGGCTCTTCATTTAACCTTCCCTGCTCAGGGTAATCGCGCGCTGCACCTGGGCTAAGACGGCCTGGACTTTGCGCAGCACACATGCAGGTACGAGAAGAGTAAAGAAACGCCTTTCATTAGGTTTGATGTCTGAGGGCCGCGCTTCTTGCGACGGATGCCAGTTTGTGTCGTCAACGCTCACTTTAACGTGCGCTCGACGCAGGGATCCTTCGGCTCTTTTAACGGACGTGGAAGCATGAACGGTGGAGGTAGTGGTAGCGCTCGGACATCGTTTGGTTCGGGCGGAGGTAGGGCTTCCGGCTCGGGCCGTAAAGTCCAACTGTGCAGCAACTGCGAGACGCCGCTCAGCCAGGATGAAATGCTGCTGTCAAGTCAAACGGAGGGGCGCTGCGTAGCGTGCCAGCAATTGGTTGAGGTGCGTCTGCGTTGAGGCTAGTGACGGGGCAGGGGCTAGGGCGCGCTGCTGCCTGCCATGGCTTACCGCCCATCACATGTTGAGCGCAGTCCCTGCACGTTATTAAGACGACCTAACGTAAGGCGGTGTTGCCCCTCCACTGTCAGGCCCAATCCGCATGCCGTGTCTGCCACCTTCCCTGGAGCAACAACCACACCAACGTGGTGGCCTGCGACTCGTGCGGCTTCTACATGCACGAGAACTGCGTCAAGAAGGGAGCCCTGCAGACCAAGGTACGACAGAGGCAGCCGGGGTGGCGGCAGCGCTCAAGGAGCTCCGGCGCAATGGTGCCTCGCCGCATGAGGCCCCTGCTTCCATACCTGCCCTGCCCGCGCATTGGCTTGGTGTATTATCAGCTTGTACCACGCATGTATGTGGCCTGGTGCTCGGGTTGTGACGTCGAACACGCACGATTCCCTCATCACAACGTCTTCCCCTCCCTCCTCCCTTCCTGCCCCCCCCCAGTCCGGAGGCCGCCTCTACACCTACTGCCCGCACTGCCCGCCCACACTGCCGCCGCCCTCGGCCGCCGCACCCGGGGGACGCGGCAGTGACGCCGGCGGCAGCAGCCTCGTCAAGACCGAGCGCGCCGGCCGCCAGAGCCAGAGCTCCCTGCCGCTCTCCGCCTCCCTCGCCGCGCAACAGCAACAGCAGGCCGCCGCCGCCGCCGCAGCAGCTGCTGCCGTACTGCCCTCCGGCGGCCGCGGCGGCCTAGCTGCCTCCGCCGCCCTCGCCCTGCCCGCGCAGCCCCAGGCGCAGCTGCAGCAGGTGGCGGTGCTGCTGCAGGGGCAGCTGCGCATGCTGCAGACCCAGCAGGCGGCCCTGCTGCGGCAGTACGAGCAGCAGCTGCGCGCCGTCACCCCCGCCGCGGCGCCCACCGCCTTCTCGCTCTTCCAGCTGGACATGTTCCGGGTGTACCAGGAGGAGGGCTTCGAGATCGACCCGCTGGAGCTGCACCCCATCATCCAGAACGCCTGGCACCAACTCACCACGGACGAGCGCGCGGGGTACGACAGCCGCGCGGCGGCGGAGGCGGCTGTCTGGACCGCCTCCGCGCAGCTCTACGCGCAGCTGTACCACGAGTACGAGACGCTGGCGGGGCAGGTGGGGGTGCCGCCGGACCCCTCGCTGCTGCCCAAGTCCATGCAGGGGATGCTGGTGGCGGTACGGCAGCTGGCGGGGCCGGGGCGCCCGCTGGCGGGGCCGGGTTCGGGGCGGGGGCCGGGCAGGCCGCCGGGGTCGGGGTCCGCAGCGGGCGGGGGAGGTCGCGGCGGCGCGGCGGCGGCGCTGCTGGGTGGAGGAGGAGGTGGCGGCGGGCGGGGGGTGAAGCGGCCGGCCATGGATGCGCTGGCGGGGGCCTCGGCGCTGCTGGGGATGACGCACATGGCGCACCGGGGCGGTGGCGGAGGGGGAGGTAGCGGCGGGGGCGAGCGGGGCGGTGTGGGTCCGGCGCTGGAGGACGATGACGACGACGACGAGGACTACGAGGCGGAGGGGGTGAACCCCAAGCGGGCCCGCCGCGCCATCTCGCCCGCGGTGCCCGCTGCGGGTCCCACCGCCCGCCCGCCGCCCCGCAACACGCGGCTGCCCGCGGACAAGCTGCCCACCGGCATTGCGGACCTGCCGCAGCAGGTGAGGGGGTGCCGGCAGAGGTGCCTGGACAAAGGGGGAAATGTGGGAGGACCGGTACTGGCGGCGGAAGAGGTAGCCGTAGCAGCATGCCACCCGTTACCCTCCCTCTCTCCCCTCACCACCACCTGCCCTACCTCATCTGCCCCTCTCCCCCCTCTCCCTCTCCCCCCTCTCCCTCTCCCCCCCAGCTCAACGTGTCCTGCAACGACGTGGCGGGCACCTTCATCATGGACGGCATCAAGGTGCTGTGCCACTGCAAGGACTGTGTGGACGCGCCCCGCAGCGCGCGCGAGTTCCACCCCACCCACTGGGAGCAGCACTGCGGCGCCGGCACCGCCAAGAAGTGGAAGGCATCCATCAAGATCGAGCCGGGCGGCGCCCCGGAGGTGCCGGCGGGCGGCAACCCCATGCAGATCGGCAAGTGGTTCGACATGCTGGGGGTGGAGTTCAGGCCGGCCAAGACCACGGGTGCGAGGGGCGGGGGCGGGGAGAGGCGGGGGTGGAGGTTGGGTTGGGATGAGGGCAGGCGGGTGAGGTTTGCGGGGGCGTGGGTCCACCTGGACATGGAAGGATTGCTGGCAGGCCCGCAGCCTGCGGGCTACGAGCACGCATGGCGCCCTTCCCGCCGCTTGCTGTCTAGCCGGGCAGCCGCTCGCAGCTTGACTGCTCGGCAGGCGGGCCGGGTAGGCGGTGATGCCCTTCCCGCCTTGCATGGCCACTTCCGCAGCCGCACCCAGTGCCATCACTCAACCTGCTCCGTGCTGCCTGCCCCCTGCCTGCTCCCTCCCTCCCCCCCCCCAGGTGGGCCCCCCGTGTTGGAGTTCACGGGTGCCACCATCCGGCGCATGGAGGCGGAGGTCGCCGGGGGCCCCGCCCCGCCCTCCTACCCGCCGCCCTACCAGCCCGCTCCGCCGCCTGCCAGCCACCAGCCCACTCCGCCGCCCTCGCAGCCCCCCGCACCGCCGCTGCCCCAGCGCTCCGGGCGGCCCTCGCAGCCCACACCACCGCTGCGCAGCAGCAGCGGTGGCCTCGCAACCTCACAAGGCGGGGGCGGCGGCATGTTGCCCCTTCCTGGCGCCGGCATGGGCGGCGGCGGCGGCTCCGCCTCCGCTGGCGGCGGCAGCGGCTCGCGGCGCACCGAGGACGGCGGCGGCGTCGTGGTCGGCGGCGGCGCCGGCAGCTCCAAGCCGCCTCGCCCCGTGAGTGACGGTGACGGGGAGGGGGACGGGGACGCTGACTACTGCCCCAGTACCGCCCCAACCGGCCCGCCCTCCGCACCGCGCCGCGTCGCCGAGGGCTTTGTCGGCGGCCCGCGCGACGGCGGCGCGGGCGAGGAGGGCGAGAGCAGCAGCCGGGGCAGCGCCTCCGACACGCTGGGCCCGCACGCCACCGCCTGACTCCACCACAAGCCACCACTTGAGAGACCCCGCTGCAAGGGGGGCACCCTCGCCGCGCCGCCTCCGCCACTGCCACTGCCTCCTCGCGAAGCGAAGTGAACTACTGCTGCTGCTGGCTGATGCTGTTGCCGCGGATTGAGGGGAGAAGTGTTTGGGGCGGGGGGGGGTCGGGCAGCATGGAGATGGGGCGGAGATGAGCCGCAACACTGTGTGGCGAAAGAGGACCCACATCGCTCCGGACAGCGCGTGCGTGTAGGGCTGGGGTAGGGTGGTGGCGGCAGCAGCCGGGCAGCAAGTGGTTTACTGAGCTGAGCGGGAGGCGGTGGTGGAGGCGGGCGGGCGCGAGAGGTGGTGGACGGTGGTGGTGGTGGTGGTGGTGGTGCGGGACATGGCCCGGACGTGTTGGATGGCGCTGCTCCGGTTGCTGCTGCTGCTGCCGCTGCTTGGGGTGGTGCGAGGGCATTGTTGCTACATTTCTGACTGGAAAGCCCGTTTTGTGTTTTGACGTCCCCGCCTGAAGCTGCCGCTACGTCCCCCGTGGGGGCTATGCGTGAGCCCCCATAATTGTTTGTTGCTTTCCCGAACCCCCGGCTATGCTTGTTGGTATCCCCGACATGCGTTTGGCCCCTTGGCTTAACTGTCACCTGACAGAAATGCTTGTTGTTGCGCACGGAGAATGCTTTTGCTTGTTATGCCGTTGCGAGGCCTGAACCATCTCGATACTTTGGGGTATTGCTGTTACATTGCTATGGGTGAAAGGGGCTCGGATGGGGGTGGGGGGTTTTGAGAAAGGGAATGGGTTGCTGGCGTGCCGCTTGGTGGCACTTGCACTTGCGGGGTGGTGTGCTTTGCGGATGTGTGCTGCTTGGGTGTCTATGTCTGTGCATATGTCTGTATTGGAAAGGTCTGTACTTACCGTGGCGGCCGCAAACCTGCTGTTTCCGTGCCACGCCCCTGCCTTACCGTATCTCGATTTTTGCGGCTGCCGATTTCGTTTTGTTGGCCTGGGTCCCCGGATTAAACGCTACTTGCGCTGAAACTGCGTCACACATAGTTCCCGCTATTTAACGTGAGGCCTGCACGCCGGCCGTGCGGGCGTCCCGGTGTACCGCGTACCGGCAGCCTTGCTAAGCCGGCACTGCAGGCCACATCTTTCTCGGAACCTCGACAACTTGCGAGTCGGGAAAGAGCCCTTGTTTTAGCTTGGTGTGGTCTCTTGCGTGCGCGCTTTTGTGTTTGGGGGTGTTATGTTGGCGGATTTGGGGGCATTTATCACATTACCATGACGCTAGGAACCGGCGGGCGAACGGCACACAGCTGGGGCCGCCAGTACATAACGGTTTCGGAGGGGTCTGTGGGTCAACGGGGTTGGGCTGTGTGGGGATGGCGGGGGTGACGACGGGGTAGTTGCGGACAAGCACTGTCGTCACAAAGATGTGACCCGTGGGTCGTCTGACCCACTGCTGCCCCCCGCCCGGGTAGCTGCCGGCGCCGCAGAGGCGCCTGTGTGGCCCGAGCAGTGGGGTGCGGCGGGCGGGAGGTGGCGCGGAGGGGTGGAGGCAGATTGGTTTTGGCGGTCTGCCTAGACGGAGCAACATACCTGCTACATGTCTGCCGCTGCTGCGCTGTGAGGGGGATGTGTTGGCGCCTGGAGGAGACGCGGCACCCGGCGGATTGCGGCGGTTGCTCGACCGGGCTCTTGAAACCTGAAGGACTTGTTGACCTGTTAGGCGCGGTGATGACCTGGGGAAGCGTCCAGCCCTCTTCAGCAATGCAAACCCAAGCGCTTTCCGAAAGCCACGTGATAACCTGTCTCCACTACCAAACCTCCAGCCCGGCTGCCCGTCGCTTATGGGATACCTACCAGAAGCACCTTACCAGTGCCCCGGGGGGCTTCCTCCCACCCAGTGCTCGCAGCCAGGGCGCAGCGCCACGTCCTAGCCCCGCCCGCAAGCACCCCGCCACCCGCTAGGGCGCCCTGTCCCGCTGCATCCCCCGGCGCCCTCGCGTGGCGACCCACGCTGGCCTCCTCTGCAGTGGAGGTCGGAGGGTCAAAGTGACCCCCCTCGGCAGCTGGCTGGTCGCGGGGGCGCCGCGCCTCTACTACGTTCCCGGCTGGCAGGCGCCTCGACTCAATGCCGGTGTGCACCCAGCCGCTGCTGCCACCGCCGCCAGCGTCCAGTTGTTCGCCAGCTAGCAGCACCCACCCGCACATGCACATGCACAGGAAGGAGTATCATGGGGCTGCCGAGGGCACTCGGAAGCTGGCAGGGGCAGCAAGGGAAACCAGCTATGAAGGTTGCGGAGTGCAACGCGAACCACCCACCTGCCACTGGGGGGATGGCAGAGCGGCGTACATGAGAGGGGGCGACGCTCGGCCATTCATTGGCTTGCCGGAATCCCGGCGCTGTCATTGGCGCGGCCTCCGCGTCCCCCTGGCAGGACTTGTTGCTAGAACCGCTCGCCCGCATCCCGAGTGCCGTACTGTCTCAACCTCCTCCCTCGCTCCCCTCTTCCCCTCCCCCTCCCTCCCTCTCCCCCTCCCCCCACCCAGCCCGTGTCCGCCGACCCCTGGTACGACGTCCTCCGCGGGCAGTACGCCCCCCTGCGGGTCAAGTGGGCGGGCGACCGCTGCTGCGTGTGCGACTCCGACCTGGACTTCGACACCGACCAGCTGGTGGCCTGCGACTGCTGCGGCATCACGGTGCACCAGACCTGCTACGGAATACCCGAGGCACCGGGTGCGGGGGGCTGGGGGGGCGGGCTTGCAATGGTGGAGCGCACTCACTCGCCCCCTGCATGCCATGCCATGCCACGGCGTTTCTATGCTGTAGCGCGCTGTGGCACGGGTCCTTTCATACCTCATACCTCATACCATACTGCAGCCGATTCCTTCCCCGCCACCGCCCTCCTCCTCCCCCCGCAGGTCTTGACGACCTGTGGCTATGTCGCGCCTGCGAGGCGCGCTCCGGCGCCCAGGGCCCCCCCGCCGCCCCCCCGCCGCAGTGCTGCCTGTGCCCGGTGGCCGGCGGCGCGCTGAAGCCCACCACCCTACCCGGGCTGTGGTGCCACGCCACCTGCCTGCAGTGGATTCCCGAGGTCACATGCGTGGACCCCGTCAGGTGGGGGGGGGCTGTACGGCACAAGCAGCCCCGCACCTGCTGGCGCGCACCTGGCCACCGTTGCCAGCTCCCCCAACCCTGCTCCTGCTCCTCCCTACCCAGAATGCCACATGTTCTATGGCATCGCGCCGCCTCCTCTCCTCCCACTACCTTACCCGCACCCGTTATACCCATTAGCACGGGTTGCTGCCTCCCCCCTTCCCTCCCTCCCCCCCCAGGATGGAGCCGGTGGGCAACATCCCCGGTATCCAGCGCGAGCGGTGGGAGCTGAGCTGCTGCGTGTGCCGGCAGCGCATGGGCGCCAAGCTGCAGTGCGCGCTGTGCTACACCGCCTTCCACCCGCTGTGTGGCCGCATGGCGGGACTGGCGATGGAGCTGACGGCGGAGGCGGGGCCGGGCGGCAGGCCGGGGCTGAGGCAGGTCAGCTACTGCCCAAAACACTGCAAACCCAACCCCAAGGCGTCAGGTGGGGGCGGGGCGGGGCGGGGCGGGAGGTTGTGTGCGGGGTTGCGCAGCCCGAGCACGGCTGCGTGAGCCGCTGCACCCCCTGTCCTCTCCTGCCGTCCGTTCGCAGCCCCGTTGGGCCACTGCGCAGCTCACCATGCCTCCTCCCTACCGGCATGGACGCTTCTGTCACCTGTCAAACCCGCTGCTTTCCCGGCATGCCCTTGCAACTCCCCGCTCAGACCCCTACTTCCCGCCACCCCCCCCCCTTTCCCCCCCGCAGGCGTGCAGCTCTGGCGCGACACCTCCGCCCCGCCCCCCGAGGACGACGGCTCCGCAAACGGGTTGTGGAACGCGCAGCCCTACCCGCCCGCCCCCGCCGCCCCGCTGCCGCCCGCGCCGGAGGGGTGTGCGCGCGCGCAGCCGCTGTCGGGGCTGCAGCGCGCCTCGCATGGAACCGGTGAGGGGGGGTGCTAAGAGTGGGGATGAATGTTCCGCGCAGGTCGGGAGCCATTGATTGCGTACAGCTGCAAATGAAAGGAAGGTTGGCAGCAGGCTAGCGGCAGCAGTAGCACGTGTGCAAGCCGTAGGGTTGAAGCCTGCCCCCCCTCCCTCCCTCCCTCCCCCCTCCCTCCGCTGCTGCTGCTGCTGCTGCAGGTAACGGCTACACCAGCCTCAAGGGCTTCTGGATGCCCGAGCCGCCCCCCACACCCCCGCCCGAGCCGCCAGCCGCCGCCACCACCACACCCGCCGACCCGCCCCCGCATCGAGCCGGCGGAGGCGGAGGCGGCAAGCGGCGCGGCGGCCGGCCCCCTTCCAAGATCTACGGCGTTGCGGCCTCCGCCGCCGCCGCCAAGGCGGAGAAGGCCGCTGCCGCGGCTGCAGCGGCCGCCACTGCTGCCGGCGCCGCGCCGCCCGACCCCTCCCTCCCCGTGGATCTGATGCCGCTGCCTGCGGGTGTGCCTGAGGAGCTGCCCGTGAGCTGCTCGGGGCGGCGGGCGGTGCTGTACCTGCGCACGCAGCGGGTGCTGCACGGGGAGGTGGTGATGCCGGTGTCGAGCTTTGAGAAGCTGTGCGGGCGGGGGGACGCCAAGAAGTGGAAGTCCAGTCTGTGGTAGGTGGGGTGGGGGGTGGGGGAGGGGGACGGGGCGGGGCGAGGTGGAGGGCTGGGGTTGGGGTCAGGGCACCGGACGAGGTGGGGTGACGGGGCGGAAGGGAGCTCCGTAGGTCCTTGCGGGGCACGGGGCTCCAGGCTGGCCCTGCGCGGCATGTGAGGCTCCCTGTGCTTCCCTGTGCTTCCCGGCTGCGCAATTCCTCATGTTCCTCTCCTTCGCCTCCCTTCCCTTGCCTCACCTTAGCCCCTCCGCCCTCCTGCCTCACTCCTCCATGCCCTCTCCCCCCTCCTCTCCCCCCCCAAGGCTGCTTGACGCCTCGGGCGAGGCGACCCGACCTGTGGGCGAGTTCCTGGCCGACCACAAGATCGACCGCGCCTTCCTGGCCCGCCTGCTGGCAAACGCGGCGCAGCACGAGGCGCATGCGGAGTGGCGGGCCGCGCACCCGGGGCAGGGGGGGCAGGAGCAAGGGGAGAAGGGACCGGAAGGCGGCGGAGTGGAGGGCGGCGCGGTTGTGAAGGTGGAGGCGGGGGGGAGCGAGGAAGGGAGACCCGGTGCGCAGGCGGTGAAGGCGGAGGTGGAGGGAGGCGGGGGGGTCAGCGAGGGGGTGGTGAAGGTGGAGGGGCCGGCGGAGGCAGGTGGCGGGGAGGCGGCGGCGGCGGCTCCAGTAGGTGTGGGGGCTGCGGCGGTGCCGGTGCAGGTGGTGGTGAGGGAGGAGCCGGGTGGTGGGAGCGGGATGGAGGTGGATGCCCCGCCGGCCGCTGCTGCTGCTGCCGCTGACGCCGCCCCCCCGGCGAGCTCCGCAGCACCTGCGAGTACACAGCCAGTCGCCGCCGCTGCCGGGCCCGCTGCGGGCGGCGGCAGCAGCGGGGGAGCGGACGGGGCCTCAGACCCCCCCGGCCGCGAGGCGTCACCCCCTGTCGACGCCACCGAAGCTGCCTCTGCGGCTGCTGCCAGGAGCCGCACTCGGCGTCTGCGGCTGTTCCCACTAGACCCCGCCACTCGCAAGACCCTCTTCGCCTTCATCTCCGCCTCAGCTGCCTCCACCGTCCTCTCCCACGGCGGCTCCCTCGCCCCGCTGTGCGCCGACGCCAGCGGGCTGCTCCGCCTGCCGCCGGGCAGCGCCTCCGCCGCCCCGCATGCAGTGGTGGGGCACTGCTGCCGCATCTACTGGTACGACGACGGCGAGTGGTACGACGCCGACGTGGTGTCGTACGACGGAGGCAGCGGGCGGCACTTCCTGTGGTACCATCTGGACGACGCGACGGAGTGGATCGACCTGGCGGCTGAGGAGCGCGAGGGGCGGGTGCAGTGGCTGCCGCACAATGCGGATCCGGAGGACTGGCCGCCGCCGCCGGAGGGGGTGGTGCCGCTGCCGACGCCGCTGGTACGGCAGCCAACGCCGCAGCCTCCGGCGCCGGTGCCAGCGGGGTTGGATTCGTTGCTTGCGGCTGCTGGAGCGCTAGCTGAGGGCGGGGAGGGCGAGGAGGGTGGAGAGGGTGGAGAGGAGGCGGAGGCGGCGGGACCGAAGCCGACTGGCGAGTGGGAGATTGGGGAGGTGTGGAGTCGGACCTTGCACCGGGCTTTCCCATTGCGCTCCCCGCATCAACCAAGCTGCGTGTGGGGTGATGTAGGCTCCACGGCTAGGCACTCCATCAGCCTAGCTGCTTTCCGTTCCCGTACTCGCCACCTCTCACCCTCGCACTTCGTCAGCCCCAGCCTTGACGTCCCAAACGTCCTCAACAACACCCATCTCTGCCTCCTTACCCCGTCCCCCCGCCCTCGCCCCGCCCCCACCCCCCTTCCCCTCCAGGCGGCCCCGAGGCAGTGGGCTGGCGCATCCGCTGCACCATCCCCTCCCAGGACCCCGCCACCGCCACCGCCAACCCTGCTCCTCCCGGTACCACCTCTTCTGCCCCCGCCCCCACCCCCACCCCCGCACCCCCCGCTCCCTCCTTCACCGCCCTGGTCACCGGCTTCGACCCCTCCTCCGGCTGCCACACGGTGGAGCTGGAGACGGGGGCGCAGGAGGTGCTGCAGCTGGGGCAGATGGCGGTCGCATGGCTGGGCTCGGGGGAGGCGGCGGCGGGGGCGCATGCGCGGCTGCTGGCGGCGCACCGCGGCAGGCGGGCGGCGGAGGCGGCGGAGGCGGCCGCGGCGGCTGCAGATGCTGCGGAGCGGCGGCGTGTGGCTCCCTCCGAGATCCCTGTTGTGTGCAACGGGCTGGCGGGGGTGTTCCTAGTGGGCCCCTGCCTGGTGCGGTCGGGGGAGGGGCGCACGCTGTCGCCCACGGAGTTCGAGCGCATCGCGGGGAAGGCGGCGTCCAAGAAGTGGAAGGTGGGGGGGGAGGGGGGGGGAGGGATGCAGCTGGACAGGGAAGGGGACAGTTGGGTTAAGGTGTGGACTCCGGGCCACGATTGTATCCATGTGGCAGGTGCGCATGGGGCGCGCATCCTGGCCTAGCACACGGCTGGTGGGCCAAGCAGCGCTGAAGCAGGCCCCTGCCCCCTCCCTGGCCCCCCTCCCCCCCTCCCTGCCCCCCTCCCTGGCCCCCCTCCCTGGCCCCCCTCCCCCCCTCCCTGCCCCCCTCCCTGGCCCCTCCCCCTCCATCCCTGCCAGGTAACCCTGCGGGTGCTCACCCCGGGCGGCACCCCCGGCCCCACCCTGGGGGAGCACCTGGTGGAGCTGGGGCTAGAGGAGCCGCCGGCGCCCAGGTAGGGGGGGGAGAGGTGGGGGAGGACAGGGGGTGAGGGGGAGGGGGTGAGAGGTGGGGGGTCAAAGACCATACCAAACCATAGGAGACCACAAGTTAGGGCAAAGCAATGGGGGTAGGAGTTGGCAGGGCGCCTCAAGACAAAGTGTTGGATAGTATTCCCTACCGATACCGGGTCCGCGGTGATGATGAAAAGTTGACGCTCCGGGAGAGGTGGGGGGGTAGCGCTCCTGCAGATAACCGGCCTTCCTCGCATGGCACCTTACCCCACCCCCTACCCCGCCCTACCCCGCCCTACCCCGCCCCGCCCCCCTCAGGCCCCGCGGCCAGCTGGCTCAGGCCATCGCCAACCTGGATGCGTTCAAGCGCCGCCAGCAGGGGGCGCCACCCCCGCAAACACATACACACACCGCCGGGGGGCGCACGCCCTCAGCAACGGGCTCGGCGGAAGCGGGGGCGCCGGATGTGGCGGCAGGTGGTGGCGGCGGGGGCGGGGGCGCTGCCGCTGGCTCCGCCCGGGCTGCGGGAGTGGCGGTGTCACGGCAGCAGGCGGCCCAGCGCGGGCGGGTGGGTAGGGCGGGTGGGGGGGCCGGGGGGGGGGGGCACCTGTAATCGGTAACAGCCCGGGACATCCTAGTAAGCCTTCCCTCCCTCCTACCTAACGTTGCTTACCTAGCCATGTAGGGAGGGCTAGTCCGGTATCCTCCAAAGCCAGGCTTCCCTTATCCCAAGCCCCCACTCCTCCCTCTTTTCCTCTCCCCCTTCTCCCCCCCCCCCCGCAGGTGCACCGCCCCGGCTGCTTGTGTATCATATGCAAGCAGGCGCGCAAGGACAGCGCCCGAGCGGCGGCGGCGGCGGCACGCGGGGGGGCGGCCGCCAGCCGCGCTGCCGCCGGCGCCACCGGCAGTGCTGCTGCCCCTGCCTCCGCTGCCTCCGCCTCCGCCCCCGCCGCTGCCCCCCGCGGTCCCCGGCTGCGGGTGGGCAAGCAGGCGTACGTGCCCGCGGTGCCGCAGCTGGTGCGCGGACCCATGAGGCACGAGTGAGCAGGCGGGGGAGTGGGGGGGTGGGGGGTGGGGGGGCTGTGAGGGGGAAGTGTGGGGGAGCGTGAAGGGGCGGCATCATTACACCTCTTGTAGGCTGCATGCGCAGTGGCGCCTAGCCTGTTGCTGCGGAGCTACCTCCTGGCAGCTGGTGCCCCTCTTGCTGCACCCTTACAGCTGTGACCTGTTGTGACCTGCTGCTGCGGCCTCGTTCCTCCGCACCCTCAACCTACCCGGGCTGACCTTGCCATGCCCCCCTCCTCACTCCCTCCCTCCTCTCCCGGGCAGCTACTGGACCATGCCCCCCTCGCGCTGCCTCACCGCCCAAGAGTACGAGTCCCTGCGTGCCGCCGAGGCGGCGGCAGCTGCGGAGGCGGAGGCGGCTGCTGCGGCGGCCCGGCAGCGCGAGGAGCGGGAGCGGGCGGCCATGCGGGGGCTGGCGGCCCGGGCGGTGGCACTGGGGGAGGCGGCACGGAGGCGGGAGCTGGCGGAGGCGGCACTGCAGCCGCCGCAGGAGGGGGTGGTGGCGGGCGGTGTAGTGCCCCCCGGGGCTGATGACGTGGCGGCTGCAGCGCATGCGGGTGTTAAGATGGAGGAGGAGGGTGAGGGGTGCGAGGGCGGGGCAGGAGCAGAGGCAGCGGTGGAGGCAGCGGCGGGTTGGGGCATGCCGCAGCAGCTGCAGGCGCTGGCGCCTCCGCTGAAAGAGGAGCCAGATGCCGCTGCGGAGGGAGGGGGAGGGGAGGGGGATGAGGGTGCGGCACAGGCGGGAGCAGGGGGGATGGAGGTGGAGGCGGGGGGCGGGGGGCAGCAGGGCGGGGCGGGCGGGGACGCCGACGGAGGCGCAGGGGGGGCCGGGGCGGCGGCGGTCGCCCCTGCCCCGCTGGGTGGCGCCCTGAGCCCGGTCGGCCGCCCCGCCGCCCCCCCGGCGCCGCTGGGTGGCTGCAGCATCGTACCCGCCGGGGACCTGAGCGACAGCGACAGCGAGGAGGAGGAGGTTGTTGGGGCGGGGGCGGGGGCGGGGGCGGGAGGGGGCAGCAAGCCCTCCGCGGCAGCAGCAGCAGCAGCCACCCCTGGTGAGGACCAGGCAGCAGCGGACGCCGCACCTGCCGCCCCCGCCGCCCCCGCCGCATCTGCTGCACCGCTCCCGGTGGTGACGTCAGCCGGCGGCGGCGACGGGATGGAGGGCGGCCAGTCGGGGGCTGCGCAGCAGGCGGCGGGGGCGGGGGAGCCAACATGCGCCGCCACCGCCGCCGGCCCGGGTGGCAGCCCCCTGGTCGCCACTCCGCCCTCCGAGTCCGCGGCGGCAGGGGCAGGGGCAGGGGCAGGGGCAGGGGCAGGGGCAGAGGGAGGGACGCAGCCTCCCGCCGCTGCCCCGGTTGCTGCCCCCGCTGCCCCTGCCGCCGTCGCTCCCGAGTCCAAGCGGCGTCAGAAGGCGGTGCGGTGGGAGGAGCGGCTGGCGCGGGCGCTGCGGAGCGAGCCGGCGCGCATCACCTTCGGCAAGTCCGGCATCCACGGCTGGGGCGTGTTTGCGAGGGTGGACATCCCACAGGTGGGACAGAGGGGAGGGAGGGGAGCAGGTCGGGCAGAGGGGAGGGGGAGCAGGTGAGGGAGGGAGCAGGGGTGGGACGTGACAGCGGGGTTGGTCTGGACGGCTGCGGGGGGCGGCTCGGGCCGCACCTCCCTGCACCTCCCTAGCACACCCGACAGGGGGAGCGGGGCTGCTGGCTGCAAGCAGGGACGCTGCACCCGGGCAGCGCACCCCGCAGCGTTCCCTCCTGCCGCCGCCGCTCCGCCCCCGCTGCCCCACTCCTGCCCCCCACCCCTGAGACCTGACCCACACCCTGACACCCTGCTAGCAAGCAAACCCCTCCCTAACCATACCCTCCCTCCACCCCCTCCCCAAACCCAGGACGCGGTGGTTACCGAGTTCCGCGGCGAGGTGGTTCGCCCCGTGCTGGCGGACCTGCGCGAGCGGCGCTACCGGGCGCAGGGTCGCGACTGCTTCCTGTTCCACGTCAGCAGGCAGGTGGTGCTCGACTCCACGCACCTGGGGCACTACGGCCGCTTCACAAACCACTCCTGCGCGCCGTCGTTGTATACCAAGGTGGCCGGGGAGGAGGGGGGGGCGGCAGGGAGGGGCGGCAGGGAGGGGAGAGGGGGGTAGTATGCAAGGGAAGGGCGCCCGAGGGCGAGGGCTGCAGGCTGACCACCCGGGGGGGTGGGGCAGCCACACAGCATGTGTTCAGCAAGCCTTGCAGCAGCCGGGATTGCTGCCTCCCCAGCTGCGCAGGTGTCCCCATGCTGAACCCGCCCAACGCCAAGTCCCACCCCGCCCCGCCCCGCCCCACCCTACTACCCTACCCCTCACGCCTCCCACCCCGACTTCTTACGCCCCGGGGTTCCTTCTTCTTCCCCCCCCGCCACCCCCTCCCCCCGTGTGGTGGCAGGTGTTGGAGTTCGAGGGCGGGCGGGTGCGGCTGGTGTTCTGCGCGCGCACCGACATCCGCGCCGGCCAGGAGCTCACCTTCGACTACCGCTTTCGCGAGGAGGAGGGCGCGGACAAGGTGCCGTGCAGGTGCGGTGCGCCGCAGTGCAAGGGAACACTCAACTGAGGGGGGGCAAAATTATGATATGTGCAGCAACGAGTCCTAATCCCATATCCCGACTCATGCAGTGAGCGCATTCTGAGGGGGGGGGCGGGGGCGGGGGCGGCAACAGCGGTGGTAGTAGAAGAGGAGGGCAGGTGGAGGGAGCCGGGGGGGAGCATGCGCAGGTGGAGCGAGGGATGAGGCAGTGGTCAAGTGGAAGGGGCGGGAATGGAGCGATGAATGGCGGCGCGCTGCCCTGAACAGTGTGGAGAAGGCTGGCTAGCCAGGTGGTGTGAGGGAGCCGTGTGGCCCCTGCTAGCGTAGCTCCTTGCGTGTAGCACAGTCGCTGCTGAGGGCTGACAGCTGGAGTGGGCTGGTGAGAAAGGGGCGGCGGGTGTCACACAGGAGGTTAGGGAGGCCGTGTGAGGAGGGTTTGCGAGCGGAGGTGAGCGAGGCGGAGACAGGCGGTGTGGGTTCAGCGTTTAGCAGTGCGGGGTGTGGGGTAGGTGCCCCGCCCCGTTGTATAGCAAGCGGTGCCGTCAGGGCTTCCCCGGGAGTGAGAGCGAGCGATGTGCCTGGTAGCGCCCGGCAGCAGGTTCCCGGGCGCGAAGCGTGAGGTAGTGAGGCAACGCAATTCAAGCTGTCCATATCGTAATTAACACTCAGCTTTTCTAGGATGGGGGCAAGCACAGCTGCTTGCACAGGTAGTGTAGGCCTGGTTAGGAGGCTAAGGAGGTGGTTGTGTTACCGTGCGTATCGCACGGAGGGCGATGCCGCTAGGGGCGGGTTGCCTGCTAGGCATTCGCGCATTCAGTGTACTCGCCGTTTAGATGCATGCGCTGTTAGTGGTTTATTAGCTGGTAGTGGTTTGTTAGCAGCAGTAGGCTGAGTGGCTTTGGAGCAGGAGTAGAAAGGGGTCTGATGCCAGAACCGCATCCTGGCTGGGGTGTGTTTGGCAAAGGGGTGAGCAGCGCGCGCCCGGTCAACATGTAACTTTACACGTGCAAGCGAGGGCAATCTGCCAGAGGGACTACCAAACACGCGCCCCTGGTGAATAGCGTCAGCTCTTCAGTAAGAGTGTGAGGCATCCTGATACGCAATAGAAAACCCTCAAGCAGCTAAACACTCGAGAAGCACAAAAAAACCTACACTCCCGATCCCCTCACTAACTCTGGCGTGCTGCTGCAACGCATGACCCTTAAACTGCTCTGTCCTGATGAGCTCTGGAGCTCGTAAATTCTGCCATTAACATCATAGCAAGCATGATGTATACCTCTCTCCCTAACCTCAACAAACGACGCCAGCTACCGTATCCCCCCCCCAACAGGCAACCGTGCAGCCGCGCCGTACAACGCCTCTTGCGCTGCCCCGCGCGGCCTTACCCACCCCCTCCTGTACTGCTGTACATCGCACCTGTACGAACGCTACACGCCCGGGCAGCTGGCCGCCCAGCAACGCAGCAGTAACTGCAACAGCTCTGGTCGGGCGACGAGGAAAAAATGAAACACTCGAAAGCCCGTGTGCCAGGGAGGCGTCTGGCTGTCCCGCCCGGGGCCCCGCTGTGCCCCGAGCCGCCATATCCCGCCTACGCTACCCCACCGCCGACAGTGAAAGCAACACGGCGCCTGCATGGGAGCACAGCACAGACGCCGCAGCAACCGCACAACATCCGCACCCTCACAGCCAAACAAGTACCATCAGGTTCAGGCCGCAAACTGCCTTGGTAAAAGCATCGTTTCTTAATCGAAGCCTCGAGAAAGCAAAAAAACCATGTTAGGGAGTACCGGTATGTGATGTCCCTCCCTCCACCGTCGCCTGTTCGGCGCGGGGGTGGGGCCGCAGGGCCCTCCGAGATGCGGGGGCCCGCCGCGGATGCACTCCTCACCTCACCACGACACCTCACCGCATCACTTTGCCTGCTCCCAGCCAGCACCGCAACCGCTCCCCAAGACACCTCCTAGCAGGACACACTCGACCCCGCCGGGACTGCCCCGCCTCCAGAAGGCAACAAGTCTCATGCAACCAGGAATGAGCAATAGCAGTGCTATCATATCAAAATTTGTTGGCCAGCCATCCCCCACAACTGCCAACCTACCAGCCCACTAGCCCGCGGCTGTTCCACTCCTCTTGCCCTACCGCACCCAACACCCGCATGCACCGGCCCCGCTGGGGGCTGCCACGTCCGACTCAACCCACACACCCACACACCTCCCTCCACACAACCCCACTCTTCTCCTCTCCTCCTTCCCCTCCGCTCACAGCATGAGTCAGTACATAGGACTGTGCTTCACTTCTCATTTCTATGCCCCTCCTCCCGCTCCCCTCACGGCCCCCACTCCACCGCCAGCAGCGGCCTGCCCGCCGCCCCCGGCAGCCCCTCCACCACCTCCCGCCCCAGCTTCCCGCAGCCCCGCACCACCAGCCGCCGGCACCCCGTCTGCGCCTGCACCACGTAGCGCAGGTCCAGCGGACTCAGCTCCGGCAGCGCCAGCAGCTGCAGCTCGGCCAGCCTCCCCAGCGGCGCGGTGGCCAGCTGCTGCGGCAGCCGCGGGTCGCAGCCACGCACCACCAGGCGAGCCAGGTTGGGCAGCTTCTGCAGCCGCCGCAGCAGCCGCGCGATCTCGTAGCCGCATGCGTCGCCCCCCAGGCAGGCGTGCAGCTCCAGGGAGCGCAGCTGCGGCAGGCCGCGCAGCTCTTCCACCGCCTTGCGAAGCGGGCGGAACTCGGAGCAGCGGACCAGGATGAGGGAGGAGAGGGCTGGGGGGGGATGGTAGGGGGGCGGGGGAGGGGGCCGGGGTGATGGGGGAGGCGAAGGACAGGACACAACAGGGAAGCACTCGAGCGCAAGGAAGCGCGGGAAGAGGGGTGCAAGCAGGGGAGCGCCTCCTCGCTGTCAACCACGCCGAGTCCTTGCCAAGGAACGCCGATGCTGGCTCTCCAACCCTCCCCCCATCCCTGCCTCCCCCCCTCACCTGTCAGCGACGACAGCGCCTCCACCCCGTGCCCCGGCTTGCCCCCCAGCGACAGCACCCGCAACCCCGACAGCCCCTGCAGCAGCCGCAGGTGCAGCGTCAGCTCCGGAGGCAGCTGGTGGGGGCCCAGCGGACCGGCGGCAGCAGCAGCGGCGGCGGCGGCCTGGGGCAGTGCTGCCAGCAGCGGCGCCAGCACAGCCGGGTGTATCTCCGCTGCCGCCGCCTCCGCAGCCGCTGCCACCGCCGGCGCCACCTCCCCAGCCAGCAGCAGCTGCAGCCCCGCCGGACCCGCCTGCTGCTGCTCCCCCGCCTCCACCACCGGGCCCGCCGGCGCCGCCGCCCAGCCCCCCTCCCCCCTCCCTCCCGGCCCCCCCGCCGCCGCCGCCCCCCTGAGCGCCGCCTCCCCCAGCACCCCCGCCCCCGTGCCCAGCTCCAGCTGCTGCAGCCCGGGGAACAGCGCCACCAGCGGCTGCGCCAGCTCCAGCCGCTCGCTGCGCAGCGCCAGCCGGGTGAGCCCCGGCAGCGCCAGCCGCGAGGGCGAGTGCACCCGCAGCCCGGGCGCGTCAAGAGCCTGCAGCCCCGGCAGGGCGGCCAGCGCCGCCAGGTCCGCCTCCCCCAGCAGCCCGCCCGAGCCCGAGCCGGGGGGCCCGGAGCGGTGCAGGCATAGCGAGCGCAGGGGCACCGGGGGCTGTAGCGCGCGGAGGAGCTGCGGGGGGGAGGCAGGGGGCCAAGAAGGTAGGGATCGGGGGTTAGGGATTGGACATGCTGCCAGAGTGAGGAGTTTAGGTATGGGAGGAATTAATGTAATCAAGCTTACGGATGCCACTCCAAACATGCATGTAACGCTGTCCAGCGCAGTGCGCAGTGCGCACTTCCCCCTCCCTCCCCCCACCTGCTGCAGCGCCGCCTCCCCTCCCGGCTCCTCCCGGTACCTCAGCTCCAGGCTGTGCAGCCGCCGCAGGCAGCTGAACCAGCCCGCGTGGTGCGCCAGCGGCCGCACGCCGCACAGCGCCAGCGACACCCCCGCCAGCTGGCTCACCGCGCACAGCTGCTGCAGCACCGCGGGGCCGCGCATGGGCAGCCCCCGCCCCTGCAGCTCCACGCTGCACTGCGGCCGCAGCGCCGCCAGCACCTGCAGCGCGGACACCACCGAGCTGGCGTCCGGGGGCGAGGGGCCGCAGATGCCGCAGGTGCAGCTGCGGGGCGGCGGAGCGGCCGGCAGCGGAGGCGAGAAGGACGCCGCCCCTGCCGCCGCGCCGTCACTGCCGCTGGGCCCGGGTGGCAGCGGCGAGGTGAGCGCACCACCCGCTGACGCGGCCGCTACCTTGGCCGGGCAGCCGCTACCGGGCCCCGCTCCCGCTGCCCCCCTGCCCGCTCCCCCTGGTCCCGCCGCCCCCGCCGCCGCGCCGTGCTGCAGCAGGCAGCGCCAGGGCACCCGCATCGTCACTTCCCCCTCCCCCAGAGCGCCCACCAGCGCCGCCCAGGTGTCTGTGCCGATGGCCACCTGCTCGCAGCGGCTGAGGTCCAGCAGCGTCAGCGAGCGCAGGTGGCCGCAGGCAGACCAGCGCACGAACTCACGCAGGCAGGCGGGCTCGCAGGGCGGCCGCCACACAGCCCCGCTGCTGCCGCTGCTGGCGGTACCAGTGAGCAGTTGCGACTGGGGGCCCCCGGCCGGCTGCCGCGCCCCCCGGCCCCGCTGTGAGGCGGCTGCGGAGCGGGGTGTGGGCCACCCTCCCCCGCGGGCGCGGCTGCATGGGAGCGAGGCGGCCGCTGCCAGGGCGGCGGAGCTGGGCCCCGGGCCTGCAGCCGAGTCGCTGCCGCCACTGGCGTCCCCAGCCCCCACCTCCCCCTCCGCCTCTCCCGCCATCACCAGGTGCAGTTCGCGCAGGGCGGGGTAGATGCTGTCCAGGCGGGGGGAGGCGAGGCGCCAGGTGCGGGGGGAGGCGTCCAGCGCCATCACCAGCCGGGTGGTGCGAGCGGCAACCTGTGGGTGGCGGGGCGTAGCGGGGGGGGGGGCGGCAGATGGGCGGGTGCGGAAGGTGACAAATGGTTTGCGGCCCAATGCCGATGTCGAAGCGTCGTCAGGCAAGGAGGTCACAGGAGCGAGGCGTGCGGAGCATGGGGCAGCGCACGGTCAGAGAGACTTCAAGCAAGGCGAAGGGCAATAAGTGATGCCCAAAGGGGTGGTCCCAACAGGTGTAACGCAAGATGTCTAAGGGCTTGCGCCAACAGAAATCTCACCGAACCCTGCTCTAACCTGCAAGTAAGTCTGGCGACATGTGGCACGCAGCGCTTTCAAATCCGGAGGATCTAACAATGCCAAGATTGCGTCAGCGATTTGGGGGGGTAGGCCGAAAAGCCAGTCCCTTTGTTGTATCTGCTGCCATAGCGCTGCACAAGGCTCCAGTTGCCTGTCCGCAGATGCACCTCTACAAGGACCAAGTCGCCGTGGACGCTCGGACAAACTACATGGCATGGGGAAAAGGGTAAACGAATACAGGAACGTTGGTTCGGTCGTCAATGCAACATCGGAATCTGCAAGCGTTTGCATTACATCAAAAACGTGCCGCGGCCGCAATCGATTGCGACAACGCACCTTTTGTTGGAAGGGCCACGACCTTGCCCCCGGGCACGCCTGAAGGCACCCATGACCAAAAGCAAGACGACACCGCTGGCTGTCAAGCCAACCTTGCGGTGATTTCGTGCCCACAGGGTCACCTGCTGAAGACATTGGTTCGTAGCCCTCCTCGCTGCGCTGTGCCGGGGTTGGCAGTTGTGAAGTTCTGCTGACCTGGCTTCAAATTCGCCTTTACTTGCCCCAGCTGCTTGCTCCATTCGTTACCTTCACAACTCTGTATTATAGTACTCAATTTGACGGGGCTGACATCCGGAGACAATCCAAAACTGCCGCGAACACTGGAACTTAAGAAGCGCTGCGCAGAGGCCTTAGCCTGTGCGCCGGCTCCTAGTAGCAGCACTGCTTTCTGGGCCAAAAACGCTTTTGGAATGTCCGTGGTCATCGCCACGATGACAGATGCACGACCGTACGGTCGTTACAGTCCGCAAACGGACAATTCTTTCGTGCATGCACTTTGTGCGTGGCAATGCCAAGGTGTTCCAAGTGACATGGTGATCAAGAACTTGTAAACTGCCTGGCAATTGTGGCGGCTAGCACATTACGACGCAGCGGCCAATTGGGGACTACCCACCATAGCGGCAATGGCAAGGCCAAGCCAAGTCATCCAAAGCGCTTGGTTTCGTTCATAGAGAATGTTCCAAAGCTGGTAATCTGGACGGGCTGCTACGCGTTGCTGTGGTGTGTGCTGCGCTGCGTTGCCGTGCTGGGCTTCCCAACCGCTGCTACGAAGCAAGCGAGCAAGCTACCATAACGCAGCTGAAGCAGCATGCAATTCTCAGTCCTCATCACCATGCCTAAAAAGTCGTAACCGTGCTTCGTCGCACCGTGAACGTCTCCCTAACGTTGTCGTCGCAAGCGTAGTGCTTGCCCGGAAGGGCATCGCGTTGCCACGGATGCCTCTTTGGAGAACAGGAAGTTTATGAACCTCCCGAGCGTGGAAATCCTGCGCATCTGGGTGCCAGCCTTCTCAGGCAGGCCGCTATTGCCAGGCATGGGCTTGGAGCCTTTGCACCGTAACCCCGTTAGCCACGCCTTTCTTTATGTAAGCCCCGGCGACGCCGGCTTGGCTACCGCTGACATGCTTAGCTGCAGTTGAGGATCCACGGTTAGCAGTGGTTCCTACACCAGCAATTGCGAAGGGAGAAGCTCTTTCTACGCACGACACTGCCCTTGCAAGGCAGCAAGGAGTAGCGCATGGGCGGGACGGTTATTACCCAAGTATAATTTGATTTAATCCTTATTTCAATGCGAACAGCTGAACTAAAGGTAGTCGCCTCTCTTGGTGCACGCTTCGTGGCATCGGTGACCGTTACCGCTGATCGCAACCGTGGTCACAACGTTACCTCAAGCAAGATCGCAGCGTTTGGATATGCCACGACCACCAACTTCTTAACTAGTAATGCACTCGGAATAGATTCATATTGCTAGGGAGAGGGCCGGCCTTCACGGAAACTGGGCGGGCACGAATCCCTTGGGGCCTTTTTGCTGAACAAGGCGACATATAATTTAGGCTACTATCTAGATATATACTTGTGCTACTACTTAACACCCTAAGCAGTGAAAAAGGCTTCCATGCTACGTTAAAGTTAACATAATAACTCTTTGGACGAATTTCACCTACTTTTTGGAACTTCTATATATCAATAACCGTCATCTGACTGCGTAAGGCTCTTGTTTTGCGAAAAGCAAGCGGCGGCCGGCTGTTTTGCTGGGCCCGTTTCGTGCTATGTGTCCTACGACCTGCGTCGTTTATCGTGTACGCTTACAAGTTGTAACCGGCAGCCAGGAGGCTATAAGGGTGTTGTGACGTTAGGTCAGGCAATTGTCGCCTCGTCCTACGTCCCGATGCTCCTTGGCGGTAGGGATGGATTCTCCGCCACTAGCATCACGTCATCTTACACAGCAGTTGGACATGCGGCGTCAGCTACTGCGGCCGTGACATCCCATCGGCTACCTCGATGTCCGCGACGGTCCCGCGAACCTGCTGGGTGCCCCATTCTCGCCACCCGCTCCTTGTGCCCGACGGCAGCCCCTGCAGCAGAACACGGCGCTGGTGATGCACTTTGCTCAGCCAGCCGGCCAACTCCTTGTCCATGTCGGCGTGGTGGGGGCATTGTCCGCACGGCTGCCCTAGGCAGCTTTGGCCCGTGCTCTTGGGCCGCCTCCACGCGTCACTCTAGCTTGGATACGAGATCTTGCCCAGGCCTTGCCTCGGGGCCTCCTCGCCCGGGCACTTTTCATGGGCCCAGTCGGCCAGACCGCATGGCGCGGCTGCTGACGCGGGCCGTGGGTGGCGGCAGTTGTCCGTGCAAGTACTGCGGGAAGAAGGTGTCTGCAAACCAGGCGGAGGGCCACTTCATGAAGTCCTGCGCGGAGTCCAGGGGCCTCCCACTGGATGAGCGTCAGCGGAGGGCGCAGGAGCACCTGGCGGCTCTGGAGCGGCGCAGGGAGCTCGCAGACGATGGGGACCATTACGAGAGCGACGGGGACAGGGACACGTCACCTCGCACGCAGCGACCCGTGGCTCGCACCACCGTACAGCCCACTCCGGTCGCCAAGGCCGACCACTCACCTCCACGTCCGCCGGCTGCCCCCCCGGGGGCCCCGCGGGCTAGCGGCGACGCGGGGGCGAGCACTGCCCTGCTGGACCGCGGGGCGGCGGGGGCCGGCTCGAGGCCCCCGGGGGCCGCAGCGGGCGCGCTTGGGGCGGCCGGGATGCCAGCAGCGGGCAGTGCGGCCAGCCTGCTGCCCCACCAGCACCAGCCGTGGCAGCGAGCGGGGCCGGCTGAGCCCGCAGGAGGGGCCTACGCACCGTCAGCGGGCGGGGCCGGCTTCCCTGCGGCGCAGTCCGACATGCCCGCCTCGGTCGCCTTGAGCGGGCCGCAGCTGGGTGGCCTGGCGGGCAGCCCCGGGCTGCCTCCCCACCTGCCGCAGCAGCAGCGGCAGGAGCGGCAGCGACCTCCTACTCCCGCGTCCGGTGACTGGCTGGCCGACAAGGCCCTCTCCGGCTTGGGCAGCTCCCCGCCCGCCTCACCTCCTCACCACCCGGCACGCGCGCCCTCCTCAAGTCAATGGCCTCCAGTTCCGCACACCTCCCAACCGGCCAGGCCCGGGCAGCAGCCTCCGCCACCTGCCCCCGCCTCCGCCACTCCCGGCTCCTCCCACACTCCCCACCTGCCACCCAGCGGCGGGGCCCCTCGGTACGCTGGCGCCCCCGCTGCTAGCGGGTCCGCGCAGCCGCACCCCGGCGCACCTCCCCCTCGCGGGCAGGGGGCGACAGCGGGGGCAGCAGCTGCAGGGGACACCCGGGGGGCGGGGGCAAGCGGCGGCTCGCCGCTGCTGGCGGGCCAGCAGGGCCTGCCCCAGTCGCAGCCCAACAGGGTGGCCGGGGCCTTCGGGTCGCTGCCGCACACCGCCACACAGTCATCCAGCTCACCTCACCCGCCGCCGCCGACATCCCATCGGCAACTACCATACCAGCAACCCCAGTCACCGCCGCAACCCCAGCAGCAGCAGTACCCTGCGCCGCCGCCTGCGCAGCAGCAACCCGTCTACCGGAGCTCGCAGCCCCTCCAGCAGCCCCCCCCGAACCAGCCGCAGCGGCCCCAGCAACCTCCCAACCCGCAGCAGCAGACCCAGCCAGAGCCGCCCCTCCCGGCTCAGGGACCCCCACACGGCCCCGCCAGCCAGCCGCCGGGGGCCGCTGCAGTCCAGCCAGGAGCTGCTGCGGGAGGGACACCTGGCCCAGCCACTGACCCGCGGGTCGCTGCCGGGCCCGCTGCCTACGTGGACTTCTCTCGGCCGCTGAGCGCCCCGGCGTCAGGCGGCGGAGTCGACCTCACCGCGGAGAAGAAGTTGGAGGTGCGGGTCGGGATGTGGCAGCTGGGCGGGCGTGTGGGGGTGCCGCGGGGGAGCTGCGGGAGGCGGGGAGGGCATGCAGCGCTAGCCACCCGCTGCCGTTGCTCCGCAGCGTGCCCGCCACAGGTGCTCCATGTGTGACCGCACCTCGGTGTGCTCTCCTGGCGCCCCGCCTCCTCCCCACCCACCACTGCCCCGCCCTCCACCCCCCTGCAGGAGTACATGCGCGCGTCTGCTCGCCCCCGCAAGCAGTACAAGCTGCCCACCTTCCTGCCGTACAAGTGGGAGGGCTACCGGGAAGATGTGAGGCAGCCAGGAAGGGGCGGGCAGGGCTAGCAGGCAGGCAGGGTTGTTGCAGCACAGTCCAATGCCGCAGGCACAGCACCTGCCGCCCGCAGCACAGCTCACCTACTTTAAGTACTTACTTTCCCCTCTTTCCACTTCCCCCTCCCCCTCCCCCTCCAGGACCGCTACTTCTCCTCCCTGCCCCCCTGCGCGCTGCACTGGCTGCAGCAGGTGCGCGGGCTGAGCGAGGAGGTCATCCGCCGCAACCGGCTCTTCTGCACGCAGCTGCCGGTGGAGGGCGGGCGGCTGGCGCTGGCGGTTGCCTTCCCCTTCTTCAAGCACGGCAGCATGGTGTTCGCCAAGTACCGCCTGTTCGACCCGGACAGCCCCACGCCCTTCGAACCCAAGCTCTTCAGATCGGTGGGTGGGGGTGCGGGGGTGGTTCGGGGCGGGGCGAGGAGGCGAGGGAGCGGCACGCGGTTCATCGGGTGTACCTGCTGCCACGCCTTGCCTTGCCTTGACCTTTGGCTGCATGGCCCCGCACCGTGTCAGCCTAGGAGCAAGTCGGGACATGCGACTGAGCTCCACTGCTTCTCATACCTTTTATCCTTCCCTCACTATGCACCCGCCACCCCTCAACTCCCTCCTCCCACCCTCCCCTCCCCACCAGAGCAAGGACGGCGAGCCGGTGATGTACGGCTTCGATGACGTGGCGGCGGCGCACCGGCAGGCGGCGCAGCGGGGGGGCGGGGGCGGGGGCGGCAGTGTGATCATCGTGGAGGGCGAGATGGACAAGCTGGCGCTCAACACGGCGGGATTCTGGAACGTGGTGTCGGTGCCGAATGGTGGGGCCGGGGGCAGGGAAAGGGAATAAAGGAAGGAAGTAAGGAGCTGTATGGCATGGAGGCTTCCTCATGGGGTGCAAACATGGTAGCCGGCGCAACCAGCCCCACCCGAGTTAGTTGTTTCCTCTTAAGCCCCACCCGAGATAGCCAAGCCAGCACAACGAATAGGCTTACCGGAAGGAGGAGGGCAGGGGTGAGGGAGAGGGGTAGAGCCGGAGGGCCGGGCGACCGTCATGGCCACCCGCCACCTACCTGTCGTACCCTACCCCGGGAAGCATCATGTGAACCACATGCTTCCTCCCGTCTGTGTTCCCCTCCGCCCGCTCCCCCCCTCGCAGGCGCCCCCGCTGCCCGCACCCCTCCCGGCTCCTCCGAGCCGCAGCAGCTGTTCTCCCGCCCCGGTCCCGCGGGTGTGGAGGAGGGCGCCTCGCGCTTCAAGCAGCACTACGGCTACATGGACTCTTTCCTGCAGCTCTTCCCCGACATGAGCCGCTGCAGCTTCGTCATCGCAACCGACAACGACCCGGCGGGTCAGGCGCTCCGGCGGGAGCTCATGCGGCGGCTGGGTCGCGAGCGCTGCTGGGAGGTCACCAGCTGGGATAACGAGTGAGCGGGGCAGGGGGGGGAGGGTAGCGGGGGGGGCTGCATGGGAGGGGGTGAGGAGGGGCTGTGGGCAAGAGTGGGCGCGCTGGTTGGGAGGAGGGGAGTCGGGTAGGCTGGGACCTTAAGTTGGGGCAGAGGCCGGTTCGGATCAGGCTCATCCCTCCTTCCCTCTGCACCTCCGTGTCCTGCCTTGCAGGGAGCTAAACATGATGGACGAGGAGGCGCAGGCGGCGGGGCTGGGCCCGGGGGCCGCTGCGGAGCTGGGTGCTGGGGTGCCGGCTGCCGGCTCCGCCCCGCCTGGCTCGCCGCACCCGGGCCGGCCGAGGGGCTTTCGGAAGGATGCCAACGATGTGAGTGCGGCCTGGTTTCTGGAGTGGCTGGTTCTGGAGTGGCTGGTTTCCTGGGTGGCTGGGGAATGCTACGGAGGAGGCGGGGTGACAGAGCTGCACTGCCCTCAGGCGCTGCTACCGGCACTGCAACAATCGCATCGACCGCAGTACGTATTCTTGTCCGCCTGATCCCTGCCCCTGCCCCTGCCTCCCTGCCTCCCCTCCCCGCAGGTGCTGATCCACGACGGCCCCGAGCGGCTGCGTCAGCGGCTGGAGGCGGCTCAGCCCGCCAAGCTGACCGGGCTGGCCACCTTCAAGGAGTACGAGTACGAGGTGGGGCCGGGCAGGGGGACACGGGGGCTGGCCGGCAGGCGCAGGAGACCGGGGTCCAGCAGGGGTGGGCCTGGGGTCGCCGGTGGGGTCTGCGGGACCGAGCTGCAGCTGGGGCGACGGGTCGCACACCGCTGGTGTCGTCCGCGCGCGCCCGCCGTCTACCGGTACAGTTTCCGCAACCAGCCCGCCCGCCGCCAACGGCAAGCGCTGGCTTGCGCCCGCTGCCCGCCTACTTCTCCCATGACTCGCATTGCTCCTGTCCTTGCATGCAAAACACCGTTCCCCTCCCCCCTGCCTCCCCTCCCCCCTGCCTCCCCTCCCCCCCTCAGATCATCAACTACTTCCAGCGGCAGGACCCGCTGCAGCTGGGGGTGCCCACCGGCTGGCCCTCGCTGGACCGCCTCTACCGGGTGGCGCCGGGGGAGCTGACCATCGTGACGGGTGGGGGGAGGGGGGAGGGGATGGAGGGGGGAGGGTGAGGCGAGCCCAGAGGCGGGTGCTAACCGGTTCGGCCACGCGTAGGGGTGTGGGTGTCGTTGTGTTGGCGGTGCAGCTCCTCCTTCTTCGTGCATGAATGCTGAGCAGGCGGTGGCGGCGAACATTCGCTGGGGGAAGCGCCGCTTGCCGCTGCATGAGGCGGCATGCCCCTGCATACATAATGCGCTCCTCCACCCCCCTCTACCCCCCCCCCCCCCAGGTATCCCCAACAGCGGCAAGTCCGAGTGGCTGGACGCGCTGCTGGTGAACCTGGCGGAGAACCACGGCTGGGCCTTCGCCCTGTGCTCCATGGAGAAGACGCCCCTGCCGCACCTCAAGAGCCTCATCGCCAAGCGCATGCGGAAGCCATTCCCGCACGTGTACAGGTGGGGGAAAAAGAAGAATACCCAATGTATACAGGTGGGGGAGGGGGCCGCACTGGCCGCCCGCGTGCTTGCACTTGCTGCTGGTTACCTCGGTTACCCTTCCACCACACCATGGGCCCTCCCTCTCCTCCTTCCTCTCCTTCCTCTTCCTCTCCTTCCTCTTCCTTTCTCCTCTCCTGACTCCCCTGCCTCCCCACTCTCCCCGCCCTCTCCCCCGCACAGCACCGCCCGCGGCCCCCAGCAGTCGTACGGCATGGACCTGGGTGAGATGGTGGGCGGCTTCCGCTGGGTGGCCGACCACTTCCACCTCATCCGCTTCGAGGAGCAGGACGACACCGGCAGCCCGCCCATCGACTGGGTGCTGCACATGGCGCGCATCGCCGTGCTGCGATTCGGCATCCGCGGCCTGGTCATCGACCCCTACAACGAGCTGGACTCGCGGCGCCCCCGCGACATGACGGAGACCGACCACATCCGCGAGCTGCTGAGCAAGGTGCGGCGGTTCGCGCGGGAGAGCGAGTGCCACGTGTGGTTCGTGGCGCACCCGCGGCAGCAGAAGGGCTTCACGGGGCAGGCGCCCGGGCTGTACGACATATCCGGGTCGGCGCACTGGTTCAACAAGACGGACAACGGCATTGTGGTGCACCGGTGAGGGGGTGGGGGGGAAGGGCGGAAGGGGGGTTGGAGTGAGGGTGTAGCTTGGGTAGGAGCTCCGTTACTGTTTGCTGTGAGAGACCCTTAAGATTTGTTGGTACTTCTTGTTTCCGTCTCTGTGCGTCCCAATTTCTCCCTCCCTGCACCCTTCCTCCCGTCCCCTCCCCCCCCCAGTCGCTTCACCGAGGTGGTGGACCCGGTGAGCGGCAAGCGCTACCGGCAGTCGCTGCCCGAGGTGGACATCAAGCTGCAGAAGGTGCGCAACAAGGACATCGGAACGCAGGGGGAGACGCACCTGCTGTACGACAAGGCGACGGGCAGGTACGTCGACCCGGAGCGCCTGGCGCAGCGGCTGCAGGCGGGCAGCGGGGGAGGTGGAGGCGGCGGAGGGGGCTACGTGGCGCCGCAGTGCGCCTCGGACCTGCGGGATGAGCAGCTGGGCTACCTGCCCTTCAGCGGGTGAGGGGGCGGGCGGGTGAAGGGGCGCGGGCGGGGCGCCACTGGGGTGGCAGCTGGCCGGGCTGTGGGAAAGGGGGTCGGCTACCGCGGGGTGGGGGCGGGGGTGGCTGAGGAGGTGGCCTGCACGACACGCGGTGGGCGGGTGGGTTCGGAAGGGAGGGAGGTGCTTGCGCGGGGAGGGTCGTGTCGTGGCCCCAACCCTCCGTCCCTAGCCCCCAGCCCCGCTACCTGGCCATTCCTCTGCCCGCCCGCAGTTCTCCGCCGGACAACGCGCTGGCGGCCCCGGCTGGCGTCATCGACACCTCCCTCGACCACCCGCCCCCGACACCACCGGCACTGCCGCCACCACCACCGCAGCAGCAGCAGCAGTATGAGCAGCAGCAGCAGCAGCCCCCGCGGGCCTGGCAGCCGCCACCCCCGCACCAGCTGCCGCCCGCCTCCGGCCCCCCACCTGCGGCCCAGACCCGGGCGGCTCCCGGTGCGCTGCCCAGGCCGCCCGCGTCCCGGGCTCTCCCGTCCGCGGCTAGGGGCAGCAGCAGCAGCAGCAGGGCGGCCTCCTCCTCCTCCTCCACCTCCACCTCCTCCTCCGCAGCCAGCGGGAGCAGGCCGCGGTCCAGCCTGGCTTCCAGCAGGGCCGCTGGGTCGGGCGGCAAGGGGGGCCGTGGGGGCGGCAAGCTGGGGAAGCTGGCCAGCATGCGGGTGGGTAGGGGGAGGAGGGGGGGGCGGCGGGACCGGGACTTGCGGTGCTAGACCCGCTGGAATGCCGCCGGGGCTCCACACTCACCCACTGCTGTTTCCTTTTGACCACCTAGCTGCTCCATTCGGGTCCTGGGCGTCCCTCAGCACCTGGTCGTGTTGGGCTGGTATGGCGGTGTCTCAACGCTGGGGTTCCTCCGTGCCGCCCACCTGTTGTCCCACCCGATATCGCCCCCGCCCCCTGCGCCCCACCTCACCCCACCCAGGCGCTGCAAGCGGCACCCGCCAGCAAGGCGGTGGCGGCGGGGGAGGCGGCGGCCGACCTGGAGGACGAGGACGAGGACGAGGAGGGGGAGATGGACGAGGACGAGGACGAGGACGAGGAGTACGGCGGCAATGGCGGCCCCCGCCGCCGCAGCCCCCCTCCCGCGCTGCCGTCTGGCCCCCGCAGCGTGCAGGTGTCGGTCAACGGCGGGGCGTACGCGGACAAGGCGCCCGAGGGGATGGGGTCGGTGTACGAGACGGTGGCGGAGAACGAGGGCTGGCTGGGCGGCCAGTAGCGCGGTACGGCAGTGGCGTGACAGCGCAGGATGCGAGGGGAGCTGCATGGGGGGGGGGGGGTAGCGGGGAGCTGCAGGGGTGCTGGGGGTTGCGGGGAGCTGCATGGGGGGGGGGGGATAGCGGGGAGCTGCAGCCGCAGCAGCATGCAGGCGAGGGGTCGCGCGGGTTGTTGGCCGGCATGAGAGCAGGCAGGTGTTAGCTGTGTAGGTAGTTTGGGTAGGTTCGGGGAAGCAGGCTGTCAGCAGTGTTGGTGCCGTACAGTTTACGGTAATGGAGGACGGTAGGGACAGGTGCAGGATGCGTTGCGGCGGTGCCGGTAGTGGTGATGTGTCCGGCGCGGAGGAGCGGCAGAGCAGCTACGCAGCGCTCCTGTCGGAGGGGGAGTGGTGCTGCGGGGGCCTGCTGGGCGGCCGCGTGGAGGGGGCTCCGGGGCCCAGGGAGGAGTGTCACATGTGGGTGTGCGGTAGTGGTGTAGTGAGGGTTAGAGAGGTGGCGTGCTGTGCTGAATGAGTGGCACGGGGCGCTCCCAATAGGTGGTTTTATTATCGTGAATGTTGGGGTATACTAGGGTCTGAATACATCGCCTTGTGAGGGGCTTCTAGGTTAGAGCAGGGGCAGGCTCAGGTGGGCTTTGACCGAGGGGGTTCTTGCCGCCACGAGGTGTAACGTGCAGTGTAAGGTGCAAGGGGACTAGCGGGGTGCACCCGCAGCACGTAACCTTTATGACCCCTGGGCCACACGGTTGTGCTTTTAGGATACTTTCCCATTGCTTATATCCTTCAGCTTGCAAGCTATGTTTAGCATGTTCAACGCCATCGCTAGTAGGTCGTACAGGCGTGTTACTACTAGCACCTCGGAAGCACGATAGATTGTCCTTTGCATCTACTCGATAAGCACTGTGTTACAAGAAACAGAAATAGGTTGAGAATCCACTGCTTTTCTGCATTACTTGACTCCCGACGAAAATGTCAGCCGACGAGCCGTCAAGCGCTGAGCAGCATGCCGTGGCCGCTGCTGCTCTTTCCATGGCAACCACTGAGCTAGAGTACCGTGTCTCTCTTCTCAACAGGCGAGGAATGACGAAGCGTTTAGCTGCTACCCATCGATTGGACCATTACGACTTACAGCGTTAACTTTTCTGTTTTACAGCATGGTCAGCACGTGCAACGAGAGGTGTGCTGCAAGGCCGTAAGTATTAGCTTTCCTTTCTCTGTCCAATGTAATGGGCGCGCTGCGGTTTGCCGACAGTTGTTTTCGCTGACTGCAGTTACAAGGAGGGCACGCTAAGTGTGGGGGAGAACAGCTGCATAGACCGGTGTTGCGCAAAGTATTGGCAGGTGCGTACACTTGCTCCGGGAACGGCCGATGGCGGACTGGTTTGTGCTCATTCCCTTGTCGCGTCACGGCCCTGACAGGTGGTCGCCATTGTGGGGCAACTCTTGGGTGCCCAGAACAAGTAAAGCTGCCAGTTCCTACTTGGGACTGGAAACACCCAAAGTGTGGGCAACTGTAGTCAGGAAGGGAGAGGGTTGCCTTATATGAAGCAGCAATCCCCCGTGCAATGCGAGGGAGCTTGGTGCGAAACCCAGCAGCCACAGGCATTTGGACTGACTAGGCATGTACAGTTCGAGCAAGCGCTCTCGGCGTAGCAGCAGGAATGATGCAGGGCGTCCGTGGGGAGGTAGTGAGGAGTCGTACGGTGTGGCTTACTGTTTTGGTTTGCCCCCGCGTTATGGGGTCCTGCGGCGGTGCGGTAGGGCACCGACTAACATTACGACTTCGGGAATGCGCCTTGACGTTGTGTAACGGCGCGGACGATGGGGCGAACAGTTACAAATAACTGGATTTGATTTGGGCTGGCGCGACAACGGTTGTTCAGCATGGATTGTGGTTTGACGTAAGGGGGTTGGCTGTGGATGGACCGTGGATGGTCCGTGGAATATACAGTCTCTTATTTCTTGGTTACACTGCTTTTGTGTAACACGGGTTGGCTGTTACCCAAGTTCAGGCGGTATGAATTATCCCTTGCTCACCCAATAGGGGTGCTGCAGGCTCTCGTTGGCGGGCGTGGCGCACACTGCAACCACATCCACGAAGGACCAAGTCCATCCCTCATATCAGTACCAACCATCAAACCAACTAGTCCTGCACTACAGGTCGTCGTGCCGACCATGAATGTCCGTTTCTCTGTCCGTCAACCACCACTGCTGGGACACCCAGCGGCCGCTGACGTTCCACAACTCTCATGCCCGGGTCATATGCCGCCTTGTCGCCACCATGTCTATCGCTCACCGTTAAACGCAGCGAAACAGTAACGCTCTCAAGTAAAACTGTCATGAGCTAGCATTGCAAAGCCATCATTTCGGTTCGCATGCTGCTTGTCAGGGCTCACCACTCTCACTCTCACCCGGCTTCCCATCATCATCAGCTGCACCACTGCAGCTGTGAACCCCTCCTGAATCTAGCCAACATGTCTTCCGCACAACAACCCACTACCGTATATACCCCACCGTTGCGTCCCGGTGTTCAGCGTCCCCCTAGCGCGCCCCCTTACTGCTGCTTCCAGGGGTCCTCCGAAACCACCTCCGCCTCGACCGGCGTCGCAGCCACCGGCTTGGCCGCCTGCTTCGGCGCCGCCTCCGCTGCGGGCGCCTGCTGCTGCTGCTCCTGCGCCTCCTCCAGGATGTCGTACCCGAGTGCGATCTTCATGAGCGTGAACACCTTGGCCGCGTAGTCCTTGGGCGAGTCCACTTGGAAGCCGCTGGTGATGAGCGCCGTCTCGTACAGCAGCTCAGCCAGGTCGGCGGCGCGCTCCTCGTCCTTCTCGGACAGCAGCGTGCGGATGCCGGCGATGATGTCGTGCCGCGGGTTCACCTCCATGATCTTGCGACCGCGCATGTACTCCATGGCGCGGGTGTCGCCCAGGGCCTGGCAGGGTGCGGTGGGGGGGGAGCGGTGGGGGGGGGCGTGTTAGTTGCGCCACACCGAGAGCATCCAAGACAGCCAAGTGAACGGGGGGCGCCCTTCCTGCTGGTAAACCTCTTCACAACCCCGCCGGCAACATTCCCATTCCCGCCCACCTGGCTGCGCATGATCCGCTCCATGTTGGCGCTCCAGCCGAACTTGCTGGTCACCAGCGCGCAGGGCGAGTCCAGCAGCCGGTTGGACACCGTCACCTTCTCAACGCGCTCGCCCAGGGTCTGTGCCAGGGGGGGGTGAGGGGAGGAGGCAGGGAGGGGGTGAGGGGAGGAACGAAGGAGAAGCCGCTTGCAGGGATGTGCATGACAAGCAGCAATGCTTTTGGCAAACCGGATTACACAACCCAGGCCGGTACCCAGCCCCAGTCCCAACCCACATCCCGCCTTCCCCCACCCCCACCTTCTTCAGGAAGTCCACCACGGGCTGCATCTCCTTGGCCGCCTCCTCCGCCGCCTTCTTCTCCTCCTCGCCCTCCTCGTCGATGCTGACGCCCTCCTTGCTCACGTCCACCAGCTCGTACTTGGTGTCCTTGTCGCCGTACTTGGCCAGGTTGGTGACGCACGCCTCGTCGATGGGCTCGGTCAGGTACAGCACCTGGGGAGCGGGAGGGGGGCGCGGCAGGAGGGGGTGTGTGGGGTCTCATGCCCTCAAATCGTGACATTGCTCCTCTCACATCAGCCCGTTATCCTCCACTTCTCCCGATTGGGCGGCTATACCACACGTCCTCACAAGCCGCCTGTCCCCTCCCACCCGCTTCCCAGGCCCCCACTCTCCCCCTGCCCCCCCGCCTGCCCCACCTCAATGCCCTTGGCCACCAGCGCCTCCACGAAGGGCGCCGCGCGGGCCGCCTGCACGCTGTCCGCCGCCATGTAGTAGATGGACTTCTGGCCCGCCCGCATGCGCCCCACGTACTCGTCCAGGCTGGTCAGGCTGTCCTCCGCCTTGCTGCTGTTGAAGCGCAGCAGCTTGGACAGCCGCTCGCGGTGCTCCGTGTCCTCCACCACGCCGTACTTGATCTGCCGGCCGAACGCCTCCCAGAAGGTCTTGTAGTCCTCGCCGCCCTCCTTGCCCGCCAGCTCCTCCATCATCTCGATGGAGCGGCGCACCAGCTGCTTGCGGATGACACGCACGATGCGGCTCTCCTGCAGGATCTCGCGGCTCACGTTGAGCGGCAGGTCGGAGGAGTCAACCACGCCCTTCACGAAGGAGAGGTAGCGCGGCATGAGGTCCTCGTCGAACTCGTCGCTGATGAAGACGCGCTTCACGTACAGCTTGATGGACTTGGAGCGCTGTAGGGAGGGGAGGGGAGGGGGAGGGAATCAGTGGAGATGGGTATTCCGCACTGGGCACAAAAGGTTTGGAGCTTGGAGGAGGCCGGTAGCGGGATGCAGTTGAGGGTGTATGGCGTTAAGGCAGGGGAGTGGACGACCGGGCAGGTGCAACCAGCCCCGATCGGGTTCCTCTCCCCGCCCCGGCGCTGCCAACTCCCCCCTCCCCCCCGCCGCCCCACCTGCATGGCGTTCTGCTGCTCGAATGGCGCCATGCCCGGCAGGTAGAGGATGGCGGAGAACTCGATGGTGCCCTCCACGTTGAAGTGCACGTGCGCCAGCGGGTCCAGGAACTCGCCAAAGGTGGTCTGCAGGGGGGAGGAGGAGGAGAGAGGGGCAGGGGTGCGTCAGAGGGGAAACGAGGTAACCGCAGCGGCCAGTCAGTAACACCCCGCAGTTTCTTAGCATCCTGCATCTCTCACTACTCGCCACCCATAAAACGAGCTCTGGATCAAACTCCCCCATCACTCTCCCTGCCCCCCCGCCCCACCTTGAAAAAGTCGTTGTAGGCGGTCTCCGAGACGTCCTTGGGGCTGCGCGTCCAGATGGGCTTGTTCTCGTTCTCCAGCCGCCAGTCCCACACCTCGTCGTACTCCGTCTTCATGACGGGCTCAACCTGGGGCAGCGGGAAAGAGAGGTGGGGCAGCGGGACGAGGAAGGTGGAGGCAGGCACGGGAGCAACAAACCCACCGCCTGCTAGCGGCACCCACAGGCCTTCCAGCACCCAGTGCCCCCTCCCTCCTGCTCCCGGAGGCTCCCGTCAGCCGCTCCTCCCCACCCCCCACCCCTCACCGGCTTGCTGGGCTCCCCCTTCTCCGCCGCCTTCTTGTCCGCCGCCTCCTGCTTGCGCGCAGTGGCCTCCTCGTCCAGCACCTTGCGGGGCTCCTTCTTGGGGCTGTACACCTGTTTTGGGTGGGGAGCATGGGGGCAAGGGGGGCAAGGGGGGAGGAGGATGTGTCAGACGCCCCCAAGGTGGCCCCGCTAGCTCGGATGTGTCGCTCGTGGGCCCAGCCGCAGCCCCGCTGAGCCGCCCCCGCAGGCGGTGCTGCACGCTCCCATGCGGACCCCCACAGCCACCAGCCGCGTCATACAGGGTAAGCTTCTCTGTAACCATCAACCCCCACCCCCTCACCCCACCTTGATGGGGAATGCGATGAACTGCGAGTACTGCTTGATGAGGCGGGTGACGCGCACCGTGTCGGACATCTCAGCGGCGTCCTCCTTCAGGAACAGAGTGATCCTGGGGGGGAGGGGGCCGACGGGGTTTAGATTGGGCAACTAGAAGCACTTGCCTATCCCAGGTTTCCATGTCCGCTGTGCACGTGTGTGTGTCCCACATCGCCCGGAATCCAGTAAGCCCATTACTGCCCCCCCCCCCCGCGCTCCACCCCCTCCCTCCCCCGCCCCACCCCACCTGGTTCCCCGCACCAGGTCCGCCGCGTCGTCCTCCCGGATTGTGTACTGGTGGCTGCCCGCCGCCGCCTCCCACAGCCACTGCTTGGGGTCCTCGGGGCTCTTGGACTGCACGCGCACCTTGTCAGCGACCAGGAAGGCGCTGTAGAAGCCAACACCGAACTGGGGGCGGGGAGGCAGGGGCAGGGAGGGTGGGAGGTGAGGACCTGGTGGTCACGCCGCAGGAGTCTAAAGGTTGCCGGCCCCCTCAGCAAGTCTTGCATGGCTCATCCCTTGTCCCTTCTTTTCCAAGGTCGCACACACTGCCCTCCGCCCCGCCCTCACCTGTCCGATGAGGTTGGAGTCGCCCTTGGCCGCCATGGCCTCCATGAACTTGCGGGTGCCGGAGCGGGCGATGGTGCCCAGGTGCGACAGCAGCTGCTCGCGGGACATGCCGATACCCGTGTCCCTGCAGGCAGGAGGAGGCAGGGGGGGGAAGGACAGGAACAGGGGGTGTCAGCAGGAATGTAAGCTGCGAGCCGCAGTGTTAATCCCACATGGTTGATCTTGCCCTCATCCCCTAACCCCCTCACCAAAGCCCCTCCCCTCTTCCTCTTCCACCCCCCCACCCGCACCCGCCACTTACTCGATGGTGAGGGTGCCCTTCTCCTTGTCGGTGCTGATGCGGATCTCCAGCTCCTCGCGGCCCGCCATGATGGAGGGGTCGGTCACCGCCAGGAAGCGGGCCTTGTCCAGCGCGTCCGAGGCGTTGGACACCAGCTCGCGCAGGAACACCTCGCGGTTGCTGTACAGCGAGTTGACGATGATGTCCATCAGGCGGTCAACCTGGGGGGGAGGGGGGGAGCGGCGGGGGGAGAGGGAAGGCGGTGTGGAAGGGCCGGCAGGGAAGGAAAACGAGGCGGTTCCGGAGGCTCAAGAAAGGGGATCGAAGTCCACCGCTAGCGTGTACGCACAGTGGGAGCGGTGCACGCTGCAGGAAGGTGGAATACGTGATGGGCCATGCCCCTTTGAATGCAACAAAATCGCAGCAAATGCCCTCCCAACACTCTAGCGAGAAAGCCGCCACCACCAACCAGCCCCTGCCCTCGCAACCCCTCTCCTGTCCCACCTCCGCCTGGTAGGTGAAGGTCTCCTCCTTGGGGGTAGCCTCCGTGGCGGCAGCGCGGGTCAGCAGCGGGGACTGCTGCAGCTGCTGGCAGCCCAGCAGGCCAGTGCGCAGCGGAGAGAAGGAGCTGCGGCCGCCCGTGAACGCTGTCGCCAGGCTGCGGTGCTGCAACGCCGGGGCGAGGCGGACAGCCGATGGCGTGCCATTGGCACGCACCTGAAAGGCAGCGGGTGCGAGACACGACACAGGCCGCAGGCAACCACGTTGTGGCCCCCGGAGCAGCGTCACCACCTGTAGGCCAGTGCGGTGAAACCAGGGAAAGCCGGGAGGCACGCGCTCTCTCAACAGCGCCACGCATGCTGCCGTGGCGCTTGCGCTGCCAGCGACCTTGGGCCCCTAATACTAACGGTTAGCCTATTTGTGACTAACCTGACCCACGCGCGAAGGAAGACCGCGAAGCATCATGGTGGATAGCTGTATGTGTAAGATGAGCCGCCGAAAGATCGGAACCTCTTACACAGCTGCGGCTGCAATTAGAGCAACCAGTAACTAAGCTAACCTTTTGCGTGAATTGTGTTCGACGGCAGCTGATTAACAAAGTCGGCGAAGATTATATGCGCTTCACGAAAGCTCTGGACCGTACGGAACCAACCATAGTCACAACTCTCACAATCTGTTCACGACCTCTGTTCTAGACAGCTGGTGAGTATAAATAGATTACTGTAGATTTAGGAAATTAAACAGTCAAAGTATCATGCTCCTCCTGGCTCGTAGCGCAAGACATGTTTATCACCAGGAACGGAGTGCGATGCATTGAGCCTTTGGGTGTCGCACTACTGAGAATTCGTGTGCCTTCAGCGCACGAGGACGGGCCTCGTTTGCAGCAGATGGATGCCTTTCTTGGTAGCTAGCCGCGAGAGGATATTTGGTATCCCCGTTCGGCTGCTTCAGCATTTTGGCATGCATGCTTGTCCAGCGTAACAATGTGGCCAAGACCGTCACAGCGCACGCAGTTGGCTGAGTTCCCTTGCTCACGCTGCACTGCGATATCATGGCCCATGTCGCCTGCGAACCTGACCGATCCTAGAAAAAGCCTCATATTCGACCAGAGCAGCTTACCTTAATCGTGTTTACCTTCCCGACAGGTTACCAGCAGCTTGCTTGTCTGACACAAAGCGGGGTTTGCGACTTTGAGATTTGTTTTATGATAAATGACAATGTACGTATTGGAATTGGCCAAAAGAGGAGAAGGGCCCATGTCGATACCCGGCGCTGGTGCGATGAATGGATGCGCTGGGGCGCTGGGAACGCTTTTTTGCAGGAGCTTCAAACCCATTAGCGGCGTTATCACTTCTCACAACACTGCAGCATTAGTGCCATATTGGACTTCTTAGCTCATATTGCGCGGCGCCAACCGCCCGGAGGGGGCTTAGTCATCCAAACCTACAAGCTACAAGCTTACCATGCAGGCTGGGGCCGCTTCATATCCAACCATCCGTTTTTGTTTTTTATTTTGCTAGTTGGCCTAACTAGAGGCCAGAGGGTCGTAACGGTGCCAACCGGCTGATAGAGCATTGAGGGTTGGCGAATGTCGGCTTGCTAAGGCCAGCGGCCAGAATCTTCTTGGAGGTATAAAGGAAATCCAAGGCAGTTGTCGTAGTCTGAGGTCTGATATCCTAGTCGAGGTAAAAGCCCGCCAAATGGTAAGTCGACCGTACAAAGCGGAGGTGTACCGGTAGTTTGATGCAACAACAACACTCGCAAAGCCAAAACTTCTTACAAAGAAAGGCGCTTCCTTCTCTGAGCTCCATTCCCTGTGTTTCTCCAGCTATTTATCACACGCGCTGCAACCCAGTCCTATTTCGCTCGCGATTATGCCAGCACTTCCCCAAGGCAACCGAATGGCTACAAGCGTTGCTGATCCACAACGCCGGTTAGCAAGGTTTTTGCAAACAAAACCTAGGATCATATTAGGTTCCAGCTCCTTTGGTCGAAGGCAAATTATGGACCAGCTTGCAGCGGAACACGGGTTCTCGTACGAGGTGAAGACAGCAGACATAAACGAAAAGGCCATTCGCGACCCAGATCCGGAAAAGTGAGGACCCGCGGTTACCAAATGGGCGGGTTGCACGAACCTGAACGCCGGGGCGCATGCGCGCAGGCTGGTGCGGCTGCTGGCCCGGGCGAAGCGGGAGGCCATCGTCGCCAAGATGCGGGCGGCGGGTGAGGAGCTGCGGGGCATCCTCATCACCTGCGACCAGGCGAGCAGTGCAGCGGGGGGGATGGAGGGTGCAGAGGGAAGAAAAGGGCCGGTGACAAGGCCTAGGGCCAAAGAAGCTAGGATGAACGCCACTACGGCATGGTCCACACGCCTCAGGCTCACCGCCATCACAAAAGGGCTCCCGCTACTGAGCCGCTGCTGCCGCCTCTCCCGCCCCCAGCTCTCCCTCCTCTTCCTCATCCCACCTGCTCCCTCCCTGCTCCCGCCCCCGCCGCCTCCCCCTCCGCACGCACGCAGGTCGTTGTCCACGAAGATCGGGTGCTTGAGAAGCCGGGCTCGGTGGACGAGGCGCACGACTACATCGAGGGATACGGCCGCAGGTGGGGGCCGGGGGATGCAGGGGGCCAAGCATGGGGGCTCAGGGAGGAGGGGAGGAGGGGTGCTCGAATGGCTGCTGCCAGGGGTCGGAGACCAATGGTCGCGGCTGTTGGTGAGAGTGTGGGGCGCCGGGGCTGGCGGGGCGACACAGCAGTGCCTGCCTCATCGTAATGCGCGCCCCTCAGGCGGGCTGCTGGAGTCGCCTCGGGGACAGCGTACTGTCATCCCCGGACCAGAGCTGATGCATGCCCCAGCGTTCGTTCTACCTTCCCCTGTGAAGACACCCTGCCCTCCCTACCCTCCCGCCCCCCTCCCCCCGCAGCCCTGCCTCCACGGTGGGTGCGGTGGTGGCAACTGACCTGGTCTCGGGGCGCGCGGCGGAGGACGTGGAGCGGGCCTTCATCCACTTCCGGCCCATACCCCCGGAAGTACGGCAGCAGCTGGTGGCGGAGGGGCAGGTCTTCTACTGCGCGGGGGGCCTCATGGTGGGTTGGAGGACGGGGGAAGGGCCCACCGGGCCCTGCAGCGAGCAGGACACTGTAAAGAGCAAGGGGACAGGGTTCGGTTGGGGAAGAAAGAAGAAATGAGAAGTGAAGCCCTGTCCCAGGTCCCGACTGATGCAGGCTCTTCTCTAGGAACGTGCAACCCAGGGACTTTCCTCGGTAGGGGAGGGGAGCTGCACGAGTGCAGGGGACATGCAGACCCTGCCCGGACATGTCCTGAGCTCGCCTGACTGCTGCATGCCACTCGGCACCACACCTCTGGCAGCCCGGCGGCGGCCGCAGCCCGGTGGTGCCCGGGGGGTCGCCAGCTGCGGCCGCACATGCGGGCGCCCGCACTGCCGGATGCATCGAGTGCCCCCGACACCAACCTCCCGGCCGCCGCCACACCCCCTCCCGGCTGCCCCCTCCCCGCTGTCCCCTCCCTGCTATCCGCTCCCCTACCCCTCACACCACACATTGGATTTCCTTGTTTTCCTCCCTCCCCATGTCCAGGTTGAGCACCCGCTGGTGGTGCCGCACATCGCCCGGCTGGAGGGCAGCCAGTGCAGTGTGATGGGGCTGCCGCGGCAGCTGGTGATGCGGCTCATGGTGGAGGCGGCGGGGGTGGAGTAGGGGGGGAGGGTAAAAATAAGGAGAACTGACGAACTGTATGACGAGGCTTCTCCATAGTTACTAATTGAACCTGGCCCATCCCACCCCACCCGTATTATTCAAGGGAGAAAGGGGGGGCAGGAGGGGAGCCGCCGGGCTGCTGACGAGCTGCATGCGCGCGGGAGAGAGCGAAGGAGGGGAGGGGAGAGGAGAGGGAGGGCTAAGTTGGCGAAAGGTTGAAGCGGTTGGAGAGGGGGAAGCTGTTCTGTGGCAGACCCTTGAGAGGCGGTGCAGGTGGGGGTGAGGGTACGTCGCTCGTGGTGCGGGTGGGGGAGGTGTTTGACGTGCCGAGTTGAGCCCACCGGACAATGTGATCACCGCATGCTGAGGGGCAATCAATAACCTGATAGTGCACTACAGGGGAGCTTTCATTCAGTTTCATTTTGTACCAGGACCCTTACGCGCTAGAGTGGGCACCGTCTAGCGCTGCATAGACCAGCGCCGCCACCCCTGGGGGGCTGCCGCAGCTGCTGGGGACACAGCGGTGCGACATCATGCGGACCTGACTGGTGGTGGGTCCGCAGCGCGCGGCAGCTGGTGTGGGTGTACCGGCCAGGCGGTCACATGTATTGCTGTCAGGACCGCTGCTGCAGGCTGACGTCGAGGATTCGCAATGGAAACCAGCTCTCAGCAGTGATTATTTCTCGTATTATCTCGTAGTGCTGTTTCATTGCTGAGTGGTATGGGTGGGGGATTGGAAGTGATTTCGTTCGGGTGAATGCGTCGGTGCAGGGTACGTCGCATGGCGTCATCTCTGCAAGGGGGTGTGGTAAATGTAACTCTGGGTTACACCGAGACTCCACGGGTGTGTTGAATTGTAGGATTCAACACCCACCCACGACATAAGAGCAAACGACGACATAAGGCAACGGGACAGGGGGCCCCTACTCGCACTTCAAAACGCATGTACTAAGGCCGCAACAAAACGCCTAACGGCGTTCCACAATCCTCCATGCAAACGTGAAACAACACTAGTACACATTTCAATACTTGGCCTCTGGACCTGCCTTGCACAATTTTCGTAAGCTTGCTTCGGTTTTAAGGGTACACGTCCAATCCAGTGTGCACCATTCAACAGCCCGGCACGACACCGGTACGTACCGGGGTAGGCAACCGATGCGGCCGCACCACACCTGCCAGCCCACTGTCAGCGAGCAACCCTGCCGTACAAAGTGCCGTACAACAATGACACCACCTCACCACGCAACGCAGGCGGACAGGCGGGGTCCCACACACGAATGAAATCCCTTGCCCCATCCCCTGCATGCATCTCTGATCCTCAATACATTCCTCGTGGATTCCTACAAGCATCTAATGCACCTTTTAAACAGTTGCCCCCCCTGCTGTTCATCTCGCCGCACGCAGCCCCCTTCCTTAATCGGCGTCCTCCCCCCAGCCCGGCTCGGGTCCGAACCTCTTCTCGATGGCCTCCATGGTGAGCGACTTGGGGCGCTCGATGGGCAGGCCCAGGGCGCGCGACCACACGTTCTGCGACAGCACCCCCAGCGCGCGCGACACCCCGAACAGCACGGTGTAGAAGTTCTCCTCCTTGATGCCGTAGTACTGCAGCAGCACACCGCTGTGCGCGTCCACGTTGGGCCAGGGGTTCTTGATCTGGGGGGGGAGGGACGGGGGAAGAGAGCGTGAAGAGGAGGTGAAGGGGTCCAGGGGAAGGGGGGTTCACCACCGCGTGGCGAGGTTAGAGGCTGCGCCTCGCAAGCGGTGTTGAGAGAGACGGCGGCTGCAGGCGGGAGCAAGTGGTCTGCGAAAGTAGCAAAGCATGCGAAGGCCCGAGGTAACGGGTGTGGACGAATGTACCCGATGCATCCTCCAACATGGGAACTGCCCCTGCCCCCCTCACCTTGCCGGTCTTGCCCAGCACCTCGGGCACCACCTCGTACAGGTGCGACACCAGCTTGAACAGGGAGTAGTCGGGCATGTAGCGCTGGGCGAAGTCGCGCTGGCAGGAGGAGAGGAGGTAGGGAAGAGGGGACGTGAGAGAAGGGAGCAAAGTCAGGAACCTGGCCGGCAGCACAAAATAGCAGAATGCATATGGCGTAAGCGGGTGTTCCAGAGGCCAAAAACACCGGGATGGTTGCGGGGGGTGCGAGGGAAGGGAGTGCGGGGCAGCCGCCTCCTGCGCCCTACCTGGCAGCTGTAGCGGGGGTCGGTCTTGCGCAGCACGGCGTGGCCGTAGCCGGGCACCACGCGGCCCGAGGCCAGGGTGTCCTGCACGTACTGCCGGACCTGCTCCTTGTCGGGGTTGTCGCCGATCTGGGCAGCGGAGGGGGCGGGGGAGCGGGGAGGGGGGGCGAGGGAGCAGGCAGGAGCTTAGGAGGCACCGGGAGCCAACCACCACCATCCCACGTTCCCACCATACCGGTAGTAGCACTAGCTCGCACATGCCTCTGCCAAGGCATGCAAGGAACTCAACTGAAGCAACAGCCGGATCCCCTCCATCGCCCCCTCCCCACCTTGGCGGTCAGATCCTTGAGCCAGTGCAGCACCTCCTGGTTGGCCAGGCCGTGCAGGGGGCCGGCCAGACCGTTCATGCCGGCGGCGTAGGACAGGTAGGGGTCAGCCAGGGCGCTGCCCACCAGGTGGCAGGTGTGGGCCGACACGTTGCCGCCCTCGTGGTCGGCGTGGATGGTCTGGTACATGCGCATCATCTCCAGGCAGCCGGGGTCGTCGTAGCCTGCAGCCGGGCAGCGGGCGGGCGGGCGGGCGGAGGGAGGGGGTGGTGTGAGGAAGGAGCGAACTAACCGGGGTGGAGGGCCGGGCGGGAGTGGGGGCGACATCAGAGGCGAGATCAGGCACGGGCAGGGGCCTACGACCGGTAACTTGCAGTTCGGACGTGTTCTTGCCGCTCCAGATCAGATGCCAACATCAGGTGAAGACTGGGGTGGCATCCCTGCGCCGGTCATCTCGGCAGCACGGCCTGCTCTTACCCTCTCCCGCCCAGGCGCCCCCACCCACCCATCATGTACGACAGGTTGGCGGCCCAGTCCAGGTCGCGGTGCGGGGGGATGTGCTCGCCGCCCTTGTAGGTGCGGCGGTAGATCATGGCAGCCAGCTGGGGCAGGCGGGCAATCAGGTCCATGCTGTCCTCGTACACGGTCTCCCAGTACTTGCTCTTGTGGGCGCCCCGGGTGTAGGCGGCACGGAAGCGGCTGCCGGACTGCGAGCCGGGGCGGGGAAGGGGGCGGGCGCTTTGTGAGCGGAGGACGGCGGTACGGTGGGGAGCAGCTCCTGAGTCCATCCTCCCCAACGCTGCAGCGAACAGGCCACTGCACACCGCCATGACCCGCTACCGGTGCGCCCTGCCCCGCCCCCAAGCTCCCCCTAATAACAACATTACCCACCACCACCATGTTGGAGCCGTGTCAAAGGTGTCATACGGTTAGTAAATTTCTTCCTCTTTAACTCCATCACCCAGCACACGCACATTGCTATTACTGCTTTACATTGATTCCGATACTACTCGAGAGCTGTAACACCATAGCCAACGGACTTCACTTCACCTGTGGCGTTGCGGTGGGAGGATTTCATTTTTCGGCAATCACAGTACGTTCCTACCCGCGGCCAGTTTCCTTAACACACCTGCAGCGCCATGACGCCGATGGAGAGCTGGGTCATGGGGTGCGTTTCCTCGGGCAGCTCGCCGAGGGCCTTGAACACGGCGGGCTGGATGTGGGCGCGGGCGCGGAGCTCCTCGGTGACCCACCTGGCCTGCTCGGGGGTGGGCACCTGCACGCACGCCGGCAGGGGAGGTGCGAGAGGGAAGTCCCAATCCCGAATCCCGACTCATGCAGTGAACGCATTCGGGGAGGATGATGCGCCGCGGCAGATCGGGTGCGGTAGCCAGTGATGGACGGAAGGTAGCCCAGTAGCGGAGAAGAGGCCACGGGTAGAACGGTTTTACGCTAATGGGCAAGCATATGGCCGAAGAGCTGCAGAAGCTCACTAGCACAGGTGCAAACCGGTCAGTGCAGCAGTAGCAGAGGCGCCGTCCCGATTGCCGGGTTCACCACGCTGTCCCGATTGCTAGGGTTCACCACGCTGCCCTGGACTTATGGACATGCGGCGTGTCGTACGCACCTTGCCGGTCAGCAGCAGCCACAGCAGCCCCTCGGGAATAGGCTCGCCGCCGGGGACAGCGGTGGGCAGCCGCTCCTGAGTGACGGGGAAGGGAGGGCGTGTTGTAATGACATGAGGAATAACTCTGCCAAGGAACCTTGCAGCGCCAAGGGCGCGTTGCATGGGGCCAATTCCCGTCGCTGCGTCGGTTGGAATGCTGGTAAATTAGCTTGTGCTAAAGCGCACCGCGCCGTAGTCCTGCGTCCACACCCGCCGCTACACGACTACACGGCTACACGACTACGCGGCTACTACACGACTGCTGCAACAGCCTCTCATTGTAGGCGGACTAGGCCCAAACGGGTCACGTAGGACACTGGGCAATGACGAAGAGTGGCTTCACAGTATACCTTGAGCTCAGGGATGCTCAGACCGCGGAAGCGAATGCCCTTCTCGGGGTCAAGCAGCGAGGTTTCCCACAGCATACCCTGTGGCAGATAACACAGAATGCCCAGCTTTAGATCGGGGATGTCCAAACCCAGCAACGCGGGTCGCTTGCCTATCGAATAAAACTACACTGTTGCCACACCACGCGAAAAGCCAGGCATTACAGGGTCCTTCAAGCTGATCCATTGAACCTCCAGGCTGATCCATGTCGATGCTAGTAGCTCCTCGAACTAGCAAGTGCTTACCGGAAGACCTCGCATACCGCCAATTGCCATGTCGACCGTCACCGAGGCCAATGCCTTTCCGCCATGTGCTTTCTTAAGGGCCTTAAGCCTCTCCTACATCACCACATTCAAGAAACATACTGTGAGGGAGTGTTCTTTGCGTTTCGACTACCCTGCCGTGACCAGTCACCTGCTGTGCGGGAATGAGCTCCTTCACTGCTTGTTTGAGGTCGACGGGCTCAGTACAAAGGTGTCGAGCTACGCTTTCCGAAAGGGCTTGCTTGCCAAGGCCCAAGCCGAGCTTGTTTGCCGCGCGAGCCAGCATTGTTTTCGTGCCGTCGAGCGGTTGATCACAGACAGCTTGGCCCCGAGAGCCTTCTTATAGGTAGAAGATAAGTATGCGAAGTATATATTGCATAGTTACCGGTATACGACTTCCAGGTTGCAGCGGTAATCATATTTTGCAACACACGTATGTATGTACCGGTAATCCAAGCAAGGTTGTTAGACATCGTGACGTTAACAGCGCCTACATTTATACAGGTACAGACGCGTAAGTCATGGGTTGGTCTATTGCGCAGAGCACCAATAGACCTAGTTGGCCGCCGCTAACATCCCTAAGACTACAAAAAAATGTTTTTTCCAATCAAACTATCCTGCGCAGCTGAGTTTCTCATTGAAGCCGTAAAGACAGCAACAGACCCTTGCTAGTTCATACCAATTGCATGTTCATACCAATATAGTGTCTGCGGAATGTGAACGAGATATGGAGTGAAGTAGCTTACAGAACAGTGGTTTGTGTTCGTGCTTTGTGCCAATTTACGACAATGTTGAGATGGATAGAATATTGAAGATTCTTCTTACATGAAGAGGGATACCCGAGTCCGATAATAGTCGGCGAAAGCTGACAATTAGTTAGCAGACAGTGGGTTGCTGCAACTAATTGAGCCACACCCGAGAACGCGAGCACGGAAGCACACACCAGTGGTCAAATGACCACTGCTGTAATGTGGTGCGCAAACTATATATCCGAGCATACTTAGCCGTACAAAAATTACCGACCCACAACCAAATCCACAAAAACATATAGAACGCGTGGATTGATGGGAAGGCACATGACGGCGCCTCACACCAGGGTCACCTGCACACACAGATGAAACCCGGACCCACCAAACACCGAATCATCACGAGCGATGCCAGGATACAGCCAATAGATGACTATCCTATTTCCCGACACACCGCTGGGCACCACGCCGGCCTACTGAGAGATCACGCATGGCCACCATAGTCCATGGCCTACGCCTTCGAGCATTTACGACGAGAACTTCTTCTCGATGACCTCCATGGTGAGCGACTTGGGGCGCTCGATGGCCAGGCCCAGGGCGCGCGACCACACGTTCTGGGACAGGACACCGATAGCGCGCGAGGTGGCGAACAGCACGGTGTAGAAGTTCTCCTCCGTGATGCCGTAGTACTGGAGCAGCACACCGCTGTGCGCGTCCACGTTGGGCCAGGGGTTCTTGATCTGAAGGTGGAGGGAAGAGGGGACAAGGATTTTAGCATCACATCCATAAACATCCATGAGATTATGAACACCTATGCCAAATCAGCAGTAGCGGGCCCGAAACCCGCCCCTTCCTCACCTTGCCGGTCTTGCCCAGCACCTCGGGCACCACCTCGTACAGGTGCGACACCAGCTTGAACAGCGAGTAGTCGGGCATGTAGCGCTGGGCGAAGTCGCGCTGGGGAATAGGAAAGGTGGGCAAAGAGGTTCAGGTTAGGTTAGCTAAGAGCTACTAGGAAAGCCAGGATGACCAGAACAAGAAAACTGAAGCGAAAGTCACCCACCTGGCAGCTGTAGCGGGGGTCGGTCTTGCGCAGCACGGCGTGGCCGTAGCCGGGCACCACGCGGCCCGAGGCCAGGGTGTCCTGCACGTACTTGCGGACCTGCTCCTTGTCGGGGTTGGGGCCCAGCTGCGAGACACACAGAAACGAACAACCGTTAGTATACCAGTGTTATGATGACACGTGCGTACTGTACGCAGCTATATATGCGCTACTGTACAAATGCGTTTATATCCTTACCTTGGCGGTCAGATCCTTGAGCCAGTGCAGCACCTCCTGGTTGGCCAGGCCGTGCAGGGGGCCGGCCAGACCGTTCATGCCGGCGGCGTAGGACAGGTAGGGGTCAGCCAGGGCGCTGCCCACCAGGTGGCAGGTGTGGGCCGACACGTTGCCGCCCTCGTGGTCGGCGTGGATGGTCTGGTACATGCGCATCATCTCCAGGCAGCCGGGGTCCTCGAAGCCTATAGGTACAAGAGGTACATGCGTCAGGGTGAGGGGAAGTACTGGACAGGTACAAAAGGGTACAAAAGAACAGCATGTAAGATCAAGAGCGCTTTCAGCACTTACCCATCATGTGGGCCAGGTTAGCAGCCCAGTCCAGGGTGGGGTGGGGAGCGATCTGCTCGCCGCCCTTGTAGGTGCGGCGGTAGATCATAGCAGCCAGCTGGGGCAGGCGGGCAATCAGGTCCATGCTGTCCTCGTACACGGTCTCCCAGTACTTGCTCTTGTGGGTACCGTTGGTGTAGGCAGCGCGGAAGTGGCTGCCGGACTGCAGGGCCATGACACCGACGGACAGCTGGGCCATGGGGTGAGCATCCTCGGGCAGGGCGTTCAGGGTCCTCAGCACATGGGGGGGCATGTGCGAGCGAGCGCGGAGCTCCTCAGTGACGGCCTTGGCCTGCTCGGCGGTGGGCACCTGCGCAGCAATCGAACAACAGCGTGTTGATAGATGAGCCATAGGTGAACGTCAGCTGCTACCGGTATCGTAAGGCTAGAAAGCAGGACTACGTATCAAGAGCTGGCGAAGCCTTACCTTGCCGGTCAGCAGCAGCCACAGCAGACCCTCAGGAATGGGCTCGCCGCCGGGGTGGGCGCCGGGCAGCTTAGCCTGTATCGGGTAGGACAAGGCAAGGAAAGGATCGTGGGTGCAAGCCCAAATAACGTGTGCAAAAGATGAAGCGTTCACTTTTAAGAGTATAATAGGCCAAAACCTCTAGGTGTTAATTTATAAAAGGCGTTTCGCACCTGCAGCTCGGGGATGCTCAGGCCGCGGAAGCGGATGCCCTCCTCGGGGTCCAGCAGGGAGGTCTCCCACAGCATGCCCTGTTGGTAGGGACATTATTATGATTTCAGTTAAGTTTCGGACGAAAAAGACGACTCCCGTAAGCACGTAACGCTGATGGATTCTCCGAGACACAAGTAAGAACGCGGAACCCAAAAGGATACCTACTGACAACTTCGTGAATATTTCAATCAGAAAACGCATTCTGAAGTTGCTAGACGAACTCACCGGAATGCCGCGCATGCCACCGATGGCCTGCTCCACGGTCACCTCGCCCAGGCTCTTGTTGCCGAAGTTCTTCTTGATGGCCTTGAGGCGCTCCTGTGGTTACAAAGAATGGGTGTAAGAAACTGCTAATCATCCTAAGACGTAAGGGGCTTGCAGCATTTCCGACACCTGCTGAGCGGGGATCAGCTCGCGGACGGCCTCCTTCAGGTCGCAGCCCTCAGAGGCGAAGTGCCTGAGGGAGTTGCCCATGGCGGACATGGCCTGGGTGCTAAGACCCATGCCGAAGCGGGTGGCAGCCTGAGCGAGCATTGTTGCTGATGACACAGACGACACCGAAAAAGGACTAGGCCCGCTACGAGTGTATCGCAGCTTTGACTCGAGATGAGTGGGGCTGATGAATGCGGTTCAAGGGTCTATATACTTGGGTGGCGTACGATAAACAGCGTCAGCATAATCCAACGGCTTCCGTGTACCGAATGTACGCTGATGAGTAAGAACCGACGGGTAGAAATCCGTCAAGTGGGTTACGTGAATGACTCAATAGGTTAAATAAATAATGAACACCTTGACGGATATTTCGCTGGCGACTCAGGCTGCCGGACTTACAGCCTGTCTGACAAAGCGATACGCTCGGTGCTATGTAAGCACCGCATAAGCTAACGTCTTACCCAACCAAAACGCGCATGTGATGTATATCCCGCACGCATACGCATATAACGTTTCCGTGCTTATTATAACTGGAGTGCATTGGTGGGTTACTTACATGCATGGACACACGGTTCTACAAAGTTTGCTGCAAGAACTGCTGCGAAGCGCTCATGTTACGTATCCGTGTCACCTGTAGTATTCGGCATCAAAAGCATGCGGTTTCAGGGAACTATGTCCGCGGTTGTTATGATTTTCTTCTTCACGGCGCATACGTTTCGAGGTTAAGTGCATGGATGCGACAATAGAGGTACTTGGCGTATTGCGCTTTGCCACAATGGCAATGGCATAGGCTTCGATCAGTAGCAAACGTCTTGATGTCTGCTGCTCAAGTCAGGGCGTGCGACCTGAAACCATCGCACCAGCTGGCTCTCCTCTTAACACTCGTTGCATAATCTATTATTGAATTCTCTGACATGGGTGACACATCCAAACGCTTGGCTCATGACCCACGGTTCTGCATCGACTCGATGCACGTTATACCCTCGTTCCACGAGAGGGCTTTGGCGAATGCCATTTGAGAATTGACTTACAAGAAATTAACACTAGTAAGGCTCGCCTTCGGCGAGAGCTGCCCGTACGTCGCGGACTAAGAGTAGGAATGGGAGGTGATGTCGAGAGGAAAGCTGCAGTTGCATACAAGTACGGCGTGAGGATCCTGAAGTACGGGCGCACTTGCACCCGTCCTGCCCCGTCCGAGTTATAGCACCGTCTGCGCCTTGTCCAATTACCGGCGCCTGTATGCTTCCGCACGTCCTGCCAGAAGCTCGGCGCGCCCACGCAGTCCCCGCACTGGCCGCCAACAAGCGTGCATGCGAGCAGGCCAACGCCCCGTCCTCAAAGCCCGGATGTGCAAAGCCTTGAGACCTGACAGGCCTTAAAAGCGCGGGACAGACCACATCTGACCGCACCATACCGCACCAGGCACGCTGATGCAGACATGGCGCAGTTCATTGCAGTTCCTACCCACCTCAGGAATAGGCAAAGAATGCTGGTGGGACCGTTGTGCCACGGACGGCTACTGCCAGGCCCCTAAGGGTGCCTCCACAGCCCACCTACCTGGATTTTCAGCATCCGCCCTTTCCGCACATAGACTCTTATGTCTCCTACTTCAGTCTTCACGGCCATCGGTGCTTACGCGTGAAGATGTCCTGTCGTCCTGACGGAAACTGGCGCCCATGCATGCAAGCATCACCACCCTACCCAACCACCTGCGCCCAGGCATCCCACCCATGCATCAACGTCGATACATGATTGCATGCCGACCCGGCAATACCAACCCGGCCCATAAACCGGCACCGTTACATGCATGCGTACCCGCGATGCCCAACTACCGACGGCCACGCGGTACCCACAATCACCGCGCCCATTTTACCACCGCTCCCAACCTATGTACGCATGCATCCCCGCCCTGCCCAAGCACCGACATTAATCGACACACCCCCATCCTACATAACCACCAGCGCCCCGCCCTGATCACAAACTGGCACAAATGCTTGCAGAAATGGGGGCATGGGGAGGCAGGAGCTGGGCATTCGGGGCAAGCGCCGCGCGGGTAAGGACAGCCGCATGGGGGGGGGGCATGGGAAGGCAGGCACTGCACATGGAAGTGCAGAGAGGCCCGCAGAGGTGGGCCGCAAGAAGCCCGCAAGTGCGCTGCACGGGAGAGCACACGGGGAGGCAGGCGCCGGGCGGGAAAGGGGAGCTGCATGGGTTAGGTCATTGGGAGGCAAGCGCGCGCCGTGCGAAAAAGAGAATGCATTGGGAGGCAAGAACCGCACGAAGGGCAAGGGGGTGTCGCATCTGGAAGGGCGGCTGCACGGGCAAGGTGACGGGGAGGCCGTACTTGCACGGGGATAGGCAGATAGACACAGCAGGCTCAGCCCGGGGTAGGGCATGGGGAGGCATCCCTCCACGCGTTGTTCACCTACCGGCGCCTGCAAGCGCAGGCATACTCGCGCTGCTGAACCATCCGGCGCCCACACGTCCTGACAAAAGCCCGACGCGTCCATGCAGTCCCCGCACTGCCCAACAACAAGCGTGGATGCGAGCAGACATGCCCTCCGGATCTGCGGCAGATGCCAGAGGCCCCATCCGCACGCCGCTAGCGCTAGATAGTGCTATTGTCCCCGCTGCTGCACAGATCCAATACCCCGTACTCAAAGCCCTGATGTGCAAAGCCTTGCGATACGACATGCCTTCAGAGCGCGGACAGATCCCCACGTGTACCTTTATATGTCCTCCATTGCAGTCTCCAGGGCCCGCTTCCACCTCCCCTGCTTTCAGCCCCTACTTTCAGCCCCATGCAGCATTGCACAGCACTGTCGGCGCTTCCTTGCACCAGTGCATAATTATGAGCGTGCTCATTCCTCCCTGTCGGAAAACCTATGCGCATGGCCGCCTCTCCTGTGCCAATTGCTACGGCCATGCATTTCGGCACCAGACGTCATGGCGAAACAATTTCGACCACCTGAATGTACGCCTTCAAAACTGCATAATGTTGCTAGGGATTGCTTCAATATTAATGGCCTACCCTAATGGGGCATGACATGTTAATCTCCTGTCATCCGCGAGGGGAGCCCAACATGGGCCAGGCATGCACAGCCGCGTGTACAACGGCGTAGAGGCATGGGGTCGGTAAAGCTGGATAGGAAAATAGTGTCGCGTAAAAGCCCTGCAACATCTTGCAGTATCTATGCACCTTCTGCACGCGTATGGCCGCGACTATGGCATGCATACAAAAACCTGACAATACTCTCGATCTCTTCAAACCCCCGCTTCTTGCTTTTGCATACCAATTCAAACTCGCGCTCGTCGCAGAGCCTTGTCGGCTACATACCTAAAGTGTCTTGCGTCTGCCGTGCCTTCCTGTCTCCCGCCTGGATCCTCTCGTGACTCGCTGGCGCCTCACAGCACCCCACTGCCCTAGTTCCCCACCGCCCCAAGTGCGCGCCCCAGCACACTCCACACTGCCAAGTCCAGCCACTCCATCCAGTCGCGCGGCCGCCCGTCGATATGGGTCACACGCACAACCCTCCCATCCGCCTCCTCCACTTCCCAGCTCTCGCCAAGCACCAACCCAAGCCCCAGCCCCGGCCCCGAGCCAGCTTCCTGCGACCCCTGTCCCGCCTCCTCCGTCTGCCGGCCCCCCTCCAGAGCCCCCACCCAGGCTCGCAGCGCGCGATTCACCGCCCTGGGCGCCTCATGGTGCGGGCAGTGCCCGGCTGGGCTGAGCTCCAGGTACGTGGCGCCCGGCAGGCGGCGCTTCAGCCGCTGCCCCCACAGCGGGCGGACCCATGGGTCTTCCTTGCCGTACAGCAGCAGCACCGAGCAGCTGACGCGGTCCACCAGGTCATCAAAGCTGAGCTCCGCCTTGGGGCTGAGCACGATGGATGTGAATGCGTCCAGCGCGCCCGGGTGCTGCGTGGCCTCCAGGATGCGGCCCACCAGCTGCGGGTCGGGCGGCGACTTGTCGGCGTACACCACCTGCAGCATGGCGCTGATGGTGGCGGGGGAGCGCAGCGTGTCCCACCAGTGCCGCTGGATGAGGGCCTTCAGGGGCTGCGAGGGGTTAGGGTGGGCGCAAGGCACGGGAGAAGCGGATGTGCATGCTGACTTATGATTGTACGGAACATGTGTTGTGCCGTTATATGGCGGCCCTACATAGCAAAAGCCTGATCCTGTAAGGTATAAACGAGCCGGAGACCCTTAGGCCAGCTCCGAAGAGCACGTAAAGAGGAACAGTCCTCTCTGCACCGCCGCCCGGCGCTGCGGCCACATCATCCCCATCTTCCCCGCACAAACCCACCTCGGGCACAGGCACGGAGCCATCCACTGCCCGGTCGAGCGCCGCCCACAGCAGTCCCCGCGACCCCGCAGACCCGCGAGGGGGCCGGAAAGCCCAGAAGGGCGTCGCATTAAGCAGCACCAGTCCGCGCACCAGGTCCGGCCGGCGAGCAGCAAGCATCACAGCCAAGTAGCTGCGAACCGGGCGGGAGATGTTATTGGAAAGCGGTCCTGGGTAAGGGAGCAAGCAAGTGGGAAGGGCAGGTAGTTGCATAGACCTCGCGTCCGGTGTCTGGCAACTACGGCAAGTACCTACGGCTGGATGTAAGGTCAGTGACCGTTTATTGACGCTTACGCGCCAACACGCCATGCGCAGAAGCCGCTGCTACTCAGTAGCCCTCATGCTGCCTTTGTGCGATAACCGCGCTTGCAGCAGCAGCCAACCCATGCGTCCACCATACCACCAGCCTCTTCCAAGCCGAGGCCACTAAGCCAGACAAACCCTCTGACCCGCCCCAGGGACCTAGGTACCTTCTCCTTCACCTTCAGCCCCGACCCCTCCCCCAGCCTCCCGTCACCCACCCTCCCAGCGAGTTGCCCACCACGACCGCCGGCTCCCCCACGCACTGCTCCAGGAAGGCCTCCAGCTGGCGGGCCCACGTGTCCACGCTGTAGTACAGCCCCGCGCTGGGGGGCACCGGGTGGCGCGGCCAGCTGCGACCTGGGGGCGGCCGGGAGGCAGCGGGCAGGAGTTGGCAGCAGGCGGTCAGACAGGGTTTCGGGGATTGTAGAGGGTGCATGCAGAGGGTGAGGCCGCGTCCAGTGCCTAGCCAGTGTGGGGTTTCATAGAGTACGTCCCACCACGTGTGTGCCCCTGGTGCCGCCCCGGCCCTGCGTACCTTGCCCCAGCAGGTCCACCGCCCATACCCGGTGGTCCCGCTGCAGGTCCTCCCAGTTGCGGTGGAAGTGCCAGCCGGCCACCCCGAAACCATGGACCATCAGGAGGGCCGGACCAGACTGAGCCAGTGAGGGCCGGAGGGGACGTGGAGGTCAGAGGGAGATGCTGCACTTAACAGCGCGTTGATAAGCGCTCAAGGCAAACATACGACGCGGTGCTGACGGGGGCAAGGCTGAAGGGCAAACCAGCACAAGGTTGCTCTCAAGTTGGAGATCGGCACGTGGGTTAGCTTTGCACCGGCTGCCAAAAAAAACCGGTCCTAAAAGCCGTGACGTGTGTTTGGCAATTGCCAACATACCTCGCCAACTTGCCGGTAGCAAACTTGTGAATCATATTTCCAATCCCAGTATAGCTCCTCGCCCCAGTTTGGCTCTTCGTTGGCAGGTTGAGGTAAGGTTGTTGCCCCGTCGCGACCCTTGGAATCGCCCAACGACGCTTCGGGAGTCGTGGATTGCGTTGCACCACTCCTTTGCACCAAGGCTCGACATCGCCTAGCACGGACGCCTAAACGAGCAGTAGGGCACGGCGTTGCCCGTATTCGTGCTTGCTTGTCGTGCAACGCTAACATTCCGATAAAATAACTATAAATAGATTTGTAAATACAGTTCAAAGATTACAGACGTGTCACGAGTCATAGGGATACTGCAAGAGTACTGCTTGCCGCGGACGCTGGGATTGCTGAAGTGTGTATTGAGCAGTATCAGTATTATACGTTTAACGACCGACAATTCTGTGCACAAGAACTACCTTAATCTTACTGTCGCCGAACCTTTTGACCATACCATTGAAAGCTAGACGTCGACCTATTGAAGCAGTGTCCATACGTCCTTAACTGTATAAGTGTGCCATATGAAAAGACCTCGTCTACGAAGGCCTGAGGCTTAGGGGCCTCAGGCCTGCCTCGGGCCGTGGCATGTAGTGTTCGGGTCCATGTCCCGTTCTCCCGCAGAAGCAGGACAGCCACCGGCGGTTGGAGTAGTTCTTGCTCCGCTACAGCGGCAGCAATCGTCCCGGAACGGCTCCCGACCTGCCTCTAGGGAGCCAACGGCGCGCAGCGAAGGCGAGGGGCTTTCAGTTGTCCCATCCCGCCCCGGGCGGTTATCGGAGGCGTATGACGTGCAGAAGCCAGTGGGCAAGGGAGGCTATGCGGTGGTATATAAGGGCATCCGGCGGGAGGATGGTCGGGTCGTTGCTGTCAAGAAGGTCGAGGTGCGTGGGGGTGCATGGGGGTTGGGTTGCTCAACTGGTGCGCCATGCATTCGTTTCATGTTGGGGGCGTGATGCGGGTGAGCATACCGGTATGGCATTTGCGGACTCCATTTGCATCTGGGTTGGGTTCACTTCATGCTCTTGCCTGATTGCCTGATGGCGTCCTTAGCACATATGAGCTGTCAGCATGCCCTCTAGGTGTCCAGCGTGGCTTAGGATGGCGGGATCAAGCGGAGATTTTGAACGTCCGGGGACGTGTGTAGCAGCCCTGCTGTGTTCGCTCATAAGCACAGGAAGGCACCATCTCCAGCTATAGGGTTACCGGCTCTTGTGGTTATAATACCTGTCCACATACTCTTCCCTTCCCTACGTTCCCGGCCCTGCTTGCAGATCTTTGAGATGAGCGCCAAGAAGCGCGAGCGGTGCCTCCAGGAGGTGACCCTCCTGCAGCAGCTGGACCACCCCAACATCATTCAGATGCTGGACGCCTTTATTGATGAGAACATGCTCATCATCGTGTTCGAGTGGGCCCCTGCAGGTGAGCGGGCGTCAGGGCACCTGGGTCAGCCCTCTGGATGCGTGCCCGATGGCGTTGTATTCCTGGCGGACCCTTCCTCTGGGTGCTACGTGCCAACGCGCGTGTCTGTGGCACATGTGCCTGATGTCCTTTGCTTGGCTTTTTATCCCTGTGCGCAGGTGACCTAAAGCGCCTGATTAAGAAGACGGCAGAGCAGGGCAAGACGCTTGACGAGCCGTCCATCTGGACCTTGTTTTACCAGGTACGCTGTCAGGCGGGTCGCTGCGGCCCTGCGTCCAGCTCCAAGCCGGGTTTTCATCCCTGCTATGGCCTCTCCCACCACCTTGAACCCCGTCTGGCTCACCCCAATGCCCGGCAGGTGACTGACGGTCTACGCTACATGCACCAGCACCGCATTATGCACCGTGACATCAAGCCTGCCAACGTGCTGGTGGGCGCCAACGGGGCGCTCAAGCTGGGGGACCTGGGACTGGGCCGCCAGCTCAGCGAGCAGACGATGGAGGCATTCTCCAAGGTAACGAGCCAGTTTGCGCCTTGGGAGCGTAGGGGGCACATGAGCGGAGGTGGCGCGGTCTGCATGGAGCCGTGTGGATGAGCTGGGCTGTAGTAGCGGGCACCAGTTGTCTCACACGAGTCACACCGATCTGAGCTCTGTGGTTGTGTGTCACGGCACTGCAGGTCGGGACGCCCTACTACGTGTCGCCCGAGGTGGTGCGGGGCGCGGGGTACGACTGGAAGAGCGATGTGTGGTCCATGGGCTGCCTGCTGTACGAGCTGGCGTGCCTGCGGTCGCCGTTTGAGATGGAGGGTGCTAACCTGTACGACGTGTTCCAAAAGATCTCCAAGGGCGAATACAGCCCACTGCCTACCGACCAGTTCTCCGCGCCGCTGCGCAGCCTGGTGGGCCGCATGCTGCAGATTGACCCCTCGAAGCGCCCCGAGCTGGAAGAGGTGGGCAGGCGGACGGCAGGGGTGATTAAGTTGCCGGCTCTAAAGCATTAAGGCTGGCCTTGCCGGCTAAGATGTAAAGAATCGTTATCGCCCAGATGTAATTTGGGTCACCACGTCTTTCTGGCCGGGCGAGTAGTCTGCGCTGGCAAACGTGACCTAGCATCCCGAACTGGTGGCTTGCCCTCAATCCTCTTCTCCCCCAGGTGTGGCGGATCACAAGCTCGGCGGTGCAGTCCCAGTCTCGCACTCGCTCGGACGTGCACGGGGCCGCCGCGGAGCTGTACGAGCAGCTGGTGCTACTGTCCAGCGAGGTGGCCGCCAGGGTGAAGGGCAAGGCGCCGCCGCCCACGCCGCCAACCGGCCGGCGAGCCTCCTCAGCCTCTGGAGCCGCGGCGGCGGCGGCGCTGGCGGGCTCGCTGGCCCCTCCGCCCTTGGAAACCATCCGCAGCCTTCACCCATTGTACTTTTCGGAGCCGCTGGTGCCGCCGCTGCGCTCAGACTCGGATGCATTTCAGAAGCAGCAGCTGGGCGCCTTTATGCACGTGATGGCTTGGCTGCTGCGACTCAACGGCAAGGCGGACGGAGCCGCCGCCATAGAGGCCAACCTGGAGCTGGTCCCGGCGCCACGCGCGCCGACGGCATGCTTGGCGGCAGCGGCGGCCGGTCGCAGCGTCGGCGCTGCCTCGGCGGGCCAGCAGCTGCCCATGTGCACCAACGTGCTGAAGGGTGCTGAGGCCGCAAAGCGGGGCGCGCAGCTGCTGGACCTGAACACAGAATTCGCGCCGGTGAACGCGATTGCGCTGGGTCACGGGCGCGCCGTGTGTGGACTGCTGCAGGACGCATTGGCGCTCAGCGTGCAGCGGGTGCCACTTCTAGTGCGGCCGCCTCAGAGGCAAGATGAGGCAGCTGCGGAGGAGGTGTCGGAGGAGGCAGGCGCAATGGAGGGGCCTGCAGGGTCGATGATGACTACAGCAGCGGCTGATGCAGGGCCCAGCAGCGATGAAGATGAGGAGGCAGAGTACCTTGACGGGACGGCAGCGGACAGACAGCGTGCCTTTGACTCGCTGGCCCCCGGAGCCGCCAGCAGCAGTGGCGCAGCGGCGCCTGAGGGCAGGGCAGGGAAGGGACGCAAGGGGCGAGCAGTGGCTGCGGGGACCCAGGTGGACCCAGTGGCATGGCGGCAGGAATTGGAGCGGTTGACGCCGCAGCTGAACCGCATCAAGATCTCGGCTGAGGCGGCAGCTGGGGACTGGTCGCAGCGGTGGCAGCAGACGAAGGAGCTGCTGGCCGCGCTGGCTTCTGCAACACCGGATGCCAGGACCTCGCTGGGGAAGCTCGGCAGCGGCGTGTCTCGGGACTTGGAACGAATTGACATGACGGAACGACGACTCAACGACAGCACAGTTAGCCTTATGGGTAAGGCTTTACTTGTCAACTTCTCCATTGAAGTGCAATGTCCGCTTGCGGGATGTCTAAGCACGTAGTTGGGTTTCAAGATTGCATTGGGTGGTAAAAGGATAAAGCTACCAGATATCATGTCGTTGGATAAAGAGAATGTGTAAACCTTCTAACCTAAACATATATACATAACCTGGGTAAGCTCTCTGCATAGGGATTCAGCATCGCAGGATGACCTACAGAACCTCCAGTGCCACTGAATTGATGACAGCGAGTCCTCCTCACCTACTTTTCCCTCCCTGCTCCTCGCTGCCAACCCCAGAGCAATACGCGGCCAGTCGGCGGCGGCTGGCGGACCTGCAGCGTGAGCGGCAGCACCACGACGAGCTGCTTGAAATCGGGCACTCGGCGCTGGCACAGCTGGCGGAGCGGATAGAGGAGGTGCAGCTAGCCATACAGGTCGGTTTGCAGGGGTTGTTCCTCAGTATGAGAGCGCACGTCATGGGAAGGTGACGATTGAAGTGCCCGCAGCTCTGCCTGTGTGCGGGCGTTACACACGCACGGAGGCCGACGCAGTTCCCGTGTGGGTAATTGAGATTCCCCTCTTGTCGCCGACCCACTCTCTCTCCTCCTGCAGGACAAGACTGACGGCCTTGACGGCTCGCGTCAGATCAGCCTGATACATGACACCATGCGTACCATGCGCAAGGAGATGCGGCGGATGGACGTGCGCATTGGTGTGGCCCGGCACGAACTGTGGGCCAAGCAGACGGGGCGCACCCTAAAGCTGGGTGCGGGGATCCTGGACGATGATGAGGAGGACGGCCAGGAGAACGAGATGGGTTGAGGGCTGCCTGTCGTAGCGGCAGTGGAATGAGGAGGATTACGGGAAGTAGGGGCTTGATGTCAGGACCGTTGCGTACGAATGGCAGGTGGGCATACGACGTGACTACCTAGGACTGATACGTTGCAGGAGCACGTGCGCGGAAAGACGAGAAGGCACGTTACGAGCCGTGTCTAACGGGTTGTGTCGGGCGCATGTCTGTAAATGTGGAGTGGTTGCAAGTTCTACACAGGTTTACCCGCAAGCGGGCGTTTCATGGAACAGATTGTGAACAGGCTCGGCTGCAGCTACGAGGTTGCCTCGTGCATGTGTCCTCCTTGCAGCTGCTCATATAAGGATTTCCTATGGGTGTATAGTGGCCCGTAGCAGTTCCTTGAGTTGATAAACATCGATGTCAAGGACGTGAAGGGGGAATATAAGAGATATGTGGCAGCTTATGCAGTGCTGCATCCGAATGGAATTATGCGGGAAGCGCTGCGGCATGGGCAATGGAGTGCTAGTGGGCCCCGCCATACATTGCCTTTTGGCCACCCTTTGCCATGCGTGGTGTAAGCTAGTGGCATGCCCCAAACCCAACTTGGCAGCGCGCCAGTTTTGGCACGGCTATGCCATTAAGGCCCAGGGTTGTCTATGTCACCTTCAGAGGGGTATGTACCCTGTAAAACCCTTCACAATCAGCTTCCATTCTGCCAAGGAGGCCGTGCAGGTACATAGGTGCCGTACTCACATTGATGCCCAGTCAGCGACGCTTTAGATTCATCCTGCAGCTGATTTTATTGTAGGAACGGTGTCATACAGCGGCTTTTTGGCATAGTCCTACCCCGACAGCTAGCAAGTTCCAGACGATCATAAGATGGCCTCCAAGGACGTGCCTAAGGAGCTTGCTATCGACCACAAATACGATGTACTGGTCGATACGGTGCGTGAAATGAAGCCAGTGCTGTATACCTCTTTCGACACTTGACATCAGCGGATGCAATGCAGACGCTGCGGAGAACCGTATATGGTACCGGACTTGCGGGCCTTCTGTCCCTCGTCTTCCTAAGTAAGTGGTCCTGACGCCTTCCTTACAGCATTCGTTGGTTGCTTGGGCCGGATGCGGCTTTGCTTGTCTTCTGTGCAGCATGCTTGCGCGTAGGCTAGCCGCGCTGTAATATACTCACATGATAACCGCGATATATGTCGTTTGGTGCATGCTGTGGGGCCGTGCTGCTTGGCAGCCACTACTGATGGCAGCCAGTCGTGTTCTAAAATTGCGCACGCTTGCTTCACAGGGGGAGGACAGAGCCGTGCGGTGATGACGGCTTTCGGCGCTGGTGTTGGATTTGGGTCGGCCTGGCAAAAGTGCTCTGAGCAGGTGTGTATAGCACAGGGTTGAGCGACCCTTGGTCCCTCGACTCTTTGGTGTGCTGCAGTTCCACCCATTGCTGGTAATTCCTAACGCACATGTTTTCCGCAATCGAACGTTCAATCTCCCATGCAGTTTGAGGAGCTGTTCCCGGAGACGCTGAAGCAGAAGTAAAGGCATTGCAGGAGGACGCGTCTGGCTTACACGGGGAGGCGCAGTGCAGGTCAACGCACTTCTTGCAGCGTTGCCCTGCTCTTGCGCCGTCGTGCTCTCGTGCAAGTGTACGTTGCTCGATCGCTAGTGCGCAGTCGCAGCACCCTGCTAGCCTATACATGCCTAACCTCCATGGCCCTACAACCATGTGAACGCAACGAAAATGCCGGATCTCGAGTTGGGTTGCCTACCTAATTGCCTAGATCTTATAGCAGCGTGTCCATCTGAGTTGGACTAATAAGTACACGCCCCCTAAAAGGGCCGGAAGACGTGCGGGATCATGGAGTCCGACGTGTCCTTGATGGCGCTCAGCTGCTCCTTTTCGCTGGCGGCCTTGTGAGCCGCCGCTGTGAGGTTCTCCTTGAGAAGCAGGGAGATGGGCGGGTGGCTGGGCTTGACGTGCGCGGGGGGAGTGTTGAGCGGCGGAATCTTGGAGTCCAGCAGGTTGGGGCACTGCAGCTTGACCACGGACAGGTTGTTGCAGCCTGGGGCGTTGGGGTGAGAGCAAGTTGTGCGGTTTATAGGGTAAACTGTAAGGCGCATTGGCAGGTTTGGTGACGTGTCAGCTCTTCTGCAAGGGCATTTTTGCGTAACCAAGTTGCGGGTATATGAGCAGTGGCGGTGTTGCTGTTGCTGTTTGTACTGGCAAGTAATGTAAGGCCTCCCAGCTATTGAAATATCGCTGTATACGTGGCATAATTTCGGTTGGCAGGCATGTTCGGACAAAGCTACTTGTAAGTACCATGCTCGGCTGACGGTTATGTCATCCCACAGCCAAATTCGACCTACCTTCGACATACCACATACCTAAACAATCCTCCTCATCCGCAGTTATGACGTTGTCCGCTCTTTGGTGCATAGCTAGATACCAACACATGGCATGACTGTTTAGTCCATCTTACACACCGCTGAGTGGCTGTGGCATGCAAACCGTAAGGCTGAGTGCAATCCCGCAGTGCCTACATGGCACTGCTGTCAAGCCCCAACCCACCCGTGAGGTCCAGCTCCGTGAGCTCGTCCGTCCACAGCATAACCGTCTCCAGCTGTCCGCAGTCCGTGATACCTAGCTTGTTCAGCCGAGGGCAGTGTATGAGCGCCTGCAGCGCACGGCAGGGTCCAGGTGGCTCGCCAACTTGGGCGGTACAGACAGCAACTGCCGCAAGGTGTTGTCTACTGTACGTCACTCGCAAAGTACCGGTAAAACACACCGCCTCTCCCGCCCACCTTGGTGAGGCCGCCGCACTTGCGCAGGTTCACGGAGCGCAGCGTCTGGCTCTGCAGCAGCACGTACTCCAGCCCGGAGCACTCGGAGAGGTCCAGGTCGGAGAGCTTGGGGCAGGTGGTCATGGGCGAAAGCACGAAGTTGCGCAGGTTGGAGGAGCCGCGCAGGTCCACCAGCGTCAGCTCGGGCGGCGAGAGCTTCACCAGCTCGTTGGCGAAGGCGTCACGCAGCGAGGCGGTGTTGTGCACCTTAATCTGCGCATGGCGTAGCGGGGCCGTGGGGTGTTTCGTGTAAGTGGCACTTGCCGTGTGGTGGCGTGAAGAGACGTGATGCATGTAGCTCCCCATTCGAAACACCCATGGAATGAATTGAGCCCAATTCACTATATACAGTCGTCCGCTGGACGGCGTTTAACATGATTCTAACGGCAGACAACTTGCAAAAGGGAAACATTGTCGACCCAAATGTGGTTGGGCGATTCTTAGCTTCTTAGGCTTGTGGTAAGAAGGGGGCAGTGGCAAGTGAAACATGCACCTTGCCACGTCCCCATGGATCCTGCTTAGCCCGACCGCCCCCCATGAGCCGCCCTCAGTCCGATTTGGTGTGCTGTGCCCCTCTGACCAGATCCGCACCTCTCTGCACGCTGTGAGGACGCGCTCGCGCAACGCACCCCAGGTTGGCCAGGTGTTAGCGTCCGGCAAGTCTGTAACAGGTTTCTCCCATACTCCACTTTCAACAGCCTGAGGGGTAAGAGGGTTTGCAGGTATGACTTGCCTTCACCAAAAATGGGCACATGCGAACCTGACCCACCCTCTCCCAGCTAGCGTCGTGGGGTGGCTCAGCTCCGTCGTCCTTCTTTTTCTTTTTCCCTCCTGCCTTCTTTTTAGGAGCCATCACACTATGCCGCGAAAATGCTTATCAGGAGCTCCGCGGCCGCGCTTCTTTTCTGGTGCTAAATAACAAATGGGTACAAAGACGGCAAGGGATGTGTAAATAAAATAATAGTCCAAGCCTGTGTGCTGACGTTCTATGGCTTTCCGCAATACTAACTGGACCGGTTGTCGTTATTCGCAACCTATTGTAGGATTTCGTTTACCACATAACATGTCTCTATTTGCATGATTGATCCAGGTATCCTCGAAGGCAAAGGACGACCTCCCTGCACCCTCGGATCCTGTTTGCACCAGTACTCAATCCCCAGCTTTTGTTTGGATACTTTTTTCCAAGCCACATACAAACAATCGGTCATCGTTTACTGCCGGTATACTTTAATGCATGTTGCGCTCTACTTTCTTTGGCCCTAACCAATAGGAGCGCGATTTTCTTGCAGCAACCTGCCGCAACCTTGGTATGACCGAAACCAGATGTAAATAGGTCATCTCGTGTAATTGATCGGACGGGTTGTGGGTGTGAACTGCACGGTCGGTGCTTGCTAGCCCTGTCACAGAAGCATGTTTGAAGGCTTACTGAAAAAGAATTTCTGGCAGTCTCTCTTTACTGGAAATGCTAGCTCTGGCCGAACAAAGTACACGTTTGAGGAGCTGCGGGCGCTTTCGGATGTGCTCAACAAAAATCAGGTCGTTACCGAGGCCAACAGGGCCTTGGTGGTGGAAACAATCCGGTCTATTGCCGAGTTCATGATCTGGGGTGATCAGAATGAGCCACGCATATTCGAGTTCTTCTTGGAGAACAACATCATGCTCTACTTGCACCGCGTGCTGCAGCAGCCTGCGAATCGTACTGGCGACGTGGCTAAGCAAGTGCTGCAGACCCTCAGCATCATCATACAGAACATACGCAGCGAGACGGGCACGTACTTCCTGTTCAGCAATAACCACATCAACAACATAGTCGAGATCAGGTTCGACTTCGAGGATGAGGAGGTCTTGGGCTACTACATCTCCTTCTTGAAGACCATCAGTCTTAAGCTGAATGCGGGCACTGTCCAGTTCTTCTTCGATGGGCGTGACAGCGAGTACACATTTCCCCTGTACTCCGAGGCTGTCAAGTTCGCCCACCACAAGGAGGGCATGGTCCGCGCTGGCGTCCGCACGTTAACGCTCAACGTGTACTCTGTGCCAGACCCGTACATTCAGGAGTACGTGTGCCGCCCGCCCGCAACATCCTATGTTGCAGAGATGGTGGGCTATATTGCAGACCAGGTCAAGGTACGTGGCTGGGGTCCTTGGGACAGCGGGCCGCATGGGCGAGGTTCCAATCTTTATAGCCTTCTCCGTTGTTCCCCACATTAAATTAGGGGTGATCACTGCTGTGTGTACTCAGCTGGTAACCGTTGTTTGTCCTGCGGTGCTATGGCCGGATGAGGTGCAAGCGATGCTTTGGGGCTTGCTTACCAAATCTTGCTACATTACGTCTGGGACATGTCTTTCCTTCCTTGTACAGATCCTAGACAAGCGCATGGCCACAGCCGAGGGCTTCAGCGCGCAGGTGCTGTCGTCGCTGGACTCCCAGCTGGCGGAGGTGGAGGACATGGTGTCGTACGTAGCCGACATTCTCACAACCGGTGCGTAAGTAGAATGTTCTGTCATTACCCTCCCCCGCACGCTCACCGTCCTCGCCCGCATGTCCTCACTTGCATGCCCGCCCTACAGCCCCTCCGAGGCTGGCGCACCTGGTGGCGCAGCAGCTGTGGGTGGGTCTGGTGGGGCCATGCCTGCTGCGGCCGCTGCTTGGCGGCAAAGGAGCAAAGCCTGAGACCTCAGGTGGGGATGGCAGTGGACAGGCAGTGCTTTGCTCTCTTTGTGTAATATGTGGTGGTATGGAAGGACTTGCTTACGTTGTTAAGCCACATGCCACGTCCTTGGGTGCGACCCTTTTTGGATTGCGTCGCGGCGCCATGCCATACCTTCTCACGTCGCCGCATAGGACTTGTCGTGGACCTCACGTCGGCCCGTTTCTTGTTGCAGGCTCCCGGGGTAGTGGTGGAGGCAGCGGACTGCCCAACTCTCCCCGCGGCCAAATGCCTCCGGTCCGTGCCGCTTGTAGCCTGTACTGCCTGGAGCGGCTGTTCATGTTAATCACATACCCGCCGCTCTTGCACAATTTGGCGTTAGCTCTGTTGGACCCACGGGTCGGCCACCCCAGCTGCCGGTCTGCGGTGGAGGCGCTGCTGCGCTCGCAGGAGCACCACAGTGTGTCCGCGGCGCTCCGCTGCCTGGTGGCGCTGGTGCACAACCGTCACATGGCGCCGGAGGTGATGGCGCTGCTGGGCCTGGTGCCCAGGCAGCGCGCCGCGGACTTGCACAGAGCTTGCTCAGCCAGGGACTGCGCGGCATGTCGGCTTCGCGAACAGCTCCCGCCGCTGCCGCAGGGCTGCATGGTCCCGGGCATGCCGCCGGACCCGCTGGCGGAGCAGCCGCTGCCGGTGGCTACATCCGCGGCAGCAGGAGGCGGCGGAGGCAGCGAGATGGTGTTCGCGTACCATGTGATCTGGACGCGCATGGAGGACCCTGCTCGGAGACCGCTAGCGCCGCAGGAGCGGGTTGGGAGCAGCGGCATTGACAGCGATGGTGTGAGCAGGTCGTCTGGCGACGCACCTGGGGAGGCGGGGTTGTTGGGTGGCGGTGAGGAAAGGCAGGAGCGAGGCACGGGGGGCATGGACGCCAGCACTGCCGAGGCGCAGGCTGGCCCCGCCTCCAGCGACTCCCTGCCTGCGGTGATCCCGTTCACGTCCGCAACACAACTCGAGTACAGTGTGGCTGCGCCTGGGCGGGGCAGCGGCGGGGAGGACGCGGGTACTAGCGGCGCGGACCTCCTGAGCGCTGGGGAGTCTGGTGGGGTCCTTCAGCCGCAACCCTCGGAGCCGCAGTCGCAGGGACCGCAGGAGGCGGACTTGTTGGGGCTGGGTGACCTCGCGACGGCTCCCAGTGGGGGTGCTGACACCATTCCGGCGAATGCTGCAACCAACACGGACGCCCCGATGCAGTCAGATGCGAGCAGGTCGGCAGTTGCCCCGGTCGATGTCACAGTCGACCTCCTTGACATGCGGCTCGAAGCCGTGCCCGGGGAACCAGAAACGCAGCCCTCTATACCCGCCGGCGACCTTTCAGCTGCCGCAAATGCTGAAGCAGCGTCCCCGCCGGGCGCGGTAACTGGGCCTCCTGCTGATGCTATTGTGACAGACGACGGTGCTGATGCACAATCTGCATCTGTGCCAGTGGATGAGCTCAGTGCCGCATTCGCTGACTCGTTGACGGTGGCAGAATCCGCAACAACCGAGGCTCCTTCGTCGTCGGTCAGCCCTGCAGTTGCCGAAATGGCCGCAGCGCCCATCCCAGCCACCGCAAGCAAAGAGGCTGAGGGGGGCCCGCTGTCGAGCCTTCTCGACATGTTGCCGCAGGCAGCGGCAGCAGCTGCTGCCGTTGCTGCCACGGCGCTCGCCTCCACTTCAGCAGCGCTTGGGGACCCCCTCGGTGCCTCCAACCCCGTGGCTGCGCAGCCAACTGGGCCCTCCAGCAGCGACCTGGCCTCCATCAGCGCTCCTGACTCCAGCACCGCTACCGCCACAACTCAGCTGTCGGAGGGCGTTACGGCACCGTCCCAGCCTGCGTCCGGAGCCGCAGCAGCACCGCATGCCCCTCCAGATGCTCCAGCAGCGGACCCCCCTCCAGCCCCGGTCCCTGAGCCCGTTGTGGGGCCCCCCTGCACGCTGCACGTCCGGCCCGCCGCACTGGCCTCCAGCTCCGACCTGCTGGATGCGCTGTTCTCGCTGCTGTCCACGTCGCTGCTACCGGTGTCAGGGCTGTGGAACGTGGGGCTGCTGCTCGCACAGCTCTATCCGCGCGCAGAGGAACGGCGCCAACTGGAGGACCTGCTCCGGCGGCAGCAGGAGCAGCAGCAGCAGGATGGGCTGCAAACCACGTCCTCCGGCAGCCCCGCAGACCAGACCGCAGACCTGCTAGGCGTCGGCGAACAAGCCGAGGGTGTCCTGGCGGCGGCTGCGGCTCCTGACTCTACTCCCGATCATGCGGCGCCACCAGCTCCTCCCGCACCCTCACTGCCTGAGCCGCCGGCCGCGCCGCACCCCCTGGACCCCTCCAGCACTGCCGGCTGGGCTTGCCAGCTGAGCGCCGCGCAGCGGGAGGCGCTGCGGGTGGCCGCCGTGTCGGCTGCCAGCGCTGTGTTGGACGAGGTTGGCGGCATGTGGTGCGACGCGCTGATGGCGATGATGGCGCTGGAGTGGCCGGCGGCGCACGACGCGGTGACGCGGCCCTCGCTGCGGGCGAGTGCGGAGCAGCTGATGGCGGGGCCGCACCTGTACCCGCGACAGCACGCCAGGGGTGAGCGGGGGCGGCGGTTTTGCGTTGTGGGTCTCGCTTGCAGCGCGTTTACCAGACGGTATCACTGTGTTTGGGTATTCCAGCTTCTAGCTTGCACTGCAGGGCTCAATCACCAGCATGCCCTCCGATCCCTCCTCCTTCCCCGCTTCCCGCAGCGCTGAGCGGCACCAGCCGCAACGACCAGGGCCTGAGCGGCTCCGCGGTTGCCGCGCTGCACAGCTACCACGCGGTGTCGCGGCTGGTGGCGCTGCTGCACCTGCACCAGCTGCTGCAGCGGGGGGCCACCGGGCGCAAGCCGCCGCCCACCTGCCCCGTGCCGCAGAGCGGGGACGTAGAGGGGCGGGAATGGGACGTGCAGGAGGGACAGGAGGTGGAGCTGGAGGTGCGTGTGCGCGCTTGGCAAAGCTTTACTGCCATCTCTGCATGAATGTCCCAAGCACCGTTACTGTGCATGGCACCATAAGCTGGCAACTGCTCTCGAAGGCCTCATGTCGATGAAAACCGCCGCTCTCCCACCCGCAGGCTAGCTCCGCTATTCCCTGCATCGTTTCCTTCGCTCCGGGCCAGGAGCGGCGCGTGTACTTCGCCGCTGCGGGTCCAGCGCTACGCCGCGTCACCGAGTACCTGCACGACCCCCAGGTAGGCACCTCCGGCATAGGCGATCACGCGGCACTCGTCCTGCCTCCACCTTCGGTCGAGATCGACATTGCGTACATGTCCCTCTCCGTCCCCCTGCACGCCACACGCTCAAGATGTCCTGAACGCTCTCCGCCGAACACTGCCACCAGCGCCTTACCCCTCTCCCCGTCCGCAGATGCTGCTGGCCGACCCCGCCGCGCAGGCCATCGTGCTGCACAGCTCCCCCGCGGTGGTGCTCGCCGACCCCGCGCCCACGCGGCTTAACGCGGGCGTCGTGCTCTCCGTGTCGCCCCTCCTAGGCAGCGAGCCCGGCGTCGACAAGAACGTGGCCAAATGGCTGCACGTGCACGTGCGCCCCTCGGTGCGCGGGCTGCTGCGGCTGCTGCGCTCCGCCGCGGCGGGCCGCAAGGGCGGGCTGCTGGCGGCGCTGCGGCACCTGGCGGACGGGCACTGGGTGCTGGCCTTCCCGGACGCGGAGCGCGCCGCCAGCGCCAAGCAGCTGGTGGAACAGTCGGCGCACCGCCTGCGGGCGCTGTACTGCGAGTTGCTGAGCCCCGTGCTGGGGGAGGTGATGGAGTAGTAGTGGGGGCACATGACGACATGAGGTGGGCAGGAGGGCGGTCGGGGGGCTGCTGGTGGAGATGCCTTGAAGACAGCGACAGAAAAGACAAGAGACAACAGACGGCTTTGACAGAGAGGGATGCAGACAGGGGCGTGTGGGAGAAGGGTTAAGGGACTGCGCGGGGCTCGGAAGGCTGGTGGGCAGGGAAAGGATGGGTGGTAGGCGTGTTTCAGCAGGAGCATGAGTTTCCGGTTCGCTGCGGGGTTGGTACGTGTAATAACCAGGGTTAGTTCAGCAATGCAGCTGGGATTCCGCTTGATCAAGGGCGCTACGCCGCTTCCTAGGAGGAAGCAGAAGCAGAGTCAACGCCATAGCCAGGATGCGCGGGCCGGGCTTGACTGCAGGGGGCTCAGAGTCGTGCTGGGGCAGCTGGCTCTTTATGTCGGCCATGCAATGGGTGCATACTGCTCAGGAACGTAAGTACGTAACGCTTGTACCGTAGCTTGTCGGTCGTAATTTATTCGGTGGTTGACTCTTGGAGGACAGGCGCTTATGCGGTATGTCTCCTCCTCCGTCATTTCGTCGATGCGAAAGCGTACTCCTGTAGCGACAAGGCCATTCGTATCAGGCATGCTGTCCAATGTAGCTCCAGATGTAACATCATGACACATCGTATGTAGAGCGACAACAATATGCACATTAGGTAACAGCGGCTGTAGGAAAGCATCACTTCTGCTTTGCCGCAGAATCCGCCATCACTGCTCTTGCGTTCCCTCAAAGGCCCTGTAAAGCCTCTTTATCCACAGCTTCATGACACGCAGTCGGGACCCAAACGAAACAGCTGCGTTGATCCATGGTAGCTGTTGATTGGCAGCCGCATTTCTGTGACAATGCACAGCAGCGAGCGTCAGCTGCGGATTGCTTGCGGCGCCGACGTCGCTTGCCGCACACAAGTCTGGCTGACGCATGGCGCTCTGCAGTGCGCTGCTTTGTGCTTTCCCCTCCCTTCCAGTGTGCGGTGCAGCTGGTGTGCGGCACGCTGGTCACCGGCCTGTTCGTGGTGGTCAGGTGGGCGCACGCGCCGCCAGCGATGGACGATTTGCAGCGGCACGAGCTAAAAGCAACAGCCTACAGCAGCAGCATTTCGCGATAGCAATGCAATATTTCGAGCCGAATGTTATAATAGCCATTATATAATTGCATGAAAACAGCCCTCTCCCCCTCCCTGTGCTTTGCTGGCTGGCTTCCCGCCTGCCAGGCCGCTGTCCTTCCCCATCTCCTGCCTGGCCCCCGTGCTGTACTCCTCCTGGACGGTGCTGCTCAGCGCGGACAACCACCTGGGCAGCAGGCTGCAGGGGGCGGCAGCCGCGACGGCAGCCATGGCATGGGGCGCGGTAGCGGGCGGAGTCGTGGTGAGGAGGGGAGGTCAGGTGACCCGTGGGTCATCATGGGTAATTCCTATGCGCAAGCGGCAAGAGCGAGGTGTTGTGATGCCTCCATGAGTGAGTTGTGTGCACCTTCCTGCCCTCCATGCTGCAGCTCTCCCTGGCCTCCCTGGCGGCCCGCAGCGGCCCCGGCGGCTCCCCGGCGCTGCGCTCCTCCTCGCACACCGCCGCCCTCAGCTGCCTGGCGGTGGCGGTGCTGCCGCTGCTGGCAGCCAACAGAGCGGCGCTGGGGCCGCCGCACCCGCCGTACCTGTGGATGGCCGGCCTCACGTCGTGCCTGGCGTTCGGCGTGGCACTGCTATCCGGGCAGTTCATAGCAGACCCACGGGTCATGTGGGACAGCGTAAGTTGCATGTGCAGGTGATTTATGGCTTGGGCCAGCGACCCTGCTGTCCTTTGGCCAACCTTGCCATTCTGCCTGCCAAACACAAGTGACCTGCCCCCACAGTCGCATGTACCGTCCTTTTCCCCCTTCTCCCATCTCCTCAACCGCTACGCCCCCCCCCCCGCATTAGTCATCTCGGTTTATGGTAAGCAAGCAATAGCAATAGCAATATTTTCCCCCCGCACCCCCGTCCCCCCAGGTTGTTCGCAGCCTGGTGCAGGTTGCGCTGCTGGGCGGCGGCACCTCGGGGCTGGTCAGCGCGCTGGTGCTGCCCTCGCTGGCGGCGGAGGAGATGCGAGGGGACGTGGCGGCGGCGATGAGAGGACTGGGACACGCAGCCACACGGTAAGGAGGCGGGGAGGGAGCAGGGCGGCAGAAGGAGAAGGAGGGCATGGGGTGGCTGGAGAAGGGGTGAGCGCGCCTGTTGCTGTGCTGTACCTTGGAACCCCGGCAGGTGCAACTGGGCTTAAGCGGGGAGAGGGGTGCCCATGTTGTATAATCGCTGCTGGCATGTCGTGACGTCCCTCCGCACGGCTCCACCTGGCGCCATGTCCGCAGCCTGGCCAGCCGCGCCCTCAGGTCCCGCACACTGCCAGCCGCCTCCCGCAGTCCCAGCGCCGCAACCCCGTGCGGCACACCCGCCCCTGTCCTCACGGGTCCACCCGCCCCCACCGCCGCACCCACGGGACCCGAGCAGTCGCTCCCAGGGCCCACACACTTCCGCGGGGGGATGGCGGCAGCGCCCGCCGGCCCCCCGAAGGAGGCACCCCTCCACCCACGTCTGCACCCTCACCAGCCAATGCAGCGGGGGCCCGAACCGCAGCAGCGGGCTACCAGTTCGCACCCGCTGCTGCAGCTGGCAGCCGGCTCAGGGGGGCTGAGGGACGGCAGCGGCCGACCTGACGGCGCCGCCACCGCCCGGGTGGCCTCCCCCTTCGCCGCCGACGCTGGCACCAGCCGCCAGAACCCACCCTCCAGCGGCAGCGTGTTCGGCAGCCGTGGGAGGAGCGCAGGGGAGCTGGGAGGGGCTGCGGAGCCCTCCCTCCACCCCTCCTCCTCCTCCTCCTCCTCCTCCTCTCCCCCCTCAGATCTGGAGTACAGCTCCGCATCTGGCAGCCACCGCAGCGGGGAGGGCCCTCCTCAGCCGCCTGAGCCGACCCGCCTGATCCCCACCACCGCTACCGCCGCCGCTGCCAACCCCGACCTGGCCAAGGGGCCACCCGAGCTCCCCCTCGACGGCACTGCGGCTCCGGAGCCATGCGGGCTTGCGACGGACGCCAGGAGCAGCGGGGGCGCGGACACGCGCGCGGGTCTGCTGCCGTGTGTGGGCCAGCCCAGTGCGGCGCTGGCGGCGCAGTGGACCTGGGAGCTGCGGGAGGGGTTCGCGGAGGAGGACCCGGAGGATGACGACGTCTTCCTGCGCATGCTGCACGAGGCATCCGAGCCGCAACTCCACCACCGTCGCATGCGCACTGCACACTCCCGGCGAGCAAGCGAGGAGGCGGCGGCCGGCGCTTCCGAGGCGGGGGGCTGGGGCCTGGCCAGTCCAGCCCGCGTCAGCAGCCTGCCGCCCTTCCTGGCCCCGCCCGGGGGCATCCGGCCCTCCCCGGCTGCCGGCACGCTGGGTGCGGGTCCGGGTGCTGCTGCGCACGGCGGCGGCGGGGTGGGCCGCGGCTCGGTGGCGTGGGCGCCCGTGTCCGTGCTGCGGCCGCTGCTGGCGCGTGCGAGGGCGTGTCTGGGGTCCGCCGGGTTCGAGCCGCCCTGGCTGATGAGCGGGCCCACGGACCTGGGTGGGTGGGTGGGTGGGCTGCAGTGTGTGCCGTGTTGTTGTAGGCGTGTCATGGGGCTGTGGTGTGTCAGGGGTCGCCCAGAGCCGTGCTGTGCTTTTAAAGCTGCCTTGATTGCGCTGCCCCTCCCCCTGTGGCCTGCCATCGCTCCTACTCGCCCTCCCACCTGCTCCGCATCTCCTCCTCCGCCTGCCCCTTCTTCTTCCTCCTCCTCCTCCGCCGCCAGACTGCTGGTCGCGCGTGCTGGGCCGCTGCGAGGTGCTGGTGGGGCGGGTGGCGGCGCTGGAGGTGCTGGTGGAGGGGGAGGCCAAGGGGGCCAAGGTGGGAGGGAGGGGGGAAGGGGAGGGGAGGGGAGACGGGTGGTGGGTGTATGGCTTGCGGTTATTGGTCCCGCATACGCCCTATCAGATAGCAATCACGGCATGCATCGCCCTGTCTTATTCCTGCTCTCGCCCACTGCGCTCGCACCTGCCCAGCGAGCCGTCATGTGCACCTTACCGCAACCTGTTACCACCCCACAACACCCTTCCCTCGCCCCTCTCCTCTTCCCTCCCCCCCCAGCTGCTCAGCGACGTATGCCTGACCTCCCTGATGGGGGTGGACGTAGTGGCGCCCTACCGTGGGGCCTACGCGCGGGTGGCGGCCAGCTGTGCGGCGGTGGGGGCGGCGCTGGACGCAACGTGCCGGGGCGGCGGGTGGGGGAGGAGCAGGAGCAGGTGCGGCGGAGGAAAGGTAGGATGGCGGAGGAGCTGGGTAGGATGCGGGAGGAGCTGCTGTAGGGCTGTTGTTGTGAAGGTGTCTGGAGCGCTAGCTGGCCCCACTGCGGTGCGGACCCACCCGTCCAGCCACGGCCCCAGGTCCCCACCCCACACTTCCCCGCACAGGCCTTCACGGGTGTTGACGGCTGGGAGGAGTGCCGGCGGGCGCTGCGGGCGGAGGTGCGGGCGGCCTTCCGGGGCTACTGGGACCGGCTGCGGGCGGAGGCGGAGGCGGCGCATGCGGTGGCCACTGCGGCGGAGGCGGATGCGGTAGAGGCGGAGGCGGAGGTGGAGGCGGAGGCGGAGGAGAAGATGGGGACTTCCCCCACGGCGCACCCGCACTCCCACCCGCACCCAACCTCTCGCGGCAAGCTGGTGATTCTGGGGCTGTCGCAGGTGCGGCCTCTTACACCACTTCGGGCCGATGCTGACATCGCCTATAACAACCCTGCGCGTAGAGGTTCCCTAGCACCGGTACCCACCTTCACCCGCCTGCTCTCCAGGCCCGCGCCCTGATGTTCCTGTGGACGGTCACGGAGGGTGTCCTCAGCGCCGCGGAGGAGCTGGAGGCGGCGGTACGGCAGCTGCTGACGGAGGGACAGGGAGACTGTACGGCAGCAGGAGCAGCAGGCGGTGGGGCCTCACCGGTTCCAGCCCCGCCGCGCGATGCGCAGTTGAGTTCCCCGCAGCCGGATGGGGTCTTGCGGCGCTCAGCGGGAGCCGGATTGTCAGGGCTCGAGCCGGCAGGGCCGCCGCGGGGCCCGGGTGAGGATGCAGGGACTCCTGCTGAGGGGAGGGAGCAGGAGCAGAATCACGAGCGCGAGCAGGAGGAGAAGGAGCCGGGAAGGGGCCCCCACACTGCCGGGAAGGCTGATGGTCCGCAGGTGCAGACAGACGGCACTGCTCTGGGCGGCTCCCGGGACGCAGCGACAAGCGGTGGTGCGAGGCGGCTGGTCGGGTGGCACAGGGGGTGGCGGGGCGGCGGGGGGCTGCGGGGGGAGGTGGTGTCCTGGTGGCTGGGGAGCTGGGGCTGGGCCTGGCGCGTGACGCAGGTGAGGGGGCCCTTGCGAGGTGTGACTGCAGCTTGCAACCTGCAACCTCATCCGGTCGATAGTCAGGGTTCACAAGCTGAGCTTATCTCGTCAAGCTGAGTCCTGCGCCTCCGCTGGCCTCCTGTAAAAGCAGCAACACTGTCCTCCTCGCCTGCGCCCTCTTACTACCCCTCACCCGCACAGATACTCCTCGGCTGGCCCATGCTGCGCAACTCCGCCGCCAGCACAGCCGCCACCCTC